AAGCCCAAACCTTAACAAAACGGATTTTGTATCATAAATATTACAATTATTTCTTAGTCTCTAAAAGTCTATCTTGGATTCATAGTACGGATCCGCCTCCCAACACCGGCTCGTCCTTAGGATAGATGGATGGTATCAAAGGATAATCCTGTTTGTAAATCCTCATGCATCTTTAATGTACAACCAAAAATTGTGAAATCGGGTTAGGTCTATAAATTAGTTCAAATAACCAAGTTGCCAGTGAGTAGAAATATTAGCGTAAGAGGAGAAAGTATGTGGAACAAGTAAAGTAGCCGCGCCTACGTTTTAGAATGATGGAGTAATTTCGGCTTGAAGATGGTGGCAGAATGAGCATCACCTTCAAGCGGAGCGTCATGCGAATATGCTCTGTCTCTCTGTAAAACATGCATTCTCTCCTTAAACACCTCATCGCTGAAATCAGCATCTTTAGCAGGGATAGTGGTAGCGTCGCTCCCACTAGACACAGCCGAGTCGTTGTTCTGCTCCGTCAACTCACTACTGTGTGTGATAATGGGGAAGGGGTACCCATCGATCTCATGTGTTTGGTCTTTCTGCCTGTTCACCTTTTCAGCGGTGCCGTTCAACTCGTGCTCCTTTTCGTTTTCGACTTGGCTTTCATGTCGCTTTTGGTGGCCATATTGGTCGAACTCAGCTTGGTGGTAGTCGATAAGGCCGTGGGGAACGTGCTGCTGGTAATGTGGATATGTTAAATTGTAGACGGGCGGGAACATCGGATTGAAACTAGCACCGGGCGTGCCAGCGGGTGCAGAGGGGCCGTAGTATATCGGTGCTCCTGGCGCTGGGTTTAAGTAAGGGTTGTAGTGAGTACTAGGCGAGGAAACTACCCCTGGACTGAACGGACCTATACCAGGACTCATCATCTCTGGGACATAGCCGGGTGTTGGCGCTGCGAATGGTCCCAGGTAGAAGCCAGGCATAGAGGGTGTCATCGGTGGCGGGGCAGCCGCTCCTCTCGATGGTGGCTGGTGTGATAGAGGTTGGAATGAATTGTTGGAGAAGGTCGCAGGTGGAAGAGATATTTTTCCAGGATGTGCTACGCTCTTTGGTGATCTGGCTTCCGTTTTATTGAATCCATCTTCAAGGCTCAAGTGATCTATCTTTTTAGCTGCTGCCAAGGCAGCATCTGCGTAATCGTTTTGCGCCATTCTAGGTAATGGATAGCTGGGTGATGGCTGCGCCCCGGCTGGTGGAGACAACGGCGTTGTGAACGGGGATGACTTGGATACCTCTGATGTATTCGATCCACCTGAGAAACCATGCGAGGAAGCTGCCGTGGCTGGCACAATACCTAGTCCTGAACTAGGTGTTGACTGTGCACTGCTATGATTGAAAGAATCTGAGAAGGCATTGCTGCTGATTGAAGATGGGGCTGGTGGTCGGGAACTAGTTGAATTGGTGAGAGTGCTCTCCAGATGAACCTTGAGTAGGCGTCCAGCTATCTCAAATCCATCGAACAACTGCACAGCTTTGATTGCTTCAGTCTCAACTGCGAACGTCAGCACTGCGTAACCTTTGCTAGAGCCATCTTGGTTGGCAGCAACATCTGATCTAACGACATTTCCTGCCGCTCTGAATATATCTTTGAGCTCTTGCCATTGTAGGTTGTAGGCTGGAGATAGGAATCAGAGAGACTGGTGGATCGACAATGGATACTCACGCAAATTGCAGACAAAGACTGTCCTGCTTGAGTGCGAGGGTGCAGAAGATGGAGTGAGATTAATCTAAAATTGTGAGTTGGACTGCCGGCATTCAAGAGGGTAAAAAAACGCACCGGAGGAGACAAACCAAGTACCTGCATTGCATGAGCACTAGGAGCAGATATGCCTCTGTTTAAGAGAGGCTCGATGACAGTGCTGGTATTGTTATCGGGAAACTGTTGCGCAATGTTTGAATAATTGGAGGATCTATCGATGGTGATACTATCGGAGAGCATCCTCGGTGGAGCCCCAGGATGAGGGGGGTGAACAGAACCAGGAGCATGCACATGGTTAAATAGCGGCTGGTTCCAGTGGTGTAGCAGATGAGGTGGAATAGCAGCCATCGCGGGACGGATAGACTGGTTGTGTGGTTGAGATTGAGGGCCAGGTAAATCATATTCAGGTGGCAAGCGATCAGGCCTGACTTCAAGGGTTCTCGTCTGCCAGACGTAGCCGTTGTAAAGGTCAATAGCTTTAGCGGCGTCGATCTCGGAGCCCATGAGTACGTTGCCGTAGCCTTTACTCCTGTTGTCCAAACCGAGAGCGACATCTGCGCGGAGGACGGTACCGGCCTTTCTAAAGAGATCTTTCAAGTCCTGCCAACGAACTCTGTAAGGTAGCTTCGAGGAGATTAGATAACGAGGTGCATCGAGTGATCGATGCTCACATTTCCAACGAAAAGATGCGTACGGCCATCTCTTCCAGAAGCGCCAACGCCTGCACCGGGAGTATTCAGTGGAGAATTCCTCAACAAGGCGGCAGCAGTTTCAGTGGAGGAAGTGGCGCTGCTGATAACTTGATCGATTTCGACGTCCGTAATACCCCTCTATAAAATGAATAAGCGTGTAAATTACTCTGCTTTAAATTACAAACCTTCAACCCAAATTTATTTGACATTCGTCGCGGTGTGGAATAACGTAGATCATCAAGCTCGATCTGTAACGCCCACGAGAAATTTAAATTATAAATATTAAATAGAATCATGCCACGTAACTCACGCTCTTCTGGTGGTAGTAGACCTTCCGCCTCATCCTCTGCACCAAGAAGCTCTCCATTCGGCTCTCAGCAAACCAGATCCGCCAGCACAGCAGCTCCAGCATACGGTGCACAACGTTCGAGTGGGTGGTTATTGCTCAACCACGTGCATTATCTCACATGCCCTAGATTACGCTCAACAGCAATCACACCCACAGCCTCAACAACAAGCTCAGCCAGCAGCAGCTCCTAGTGCCGGTGGCTCAATGATGGGCAATATCGCTTCAACTGCTGCCGGTGTAAGTTGCCGCAGCTCTTCTCATGAAAATCCACTGATTAGTAATCTGTTTTTAGGTTGCCGCCGGACATGGTCTGTCTAATATGCTTTTCGGCGGTTCTTCCAGCCAGCCAGCTCCTGTTGAGCAGCAAGCCCAGCCTCAACAACAGCCACAGCAACAGCAGCAACCACCTGTGTGTGAGACTCAAGCCAAGGACTTTGTTACTTGCTTGAACGCCACAGGCGACGTAAACAGCTGCTCTACGCTGTTAGACTTACTCAAGGTGAGAATTCTGGCTAATTAATTACCTTTCTAATCTGTCAAATAGTCTTGTCAAGCAGCTGCGGCACCTTATTAGACTTGATTACTGCTGAAATATAGACAACGACATGTAACACACCACTACTCATTTATCCATGACGTATATATTGATTGAATTTCTCATAATTCACACTGTGCTTTAACTGGAATGTCGCTGACTTATGTCACATCACCATTGATTTCTGTTTGTGGCGGTTTGAGCCGGGTTTTTGGAGCAGCAAAGCCACAGCAATATACATACACCCAGAATTACCCCTAAATTCCTAACTAATCATCGTATAAATATAAATCTGCAGCTTACCAACTAAGGTTCGAGTGACACAGCCAGCTGTCAGACACATTCCAATCCCCAAACTCTGGAATGTGACAACAGAGCGCTTAAATTGGTCCTACCCTTCTCTTGTTCTTTTATTTTCTTCCCTTCCGACCAAAAATGTCAAACAACTTAAGATCGTCGAGTCCCTCTGATAGATTCATCAAGCCACACTTGCCACCACTACAGCACAAAAGACCTTCGCCACCTGAATCTGATGATTCTGATGATGATCACTTCACCTTCAGTCCCGTCAACTCCCCTGCACTTAATTCTGGCACTTTTACAAACGGCAACAGGAAATTTGTTTTGACTCCAGCGCATGAATTCTACTACAGACAGAAGCTACTATCATTGGCTAGAGTGGGTTGTTCACTCATAACACACTCCCTTGCTAACATCACCCAAGACACAATTCAAAACTGTCAACGACTACAGTACGCACGTCACAGCAATTGTACAAAAATTAATGGCTGCCGGTGTACGCCTCACTGAAACAGAAGCTACACACGCCTACATACGTGGACTACCCAATGTCACTGCTCAAGCTGTACTCTCTTCACTAGAAAATGGAACCTCTTTTACAGGTGTACAGATACTGACGCAGTCAGTCGAAGAGGCACGATCATCTGCTGTTATGGCTGGTCAGTACGCAGCTGAGCAAGCCACCGAGCCTTCAGCCGAGCCAGTCGAGACACGCGCAAAGAAACCATCGACGAGCTCTAATCGCAGAGTTAGATACAGATCACACTCAGTTACTACGCAACCAACTTCCAATCACCTTATGACATCCCTCACTTCCACGCCTCAGACTTCCACCATGTCTAGACCTCGCTCTATTGCATTCCCTAAAACTCACAGACCGAGTATGTCGAATACGAACGATATATACGACTCAGATAGGACGCCGGTGTCTGACTCGCTGCCCAAGTTCACTCCACTTAGCCCTCCTTCACAATCTTTGCTAAGCCAGACTGAAAATTTGTCTATTTGCTCGCCATCGAGACATCCAAGGCCTGTCGCACGAAGATCGCCGTACGCTTCCCCCACTAAGTCCTCACCAGTCAAGGCAGAAGGCACGTTTGGATTGGGTTTGGGGTTGCAATGAGCATAATATCAACATATTGGATGTAAATATAGTTAGGAATTACGGACAATTTGGATATCTGCAAACTTAGCTCTATATTCCACTCTCACTTTTACTCTTCACGACCTATTTTCACTTTATTTTCACTCTATTTTGTAACAACAAATGAATATAGAATCAATTAAAAAAGTTTAGAGTATAGAAAGTGCAGCACTCATAGCGAGAGCAGCAGTCAAGGCAGAGATTGTAGCTGTGCTTGCGTTAGAATCGTCATCATCAGTGCTAGCATTGTTGCTGGAAGCTGATGGACTGGCAGACGCAGGAACGGTAGCTGATGCATCTGGATATGCGCTGCCTTCAGGTTTGATTTCGAACTCTTCGGATTTCGCAAACTCCTTGTTCTGGTCTGTTGGGTCGGCGAAAACAAGAACATAACCCTTGCCTGGGCTGAGATTAACGCCTGCGTTGCTATCGATTTGGTATGAACCGCGGTCTGATTCTATAATGCCGGTTACTGCCGCTTGTCTGGAGATTTTGTAAGTTGAAAAGGTGGTGTACGAGCATTACATTAAACTCACTTGGATGGCAAGACATCCTCGTCATCGTTCTTGATGATAGTGATGAACTGTTCGGGATCCTTTGAGAGTATATTTAGCGCTCTCAGTATTTCAGACACCTCTTTAACTCACCGATTCACTCGATGTCGTCCACGCGAACGTCTGAGAATCTGAGTCAATCCACCAGTTCTTTGAATTTGGGACGGTGATAGTGATCTTTGCGAGTGTAGTGTACACGAGTGACAGAATAGTAAGTGTGAAAAGTGTTAATTGCATCTTAAGTGATCTTTGTGATTAATGCAAGCGTTATCTGAGAAAGGAGTGTGAAAATTTGGCTGATTATATAGTTCTGAACGTTGATTTAAAAGGCGTAAACTCAGTCTCAGCCTGTGGATATTAAATTTTGGATTCACACTAGTCTCATCTTCAAACAGCATTCCGATCATTCAAACGGCCTCGAATTATTACTAGCACATGATAACGACAATAACACAGCTATTAATATAAACAATGCATATGATAGAAATATAAAAGCGCTGTCATCTACATAGCTAATTGGGCTTGTAACTGTCTGAGTTCCTCGTCCTCGTCGTCTTCCTGGTCTTGAGAGTGCGGAGGAGCAGCGTTCGAAGGGGCTGGTGGTATATAGCCGCTCGAGCTGGCTTGTGCTGGTTGAGCGGGTGTCTGAGCAGCAGCGGGTGTGTGCATAGGCGCCCTTTCCGCGCCCAAGAGCCTATTATTCAGCTCATCCTGCTCGAGCTGCTCGAGCTCAACATTCAACTCATCCTCATCAACAGGGTCGTGATGCACGGGGTTCGATATCGCGTCAGAGATCTCATTGGTCAAATCCATTTGTTCGCGAATGCTGTCCATCGTGTTGTCCACCTTGTCTATATTGAGATTACCGTGTATTGATTTCAAAGCATCCGAGCCCTTCTTCATAGCGTTGATCGTCTCGAGGTTCATATTGGCAGATTCGAGTGCATTGACTTGCGACTCAAGCGTCAGTCTCGTTCCTGCGATTCTATCCAACTCCCCTTCGAATGCTTTCTTCTGGCGCAAGGCAGCCGTCGCGACTGTTAAAAGCATTCGTCAGCAAGATACGTCGATTGAGATGGGCAATTGACGTACGGCGTTTGTTAGTCGTGGCATTTGACTTGGCCTTCTTTAATTCTTCGTCTATTTTCTTATTCAAGTGCTCCTCCTTCTTGTCGAGCATCAATAGCTGCGATCTCAGCCCCACTATCGCATCTCGAGCACTTCCCCTATTATCCTTCTTGCCTGCAATTTGATTTAATTTGAATCTCCTGCGTATCTCCCTCACATACCAACTATCCATGACATCCACGAGCTCATTTTAGTTTTTTTTGGTTCTTGGTCGTTTATCAAAAGCGTGCGTCCCGCTTCTTATTTCTTATCACTGAGCGACGCGAGGCTGCGACGCGTGCCCAATTAATTTATAATTATACCAGAGATGGATACAAGTAAATGTCATATTGAGGTGTGTCAGCGTGTTCTTAACAAGCACCTCCACATCTCACAACGACGCAGTCCATCACCATCCAAGGCTTCAAAAGCTACAGAGATCAGACAACTGTTACACCCTTCTCCCCAGGACACAACGTTGTTGTTGGCAGGAACGGGTCCGGTAAATCCAACTTCTTCTCTGCTATTCGTTTCGTCTTGTCAGACGCATATACTTCTCTATCCCGCGAAGAGCGACAGGCGCTGCTACACGACGGCACTTCTTCCTCTGCTACCCTCTCAGCTTTTGTCGAGATCGTCTTCGCTAATCCAGACGGTCGCTTCCCTACTGGCAAACCTCATGTGGTATTGCGTAGGACAATCGGTCTGAAGAAAGATGAGTACTCTCTGGATAGAAAGTCTGCTAGTAAAGGTGACGTCGTCAATCTTTTGGAATCTGCAGGTTTCTCTCGCTCCAATCCATACTACATCGTCCCTCAGGGTAGAATATCTTCACTCACAAATGCAAAAGATAGTGAACGTCTTCAACTTCTCAAGGAGGTGGCTGGTACACGTGTCTATGAGTCAAAGAGGACTGAGTCACTCAAAATTATGCAGGAAACCAGTTCAAAACGCGAGAAAATTGTCGAAACTCTCTCTTCTTTGGAAGCAAGATTGCGAGAATTAGATCACGAGAAGGAGGAGTTGAGGGAGTTTCAAGAGAAAGATCGTGAACGTCGTTGCATTGAATACTCCCTTTATCAACAAGAACTTAATTCAGTTCTAGCTGCACTCGACAAACTGAAAAAAGACTACGAATCAGACTTGAGTGAGTCATCGAAACGCACAAATGATCAGCAAGAGAAGGCTCTTGAATTGCAATCACTGGAAACCAAGATAAATGATGTTGAACAAGCGCAAAATCAAGCTTATATTGACAAACAACAGAGTGCCGATGAATTATCCGAGCTGTATAAGATGCACACCCAACTTGAACTTGCTATTGAAGACGCTAAGGAATCCGGTGAAGGGTCGGTGTCTAAACGCGAAGCTCTCACTCGCGATTTAGAATCGCTCAAGCAGAGTATAGACGAACGCGAGAGGGAACTATCCCAAATTACAGCTGATTGGGAGGAGCGTGTAGGAGAGGAATCTGATTTGAAGAGAGCACTTGACGATACTACAGTTCGCATCACTGCTTTATACGCCAAACAAGCCCGCGCTTCTCAATTCAGTAGCAAAGGTGAACGTGATCAATACCTCGCATCTGAAATTGGATCTTTGGAGCGCGCGATACAAACGCGAAAACGAGAAGGGGATGATTTGAATAATGAGCAAAATGCAATCGCACAGCGCATCTCCAACTGCGATGCTCGTATTGATGAAATTATATCGCGTCGCGATCAACGAGATGATGAGATAGACAAAGCAAAGGATGATCTTGTTAGTTCCAAGAGACAGCGTGTAGAATTGCTTGACAATCGTAAAGAATTGTGGAGGGAGGAGTCTAAAATTGAGCAGACACTTCAATGGGAGAGAGAGCAGAAAAACAAAGCAGAGTACATATTCCATCGAACAATGGATAAGGATACCGCGAATGGTCTTAAAGCTGTCCAAGCCATCACAACAAGATTGAAATTAAATGGTGTATTCGGACCGCTGTACACTCTATTCGAAGTACCTGATGAATTCAAAGCAGCTGCTGAAATTACAGCGAATACCTCACTCTTCCATGTTGTTGTCGACAGCGATGCTACTGCTCAACAAATTCTCAATGTCATGGTTAGAGAGCGCCTTGGTAGGATTACATTTATGCCTATAAACCGATTAAAGCCACAGAATTTCGATTATCCAGAATCTGATGATGCATTACCACTTATTGATCAACTCACTTTCAATCAAGATCTCTTATCGGCCTTCAAGCAGGTATTTGGTAGGACTATAGTATGTCCTGATTTGCATGTGGCTGGTAGATACGCGCGCAGCTATGGTCTTAATGCTACGACGATTGATGGTGACGTTGCAGAGAGGAGAGGTACACTTTCTGGTGGTTTCCACGACAGGTCCAAGAGCCGTTTGGATGCAGTTCGCCAGCTCATGGAATGGCTAACGAGGGTGTCAGCATCTGAATATAGATCCACTGAAATCAAACAAAGTATCGTTAGGCTGGATCAAGAGTTGAATGCATTAGCTTCTATTTATACAAGAGCTGAATCTAAGTTAAGTAGCATAAGATCGAGAGACGAGCCGTTAGTCATTGAGTTAGAGAGGTGCGAGCAAGATAAGATTAAATTACTGCATCATGTGAAAGAACTCAAGCAACAAGCAAACGAATTGGAAAATGATGTTGAGGATATGCGAGTAAAAGTTGAAGTTTATAGGGATGAAATGCAACAAGCGATGACAGAGAAACTCTCTGATGAAGAGGAGAAGCGCCTGAAAAGTCAATCACATGAGCAGGTTCATTTGAAGGGAAGCCTTGCTGAGAAGACAGCTCAAACCACTCAAGTTGAAAGCAGGAAGGAACTGCTGGAGGTTGAAATAAACGAGAATTTGAGAAGAAACCGAGCACTGATCGAATTCCGTTTAAGAAAGCTTGATAATTCGCCATCAGAAGATGCTGAAGAGGATGAAGTTTCAAAAGAAGAAGAACTCAAGTTAACAGACAAACGCATTGCCAAACTTCAAAAACAACTGCGTAAGATTGAAGACGATATAAACGGTTATGAGAATGAGACAAAGGAAATTAGGGATAGCATGGATGGTATCCACCAAGAGCAAGAGAGCGAGAGTCGTGCGATTGGCAAGCAAGCCAAGAGTGTTGAAAGATATCATGCAAAGACAAAAACCCTACAGTCGCGTAGAATAGAATTTCAAAGAAATATTCGCGATCTTGGTGTCCTTCCTGAAGAAGCCTTCACGAGGTACACCAATACATCCTCCGATAGATTATTGAAGCAGTTGTCTAAAGTACGCAAAGCCCTGAGTGGTTACTCACACGTAAACAAGAAGGCAGTTGAACAATTCATGACCTTCACCGAGCAAAGAGATGAGCTTATACAGAGGCGTGATGAACAGGATGAGGGTGCTGATAGTATTCAAGAACTCATTCTTCATCTTGATCAGCGTAAAGATGAAGCCATTGAGCGCACATTTAAGCAAGTAAGCAAGTACTTTAGTGAAGTGTTTGAGAAATTGGTACCTGCAGGACACGGCAATCTTATCATGCAGAAACGCATACAGGGTGATAACGTGAGTTTAGAAGTTTGATATAGCATCTCTTAACAAAGCCTAAGGAATCTTCCGACGAGGAAGAAGAAAGAAGCTCAACTGACAATTACACTGGCGTGTCTATCAAAGTGTCGTTTACATCCAAGACGGACGAGGGTGTGAGAATAGCACAGCTTTCTGGTGGTCAGAAAGCAGTTGTTGCACTCGCAACGGTGTTTGCTATACAACGTACAGACCCGGCGCCTTTCTACCTCTTCGATGAGATAGATGCAGCGCTCGATGCACAGTACAGATCATCTGTAGCTTCGATAATCAGCGAGTTGTCACAATCTGCTCAGTTTATCACAACTACTTTCAGACCTGAACAGATTAGTGTTGCAGACAGAGTACGTTGGAGTATATGAGTGAGTTTTGTTGCTAATAATCGTTTACAGTTCTACGGAGTTATGTTCACCAACCAAAAAATATCCACTATCACACCGATTCGAAGAGAAGACGCGCAGGAATTCGTTACGACGGAAGCGACAGGCACTGGTTAGATGGCACTTGTATGTCTTGAAAATGAAAATGTATTAAAAGCCTTGCAGTTGAGACAAAAGCCTTAGTCGCCTAAACCTTATCGCCTAAACCTCTATCCTTCAACTTCCTATGGAGTACTGATTCTATTGGGCAGCTATCAATCTTCTGTTGTGTTTTGTTGTAATGACGTCCACAGCAAATGTATAATTCGTCGATTATCTGTCGGCGATGTAAGTTGTTAAGAGCATTGCCAATGACTCAGGCTCACGTTCTCGCACCTCGATTGCTGATAGTCATTCTTCATAAGGCAGCCTTGCAGCTTGCAAGCTTCGAGCTCGTCAGCGTTGGCGAGGACATGGAGGGAAGCGACGCACCAAGACGATGACAAGCGTCCGGTTTCTATAAAACAGGTTATTTTGTATTCTATTTGGCATAAATTTGTGCGTACATCGCCCATTTTTAAAGGTTATTTTCTTAACTGCAACAGCGAAGAAGATGTCAGGTTAGCCAAGGCGTGTGTAAAATGAATCAAATTAACAAATGCTGCCAGGACATCCAGTCTACGTAGACGAATTGGCAACAGTGGAGCAGCCATCTGGCACGCCTGTCCAGCCATACAAGTCGGTGGTGGAGATACTCACACAGACACCTGATGCTGCCATCTTCACAGTCAAGAAGCCTGAAGAGGGCGAGCCATCTCTTAAACCTCTGTCTCAGCGTACAGAAGCCGACTATGCTCCCATCTCTGGTGCTGCTTTGAAGAAAGCGAAGAAGACAGTTGAAGTTAACGCTAAGAATGCTGCAAAGAAGGCTCAAAACAAGGACAGACTTGACAAGGAGGAGTCTGACAGAGCTCAGAGAGAGCAAAAGCGCATCGAAGAAGCCAAAAAGGTTGTGCTCACATTAGACGACTCACTGCCAAAACCAACAAAGGCAAAGGTTTATCAATTGGAATCAAAACGTGATCAACGTATCAAGATTTCAGGTTGGGTGCACAGACTTAGAGCTCAAAAGGGTATGACTTTCATCATTCTTCGTGACGGTACCGGCTACCTTCAAGTAGTTTTGTCTGGAAAGTGCACAGAGACTTTCGATGCTCTCACACTTTCTATTGAATCATCTATCGAAGTCGTCGGTACACTCAAAGCTGTCAAGGAAGGCCAGTCAGCTCCAGGCAACCATGAATTGGTAGCTGACTTCTGGAAAGTCCTCGGTAAAGCTCCAGCTGGTGATGAAGCATTCACCAACAAAGTCAACAAAGACTCTGACCCTTCAATTCAAGCTGATTTGAGACACTTGATGTTGCGTGGTGAGACTGCTTCAAATGTTATGAAAGCTAGATCTGCAGTACTTAGTGCATTTAGAGACGTCTTTAAGGATATGCGTGTTCTTGAAGTCACCCCTCCATGCATGGTTCAAACTCAAGTCGAGGGTGGTGCAACCTTGTTCAAATTTGATTACTACGGTACACCAGCATTCTTGACACAGTCCTCACAACTTTATTTGGAAACATGTTTGGCTAGTTTAGGTGATGTCTTCTGTGTTCAAGAATCATTCAGAGCTGAGAAGTCACTCACCCGTCGTCATTTGTCTGAGTACACGCACTTGGAAGCTGAATTAGCATTCATCGACTTCTCAGACCTCCTTGACCACATCGAAGAGGCTATCTGTGGTGTTATTGATATTGTTCTCGCTGACCCAGCCATCTCTGCTATTATCAACGAGCTTAACCCAGGCTTCCAAAAACCAAGCCGTCCATTCATGAGATTGGACTACAAAGATGCAATCAAGTGGTTGCGAGACCATAACATTCAAAAGCAGGATGAAGATGCAAACGGTGACAAGATCTTCTTGGCTGACGGCTCACCACAAATGTCAGATCATCAAGTCGGCGATGATATCGCTGAAGCTGCTGAAAGAAAGATGGTTGACACACTCAACGTTCCTGTCTTCCTTACTGGTTTCCCCAAGGACATTAAGGCATTCTATATGAAGAAGGTACCGGGTGATGAGAACTTTACTGAGGCTGTCGATTTGCTTATGCCTAACGTTGGTGAGATTGTTGGTGGATCTATGCGTATCAGCGACTATGATGAGCTTATGGCTGCGTACAAACACGAAGGCATTGATCCTGCTCCTTACTACTGGTGGGTTAAAAGTGATTATTGTTCATCACTTTGCTAATAATTTTTGAAGGTACACTGATCAACGTCGATTCGGAACTCCTAACTCAGGTGGGTTGAGGTGTTTTAAGTGAGATTGAGAATGAAACTGATAAACTTGTAGGAGGTTATGGTCTTGGTTGTGAGAGATTGCTTGCATGGCTGCTCAACAGATTCACTGTTAGAGACTGCAGTCTGTATCCAAGGTATGTATTGTCATTGTCTCTTTTCAAAACTCACGCTCCGTTTCAACAGATACACTGGTCGCTGCACACCTTAAAGCACACCTTTTTGAAAATTATACATTTCTACTATTGCATCATAAGCTACTTTTTGGGTACAATCTCTATCATTCTCATTGGAATACCATGGGTCTTGAGCACATCAATCACAATTCTTATCTTGTCACCTTGAACAATCACCTCTAATTCCTTTGGATTGTTCTGCATTGGACTAGTCGTTGTACTACTGGCGCAAATAACTTTGAGTGAGTTAGCAAGATGATCCATTTTCAACTCGAACTCCTTGAAAGGTCCGCTGAGATGTGTTGTGACTTTTTTGCCTTGACGTTGTTTAATCTGTAGCTTGAAGTGTGCTAGCTGACCCTTGATCACTCTACTACTACCGTCTTGTTGAGTCAATCTGGTGAATGGCTGCATATGCTGAATGATGCGTCCGTTAATTTCTTGACGTGGTATAAAGTCACTGTCGTCGAATGACACTTTGCTCTTCTTGTTTTGATTACTTGGTTTAGCGTATAGCATATTTGCAAAGTCCTCATTGTTCTTCCCAAGGACATACGCATGATCAGCTGGGTGAATGAGGTTGTTTGATTCTATAAAAGAGTTTGCGATGCTTCTGATTTGGCTTGCGGTCAAATAATCATCAGATTTGACGCCTGCGGTAGTGAGCCACTCCCTCACAACCCCTTTAGGAGCCAAGTAGACATCCTCGACAATGTAACCGACATTCTTAGTGTGGTTGTTGGTGCAGGGTTCCTCCTCAAACTGCTTTGTGCGCTTTTCATTCTGCTTCTCGGCAGCTGCTACTGTTTTGTGTCCTCTCCATTGTTTCACTAGTGGGTGTAAGCTATTGATTCGCGTTATGGTGATATTCGATTTATGCTCTTTGAAGGATAGGAGATCTTCCTTCTCCATTGCTTTCAGGAATTTTGTGGCTTTCTTGTAGCTGCTGTTCTTCAGCTCTGTGAGATTGGGATGTATCCTTGAAGAGCGATTGGGGAGGATATGTGCGGAGAGCAAGGTGGAGACTTGCATTGGTAGCTCTGCATTCTGTAACGAGGATGAGATGGCGTGGACGAGAGCGTTTCTAAGCATTTCGTCAACATCTGAAAATGTGTGGTATGTTAGGCTTTATGAAGGCGTGGATTAAGTCAACGCACCAATGGCTGACAGATCAACGTGCTGGAAATCGCGTTCATCTCTTACATCCAGCTGCTCGACTTGAGCTGGCAGACTATCACTTTGATCTGCGTTAGTGTCGACGTCTTGAACATCTTCAATCTCGCTATCGCTGTCGCTATCGAATAGAACATCTTGTCTATGCCCGTCGGGAATTTGCTTTGGCTGTGTACCTACGAGCCACAGCGAATCATTAATAGAGTGGGTGATAAGCACCGCTTTGCCTGTGGCTTCTAGGTTCATTTGGGAAGTTGGCATGGCAGTTCTGCCTACGCAGACAGGTGCTGCATTTGCGCCGTGGTCTGCTACAGCAACCAGAGCGCCTTCTTGGACATGAGGAAGGCTATTGGGGTCATTTTTGAGCGCCACGCCCGGTGCCATGAGATCAGCGCCAGTTGATATCTTATCAATCACGAAAGACCACGTCGTAATCACAGGAAGGAGAGTAGGCTTTTTGAAGAGAGTGTACACTGTGGAGCGAGTTAGTGCGGGCTATCCTAAGAAGTGCGCCCACTCACCACTCGGTATGAACTCGTCTTCTGCCTTCCCAATCGCTATCCATAGTGGATCGTTGCTGGTAGCGCTGTATATAAGCTTGTAAGAGGAGTGAGTGGTGTTTAGGAATCGGAGAAGGTTCCAAACACACCGCATTTTCACCGTTGTAGGTTTTTATGCGCATCACTGAAACTACATCCGGGAGGAGCAGCTTGGCATCGTCGTCACTGAGCTTGTATTGCTCCTGTAGCTTGTTACGCAGCTTCTTGCGGTCCGAGTTCTTCAGCGTCGTCTGAGGTTTGGCAGTGAAAGGTTTTTTGAACATGAGTGAGAGGTTACATCATAATCAATACATAACTTTGCTTACAAAAAGAAGATAAAAAGAATAAAGACGTAAAACACAGCCCAAGACGCGTATTTCACTGGCCAAAACCGTAAAGGACTCTTCCTTGGCGTTTGAGGGCGTAGACGACGTCGAGAGCGGTGACAGTCTTTCTCTTTGCGTGTTCGGTGTAGGTGACGGAGTCTCTGATGACGTTCTCCAAGAAAACCTTGAGGACACCGCGTGTTTCTTCGTAGATGAGACCAGAGATACGCTTCACACCACCACGACGAGCGAGACGACGGATAGCTGGCTTTGTGATACCCTAGAGGATTGTTAGATACGAAAATCCCCAAAAACACTCATTCTCACTTGGATATTATCTCTGAGGATCTTACGGTGACGCTTAGCACCGCCTTTTCCTAAACCTTTGCCGCCTTTTCCTCTGCCTGACATAGTACTTGGGAGTCGTGAAGATAAGCGTGGAGGCAGTGAAGGCGCAACCGAAAGCGGAAATAAAATTGAGTCTATAGGAATATGATATTGCTAGCCTCATTTATAATATCGGGAGGCGGCTGAGTGACGTGGAGAATTGATTATGCTGGGACCACCGTTGAACAGGTACACTCAGTTATATATCAAGTTATATACATAGAACACAAATGATGGATCCTTTCTCACTTGGTGTAAACCTGTCGCCGGTAAGTGTCCTGCTGCGCCTCCCGCGACTCCCCACTTAGTCACACAAAGGTCGTGCTTAAGACACTTGTACGGCATCTAATAAAGAAGCGCAATAACAATACAAACAAATCTGAAACTCCCAGTACACCCAACGACGAGTACGCGTTTGATCAGGTTGGTTGTTATCCCGGTGGCTGCGTCTCAATCTAACACCCGCAGACATTCAAACTTACAAGAGCTTTTCTCGATATCGCGATGAATGTTGGTTGTTTATATTCCATGAACCCCGCTGATTTCAAATCCAGCACCCCGTCGAGGATCTTCAAAGCCTAGGATCGACATATATCCCCCCGCCTTTCTGGGTTCATAACGTTGCTGTCACTGTCCCCATGTCCATTATAAACAACGCCGCTGAGTATCTCATCAAGGCTTTCGGCGGTGAGCAGCCGATGCGCGCCGCCGTTGGCGGTACTAGGTGGTGGCAGGTGAGACCAACTCCTGGATTACCTTCTGAATGGATTTGCAGTGAGTCCATCTGTTGCTTATAGTACTCCTCTCACTCCACTCCACTCAGTGAAAAGCGATGTAAAGCTGGCTACCAGGAACAACAAACCAAATAAACCACGTGAACAACCTAAAGACTCCTTCACTCCTCAATTCTTCAAAGACATTGAAGGCCTCCCACGTACCATTCTCTTTGTTCACGGTGGTGCCTACTATTGGGGCTCCATTAATACCCACCGCTATCTAATTTGGCGCATGGCACGAAAAATGCGAGGTAAGGCATTTGCTGTCAGCTACAGACTTTCTCCTCAATACGGATTCCCTTGCGCACTGCAAGACGTACTTAGCGCCTACCTATACCTTCTCTATCCACCAGAGGGTGCTCCACACAAAGCAGTAGATCCATCCAACCTTATTTTCGCAGGCGATAGTGCAGGAGGTGGTCTATTGCTCTCACTTTTACTAATTATTCGTGATCTCGGCCTGCCCTTACCCGCAGGCTCTATCCATATCTCGCCCTGGTGCGACCTCTCACATTCATTCCCATCAGTACTGAGCAACTATGAAACTGACGTCATACCAAAGTACGGTTTCGTACACAAACCATCCACTCTCTGGCCACCACCTAGCGAAGAGCTTCTTCAAAGAACACGCCAACATATCAAATCGTCAACACAAAGATCCAAATCTCCACTTCGGGGGGTGGGATCAGCTGCATCTCGCAAAGCAGAGGAAGGCAGGATAGAAGAAGATGCGATAAACGAGGCAGCGGGAATGACTAATGAACGCGGACACGAGAAGCTTGAGCCACCTCGCGATGTCCCTACTGTTGATCTAGATGGCAGGACGGTAGAGCTCAAAGGACAGATACAGATGTATGCAACCAATGAGCAAGTAGGACATCCATATGTTTCACCTGTGCTGGCACACTTGGGTGGTTTGTGTCCTTTATTCATCATGGCTAGTGACGGAGAGCTGCTGCGGGATGAGGGTATTTACATCGCTCACAAGGCTGCTCGTCCTGACGACTTTGAGTATAAAGAAGACGCAAAGAGACGTCTACCGAGCATGAACGGAATTGAGGGTAGATTTGGACCTACCAAGGTGCATTTGCAGGTGAGTGTTGGGTGTTTGGTGGTGGTATACTCAGACTTATAACTGACAACTCAACCAAAAATGAACAGGTTTACGACAAAATGTGTCACGATCTGCCCCTGTTTAGCATGGTCACACCTGCTAAATATGCTTATAGGGCTATGGCGGCATTCTGCTTCCAGGTGACGAAAGATACTACAGTTCAACCATCACCTGCATTACAAGGCTCAGATATTCCAAACACTATGTCTGATCTCGAGCTTGATAGTGCTGCTGAATCGCCCTCACCACTTAGGAAACTCGACAGCCCAGCTGAAGCACCATCACCTTCTACGAAACTCGACAGTCCTGCTGACGTACCTTCACCTTCTAGGAAGATCGACAATCCAGCTATAGCACTCTTGCCACCACCACCATCACCAGGTAAACCAAAGAGAAAGTTCTCCTTACTCGGACTGAAAAACAATGAAGGTGCAGGTGCTACATCAATTGACATGGAAAAAGCAGCAACAGTGAGCTCACAAACAGGTACGCCAGCAAGTGATGCAGAGAGACCAATAAAGTCAGGACCAGGAACAGCTGGGAACATGGCTGTTTACGATGAATCAATGGCATTCAAAGAGAGAAATATGATCAGAGAAAGAGTATCGCTCGTTGGACAAATCAGACCAATGGAATCATCTGAGAATATGGATATTCTACGCATGCCCGCTGATGAAGTGGGAGTATTTAAACCAGCCGCAGTTAAAAGATATTTAGAAGGAAAAAACAAATGGATGCATAAATTCAAACATACCGCCAAGAATGTCGAAAGGCAGCGCGAGAAAAGCCTGAAAGAATCGAATATACATGCAGAGAAGAAGATTAAAGATAGTGACAATATATTCGACACACCGCAAGTGACATGGCGGTGGCAGTGGGCGTTGGAGAATGAGAGACCACCACCTGCAAGTATTGTAGCAAGAAGAGATACGCAAGAAGCACGCAAACTGGTACAAATAGTAGATAACGCTGATAGTAAGCAAAATAGCAGAACATTAAGTCTATGGACGCTAGTAATGCACTTGATGAGTCCACAAAAGAGCAAAGCTAGCACGAATGACGACGGGGATGATGTCGCGCCTTGGACGAAAGACATTGAGAAACTCAAAAGAAAAGATGGCAAGAAAGATGAGGGACAGACAGTATCAGAGAGTGATTCGCCTGAAGAGGAGGAAATCAATATCGATAAACGGAAAGAGCAGTGGCTGAAAAATCACGTCAAAGATGAGTAGTTAAGTGTACTTGTAGCTTTTGTGTATTTTATCAAAGGATTTCAGAATAACTTGGCTGTCTAAGATTCCTTTAGCTGGCTTTGGCTGTCAGATGATACATTAGACAAAAGAAGTGGGAAATGGATTGTAGAGAGTGTTTGTACTGCTAATCAGCACCTAATCACCAAAACAAATCGAACAAAAAGATTAATTTGTAAAAATATTGCATTTCTAGGCCTTTCATATCTACCATCACGAATGGCTTCAACTTCGCAAACGTAGGCGACAGGAGATATCGAATACAGCGCACAAAGCTCACCCAAAAACCAGTGCAGAATCTGAATGGAAGAATCAATTAAGAGTGCCGCAAAAAGATTTACGTCCACAAACTGAAGTGAGCAGCCAATCAGAGAGATATATTCGTTGGCTGACAAAAGCACAACAAGGATGTCACAAAAACGAAGGGAGGTGAATGGGAGGATTTTGGATTAAGGAGGGAGCTGCTTATGGGTATATTTGAAGCCGGTGTGAGTCGACTCGGTTCACAATGAGCTGCATTTCTCACGATGAAATTTAAAGTTTGAAAAGCCATCACCAATTCAAGAAGAAGCGATTCCATCTGCTATTGCAGGCAGGGATATTTTAGCAAGGGCTAAGAATGGTACAGGTAAAACTGCATCATTCGTTATTCCAAGTTTAGAGAAAATCAACGTACAGAAACCAAAGATACAAGCTTTGCTCTTGGTTCCAACTAGAGAATTGGCTTTACAAACTTCCCAGGTTTGCAAATCACTCGGTAAACATTTAGGTATACAGGTTATGGTCACAACAGGTGGTACAACGTTAAGGGATGATATTATGAGATTATCAGACCCAGTTCATATTCTAGTTGGTACTCCTGGTAGAATATTGGATTTGGCTGGTAAAGGCGTTGCAAATCTCAATGAATGTCCAACATTCGTTATGGACGAAGCAGATAAACTTTTATCTCCAGAGTTCACACCAGTTATGGAACAGTTGCTATCACACCTTCCTTCTTCTAGACAAGTTATGCTCTTCTCTGCAACCTTCCCACTAATTGTGAAGGACTTTAAAGAGAAGCATATGAAAGACCCACATGAAATCAATCTTATGGATGAATTGACACTCAGAGGTATCACTCAGTATTACGCTTTCGTCGATGAAAGGCAGAAAGTTCACTGCTTGAATACACTCTTTTCAAAATTACAAATCAATCAATCAATTATATTTTGTAATTCAACTAATAGAGTTGAATTACTTGCAAAGAAAGTTACAGAGCTTGGCTACTCTTGCTTCTTTTCTCATGCAAAAATGTTACAAAGTCATAGAAACAGAGTTTTCCATGATTTCAGATCAGGTGTTTGTCGTAATTTAGTTTGCTCAGATTTACTGACAAGAGGTATCGATATTCAAGCTGTCAACGTTGTCATAAACTTTGATTTCCCTAAAAACAGTGAAACGTATTTACACAGAATTGGTAGATCTGGTCGTTACGGTCATTTGGGTTTGGCTATCAATTTAATCACTTATGAGGATAGATTTAACTTATACAAGATTGAACAGGAATTGGGTACTGAGATTCAACCAATTCCTTCACAAATTGATAGATCGTTATACGTTGCACCAAACGCTAGTGATGACGATGGTCAAATTCAGCAATCTCAACAACAACAAAAGGGTTTACCTACTTTACCACCAACTCAACAAGTCATGAACGCTTATTCACAACCACCACCTCAACCAACATTCAATCAATCGAATCAAAATCACCAGTATCAACAACGTAGTAATCGTGGTGGATACAATAGTGGATATTATGGAGGATCTGGTTTTCGTGGCAGAGGTGGTGGACCACCACGTGGAGGAGTTCCTAGAGCTTAGAACTTTCATTTTACAGTTAATCAGTTTATCTTTCCTTTATCTTTTCCTTATGTGAAATAGTTTACTCTTTCATTTCCTCCTCATTTCTTACGTTTCAATTCACTTTATTGCTTATACTACTTGAAGCACTCAAATCGTAGTATAATCGATGGCTCACTACTTGACAAATATTATTGCCATTTCCTCAAATCCACAATTCCTCAGTGTTGAATTAGTTTCTACCTTAAACTAAACACTAAATTAAGCACTTAACCAACCATCAAACCTTGAATAAATCTAAGAAGCTTAAACGCAAAGAGTACATTATTAAGACGTTCAACTTTCCACCTCACCTCATTCCATTTACAAGCCGTCAGGACGGGATACTTTACACTTTCACAGAATATTCTGAATTATCGTTAAGTTTAGATATCCTCAATAACTTAGGTGATGTGTTCAACAGACATCATGCGCATATCCAACACACCTCTACCTACACTCTGTAAACGACTAACAAACTAACAAAAGGCCTTCCGTATACACACAATCAGCCGAGAAAAGTTTTTTTTTGTTCAATTTGATTTTGTAAGTTAAATGCACAAATCACATTGAAATAATGCGTTATGCTGGAAGTATTGGGGAATTATCAATATAATATCAAGTATACAATGAGAAGTAACTGAAGTGACTGTGAACTTGTTAGAAAATCGTATGTACTGTGTTATAAGACAACTAATACAGCTGATACGTGATCAGACGTTTAAGATATATTATCAGCATAGAGACGGTTCAAGTGAACCAAGTCAGAAAGCCATGCATATGAATCTTAATCATCATCTTGTATAGCTAGTAGCAATTACTTATAATCTATACTCACCTAGAGCTAATTGTCAGTGTATTCAATTATGATGAGACCATGGCAAGACAGAGAATCAGTCTATCATTTAAGGACAGCAGTCCATCCACATAAGCCATGGAAAGGCGTTGGATAATACATGCGTTTAAAGCATCATTTTGACACGCTGCCACAGCCTCTCAAGTAATTCTACTCACAACGTAGTGGTTCAGGTTGAAGAGTTGAGGAATAAAATTTGGAAATCTCATTTAAATAATAAAAAACATAAATTTATTACATCATTTGATTTTAATCACAATACTTGTTTCAAGAGGTAATTCTGCTTACTTGATGACTTTGTACTTTAGCTATTTGATTGAGTTATTTGGAGTTATACCTTAAAATTGAACTTGAGTTGGGGAAAAAGAACTACAGCATTTGAATTGAACCGCTTAGTCTGCTTTGTTTTGAGTGTAATCCTATTCAATACCATCATCAGACACCGAGAAAACCAACTTAAAACAAACTAACCTCCATCTCAGCGTCCAAGTCTTCAGCTGATTTGGCAACTCTCTTCTCTTGCTTTGGCTGATCGCTGCGCTTTTTGGTTGGTTTCCTAGTGAAACCGTGTTAATTGATCTGCTCCAACGACTGCCGGTATAATTGGATTTATTAAAGAATTGAACATTAATGACAACCCCAACGTATCCAAATATAACAGTGCAACAACGTGAAAGACGAAACTCACTTGATAGCCTTCTTGGTCTTTGGCTTAACAGTGGTGACTGCCTCAGCAGGCTTTGGAGCTAATCTTTGAATTAATCCGCTCTTATCTGATGATTCAACGACTATTTCAATCTTGATTGGTCTGTCTGTTGATTTTATATTGAAGAAAAAGCGCTCGTCAGTCATTTTGTTCTAAATCAATGCAAGCACACATTATTTAGATAGTGTGGGGTGTGTTTTTCCCAGCAATGCATTGTAGACTCTAGCTGACTAACTGAAGCTTGAATCCCTTTCAACTAAGCTACTCAAAGTGGGCGTGATTAGGGTCATTGGCGAAGTATCAAATGGGTTTGTCTCAACTGCCTATCCAATTGAGCTGACTGTCAGCCAATACCTGTCGCGCGTGATACTGAAGATCAAGTCGGTTAGCTAGACATTTGCGAGCTGAGTGTGGGATGATTCCGTCACTATACGCGTCACTCTGAGTCGCGTCGCGTCGCTCCAACCAGTCTAAGCGTCAGCGAGTCTGCTCAGTATGAGCTTATGACGAGTAATGCTAGAAACATGCTCAGTCATTGCAAGTATCGTACATACTCACACAACTATCTAAATAATGTGTACTATGAAAAGGTAAGACTAACTGTTGTCAATGACGCGACCATTAAACTCCTTAAAAGCCTTGTTGCCATCACCTTTTCTCTTAAATCTAACTTGACCAAAGCCCTTCGAGGTTCCTCTTTGGTCGTAGCTGATGCTGCACTCAGCTACTGGTCCCACAGTTTCAGTCATCAATTCCTAAAGCGGTGTGAGTAACAAATATAAGTTATTGAATCTTGCTCACCTTAAGCGCGTGGTCATTAACGTCTGGTGGGAGGTTGGAGATGATGATCTTCTTAGCCTCCTCATTGAGTGCAGCACCATCCTTGGTCCTTGGAATGACACGATCAGCAACAGGCTTAGCGCCTTGAGCCATACGCTTCGATTCACCCTGTTTAGCGCCGCTGAGACGCTTGCGCTGAGTGGTTTTGCGATGGCTTTTGCGTTCTTGACGCTTAGCCTTAATAACGTCTTCGAGTGGCTGGTCAATGTTCATAGAGGACTTGGTGGAGTGAGAATTGAGTGAGAAATTTAATTTAATTTGCTCACCATATTTATTGATAAATCGTGGTGGTTGTGGATCAAGATGTAAATTTATTTTAAATTTAATCTTTAACGCGAACGACAATGATTGCGATGAACGAAAATCTATTTGAAATGGCTAAATTTGATAAACTTGAATTATTACGGGAGATAGACGATGCTGAATATCTCGACTCCCTGCACGATTCAAGTTGAGATGCAGCACTCTTGTGTTGCGCGCTGACGCTGACGGATATTCTCATGATAGATATCTCGCTAAGATTGCAAAAAATCTGCTTGCTGTTTAATTGCTGGTTAAATACTCGTAAGAAGTTTGAAACAGCGAGATTTCATCAGGAGATAAACGACGGCATCAAGGATATTGAGCTTGAGCATCTTAAGCAGGGTGATACAAATACTAATATATATTTATAATTACAACTAACTCTTAACTCCCTTTTCAGAGCGCGAGATGAACAGACTAGCCATCTTTGCCAGTCAAATCGAATCCGCTACAAACAGCGATTAATTTGTTTACGCAAATAAATGATGTGGCGCCGATGGCACTGTCTTTTGCTCCCTAGACTGTGTCGTTGAAATATCCGCAAGTAATGATCCTCCCTTGCCTTTACGCTTACCACGCCTCATCACTCCTCGTCTAGTAAACGAAAGTCCTTTGAATCTATAATGCTGTATTTATTCGTTAGTTGATGTATTTCCAACTTTATTATCCCTTCTCACCTTCTTGTTCATATAGTAAAACAACACGCAATCTTGTACCGTTTTTCCAGGGATTTTTTCGGCTATCTCCGCGAATGATTTGGGTGTATCGACGTATGCTTTTAAGAAAACCTCCTTTTCCTCCTCACTCCAGGCTAGTGATTCGTAACTACGCTCATAATACCTTGTTGGGTCAAATATCCGCGCATTAGCGTCATTGTATGAGCAAGCCCATCTATCAATTGAAGTGACTTCTTGATTGGGTATATTAGCTTGAGTTCTGACTGCTCTGATCTTTGGATCTCTCTTGTTCACTGTTTGTAGTCTTTGCAACATCTGATTCAAAAATTTTTCATTCTCCATTTCCTCCATATCGTTTTCATTGACGAGATGCATTGGCTCAGCATCTTGTGTCGCTTTCTCTATTATCGAACTTGAATCTGTTGCTTCCATGTCGGTGGATTCAACCGGTGGTGTTGCTTCTGCAACTACATGTTGAGGTACAGCCGAAACAGGCTTACGGGACATATTTGCATTACGTCTATTTGTTAATTCAACATGCTCAACAGCTTCACCTCTTCTAGAACGCTTCTTCATTATATGCTGTTGTTCTGCCTTTACTTTTACACCTCTCTCACAACTAGCTTCCCAATCAACTTGTAATGCTGCGTAATCATCGTTCAATCCCTCAATCTTTTGACTTCTGGCCTGATTTCTAAATATCATATACTCTCTCACCTTATCCTTGATTTGATCGTGCTGTTGCAAGACTTGAGATGTAAGCGAGTGAAACGTTTCAAGATTACTATCTGTGTACTGTAATTCAAGCATTTCAACTGGCCTATCATTGACTTGCTCATTATTGAATTCCAAAGTCGGGTCTGGTGGATCGAATGATATCCCCTTGAGCTGCCTATCTTTCACCGTGTAGTTGACGAGTTGATCCAGATCATATAAAGGTGTTCCATCCGGTGCATCGGCTTCTACTCGTGCGCTTTGCCTCAATCCTGACACTGTGTGTGGATTTAACAGCGTCGGGTTTCGCATCATGATCGTCTTGTCTGAAGTTGCAATCGACGAGCAGGATTGGTACAATTGAAAAATGAAAATTATATTTCGTGTTCGTAGCATAGTGTCCGGTAAGAAATGGTATTGACACACGCCATCTACCCCGTAATCTAATTACCGTGGGGCTAGACGGTAATGGCATGGAGACAAACTTGGAATTAAATAGGTATGGGGGTTTTTTGGCAGTGGCGGTTTAGCTATTAGCTATTTAAACTGCTTTTAATCCCCTTGTAGAGGAGAGGGAAAAATTTAACCCAAGTGTGAAACGAGCAATTAAGAAAGGAGGATGTAAGAAACGATAGCCAGATTGATCATAACAAGCGATAGATCATCTAAGAAAGCTTATATTACGTGTTATTTATCTACAATGCCAAAGTACGCCAAATGTATATTTATCCCTGCACAAGGATAACAAACATGTTTCAAACATCAATGAAAGCAGCACTGAATTACTTCAGTTGATATATGTTACTTGCTAGGATTGGCCGTGTGGCAGCCAATCACATAAGCATGTAGAGAGAGGAGAGAGTGAGGTTGAAGCGAGTGTATTTATAGTTCCGCGTTTATTCTAAACTCTACTAGCGTCTAATATCTCTATTCCCCCTCAGACATAAATTTCGGTAGCAAACCAGGCCAGTTGAAAAGTGTGCAGACTTTGAATATAGTGATGGTACAAAAATTAGCTAACTTGTAATCCACTTAAACGCAATATCGGTCTTTTCGAGCGGTTGGACTCCGCATCGCTCCTCTCAACTCCTTGCTAATTACCATCATCACCAATGGCTTTAAAAAGAATCAATAAGGAATTGCTCGATCTCGGCAGAGATGTAGGTGGACTGAAGGATCGATTCAACCACGCTAACACGGAATACAGCCACCATCAAGCTGCTCTGCTGGTCCAACTGGCGATAATATGTTCAGGTGCGTTATTTTATTCGGGCTTACAGGACATGCAATTTACGTATTTTAGCTGGCAAGCAACAATAATGGGTCCAGTGAGTATGGATTACCAGGAGGATCTTTTTATTTCTTTGACTCTCCTCCTTTCTCATTTCATGACTGACAGCCGAAAAGTCACAAAGTCCATATGATGGCGGTGTGTTCTTCTTGAATATCACTTTCCCTACAGATTACCCATTCAAGCCACCAAAAGTTTCATTCCAAACTAAGATTGTGAGCTAATGATGGATTTATGAGGGGGTGTACCTTTCTAATCACGCCTCAAAGTACCATCCAAACATCAACTCGAATGGTTCAATCTGTCTTGACATTCTCAAGGATCAGGTGGGTATCCGCTGTAATTGAGGTCGTTGATGGCTGATGGAATATTCTCGAAATAGTGGTCACCAGCCTTGACGTGAGTCGATAGCGTTTTGTGTGTTTTTGCGGTATAGCTGACTTTTTAATCAGTATTTCTAAAGTTCTTCTCTCAATCTGTTCAATGTTAACCGATCCGAACGCGGATGATCCACTTTCACCTGAGATTGCTCACGTGCGTTTAATTTTATATCTCTTGATAGTCATTCTAACACTTTAAACAGCTCTACAAGACTGACAGGTTGGGCTTTTGATGTGTTGTATATGTCTCCCACTAACACAGCCCAACAGACAGCGCTACGAAACGACAGCTAAAGAATGGACACGTAAGTACGCGATGTAAGGTCGAAAAGGTTTAGCAAGTGGCTATATTTCATAAAGATAATCTTAAGCATTCTTCTCCCATCCATACACACTCTTATAAACTGATTGCTTATTTGACTTTTTCATCGTGAGGTGATGTGTGTGTGGAGTTTGTGTGAGCGTGTCGTTTAAAATCCCACTTAGGGTGCACTTAAATCAATTTTGTACCGACTAAAGCCATGCCTTCAAGGCTTCACGCCTTCACGCGTCCACTTGTACACTTACAGCCAAAGTCAATACGCGAAATCTAAATAAATCAAAAACATCTTCTTGTTTAACGTGGTTATGACAGTGAGCTTGCTAGCACGTGAATATCTGTTTATTCGCTGACGAAATCAAGTGGGAATTTCAGGTCTAATCCCAACACTCAAGGATGCCTCAAAGCCCAAGCATATCTCAGAATACAAAGGTCAGACTTTGGCTATAGACGCTTATGTTCTGTTACATCGTGGCGCGTTCAGCTGTCCAGCTGAAATTGTCAAAGCTGGTCTAATTACCGATATCAATCAGCGTAATCTTGAATTATCAAAGTTATCAACCAAATTTCTCAATTATTCCATTTTCCAGATAAAAGCAATGATTGCTATCAAGGTTAAACCCTACGTTGTCTTTGATGGTGGTCCACTTGGTGCTAAACTCTACACTGAATCCAGCAGGGACAAGTGAGTGGGGCAAGTACTTTGAAGCACCTCTTCTGACACTATGAAAGCTCTCGTGCAAAGAACCTCGATATTGCACTCAGGTTAGAGGCTCAGGGTAAAAAAACACAAGCTAGACAAGCGTTTAGCAAATGTGTAGATATTACGCCTCGTATGGCATACGAGTTAATTAAAGTGTGTCAGCCTTTTTCCCCTTCTCTCAATTAACCCACGACCTAAGGTGCTTCGTTCATTGAGAGTCGACTATGTTGTGGCTCCTTATGAAGCAGATGCGCAAATGTATCACCTAGAGAGAATCAGCTTAGTAGATGGAATCATTACGGAGGATTCTGATTTGCTCGTTTTTGGTGCCAGAAAAGTTGGTTTTCTACCTCGCTTATTTTCCTTCATCTCAAAGTCACTTCTCAGGTCATCTTCAAGCTCAAGCAGGACGGCAGCTGTGACGAGATTTCTAGAGATAGATTTGGCTTGGTTCGTCTCGATGGTATCCCGCTTTGTTCAGGACAATGGACGGATGTCCACTTCCGTCGTATGGCCATGTTGAGTGGATGTGATTATCGTTAGTTGTTGCTCATCCTCTCTAATGCAATCATGCTCACGCAATACAGTCAAAAGTCTACCAGGTGTAGGATTAAAGAAGGCTTTTGATGCCGTTAGACGCGGCGGTGAAACTTTTGATATGTTGACACTCTACTTTCATCATCATTATGAAAATAAAGGAAAGAAGATACCCACTGACTACTGGTATAAGTTCAGGCTTGCAGATCTTGCCTTCATGCATCAAAGAATTTGGTGTCCGATTGAACGGAAAATCAAGCCACTAAATCCACTCCCTGTTGACTTTGCTCATAATGAAGAAATTAATGATTGGATTGGTTGTGATATGCCTGATGAAGTTGCTGAAGCTATTGCAAATGGCAACTTATGTCCAATCACCAATGAAGAGTTTGCAAATGAAGCCATTGCAACAAGACCTAAAGCTATGACAGCTAGAAATACAATCAACGATAAAGTAGCACCTCAGAAATCATTATTTGATTTTTTTAACAAGAGTAGGTAGATATCATCAATAAGCGATCTCAATTGATTTGATAGAACCGACAGGTACCGGTAACAATAGTGGAAGAAAGTCGTTTGCGGGGGTCATTAGTGAGCGTAAAACTCCAAAGCACAATACATCAGCAGGTAGTAACCATACGAAACAAAATCAGAAGGAAAATGTCTCCTCACCCTACTTTAGTGCCATAGCTAGCACATCTCAGCCAATAAAGAGGAAGTCTAATAAAGTAGAGATCCCACGCACTTTGAAACATGTATCGCCTGAACAACCACAACCAACCAACAACATCAGCTTCAGTTCGCCAACAGCAGCGTCTGATGAGCTGATATCATCTCCTGTCTCAGTTGACGTTTGTAAGGACGAAAAAAAAATATCGATTGAGGATGAGGAGGAAGAGGTCTTTGAGGAGTTTGATACGCCATCAAGAAAGGAAAACATCAAGAAGGCTAAATTATCAATAGAAGCAACTCCAAGCCCAACTCAAAGACTGAAGCAACAGATCGAAATGAATGACAATATCAAGACTGGAGATGATTGTCTTGATTCAGATGATGATTGTCAAATAATAACAGATAGCTCAATGAGGTCGAATGATACAATCACCAAAAGTTGGTGGGAGAGATTCTCATATAAAACTACGCAATCACAATCAACTACAACTTCAACATCGATACCTTCTTCCCCACCAGCTGAAGAAAGAACACAATCAACACCATTCTCATCATTTTCTGTTGATTCTCAACCTGAAAATGCTCCAGTTAAGTCAAAGTCGTCAATCAAGTTACTCAACTTTGCATACACTCGTCAATGAATTATATTATATTTAAGCATAAGGACAATTGTATCACATTATACGTTAAATTACTCAGCACTGTTTTGATTTTGACGTCATTATGTCTCTTTGAATTGAATTTTAAATTATATGGGCCGTTGAACTGCTGCTATTTTAATGAAGCTGTGACCTTTTTAAATTTCTGTAATTTAAGTTGTTATACTGTGTGCACTCCTTTACTACCAACAGAGTATTGTGTGCGCCTGGTCTTCATCCGAAGCGTTTCTCCCGGTAGCCGTATTTCTTCACAGAAGTCGAACAGAGGCATAAACTAGTGTATATCTGTGTATTATCTACATTCTGCATTCATGCTTGTTCTCCTTTCTTCCTTGAATTCTCTTGTAGAACTTCCTAGAGTTTTGTAGCTTCGTCAAAGATTTTAACCTCGCGTAATATAAAAGGTGAGCTCGTTTGTCCCGCTTTAATTGATACATTAAAATTTTCACCCATCCCGGAACCCATCTTAAGAGTTTCGCTGAATTAGGTTTACGCTTCACTACCAACAACCATGATAAACAAATTAAACTCAATATTTACGATCGTTATACTTCTAGCGCTCTGTCCAGCATCCATGTGCTTCGGCTCTGGTGATATTTCCGAAATATCCGGTCTAGAGGTAAGGTTCAGTTTGTTTGACATTGGTTCAGAATGCTAAAACAGAGCGTAGGACCGCGCCTACAGACATGGAGATATCGATAATACGCTACTTGAATTGCTTTTTACCGTAGGCTCAAGCAGCGTGATCAAATCATTCCTCAAGAAAGCTTTCACTGGTTCATCTGGGAAAAAGTTTGACGTAAAGAATGTCAAAAGAGTCTACTTTGGTAACTGGACAAGGGACCTCAGTCAAGCAATGGACGTATCTACCTTGACCAAGTTCAGTCCATCTACAATCACCTCCATTGTTGCGGTCCTTGGCTTTCTTTCGTTCGGCTATGGCTCAAGAGAATTTGAAGTAAATGAGGAAATCTTGGGATGCTACAGACCTGAAGAGCATATTGACAATCCAAAGAACTACGCAGATGCACCAGAAGGCTCTCCAAGAGAGATAACCGGCTATGATAAATTGCGTGGCGGGCTCGTTGACGGTGAATTAGACTTTGACGAAAGGACAGGAATGAAAAACTACATAGCTAATGAAGACGGTGATTGGGACACTAGTTCAGAATATATCCGCAAAAATCTAATCGAATCCATCGAGCTCGGCAGAGAGGCGAGAAACGGTGGTACTGATGAGCAAATGTGGCATGCTTTGTATTTGCTTGGCAGAGCACTTCATTGCGTCGAAGACTGGCCAGCACATTCAAACACAATCGAAGTCACCCTGCAATCACTGGGCTACTCAGATGTTTTCACTCACGTCGGAAGCAATGTAAGGGTTGAAGCACCCGACGGAAGAATGGTATCGCCAATCGTCACAGGAACATTTGGAGGTGCAGACTTCCTCCATTCCCTCCTTGGTGAGGCTACCGACAAGCTAAGCAGTCAAGGAATAGGTGATTTGAGTACGACTCTGTCTCAAAACAGGGAAAGCAATAACTCAGACCGGTTCAGAAAACTATTAGCTATGCTGCTCAAGTCCAAAGATAAGGGGGAAGCTGATAATGACGATGAGGAAGGCCACCCTAGTGCTGATGACACAGTCAACAAACTGGATGACATCAGTCGTCACACGCATGAGGACTCTATTGATGAGAGTGAAGTTCGCGATATAATTAGGCAACTAATTAACATTCACGACGATATTGCAAGAACCATTGATGCAGTTATCGAGAAAGTACCCTTCATAAGCGATATACTGGATGAGGCTTCTAATACACTGCAAGTTTTTATATTTTCCACTTTAGAACCTGTTCTCTCGCCTATTTTAAAGGATTTAAAGGACGTGATGTTCGAAGCCTCAGCTTGCGTAGTCGATGACGACTCTCAGCGTGAGGTCTTTGATGATCCCGACGCAAGCGACCCAACTCACTCGATGCTTGCAAAGGACCACTTTGGAAACGTACTTAACGCGCCTGCTGGTAGACTGGCGAAGTTGATGATCACCCACATTGTCAATGCTGTAGTTAAGGATGGCTGGGATGGGGAAGCGTAAGTGTCGCTGCAATTTTCACACCAGTGCTGACGCGCTATGCATAGGGACCCTAGCTCAATCGCCGATGAAGCTCTTCAAGCTCTCCATCATCCAGATTTTCAAAATGGTTCTGCTATTCAGGAAGATATGATGCAATTCGTCAAAGATTGGATTGAGTCTCAAGGAGAAGAAAAAGATGAAGTCCTGCGTAGATTGGAGAGAGACAGCGTTCTCGAACATCGCAATACAACTGATGGACTAAGTGGTGGGTCAATGAACCCAACTGATCAGGAGAAATACGGCAAATACTATGGTGCCAGTCAGGGTCTTCAAGGTCTTGCTGCGTCTGGGGCCCTGGATGGACTTCCTGGAGGCGAGCAGCTGAGTGAAGGTCTTACCGCCTTGCAACTTGGTGGTGGTGACACGAATGAGTCTGTCGAACGCTCAAGATACGGCAGTAACAACCCAGCTCAGTACCGATCAAGCCACGAGGATAGTGGTGAGTATGCTAACGAGAGCTATGGCTCTGGCTTCAACTCAGGAAATGAATATCGTTCTGGAAACCATTATCAATATACTGGCTATGGAGGTCAGCAATCTCCTTACGGTGGTGGCGGATTACAGCCTAACTACGGCAACAGCGGCTACGGTGGTCCACAAGCTTATGGTAACCCTGCTTACCCGGCATACCCAAACCAGCAATATGGCTACGGTTATACTGGTCAAGAGTACGGTAATGCGTACGGACAAGATTCAAACTATTACACTCAATAATACCTGCTGAATTGACAAATATATCTTGATGACGTCTACGATTTACTTTCTTCGACAGATGAATGATTTGCTTTTACAATTCTCCTTATCAGTGTTGTCATATTGCACTTTAATGTCGGCTTTAAAGGCTATATAAAGCCAGTATCATCTCACATCCGACTGGTCGACGTCATAGCTGTGATAAGGTGGTATGATGAAAGTGATTGTCATAATAGCACGTTGCTTTCTAACCGAATTTGACCATCTTAACTTTACATCTTTGCTCTAATCTTCCCAAAATATCATCACTTATACCTCTTATGGCATTATCTTTGAAGGAGATCGTTGCTGAAAAAACGAGTCTTGCCAAAGAAGCCATGGAGGCTAATCAAACGCTGGGCGATAAGCCAGCTTCGGCAAACTTGGAGAGATCTACGCTGTAAACAGACTCATCTCGGGAAGGCTCTGGAGATACGATGCCACCGCCTGATAAAAGTTTATTATCTCTTCTTCAGCAGCAAAAACAAGTGATGGCATCCAATAGCAATAAATACGATGCTAATAGTATGACCGGGACATCTATTCATCCCCGCTCTAGATTTTATAACAACTATAGGCAGTAATTGCAGGGCTACAACCAGTCGAATAACATTTATCAATCGACAGAAGAAAGTCAATTTGACGCATACATTCAGCAGTTGCCATGTTTCGTAGCACCAGAGAATTATGTTAAGGCGAAATGGGAACAGACCCTGTCTATATCAAAAATTTGCGCACTTTATTTATTGAAGAAATCAGCTAAAAGTTTGCACAATCTTCCAGCCCAGAAATGAGAGAGACGGAAGTCAACAGTGATTTCACCGCTCCGGCAACTAGCACCGCGAGACCAAGTCTTATATACCAGAGTCCAAATTACTATACACTGTGGAAGACAACTACTCAAGCTCTTTGTGGACAGCTTGACATGAAGTCAAGTGTTGAAGAATTGCTGCAGGGCGTGAACCTCAAACCATCGGCCTCTGAGGAGGTATACTTTACCCAGATTGAAGGTGATATGTGTAATGACAAGGACAATAAGATGAGCACAGACGAGATGACTAAGTCTGAAATTGTTCCTGACGCGGAAGCGCAAGATGAAGACAAACAAATGGAAAAAATTAAAGTTGACTCAGGTGAAAATCAAGCTGCAAAGAAGAACCAAATGATAGTAGCGACTCTGAGAAAACATTAAGGGACAATAAACACTTTTAAGACCAGTCAAGTGAGGATGTGAAGCCTGACGTGAAGCCTTGCAGTACAGAACTCGAACAAGAACACAGCAAAGAAGCAGAAAACATACTGAGATCACTACGCATTCTTATTTTTACTCAACATCCACCTAACGAGAAGACAACAATGAAATGCTTTGGAAATTTTGAGAACTGGTCCGTTTCTTTAACCACTCAACAACTTATTTAACATTAGAACAGTATCGCAATCAACAGCTTTTCTAAAAATAAAGAGATATTCCACATTACTAACGCGCTGGTAATTATGGGAACATTAGCTGATATTTATGGATCATTTGGTCAGATTGGCATTAGCTTGCTCACTACAGTTGTATTTGATGACGTGAGTCTTATTTGAGCAAGCACCGGATTTACTGACAAAACCAGCTCGTCAATAATGACGAATGGCAAGAAACACTCTCAGCTGTCGCACGCAGAATAGAAGAAAAATAATCAACCTCAATACAAGTTATTGTTTGCTCTAGCTTTTTTTTTTCACTCGAATTGGTACAAGATATGGTTTCGGAAGTACCATTAACGGTACTTGGATAAATCAAACCAATGGTCCTTAGAGGTGTTGACGATTTTCTTTTCGAAAGACACTTAGCTCCTGACGATAATATTGAAAAAGACTTGGCGGAATTATCTGAAACATCACCATTCATAGTGTACTGCGCTTTTGACAAGCACGCTGAGAAACAATATGAAAAAATCAAGCCATTGCAGAGTTCATCCTGCCTGGTGAAAAAGCACATACTGGAAGATACTCAGCTTATTGAGGAGTTTAATCGTGGCGAGAAGAAGATACTGATAACTACGTCGATAATGTCAAGATCCAAGGCAGTGGAAGAATCACCGCTAGTCATCGTTCAATCGGCTCCGCATAACCTGGAACAGTATTCGAATATCGTTGGGAGGCCAATATTCTCTAATCACAAAGTCAAATGCATCATAGTTTCTAGTTCAGAAAAGGAGACAAACATTATAAAGACTTACAGGCAGAATTTTCAACTATTACTGAGCATTCCGAATGATTGCAAGTATCTTTACTAAGTCACCATCTCTCGATAACACTCAATATTATGAAATTATATCACTATTCACCTCTGACTAGTCACGCAAATTGTAATTGCAGGAGCATACTTATGAAGTTCATGAATGTCAAAGAAAATTATCAAATTTATTCAGCCTTGACTTTAATGGCTGCTGTTGGAGAGAAGTTGTGTGGGCGAGCAGAGAAACCAATCTCGAGAGAACGGCCACCATAGATGTAACCGTTGAACTTTTCGATTGCCACACTAGCGGCGGCAGTTGAGTAGAATTCAACGAGACCAACACCACGACTACGTTGAGTGCGAACATCCATCAAGATCTCAGCCGTCTTGACGTCACCAGTAGTTTCAAACAAGTCGACTAAATCTTCGTTTGTTGTTGAGTATGGCAAGTTTTTGGTAACAATTTGAGGGTTTGGAGCGGCAGCAGCAGGTACAGGACCAGGACCAGCAGGTGCTCTTCTGGCAGCTTGATATGGAGTTCTTGCTGGTCTTGGTGAGTTTGCAAACTTGTCCTCACGGACTTCTATTGGTCTACCGTAGAATTCGTAGTTGTGGTACAACTCGATTGCGTTTTGTGCGTCTTCTCTTGAAGAGAAAGAAACGATACCGTTACCCTTTGACTTTCCATCAGGGAAGAATTGAACATCGGCTCTAACTACGTGACCAGCTTGTCTGAAGAGGTCTTTGAGGTCTTGCCAGCCAACTTGGAAAGGCAACTGGAAAGGTGTGAGGGGAGATTCAGGGGAGGAAAAGCCGGAGCTAAAGCCATAAGACTCACGTTACCGATGAACAATTGAGTACCTGGAGCTGCAACTTGGGCAGGACCAGCACCATAAGCACCACGGGTGAATTGCTGGGTACGTGAAGGGGTTGGGTTAGCACCGAATCTAGCCTCTTGTTCTCTGTCCTATAAGGTGTGAGGCTAACTGAGGTATATTCACGTGTGGCTTACCTCTCTAACGAAGACTGGTCTACCAAGAAGATCTCTGTCTGAGTAAGACTCGATTGCGATTTGAGCTGATTCTGGGGAAGTGAATTCAACGATACTGAGAATTGTGAGCGAGGGTGAGAGCGGATAAAGACTCAAAACTCACCCGCAACCCTTTGAAAGACCATTTGGAGTGATCAGTACCTCAGCGTATGCTACTTCAAGGGATTCTATGGGGTTTGTGAGCACGCAGTCCATCCAACAGCCAGCACCAACGACTCACGTCCCTCTGCGTTGTCTTCAAAGAACGCCTTCAAGTCCTCGTCCTTGACATCGTAGCTGAGATTTCCAACGTAGACTCTGTTCTCCCTCTTTGAGAATTCTGCCATCACACCTAAAATTTCGAAGTTGTGGTCAGAGAGGATAGCAGCGCGAATTATGATTTATAAAAAAATAAGTTTAGAAGGGATGTTTTAGTGGCGTGATTAGATGCTCTAGCGGGGCTGTAGATTCATATTCCATTTGGACCTGTTCCCCAGGCTTAACTCATCTCCCCAACCACCAACAACAAATGTTGTACGCTGAGCGAGATGACTTTAAAGATTTAATTCCAATTCCCCAAGATGAAGGCCCTTCTCCATTGGCTCCGATTAACTATTCCCAGAAGTGTAACCCTCGTGCGTTCCGTCGTTGTCATACCGCTCACGATTTCTTCAGATAGAGATGCGATGGATATGTTTCGAGCGGTTGTCGACATCAACGAGAAGTCTGAGAGAGCCCTCGGCCTGACGGAAGATATCATTCGCATGAACGCTGGCCACTACACAGTCTGGTCGGTACTCTTCTTTGTTATCTGTGCGAGACTGAACAACGTTTCATAGGCATTACAGGACAACTATCTTAGTAGAATTAGGCTTGGATCTTCAATCTGAGCTCAAGTTGATGGACGAGCTGTCTACAGAGTTCCTCAAATCATACCAAGTCTGGCACCACAGGAGGCTCTGTGTTGGTTTGCTCGCAACTACCACCTCCCCATTCGCCGACAAAAACTGTCCAGCTGCAGTTACAATCTCATCCACCCCACAAACCTCCTCACCACCCCCACCCTTACCGTCTTCTATCGATCTGGCTAGATATGAGCTACAATTTATTGCTAACCTATTTCACGCTACCGAAGATCCCAAAAATTATCATACATGGGTTTACAGGCAGTGGATATTGACGTACTTTGATAAGCTATTTCAAGACCAAGATCGTCATCATGAATTGGAATTCATTGAGTCACTCATAAACGACGACATCTACAACAACTCAGTCTGGTCGCATCGTTTCTTCTGTCTCTTCAAGCTGGGTTGGTTGCACACCTCACTAGAAGCTGAAATCGAGTGAGCAGACAGACATCAAAGCTTTTTTAATTACTCACCAAACAACTCCAGGTATGTTTTGATCAAGATCGGTATAGCGCCAAGCAACATGTCGAGCTGGAATTATCTCCGCGGCATTCTCAAGGTGAACAGAAAAGGGTTGAACCAACAACGTGTATTGCAATTCTCGGAAACGCTCGTCAAAGCGAAAAGCGCGTCGGACGACATGAATCCTCCATTACCTGCTTTAGAGTGGCTGGCAGATGCTGCACTGGAAGACAAAAACCCTATTGCCACAAAACACTACCTAACCTTGAAAGATTTGGACCCCATTCGCAGACACTACTGGACTTGGAAATCCCATCTAGCTTTGTCTGCCTAGACTGACACATACCCTTTAAATGTATATTCATCTGTATATTCTTTAAATGGAGCTTGCGCATCATCCTAAAACGACAAATTATCGAGACACAAACTTCAGACATACTATTACTGAAAACAATTCAAATTACATAGGATTTTAAAAAACCTAAAGAATAACGAAATATCTAATGATAAAAGCAAAGACACCTATTTATTTTGACGACAATTTCCCAAAGTAAAGACATCTAACGTTATCCCTCGGGTCATCCTCTTCAAACTCGTCAATGATTCCAAGATTGGCGTGAAGATAATGTATATTGCCCCAACCATCAACCATGCTAGGCCGATACTTACCCAAGCCTTAAATCCCGCTCTTGGCAAGATGTAGCCTGTGCCATAGAGTGCGAAAGTTACTGTGAATATCATAACTGTAACCCAGAGAAGCGAAGAAAACGCAGCCAGCTTTATCGATCGTGTCAAATATTCAATGTCAGCTGAACTGAGATTCCCTTGACTAGTATTGTGTGAGTCTAGATCGCTAAGCTCAGGTGTGGCTTCCTCTACATCCTTGAAGGATTTCTCATCTGCTTGAAGAGTTTCGACGACAACTTCTTGTTCTGGGGGTGCAACATGTGCTTCTGACTCTTTCACTGCCTTCCTGCCAGTGTCTTTAGTCTTTTCAAAGTCATGATTATCAGGGGAAATCAGGGATCCAACGACTGAAATAATTATAGAAAGCCCGAATGATACTGTGTTCCCTGCAAGCATCGGGAAGTCCTCTATCGATAATTTTGTTAGCCGTCTTTAATCAAATTACGCAGCGACGTACGTCCGGTTGTTGTCTTATCGACAACGCCATTATTTAGCTTATATGCCGTGACTATCCATGCAATAATACCGAGAGGAAGTGAGATGAGAGTTGCACCTATGCAAGCAACTTTATTGGCTTTACTCCACATAATGCAGCAAATCAAAGGAGCAACGGCAGGACATAGAATAATGCCCATCAGCTCATACAGCCACCCCATTCCGATACCGATATAGTAAAATATAATTCCAAGCACGGCCTGGCAGATACCAAAACCAGCAACGCTAGCGTGTGAGACGAATAATGTCTGCTTATCAGTTGCGTTCGGCTTTACTCTATTGAAGACATCGTAAGTTACAAGTGTCGAGACTGCGACTAGCTCAGCGGAGGCTGCGGCAAAGAAGGTGAGATGAAGGCAGCTTTGTGAATATTTTCACTCACATGCCGCTGTGGATGCAAGGAAGAGCATGATTAATACTGCATTCGCACCCGAATTTCCCATCAATGCTGATGCAGCTGCTGATGCAGGTAGGCCAGCAGTCACTTCTGCCGATGACAAAGAAGAAATCGCATCCGAGTTCTTGAGTGCCGCGCCAGCTAAACCGAGACATGTTGCCAAAGCAAATGGAATGGGATACCAACACATACTGCCTATAACAAATGATTTCGTGATTGAACGCGGTTGTGATGCCACTGCTCTGTTGACATATGCTTGATCTAAGTACACTGTGCCGAAGTTACCGCATAGGTTGATGAAAAAAAACGTGATGCCTCCTAATGAGCGAAACGTCAGGTACGAACCATCCGCATTACCTTCGACAGGATGACGTGAAGCCTGATCGACCAGCATATCGTAAAGACGATCAAGCGAGCCAACTTCAGGAGCTGATGTGTAGGTGTAGAAGCAAAAGCCTATAATGACGCCGTAGAGGACGATGGTGTGTAGGTAATCTGCAATAAGTGATGCCTTTAGACCCCCAATCATGATGTAGATAGAAACACTCAGTGGTGTAAGCCATACTGCCGCCATGACAGGAACATTTGTGAGACTATGGAGAGTATCGGAAATACCGACAATAAGCATCGCACTGACTATCAAATTGCAGGAAAGCGCGAAGCTGAGAAACACATAGTGGCCTATCTTGCCCCATCGTGCACCTGCTATTTCGACGAAACTATGCGCGTAAGGCCATCGTATTCTCATACTACTTGCCAAGACTGAGAAGACTAAAATTTGCAAGCAGGCACCTAAGCAAACTGTTTAAGTGGGTTCTTGCGTATATGCCAGCATTTCTCACCAGTTGCGTAGCTGTAAGAGCCTAGCAATCCGTAGGAGTAAGTTTTAGAAGTTGACGTACTATGCTTTGTTTAATGACTGAGGACACTATTCGAATGGAAACTCACAGCAAAGTAGCACTCCAGCACCATGCAGAGACAACTCCGCTTGAGATTAAACCGGTAGGCACAGATCTACTGGCAGAGTTGAACTCTTCAGCCGTTTGGACCTTGTTCCCATAGCGCCTCTGTAATGCGTTTATAATAAGCATCAACGCACTAAATCCTGCAAGGCGTCAGGATAAGACGTAGATATAAGTCATACTTACCAAAGCCTAGAATTAGCAAGACACAATAGCCATTGAGTTGTGGTAATGGCGGCTCCATGTTTGATCAGTTGGGAGTATATTCGCAACAGTGTAAGATTGCACTAGCATTCTCGTCCCAAATCTTTATCGACATTATCGTATTATCTTATCACCATGAAGCCTTATCTCGGAAGGTGCGTAGCCGAAGATAAGTGTATAATTTCAGATTGGCTTTTGATTTAGATATGGATATTGCGTTTGAGACTTAATTTATTTTGCATATCTAATCTAATGTTTCAAACGAAATTAAGCTGTGATTTAGAATGAGAAGGAATAGTGAGTAGTTTAGTGTCGAAATTGTAAAGAGAATAGGAAATAATGAAATACAGACGCTCAAATGTACCCACACATCTCGCATGTCTAACCTTTCAATTCGATAAGAAAGCGATATATGAAATATAAAACGCAGACAAGTGATTTATGTTGATGTTAACACCCTGCTAGCACCTGATTTTGTATTTCACCGGGAACGACAATAGCGTCGATGCATGCTTGTATTCTAGCATTCGGCTAGCATTCGGCCGTAATTAACGTCTACTGCTTGCTTAGTTCCTTATTCTCAGCTGCATAGACAGACTTCATTAAAATTTGGACACCTTCCTCCATCCAAGTATCTGGTTCTCGTTAACTTCGAGGTTTATTTAAGATGAGTAGCCATAAGGAGAAGGGCAATCAGTTATTTAAAGGTAAGCTTTCTTAATTCCCAAAATATCGCTCACGATTCATAGATAAGGATTTTGTGAAGGCGATAGAGGAATGGTTGTTGGTAGAACCGCCAACCGAGCAGGTCTACAACAACATCGCTACAGCCAAGTTTAAGCTCGAGGAATTTGGGCTTGCCGAAGAATTCAGCACAAAGGCTTTATCGCTCAACAGCAAGTTCGTCAAGGCTCTTTATCGCAGAGCTATGGCACACGTAGCCGTATTACACTTCAAGCCTGCTATTGCTGATCTCAAGGCTGTAATCGCCATTGAGCCTTCAAACAAGGTCGCCAGCCATCACCTAGCTGAGATTTCCAAGATCCATCGCAAAATACAATTCGAACAGGCCATCGCTACTGAAGACGAGAAGAAAGCCTCAGATACAATTAGAGAGATGATTGACAACGGCGGCTTGGAGATTCCTTCAGATTACGATGGCCCTACCCTCGACTCCTCCAATCTCATCGATTCACTCATTGAGCACTTCAAGAGTGGTAAAACGTTGCACAAGCGTGTTCTTTTTGAGTTGGTGCTCAAGACAATGGATATATTCAGCCAAGAGGAGTCTCTGGTAGATGTCTCCATCCCAGAAGGCGTCAACATGAACGTTATCGGTGACACACACGGCCAGTTCTTCGATTTGATTCATCTCCTCGGATTGACGGGCAAGCCATCTGAAACAAATTACTTGCTTTTCAACGGAGACTTTGTTGACAGGGGCAGCTGGTCTACAGAAGTCATCATTCTGCTCCTTGCGATGAAATACCTGAATCCAAAGTCCGTTTACTTGAACCGTGGAAACCATGAGACACGTCAAATGACACAGGTGTACGGATTTGAAGGAGAATGCAAACACAAGTACCCTACTGACCTCACTTACAAATCTTTTGCTCAACTCTTCACATATCTGCCGATTGCCCATCTTATCTCATCAACCAAGAAACCAGAGACAACGTTAAGTAAATCTGACATACTCACGAAGGATGGTTTCAAGAGATTCTTTGTCGTTCATGGTGGTTTATTTTCCAAGGACGATGTGACGCTTGAAGATATCCGCAAAATCAAACGCAATAGAGAACCAGGCCAGGAAGGTTTAATGTGCGAAGCGCTGTGGACAGACCCACAAGAGGCCGACGGACGGGGGCCATCTAAGCGAGGAGTGGGCGTAGGATTTGGTGGTGATGTAACAAAGCGTTGGTGTGAGTTGAACGAGGTTTGTGCTGTCATTCGCTCCCACGAGGTTAGACAAGATGGATACTCATGTGAGCATGACGGCAGACTAGCGACAGTGTTCAGTGCACCAAACTACTGCGATACAAGTGGGAACAAGGGAGCGTGGATGAAAATCGACGCATCTGGAGATATCAAGACTACACAATTTGCTGCAGTTGAGCATCCACCTATCAAGCCAATGGCTTACTCGAGCGGGATGGCCAGTATGATGGGATGAAGTTGGAGTAGGACAAAATACATTCTTGAGAAAGCTGCATGTTTAAAAATTAATAATTTGTGATTTATAAAAGATAGATAAAATGCATTTAACCGTAGCTTTACAGTGGGATTAGCATAACAAGACATCGGAATCAATCTGAAACGATTTGAAACAGTATGTCACTGTGTCACCGCCCTTAACATGAATCTTATGTACTCGTCTCCTATCATTCCTAAGCGTGCCAGTCTCTGTTCACGAGTAACTATCACTACCAAAACTCAAAGCACGAAATGAGGGCGTACTTGGCGCCAATAATATACCTTGCAATTATACCAATAATAAGAGCATTTCCGAAGATAGATTATGACTCCCTGGGAACTGCATCGATTTTTGGCTCATTTGCTGCAATCGACGACATTTCAAACTCTTTCAAATCTGCACAAAGCTATGATAATAACTCTTACACCCTTTTGTCCCGGCCCAGCAATGCTTCCGAGTGGTCTTCTCTCGGCTCTACCAACGAGTACGCGCATATCAACTCAGCGTGTACGATCAATGACTTGACATTCGTCGGTGGTGATTTTGATTCAATAAATGGTCAGCAGTTCACAAAATTCGCGGTTTACTCACCTCATAATGGCTGGAAACCTTTGGGTAGCGTGCAGGGCGTGATCAATGCACTTTACTGCGATGCTTCAAATTCACAAGTTTGGGTTGGTGGTGCATTCGACGCAGTGGATGATAATATGGGGGCGAATATAGTCGTTTGGAATGTACGCGAAGAGCATTGGCAACCCTCTGCTGTGTATGGTTTGAATGGCGCCGTGAATGCCTTTTCGGTCTCGGATGATCAACTGTTTATCACGGGTAATTTCACATCCACATTCAATCAACCAGATGTCAAGCAATATCCAGAAGCATTGGATAGAATAGTTAATGCACTCCAACCAGTACCTTTCGATGACGCTGACGTTACTGGTTCAAAGGGTTCAGATAACCCAGCATACGCCGATATCAAGAATCTCGCGTGTGTTGGCGGTAATTCTTTTGACACCCCTGATGGAACGAGTGGTGTCATGTACATAGAGTGGTTCGATTCACACAATGTGGCCGGATTCCGTATCGCGAATACAGTTGACGAGGGTCATGCATTGACTGGCTTTGTGTGAGTTATGCTGCATCTATAATTACCAATTCCTGACGAGAAATAAAGCATAACCACCATACCAGAAAAGCAAGTCATTCCATTAACTTACAATCCTGTTCACGCACCTGGAACGAACATGACTTGCGAAAATGAATGCCCGATAGCTCTCTCAGATGAGAGAGAATTCAACGACTATATCATACCTGGTGGCTCGCGCAGACTTGGCGGGTTCGCTATCAACATGATAGACTGGACCGGTGCTGGTCCAGGCTTGCGCTCGGTTGAAGTACTTGGGGCTGGCAGCGATGCCTACGCCATTAGTGAATTCAATGAGTTGCAAGAGGGCTGCTACTCTAATGGAAATTCCTCCAACGTTACAACTGTCGGTAATTGGAATTCTGTCAATCCATCTTCAGAATCGTCAAACAAGGTTCTTTCAGCGTCGATTCAAGACGTCGATCAAATTCCTTCTCTTACATTCAGACCGTACGTCGGCGAGCGTGGTCTCTACGAAATATACATATCAATTCCAGGTTGCGCTGGTCTCGATGATTGTGAAAGTAGAAGCGCCGTTGATGTCGGAATGCAGTTGACTGAAAGAGGTCATTATATCAATGACACAATCACTGAGATCGATAACAGTGACTTTTCCTGGCCGATCTTCAGGGGAATGGTCGACGGTTCATCAAACACCTTCGCGCCCAACATTACCATTAAACCAATAATGGCCGAAGAGGGCAAGACTATTGCTGTGCAGAAGGTATCATTGCATCTGCTCGAGATCCTTCCAAATGAGATGGCGATCGGAGGTCTGGCGTACAACTTAACCTCAGGGAACACTTTGGATGCTAGTGCTGATCGCGAAATTTCAGATCAGAACTATCTAGATAGAGCTCTGGTTTCTTTGTCAGACGCTATCGGTATTCAATTCAAAGAGGGTGAACAAGATCTTAACTATATCAAGGCAATCGCTAGCACAGATTCGAATATATTCATTGGAGGTAATTTCGTCGGTTTTAATGATACAATGAACAACATTACAAACATTGCCCATTTCAACGACAGGTTGCACTCTCTCCCGGGCGGCGGAGTCAACGGCAATGTCAACAAGTTAACCGTCGTAGATGATCAAGTGTATATTGCAGGTAACTTTACGCAAGCTGGCTCAACTCAATGTCAAAACATTGTTATGTACGACCATCGCCATAAGAGATTTGAGAAACTTGGTCAGGGTGTCGATGGTGAGGTTTATGATATGACCTACTCCCCAGACTCAAACAGGCTGTACCTAGCTGGCAATTTCACGAACGCTCTCATAGACGAGAGTGCCAGTGTAACAGTAGGAGGGCTAGTTTCATGGGATCTGAAAGACAAGTCATGGAGAAATGACAACGGCGTTGTGTTTTCAGAGCTGGTTAAAGGAGTTGCAGTTCATGACAAAGATTTACTGGTGTATGGTACAGTGGACAGAGTAGCGAAATTTTCTGCCAATGGTGCAGCTAAAATATCCTCGAATGGGTTGAGTAGTGTAAGTGCTACCAATTCACTCGGAAGCACAAAAACATCGTCGAGCAAGTCGTCAAGAAAGCGAGCAGCTCCTCATTTGCCTTCAGCCTCATCTGTTGCGCCCGCAATTAATGCGGGTAGCTACTACGAGAATTCTACGAGTTTATACACAATCTTGGGCGGTAATTTCACTTTCAATGATGGTCATTCGGGTGCGGTTGCTTTAATTGACCAAGACAGCAATATGCATGCATTAGGTGATGGTGGTGTTTCTGGTGATGTTCGTGCTATGATGGTTGTTGGTAATAAGTTATTCCTAGGTGGGCAGCTCAGAGCTGGCAACTCTACCGACGTGGCCATATATGACCTGAAGAAAGGTGCCTTCGTCGACGTTGGAAATGGCTTGGAAGGTACAACATCTAGTTTCGCTTACAATCAAATCTATAATAGTGCCATTGTTTCAGGTGACTTCAATGCTGTGTCTGGAAATCAAGACTGCTCGAATATCTGTCAATGGGATATAGGTGATGGTCATTGGAACAGCCTTGGAAAAGGCGTGAGAGGGTTTATTTCTGACGTAGACGTTGCTGGTGTGAGTGTTAAGTGTCGTGCATTGTAATTACGACTAACACAACTCCTAGGATGACGACCAATACGCCGTCGCAGTTGGCGAGTTTGCAATTGACAAGGAAGGCGACCTTATCTACATTGCAACATACGACTACGAGGACAAAAACTGGTCGAGATTGGGCGATGGTAATTTACCTGGCATACCCACAACAGTCAAAACCGATGACAGGAATATTGACAACGTCTTTATTGCTGGCAGGCGCACAGACAGCAATCAGACGTACATCTACAACTACGACGGTGATACTTTTAGTGATATCTCTAATGATATGTTTCAAGGGACTGGCAGAATACATGGGTTGGAATTCCTCCCAGTGCAGGAGGTGGATGAACAGGAGCAGAAGGAGCGTGAAGAAACGATAATGGAGAATGACAGAATATTATATGTGACTGGTGACATTGACTTGCGCGGCGTTGGTCGTGTGTCATCAGTGATGTATGATGGATTGAATTGGCATCCTCATCTCCAAACATTCGGCTCAGATGGTAGTGCAGGATCTCTAGCATCTATTATGTCCTCCTCTGACTTTTCATTTTCTTCAAGAGGTGAGTAGACAAGAGGTTAATTGGACTACTTACCTAACTAGAATACAGACTTGCTGGCACTCGGTATAATTATCCTCATTTCTATTGCGTTGGGATTGGGTGTTGTCTTATTGATAGCACTGATTGCGATACTGATATCTTTGTGGGAACGTCGTGGAGAATCACGTCCAATTCTGTTGGAGAATGACGAGAAAGATGAGCAGGTACGGCCATCGTCGTTGCTGGCGAATATAAACCAAGCTACTACCAACATAGCTCGAGGCTCGACGACGAACGCACAAACACTTGCACCAACGCCAATTATTAAGCTCAACGATCAAGACACAGGGAAAGGAAAGACAGAAGAGGTGGGTGAGATGGATGACAGTTTCAATAGGTCATATTCCACGGGTGCATCGACGTCAGATAATCCGCCTCAAATATCTCCAGCCGATCTCAATAATGGTGTAGGGTATAGGTGTTATTCGAGGTATGACTTTGCTGGTGATCGCCAGGGTGAAATACCTTTGATTGTCGGTCAGCAAGTGCAGGTTCTCAATGATAGCGATCAGGACTGGTTCTTTGTTCGCGACCCTGCATCTACTCATGAAGGTGTCGTGCCCTCTTCGTATCTTTTCTAGTTATGGTAGTTATTAGCAGTTGAATTATTTATTATTCCTTATTGTACATAGCAATTTAATTAATCTCGAATATCTGTTGGTGTTATATTAAAGGGTGTATGAGAGAAGCAAATGAATGACTCACGTTATCCGAGTCAGACCATGTGTCTTGGTTTTCGGACACCTTGACTCGCTTCTCAAAATAAATGGGCTCTCCGGTAGTCTCACTCGTGATTGGAATCCAGTCATCACCAATGTTCTTAAACCACTTGACTCTGGAATGAGCGTAAGATTTGTCACGACTGCGACGATCTCTTTGTGCTTGCTCGAGGTAATTCTTATACTCTTCAGCTATATCAGCATTGCCTTGCTCCAAAGCTCGCTGATCAGGTCTGCGTCGAGAATCTGTAGGCGGGAGAATATTCTCGTTTACCATTTCATTCAATCCAACAGCATATCTGGAGAAACCGTAGTAATCTTGACAGTCGGGAGGGAATTGGTTGATAGATTCCCACAGCTGCTGGAATCTGTCCGTTGAGTGTCCGTGGTCGTCGACTAGCTGACGAACAAAATTTTGCGACCATCTGCCATTCAGTCTGCACAGACGGGTGTGACTGCTATCTTCTATGGAACCCTCCACATAGCCTCGTGACGATTCACCGCCAAAGAAACTACCCTCTTTGAACGCAATGGTGGATGATTCGCCCGTGGTCTCGTTCTTTATATCTAAATCACCCGTGTGTTCGAGATATGGGGAGGACATGACTAGGTTGCGAATAAATGAGCTGGGCTTGCGCCTGGAGGAGGAGTGTGTGTTAGTGTGTGTTGGTGGAGTAATAAAAGCGCCACCCACCATGTGTAAATATCGCCGGTAGATTTGATGGTCAATTTGGCATTACCAATGGGGATAATTTCCATACTCTTGCCCCAGAACCTGAAATGTGTTAACTTAATCACACTGTTACAACGAAATAAACTCACTTCTGTTTGACACCCGACGTTGCCACGTACGTCCAATCTTCACCCTGTGCATAAGCAGCCACTAAAGGCGGATGATGGGTAACCTTCTCACTGAAGAAAGCAAATTGGGGGGTGATGAGCTCGTATGTCTCACCAAGGAGAGGATTGAAAGGTTTCCTAGTCGATCTGTATTGCGTGCACGAGTAGCTCGAGACGCAGAAAGCGGCAATACAGGCCATACGCTCGACACTACTCTTGGCTTTGATGGCCTTGTCGATGAGTTCTACGTACTCAAAATCCTCAGCTACCTTCTGCAGTAGGGAGAGGGGCTCGTTAAAGCTCACTGGGAAGGAGATGGTGGTGAGGTCTTTGCCAACGTTTTTCTTCAAGACACCAAGCAGACCAATTTCCTGTGATTATCGTGCGATTGTGAGTTGGTGTCATGTCTTCAAATTTAAGACAACTCACATCACCAGAGATCGGAGCAGGTAGTTGCTGCCGCCGTGAGAGCTGCATGGGGCCATATTTGGAGGTGACTTCACCCGACACTTCTTCTTTATGGTACGTGCCCTCTTTATCCACCTCATCGTCGTCATCTTGAACATCAACGTTGTCATTATCGTTGTCATTATCGTTGTCATTATCGTTGTCATTATCATTGCCGTCATCATCGTCATCGCCGTCGTCGCACTCGTATGCCTCACCAAAGGTGTCGTGGGCGTCATAGAACTCAAAGTCATTGATAGAGGAAGTGCGTGAAGGGGCGTAGCGCGAGGGTGCGGGAGGGTTGTTGGAAGACTTTCGATTGTTACTGTCGTAATGCATCGAATATATCTCCTGCTGTAGTCTTCTTAATTCGGCAGTAGAATCGAGCATCCGTTCAAAGAAAGCATCGTAAGCTCTGGGGCTGTATGGGGAGTGTGTAGAGTCGGAAAAATCTTCATTTGATGAATTGAGCTTAGGTGATTTGTGGAATATGTTTAGTAGACCACCTTGAGTGTGTGTGTGTGTGGTTTCGCGTGAACTTGATTGGTTATGACAATTCTTTAAATTCTCTAGGTCAAATTCGAGGAGGTCGATAAGTTTAAGGGATTTGTTCATGTTATCAGTTGGGGTACTAGTATTCTCAGCCACAGTTTGGAGTGCAGGATTAGTTGTATCGAGGAATAAACCCAATGTCTTCATCCAGGTTAAGTACTCCTCACCTGAATTGAATTTTATATGCCAAGTCGATGTACCGCCGTCAATGGTCACAGTGCGTCGATTGCTGTGAGATAACCAGACGCTGGAACGGAGGTTAACGTGATCTCTAACTGTGTCTGTATTTGTGACTGCGTAGTTGAGAATCCCAGAGGACTACAAAATGATCAACGCGTATCCATTAATACTGTCATTTGGCTTACGTAGAGTCTGAAATAACGCCTAGCGAATCCCTGCATTTTCTTCTGTTTCTTCTTGAGTAAATATCCCTCGATCATTACTCTACCTGTGTTATTATCGTGTATCGACATCCTCTGATGAGAAGGACGTGAAGGTCGTGATATTGACATTATGGACGTGTCGAATAAAGGAGAAAATCGGTAAAAATAAATTAAATTCTGAAATACAAACTACATTCTAAGTCTCTGAGCTGCATCCACGGCATCCTGTGGTGTTGTTAGCTATAACCATCTCCACGGCTTTTACACACCACAATGCACACACTCAAAAGTCTGTCCATCCTTGAGGTGAGCCTTTGGTACTCTACAGATACACGTAGATCCTTCATAGTTCATGTCTCTGCTCTGTATACACCGCGTACAGCACAGCTTCTCGTATCCCTGTTTCTTCCATTTGGCTATCAAATTGGCGTCTGCATAGCCCTGCTTCACCAGCCAATCGTAAAGTTCCTTGGATATTTGCTTACGTTTGTAGTACAAGTCGAATATATCTGTGGGATGTTAATTGGTGCCACTCTTACTACTAAATACCCCACATCTTGATCTCGTATGCGATATTCTCATTACAGGCCACAGTGTCTCGTTCTTACGCTTCCCATCCACTGTTTCTGCCTCCACGTCGCGCATCTTACGAGTATAATCTGGAGTGAGAGGCGCATGAGATGTGTTTATATCGCAAGACACTCTGCCGCACCCTCTAATATCTGCTCAATAGCTTCAAATCCTTCTGGTGGCTGCTTTGTGCGCTGTGTCCTTATCTTTGGCATTGTGGTGGTGAATGTGGGTGTATAACATGTGATTAATAAAGATATTTACAATATTCGCTGTGTATTCTTAACTCGTTCAATAATACCCTTTATCCCCTACGAGCAGCTCGATTTGGTGTCCACTCCTGCGTCTTCCCTGTCCCTGGAGCGAATTCACCCGCCTGTTTCCTCAAACGACCCTCTTCTTGCTGCCTTTGATGCATTTCATTAGGATCGAATCCATGTCTGCGTTCTTCCACATGCTCCATTGTTTCCTCGGGTGTTCTTCCTGCCTCTTGCGTTTCGATAGCTGGTTCGAATGCCTCTAGCGGGTTTTGGTTGTAATGTTGCTGTGCCTTGATGTGCTCGTGTTGCTCGTGTTCGTGTTGCATATCTACCTCTGCAGTGCCACTCTCCGGCGCAGGCACAGCGCCTCTACTCTTCGCGAAAGCTGCATCGATACGCGCTGCATTCTGCTGTGTGCGCTGTATCCTGAGCAAATCCGATTCCAACTCCTAGGTAATATTCAATATCAACTCACGTAATCACCACTATCCACCCCCACTCACCTCGATCGACGGCGGAGAGAGACGCGTGTGCCTGAGCCACGCCTGCCACTGCGCTGGCATATTCTTGCCGACCAGAGCCCAATCGACCTGGCGCGGATACCTGACTGAGCGCTTCGGACGTTCTTTGTAGTCTGTTGTGGGTGGGTGCTCGAAATACTTGTTGCCTGAGATTAGACATTAGATTGGGGTAATTCACCCTGCTGTATAGTCCCACCCTCTAAATCGTATCCCACGAAATACCTGTCACTCTATCCCGCATCAGAATAGCCACTACACAGCCACAGCCACCCACTGGCTTTGGTATTTTGCTCCATAAGAAGCTGAATATTCCGCTGCGTGCTGGTGATTTAAGCATGACTGACGGTGATCGTGGTAATCCTTCTTGATCAAACACCATGATAAGGGGTGTGAAAATTAGGTGGTCTGGGCACAGCAAACTCAGCACACTCAGCACATTCAGAACTCTCTCCACATCCACCACACACCTCCAAAGCCAGCTGCCGAATCCCAACGCCGAAAAGGAAGCCAAGAAAGAAGCCTATCGGCACGACCTCGATGAGCAAGTGAGGCGACAAGAGGAAGCTGCGAGCAAAGCGCAAGACAGTCAACCCACACTTGCTTACCTCCCTCGAGCATTAGGGGTAGTAGACAAGCCCTTATCCAGCGCGAGTGCGACTGAGCAGAGCTGGACACAGCGCAGCAGAAGCTATTTCTCTGAAACTAAATTAGAGGAGCGGAGGAGGTTATTGTTGAAAGAGTCGCGCAATGCTTATTATACGGATCTCAAACTCATTCAGCAGCACGGCGGGAAAACGTGGATGGCACCACCCTCCCTCATCCAGCAGCAACGTGCACTCTTTTTCCCCGATATCAAAGGTACCCTTTTGAGAGACGGAAAGAGTACAAGACATACTAGCGACCTTCTCCCAGGCAAAATATCCCTCGTCGCTATCATGAGCACACGTATCGCCCAGGAACACGCCAAGTCTTGGTCTGAACCTTTCCTCAAGGCGTTTGCAAACACCCCCGCTTTTCAGTATTTACAGGTAAGTGCGATATCGCGTATATCTCACACAAACTAACACAATATCCTCAGATCAACTCTCAAAGCAACCCTCTCAAAAGCTGGCTTGTCACACTTTCACTCAACAACCTCCGTCGTATGGTACCCACCCAGCTGCAGGATACTTACCTTGTCAGCTCTCAGTCACTTGAGACCGAAAGGGAATATCTCGCTTTCGATAACCAGTACGCAGCTTATGTTTATCTAGTCGATCAGCAAGGTAAAATTCGCTGGGCAGGTGCTGCTTTTGCCCAGCAGAGGGAGATTGATGCTGGGATCAAGTGTGCAAGTGAGTTATTACAGCGGCTGCATGGGGAGTAAATGATGCATGCATTTTATAGATTTGTTTTGTCTAGTTTGGTGGTTATGCTCTGTGTGTGTGTGTTTTCGTTGTCCTTTTCCTCTTTATAGTTATGACTGTTGTCACCGCTGTAATTTTCACTCTCACTGTCCTCCTCACTCCCACTGCCACTCTCTTCTTCACTTTCCTCACTCTCTTCCTCGCTCCCGCTCTCTTCAATCCAGTTCTGGTGGTTGGGGTTCGCCTGGAGCAGATCATCCTCCTCATCATCCTTCTGTCTGGCTTGCTGATATTCACGCTGTTCGTCTGCCATGATATGCTCCTGCTCTGCGACAATCTCCTCGCTGCTAGCGCAACCCTTGTATCTCTCCAGCAAACCTTTGTTAACTTTGAGGAAAGAGTGACCCCAACTAAATTTCGATAGCAGTGTTTCCGCACACATATCGAAACCGGTGAGGAAGAAAGTAGCAGCGAGGGCCTCAACGCAATTAAGTCTCCACGGCTTACCGTAATTGACAGGATTAGTAGCGATGAGATAAGGGAGGAGGCGTTCATGCGGGCTCTTTATCCTGCCCCACGGAATCTCGTCGAGTCTAGCCCACGAGCACTCCACGACAGCGGCTCCACTAGCGGCAACGATATCTTTGTCTGCGGGGCTGACGGTGAGGGAACCTTTGGGTCTGGAGCGTGTAAGAAGACGGTGTGACTTGCACTAGGACACCCACGATAGCACCACTCCTCTAAACCGCTGGCCTACTTTCATATCCTTGATGAGCCCCTGCCGAGACAGCTTCTTGCCGGAACAGCGACGTGGATCGCAGTGGTTGAAATCCCACATCGCTACAGGTACACCGAGACTGGCAACGAGACCATCACGCTTCTCTTCCCGCCTGCTCTTTATACCCATCGGTGCATCATCTATCGCAGAATCAGGCCTCTCACCCAACTCGAATACTTTGTAGTCGTAGCGCTTGTTGTGGGATTTGGGCATTCGGTGGAGATGGTGGTAGTTGGGGTACAAGGGAGTTTTAGAGAGATGAATGGCAATAAGGAGAGATTAGCAGAGATTGTTGCATCTATCTTCTATGGCTTCTATCCTTTACACCGACCATCCATCTCGACGATGGCCAGCAATGATTTTTATAAATTTATGGGAAATGGGGAAAACAAGGAGAAAATTGAGAATGAGTTGGAGTATAAGCAACAGCAGCAGCAGTATCAGCAGCAACCGCACGAGTATCAGCAGCAACCACACAACCACCAACAACACTACTTGAGCCAGGTATCGCCATTGGATAACTACTACAACCCAGAATATACACAGGATGATATTGATCTTTTATTGACACCGTTTTTATCCCCCACACTCACACCCGCACTCACACCTTCACTCACACCTGCTCTCACTCCCCACTCTGTCTTCTCTCAACCGCCTTTAAACACTGATGATCACATTAGCATCGCCCACACTCAAAATGATATTCATTCAGATTTATTTAGTCCTCTGACGTCACCCGCTCTATTGCCCACACCAAACTCACCTAAGACATTCACCACACAAAACACTCACCAAAGAACCGGTTCTCATTCTGCTAGAAGAGGCGCTTCTACTGAGGCCAGGGCTAATAAGATTAGACCGTCTCCCGTTATGAAACCTCTTTCTTCGAGGTTGAGAAAATTTGATCTAGACAGCAGCAACCTGGAAAAATCGCCCATCAACCTCGACTTAGACGCTGCTTCTATGCCGCCCCCACCAATTACCAACCAAACCAACCAATCAAATCTAGCACCGGTTACTCCAGCTTCTATTATGAACATGTCTAGTAACAGCAATTCACAATCCTCACACACCTCCTCAAGCTCAAGCGGAACAGCCACACCGACCACACAAAACACTCTCACAGACATGGCTAACCTCTCCCTCCACTCTGACTCAAACTACGCCAATGTCCTCACTGGCAGGAGCATCAACCCTAAAATGGCAGACTTGTTAGAATCCCAAGCGCACGTAGCAGGTCACGATAACGCTGCCAAACGCGCTTCACACAAGGTCGCCGAGCAGAGGAGGCGAGATTCCCTCAAACACTCGTTCGACGACTTGAGAGCTTTGCTGCCACCCGTTGTCGATGACAACGATCACGATAGCGCTGGTGTCAGTGAAGGTAGACTCGACTTGCGTTTGGAGATGAAAGACATGGACTCGGCTCAGATTAATAAAGGTGTTTCTAAAGTTGTTCTCTTGAAACTCGCCAACGACTACATCACGATTCTCAACCATCGGCTCGGTAGACGTGACAATATTATCGCCAGTTTGAGAGACGAGGTGGCTGAGTTGAGAGGGGGGAGCAAATGCGGAGGTGATGGTGATGGTGGACAAGATGGTGAAGCTGGTCATGCTAGTCAAACTAATTCAGTGGATAACAACACCTTCTTGCATAACATCGACGCCGTCGAACACCACATCCAGCAGGCTGCTCTGCTCGCTATGGATGGAAACGTGCACCAAAAGAGGGAGTCTATTAGCGAGCCTCCTGCTGCCCACAAGGGCGCGTCGAGCAGAGGCAAAGGCAGGATTAGAGGCGCGAGCAAGGCTGCCAAGCAATACCTCCAACAGGCCACACAAGACAAGACTCAGACACAGACTCAACAGAAATAGATACAGTTTGTCTGGGATTATATGAATATGGATTTCCTTCATGTTTTTATCTTTTCTATTGTTGTTTTAGACTTTTTTTTGTAAACATACATGTTTTATATCTTGCATCATGCGCTCATCAAGCGATATCGAGTTCCTCAAGCTGCTGCTCTCAGACTCGAATTTGCCAACAGGCGGTGTGAGTTGGGATTGATATGTTTCTATAATTTGTGCTAACATAAGCGCCAGTTCGTTGCCTCATCTGGACTGGAGTCCTTTATCGGCCATGGTCAATCGCATGGTCAGCTCACGCACACCGCCTTGATCGACTTCCTCCGTTTCAGTTGCGACAACACAGCCAGCACGACGTTGGCGTATATAAGCGGGGTGCATAGCATAATACGCGACACACCCACACCCACACCCACGCGCACACAGCTCGAGCAACTGAAGCGACTTGATGGGGTGCACGATGCACAGATGCTCAACCACGCCGCAAAGCGCGCGAGCAAAGCGCAGGGGATGGCCATCCTTACGCTGCACGCCAAGTCCTTCGGCGGCCACGACGTCATTCGCGATTTCCGACACGCCGTTCGGAGTGCGTCTTCCGAGGGCCATCTGGCCATTTGCTGGGGACTGATGACTGCTGTGCTTGGTATGCCCTCGCAAGACGCTCAACATCTCCATCTTTTCCTACACGCTAGATCCCTCCTTAGTGCCGCTGTTAGACTTAATGTCCTCGGTCCGTACGCTGCGCAGAAAATCCTCCTGCATGACGCTCGAGATATCGTTGATAGCGCCTTTCACCGCTGTTGTCATGTGCGCGTTGGTAATCTAGATTCGGTTGTTGGAGATTATGTATATGACACAGACGATGCAGACGACCATATCGGCCCTGCTACGACTTGGCCTTTGATCGAACTTATTGGCAGCAGGCATGACTTACTCCACACACGCATTTTCAATAGCTAGCACACAGCACGCAGCACACTCCGATCACATTGTAAAGTCAGTACAGTTATACACTTATCTATATCAAAGATGGAAACTCTTCACCAACTTATTAAACCCACTCGAGCCACTCTGTATCATAAGTTCCCTCAGTGTCTCAAATGGTGGTTGAGCTTTCCTTCTCATCCATAACTTCTGTCGCAGGACATGGTACTTCTACTTGGAGTCAGTTGGTGATCACCTATACACCCAGATACCCACTTCCTTCTGCTCGTTGGGCACCATTCTCCATCTGAAACCAGCGAGGACCATCATAGTCTGAGGTGAAATTTGGAGTAATCGTCCGGCTTGATTCTGCACGCCAGCTCATCTGCATCAGCTGAACTTAGCGATCTCATAATTCTCTCGATCAGCTGCTTCGGCTCCTCTCTGCGCCACATCTCATACTGGTGTTTGAAGTAGTAGCAGAAGCAGCCGCCCGATTCCTTCATGTTGACATACACATCTACAAACTGATCGAACTTGACGTGAGTAGTTTGTTTACTGCGCTTGTTTATCATCTCGGACGTCTTTCCTAACATGTTGCCTTTACTAGGAATGCTAGGTTGGTATATATGTCTGTTTTGCGCTTTAGTAGCGAGTGGTGGTGCTGACATATTGACGTGCGTGCGCGTGCGGAGACTAGGCGATGTAAGCATCATTTTTGTTTGCGTAGATCGGGTATCATCTGTTTATCGTGTTAGTTGTGCGTAGTGATCATCACGCTTCGCAGTACCTCGCTTGCTAGCAGAGAGTCCTGCTCTCGCTGCAATAGGTATCTTGGGATATTCGGTGCGGATACTTTTCACGTCAAACCAGTTGACCATGCGTAACATTCTTTATGAGTATTGGGAAGGAAGTAGAAGTGTCACGTACTTTTAAGATCCCATTTAAACACCTCCTTTAGCTGTCTTTGTTGCAGGTTTAGCCCACCCTCATTGTTTTCATGCAGAAATTTGAAATTTGTTTTGTAATACTGCTTACCCACCGGCTGTACCTTTGGAATTTGAAAATGGAAATTTTTACACCACCCTTCATCCTCACAAGATCTCAACGTTGTAATACTTAGCTTTAAAGATAAAATCAATACAAACTTTTACAAAGCTAGATAAATTCGCTAGTTTTGTCCACATAGTAAGACAAAGTATGCTTGATATCTTCGACAGCCGATGAAGTCGCAACAAAGAGCTTGAACTCTCCCGCCTCGATTACCCATCTGCTCTTAAAGTCATCGAAATAGCTAAAGGCGCGTTTGCCTAGCATTAGAGTCACTTCCTCAGACTCGCCAGGAAGAATCAAGTTGGTTTTGGCATACGCTTTCAATTCAAGGAATGGTCGAGCGAGACGAGACTCCACGTCATTTACGTAAAGCTGGATAATCTCTCTGCCAGCGACGCTGCCTGTGTTCGTCACCTTCATCCTGATTAAGACGTCATGACTATCACTTGTCTGGTCCACACGTGCATTAGTTACGTCGAACGAGGTATAACTCAATCCTTTTCCAAATGGAAAGAGGGGTTTTTTACCAGTCGTTGCAAAGTGCCTGTATCCCACAAAGACTCCTTCAGCATAAACCACACGACCATTCTCTCCGCCAAAGTTGAGGTGCGATGGACTGTCTCTCAACTCGACTGGCATAGTCAGTGGCAACTTTGCAGATGGGTTGAGCCTTCCGAACAGGATATCTGCAAGTCCATTCCCAACTTCGTTCCCGCCATAAAAGGCCTGATACACACCCTTCACTTTGTCCACCCATGGTAATTCAACGGGTGTGCCGCTTTGAACAATAGCCACTGTGTTGCTATGCGCTGAAGAAATGGCATTCATAAACGCGTTGGCTGAATCGGGCAGTTTCATGTCTGGTCGATCAAAACCTTCACTTTCAAAATCATTGTTGAGACCGACAAAGCAGAGAACAAGATCAGCACCCTTGCAAGCATCTAATGCCTCCTGTAGAAACTCGTCTTGAGATTTGCTTGGAGAAATTCCAAATCGAATACCGCCCCGAGAATGAGGTGAAAGTGTACCTGCAGCCTGTGCACCTTCGCTGCTATAATAAAGCCTAGCCATTATCGAGTATTGCTTACCTTCTTCAAGCTTCTTGACAACTGTGCGCTCTTGGGAACCAGAGTTGAACCATAATGTACCTGGCTGAGGGTTGGTTGAATTGTCTACAACCCTCTCACCGTCGACGAAGAGATCAGTTTGACCAGCGCCAGCAATACCAATTTCATAGTTATCCGTCTTATTTGGAGTAAAAATCCCTGATGCTTCTGCCCAACACGTCAATGGGACTGTCTCAGGTCCAGGCAGATTGTCGTTGAAGAACAGGTGCGAAGAGTGCCTGTCTCCTGCTTAGAGATTACAGCAAACAATCAAGACATACTTACGCGTAAAGCTCGTGAAGTGGCTTCGCCTTCCCAGCGGCTGGATCGCTGCCGTAGAACTTCACGTCAACGCCAGCTCTACCATCGGCAGTCTTAAGCTCTGGGCCGAATAATGGGGTGAGCTTGTGCGCATTTCCTCCGCGCGAGTATACAACCTCAGCGCCAATCTCCTTTGCTTGCTCACGAATCGCGTCTAGCGGTGATACAGCGTATGAAGCTCTAAGAGCGGCAGATCCACCACCGGAAATGATAGCAGATTCTGCGTTTGGTCCGATCACAGATATCTTCGTAGTGCCCTTCTTGATTGGCATTACATTTTCTTCGTTTTTAAGTAGCACTACACCATTTGCTGCAGCTTCTCTGAGTGTTTGACGAAGCTCTGGTGTGTCATGAACTTTTTCTGGTGTGGCTTCATCAATGCCACTCTTACGGACCTTGTTGATAAGCTCAAGAACCTAAGGTGGATTGTTGGTTACGTCAATAACACTACGATAATCTTACATTTTTCACTCTAGCATCTATGTCCTCAATAAAAACCTTCTTTGCAGTTAAAGCACGCTGAAGAGCTGCCCCACGGACGACAGACGGACCAGGCATCTCCAAATCGAGACCGGCATGCGTAGATTCTCCAGCCGAATACGTACCAAACCAATCAGACATAGTCATACCGTTCCAACCCCATTCACCGCGGAGGATATCACCCAACAAGCGTGGGTCTTCAGAGCAGTGTAAACCGTTGACACGATTGTAAGCGGTCATTACAGACCAAGGCTTGTGTTCCGATTCCCTTAATGGAATTTCAAAAGCGCGAAGATATATTTCCCGAAGTGCTCTCTCGGATATCTCGGATGACATTGACATACGCTCAAATTCCTGATCGTTGCCAACATAGTGCTTGATTGTAGCTGCCACACCCTTATCTTGTAAACCCTTCACAAAATATTTTGCCAAAGTGCCGCTCAATTCGGGATCTTCGCTGTAGCTTTCGAATCCTCGACCGCCAAGAGGGCTTCTCTGGATGTTGATAGTGCTTGAACAAGTAGATGAGTGACGGCAAAAGCTAATCAACTGGACTCACGGGGCTAAGAGGACGTGCACGCCTGTAAATGCTCACTTAGTATTACGTCATTACGGTGGTGCTGCACCGACTAACCTTTGGCGATACATTCGTCGGCCAGAGCACTACCAACTCTCTCTAAGAGCTGATTATCAAAGCTTGCACCCAGCGCTGTCGCACCTGGAAAGCACGATGATGGTGTACCCTCAAAGAAGTCTAAAAGCCGTTAGAACTTGACAAATAGCCTTGCGCCGCCACTAACTAATTCCTCTAACACCATTTGGTCCATCTGAAGTTCTAATAGATGGAATTCCCAGTCGAGTATTGTTAACGGTATGCCACATGTCTTTACCGGCAAGCAACTCGATCTTCTCTTTAACAGTAAGCTGCTGAAGAAGCTCTTCAACGTTTAATTCTGGTAAGGTCATTATTTGGTAGTGATCTGGATAAATAGAAGGTGATTGTGACAAGGTAAGATAGTGCCATGATAAAAAAAAGGAAGCAAAGATTAATTTAAGATTATATTAAAGGTATAGTGGTCAACATATTGCATATTCCTGTCATAATTACGTAGACTTGTCTTGACGAGATTTATATTTCATCATCATTTCCTCGACGTGTTTCTCGTCCTCCTCATCCTCCCTATTGAGATTGTCTAGATCTTCCTCTTCTATTTCTTGAAATCTTGGTTGATTCTTTGGATCTTGCATAGGGTTAGATGTCTTAATAATTCCATTGCTATTCAGTCTATCAAACGCGTCAAACAGTTTCTCCGCTTCCGCTTCCTTCAGAGGCATGTTAGTTTAGTTTCATATTTATAAACTAAGCTTACCTTCTCCTCCTCGGTCATTTCCTCTGGGCCACCTGTACGATCTTCTTCATAAGCTCCAGTAACAGGGTTCACTCCATTTTCAGCAGGATCACCAGCACCAGCACTGAGCATGCCTTTTGAAAAAAGGAATCCTGCTGCGTTTCCAAATCCAATAGTTGAAGACATCTGCGAAGGATCGCTATCGCAGAGAGCAAAGATCAATTCACCAACAGTATTTTTGATTGTGGAGAATAGTGAGCTTGTCAAGAATCTAACAAGTACACCTAAAAGATCACCTCTCTGTTCGGCTTTCACTGATCGATCTATATCGTCCATACCTAGAGTCTGTCGAAGTGATCCTTTAAAGCCGCCGGCGTTACGCTGGTCTTCAACAACAAGCTTCCGCAAAAGCATGACAAGTGGCGCAAGTGTTTCCTCGAGGTTTAATCCCAAACTTGCTGCTTTGGTCTTGGCTTGAGTACTATCAATACTCTCACCACCCTCTAAACTGCTTGAGGGCCAAAATGTTGACAAAACCGTGTTGAGGAGTTCTAATAATCTACTCAAGAAAGGGAAGGTGTCCATATTATCACAGTTCAGCCTGGAAGGATCGCTCTGCGCTACCGAAGCGCGTGAAATTGTCTTAGACAATCGATTAATAGCAGCTGTAGGAGAAAAGATCGAGTTTGAATTAGGGTTGGACCAAAGCTGAGTGAATGGCTTAAATGGGAAGCAAAGTAGGGCGTGTATTAGTTGAGGAATTGGTTGAGGCATAGGCGAAATCGTGTTGACACTATTTGTACTAGCACTTAAATCCATAAAGAGCTGAAGAGTAGGTTGTAGTAACTTGTTGAACTTTTCATCCCAATTTTCTCCTAAAATTGAATCTTGTTGAATTGTCTTGTGGTGCAGCGTGATGTTGAAGAAAAGTTTGAACATGTCTGTGATCAGTTCTTTTGACCGTATCGGTATGCTAATAGATTTTTGTGAAGGAAGAATATATGGGGTATATTGCAGTAGACGCTGGTTGATATAGCGTCAGTTGTGACAATATGATGAGCAAAAACTTTTCTTACCGCGTGTATTACATCCACGAGATTCTCCTCATGCACTAACTTGTAAACAATTGGATGTGGCTTAAGTGTACAGAGAAAAAGACATCTCGCTGCAACAAAGTGAATATCGGAAGTATTTTGCTGTGCCTGATTAAGGGGATTTGAGAAAGGAGAGGATGGAAAAAAGCAACTAACCTTTAAAGCTTGAAATGCTAGAATTGGCGCACGCGTTTCAACGACATTAGATCTCGCTTCATCGTGGAGCAATAACGTGTTTGCAATTGTAGTCAAGACTTCCAATTGGGCTTCAGATTGACACAATGGGTCAGACGATGAAATGTAGGATGGACGATGGGATTGTAATCTGCTAGTGAGGGAGGGAGTTGATGTATTTGATTCACGAAACGACTTCCTCTCCATCACGCTCGATAAGCAATCTAATGCTTCAACAGTGGTGAGTGGTGTGGTTCCAATGGGAGAGCGCCCTAAGACCTTTATAACTTTCAGGGCAGCAAGTACAGCTGCGTCTGGTTTAGCGAGAATCCTAAATAATGGAGCAATGGAGCTCACTCTGTAAATCCCACTTGTCAGATACACCGCCTGGCTTGAGATCTATAAGAAGCTGGCTTAAGAATGCATCCCTATCTTGAGAGCTTATCTCGCTGTATTCTTTGAAATGGTGAGATATGTAGAAATCAACGAGCGAATAACGAACCAAGAAAGCCAATGAATATTTCAGCTGACTGGAATGCTGATTTCTCAATAGGCTGCAACGATCTGTAATGCGATGCCTGTAGGATGTGTGAGAATGCCATAGCGATAACAAGTAATTGAACCGACGAATCCCATATGATATCGCTGATTTAAACTTTCATGATCTCTTTTCGTCAACTCCTTCTGAAAATATCCACTGAACCTTTTCATTGCGTGGTCGACAAGCTCCTCGAATTCCAACGCAGCACATTTCGGCGGTAAAATAATTACATGATTGTGACTACAGAGAAATTATATTCTGCACGCTAGGAGTACGTGCTAAGCAGCTGTGCCCTTGCGTTTATCCACTCTCTTTACAATGTGATCACGGAGAAACTAAGGAGTTCAAGAATGTGTTTCATATTCGTTGTAAAATGATTAGAATATACTAAAGGCCTTGCAAATAAAACCCGGTAGCCTCTCGACGACGTTCTGCTGTAGCGCACGTCAATCAGCGGATGTCGGAACGTGTCTTCTTCCAATAGGAACGCTTGCGAAACTAATAATAGCTTCATAAAATGTTTGGACATGTCTTATTGGTTTTGATTTTCACATGGCATGCAAAGTTTCTTAAAATCACATTGCACATTGCACCCTGATGCAGTTACAAACTTGGGAGGCTTTTAGTTGTTATTTGAATATTTCACATCTTTTCATACAAGGTTAAAGCAAGAATTGCACTCAAGCAACAGATCACTTGGCCTTACGCTTGAGAAGACTGTCACCGTAAAGCTTCTTGGCGTACTGCTCTTTCATTCTTGCCATGCATTCCTTGTTGGCTTCCTTCTCATCAATCATAGGCTCTGGATAGTCTTTCCCGATTTTCTGAAAATGTGTTAGATCGTCCTCCTACGCATGGCTCACTCACACATCCAGCCTTCTTCTGCACATCTTCAGGTGCTTCCCAAGGCTTGTAGATATATTTGTCCGGATATTCCTTCAGCTCTGGTACGTACTTCCTGACTAATTTGCCCGTCTTGTCATATTTGGAGGGAAAGGTCGTCATACCATAATTTCTGTAGTATTGGTGGAAAAATGCTGAACAAGATAACCACATCCAATTGCCAGCGTTGGAAGCTGGGTCTTGGTCAACCAAGTACCTATCAAATACCTCAGCACCTCTCTCCCAGCTAATATACAATTGACCTCGGGTGAGGAAACCCGCAACACAGTGTCTGGCGAGATGGTGCATCCAGCCTTCTTGCTTGAGCTGACGCATAGCCGCATCGACCCATGGAAATCCTGTGTTGCCATGCTTCCACTTCTCGAGAGCTTCCTCGTCCTCTTTCGATCCTTTTGGACGGGGGAAAATCTTCTCACCATCCTCGTCATAAGCGTTGCAGAGCTTCCAGTCTATGACTCTGCATATTTTATTCCCTCTTATCTGTCCGAAAGGCTTTCCAATGCCCAGTTGAGCTGCGAAATACATCTCTCTAAAGATAAGTTGTCCTGGAAGATTTTCAGGCTCGGAGCTAGTTTCGCCATCATAGTTCTCCATCAGATCAACGACCCTCCAGTAGAACTCACGCACACCCAACGCGCCGAACTTTATATAGGGCGACAATTGTGTAGTGGCCGGAGGATCGTACTCTGAGGGAGATGTTTGAGGCTTGCGGAATGTAGCTGTTGCGTCCTTATCTTTGATCCACTTGTCAAGACGTCTAAGTGCCTCATCTTCACCACCAGGAATCTGCGTAGTTGCATCCTCTGAATCCAGACCCAACTCTTCCAGAGAAGGTGGTTCCAGTGAGTCTTTTGGGCCTGTAACTGAGTCGTAAGCCGTCATCTTGCCCTTGCGATGCTCTTCGTTGACGTCATGATCTGACTTTACCTTTTTAACTTCCTTTTTAATTGCATCCAACTTGAGATCATCTGCTTTTGGCACATCTTTTGGTGCTTGAAGGGGACGCTCGATTTTCATATCCTTAGCCGCGGCTTTGAAAGCCGTTGCAGATGTAATTGTCTTACCCTTCTGCTTTTCAACGATGGCGTCGATATCGTAAAGTGTGTGTCCAGTGATATCTAAAACTTCCACGTTTGCATCTTTTGCTAGTTTCTTGATACTTTCGTCGCGCTCGATCGCGTATGGCGCTGGATCCTGCAGCTGTCAGGGCGCGTTTGACTGACGTCATAGATACCCACTTTTTCATAAACAAGGTGTGTGATATTCCACTGCTTGAATAGCACAGGGAATAGGTCGGCTGGGGCAGCTCTAAACACGTGAAGCTTGTTGCCCATCTTGCTCAGTTTTTTGTCTATCTCTTTCATGGACTCGGTCAGGAATTTGTATCTGCTGAGTGAGATGGAGCAGCGAGATGAGAGTTGGCCTACCTATTTGGACCAACTGGGCATTCAAAGTTGAAGTAGGGATCCCAGGTCCATACCTTTACTCAATCAGGGACGAAAAGTACCGATAAAACCTAAACCTACGGGGAAGAACACCTCAGGCTTGAGTTCCAATCCTTTTAGAAGCGCAGGTGCATCGTGCAACCTCAAGTCAGTTCTAAACCAGTGTAATACGCGTGCTGGCATTAGTGTGGCGTGAGTGGTGAGTGAAGGAAGATAATCTTAGCTGAGAATCAAATAGATTACGTTATGACATTCAAAGTATATTTATGACAATGTATTTGAAAATGCTGATTTTTGCTAAGTGTCCGTCTAATTAAGTTATTCTAGGTAATGATCACTAATGATCACGCTTTTAGGTTGTCTAATAAGAATTATCGCAAGTTTAATCGTATATTGGGTTACTATGCAGGTAGTTTTTAGATTGTAAAGGTCTTCAAACTCTCTCCCACTCTTCAGGTTCGGGCCAACGAGAAGTAAACCAATTGCCCATCAATTCATTGATTGCGGGTATGTCTTTCTCCTTCTTGACGTCATCATTAAGGCAGATAAATGTGGTATCTTGGTGTGTATCTGCCATATCAAGTTGCTGTTTTAGTTGAGATGGATTGTACACTTTCGTGAACTGTGACGGCGTTTCACCAAATACGTGGTTGTATCTCATTATCAGCCTTGCTGCAAATGACCTGGGTGACGTTTCCCCGTCTAAGACAGTGTTCAATTTAAAATCAGCGTCGTGCCAGTCGTCGTTCAGTGGAAGATTTGGAACCCCACTAAACTGTTTAAGGCTGTCTTTAGGTGGTAGAAAGATTTCCAAACCTTTGCTACCTCCTTGTGAGATTAACTGAGTGATTACTAACCCTTCTGTCAGCTGCATCGGGATATTCCGAAAGTACTTACTGCAATCACCGCAATCACCATATTGTTCGAATGCAATATGCTTAAACAACTCTTCGGCTGTACTTCCTTGCTTGAAGCATTGCTCTTTTGTAATTGTGCAAGCTTTCAACCGTTTATCATCTCTCAAATCAGGCCACCCATGGCGACTGAGCAATCTATGCCATATTTGTCGAAGATAACCAGGACCATAGCCATCCATACTTGAAAATGCATACTCGGTGTTGAGTGGTTTGGGTATATGTGCATTATTCAGAGTTTTTTCGAGCTCTTCATCCTCAACCGTCACTCTATGTGGAACGTAAACTTGGTGCTTCAACGACTCACCGCCTGTGAGTTCACTCCACATTTTATCTGTGTCGATTACTTGATTGGAAGCGCCCCATTTTCCTACTATCCATGACCACAGCAGAGCCTCACGATGTCGCTCAGTTATGAACCATGAAGCAAAAAAGAAGGATTGGATAGCCCAAGGAGCATCTTTTGTATTTCTGAATCGTGCTAATGTGACGTTGTTGAATGAGTTGTCAAACATTATGGCAGCCTCATTGAGGATGGGCAGCGACAGACTGCGAGCGTGATGTGCGATATAGGGTCTCCACCTCATACCGAACCGTCTTCCCAGAACCCAAGACGATCTAGCAATAGCGACACCTTCGCCATTCCGTGATCCTAGAGGCTTTTCTTGTGGAACGTACATACTGTAACTTAAACTACGCAGAACTGGACCGTGAAGTGGGGAGTAGTAGTCGCTGACCTCGTTATTCTTAAGTGTAAAAAAGTCATCGTTGTGGTAAACTATAGTGTCTGATTGGGCGTCTATGTTGTGCATTTGACCTTCTATAGCAAATGAGTTGAAAGTTGGAAGTGAGGCGGCCCTCCATTCAGCATTGAGATTATTCAGCTGATCTTCTGTTAATGATTGAGACTCGGGAATCGTAGGCATACGCCGGAAGAAGTTGAAGTGATGGTGCATTTCAACCTTTTCATGATCGTTCAACCAAAACGGATGCTGTGCAATCTGGTTACCACCTTCCGGTGAGTCGTACGAGGAAGCAAGAATATGATACTGTCCAACATTCTGTCCAACTGAGCGTTCGATTGATCTGAGTGCGTATCTAAGTTCATCGTGTTCTTGATAGCGGTGCTGGCTATCAACTTTCTGATCAGAGAATGCTTGCAAGGCAGAGATCTGCACGGGATCGCTGTCAATTTGTTAGGAATGTGATTGATCGCTCAATCGAAACGCTTACCTTCCGTTGACCCAGGGGAAGACAGGATCGATAGTGCTAAATTTCTTAATATCAACGTCTTTGCAATGCTCCCCCCAAATTCCAGCCCCAATCCACTCGTCCACGCAGAGATCTGGCAACGCTTGATGAAACTTGATAGGTCGTACAGCTCTAGAGGCAGAATTTGGAGGATTTGAGCTGGAAAATACCTCGTGGCTCTCATCCTGTCCAACAACGATCAATTTGTATATCTCTTTAACCTCGCCATTCCCTTTGTATGTGTATACAATCAACAGGAGCAACAGGACAGGAATGGCGAGTAACTTGGTGGCATTGTTCTTCACGCTTGCTTGTGTTATAGGCAGCGGCAAGTATCCATTATGCCTGAATTTACTGAAGACCATCTCAGCTGCTCACTGCATAGATCAAAAGTCGGCCACAGCGAGATCGACTGCTTAGACCAAGTCAAAATTTATTGACGTTGCCGCTTTGTAATTGCGTGTGCATGTAAGTGCTTGAATATCTAAATTATTATCTATATCAATTTGTGTTTATAACATCACATCCAGCTCTATATGTTTAATTTTCCGAGCGCAAAAATTAGGAAGAAAGCTTTTGTAGAGCTGCTTTAAGGCATTATGCACTTCAGAAAAAGAAATACACCAGCTTGATTTTCAACCTTAGTCAAATTTTCAGCTACAATTTACAATACAATTACAACTCAAAAACACATTCCAGAGTAGCCGGATCAACGAACTGGATACATTTGAGTCTATGGAGAAGATGTCAGTCACATTCCTCGCAAATGCCAGGTGCATGAGCCCACCTTCCATCAATCACTAGAGTCGTTGCCGGGTCGACCTCGCCGTCTTCGCTCACGCCAGCATTCATTATAATGTAGTTGATACTGGACGCGTCAATTAGTGAAACAAACGAACGAGCGTCCTAACCCACGTATTCAATGTCTCATCAACAACATCACAAACTGTAATTCCCTCGTCGTTCTCAACTCTGCTGACGTGATCGCCTACGTGAAGGTCGAGTTTATGCTGAGGAGGTTCTGTCGCCATACAGTAGTACGTCTGAGGATGGTCTACTAGTTTTTCCCGATAAACATTGTCTGGCAGAATAACCTCCACGCTGTCGAGCGTTGTGCACGACCTATTGAACCAGAGTGCGGCGAGTGAAGGGTGTGCTTTTACTGTCCTCACTTTGCTGCGTGAACGACTCCTGCTACGTGATCTTGAGTTGGATTCTTGTCTTAGAGACCTGCTAGAATTCCCTGTACTAATTTAACATTATGAGGCGAGGGAGTAATTCAAACTCACTAAGCGGTCTGACCATATCGACAGCCTCTTCAGGATGCTCGACTTGCATATGGGCCATTTCTGCATCCACCTCTTCCAGAACGTCATCTTCCTCACTGGATGACTGTGTTTTCCAATTGATCGGTCCTCTTCTGCCTCTGCTTCGCTCCTCACTGGCTGCTCTCTTGCCAATGCTTTGGAATGTATCTCTCACGCCATTTCTGTGCACTGAGCGCGACCTGCTCCTCGATCTTGATCTGTCTGGTCTGCCTATTCTTGCATTGGCTGACACAGCTTTCCAGCTCAAGTTGTCGTCGAATAGCTCCCGCAGCGTACTGCAACTCTGCGATAGCATGTCCAACGAGGCTGGGTCTAGATACTCTGGCAACAACAGCAATATCTCTGACGGCAATTCAAGTAGACTGTAGCTCATCGTTGTTGGTTTGAAACAAGTGGAATTCATATCCGTGTGGATGACATCACTCTCACTCTTCCCCGCCTCACGCTATCCGCGAACCGCTTGAAGCGAGCGTCTAAATTTGCCAAGACTGTCAATTTCATTGTGTTTATTTCTACATTACACGTGATAGCGTGTTCATGTTAAATCAATGTGTCATTCTGATACAAGTAAATCAAGTAAAATTAAAGATTATTTACAGACGTTGAACTCCTCAAATGAGAAGCATTTCTACGTATGCTGTTCCGTAAATTGGCTCGAACGCCTCCTGAACGTGTAGACACGTCGTCCGATATTTGATTGCTATGTCTCATAGAGGCTTGTATAGCTGCTTCAGTTTGGGCTATTTCCATAGCATCTGTGTTTGCGCTAGAAAGGTCTTCCTGTCTCACTCTCCTCCTTCTTCTCCGTCTTGGCAGTGTAGTGAGCTTCGGCATTGGACGATGGTCCAAATCTACTGATACATTGGTAGATGCTTGTAGTGCCTTTTTGTATACGTTAGATTTATATCTTTTCATATACTATATACCCACCTCAATCCAGTCTATCACTGATGACTGGTCGTATGCCTGTATAAGAAATTGCTCCTTGACACCCTTGTCAGACAGCAAACGAACTCTAATAACATTCCGTCGCTTGACATAGTCTGCTGCAAGGCCGCTTTCGGCATTTTGTAACGAATATTTCCGCAGTAAAGTTGGTGCATACTTGACGTTATTCGCAGGTGCATTTATATGATTTTGGAATGATGGTCTTTGCGCAAGAAGTTGTGGTAGCGCAGGTACTGGAGGAATAGGGGCATCTGCCGGAGGTGGTTCATGTACATAAGCACTTTCAACATCTGCTTCATTAAGATCGTTAATTTCTGAAGAAAGCAGTGCACGACCGTGATCCCATTTGTCTGCTTTGTATATTTTCAATACCGTACCATGTAATACCACGTAGACTCTCCTCCATGTCCTGTCTCTCGCTTGGTTGCCAGGTGACGTAAACTCCATCTTGCGTGGCATTAGTCCTTCAATATGTATACCACACTTATATTTCGGTAGCTTCTCTCTGCCCTCTTCCTCGCGAGGTCTTATTATCCTCCTTATTCCACCAAAAATTGTCTCACGTAATGCAACCTCGTCGTACTGTGGAGGTGCCACCATCATATTTGGAAGCGACAATCTCCTCTTGGCTGCGTTAGGTGTTCCATGGGCGGGCAACGGTGTAATTGGGGGAGGTGGACTGAGTGGCGTGCTATTGAATATCTCCTTCCAATTACGACGCTCTTGCTCCATCTGAGCCGAGTGTGCTGTTGCAGGTGACGTTGGTGGGCTAGTACCGACGCCAATCTCGCGCGTACTTGAACTACTCTGAACCAAATCGTCGACCTCAACAACTGGACTGGATGGTACTTGGGCTCTTTCCTTTCCTTTGAGAGTAATGTCTTTCTCGCCATTCAGCGGAGAGTTCAGCCCTACTCCTAATCCCTCGATCACTTGAGGCGATTGAAAGGAGGATAGGTCTGTAAGTGACCGAGACATTTGCCTGCCGCAGGTTTTGGTACTTGCTACTGCGAGCGATGGAGCTTCATCAATAACATCCTTGTTAAGTTGAGTGACGTCTTTGTGAGACGTTGTCCGGTTTGGTATACTAGTTTGGGTGGGTTGTGTAGGTTGTAAAGGTTGCTTTGGTTGCGGTGGTGGTGGAGACGAGTCGACGCTGGTCAGCATGATTGAACTCGTTAATCTTCGCAATGCCTCTGGTGACCGTGAGCCTTCTTTGGCAGAGTCCTCTGATGGGCGAGCATCGTCTAGAGTACTTTGAGTGTTTTGCCTTGATCTCTGCTGAACGGTGACTGAGGATGCAGTTCGCTGATTCAACTTTGGTGGCAGCACGGAGGATGATTTTCCTGGAGTGCCATTGGCACCTGGGGATATTGGAATGGCACGAGGTGTTTGTGGGGGCACGAGAGCATTTGAAGGCGGCAGGCTAAAGTAATCGGTCGTTGGTGCATGTGGAGCACTTGGTCGCCTATATTGTTCTACTTGCTCGTCTTCGCCGTCGTCATCCTCAAAGCTATCTTCACTGTCGATATCCTCAAGTTCGGAAGCTTCGGCAGTTTCGGCGTTCTCGTGGCTCTGCGAAGCTTGCACAGTAGATGAAGGGGGCTTTGAAGGATCAGCTGAGCCACGGGCGAGCGTGGGGAGTTGCCGAGCAGCTCTACGGACGTCTCTTGGCGAAGTTGGAGGAGTCGCGTGACTGATGAACTGATCACGAATCGGCGGTGGAGGCTGCGCTAAAGGATTGAAGGGAGAGAAAGTGGGAAGACTGAGACCTTTAGGCGTGGAAACTCCTGTGATTTATTTAGTGAAGCGCTATGACATAAAGTAATAGCTCACTTGGTATAGGCGAGAAAGTGGATAAATCTGGGGGAGCCAAAACATCATTTTCAGGTGACAAGGGTTGTTCACGGATGCTTTCTTGGTTATTCTGTGGCTGTGGCTGCTCCGACTCGAGCTCTTCGCTGTAGTTTGGCGGGTGATCGGTATGTGGGACACCGTGGGGCACCTCAGTATCGCTGTGCTGCTCGTGGTGCTGCTCGTGATGCTCAACATCGCTGATCCTAGGGCTATTGGAAGGCTGTGAACTAAAATTGGAAGCGTGCTTATCGGCTAGGGAATAAGTTAGCGTGCGAGTGTGGATAGGCAGAGCGAACGCACCCTTTGAGGAAACATTAACATTCTCATTGCTGCTGTTCTTATTTGATTGATCGACTGGGATTATTGGACTCGTATCGCTATTCATTCCACCCAGATTGTTGTATAGGGATCCTCGTTTCGGCGGAATGAGAGCTGCTCTAACTGCAGAAGCGATGTGATGCTGGTGCTGCTCAATCTCCTCCTTATTGTCTGTAGATTGCTGATTCTGCTGCTGCGTACGCTTCTTGAACAGATTCTTCATCAACGTAGTTATTCAATAGCTGTGGCGTGTATATCGCGTGCCAGTCTAACCGAATTCTTGGTTATTCATGTCAACAATTCCAATCCAAATCCCTTCCATTATCCCACTTACCAATTTATATCGGCGAATCGTCGTTGAGGATTGAAACGCTTCCCTGGTTAATCGTTAATCGCAATGACGAGGTGAGATATTTTGTTTTTTAAAAAAAATAAGTTATAAATCTCAAACATCACAGAAATAAGGGAAAATCTCGGGAAATTGTTGACGACGAGCAGCTTCTAGGCCACGAGATGCATCATCTTAGCACCGACGACGACGCCGACAAAGATCGCGAGCATGTCAGCGACTGGTCCACGTTCTGGGGTGAACCTGATCCCTCTGAATCCAATGGGATTCGCTCAAAGTATCTTTCTCCTTTTTCTCCCTTGCTATTCGCTAACTCCCACTTAGTTGGAAGAAGAACTTATACCAGCTCTTACAAGAACCTACAAGCTCACAAGGCGCTTTCACAATACACATATGTGTCACTCTTCTCATCGTTATCGCTGCCCTTCTCACCATTCTCGAGACTATACCCAGCTTCAGAGCGATAGATTCGCGCATTTGGTTCGGTTTTGAGACTGCTATCGTCGTAATTTTCACAATTGAGTACTTTGCTAGAATCGCTGCTCACTCTGATTCTTGGGTCCGTCTTATTCTCTTCGGTTATCTCGCCGCTAACCCTACTCAAGTCAATGCTCTGGAGATGGTCAAAATCCTTTTTTGCTCTTATAGATCTCGCTTCTATTCTTCCTTACTACATTGAAGTTGCTATACAAACCGACGCAGTATGTTCAATTGTCCAAATGTCTTACTTGTCTCACAGCTGACGCCTTACCACAAAGTCCAACTTCTTCCATTTTTCGATACTGCGGACGTTTCGACTACTCAGAGTCTTCAGAGCCTTCAGATGTATGTTCATCTTCCCTGACCGTTGTTGAGAGCCTAATCTCTGCTTCAGACTCGAGTAAACTGTTACTCACCATTGAAGTGATGGTGCTATCTTTCAAGAGATCTGCAGATGCACTCATTGCACTGTCTTTCCTGGTCTGTACCCTCGTCGCATTATTCGCTACCTTTTTATACTTTATTGAACGTGGAAGCTGGGACGCAAATCTTGAACAATTCATGAATAGCGACGGCCAGCCTTCTTCTTTTGAAAGTATACCTGCTGCAGCTTGGTAAGGTGCTTATTTCTATTTGAGAACCAGCTAAAATCATCCTTTAGGTTTGTTCTGGTCACCATTTCCACAGTCGGTTATGGTGAAGTTACGCCAACGACTACGATAGGAAGATTAATTACTCTACCTTTGCTTGTGTTTGGGTTACTGCTGATTGCTTTACCTTCTTTTGTCTTGGGGAGGAACTTCTCGATTGGTTGGTGGTTACTGTACGTCTAAATACAACACTGACACAGCAAACTAGTATGGGACACTGTCACATCACACCATAACACAGAGACAATACCTAAGAAACGCAATTACACAGCTGTTCCAACAGCAGCAGGTTTCGATATTCCATCTGAGCCAGAACCAATTTTCGACTCGCGCCAACCTTATGGTAGTTCCGACAATACAGCACTCAGACCTAATATGGACAACAGGCATAATACACAAACTGAAGAGAATTATTTAGCTAGTACAAGCACAATGAGTAATGAATCGAATGTTGTTGATGAAGTAAAGTCACTCAGACTAGCAATAAATCAGCAGTCTCGCGATATCAGAATTCTCATGGATGCTCTGTCGCAGCGGCAGATTTAGTTCTATTCCACCTTGCTGATCTTGCTGTTTTGATTCGGATAAATTTGTAATTTGCAATTTGCAATATAGTAATATGTATCTTAACTCTCAACTAACGTTACAAAAGTAACGCAAGTTCTAGACAGGATCATGATAGCATTGATACCCAATCCCGTTGAATTACTCAACATCTAGAAATATTTTCCTTTTAAAGCGTAGTTGTTTTTGTTTGGCGTTGTAGATGCCATAGAAGTGTCATCATGTTCTGGTGTATCTTTCAACATCCACGCTATCTGGGGAGGACTATACGGCGTTGGGGCCACGAGAGACCTTCCACTAGGGATTTGAGATGTCAATGATTGTGATGAGGGTATGATTTGAAAATGAACCTGAGGTCTTGGTCAGATTTTTGGCAACGCATTGCAATTCCATATGCATACAGTGTCATTCAGCTGTTTGTAGGCTTTGAGAAAGGTATCTATAGAACCAAGCTCGATGTCTAATTCATTTTTGCGTTCATCGCGAGCCTTTCGAGTGCTCCTGCTCAATATTTTAAGCCTCTCTGACGGACTTGAGGAAACACTCTCGGTGAGTTGCTCAGAAGCAGTCTTAAGCCACGCTATAGCAAAACCAGTATTACCGTTATTTGCAGCGTCGATACCGAGCCATTTTTTTGCCACTCCGGCATGAAATATATCTCTTCTCTTCATATAAGCTTTGAGATCTGCGGGTAAGTCGACATGCTGAACGCGCAGAGTGGATTTGATAGAGCTTTTCAGCATGACTCTCGAGGCATTAAACAGAGATGACGTATCTAGGTGCAGTTTGAGCAGAATTTGAGGAGATGGGTGTGTCTTTGGTATCGGTGGTCCGGGGTTGTGAAGCGTGTAAGCGTGCAGAGGTGACATCAGTTTCCTAATAGCTAGCGATTGTGAGACAGCCAAGCTGAGCTTAGAAAGACCGCTGTTATACTCTCTATTGAGTATTGGCGTGTCTGCGTCACGAGCACCCTCGTACCTATCGATGGCGGTGTCTGAAATGTATCTAAACACACCAGCTGAAGTGTTGAGAAACCCAATAGCGGTTTGAAGCACATTATCACCTTCTTTTCTGCTGCTTTCTGGTAATGTCGGTATAGAGTCATATGATCCAATGTTTTCTGCCAAGCCTTGGGCGTGATTAAACAGAGCTAAAGCATACACATGCAATACGTGTATAGTTTCGAATGTGAGGCTGCTTGATGAACTCGATTTGCCTTTAGCCGATAGCTGTGAAGGCACAGTCCATACGAAGGACTCGTCGGATATAGCAACAATCGAATCATTAAGAGCTGCTCTTTCAAGTGAAAGGACATGAGGCAAATAGTCCAATACGGATGAAACCAATGAAAGATGATCCCTCTTATCTGACTTGAGTGCTGAGTAGATATGCGCACGCTTGGCCGTGGATTCCGAGGCACGAGAGGAGTAATCTGCAGAAGTTGTAGACGTGAACATTTTACTGAACCAGATTGATTGAGTCGTTGGATATTGTAATCTAATCATGATGTGATGGGCGTATTGAACAACGCGTTTCTCACTTACACGTCCAAGATGTAAATACGCGCGATTAGACAAAATACGCAACTGACGCAACACAGGCCACTCGAATGGATCGAAGTGTATGACTTTAAATCTTACAAAGGCAGACACAAGATTGGTCCATTCAGCCCTTTCTCGTGCGTTATCGGCTCAAATGGCGGGGTGAGTATACTGCCATTTGGGACAATTCCACACAGTTTACGTGTTTACGCAGGGCAAATCTAATCTCATGGATGCCATCTCTTTCGTCCTCGGCGTGAAATCTGCTCATCTCCGTGGTTCGAACATTAGAGATCTCATTTATCGTGGCAGGAGAGTGGGCTTGGAAGACGGCGATCAGGTTGATCAGACTCAGGAAGGTCAGAGCGATTACTATTCTGCTCAAAAAGCCTCCGTTTTGGCTCAATACACGAGCACTTCTGGACGCGAACTCAAGTTTGAGAGAACGTGGGTGTGGAATATTATAAAGCTATTCAGCTTATCTGCTTTCAAGTATAACAATCTCTGGTTCTTCAGAATACAGGCTCAACGGCAGAGCTATCAGTTATGCAGACTACAATCAAGCACTCGTTAAAGAGAACATCCTCGTAAAGTCAAAGAACTTTCTAGTCTTCCAGGTGTGTGTGGAGATTGCGAGTTATTACACAGCTAATCCTCTATAGGGAGACGTTGAGGCAGTCGCGACGCAGTCATCTTCGCAGTTGTCGAAACTCATTGATCAAATATCAGGCTCGATAGAGTTCAAAGAGCGTTATGAAGAGACTAGGGGTGCCCAGGAGCGTGCAAACGAAACATCTGTTGCTCAAGGTTTGAAGAGACGCGTTTTGAATGGTGAAATTAAACAATTTAAGGAGCAAACATCTGAGCTCAAGCGTTTCGAGGATATGAAGGACAACAGGGTAGGCTTAAGGATTGAGGATCTCTTCGATTAGTTCTCACGTGCAATCCAGAACAACTTGATAATTAGGCTACTGTTGATGAAATTATACCACATAGAAGCACAAATAACCACTAATACCGATGCCATCACCTCTAAGCGAGATCATTTGCAAGATCTACAACAACAACAAGTTAGTCACTGTACTATATCAGCACCCGCACTAACGCCATTCTCTAGGATGGAGCCAAAAGAGAGCTTAAAAGAGCTTCAAAAGAAAAAGCGGAAGCTCACAATAAGACAATCAAATGCGAAAACACCATCAAATCTAGCCAGCGTGACATCGATAACAAGGTAGGTGAGAAAATGCCAAAGTTGCACAATCCGCTGACGCAAGAGTTAATTAGACTCCAAACATTGTTGCCCTTGATGCTCGAATCAGTCATGCTCGTACAAAGCTTAGAACATCAGAAACAAATGCCTCCCGTCTCCAAGCTGAAGTAGAAGAATTGCAGGAGTGTGTAAATAGGTACAAGGTAGATGTGGATAAGATTGAAAAGGCTGCCGGTCGTGCACAAGCCGAAGCTAGAAAACTAAGCGAACAGCGCGGTGTTAATTTATCTGATGAGGATTTGAATGAGTACAGGCAGCTGAAATTGCAGGCAATGTCACTCGCACCAGAAGCTCGTCAGCAAGTTGAGGAGCTTGGACGTAATGAAAAAACGTCAAAGTCTTCGTTGAATGCAGCCAAATCACGTCTCAGTGAAGCCGAAGCTAAGCATGAGAAACTAAAGCTTGATGAACGCCGAAATGCTGCTAATGTGGAAGATACTCGAGATGGATTTCAGACTGCTCAAAGCAATTTGCAAGAAGCCAAGCAAAGGTATGACAATTTACTTAATGAGAGGAACAAGATTGGTCAACTCGAAACTGAAAAGAATGAAAAGTTGCACGCACTTCTCGGTCAACTTTCCAGCGCTAGCCACGATCTCAGACAGACAGAACGCGATAACAAATTCAAAGACGTACTCATGACCCTGAAAAGGATGTTTCCAGGTGTTAGAGGAAAATTGGTAGATTTATGTCAACCAACTCAGTCAAAATACTCCACGGCTGTTGTGACGGCATTAGGAAGGAACGTAGAATCAATAGTTGTTGACGATGAAGCTACCGCTATTCAATGTATCGAGTACATGAAGGCTCAAAGAGTTGGAAGCGCTACATACCTTCCACTAGACTCTCTTCAAGTCAAGCCAGTACAAGAGCGACTCAGAACTTTGTCATCTGGGGCGAGATTGACAGTGGACGTCTTGAAGTATGACAACATTTACGAGAAGGCTGTTCATTTTGCAGCAGGTAGCTCTCTCATTTGCGACGATATGACCATTGCGAGAGATTTGGTTTACGACAAACATCAAGATGTTAAGGCAGTCACCCTGGATGGCACGATTATTCATAGGTCAGGTCTGATAACAGGTGGTCAGGGCGCTAGAGATTCTGGTAAACGGTTTGACCAAGCTCAATACGACCAAATGATGCGCAGGAGAGATGAACTTGTAATCCAGCTGAAGGCATTGAGGAATAAGCGTCCTCAGCCTAAAGTGGACGAGGAACTTGTGCAGAACGTCAGGAAATGTGAAAATGATGAGCACAACTCTAAAGACAGCTTTGATGGAGGTGTTAGTCGTTTAGATGGTACTCAAAAGGAATTAAAAGTTGCTGAACTCAATCATTCAGAAAAGTCAATGGAGTTGGACACTATGCGTTCTTCATACGATGCACTCAAACGTGAACTGGATGATGTACTCGCTATAGTCCATAGAGCTGAAGATGGAGTGTTTGAGCCGTTCTGTGCAAGAATTGGAATAGAGAACATTCGTGAATACGAAGACCGAGAAGGTCGTGTGGCCGCTGCAGAAAGCGAGGCTAGAGTAAAATTCGAAACGCAAATAGCCAAGCTCAACAATCTGCTCCGCTTTGAAGAAGAACAGCTCAAGACGTCTAGCACGCGTCTTGAACGTCTTCAAAATAAGCTGGATAGTGATAGGCAGAATCTTGCGACATTTGAAAGTGAGAAGAGATCGCTCCAAGAGATAGTAGATGAGATCAAAAACACAATCGCCACAAATGAAGCTCTTCTCAATGAACTGAGAGAGAGTGAGCAGAGTATTGCAGAAAACGTTGACAGTGTCAGGCGTAACTCACATAAGGCAGAGCGCCAATATGACGGTGCTTTTAAAGACATTGCAAACAATGTTAGTCTTTTCATTATTCGGGAATGCATTCACTAACTTTCTCTAGAACGACAACATTAGGATGCTGGCAAGTGAACGGTTCTCCATCTACCGTAAATGTAAAGTAGACGAATTGCCACTGGATCTTGTCGCTGGTAGCTTGGATGATGTACCATTGGATGCTGACTTGAAGGAGATTGAGCCAATGGATGTCGACGATGACGAAGATGCTACGCAGCGTGCAGTCCAGATCGAAGACTATGGCATCGAAGTCAATTTCGATGGTGTAGAGGACGAGGACGAATTGACAGAGGAAGCTGAGTTAAAGTACCAACAAGAAATTGCTCAGATGAGTGAGGAAATTGATAGAATGGCTCCCAACCTCAAAGCCAGTGATCGGTGAGAAATTTAAATATCCATATCACGCATTGACTGACACTAAGATAGTTTATCTGATATGAAAAAGAGGCTAAGTGAAACTGAGAAAGTATTTGAACATGCTCGAAAAGAAACAAAGCAAGCTAGAGATGCATACCAAGACGCGAAAGCTTCCCGACAAGAGTTATTCATGCAGGCTTTCGATCATCTAAGCAGTAGTATAGATGTCGTCTACAAGGAATTGACCACTTCGCGTGCCAATCCAACTGGTGGTACTGCATATTTGTCGCTAGAAGATGAAGACGAACCATATAATGCTGGTTTGAAGTATCATGCGATGCCACCAGGCAAACCATTTAGAGATATGTACCAGCTATCCGGTGGTGAGAAGACAATTGCAGCAATGGCTCTGCTTTTCGCCATACAGACGTACAAACCGTCTCCGTTCTTTGTTCTTGACGAGGTTGACTCTGCGCTAGACAATCAAAACGCCGCCCAAATAGCCAAGTATCTCCGAAACCATCTGCGAGAATCACAGTATATTTTCATTACACACTCTTCTAGAGTGTATGAGAGAGCTGATGCTTTGGTTGGTGTGTTTAGGAATGGTGACATCAATTCTAGTCAAGTTCTCACCCTTGATCTTACTCAGTACGATGAGCCTTAAACCTCCTGGTTTACCTGTACTTTAAGTCTTTAACTGAATGTATTTGTTATTATTTCTAATTGGCAATTAGTAGTTCAGGACTTTTTGAAGTAGAATTCTTTGTTTAAGGCTGACATTTTCGAAGTTGCGGAGGAAGGTGATTACCTCCCCAGTTTACACCCATTGATATGCGCCAAGTTAATGAGAAGCATGTACATTAAAATCATTTTCAAAGGTATACAGCTGTGACATATTCACTGAAACGTGATGTAAAATACTTGTGCCTCACTGGCATGAAGTTTTGCATATTTTGTCGTATTCCTGAGACCCTGAAGAGGACACACGGGACGTCGATACATAGACAACAAGCTTGTTGATGCCTTTACCTAGGTGAGACAGATTTCGAACGTCATCAGCGGAGTCATCATCATCTTCAAATCGGAATGAGTCAAATTTGAAGCAACCGACAGCGAGCTATTTAAGCTTAACGTGACCGTCAGTAGTATTCTTTCTTATCTAAAATGATGCTCTCTGAAAGGCTTACACCAACATATGTCGAGAGCTAATCTTCCGAGCCTGTTTGAAGTTAAAGAGTGATTTCGATGTAATAAGTTACGAATTTATAATAAATGATCATATGTATAAGCTCAATTGAGAGATTGGAAGAGTTCAAGTATGGCTTCGGTTGTTTCGGAAGAGGTGAAAGCTGGTAAATAGATACACAGAGCCTTAAATAATTAGAGCATAGTGTTTGTAATATCCTACCTAAAGATAATTGCGCTTATCAAGTGGCTGCGAGACAATTGATATGCTCTCAAGTCGAGAAAGATCACAAGGAACAAATCGGAGGAGTTAGAGTATTTAAATAAGCAGCTACAACACTAGGATATTGTTTTACAAATTTTATTCGATGGAAGGCTGATATCATTGAAGAAGACGCTGTTAAAGTCAACGACGTCAAAGATGGACGAAGCAACGCAAGTGAGTGGCTGTAAAATTCGCAGCGAAATATCTCATATGAAACAGCGCGAACTGAATACTTTCGTTGAACAAGAACAAGCCAAGGCCAAGTTGCAATCTTCTACACACACATTTACGGAAATGTGCTGGAACAAGTGAGCGAGTGGGGCATCTCCTATAAATACTAACAGTCACAAAGGTGCATTACTGGCTCAATTAGTTCCCGCTTCTCAAAGTCTGAGGAGTCTTGTTTGGTGAACTGCGTTGACCGATTCCTGTGAGTGATGATCTTCTCTTGATACTCATCTAAATCTGAATATTATACAGTGACACATCATTACACATTGTTAAAGCATTGGACCACCAAAGGCAACAAATGCAACCTCAATAGATTCCTATACATGACCTACGCCATTAATAAGAACTGTTCTTTATTAGTTGAGTACAGCTAGAATTACATTAAGAAAGACCTAAAATGGTTGAGGAAAGTTATTTGAATGGTTGCGCGTGAAAGAAAACTGTTGGAGCATTTTCAACATCCCCTTATCACCATCTCCGCCGAAACCGTCCTCCAAATTGTTTTGTTCTCCTTCATATTCGTACACCTCTCCTAAGCCAAACTCAGGCGATTTTATACCTCCATTACGCCTAGACGATGGCATGACTGAGTCAGACATTTTCTGCACAAAGACTGATCCTGCCTGGTCGCTCGGAATCCACTTGGGATTTGCAGCTTTGAAATTCATCACACTCTTCTCCAATTTTCCATCCTGGCTCATTAGTTTCACATTTTGAGCATCTTTAGGTGCACCAAACTAGATACCATGTTAGTGGTATCTTAGATTGTACACAAACAAGCCTACCTTTGTGTTACCGTGTCTGACGAAATCAAAGTGTGCAAAAGAGCAGATATAACCAAGCTGATCAACCTTGACAGTCGACTGAGACACAAAGTCAATGATCGCTGGTGAGGATTTTGGTAAAGAGTAGTAGAGAATAAGAGGCGTAAAAACGACTGAAAGAATCTCTTGAAGGAAGATAACTATTTTGAGCTCAAATAGCTTTGAAAATTCCCTATGAATGCTCTTTGAGTGCATTTGACTTTGCCATTCTTGGGGCAGATGGTGAGTATAAGCGCATGCCCTCCTCAAAAGTCTTTCGGGGTCATTAACTTCATTCTCTACTGGTACCATTCCACGAGCAATAGCGAGAATTGTCCCAAACAATCCAATGTAGAATACAGTCGTGCGCTGTGGAGATATCTCAAAATGCAAAAACATGTCTTAGAAGGAATTAGCAGGGCATGTCTTCAAAAATAGTCTGCATACCTGGATCTATAACAGATGCGAGTATTAGAACAGCGGCAAATGAACCAGCCACAAAGGCTACAAAGCGCGCCACGATTGCTGCCTTTTCGTTGGGAAATTGCACAATGTATTTTTGGGCATCGTCGTAGGACATATTGAGACGCTTCTGAAAAATATGTTGAAGCTCGTTAAACTCTCTAAACTTCCACCTTGCAAGCTCGGTGTAATTTCTAGAGCCTATTGAAGATGGATTCTTGTGATACTCCTCGAAATACCTAAAGAACGAGTAGAAGAGTAGAAATATGACTAAAAATGGAGCAAGAAGAGCGTTTATGAACGCCAAAACTGTAAAGCGCTTCTTCAATCTAAAATGTGTTAGTCATCTGGTTAGTAAAAACAGTCACACTAACTCTTGGACATTGCGACCACGTGCTGAAGATTGGAGTATTTCAGGCTTAACTTGACCTTTCTCGTCAAAGACGTGTCCAAGCAACGCAAATGAGAGATTCCACTCTAACGCCTTTGTCAAGCCATTTGACGTTGCGAAACTGAGCATCTTGTTAATAATTCGGTTTTGGATGGGTATATTGATATTCAAGAGGTCCTTGTTGAATAGCGCAATGAGATAATTCTCCTGTCGCATGATTCTGTTTGCGACATCAAGCACATCAAGCTGTGCAACCGGATTATGAGAAACATCCACACTCGATAACGCAGTCAAAGGGTTGGACTGCCTAATATGAGAGATCCGCGACACGATTTCCTCCCACGATATAGTCTGAACATCACTCTGGAGGTGAGTTAGCGATGCTATCAAGGGAGCCAAACGAAAGACTTACATCAGGAATATGCAGGACGTGTGTGTAGAACTTGTACATGTCGACAAGAGCTCGCATTGACAGCACGAATGTTAGTACCTGGTATACATAAAAGGTACCAAACGCAAGCAGCCATATCCAAGTTAAGAAAGGGAACCTATCGAATTGTTAGTAAGCAATGTATCGAGATACTAACTTACCTGGAAACGCAATGAGGAATTACTATATCAGACAGATTGCCGTTGTGTGTAATAGCAGAATAGTCGATACAGCCCAAGAGGAAGGTAGAGAAGATGAAAACAAAACCAACGGTAGCGAGGTTGAGAGCTCTCGTAAGAATGATGCAGTAAATACCCTTATTTGTGTAATATCCATATGCCTGCGAGAGGATTACGTCAATAAGATAGTGGATGAGGATATCTACGCACGTCTTGAAGGAATTTGTCAAGATTCTGGACATTAACCCATTTCCACATAGCGAGTTGATGTGCACTCATGCTCCTGCTACTAGGCTGGTAGCTGCTGTTGCGTTGTTGCTGTGGTAAGGGGATTGATGGTTCCGTGTGGGTGTACTTGATGGGGATATCTCTACGATCATCTAGGCTAGTACGCTGATCACCTTCAACGAGGATACTGGGCGGTGGGCCATCATCTTCATCTGTATGGCGTGGATTGAGCTCGACGGTCTCGTGGATATCCTGCTCGTCGTCTTCAAGTGGAGCGTAAGTACTCCTTCGCGAATTCATCAGCATATTTAATATCGGGGTACTGATATCCATCTGTTATTTTATTGGTGGTTGTTATGATTAAACCCGAGAGATAAGATGGCGGCCTCTTAATCATATACGTCCATCATGTCAGTTCATTAGTTGTTATTTTCTCCGCTAACAGCCCAGCAGGTCTCGTGTCATCGTTAAGGGATTACCGTCAACGGCTGATAACAGTGCGCTGAGAACTCACTTCGGCAGCAGAGGTGCGACTATCACAGACGCTAAGGTGGTTTTTAAGAAGGGCAGCGGGGTGGGCACGAGCAGACAATTAGGGAAATCCAGGGGTTTTGGTTTCGTAGGATTTAAAACGCCAGAAGAAGCCCACGAAGCTTTGCAATTCTTCAACAATACATACTGGGGCACATCGAAGCTCGAAGTTGAACTTATTAGTGACAATAAGAGTATTCAAGAGCAGCTTCTTGACGGTAAAGAGACTAGAGCGAAGCGTAGAAGGAAGGAAGGAAACGAAGGTAAGGAGGAGTCAGACAGTGAGGATGAATCAAACAAGAGAATAAAGACACTTAAGCCTGTACATCTCAAGGCTATCGAGATGCAGAAAGCAAAGAACAATACTGGCAATGTGGATCAAGGCCAAGTTGAGGACGTAGAGAAGGATGTAAATACAGAAATGTCTGATCTGGATTACATGCGCGCTAGAATGAAAAGGCGTCATATTCCCGAAGAGCTCGACGACCCAAGCAATAGAGTCCCCGAACACCCACCACAGCCACAGGAAACACCAGAACAAGCTGAAGCTCGTAAGCAAGCAGAGGTTATCGATCAGGTTATGGAAACAGCTCGTATTTTCCTTCGTAATTTGCCATTCAGCTGCACTGAGGAGGACCTCAAGACGGAGTTCTCCAAGTTTGGCGTTGTAAACCAAGCTCATATACCGCTTAGTAATGATACAAAGACTCCCATTGGTATGGCTTACATCTCATTTGCATCTCCAAATTCTGCAGTTGCTGCTTTTAAGGCGTCGGACGGATCAATTTTCCAGGGAAGACTACTTCACGTCCTTCCTGCAGTTAACAAGCGTGCACCTCAGGATCAATCAAATGCAAGCTTTAAAAAGATTCGTAATAAGGATAGAAAAGAGGGCGCTGAGAGCAGAGATTTCAGTTGGTCTGGTTTATATATGAATGTAGGTAGCAAGTGTGAGGCGATTCAAGTACACTAACACACTTTGCGTAGGCTGATGCAGTTGTCAGCTCTCTTGCATCAAGATTGAAAATAGATAAATCTGAGATACTCAGCTCAGAATCCTCTTCTAATCCAGCAGTCAAGGTTGCTTTGGCAGAGACACACATTATTAACGAAACAAAAGGATTTTTGAAAGATCAGGGGGTGAATTTAGATGCATTCTCTCCCGAAAACAAAGGACCTAGACTTGAGAATACAATCCTAGTGAAAAACATTCCATTTGGGACGAGTGTCGATGACCTTGATGCAATTTTCAGACCATTTGGAGAAATAGGCAGGCTGCTTTTACCACCAGCTGGTACGATTGCAGTAGTTGAATTCACATTACCTCAAGATGCTCGCACAGCGTTTAAGAAGCTAGCGTACAAGAGATTGGGCAACTCCGTCCTGTATCTCGAAAAGGCGCCAGACGGAATATGGAGTAAAGAGCAACCATCTTCAGAGGCTATCGCTGGTGGACCTAAACCAGTCGAAGTGAAGGAGAATGAAGCATCCAATGAGGATGGAGGAGAAGCAGCCAGCACGCTCTTTATTAAGAACATTGCATTCAGCAGCACCGAATCTAAGCTTGCTTCCATATTCTCCTCCATTTCTGGATATAGATACGCAAGAATACAAACTAAACCTGATCCTAAGAAGCCTAGCAACCGACTAAGCATGGGATATGGTTTTGTTGGATTTGATAATGAAGAGCACGCAAAGCATGCCCTTTCAACGATGCAGAACTACGTTTTAGATGGGCATTCACTGCAAGTTAAATTCGCACAACGTGGCAAAGAGTTAGACTCTACAAACACCACTTCGATGGGTCAATCGAAGACGACAAAGATGATTGTCAAGAATGTTCCGTTCGAAGCAACGAAGAAGGATGTCAGAGAGCTGTTCGGTATGCATGGTCAGCTCAAATCTGTCAGAGTGCCGCGCAAATTCGACAGAAAGACGCGCGGTTTTGCCTTTTTGGACTTTGTTACAAGGAGGGATGCGGAGATCGCTTACGAGAGTCTAAGACATACACATTTGTTGGGGCGTCACTTAGTTCTTCAATGGGCTGATGATGAGGCCGCGAATGACATTGATGCTCTCAGGGAGAAGACTGCGTCGTCGAGGTCGACCAATATGCCAACGAACAAGACCAAGTTTGTTGGACCGGAGGATTTGGCGTTGGAGGATACTAGCGACTAGAATTGTGAGATTAGTGCATGAATAGATATTTATTGTTATATAACTTTAAGTTATTTGTCTCTTTCTCACCACCACCGATAAGCTATCGATGACGCTGCCATATTACAGAATATCATCGACTTTAGAAGGGCACAGCGATGATGTGAAAGCTGTGCATGGCTGCTCAGACAATTCAATTTTATCAGCCAGCAGAGACGGGAGTGTGAAAAGATGGACGATGGATTTGAACGAGTACAAGCTGGAAGGGACATACGTAGGGCATGGTGCGTATGTGAACAGCGTGGTATACAATGAGGGTGAGTCTTTCTCCGCTCACTAGCACGTTTACGCTCACACTCCAACGGACGTGAAAGAGATAATCTCAGGAGGTTCAGACTCGAGGGTGTTAGTGCACGATTTGGACCGTCAGGACAAGCCCCGCGAGACCCTGCTAGAGCATTGGGGCAACGTTTGCTGTTTATCAGTACACTCGGAAACACTAGTCAGCGGCAGCTGGGATTTGAGTGCGCGGGTGTGGAGAGCGCAAAAAGGGCAATACGAGCAGACGCTCAGACTAGACGGACATGAAGAGGCAGTTTGGGACGTTAAATGTCTTTGCGATGGCTCCTTCCTGACAGCCTCAGCTGATAAGGTTATTCGCCGGTTTGATAAGTCCGGAAGGCTTATCAAGCGCTATCAAGGACACTCCGAGCCCGTTCGCTCACTTGCTTTGTTGAATAACGACGCCTTCTTCTTGTCGGCGTCTAATGATGGCACACTGCGCAAGTGGGCTGTCGAGACTGGAGAGCAAGTGTGCGTTATGCGTGGACATTCGTCGTTTGTGTATGCAGTGGCTGCACTTGCATCGCCCACCGATGATGATTTCGTTGTCAGTTGCGGAGAGGATTTTGAAGTGAGATTGTGGCTGGGTGAGTTTGGGCTATTGCAGTGCCTCCTTTATGGCTAATCGAAGAACCAACTTCAGGTGAAACCTGCTTGCAGACTATTCTCATACCCGCTGTGTCTATCTGGAGCGTCACTGTGCTTCCGAATGGCGATTTCGCAGTCGGTACTTCGCAGAATCTTGTTCATGTCTTCACACGTGCGGAAGAGCGTACAGCTACCAATGTAGCTTTAGATGTGGGTTTTGTGGTTTATCGGTAGCTGTGTCTCAGACAATAAATCAGGAATGGGAAGCACAATCAGCGCAGCTGAAGGAGAGGTTTGTGACTGTACACTTATCGTCCTTAACACTAACAAAGCCAGACAAACGGGCAGATCAGAAGAGCGGTTGGTGAATGAAAAGTCACCGGTACTGATTGATATAGACGTCGATGATGACACACCGAATCTGCAGCTCAAGTGGGAAATGGGCGATGATGTAAACGAGACTGCCAGGAGGTTTGTCGAGGAGCACAGCTTGTCGCCGAACTATGAAGATCAGATAGCGCAGTTCCTATGGCAGGCCGTGGGAGGCGTAGGAGGGGTGGAGGTAGGACAGCAGATTGATAGCGTTGAGGGTGCGCATAATGATGCGGAAGCAGAGTCAGAATCAGAATCAGAATCAGAGTCAGAAGAGTCATTAAAGCCGCCAAAGTCAAATTCACAGTCAGAGTCAAAATCAGAGTCGCCAAAGTCAAAGACAAAGTCGCCAATTAAGCGACTCGCAGAAATACTAACATCCAGTGCGAGTAGGTAGCATAGAAAGTGTCAAGAAATGACTAACCAGGTTGTGCAGCTAGGAGGGTGATTGTGATGGCTGGCGCTGGAGTATCGACGGGTGCGGGACTACCAGATTTCCGCTCACCTAACACGGGGCTGTACGACAATCTGAAGCAATACAATCTGCCCTACCCGGAGGCGGTTTTCGATGTGGATTTCTTCCGGGAGCAGCCCGAGCCATTTTACGCTTTAGCCAAGGAGCTATACCCTGGGTCGTACCTGCCTACGATGACGCATTATTTCTTCAGACTGCTTGAAGTGCGAGGCATTCTCAAGCGCGTGTTCACGCAGAATATCGATACATTGGAGAGAGTAGCGGGTGTTTCTGACGAGAAGATGGTAGAGGCGCACGGGTCGTTTGTGCGAGCTCGTTGCATAGATTGCAAGGTGGTGAGCGATGGGGCATACGTCAAGCGGTGCGTAATGCAAGGTGTCATACCACGCTGTCAAGAGGAGAACTGCTCGGCTTATGTTAAACCTGATATAACATTCTTCGGAGAGGCTCTCCCGAAAAGGTTCTTCGATCAGCTGGATGACTTGGGTGAATGCGATCTGCTCATGGTGCTCGGGACTTCGCTCGAGGTGCACCCTTTCGCTAGCCTCATTGGTTTGGTGGAGAAGAGCGTTCCGCGCGCGCTGCTCAATCTTGAACGTGTGGGTGAGCGCAAGTATGACGGAGGGTTTGATTTCGAGGACGGGAGCAGGGATATCTTCTGCGGAGGTAGAACAGACAATGTCATTGTCGAGCTGGCCAAGGAGTGTGGGTGGCTCGATGAACTGATGGAGCTGTACACCACTGAGCGGGGAAGCAAGGCGAAAGAGTTTGCACTGGAGGGTGCGCTCGACAAGTTGAGATTGTAGAGTTGTTTTACTACTATCACATAATGACGTATCAGAATGGCTTAATAACATATTACAAGTTAAAGGTAGTGAATAGCCTGCTAGCTTAGATATTTTAACAACTGGAGAGTTGAGAAAGAGGGAGATAAAAGCATGAGCCCTAAAAAAAAGAAGACCCATCTACTCATCGTCTTCGTCACTCTTAGCCTCCTCTTCGTCATCATCGATTTCTTCCTTCTTTGCAGGTTTCTTAGATTTAGTAGACTTCTTGCTATTCTTGCTTTTCTTTTCATCCTCGTCGTCATCGTCATCCACCTTGTCTGCCTCCTTGCTAGATTCATACTCTTTCTTTTCTTTTTCATATCTGGCTTTATCAGCCGCAGCCATATCCTCGTATGGCTTCCTCTCCTCACTGCCCATTTCCTTCCACTTGGCACCGAGCAGTCTACCAATTTCGCCAAAGGATACTTTGTCATTCTCTTCCTTTACGCGAGGACGCCATTCTTGTGACATGTACATGTACGCAGATAGCGCGCGCTTGGGAGCGTTTTCATCTTTCTTTCCTTTTGTGGATGCTTTCTTGGTATTAGCGCGTGGTTTTGTCTCTGCTTTTGGCATCTGCGGGAGGTGTTAAACAAGTATGGGGGTGTGAGGAATGTGGTTTGTGCGTGTGTGTGTGTGTGTGTGTGTGTGTGTGTGTGTGTATTAGCGGGAGCAGCATCGCTGCAAATGTCTAGAGTACCTGGGAGTCATCTGCAAGTTATCTTGGCCTCTACGTTTTCTTTCCATCTCATCTCCCTCATCTCCACCGAAAACGCGCGCGAATGGACACACGCACAAAAAACACCACAGCAGCCACGACCATCATCCTCATCTGTGCAGAAATACCCACTTTTAATTAACTCCTCGTTGTTTTGCGCAGAGTGCCACGCCTGGTGTGGTCTGCTGGAGAGGCGGGCCATTTTTTATTTTAATTGAAAGCAGAACAAAGGTAAGGCGGCGGAAAAGGAAGGCGGGAGTGAAATATGTGAGTTTGTAAAAGTATAATTGAATATAGATGTTAGATGTAGATGATTTATACGTGAATAAGACTACGTGTTTTGTGTGTAAACTACTGCATTACTGCACAGCGCCCATGATCAATTCACAGGTGAAGCTATTAGGTGACCTAACGACCATCTCGAGGTTGACGCCTTCACCCTCCTCGAAAGCCATTCTGGCCATAGCGAGTACCTTGCCTTGAGCACTACCGCGGATGATACACCCACTAAGGCGGAGAGTGTGGAGGTGAGCGCTACCCACGACATCCGATCCACCCAAAGCCATCATACCGAGAAGGGCGGTGAGAGCGTCTGTAGCTTCCTGTAGACTACCCATAGCGGAGAGGGTGAAAGAGTCGCGTAGTTCACTGTGTTCGCTGTGCTCCATCGACATTGCCTCCCATTCTCCATCGAAACTGACCCACTCAGGACGTACATAGTCACTTATACCCAGTTCCACGTCATCCACTTGATATTCATCCGCATATCCCTCCTCCTCCACCATACCACTATCTGGATCTACCTCTTTGGTGGTAAAGGTGAGAGTGTTGGAGAGTGCGCCAGTGGGGTAGCCCGCATTGTCACCGTTACCGTCACCTTCATCGTCAATAAACGAGTAGCTCACGTACGTACTCCGTTCGCCATCTGCAACTGTAAGTGTATCGATGGGAAGGATAAAGTCCTCGCGCAGGCTACCACCCACATCACCAAGACCCATCAACACACTTACCCCATCAAGTACCGCCTCTGGGACCGTGTTGCGCACGTGGTATTCAAACACTACATGCTCGCTGAAGAGGTGCTTCTGTACACTCACTACATACTCCGTCTCCTCTTCTGTGAGATGGACTGGTGGCGATGTGTGCAATGGAGCACCGTATCCAGCGAATTCTGGGATAGACGTGATGTTGGTGGTGCTCGACAAGGCATGTGAATTGTGTGCAGATGTCGCTGCAGAAGCAGGTGCATCGTGTGATAAGAGCAATTCTTCAGAGTGAGCGGTTGCGTTATCCTTGTTATTTTTGCTATTTTCACTCTCACCCTGCTTCTCACCTAGGTCTCCCAACCTACCGACATGGGTATCCAATCTGATTTGGTCCTTGGGCATGCGTGGGATAACGGCAGAGTTGAAAGGCTCTTCATAATTTTGCTCTGTGGTATATGTGCAGAGGGATTTCTCCAATACACCCACACTCCATGTGTGCTCCTCGTGCGTCGTACGCTTGGCAAGCTCGTCGTCGTGAATAATACGCATGTACATGGCAGCTCTGTCGCGCACCTCGTCATCGCTATCGTCGAGACAGCGTCCGAGGAGCACTTTAACTGAACGTCTAACATGTTGGGCAGCGTATGCGACGTTTGTGCCGAATTTTGCCAAACTAGATACAGCAGCGGCGCGTACGATTGCATTCTCCAACACTACACGGTTGTATATATGGCGAATGTACTTGGTAGGCTCGGGTGTAGAGGGGCCTTCCACACCAAGCAAGTGCAATACACGCACGGATAACTTGGTGAACTCGCAATCTTCAATAAATTCACAAAGGTGGGCCAGTGCCATCTCTTTGCTCTCGCCTATACCCTTTATCATGTCGATTATCGCTTCCACTACCGCACGTTTGAAGTCATACCCTCCCTCATCACGTAAGGCCTGCGAGAGGAAAGCGAGCATTGCGGGGTATTTATTAGGGAACTTGAGACATAAAGTACGGACGGCATCCACCACTATCACCTTGAATTCATCGGAAATTTCAAGCATGAAGGAGGAAATTTGCTTCATTAGCCTATCTACGCTGGCTTCATTGCCTGTCTTTAGCAAGGTGGTGATTGCGAAAGTGGCAATGGAGCGGTTAGAGTCGGTAATAAGGTTTTCAATTTCGAGGTTGCAGGATGAGACGGTAAGAGGGTGTCTCTGTGCAAGGTCGTTGAGAGTGCGAATGGCAGCGAATTTGAGGGGAGTGTTGGGGGTGCTGAGAGCGAGTTGAAGAACAGCGACAGGACGAGAGAGATGAACAGGAGTAGCACCATTCCACTGGCAGATAGCTCTCGCAGCTTCAATGGAGACCATGTCAGATTTATTGCGTAACCAGGATTCCAATAGGGGGAGGATGGATGAGGAGAGGTTTGGATCGGAATTGATTAGGCGTGAGGAGTAGCGCACGAGCATTGAAAGGGCTAGAGGGTTTCTAAGGGAGGAAGGCGATTGGGTGAGGGACTGAATGAGTTTCGAAATAGCGACTCTGTCTTTATGACGGATATTGTAGAGCAAACCGAGAGCGTGGTATTGGGCGGTAGATGAGGGGTTAGTGGACAAGGCATCAAACACCTCGTTTGACCATCTGTTGATGGTATCGGAAGCTTGTGGGTGGATGTGGTAGGATGAGACGAGTGCAGAGGAGGAAATAGCGGGGGATCTGTCGACGATGGCATTCTTATAAAACCTTTCAAATGATTGGATCATGGAAGGGTGAGTGATTGCAGCGAGAGTTCTGATTGCATTTGGGCGGTAAATGAGGTTTGAATTTGGCTGAATATCTTTAATAATCGAGGAGGTGGCCATGAGAACATCGTCAGCCTGGTTTGATAGCTGCTTCACCACCAAGTAAACCATCTGCCTCAAAGCAGGATCTTTGTTTTGGAATAATTTGGTGATGGAGAAGAAAAGGTTTGTAGATTCTAGTCTGTTGAAGCTGTCGTCGAGCAATAAATATGACAGCTTGGTCAATAGAATCCTTGAATTCCTCGGACTGATTGGTGATTGGTTGAATATTCTAGCCTCTTGGAATATAGTAGTCTGGGTGTGGTTAGATGGCTACAAATCGGCGTAAATAACCCAATAACCCACCTTGTCTTGATTTAAATTATTTAATTTATCATCTTCATCCTTTTTTATATTCAAGTTCATGGTTGATGCGTTGGATAGACAGATACAACGACCAAGATACTTTGAATAAAATAAAAAATGGGCGGCGGTGATCTAAATATGAAAAAGAGCTGGCATCCTATGCTGATGAAGAACCAGAGAGTGGTTTGGGATAAAGAGCAGGATGTTCTCCACGAGAAGAAGAAACTTGAGCAGTTGAGAAGGGAGAAGGAGGAGGAGAGGCAACTGCAGCAACTGCAGCAATTACAACACGCTTCTACGGGCTCAGCACCTTCCGACAGAATGGAATGGATGTACGCTGCTCCTGCCACCGCTAACTCTTTAAACTCATCCGAAATGGAAGATTATCTCCTTGGCAAGAAGAGGGTTGATCATATTCTAAAGGGTGACGATGAGAAAGGGCTAGCGGGTCAGCAGCAACAGCAACCTCAACAGCATCCCAACAATCCCCGTGACACCTCCTCTAAGATCAAACTAGACCCAATGCTCGCAATTAAACAACAAGAACAAGCTGCTTACGACGCTCTCCTTAAAAACCCATTTAAACTTGGTCAGCTGAGGGAATCCGCAGGTCATTCATCCTCTTCCTCTAGAGCTGAAAAAGATGAACGCAAACAAGCTAGACATGAAAAGAGGTTGTTCAAGGAGAGTTTAAGAGAGGGTAAAACACGTAATGATAGATTGGGTGATAGGTATGGTGATATAAGGGGTGATAGACGGAGTGGTAGATACAGCGATAGATACAACGATAAATATAGCGATAAATATAGCGACAGATACAGTGACAGATACAGCGACAGATACAGCGACAAATACAGTGACAGATACAGCGACAAATACAGTGATAGATACAACGATAGATACAACGACAGATACAACGATAGATATCGTGATAGTCATCGCTACTCCCCACCACCACGCAAGCATCACTCCCCATCACAGCATCCCCCAAATCCCTCCTCACAGTCTCGCGCTGATAAGTTGGCCGCTATGTCAGCTTCTGCCCAATCACTCCAATCCGAACGCGACATTCGCCTCGCAGACATGCAACGCAAGGATGATGCCGAGAAGAAGCGTGACGATATTGCTAGATCCAGAGATGTGAAATATGGCAACCACAATCAATTCATTGCAAACGAGCAACGTAAAGTTTATTCTGGAGATGGCGGTCTAGCTGAGCAAATGAGACGGAGGGGTGGTAACGGTGGTGGTGTAGTGTAATATAACAATTAACATAAATATATTCATGTACTTGTAAATGTACATCTAATTCTATCTCCATTTAAACAACCCACTCTAAACACTAATCGTTTTGCAAATATTAAACCCATCCGAGGCCGTAGACACAAAACAGCCGGGCACCTGCGCATGCCAGTGAACCTCTTTGATATCCTTCTGGCCTTGATGACAGAACATGAGTTGAGGAGGAACGAGCTGCTCGACCTCGCTAGCCAACTCCTCCTGATCGAGCTCAACAGCGAGATCCCACAGGGTGACCTGATCGTCTGCACCTGAAGCAGCGAGGACCGAAGGCTCCTTATGATGCCACTCGATGCCCGTAATAGGACCTTTATGCCAATCGAACTGAGCAGCAGGCTGAGGGGCAGTGCTAGTACCTGGTTTGAAATTGCGCAAATCCCACACCTTTACCATTCCTTCATCACCCCCAGATGCCAGCAGATACTCCGTGTTTTTGTTCCAATTAATTACGTTCACATCCTCGCTATGTGCGTCGAGGACGCTGACGACAGCTGTGCGCGTGCGCACACGCGTATCCCATACGCGCACACTCCTGTCAGCAGAGCACGATGCGAATACGGTGCGTTCACTAGGCGACCACTGCAGGTCCTCAACGGAAGAGGTGTGCGAGGTGAATGGGGCGGGTGACGGGATATATCCGCTATCAGTGAAAGTAGAGTTGTGAATAACGCCCGCGCAGTCACCCGTCAGGAGCTGTCTCTCGCTCGCACCCTCGCGCGACCAGTCAAGCGCAAAACCCTCTTCGCTATGCGAGTTTATAGTGTAAAGAGGTTTATTATCGCGCGTCTTATCTACCATATACCCTGGATTAGCTAGTGCGAGTTGATGAGGACGGATGTTGAAGATGTGCACTTTGCCTGTATCTGCCCAGGTAGCAGCGAGATAAGGACGGTTGGGCATGCTAGTTGGATCAGTTGGTACGAAATTGTCTTCCACGCCCGCCACTCGGAATCGATTGATTCCACCGCGGTGCGCAATTGACTTGTACTCAAGTGTAGGCGTCTCATCTGCCGTCTCATCATCTTCTTCTTCGTCGCTGTCATCGTTCTGCTGCGTCTTCCATAAATTCCCCCAGCGCATTACGAGCACCTCATTCGCATCACCAGCCGCTTGCGTTCCCGTTGCTGCGTACATCTCTTGCGGATACGTACGGCGCTCCTCACCGCCCCCATCGCGCAACAAGTCGAACGACAGACAAGGCCATGGAACAGACATCGTGTGCAGCATCTCGTAAACTGAGTTATCAGGCTCGAGTATTTCGTCTGGTTTGAGTTTATATTGGTGCGGTATGTAAGGCTGCGCGGATGGTGCTTGGGTGTCTCCTTCTTGGCCATTGTCGCCATTATCCACGCCGCCTATCTGCTCCATATCGTCCATCTGCTCCACCCCATCCTCATCCTCATTCTCCCCGTCGTGTACCTCCCCGTCGCTCTCAAACTCATCCTCGTAGTTGTCCTCAAATTCTCCCATCCCGTCTTCTCCTCCCCGGGAACCGTCGTGGCGCTCTTGTCCAGCGCGGCTCTTGGCTTGTGGCTGCTCTGCGCTGGCTGCTAATGGCGACGAGCGTCTCTTTGCTGGCATCTTGGTTGGTGGTCGTAGTCCGGAACAAGGCGTTGCAAAGGAAATGAAATTTGTGTTGCGAGTGCAAGTTGACATTAATAAAGATAACAATTAAATAGTACATACGCCAACCACATAAACGCATCAAATACACACTCTTAACACGCTCATTTACCCCACATTTGCCCTCTCTGGATCCTTCATCCTGTGCACCTTGACCTCCTTGCCCAGCGAGATACTCGACATGTCCTGTGGCGTGATGAGCACGTACTGTATCCCTGTCGACGATTTCGCAGTTTCGATCTGTTGAGCGAGCGCGTCAGCAATCACCTCACAACAAATCCCCACACACCATCATTTTCATACTGATTTTGCGGTTAACAGCATCCATAAACACCTATTATCCGCGTTAGTCATGTCCTGTACCCACGCACTCCACCCACATCGAACTCATCCAGACATCTGATAGGACATCCAATCGCCTCCCATAGCGATAGGAGGAGGCAGATTGTAGAGAAGCTCTTCTCTCCGCCCGACAGCGACTTGGGATCCTTATCGCGTCTCCCCTGCGTAGCGAGCTGGTCGTCCGTCTGCACCATCAAATCGAGACGTCTTTCACTGTGGTTGAAGTTGATTGTCCCGTAATACCCACGCACCGAGAGATGAAACATGAATTGGTACTTGGCTCGCATAGCGATGTGTTTACGAAACTGCAGCCATTTCTGGGTACGCAAGTCGAGTGCCTTTTTAAGTTGGCGGATAAACGCATTCATCTCGTTTATATCTTTGTGCGCGCTATCTACGGCATCCAAAGCTCTGTGGTACTCTGCCGTCACTGCCTCTATGCCTTGTCCACTCCTCTGCTGCCGCGCGTGCAAGGCTGTTTCTATGCCCTGTATGTCGCGCTGTATGTCCGTGACTGTGCGTGTCGTGTTCACTCGCCCTGGACATATCTCGTCTGCTTGCTCGAATGCTAATTTCAAGTCCCTCTCCAGTCTCCCCAATTTACTCTCGAATACACCTACTTTTTCTGACTCCTGCTGTTTCTGCTTGCGCCGGTGGTTCAGTGCTGCCACTGCCTGGTTATTTGCGTTGTGCGCATGTTTCAAATTTTCCTCTATGTTCTGCCGCGTCTTGTCGTAGTCTGCCAGCTGTCTCTTCACCTCACTCAAACGCTCCATGTGCGGTTGAATGGAACTATTCAGTTCGTGCTGTTTGCTCGCTATCGCTGCATACTGCTGCTGCACTTTGCCCACCTCCTCCTTTTGCTCTGTAATGGCGTCGTCGAGTGCGGATATGTTCACCGGCTGCACACTCTGCAGACTCTCTCTCAGCTGGTTGATCTTCTCTTCACAATTTCTCTTCTCGTTGTATGCGCGGTTCTGTTCGCCCTTGTGTCGCATTGCTTCCTGCCTCACCTCTTCCACCCTCGCTGATGTGCTCATCTCCTGTCTCTGAATTCCTTGGTAATTTGTTCTAGCTTCTTTCAGTCGCTCCTCGGCTATCCTGCGCGCTTCCGTGTAATCAGTCGTCAGTCGAGGCGCTCCCTTGTAAGGAGGGAGTGTAATAGTTGAGCTCCCCACACCACCGCCAACTTGGAATAGTCCATTTAGTACATAGCAGCTTGTCACATTGTTCGGTTGGTTTCTCATTATTTTGTCAGCATCTTGGCGATCTCTAACCAGTATTGACGACTCTGAACGCGATTGGTTGACCAGTATACACCTCACTTCGGATGATTCACACTTTAATACCCTATCGATGGTGACAAACTCGCTGGATGGCTCACCGTTCGAGAAATCAAATGTCCTTTCACCCATCTGAATTACACCCGATGACGCGCCGTGTCTTTTCAAAATACCAAGCAACTTCTTACGGTCTTGGAAGTTGCTACAGGCGAATGCATTGAGCGTTCCACCCAACACACTCTCCAAAACTTTGCTCCATTTGTTATCGACCAATTTGACATATCTACCGAGTGGGCCGATTGGCTTTTCATTCCACTGCTGTCTTTCAATCTCTCTGATAATCTCAGGCATCTTATTTCCAAATGCTGCCTGTCTGTCGTTTTGAGATGCTCGAATTTGGTTAATGTCCTGCTGCGATTGCTGGATGTTGCTCTCCCAACCACTCTTCTGTCTCTTGAGATCTGCAAACTCATTCGATAGCGCTTCAGATTGGTTTCTCATTTCATCCACGTTCGATAAGGCCTCGAGTTCACTCTGGTTGTGCAACTCTATTTGCTCCTGCAGCTCATCCATCTTGCGACGCGTTTCATCGTTCTGTGCATTGTGGTCGATTTGCAGACGTGCATACTCTTCATTCTTCTGGTTCTCGAAGTCTCTAATTGTCGTTTGGATTTCATTGAGATAGTGGTTTAAATCGGCTTCCTCCTTTCTGTTGTTTTGGAGCTTAGTTTTGTGCACTTTAAAGTGGTCGTTGAGCGCCTCCTTCTCCTTTCTGAGTGCATTTAGTTGTGAGTCCTCGTCCATTGTGATCGATTCATATTTCTGCACCTCGGCCTGTGTCTCCTGATAGTCCATCTCGGCCGTTTGGAGAGCCTCTTCAATGGCGACCATTCTCTGCCTCGCCACCTCGTAGTCCTTCTCTTCGGCGTCGATATCTCTCTGCATCGCGGCGGGCACTGACCACGCTAGCTCGTTCTTCAGTTCAAGCAGTTTGTGCTGCTGATCTCTCGCCTTGGTCGCCTCTTTGTATCGCGAGTGTGCTCTATTTGCAGCCTCTTCTAGCGCTGGCAGCCTCTCCTTCTTATGCACGGTTGCGTCTCTCGCACTTGAGATGTTTTCGGATATAAGCTGGTATTCGTCCGAGAGCTGCGTGAGCTGTGTGCCCTTAAGGAAGAAGTCATACTTCTCCTTGGCATGGCTGGCACTCAGGAATTGTCTCGCTTGGTCCTGGCTGAGGACGTTCATTGGGTTGTCGACCTGTATCATAAAGTGGTCGCAGATTGCTGTCAACTCCTGGCGCGTTGTGCTCACTGTTTTCCCGCTCGCACTTTTCAGCTTGAGGGCGTTGCCGATATCCCTCACCGTGCGCTCCACAACGATCGTCTTGCCGTAAACATCCTGCTTGTATGCTTCAGTGCCTTCGTTCTTTAGTTTGAGAATGATTTGTGCCTGGCTGTGGAAATTGTTGAGTGATCAGCCTCCGCGAAGAAGACACACCAACCTCTGACCAGATTTAATAAACGACTTCAAGCTGCTGCCTCTGTTCGTAGCTGTAGCTCTCCCACCCAGCGCCAGAGTTATCGCTGTGAGAATTGCTGATTTCCCAGAACCGTTATGACCGATGATGAAGTTGAGCTGAGGGCCCAAGTCAACTGGTGCTGTCAGCTGGATGCTCTGGATAGCCACCTGCACGAAACTCACAGGATAAATACTTGTGGCACATGAAATTGTACACCTCCACGTACTGGATAATTCCAGCAGCTGCGACTCTTCCCTTGCTTTTCTTCTGCGTCTGGTCCTGCCTCTGTTCCTGCGCCACTATCTGCATCTGCGCCGCATCAATCTCCTCATCTTCTTCGAGCTGGTCGTCGTCTTCTGAATTACCACCCTTGTGCTGCTTGTGTGGCGGCTGGAGATTATTTTAGCGCGTAAAACACCAGTAAATCCCCACCCACGCCATCTGTATCCTCCTCCAACAACAATCCATTATCCCGTTTTCCGCGTTTCATTAGTGATGATAACCGAGAAGACGCGTGTGTCATCATCGAGGGTGGTGTTATACTTTTATCGTACACATTCTCATCTCAAGTTTCCTTTTGGTAAACGCGTTCTTTTACATGCATCATTTCGGTCCTCGAAAACACACAGCAGCTAGTTCCTGTTCGCTCTGGGCCGTCGATAGCACACTTGATTGATAAATTCTCCTTTACTGCTATGTATTTTGTAGCTTTGAGCCGACTTAGTACAAATACAGCCTTCCTTTCACCTAAATCAGACTTTCCTGAACAATGAAAATTTCTGTTGCTGCCATTTGCAACACGAGCAATGGGTTAAGAACAAAGTAAAGACTTTCATGACATATTCATAGCATATTTTAACCGGTTCAAACAATCTGAAAAGGGTACGCATTGATATTTGTCTCCTGAATATATATGAACGTTTGCATTTGCAATATCAACAGCAGTGATATGAGAATGAAGAACAATTCGTTGGAAATTGACCTTCAATTACAATCGCCTACTGCCTTTGGTTGATTAGGGGCTCCCGCGCAAGTCAAATAGATTGACAGCCGGAGCTTCAAATCCATTCACTCTAAATCAATTACTCTCGATGTCATCGAACTCTTCCATGTCGTCGACGTCAATACCCTTTTCCTCAGCTAAGAAAACCAAGCGTGTCAAACGTAACAGAATTGTCATCGACTTTAACTAGAATCGTCGCTTGATGCAAAGACTTCAAGAGTCAAGTTGTCTCATTTTATATTGCTACAAAATATTTGCTAACTATATTTTCTTGCTCAATCTTTTTGGAACAGTCTTTTCGCTCAAGCAAACGTCTTGAAAATCTTCTTTGTCAAACTTCTTTCTTGATAAATCTTCATTATCCTTGGACAATCACATACTCAAACTCATCGTGAGCATGTGTTTGCCTTGTGTGTTAATCAGTGTTAACAATATTCAGCATCAACAGCTAGTCATATCAACATCCTGCTTGTATTAAGCACTATGCCTGTCAGCTTCAACGAGTAGACTAAACGAGTGAAATAAAAGATTCATAAAATAGAAGAATAGCTACACGACTAGATGTCATCGAACTCTTCCATGTCGTCGACGTCAATACCCTTCTTCTTGAGCGCCATACGTTCCTTCTTCTTCTTTCTGAGCTCAGAGGCGTTCAATCTGGCCTGTTTCTTTTCGCTGACGATCTTGTTACCAAGGGCATCAAACTTGTCTTCTTCATCGTCCTTCTTCTCAATCTTGGTCTTACCTTGACCTTCGACCTATAATGACGTCAGTGAGATATTTTCCAGAAAAGTGTGATATTTCTACTTGCCCAATTATGACCTGATGCTTCCAAGTAACCGTCTCTCATTGCCCTGTGTAACGCTGTCAGTATTATTCACACTAGTAACAAGTGTCACCCACCAAACTTCGGAACAGATCGATTCGGAGAATTCTCTGTTGTGAGTGATGATCAAAACACCACCACCGAAGACCTTGAGGGCTTCAATGAGTGCTGCGAGTGACTCTCTGTCGAGATAGTTTGTTGGCTCATCCAAACAGATTACGTGTGGCTTTCTCCAGGTGGCAGCACCGAGAACAACCTTGACCTTTTGTCCACCAGAGAGACCTGCTTGGGTGTAAGAAATAGACTCTAAGATACTATATCACCATACCTCTCATGGTGTTGTGGGTGGTGAACTCTGACTCGAGACCAAAGTCCTCAAAGTGCTTCTCGATCTCCTTACGCACAAGTGGTCTCATCATACCGAGTCTCTGGGCCTCACGGGTGTCAACCTCCATGACCTTCTTCTCGAAACCTCTCTTGACGAGCTCGTCGCGAGAGAACCACATGTTGTCAGCAGAGGACATGCCCTTGAAGCCACACTCGTACTCGTAAGATTGCTTGAGCTTCTTACGGCCGACAATCTCCTCAATGTAGCGCTTCTGGCCTTCGATGATGACGACAGAGCCGTTCTTCATCTTCTCAGCCTCCTCCTCGGTGATTTGGCGCGTCTCCTTCATCATCTCCTCGAGATCCTCACCTGTCTGGTATCTCCAGAGCATGTACTCGAGTGGGGTCTTGTCGAGGTGGTTGTCGATGTGGTGGAAGGCGTGCTGGGCGACATATCCGATAACCAGGTTAGGGTGCTTCCATACCTCACCGCTAATGTTTGGCTCAATGTCACCGATGAGCAGCTTGACGAGCGTCGATTTACCCGCTCCGTTTGGTCCGAGGACGGCAACACGTGACGAGAGGGATACTTGCAGCGTTATGTCAAACAGCTGTTGCACCTTGGCGGTAGGGTACTGGAAGTTCACCTTACGCATCTTGAGCAGCGACTTCTCCTTGGTCTTGACACCCTCCAACATTGGTGGCTCTGGGAGAATGAACTTGTACTCCTCGCTAGCGGCAATCTCGAAGAAGGACTTGGCCTCTGGGACGAGTTTAGCAAAGTTCTCGAGGTTACCTGGGTAACGCTTGATCTTGAACTTGCTCAAGTAGATGACGTCGGTGATGGTCTTGTTGAGGAACTCCGAGTCGTGGGACACAATGATGGAGGTACAGTGGGTGAGGGAGGTAAGGTAGTCAATGATCCATTGCACGTTCAACACATCCAAGTGGTTGGTTGGCTCATCGAGCAACAAGATGTCGGCCTTGAAGAGGATGGCTCTGGCCAAGGCAAGCTTCATCTTCCATCCACCAGAGAGAGAGCCGATGGACTCGTCTTGGCGCTCCTCACTGAAACCGACAGTGGCCAAACCTTGTCTGATCTCAGCTTCGTCAGCCTCAATACGCTTGTCAGCTTGGACGAATTGGACAACAGTGGTGTCTTCCTCGCTACCGTCAATGTCGTGCTCGACGTAGAAGGTACGGACTTCGTCTGGTGATGGGAAACCTTCAACTTGACCATTTACAATGGCTCTCATGAGAGTGGATTTACCGGTACCGTTACGACCAAGGAGACCGTATCTGTGACCTCTCTTAAGACGAAGGGTGGCGGTGTTGAGAAGAATCTTAGCACCGTAAGCCAATGAGAAGGTACAGTTACAGAGATCTTCACCCTCCTCTTCGTCAGGGAAGACGTGCTCAACCTCGGCATCGTCAGCGGAGGTCTTTTCGAGCAACTCCTTGACGACGGCCTTTGCTTGTGAGTTGACAGAGGCTGGGTCGACAGCGTTGAGTTGGAGAGAGATGAGCTGGACGAGAGCAGAAGTCCACTCAGTTTCCTCACCGCAGCGAGCATTTGAAAGCTCTTGGCCGAGACGGGCAATGTATGCGACGAAGCAGTCGTCAGCCTTGGCGAGAGAGTCACCAGTGTTCTTGAGAGCGGCAACTAAGACATCAACAACGTGGTTGAGTTCGATGGTTTTGATTGGTGGGAGATCGGTACCATCCGAGTTTTCTGGTACGCTACCAACTTGACGGAGCTTCTTGATAGCGCGGTTGACGACAGAACGTGCTTCTGGGTCAGCGACAGATTCCTCAATCTTGATAAGACCTGGAAGAAGCTTTGGAAGGAAAGGACGAACGATACGCTCGTTGTCGACGAGGGTGGACATGTTGTCGATAATGACAGCAGTCTTACGACGGAGAGCAGTTTGACGTTCAGCGAGACCACGAGAGAGAAGAGGTTCCATGAGGGCAAGGGTTGGTGAGTCGACCTCAGAAACGAAAGTGGTAGCGGCCAAAACTTGGATAGTTGTTGGGACCTTTTCGACTGGGTTGATGAGACATTCTTGGAGTGCAGGAATGAATTTTTCAATATCCTTGTTGTTGACCTGGAGTGGAATATTGGTTAGTACATCAAGATAGCCACTTCAAAACACCCTCACAAGAGAACAAAGCTTCTTCAAAGAAGAACGTGCAGCCTTCTTGACATCTGATTTGGTGTCCCACATAACTTCAGCAAGAACAGGCATACAATCCGGCATGAGACGAGCCATTTGGTCAGGGACAGATACAACGAGCTTGTTGAGAACAGCCAAACCACCAGTCTTAATTTGCCATTTACCTGCGGTTCTGATTTGCTCGAGGAGTGGTGGCAAAATGAAGGCAGTGGCCCAGTTGTTCATGACTGCGACGAAATCTTCAACGGCCTTGACAGCAGCATCTCTAACAGCATTGCTCTTATCAGCGAAAGCTTCCAAGAGAGCGCCAAAGACGTCGTGTTGGGTTGAAAGAAGGAGGTATGGCTCAACAGGAGTGAATTGGCCACCTGCGACGATAGCAGAGATCAATTCGGCTGCGCCCTGTCTAGCGGTTTCGTTCTTCTTTTCAGATAAACCGCCGAGGATAGATTCAGGGAGAGAGAGAGTGGCGACTGCAGCAGGGCCACCGTCCTTGATAACTTTTACAACAGCTTCTTGAGCTGCGTTACGCGCGGCTTTATCAGCGTTGAATATGGCTGAAGTGTCTAACTGTCCCGGCGTAGGCATTTCCTCGTGGTTCTTGGTTAAGAGAAGGTTGGAATCCAACTTGACGAGCTTGTGAGATAATTTTTTAAAATATTCCGGGAAGAGCGTGAAAACGGTGTAGATGAGAGTGTACACGTATTTATTAAATAAAATACCAAAATTAAAGGACTGGTCGAGGTCAGATGCGTCTCCGGTGGCTGCTTTGGTCGGTGGAGATAAGCCCAGGCAGAAGGAAGCGAGAAGACAGGATGCTAGTGGACCAGAGAACAAGGAAATGTGGATGAGGCATGCTTCAAGGATTAAGAATAAATATCCAGATGGCTGGCAGCCAAAGAATAAGCTCAGTAGGGGAGCTATGAATGGTATAAAGGAGCTACACGATTATGATCGTGTGGAGTTTAGCGTGGAAAACTTGAGTAGGCGTTTTAAGAGATCTCCGGAGAGTATACGTAGGGTTCTCAAGAGTAATTGGGTGCCTAATCAACTCAGGGCCAGTGAGCAGAATGAGCGAGCGGAAAGGGGAGTCACGAATGAATTAAATTCATCTCAATCATCTCGGCCGCCTCACGGTACACACGCATCTCACACTCACCCAAATCGCAAATCATTCTCAGATAACGTAAACGCCATCAAACAATATCTATCAAAGCATCCATCAAAACACTCAAACTCAAGTTGAATGACTATCACCAGTTATAATAAGGTACAGGGTTTATAATCTTTGGAGACTCCCTCACCACACCAGGTGATCTAGTTTTGTTGAGAATTTTCATCCACTTTTGGTCCTTTTGTTGAGATATTGAGGGGTGAGGGGTGAGTAGTATCTTAAGCCTAGACTGTGGATGCTGCTTAATACCAGTTCTCATCCTACCTTTAATATCAATTCTCTTATCAGGCGTACCTCTATTAACGTATGCTTGATTAACGACAAGGTTGTGTCTGTCAAGACCCTTGGCAATGGCATGATCTCTAGCCAGCACGAGAGTACTCTTGATTCTCTTACTAGCCCTCTTTTCACTGAATTGCATCTGGAGAATAGCGCTATCTATTGGCTTATGGGCGATCTGTCTACCCAAATCGTTTAGTTTTTTATGAGAAATTTTAAACCAAGCGGTAGAATAGGAGTGAGAGGTGTGTGTCTGTGTTGGAATTGGTAAGGGCTTTGCAGTTGGCTGTATAAGTGAAGATGAAGTATCCTTTGGTGCTGGCTTCTCGCTCAACTCAGGCTGAGCTTCGAGCTGCTTAGAGAACTTCTGCAGCTGCTGACTAAACCAAGGGAGTTTAAATGCTGATGATCTAGTCGACGTTGAGAATTGGCGAAGACTCATGGGATGGTGGTTACAGACAACAACCAAGATGGCGATATCGATTGGGAATATTTTCTACATTTCATTATTGCTGGTAAATTCTATTGCCATTTTAAATCAAGAGAGGTTTCTTAGTAGGAGTGCGTCGTATCCAGCCAGCCAGCCATCCCAGCTATTGACACACACTCCCAGTCGGTTGGACACAATCAAATAATATTTATCAAGATGAAAATATCAAGACGAGGCTAATTAATTTAATCTCAGCTGTTAGAACCCTGATGAGATGTGAGTCGCTAGATAGTTGGCACACTAACACACATTAACGCAAACATACACACACACACACACACAGTCCCCCTTATTATACTCAATATCATTGTAATCATTTATCAAATTATACTCGGCTAGTGCTTAAGTGTCGGCCAGGACAATGACCCAATTTTTCAATTTTTAGAAATATCGGGAGATAACCTGGCCTGTATTTACTCTAGCCAATAGAGTACACGCCGTCTATCATTATCATCATAGAGGCTTTTTTTAACTCTTAAACGGCTTAAAGCATCTCTTCATCGTTTTTCTCGCTTAAAAACCCCTCTTAACGCGGCTTAACCGGGGTTAACAGGGAGTCTTTTAGTGGGAATATTCCAAGTTACAGGTTAGCTCATTAAATCACCCAATATACCTACAAAGCACCCCAAATTACCTACAAACACGCGCATCAGTAAAGACCACAAACACGCGACTGTCTTTCTTTTGTCCAACTATTCCATTTAGTCTCAAACGGCCATGACGACGTTGATCACGTGTATGCTCAGCGTACTGGGTGTATTGGTATGTGCAATCGCCCGCACTATACACCCTCCTTCGGATCTGATCATTGCTGTTCCCCCGCGCATACCCTTTAGTTAGTTTGAGTTGAATGTCGCTGGATCTCACCTCTAACACGCAACCAGACGCGCCATTTCAATGGGGTTACTCGTTTAATGATACAAACAGCCAACTCTTCCGTTTCGATTACACTCTTGCGCGGCTAATCGCCCCGTCGGGCGAATCCTCGTCCCAGCAGCCCAATGGGACACTTGCGCGGATGTTCCCCGACAACATTGACAAAAAGAGCACGCCGTATGAATTCAAGTTGCCAGAAGGCACGCAGAGTCATTCGTCGTATGGGAAGAGACGTGCAGAGCGAGGGGAGCACACCATGCACACCATGCACACCATGCACACCATGCAAGCGCGTTCGAGCAACATCTATACCATAGACAAACAAGCAATCAACACCACCACCCCGCTCTGTTTAACCACGACCAACACATCCACACCGAGCTACTACGAATGGCACAACGCCACTGAACCTGGCCATTGGACTGTGGAAGTGCAGTCGATCCTCCTCTATGGCAGCAATGGCTATGAAGAGAAAGGGAATGAGACGTGCATCTCACCACCCTTCGCGTATGAACGCGTGCACTCCGAGGCTCAATTTTCAGTGTCGACACTCGATGTTGAACAAGTGGAAAAGGAGAGCGAGACTGGGGATGGTGGCACTGCTTCCATCACCACTACCACTACCACATCCACGTATTCCCCACAGACTAGCGCTTCAGCTACGCTCGTGCACACTTCCTTCTCTCCCTCGCCTACAGGTAACATACTTGTATCGGGGTATGACAGAGATGCAGCCGCGTCACAGAATCTCACTCTCACTCTCACTCTCCTCTCACTCTCCTTTGTTATCTTATATCTCTTGTAATCATATCCATTTCGTTCGTCACTACCATCATCATGATGTCTAATCAGATAAACGGAGTCGCGGAGATGGGCTCGGAGATGGACAAGCGAGCGGAGATCGACGCTACTGGCCGAATGGCAGGGATGAGGGTGGACGATAGCGAGATAACTGGCCATTTCGACAGAGATGGATGTGACGGTGGAGATGGCGACAACAACGGCGAGAACAACAACGATAATAACACCAGCAACAACGCAAACAACAGTAACTCCACCCAGCGTCCACTCACGATAGTCTACTCGACAGAAACCGGCAATGCGCAAGACGTAGCAGAGCGATTAGGGCGACTAGGTGAGCGGTGGCGATGGGAAGTGAGGGTTTGCGAAGCGGATGAGTTCGACATCAATACTCTCCTCACAGCGCCGATAATTCTCTTCGTGCTCTCAACGACTGGCAACGGAGAGCACAACCCCACTTTTCGCAGTCTGTGGCGGCAGCTGCTCAATTCACGTCTACCGTCGGATTTGCTGGATGGGCTGGTATATGGGGTGTTTGGGCTGGGCGACTCCTCGTATGCGCGTTTCAACTGGGCCGCTAAATCGCTCGATCGTCGGCTCGATAGTCTCGGTGCGCAGCGCGTCGTCGGCAGAGGCGATGGCGATGAGAGACATTACATGGGATATGATGGTGTCTTTCTGCCGTGGTCCGGCGTTCTCTTCAACAACCTCAATCACCTCCTTCCCCTCCCCAAAGGCGTGGATAAGTTGGATGACGATTACCTCCCCCCACCGCGCGTCAAGATGGAGTGGCTGAATGGGAGCGGGAGTGGGAGTGGTAGTAAGAATAGCAGCTCTAGCAACACCACGAACAACACCAACACACCACCAAATAATCCTAGCACGCCTTACACCTGCACACTTGACAGCAGCACGCGTCTCACATCCCCGTCATGGTGGCAGGATGTACGCCATCTAGTACTAAACACCCCACCCACTCTGCCCCCCTTCCGCGCCGGTGATGTAGCTGTGTTGCAGCCGCGCAACGAACCCAGCGCGATATCCAACCTCGTGCGCCAATTAGGGTGGGAGGAATGTGCGGATGAGTTATTGCTGCTTTGTGACAGGCAGTCTAGTCACTCTGATAACGCAAATCACGATACTCAAACTCACACTACCCACCTCCCAAGCCCCCTGCAACGATACACCCACACACCCACCACACTGCGCCATCTACTCACATACCACTTATCGCCCTACGCGGTACCACGAACGACGTTCTTTGAGTACTTGGCACACTTCACCAGTAGCGACGTGGAGAGGGAGCGTCTACGTGAGTTCACCAGCGCACAAGGCGCCGATGAGCTGTACGAGTATTGCGCACGTGTGCGCCGTACTGCCCCGGAAGTGCTCGATGACTTCAAGTCTGTTCGCATCCCGCCCCGGTATGCCCTCGACGTCTTCCCTCTTCTCCGCCCGCGCAAGTTTAGCATAGCGGGGAGCAAAAAGTCACATTCACACGCTCACGCCTCAAACCAGCTGCAGCTCTGTATCGCTCTCGTCAGGTACAAGACTAAACTGGCAAGGCCGCGCATGGGAATTTGCAGCGCTTGGTTGGAGAGTCTGAAGCAGGGCGACGAGGTGCATGTGGGCGTGGAGGAGGGGACTATTAGGGCACCGCGGCGTGTGAATGGGCATGAGGATGCGGATGAGCACGCTGATAATAACTTGACACACACACCTCCCCTTCTCCTCGTCGGGCCTGGTACTGGTGTGGCGCCGATGCGCGCACTGGTGCAAGAACGTGAGCGTGACATTCACACCCAACCAAGCGCACAAAACACCGCTCTCTATTTCGGTTGCAGATGCAGTGGAATGGACGAATTGTATGCAGATGAGATGCAGTCGCTCGCTAGGGCTGGACGGCTCCATTACCGCGTGGCGCACTCTCGCGATGACGTTCACGGTAACAAGGAATACGTTCAGCACCTCCTCCAACAGGATGGAAAACGCGTCTATAATTGGCTCGTGGAGCGCAGCGGATATCTTTTCATTAGTGGCAGCTCGGGACAGATGCCCAAGGGAGTTAGAAAAGCTGTCGCTAGTATCATCGAGAGGCTCGAAGGGGTGGATGAGAACACCGCGATGAGAAAAGTGGAGTATTTCGAAAGCATTGGGAGGATTGTGGAGGAGTGTTGGTAGAAAGAGAAATATTGGTTAAAGATGCGTCGGTAGATGAAAAGGATAAAAGTACATGCATTGCAATTTATAGATAGATACATAGTCACATAATTACATACCGTGAGCTCCAAATTTAGTTAGCGTATGCACAGGGAACGGACTGTCACATGTCGAGCAGCGTTGTGGGGGATGGCAGAAAACTGGTCAAGGTGGATTAGCAAGACAAAGAAAATTTTCAAGCACGACCCACTACTAAGACAGACAGAGCAGATGTAAGCCATATCCACGATACGCTTATGGCAGAAACAGGCAGCTCTGAAATCGACCTTGTCAGAGCGTGGCTGGACGAGCTTATGCCTGAGGGCGTGGTTTGGGAGGAAAGCCATGATGAGATACTGGATGAGGCTATCAATGTACTTGACTTGTATGTAGTTACCGCCGGTGAGATGCGCTGCCTGTTGAAGGAAGATGGTGTTGCTGTTATACAGCTCGCACACGTCGACGAGTATCTTAGCTTTTTGTGCAGCAAAAATCGAGTTCATGAGGCTGACGTAGTGTGAAGGGACATCATCGGAGGTAGTGATTACGAGAATGCGGAAGGAGTGGGGGGAGTCTGAGCTGGCGCTGGCTTCGTTTAGCTTCCGGTTGATGTGGCAGAGCGACTGGGCGAGAGTGGTGGCTAGCGTGGCTTTGACGGGTTTATCCGTGCGATAGAAATCCCGCACACACTCCACAAACACCTCAGAGAGCTGGCTGAAGTTTGCGTCATCTTCGTGCGTATCGAAAAGAATCTTATTATTGAGGTGCACCGAGGCTGAATTCAAGTCGGAATTACTTAAATGCAAATTAATAAATACGAGCAGCTGCTTCAACGAAGATAGAGAAACATTTTTATTTTTCAACTCAAGGACCACGCTCAGATGGTTTGACGTGGTCGCCATCGCTGTTACGGAGCAACGTCCAACACCCGGAATACGCGAGAGATGAGAATTTGGGCATTAATTCTGGCACTGATTTATACCGTCTATGCCACGAGCATCCTCAGCATCGACCTCGGCAGCGACTCGCTAAAGATTGGTCTCATCGGCAGCGGGAATCTCGACGTCGTCCTCGATAAAGACAGCTCACGGAAGCTGCAGTCGACTGTTGGCTTTAAGGGCGATGACAGACTCTTCGGTAAGCAGGCACTCCAGAACAGCAACAAAAATCCAGACACCAGCTATCCTCATCTCAAAATGCTCATTGGGAAGACTGCTGAGGCTGACAGCACACAGCGTTGGGAAGCGATATTCCCCGCAGTAGACAACAGCGTCACTGACAGAGGCACGCTCCAGCTGCACTCGCATAAAGACGCGTATGCGATCGAAGAACTCCTGGCTATGCAATTCCACTACGCCAGACAGCTCGCTCAGATGCAAAGTGGTGAGACTATAAAGGATGTCGTATTGACTGTGGGTAGCTAATGTGTTGTACACTTTCTCTAACTTCTTTCACAGCTCCCGCCTTACTTCTCTACCTACGAAAGACAGGCTGTGTTGGACGCAGTCAATTTGGCAGCTCTCCAGCCAATCGCTCTTATCAATGATGGCACTGCTGTCGCCGTCAACTACGCAATGACCCGTTCGTTTGACTCTACTCCAGCTTCGTACGTTATATACGACGCAGGCGCGTCCTCACTTAGCGCAACTTTCGTTGAAATATCCTCCCACTCTCCACCCAAGAAGCGCTTCGGCAGCAAGCAGAACACTACCGAAATCAACGTTATTGGCACTGCATACGATGACAGCGTTGGTGGTGTTGACCTTGATCACCGTCTGCGCGATATCCTCGCAGACGCCTTCGAGCAGCAGCACAACCTCGACCAAAGCTGGCGAGGCAATGCACGTGCATGGAACAAGCTTCTTGTGGAGGCTAATCGCGTCAAGCATATACTCTCCGCCAATTCAGAATCCCAGGCGACAATCGAAGGTCTGCACGATGAGCTTGATTTTAAGAGCACAGTGAGTAGGGAGCAGTTCAAGGCAGCTATCGAAGACTACCAAATGAGGTGGTCGGCGCCAATTTCTGAAGTACTCGCTAAGACTGGTAGGGGTATTGATGGTGTTGACGCTGTTATTCTTACCGGTGGTGCCTCTCGCATCCCTATCATTCAATCGCAAGTCAGAGCGTTTGTGGGCGATGACAAAATTAGCACATCTGTTAATGCAGATGAGAGTGCTGTCTTGGGTGCTGCTTTCTACGGCGCTACATTCAGTAAATCGTTCAGAACTAAACCTCTCACAGTACACGAGGCTAGCGTGTACTCAATGGAGGGTGTGGGAATGGACGTGAGTGAGCATGGCACTCTGCTTTGGAAGGAGGGCGCTTCTCTCCCAACCAACAATACCATCTCTCTCCCACCTAGAGATGCGACAGTGGTGGTAAAATACACCGCAGACTCCATTCCACACGACCAACAGGCTGCTTACATGCAGCTTAATGTGACGGGTGTGGATGGAGCGCTCGCCGAAATGAACCTCAGCTATGAAGAAGCTGCTGCTGCGAATGTGAGAGTGGATATAGGTGTGGAACACACGTCATTCTCGCTCGTTCTTCCTACCGCTGCCGAGCTCGTTGTACCTGCTCCAGCTTCGCACGACGGTCTCACAGGCAAGCTGAAAGAATGGTTTAGCGTGGGAGCAGGTGGAGCAAAAGGAGAAGAAAAGAATGAAAACGGCACTACTACAGACAGCACAACACCTACACCCCCACACGCACAAGAAAAGAGGATCAAGTTGACGCTCTCAAGTCTTCCAGCCTCGCTTCAGCCGATGACGGTGGACCTGAAGGGGGAGTCTATGAACAAGCTGATGGCGCTCAACTACGCAGAGGCAATGGAAGGGCTTCGCGAGGAGACATTCAATGGCTTTGAAAGTAAGCTGTATATGTTGAAGGCATTGATAGAGAACGTAGACGGGAAATATGACGCGTTCCATAACGCCACGCTGCCAGAGGAAATGCGAGCGCTGGAAAGTGCACACGCAACAGCACTCACATGGCTCGATGAGGAGGGATGGTCAGCTACACTGGAGCAGATTCAGAAGGAGGCGACTAAGATTGGAGCCATCGAACAACCAGTTAAGGAACGTATTAGGAATGGGCAGGTGAAGGCAGCTGCTTTAGGTGACCTCCAGAAGGCATTGTTTGCAGGTAGGACTTTCCTCAAGGAGGCGAGAAAGAACTTGACAACCACGGATGAGTCGAGATATTCATTCAAAGAGGTCGACGAATTCGAGGCTCACCTCTTCCAGACCGAGAACTGGCTCAGGCCGCTGATGCGCAAGGATGGAGAGGCAAAACCATGGGAAGAAGGGGCATATACGGCGACTGAGTTGGAAGTCGCTGGGAGGAGTGTACAGGATTTCTTTATGGAATTGACTGAGAGGCTGCCAAGGAAGGCTGAGGAGAGTGTTACAGAGAGTGCTACGGAGAGCAGCCAGAGCACAACATCTGCACCTGCATCTGAAGCCAGCTCCTCAGGCACTCATTCAGACAACTCTTCAGGTACTCAAGACACACCAGGCACTCCAACACCACCAAACAAAAGCAAGTCAAGTGAGTCAGGTGAGACAGAGAAAAACCACCACAGCCACGATGAACTATAAAAGAGAGATGCATTTATTTAATTTTAGATTTCATTATCAGTTGACGTGGGTTGGCATGTGATAGATACCGCAGCTGGCGAGATGTTTGGTGAATGAAGTGAATGAGTAACACACAGCAGCTGCTAGCGGTGACAAACATCCGAAATTATTGGGGATCGTGTGATTATAATAAATCCGCGTTGGGTTTAAATTGCTCTAAACGCACTCTCACCTCAACAACCAACACGAAATAAGAAAAAATGGTTTTAATTAAAGCAGCTATCTGTGGTGCAGGCGGTGGAATTGGTCAGCCATTATCCCTCCTCACTGCGCAAAACCCACATATCGGTGAAGTCTCTCTGTTTGATGTTGTCCCATCAGTACACGGTGTCGCTGCCGATTTATCCCACTTGGACGGCACAGCTGTTGTAAAGGGCTACACTAAGGAGAATGATGGTTTGAAGCACGCTCTCACCGGTGCAAATGTCGTCATTATACCTGCAGGTGTTCCACGTAAGCCTGGGATGACTCGTGATGACCTCTTCAAGATCAACGCATCTATTTGCCGTGATTTGGCCACTGGTATTGCCGATTACGCTCCAGATGCCATCGTCGGTGTCGTATCAAACCCTGTCAACTCCACCGTTCCTGTCTTTGTTGAGACTCTCAAAGCAAAGGGCGTCTTTAACGCTCGCAAGGTCTTCGGTGTCACCACCCTCGATATCGTTAGATCATCCAAGTTCGTCGCTGAGGTCCTCGGTAAGCCTAACGAGGCTCCTCAATACACTATCCCTGTTATCGGTGGTCACTCAGGCAAAACTATCATACCTGTTATCAGCCAGTCTCAGCCAAAGGTCGATATCTCCGGCGACAAACTCAACACTCTCGTCAACAGAATTCAATTCGGTGGTGACGAAGTTGTTAAGGCTAAAGATGGTGCTGGTTCAGCGACCCTTTCAATGGCATACGCTGGTTCTAAGTTTTTGAACGCTGTCGTTAGCTCCGTCTACGCTGATAAACCTAGCGTCATCCAAGCTTACGTATACCTCCCTGAGTTGCCAGGTGGTGACGCCATCAAGAATGACATTGGAAAGGATGTCTCTTACTTCTCCGTTTCCCTCCAGCTCGGTAAGAGCGGTGTTGAGAAAGTTCTCCCTGTTGGTCCACTCAGCGACTACGAGAAGGGTCTCCTTCAAGAGGCTCTCCCTGAATTAGACGCTTCCATTGTCAAGGGTGTTGGTTTCGGAAAGAGTTCACTTTAGGTATGACAGTGGTTTGTATTGTTACTGAAGTATGCATGAAATATATCAATCGCAGTGTGCAAATAAGAGTTGTGTTGGTAGTTAAAATTAGTATCAAAATCCAAATGCTTCGACTTGATGAGTCTTGAAATGTCTATAGGTGTCCCCTTTCTCGCAGATCAAATGGCGATCAATGAAGGGGTTGAGGAAAATGCCATGCTCGTCATACTTGTGGATAATTTCCATGAACTTGGGCAGCCCGCTGTACTTTTCACCAACTTCTTGAGGTGTTTGTGTGGAATGCTTAGCCCAATGCGCTCTACCGTTATATTTACGGAGGATATCTTCGAAGGTTCTGAATATCCTTCTATAGCGTACACGACAATTGAATGGTTTGTATTTGATCAGGCCAATCCACATGAAGTGAGTTTCTACTTGATTGCCCACGTGTTTGTTAGCAGGGGAAAGTAAGATATCGTCAGCCTTCGAAATGCGCACTTCGAGTGGAAAATCAACGTCATTCTCATCCACCAGCCATTCATTGAGCTCCAACATACACTCGTAAGCCTGAGACAGAGGCACAGACCATTCGGTAGTGTATTGCAAAAGACCGCAGTCCATGTTGAAAATGTTGCACGAGGTGTCTGTGCGCTGTTGGTGCTGTCCAAACACACACCGCCACGCCAGGTGGCTGAGAAGGGGAGCGATAGCGGGCACGTACCGCTTCACCAGCAGCAGTGGCTGGAGAAGAAAGCTAAAGAGTGTGCTAGAGACAGGCGCTTGCGGTTGGTATTTTTCAGTGTTTTGTGCGGCTTTATACGACTGCATCAGACTAACTCCTCCCGTCTGGGGCAGCCAGAACGCCTTAACATAGGGCGCAGTGCGCCACCGGTCGAGCCAGGAAGAGGGACTGCTGGTGTACTCGTCGAACGACATTGCCGTTGTGACTTGATGCAGGTTGAATTTCTCCTCCACGCTCAGCACCACGCTGAGAATGATGCCTGTCGCGCCGAGGGAGCACAACGTAGCGTTGAAGAGGTGTGGGTGGAGTGTGCGTGAGCACTCTAGCACCTCACCACTAGCTACGAGGATAGAGAGGGAGTGGACGTACGATGACATGCAGTGGTGGTCGATCCCGCTGCCGTGCGTGGCTGTCGCAAGGCAGCCAGCTATAGTCTGATCGGAAATAGACCCGAGGATCGGCATGGCAAGGTTGTTAACGTCGAGTGCCTGATTGATATCCCTCAACAATGTGCCTGAGTGGGTGGTGATCGTGCGGTCTTCTTTGTCTATCTGTAGAGGAGTGCAGAGTGAGAAAGTATCATATGAAAAGCACTTGACGCACACTTATCACACCTGCTATTCCCGACATTATTACTATCCAACCCTCGCTGCATGCTAGGTCAGAGGGCGAGTGCCACACGCCCATGGCTCGCACTCGCACCCTTGCCCTGCGGGCTGCTTCTACGATGAGCTGCGTGTCGGCGATCGTGTGCGGCGTGTATATCCGCTCAGGCGTCGCTTCGAATGTCCTTGCCCAGTTTTGTAGCTTGTGTGTGGGAGTACCTTGGAAAGCGCTGATTCGGTGCTCTAGTTGCTCATCTGAAATTTTCTTCAAGTCGCTCAATACCATAATTTCCTGCATCGCCATCGCTATCGCCACCGATGATGCACTGAACGACGAAGACATCGGGTGTTTTCGTGATAGTAACTAAAACAAAAATTCACTCTTTTTTTAAAACAAAAGACTAGCAAGGAGTACATACAAGTTATTGTACGAGTTACCGCACGACTTGTCGCAACTCATACCACCACATCCATGGCACACCACGCCCAAGACTCGGAAATAGCGCGGCACAGGCGCAGAATAACAGCGTACCACGCTTACATACAGCCAGTCTTGAAGGCATTGAAGGATACACATGAGGTTAGTGTGCCCTACACGTTGCGTTCCAAGGTCTGCAACCAGGCGTGGAGAGAGAAGCTGGGGGAGACGGTAAACCAGTACCCGCGCTCGACAAAGACTACGATAGAGCTACAGCAAATAGCTTGGGAAGATATACAAAACAATTTCGATAGTTTCATCCGTGATTTGAGACGCAGACTGGATCAGTATGCTCTGGTGAACATGAGGACAAGTGTGGATCCGAAAGATGGGCTCAGTCTGGCTGATTGGGATTACGAAACTCATATGAACCAAATCGTGGACAGACTAGACAAAGAACAGCCAGATACACCGTCTCAAAGCAAAATTTCACTCGCAGAAGGACTCTGGAAGGTTAGGAAATATGTTCGTAGTGAGGAATTCATCGAACAAGAAGAGGAGAATCTCAAGGAGGCGACTGTAAGGTTGGAGTTGGATACTGTCAGGGGGATCAAAGGGATACAGCAGCAGGTAAAGAAGGCAAGAGTGGGTGTTTAGTGGGTTGTTAGTGTATTCTATAGCAGTTTCTGTATTAATGTTTATAATATCCTATACCCAATACCCATTCGTTTTTCACCTGCGCTGATGGGCGATAGCAGATAATGCGTAAGTAAACGCACTTAAAAGAAAGCAAGATAATTACAAGCACCATGCAGCAAAACAAAAGAATAAAGATACCACACGGAAGCTTTCGGCGTATAATCTATTCATGAAACACGTCCTGCAATCACTCAAGCAGAGCCACGGGAGTGTGAGCTATGGGCACAGATTTAAAGCGTCTGCCCGTCTTTGGACGCAGAGGATGGAGATGACAGCTGTGGATATATCCACCAAAACGAAGACACCTGTTGGTGCACTCTCGAAGCAACTCATTCAGGAGAGGACATGGGAGGGAGCTCAGCGTGATATGGGAGTCATTCTTATTCATCTTGCACAGTCAGTAGAGTATAGCGCCAGACTGGAGGCAGAGGCAGAGGCAGGACATTACATGCACAGCAACGTACCGAGAGCTAACAGCGAGTATAATAGACATATGCAGAGTACACTGGCACAGCTCAAGGAAATTCAGTCAGACACGCCATATCAAACTAGATTTAAATTGGCGGCGAGTATGTGGCAGGAAAGGAAGAAGGAGAGGAGTGAGAGGAGAGGAGGGAAGAAGAGGGACTATATCCCAGTTTATAGCGATGTTGACGAGGAAGACATTGTGTTGCAAGGACCATCTTCAAGTATACATCCGGGAAGGATACCAATGGGATATTACGATGGTGAGTTTGGTAATGACTTGAACTTGAAATCATCAATGGCGTCATCAATGCTATCAACAACGATACCACCAACAACAACGACGCCATCGATACCTTGGCAATACACGTGGGTAGCTATACCACCATTCCCAGAAGCAGAAGCAGAAGGAGAAGCAGCAGCAGAAGAGAATAGATATAACGGAAATGAAGACGATACAAATACGCTCAACGACTACAAAGACTATTTGGATGAAATATGAATAAATATTATACCTTTTACAAAGACAGTGATGCGGGTGACAATCAATCAATGGAGAGCATTTAGTCATTGGAAGTGGAATGGGTGTGATACAGACGATCTCTGTGGGATATGCCAGAATTACCTTGATAACTCTTGTCCGAATTGCAGTCTACCTGGAGATGATTGTCCGTTGAGTGAGTTAAAGTGCAGCGATTAGAAAACGCGTTGTTAACGCGTAAATTAGTCTGGGGGAAGTGTAACCACTCATTCCACATGCACTGTATACTCAAATGGCTCTCACTTGAATCGAGTAAAGGTCAATGCCCAATGGATAGGCAGCAGTGGGGTAAATAGTAATTACTCATCCAATCCAGCTAACAAAGCGCTTTATAGAAACCCAATAATATTTATTCCTTTATACCTTGTACTATTACCACCATGAGCATCACTAGCGATTCCCGGAGTTTTATCTCCGCGGAATCTAAAGCGCAACCCTCTAATTTGGTTATAAATGTTGATTACTCACCCCACTTTATCCGCTCCTACCGCGAGTGCATTGCAGATCTCCACCTGCAGTCATACGAGATTGATTCACACGTCGATAGCCCCCGATTGATGCCGACTAGAAACACGATAAACACCGCACATACCCCACGCCACACAAATACCACTCAAGGCAGTATCTTGGACAAGCTGAACAACGTACAGCCTATCTCCACTCAAGACCTCATGCTGAGAATTAGACCACAGAGTGCATCTACAGACCATTTAATAAGTTTGGAAGATGCAGAAGACTCAGAAGACGCAGAAGACGCAAAGACAAAGACAGACCACGCAAAGGGCAGTGTCGATTTCAGACACGACATACTATATCAAGCCATTAATGCCAGTTTCGGTGACACAACACCTAACAATTTTCTAAACACAGACCCATCCAAGTCTTTGAGCGGTGGTACTAGGCATAGTACTAAAGCGGGTGATTCGAATTATTCATACAAATCGGCAAAATCGGCAAAATCGGCTAGATCGACCAAGTCATTAAAACACACTCCCACACCTACAACACGCACATCATCGCTATTATCATCCCCTCCCAAATCAACACACAAACCACAAATGGGCGTACAAGTTACTCACTTAAAAATACCGCAGCAGCGCATACACGGCACTCCCACTATCCACAAGTCTCTCTCTACTCCTCTCCTCAGCGACCAGGACAGCGAGGTGTTGGATTCGCCTACACCCCCACCTGTGCCGATGAAGGAGGCACCGCGTGCGAAGACACAATCTTACTCATGCTCAAGCTCTGCTAAAAAACCCGAACGCTCTATATTTAATGAAATACATGCTCCAATACCTAGTCATAGTAGAAGTCACAGTCCCACTCAAACTCCTACTCCCGCTCTCAAAACGAGTGCGATCGATCGACGCAACAGACCACCAGCTCTCGAGTTAAGGCAATCGACTCATCGACAAATTGAAAGCAAGCTGGGTTGTTTGCAGGAGCAGAAAAAGGCACAGGAAAAGTCTGAAAAACAGTCTGAGGTGCAGTCTCAAAAGCAAGACAAACACAACAGCCATAAGCTCCCACCAGACACAACGACTCTGCCCTCTGAACACCCACCATACCTACCTCCACCCCCCATACCCCCCTTACCACAATCCACCGCCATTTTATCAAATTCTTTCACTCGAAATGTCCCAAGTAGACTGAAAGATGCACCAAAACTGACGAGGATGCGCTCAGAAACTCTGCCTTCTCCCACCACCCCAATCCATTCTATCAAACATCGCCCTACTTCTTCACCTACCACCACCGATCAATACTCTGTGACTAGATTGAGAGGTATGCTTGAGCAGCATGTAGCGCAGGAGAGGAGCATGTGGCATAGCATTACATCCAATACCCGTCATTCTTAATTTCATTGCAACCATTGTAGTTATTTCTAGGATATCTTAATTACTTAATATACATTATTCTAAAACAACATGCTTGATCGTGAATTTGTGAATAACAGCTATAATGGGATCACTGAAAGACTTGGATGATTTAACAACAAGACTTTCTAATTTAGGAAGTGATTTGAGCAGCAGTTCGCCGTCGAGTATTGCAGGCTGGTAAGTGATGCTCCTCTCCATATCGTCGTATAGCGATGAAGTGTTATCGCGTGGTCTGTTGTCGACCGTGTTAGTCTGCTCGTAAGTGCATCTAGTTAGAGTGAGGTGGGTAACATTCCTCAAACAGCCTTCGTTACACTGCAGTGGAAACCCAAATGTGCAATTCTCGATTGAGATTTGGTGCAACTCCTGTGATCGGAGCATACCCAAAAACCACGAAACGTTGCAAACACTATCGAGAAATACGACCCGCAGTTTGCGCACATTCAGCTGATTTGCGAATGCCCGGTTATCTCGAAACCACTTGAGGGTCGCTCTGTCCATAGCGAAGCTGCTGTTTTTCATCTTGATCGTATACAGCTCGGGACACTGGATGAGACAGCTAAATGTGACGGCTGACCTGTTGCGGGATTCTACAACTGCTGTGCGTGTCGGCTGCAAGTACGGCGCCCCTGGTATCGTTGTATGCTCCATCGCGACGTCTTTACCCTCCAGCTGCAGGTTGTGGGAGAGGGTGGACATGATGGTATCTGCGTCGCCTTTCAGCCTCCAATTGAGGAGGTGTAGATCGCTTGGGAAGGTAGTGAGGTGGTACACTTCCGCCTCATTCAATCCGATAAGCTGCGAGTAATTGCGCATCCTCAGTTTCTTACATGTCAAACCAAATAGAGACTCAGTGAGGGTGAGTATGAAACCCTTTTTTTCGCTGTTGAATGGGCCTCCGTAGTAATTCACCTCAATCAGCTCAAATGGACGGTTTGGCGAGACGTCGAGCAGCTGAAAGAAGAATCCCTTCAAGAACATCCTATTGTACGCGCGTATACACAGCTTCACACTTCTTATATACCCGCACCGCTCAATGTGGCTTTGGAATCTGCCGCGTAGATTCGACATATTCGCGTCGAAGCTCACTTTGCCTACGTTTTCATCTGTGGATATGAACGTGTTGACGTATACGTAATTTGTATTTATCGCGCGATACCATGCTCTGTTCACCAGCTTGCCGTTGTGGGCTGCACTGGGGCCGTTATTCTCGTGGCAGAGATATCCGAAGACAAGTTCGATGAGCTCGTTGGGGAGTCTTTTTAGAGGATCCTTGTGCCATTTGTGCGCTTTTTTTGTGGATAGGCTGGCCATACCTTTCTGATATACACGAGTGAATAAGTGATTCACGCAAACAGCACAGGTACACACTTTTTCTACATCTTTATCAGACTGCCCTGATTTGCAGGGTTTACGTGGTTTGGACCGCGTGTCCATGTCTGATGATGGCCGAGTCGGTTGAAGATTGATAACAAGATAAGATTCATAAACATTCATAAAAGTCAGAGGTACATAAGCTAATGCCATCCACCACCTGGATAGCCTGGGTAACCGCCTGGGTATCCTTGCGGTGGTCTTGGTGGTGGTTGATAAGGGTGCACTGAATGCTCCGGATGCCCTTGATAACCACCATAACCAGGATATACACCATACCTACCATGGGAAGGCATTTCCATTGGAGGCGGCATCGGTGGTGGCATTGCTGACGGCATAGGTGGTCCTTGCATAGGCATTGGCGGTGGATTATACATTCCAGGTTTCGGTGGCTGGCCATATGGCACATGCCCACCCGGTCCACCACCAGGCATACCCATTCCCATACCAGGCATCCCCATTGGCGGTGGGCTTGAGTATGCACCCGGTCCCGGCATATATCCTGGGTCGGGCATAGGTGGGGGCTCGGCGTATGGCATGTAGGGCGTGTGGCGCCCAGGTGGGGTGGGTGGTTTCGTGACGTGTCGTCCATGATACGCAGCTGGTGGGTATGGAGAGTGTGAGTGTGAGTGTGAGTGCTGCAATGATGGTGTTGATGTTGATGGTCTCGAATGCGTCGGTGGTGGTGGCGCTGGCTGTTTGCTGTCATTATCCTTCTTGCCCCCACCGCTGTCATTTTTCATTGCTCCTATACCCAAATTAGCTATCGAACTAAGCAATGAGGAATTCTTGCCACCACCGCCATCGCCCTGTCCACTGCCACCTTGATTCCCACCGCCACCACGACCCTCAGCATCTCCACCGCCGGCATTTGCGGGCGAGGCATTTGTGTTGATCAGCCCCCATAATCCTCCGCTCGTAAACTCATTAACTCCCTCCTGACTATTGCCGTATGGATCATTAACCGTTTGGACATGTGTATGAACCTTGTTGGATGAGTCCATGCAGCTCTGTTTGTTCAAAGCACGCTCAATTTGGTCTATCTTGGGCCCTTGTGCCTTGACCCACTTCTTCATGAACTCGCCCATCTTCGTCTGTATCTTGCTATCCTCATTAGCGAAGTATGGGTGATGTATTACTTCCAGAATCTCGTCGATTATACTGTCAGGATTTTCCTGGTTGCCCCAAGCTTCAACAATTCTCTTGGTCGTTTGGCTAACTGCAATTTGAGCCAAGTTCCCGCAAGGGTTGTTCAGAAGGTGATCGAAATGGTCCTTGGCGAGACCAGTGTGCGTTGGATCTGAACAGTTTGGATCAGTGTATACCTCCAATTGGTTTTTTGTTGCTAAAAGCTCTTCTGAACCCTTACCAATCGAGCTCTTGGCCTGCTTGATAAGAGGATCAATGAATGGCTCGAGAGTGGAGTAAATAAAGACGGCGATCGAGTTGGATATCTTTTCTACTAACGCGCTCAAACCTGGAATTTTATCTATTGTCACTTCGATTGTCTTTGACACTCTGTCTCGGAAACACAGTATCTGCCATAGAACAGCGTATTGTTCCTGGGGGCTCATTTGATCAGGGGATCTCGACGTCGAGCGGAGGTTGCTGACGTCCTCGAATTCTCTGTTGAGTGAGCGTTGTCCACCGCCACTGTTGCTATCTGTGGTACTCCTAGTGAGTGGAACCTTAGAGCTAACTCCGTCTAATTGGAAGATGAGGTCCCTGAGTGTGTCGATGATTGAATTTCCCCCACTTCCTGGCTGACCGCGTGACTTTGTAGTAGAACGATTCACTTCATTATGAAGATCTGAGACGGATGCTGAGGTAAGCTTGTCACCAGCTTCACCTAATACACTGGCTGGTGGGTGTCTGAGTTGGGCTGGCAAGCTATTAGAAGCCACCCACCCATGAAATCCATACCACCAAATGATCCTGTTACTATTGGGGGTACGTTTTCGCCGCTAGGAGCACGTATTCTTACATTTTCACCAACATGTGGAAACACATCGGTAAGCCCAAGTTTGTAAAGGTAGATTTCAGCAAAATTGGAGTGCGCAGAAAAGTCAGCTAATGTATGGCAGCTTGTACCGAGCCAACGAAACGCTTCGAACTCATCTTTGCTGTTTTTAGAGTTCTTATACCTTCTTCCATACTCGATGCAGAGACGTAAGCGTTCACGAACGAGGGCAGTGGAAGTATCACAAACGCTCTCATTAGCGATGTAGTTCTTCATGCCAGTGCGCGGATCAATTTCCAATTCAATTTGTTGAACAGGTCCTCTGAGACGTTCATCGTACTGTTTCGCATCATCGGGGTAGCCTGTGTGTGGGTTAGATGGACGCAAGTAACATGACCACTACCAGCCTTTTGGATTATCAATGTGTTCTGTGGGGAGATAAACGCCTAAGCGCTCATCGGTCACTTCAAACTCTTCCGTCGCGTAACCGAAAGCCAAGAAGGACATGACCATGACGATGTTGAGGATTGTCTGCTTATTTATCTTGGACAAAGCAGCTGTGTCATTCGCTTGTGAATAATCGCGGAGAAAATCGTAGAAGTAGATGCGCTTGACATCAAGGCTCGTGAATTTGGTACGCGTCACAGCGGATAGAATACCGCTACCAGACTTCTTATAAAGATCTGCGAGTGCATCCATAATATCACCATGCCGGAATTTCTTTCTGAATTACCTGAGCAACAGTTTGACTTATCGGAGTAGGTACTTACCCCTGCTTAACCTGAGCATCGGTTTGACGTATCGGGGTAGATACTTACCTCTATACTAGCGTATGAAGGACTGATAGCTGTGAGATTTCCGAGATTTCCGAGTCTGATGACTAGTCCACGTACATATTACCAGCACCAAATGCACTGGCTGTAGTTAACAACACGGCCACGATCAAGAGCAGAATAACGCCATTTCTCATTTTGACTGTCAGTGACAGAGTGAGTGCAATAACCTCAGTGTCATCGACGTACAAAATGGAAAAAATAAAAATCAAGATATACAATTCGTTATAAATCAGCATTGAAACAAATGCAGTCGAGCATTGGCCGTAGCTTCCTTGGATTTCTTTGATGGACCAACGTCATTATCTGTCCAAGGGCGCTTCCTTAGCTCTTTATCTCCGCAACTGTTGCAGCGAGTGTAATTTCCATTACCATACAAAGTGCGCTCAGCTATGTTGTTATTCTTACAATCAAGATTTGCTTTGTTATGATGTGTTGATTGGTGTGTCTTGGTTTTATGTTGATATTGAAGTGAAATTAATTTGAATATGATTGCGAGAAAGACGCCGTTCAATACCCACTTTTAAGTACTGGATATGATTTGGTACACTTGATAAACCCAAAATAATCACCCCCAACGAGGCGGACGTTACACGATGGACTGAGACATAGTCGAAAACATACGCATATGCACAAACACAAACAGCCACTGGCACAATGACTGGGAGTGCTGACAAGCTCTTTGCTTCAACAAAGCTAAATCGAAGATGTATCTATGTCGATCTAATGCAGTATGACCTTACCAAAACCAATGAACTGTTTCTGCATGTGATTATAAAGCACAAGATCCATCCTGTTGCCGAGAGAGCAGTTGTGTTGTTCAGCTTTTGCTAAATCCAACTCAATACGACATCATCTTTTCCGCCGTGATAACAGCACTTTGAGAACATCTTAAGCCTCGCATTATTCAAGGTATGGATCGTTTACTGGTAGCCCGTTGCTCTAGACCTTCTTGCCAATTAACAGCCTGCAGAGAGCTGGAATAGTTATGTGTATTGCTATCTTGGGATATATATATCTGGGCTATTTCCGCTTTACAGAATGCTGCTTGGCGTGTACGAGTAAGCCAAGTCAGAACACCACAGTAAACCGCGAAAGAAATGGAATATTGAATTCGAGTGAAACATCACATTTTGTGATCCAATTTATTATATAAACCATTCAACGCCCCTATTCAATCGAAGCATGCCGCCTCGACCAAGCCGCTAGGCTATCCATGAGCAGATGTGTGGCGGTCCAAACAGCCAACTTTCGGAGAAAATACCCGAGCTTCACGTACTTTAGCCACCCAGCTCCGCTCTGGAAAATTTACCATTTCACTTTCTGCAGTCACAGAGAAGATGATTGCACTTAGAATAGTATTCGGATCAAAGTTCTATCAATGAATTATTGAAAGATGCTTATAATGTGTGAAGAGAAAAGACACATGGAACATTGTGTATGATCAGCTTCGAGCCATTACTCAGTACGATATTTTTCATGAAAGACATAGTCGCATACGTAAACATACATTCGTATAAATTCACATTAGATGGCGTTCTTGAAGAACGTCGTAAGGCGCTCGTAAGCTTCGACGTACACCTTCTTAGCCTCCTCATCCTGGAGGTTACATCTAGCAGCAGCAAAGCCGTGAATTGCCTTCTCAGTGTTAAAGTGATGGTACGCATTTTTCTCCTTAAATTCGTTTGACGAGAGGATATCAATAACCTTCTTCACTTCACTTCCATCCTCGTCTTTTGATGGGAAGAATCCAATTGGTGTTTTCACCTTCTCCACCACGCCAGCATCCAGCATGGCTGGGTGGAGAACAGCAACAGCGTCAAACAGCTTAGCATCTTGTGTAGCTGCGTTGAGTGCGATGGCTGCACCCCAGCAGAAGCCAACAAGACCAACCTTGTCATGTTTAGCACGCAACTCACCGCTAATGTTGATCAACTCAGGGATACGTGCTGGTGGTGCAGCCACAGTGGAAAAGAATTTGCCGAGCTCAGACTGATCGGCTTCATTTCCCGGAGGAAACTTCTCTAAAGGGAAAGGTTTACCGCGGAAGAAGTCAGGAAGAACAACTCGATATCCCTTGTCTGCTAATATATCTGCACCTTGCAGCGTCTGATTAAAGTAGCCAAAGATATCGTATATTCCAACTAGCACAGTCTTTGAGTCTGCTGGACCGGTAACGTAGGCCTTGTTGAAGTAGCCAACCTTCTCGTATTGGCCTTTTGGTTGGTAGTTTGTTTGATCGATTACGGGTGGGATTGAACAGCAAGCAGCAGACATCTTGGTGGTGTGGGATGAAGGATGTGGATAAGACTGAGTGATGTCATATTAGATTTGAAGCAGCGGCTGTTTCTTTTCAGTTGCTGATATTCGATTTTTGCTCATCTAGATTTCATTTCATGACAATTTTGGGATTAGTCCTTGCTGCCCTGTAAAACTCAGTTGAGGAATGACCTTTAAACATTCCTGAATATCGCGAATGCCGCAAATTCCGTAAGGCTAATGCTTTTCATCTGGTTAATCCTTAGACTTGTATAAACCCGAAACAAATGTCAATTGCAGCTGCGAGATTACCACTGGATTTAGAGCTCCCCAGTGAGAAAATTCATACAACACACATCACAGAAAAGTCGCAGAAGCTGCAGAAGCACGACAGTGCATCTACACTCAGCCTCCCTCTCCACGACTCTGTTGAAGTTCAAGAAAATGTTGAGACAATCCAAGTAGAAGCCGATACTAACCACATGAACAGGCTCACTGTCGACATTGACGCGACTAGGAACGTTTCAGCATCTCCCTCAGGCACATACAATGAGAATAAACGCTCATTTGCACCCAGCCCTGCGAGCGAACAGAACAACGTCGAGGAAGTTGGTCTGTTTCAGAAGTCTTACTATCCTAACTTTATACATGCATTGAGAGACTCAAAGTCTACTAGCAGCGGCAGGACTATTATTCTTTGCCTGGATGGTACTGGGGACCAGTTTGATGGCGATAACTCTAACGTCGTGCGTTTTTTCAGATGCTTGAAGAAGGATGAGCCATCGAAGCAATTAGTCTATTACCAGGCTGGATTGGGTACTTATGTACGCGTTCATAGGCTTCTAGTCAAGACATTACTGACTCATGTCACAGACCACTACGCGCTCTGCGAACCCAATCACTACCAGGTTGTCAGCAATTGGTGATGTGACTATTGGTGAGTTCTGTTTTGCCAAGTTGGGTTACTGCTCACACTCAACCAGGCTCCGGGCTCGGTCATCACATTGTAAGACACTCAAATTACGTAAAAAAGAGCGCTAACAGCGAAATAGCGCGACGCCTATGCATTTTTAATGGAGAATTATACCAAAGGCGACAAGATATGCATGGTCGGTTTCTCTCGTGGTGCGTACTCAGCTCGTGGTTTAGCCGGAATGCTTCAGAAGGTGGGATTGGTGTTTTACTCCGAATGAGCTGACTTCTTGACAAAGGTTGGACTCCTTCCCAAGGGAAATAGAGAGCAGGTGGGATTTGATTGATTGATTGATTGATTGGTTGGTTGATTGGTATTAGGTGGGATTTGCATACCACATGTTCAAAGACAACTCAGATGAAGGCTGGAAGATGAGTCAGCTCTTCAAAGAGACCTTCTCAATCAAAGTGAATATCCACTGGATAGGCGCATGGGACTCAGTGTCGTCTATCGGGTTCATTCCGCGTGATCTACCCTTCCACAAATCGAACAATGCCGTGAAAAATTTTACGCATGCAGTAGCACTCGATGAGCACCGCGCCAAATTTAAGGCAGGTCACTGGACGCGCTCTGATGAAATGGAGGTACGCATAGGTCCATGGCAGCGTCGAAAGGAGGAATTGAAACCTAAATTCGGAGACATAAACGAGATCGAGGAGGACGATGTTATACAGGAGCAGAAAGACACAGAAGAAGATCCCAAAAGGGCGGTAGAGAAGAAGCGCGCTAAAGTGATGAAAAACATCAAGGAAATACGTAAACGTACACAGAAATCTAGTGGTGAGGATGATACCAGTGTAGATGCATTCAATCCGGAGATTCAGGCGCAATTTGAGATGCTGTTCGAGCTTCAGGATAAGGAAGATCTCAGCGAGACTAAAGTAAAAGAGGTGTTTTTTACAGGTTGCCATGCAGATGTTGGGGGAGGGTAAATAAAACTGGACGCATCATGGTAACTTTTCCACTAACGTCATGATAGGGCCGTTGCCAACCATACTAGACATTCTTTGGCTCGTATACCACTCAGGTTCATGCTAAGACAAGCCTTCAAGGCTGACACAGGGCTCTTGTTTTCGACAGATCTTCTCGACTATTACGGCCTCGACCTCAACACATTGTACCCATACGTCACTCGCCGCCCTCCGGCGGCTGAGGGGGCTCCAGAAGGCTTTCCGGAGCTTCCTCAACAAGATAACCCCCGCAGAGTGTTTCCAGAAGCTGTCGAAGATTACTACGATGCGTGAGTGCTTTTAGTTAGCTTGGATGATGCTAAAAGTCTCAGGCTATGCCCTTATCATGATTACCTCAATTTGTCAAAAGGCTGGTGGGTCCTCGAGCTTTGGCCGCTAAGAGAGATCTACCAAGATGGTCACGGCAAGTATAGAAAGCGTCTTGCGCCAAACCTTGGCCATCACCGCGCCATAAGAGGTACTAACAACAAGTTCCACCGCTCAGTGGCTATTCGCCAGAAACAGATTGGATATGATATTAAAGCGCGCATGGTTGACTCGCCTACTGCTCACTGGGTAGGCTGAGACGCGCTTTAGTCACACCGAACCATATCACCACGCTCATTCACTTAATTGTTCTCACGCTTCGCTCAAATATTTGCAAACACGTACGCAACGAATACAATGTTAATACACTCCTTAAATCCTAGTACACTTATTACATTACTTTATTTGAAAATCCAATTCTTTTGCTCCTAATGCTCCTGCCATACATGAATATTCACTTATTAACTTGCTTAGCATAGCCTGGGCTTCTCGAAAATTCAATTCTACCGGTAATGCAACATCTATTGCGTGACGTTGACGTCATCCTAGATAGCTACAGAAATGGGATTTGCTGAGATTTTGAACGTATATCCAGGCTCCTCAAATGATATTTATTACTGATATACGTCTTCAGGTTGTCACACAACTCACAATAATATCAACTGCTTCCGGTTTTGGATTGCCAGGTCATGCGAAGGTACCAACTGATAAAAGTGGATAGAGCATCCAATTATTATTTAATGATTCTTTGAAACCCGCTTGTGTAGCTTATGTGGGGCCGATAAGTGAGATTGTCTGCAGGCAATCATGAGTCATTCTGCCACTTGCAGATGACTCAGAGAAGGATGTCTGGATGTCTATTGGAGGATGTTCTGGAGCACGAATCACATCAAAACCATAGGCTGGCTCATCCGAGTAATCCGTGAATGACAGAAGTTACTATTACCACGGTCATGGCGCAATACTGCAGGATAATCAAGGCAAATGCACTTGTATTGATGTCTGTTTACATTTAGGAATCCCGCATTGCACCCTTGAGCACGCAATTCATGCGCCATTCACACCATAGGTTTATCCAGGATTTTCAAATGCGGCATTTCAGGCCAAAAAAACGTATAGGCATAGGTTTTAGATGGCGAATTATCCACGTAATTAGCAAACTACATTAAGGTTAGCATGCATTTGATTACGGCGATAATGGTGAAGATTTTAACCGCATTAGATCAAATTCCAAAAGGAGGATTATAGTGATGATATTCAGGGATTATATATGTAAATAGGCTTATATGAAATAAAAAGCAATTTTTTAAATGGAAATGGGTGCGATCACATTGTACGGCTCTGAAGACGTGGAGTTGACAGATTGTTCACAACTTCCATCATCAGCGCACCGGGCAAAGCACTGTTAATTTACAAAGCTCAAAATTCAGCAAAATATTCAAATTGATCAAATTAATTCCTTCCAATTTAGGAATTTTGCGCCGAATCCATTAGCGTATCCAACATCACAATACGCAACGACACGAACAACACAGTCAACACAATTAAAATTTCTTAATCATGGGATTTTTCGAGAAGAAAGATGCTTTGGATGTAGAGTCAGCAGCACATAAGCTTGATTCTGATAGCAACCTCGAATCCTCCATTAAAGAGAAGTCTCTTTCTTGGCAACAAGCAAGTTTTTTACTTTTGCTTGAATACATCGTCATCGCATTGCTAGCGCTGCCTTCCTCATGGGCTAGTCTTGGCTATGGTGGTGGTACCATTGCAACCATCATCCTTGGTCTCACTGCCGGATATACTCAACACGTCTTATGGCGCTTCTGCCTCAAGTTTCCAGAAGTACGCGATATTCTTGACGTGGCTGTTATTCTCGTTGGTGGTGGTGCGTCTTATTTTTTTATCATCAATTATGAGCTAATGTGACAATATCAGGTAAATGGGGTAAAGTGGCGTGGACGTGCGCATTTATCGGATTAGTACTGAATAACGTTGCTATTATGGGATTGCATATTGTCCAATTCAGCCTTAGTATCAACACTCTCTCCGACGGTGCGAGATGCACGCAGGTGTTCGCCGTTTGTGGCACCCTCCTCATGCTGCTCATTTCCCTCTTCAGAGAATTGAAGCACATGTCTCTTCTCGGGGCTGTAGCTTCCGGAAGTATGCTCGGCTGCATTATACTCGCAATGATCTTCTCAGGCGTGCAGGATCTCCCCCCCAACCACTCAGGCGGGCCAATCATCGTCGAGCCGTGGGCCCGAGAGGGAGTCGGTCTTGTAGACGGCAACAACGCTGTTCTCAACATCCTCTACACCTACGTTGGTCACATTCTCATACCGACCTTCGTGGCTGATATGAAGTGAGTCGTCATCTCGACTATAAGCCTCCCCCTAAACACACCCTAGAAATCCAAAAGACTTTGGTAAAGCCATCTACGTCTCTATCACTGCAGAAATTGTCCTCTTCTCACTTGCGGGTGGTATCATATACTCGCAGGTCGGTGCGGCGGACATGACAAGTCCTGCATACGGATCACTCCAACCTGCCTTTCAAAAGACCATTGCGGCATTTGTGTTACCAACCGTAACCATTGTCGGCGGTGTATATTGCCTCGTCACTGCGAAGACTGTCTTTTCGAGAGTATTCGCTTTCAACTCGGTACACAGACGGAGTCATACCGTGAAAGGATGGTCTGCATGGATAGTCATCATTATTCTGCTGTGGATATTAGCTTACATCATCGGACAAGCAATTCCATTCTTCAACGATCTCATTTCGCTAATTAGGTGGGTTTAATTGCTTTTAGCGGCCTATGAATCACACTTACACTCATCTCAGCTCGCTGTTTGACAGCTGGTTCGGTTTTGTCTTCTGGGGCATTGGATATTTCTTTATCTACCGCCGCAAGTCCTTCAGCGGTTGGGGCATCGTGGAGGCGCCACTCAATATTATCATCACTATCGTCGGATTTGTCCTATTGGGCTTGGGCACTTATACTTCCGTAGAATCCATTATAGAGAGCTATGACACCGGCAGCATTAAATCACCTTTCTCATGCGTCGATAATGGCTTTTAAGGTGCTTCTAAAAAGCTTCTCGCGGTTTTGATGACAGATTATACGGAAGATGTTCACTTTTTCTTTACCTTATTACCTTCTTTCTTCTAGGATTTTAGAGACATTTCAACATGCTTACGCTTTATGTTTTTACGGATGAATGCTGTCAAAGATATATCTTGTAATTCTACACAAAATAGACATAATATCATATACGGAGTTACATACAATATACAACAAACGCGAGAGCACCGAAAAAACACTATTCACATAACATATTTGAAATCATAACGTTCATCACCAGTAACGCCATTTCTATCTTGTTCATCTTTTTCCTCCTGCGTCATGGCTTCCTTGCGTTTGTTCCGTGCTGTGTAGTTGACCCACTGGGCAGCATACAGGACGCATGACATAGCCATCACTGACATACTGACAGCGTGTCCAATCCTGTTGGTAGTGTAGATTTGGCCTGCAATGATACCACCAATGTTACCAAAACTCTGGTTCATTCCCATTCCAGTTGAGCGCTTAGTTACACCGCTCGCGTTGGTGTTCCACATTGTTAGATTAAGGCCAACTGTTACGTATATTCCTGTCCCGCAGACAAAGCATGCGAAGTATTGTACACCGACTATATCATCAACGCCAAGCAAGATGGCATATCCGGCAACAGTAATAAGAGACGCTGTGATCAGCATCGGTACTCTGTGATTGTAGCGGTCAGCAACCATGGCGCATATGACATAAACGATCGCAGCCCAACAATAATTCGCAGCCGAGAGAAGATTGGCATTCACGTAATTGAATCCTAGGTCTTGAATAATTAGCACGAGGAATGTGGAATATCCAAATAGACAAGTGTCAGCGCCCAGCTGCGCGATGCAAGAGTAGTATACGGCTGGGTCTTTGAGACATTTTTTCACTTCTGTCTTATAATCACCCATGAACTGATACTTTGCCCCGTGTGCATACCTCACTTGCATTAGATATTTCTCCCTCTCATTGAGATACCAGGCCGATTGACTATCCTCTGCCAGAAGGAAGAAGAGCACGATGCCCCAAACGACGGTGAGCAAGCCTTCAAATAGGTAGAGAATCTGCCATCCTTTTAAACCACCACCATTCAATTGTAAAAGTCCAGAGGAGATAAGGCCACCGAATGCGGAAGAGATGGCTGCTGCGACAAACAACATTGCTGTCCTAAATGCAATCTCGTTTCTTTTGTAAAAAAATGTGATGTAAATAGCAAGGCAAGGGAAAAGAGCGGCCTCAAAAGCACCTAAAATGAGCCTCAGAGCAACTAGAGTTGCAAAATTTTCCTGAAAACCACTGCCAATGACTACAGCGCCCCACAAAATCATTATAGCGCTCATCATATATCTTACCGGAAATCTTTTCATAAGACTTGATAGAGGTGCTTCAAACAGGACGTAGAGTACGTAGAACACACTGGTTGCAATGTTAATGCCATTCGAGGGCATGTTGTTCAAGTCTTCTACCATTCCGCCTGAGGCTGCATTTCCAATGTTGCTTCTCTAATATGGCGTGAGTGTGAGGTGTCTGAAATAGACAACTACGCACGTCTAAAAAAGATAAGAAGTAGGAGAAGCTAGTAGTAGTCAGATTGTATCTAAAGAAATACTCCAAACTCACCCCAAAACAGGACATATGAATAGGTCTAGCTTTCGCACTAGCTTTTTTTCTTCTTTGGGATCAATTTGGACAGTGGAGAGGTCTTCCTCATGGTCATTGATACGGAAAGACTGGACTGAACCGTTGATTGAATTGTTGTCCTTTTCTTTGTCGTTCATTTTGTGTTGAGTGTTTTATTGACAATATAAATCACGCGAGATAAGGAAGTGATAGTAATATATGACCAATTCTTATCTTATCGCTTAGAAGAATGCTGATAGCTAACTTCTGACTTCTGCTGACTTCTGCTGACTGCTACAAAGACACGAGTCTTCGACCACCTTCGGCTCTACTCCAAGAATTAATAAAACCAGTCTATTTATATCACCGAGCTGCGTGATCTTGTTCACTGCAGGTTGAAATTTGACAGCTTTATAGTCAGATGACGTCGTCAATTTCGTCTATTGGTTCTTCCCTGCGGAAAATCCGATTGAGATTAGTCTTATGAATATTTTCAGCTCACGCTTCCTGCAGTGCCCTCCTGACCCAGTCACACCATCGGCTGGGCAGATAAGATTCATCTCGGCTAGAGGTTTCGCTTCAAATAACCTCTAAGACCTTGCTATCGACTTCGTTTCGTCATACAACCAAACAACCAACCAATAACGAAATGACAATTCCAGACAGATCAATACGCGTATCCGCAGACAGAGGTGGTACTTTCACAGATATTATAGCCAGCTTTCCCAAGAACGGAAAGCACGAGGAGATTGTGGTGAAATTGCGTGAGTTTAGTGGTGGAGGTACAAAGACTGCACTAACGAGTACTAGTATCGCAGGACCCCAACAACTACGCAGATGCTCCTACTGAGGGTGTGTAGTACTTGATTTGATCCGAGAAGCCCCCACTTAACCCACGCAGGCATCCGCAGAGTGATCGAGATAGCCACCGGCGAATCTATTCCACGTGGCCAGAAGGTTCCATCGAAGAAACTCGATAATATCCGCCTTTCCACCACTGTAGCGACCAATTCACTTCTCGAGAGGAAAGGGGAAGAGCACGCGCTGCTTATCACGAAAGGATTCAAAGATCTTCTTGAGATCGGCAACCAGTCACGTCCAAAGATATTTGATTTGTCAATTAAGCGCCCATCGACGCTGTATAATGACGTCATCGAGGTAGATGAGCGCGTCACTCTCGTTGGATACACGCAAGATCCAGAAAGTGGAGAGAATGCGGTGCAGTTCGACGCCAAGGGCCGCATTGCCCGTGGCTACAGAGGCAAGGGTTGGGATGGTCAAGGTGACGCAGAAGGTCCTGGCGACGTCGTGATGGGTGTGTCGGGCGAGGCTGTGCGTATACTCAAGCGACCTGATCTCGCTGTTGTGCGCCAGGACTTACAGAGGCTTTACAAGAAAGGTATACGCTCACTCGCTATTGTGTTCGTGCACTCATACACATACCCCAAACACGAACAGGAGGTGGCTGATTTAGCTCGCAGCATCGGTTTCACGCATGTGTCTGCCTCCTCCCAGCTCCTGTCTATGATTAAAATGGTGCCAAGGGGGGTGAGCGCAACTGCCGACGCATACCTCACCCCGGTCCTCTCAGACTACATCAACGGCTTCTTCCATGGCTTCGACGACGCTATCGGAGATGGTAGCGGTGCTGACGGGGGGTGCAAGGTAGAGTTCATGGGCAGCGACGGCGGGCTGTTAGATTTGAGGAACTTTTCGGGCCTCAAAGCAATCTTGTCAGGACCTGCAGGTGGAGTAGTCGGTTATGCGCTCACTTCCTGGGACGAAAAGGCTAGAATACCAGTCATCGGTTTGGATATTGGCGGTACCTCAACCGATGTAAGCAGATTCGCTGGCGCTTACGAGACAGTGTACGAGACCACGACAGCAGGTGTTTCCATCCAGTCACCGCAGCTTGATATAAACACCGTAGCTGTGAGTTTTATAGCTAAATCCTCGCGCATCTAACAAACAAACACAGGCCGGTGGTGGATCGTGTCTTACTTTTAGAGACGGGCTGTTCCACGTTGGACCACATTCAGCGGGTGCACACCCCGGTCCAGCCTGCTATAAGAAGGGTGGACCGCTGGCCGTTACTGATGCGAATCTGTTTCTCGGTCGACTTGTTCCATCGCGCTTCCCGCGCGTGTTCGGACCCAACGAAAACGAGCCAATCGATCCATCGGCATCTGCGGCGGCATTTGGGGAGCTAGAGAGGCAGATCAAGGCGGAGACCAACGCAGAGCATGATTTGGACGCTATTGTCTATGGATACCTCAAAATAGCTAATGAGACAATGGCGAGACCAATACGCACGCTCACGGAAGCTAAGGGCCATGCGACGTGGTCGCACATTCTCGCAGCTTTCGGGGGTGCTGGTGGTCAGTCAGCTGCTGAGATAGCCCAGATACTAAAAATCTCGCGCGTTGTTATCCACAAATACTCGTCTATTTTATCAGCATTCGGTTTGTCGCTTGCAAATAGGACTTTCGAGAAACAACTGCCAAGTTCAAAGCTGTGGAATCAAGACAGCAAGCCTGAATTCACGAAGAGGTTGGATGAGTTGGCGGGAGTTGTCAAGCAGGAGTTGAATTCACAGGGCTTCGATAACGAGAGAATCACTCTGGAAAGATACCTCAATATGCGCTTCGACGGGAGTGACACAACACTCATGATTACGACAGACTCGGACGAACACTTCCACGAAGCATTCAAGGAACGCTACATCGACGAATTCGGCTTCCTTCTTGAGTCTGATATTATGGTCGACGATGTTAAGGTGAAGGGGATTGGTAAGACTTATGATCAGCTCGGAGAATCTGCGCTGAGCGAGTACTCCAATTTGAAGCGCAGGCCACTCACGAAAAAGGACGCTGACAGTACACAACCATCCTACTTTGAAATTCAAGGCAAGGGCCAGAGAGTAGAGACGCCGGTGTATGTGTTGGATAACTTGCAAGTTGGAGACACCATCACAGGACCAGCCATCGTAATCGACAATACGCAGACTATCGTGGTGTTACCAGATTGGATTGCAACATCTACCACTCAATGTTTGTTTCTTGAGTGCGAGAAGCTGAAACAGTAGAGTGGAGTGCATGTAGAAATTAAAAGGATTAGAAATTCAAATGTATCTACGTTTCGAAATTAGAGTATAATAGTAAAGCAAAAAGGTATCAATTGAGTGGTGTATTCCATTGATAGATCTAAAAAGGGAATAGAAGGTAAGGGTTAGTAGAAATGTTAATTTGGGAGAAAATTCAAGTTATCAATCTAGCTGTGATTGTCCGGTATTAATGCGTCAGTTATTAGTGAAAAGAAGAATTAAAAAAAGTGGAATTCCTGTAAATCATCCAAACTACTCCAAGCTCGCGTTGTAGTACTGATAGTTGTTCGGCCCAGGCGTGCGAACCGAATCTTCAACGAGGGGCGGAGGCTGGTAAGCGAACTGACCCTCGCCGTTATCAGTATAGTCTTCGCCGAGCCCGAGCGCCGACATCCTATCAGCAGACGTGGGCGGACAAGTGAAGCCGAAGCTAGCTACAGTTGGTGTCCTAAAGTCGTCCTCGTAGAATGAATGTGTTGAAGAGGCTGGTATAGTGTCGAAGGAGGGAAGCGATTGGGTTGTGCGTGGGACGGTGTAATCGAATTCCAAGTTAGACGACTGAGTGTGCTGAATGGGAGCGTAGGCCATGTCAAAGTGATTAAGGTGACCGATGTGGCCAAAATCGAAAGGAGAAACAGAGCTCATGGTACTGATTGTAGGGAGCGAGCTGCCGTAAATGGTTTGTGGTTGAGAATACCCAGTGTTGTGTATTTGTTGTTGTTGTTGTTGTTGCTCCTGCTGCTGCTCGAAATAATTCAGCTCCCTGGCAAAAGAATCCTCAGAACGGTGTTTGCGCATTGGGCCAGATGAAGGCTCAATAGCTTCTCCAAAAGGTAGCAAGCCGAGATGCTCTGGTGAGCCATATTGGCTGGAGGAAGAGGGGCGCGACGAGTACTGACTGGCTGAGTCTGAGTTAGTAAGCGAAGACATGTACGAGCAGTCAGACAGAGTGTCTGAGTCTGAAGTCCTTGCGAGGGAACCACTATGGGTACTACTATGGAAGCTGCGGTAGGCATCCTTGCCGTCTCTCGAATGTGTGCGGGTATGCACCGCGAGGTTATCAGAGCGGGTAAAAGACTTGAGACACACGTCACATCTAAATGGACGCTCTTTGGTATGGGACCGCCTGTGTCTGCGGAGATGTTCATGCCGCTTAAACGCTTTGCCGCATTCGTCACACCGGAAAGTGCGCTCATCGGGTAGCTCGTTAGTGAGGTGCTCGAGGTGGTTCCAAGGGGGCAGTTTGGAAGGGGTGTCTTTGTGTGCAAGACTGCGCTTCTGTAAGATCTTTCTCAGAGTCTTTCCCTGCTTGTAGAACTCAGAGCCATTTTTTGTGCCGAGGAGAAAGACGTGAGAGAGGTTGTTGTCGTTGAGCTGTTGGTGGAGAGAGCAGTCATGGAGCCATTTGAATTTGAAGCTGGGCTCAAAAGTTGCAATTGTAGAGGCCTGTGCGGAAATTAGAAATTGAGGTACGGCGGGAGTAATTGAATAGCCAACGCACGGGGTTGCCGGCAGCCTCGCGTTTCAAGTCACGCTCCAAGGCGTCGAGAAAAAGTCTGTCATGCGGCACAGCGTGCCAATTGAAGAGCTTTTGCTTCTTCTGGGTGCGGATAGCGCCATATCTGAAGAGAAGATCGAGAAGTTCACTGCCATTATCTTGAATGATGCTGTCAATACCAGGTTTTAAGTTGCGTAGGTCAGAAGAGATGCCCTCGTTGAGTTTTCTGTGGTCACGGATGTGTCTGCCGAGAGAGACAAGTTTAAAGCCGACGATCTTGAATAGGTCGGATGAGGATATGTAGAGATCGTTTAACCAGCGAATGCAGTGAATGTAATTTGATTCGCTCTCTAGTGGTATTCTGTGTATTAGAGCATGTGGATGGAGTGGACCTAGATCCAGCTCGTTATTAAACAGAGAAGGAGCCTCAATTAAGAAATTATTTAGAATTTTAATCGAACCAGCGATTTGAACGTCTATTTTATCCATGTCTAATGGTTTAACAGGCACCAGGCCAAATTGTGATGATCGTTGAGTTGAAACACCCATGTCAACGACATCTGAAGTTGATGCCGAGTGCACACTCCTCGAGCAGAATTTGACTAAAGTGAATAATTTGACTAACTCAATGAGCTCAATGGTGTTTAGTCTAGAGGATAGGATGACTAGACTCGAGGGTGCGGTAACTCCGCTGCAATCATCGACCAATGGTTTGGATGTTGTCTGTAGGAGTGAGTGTAGGATTGTGTGTTCGAATCTCTCCTAATTCATTTGATACATAGACATTCAATCCTCACTCAACGCCATTGATAGCGATCAAAGACTATCAACGATCACCAGCGATGACGAACAAGCAATTATCGCAGGTGCTGATTCAAATGATATTAGACCTTACTTGAAATTAGTTTGTTCGCTATGCAATCAACTTAAACACCTAAAACACTCCCAATGGTCTTCTTCTAAGAATGCTGCCACCGATCTCAAGAACCATGTTCAATCAGGTACACAATCCCTATTAAGGGTGTTTCAGGGCTGGGTTAGAGACGTAAGCATCCCAATTGATGCCGATAGCTGGAATCTCTTGGATTTCCCGGGTATACCTCAACACGCCGTCGCGAGGTTAAGTGCCTTTATTGATGCTGTTTATCCTATACTAGACCAACTAGATGACTCTGCGTATACTCATCCTTCTATCATTTACTCCTCTGAACGCGCACGCTACTTAAACATTTCTCTCCAGCCAATCTACAAAAAGTCTCAATTTTCACTTGATGCTCATTCTAAATCTGGTCCACTTGGTACTCCTTTATATCTAAAAGGTTCTCAATCTCTTTCATCCCTCATAAAGACTGCAATAGCAATGGCTGACGTCGAGTGGCTCTCTGTCGTTGCTTTGTTTGGCAGGTGTGTTGATGATACAGGCGATAAGAAGGAAACAAATCCCTCAGATTACTCATCTCACTCAATCCATTCCCCCTTTACCTCTGCAATTGCACCAGCTGCCACTCTCATCCACTCCGCTACTTCAAACATATTCTCTCTTGCACGTTCAACCCCTCTCAAACACATTTTCCCTGTCTTAGATGTTATTGAAGGTGTTACTCCACTCGCTGAGCCCTGGGACAAAGCCGTCACTGCGAGATGCACTCAGCCATCCACCAACCAAGTCGCCGCTTTGGTTGAGGAGTGTCGCTCAATCGCCCTGCACAGCTTTTCCGATGTTATCAAGCGCGTGCGCTTGCATAACGAAGAGAAACACATGACGGATGTGTCAGTAGTGACGAATGATACCATTGCATATCTCAAAGAAATACCCGCATATTCCAACACTATGGAGCAGCTCCTGAGGCGTGTGGAGTGGGGGGGAAGGAGTGAACAACGCGCACCACGCGCCAACCTCCTCGAGAATTACCTCCGTGATGTACTCACTAATCTGATAACCACACTCACGCACCTCAAACCAAATGCCTACACTACCATTTACACGCTCAACAATCTCTCAGTGCTGCGACGCGAGCTGATAGAAGCTTGCGAGCCGGTATCACTCGACCCTAGCAAAGCCGACTCCCCCTCAAACCGCGACATAGGAGATCTTTTAGGTGAAGCAGCTGAAGATGCACTCAACGACGCTTTGCGGACGTGGCGCATGGCGTATCTCGACGCAGTGTGGAAACCGTCCCAGGTGGCGCTGACGTCGGATGAGCTGAGCACCACAAATCAAGGGCCACACGTCCCCACGGCATTAGGGGGGAGTGCCGAACGTAAACAGCTCATCAAGGATAAGTTCAGCAGATTTAACGAGGCATTTAGCCATCTCGAAAGCTTGCATACCAAGCACCCCGTCGCCAAACGCGACAAAACGCTGCTTGGCAGACTAGGCAAGGAGTGCAAAGCTATGCTCCTACCTCCATACGCTACGCTCTGGGGTAAAAACCAGTCGGGGGACTTTGCCAAGACACCGTCAAAGTATATGCGCATCACACCTGATCAGCTCGAGGCGCGTATTGATGGGTTGTTTGTGTAGATGGCTTGTCTATTTAGTGTGCGAATTGGCGTGTACATTGCGTCTTTATATTTGTTTTACTTTTTACTTTTGTGTGCGCGTGTGTGCATGTGTGCATTTGCGTCACTTGATTAGCAACTTCAATCACCAAACAAAATACACCAGTCAAAAACCAGAAGATGGGAGTACCAGGATTATGGGATGTGAGTGGCAGAATGGCGTGAATGTACCGCTCAATTGGCTCCAGCTCCTCCGCCCAGCCGCGTGCTCCCACTCGCTATCGCGGATGTCTGTCGATGCGTTTGTAGCAAACAACCGTGGACACCGGGGACTGCGCGTAGGCGTAGATGCCTCAATCTGGCTTATACACTCACAAACAGCGCCTGGCGGTCTAAATCCAGCACTCCGCACGCTTTTCTTCAAACTGAGCAAGCTGATGACGCTGCCGATACTCCCTCTATTCGTGTTCGATGGGCCAGGCAGGGTGGGTTATGAGAGTGCGCAGTAGACCGCCTTTTTAATGCACTACCCACAGCCCAAAATGAAACGCGGTAAACAGGTACGCGGGAGACAGCCCCGCGGACTTAAAGACTTTATTAAGCTTATCGACGCTTTCGGCTTTGAGCATCACCAGGCGCCCGGTGAAGCAGAGGCTGAGCTAGCCCATCTGTCCAAGATGGCCACCATCGACGTCATCCTCTCTGATGATGTCGATAGCCTGCTTTTCGGCGGTGTCAAGATTCTGCGCAATTGGTCCCTCACTCTGTCGGGGAACAGCAGTCGATCTCAGCTGCAACTGCAGGCAGATGGACAAACCCGCACCCATGATTCACTTGCTGCCGACGATCACCGCGTCGAGACCTACACACTTTCCGACGTGCACAGTCATCCCTCCACCGCCGTCACGCCTGCTGGGCTTATTCTCGTTGCGCTACTTGCAGGCGGCGACTACCACCCAGTGAGCGGGAAATATTTCTCTCATTGCACTGTCTCACTTCAATGCAGGCCGGAGTGCAGAACTGCGGGACCAAAAACGCTTTCGGCTTGGCGCGAGCAGGTTTCGGGGAGAAGCTGATGGAGGGTGTGAGCTTGACACCGCCATCTGAGCTACCTTCCTTTTTGGATGCGTGGCGGGCTGAAATGCGCGAGGAGCTCACTCACAACACCTCCGGTCACCTCAGCAGCAAACGTCCAGCAGTAGCTGCAGCGCTAACGCCATCTTTCCCCGACATGGAGGTTCTCGCACGCTACACGCACCCACTAACGACGGCGTCGACCGAGTGCGACGCTGTTTACCGCGCCTCACTCGCCGCAGTCCGTTTCGCGAAAGAGCCCGATATCGCAGCCCTAGCCCGTTTCTGTGAGGAATACTTCGAGTGGGGTGAACGCTCGCGGATCGTTGCCAAATTCCGCAGCAGCGTCTGGGACGGGGTGTATGTGCGTGCGCTGCGCGCTGCCACTTGCGCTCTGGATAGTGGGGAATGTGGGGAATTCAACGAGGAGGCCAAATCTCATCTCGTCCGCATACACCAAACTCGCAACAAAAGCAACGCAGAAAGGTACGTCGAGTACCGCATTTCAGTCGATCCCGCACCTTACGTTCGCATCGTGGAGATGGCACTTACTGGTGACATGCGCGCTTTGAGAGAGGCTCGTAAACGCAACGACCCTGCTCTGCGCGATCTGCGCAACGCCTTGCCAGATGAGAACGGTGGTAACAGCCTTGGCACGGATGTCTCCTCGTCTAATTTGGATCTGACAGCGGATCCTACCCCATCTCAAACTCAAACTCAAACTCCATCGCAGTCGCTGAATACACAAAAATCTAAACCACCTACTGACCAACACGCCCCGCTGAGAATGTGGGTGCCGTCGCAGATTCTCCGCGCCGCTTTGCGCAATGAGACGGATGCTTTCGATAGCGGACGTGGTGTTCATTCCAGTGGTAGCGAAAGAGTGGCGACAGTAGCCCCGAGCCGCATCCCACACCCTGCATCTGCTTTAGTACGCGAGAAGACCATTGTGGATGAGCAAGATAAGCAAGATGAGCAAGGAGATGGTAATGGTGGCGGTGATAATAGTGACATTACTACTCGATATAGAAGTGTCAGAGGTAGTAGAGGTGGGAGAGGTAGAGGTGGTGGTAGGCGCAGACGCGCTACTGCCAACGACTTCACCACAAACACGCACAACACCCTCACTCGTCACGCTACCATAGAAGACCAGCCTGATTACACTCAAGCTAACAACTTTGATTTCGTCGATTTCACCGACTCGAATAACCCCATCGTCCTGCCTTCTCCACCCAAGGTGAGTCGTAAGAGGGCGACAAAGGGCGGTGTAAATGTGGCGAGTACGGAAGGTTACGTAGGCAACCGCGCAAGCACTCAACGCACCCAGCAAACTCAACACACTCAACGCACTCCACGCAAAACCAGCGGTAGTAAGCGCCACGTCGATAGTACGTCGACTGACAATCTCGGTGAGCGTTTGAAGCGGATTGGTGCGGTGGGAGAGGGTGCACAAGACACTGCAGCGCCTGAAGATTTAAATGCCAGGGAGGAATTAAGAGATTCTGAAGACGCAGCATACTCAGGATACTCAGGATATTCAGGTCATCCTCAACATCATCGACACTCTCCGCCCAGCTGCAGCAAAACTCCATCAAAACCCAAACAATATAGCCTCGCCAGCCCTCTGGATGCATCGCTCAGTCCACCGTCGCCTTCGGCGTTGTTTGGTTTGGGTGGAATGGGTGGAAATGAGAAGGAGAAGGGGGAATTTGGGGAATATGCTCTGAGGCATAGGCATAAACCTAAAAACAAAAACAAGGAACCGATACAGATTGACGATTCACCCGTAAACACAAACAACACCCAGGACCTAGATGGAGAAAGAGCGAAAACGACCCGTACACACGCAAGCCACTCACCTATCAACATTTCGAGCGACGAAAGCTCAACGCCGCGGGGGAAGAGTACGAGCGTGGTGAAGGGGAGTAAGAGTAGGAGTAAAAAGAGAGATTCACTGTCGCCGTCGTTGCGGCGTAGGAGTGAGGGCAGCAAAAGAAAGAACAAGACACTTACGGGTGTGTTCGCCGGGCGTAAGCCTGTGCATACGCCTGCATCTACGTCTGCCCACAAGCAGTTAAACAGCAAGACAAACGACGTTATAGATCTGACGTAGAGATGATGATGTAATAATACAACACAAATGGAATTTGAGTTTAATTGAGTTAATGTACAATAGACCACTATGCAAAAAGTAATTGAAAATATAGTCCAACTACCAAAAGTTTTCACTGCGTGCTTCAACACTATACTCACCTCTTTCGCATCTCTTCCTCCGCTCAAGCAACCAAGCGTCGAACCAATTTTTCATTCGCAGGCGACTCGCCGGCTTTGCATTGTTGACAGTGGCGATGATGCGCGTGTGGTCAATGGAGAGAGCGAAGCAAGTGAGTTCCGTGAAAGATGAATGTTCCGAGTAAGGTACGCCATAGCAGCTAACGTAATCGTTAGAGCCGCGTGTGCTGTGAATGTGTTTGTGCGTGTACGTGTCCCACCTGCTGAGGTCTTGTTTAAGGAGGAGGTCGATGGACGGCGACTTGCTATCACTTGCCGACCCACTCCCACTACTGCTTTCGCTCTTGCCGCCCCTTCCGCCCCCGCTGTACGTCCAGCCGGTCGGCTTAATGCCGATTACGCGCGAAAAGCGCCCGTTGAATCTGGATATGTAGTCGGGAAGCGCGGCAATAGTTACCCCACCCAGACCCTGAATGTGCACTTGAGCAGCGTAAGGGTCGGAAGTGAGGAGAGCATCGAGGTCGCTGTCGCGCTCGTTGCGCAGAAGCGCTTGTCGCCGCTTATCGGCGTATACTTTGGAATTGAGGGCATGAGCAATCGCCTTTACTATCCGCTCCTTGCCGATGGAATAGGTGCCGACCACAACGAGGACATCGTTGGGGAGAGTATGTGGGTGAATATTTTCATTTTCACTTTTATTTTCACCACTGGATGGTTTTTCATCTGTCACGTACTCACCATGCTCATCTTGCTCAGGAGCACCACTCAGCTTCTTCCAGCCACCCTTGATCATGTCGAGCATTGAGCTGTTTGGCTGCATCAGGCTATTCACTCGCATCTCACCCCGTAAATTCGCGAGGACGAGGTCGCGGCAGGCATCAATAACGAGTGGCTGTGGAGGGAAGGAGTAGGTGGGATTGAGGTAGGTGGTGTCTAAGTAGATAATGTCGAATTTTGACCGAGCGATGGCGGGATGGCGTATGTGTCTGGGACTGGCCCTGAAATCGCCGCAATGGAGGTATTTGAAAGAGCGGCTGCTGCCGATCCACGGGGAAGTGAAAGTGGATGGCGCAGCATCGACTGTCTGCCTACCCTCGAAGACAATAATGCAAGAACCGGGGCAGTGGTTTGCGTCGATAAGGGTCGCGGTGACGCCATTCGTGCCTGGGATGGTGTGTGCAGTGTTGAGTGAGAGCGGGCGGAGGTACTCTCGCTTGACGCTTGTTATGTGGTGGACGAGCTCGGCCGTAATCTCGGAGCAGTATATCGGACCACCACTCCAGTTCTTGGATAGTGACTGATAATGGTCGCTGTGGGCGTGTGTGAGGAAGTAGGCTGTGATATTGGGGATGGACGAGTACGCGAACGCGTCAACGGCGATGGGCATTCCTTGGAGTATCTTGTAGAAAGGAGGTTGGCGCGGTTGGCGTGGCTGTGATTGTGCGTCTGCCTCCGCATCTGCCTTCTCTTCGGGGTTATTGGATGACATGAGCACGTTGAATGCAGATATCTTTTTCTTCTTCGCGGGTGGCGGGGGAGGAGTGGGCGAGGGGGATAATCGCTTGTCTTGTACTTGGTTGTTCTCTAGCTGCTTATCAGCCACAGCCACAGCATCATAGCCACCATCCAGGCATCGGTTCACGTGGTGATTTGCAGCTGGTTGATCGTGATTGGACAAATCTAGATTGCAAACCGGGCAAAATGGGCAAACCGGGAGATCCATCGGGTGCAATCTTCTTACCAACCGACGGTGATGACGGGATGGAATAGAGTGCTTAAATTCTGGGTAATATTCGTGATAGCGACGTTGAATATAAATTTAGTACAAATATTCAGCAGTCCATTTAAATTAATCAGTAAATCCATCTACACAAGCATCATCGACTACTCGAAAGCGTCATTCTCCAAGTTTCTGGTTATTTTGTTAAATTTGCAAGGTAATGGAAGCGTAGTGAGAGTGTACAACCCAGTAACAGTTCAACCACAATCTGTAATCTTCTCAAACCACCAACTGTACACTGATTGGATTTACATCTGGACTCTCCTCTATAAGCTGGAATCCAACGCTGATCACCTTATCATCATCCTCAAACACTCCCTCAAACACATCCCCATCCTTGGCTGGGGTATGCAATTTTTCAACTTTATCTTTCTTAGACGCAGTTGGGCTGTTGATAACAAGACACTCTCTAATCAATTACATCAGATTTCTGCCAACAGCAACCCATACACCCTTCTCCTCTTCCCTGAAGGTACCACCATCTCCAACGATTCTCGCCCAAAGTCAAACAACTTTACGAAGAAAATTGGCGTTGAAGATTTTCACCATCTCCTCTACCCACGTGTTACTGGTCTCCTCCACTCCCTCAGGTCTCTCTCCCATAATCCCAACCTCCAGGTCATCGACTCTACCCTTGCATACCCAGACATCCCCCCTGGCGTCTACGGCCAGGACTGGTACACGCTTAAAAACACCTTCCTCAGGCGCATCTCGCCGGATATTATACACTTGCACATGAGCAGCTGGAAATTGTGTGACATTCCAATCCACTCGGATGATTTATTCACTAGCTGGCTTCTACAGAGGTGGCACGAGAAAGAGCAACGTTTGCGTGTTTTCCAAGAGTCACACACTCTAGATCCATCTGGCAAGTACCAAGACATCCCTCTCAATCTAACCCATCCACTAGCACACACACTCGATGCTTTCATCTACTTTGTTCCTATCATTTTGGTGTATGTTCTATGTCGTTTGGTGATATAAAATTCATGTCATTTGATATCGATAATCATCTAAAGGAATTTGCTAGCCAGGCTGCTCAGCCCACCCGAGTCACTTCCTCCAATTGTACCACCACTCATCTTGGACTTGATGACGAGTTTACCGAAAGTCATTGCAGCGCTGTCAACAGCAGACTGTTTGTCGTCGCTGCTACCATGACTAAAGTGTTCATCAGCCAATTTCTTAGCCTCGGCGATAACTTTTCCGAGGAGATCGCTATCTTTCTCGTTTGTCTGGTTTTCTCCACCAGCAAAGTGTTTCTTGAAAAGGCTCATAGCGTAAGCAGTGCCGTGCTCTTGAGGCGAGGCGCCCTTGGTATCGCCCTCTTCAAAAACCTTGTTATGTGCCTGCACGGAGCCTTCCTCATCCACATGGCCATTCATCTCGCCCTGCTTGTCGTTGAGCATGCCTACTGCCTTCTCGAGGTACGAGTGCTGTGACTCATCGCCGTGCTCTGACTTGGCCATGCCGAGGACTGACCTCAAATCGAATCCTTGCCCAGAAGAGGTGTTACCTGAGTCGCCGCTATTACCTGCGTACGCCTCATAGCCTTGTTTAGCCATATTTACAAAGTCCATTGTGGATGTGCTTGTGTGTTTACGGTGCTGATGGTGCTGGTGCAACGTGTATTGCTATCTGATCGGTCCGGGAGCAATTCGGGAAATTAGAGCGTAATGTGATTGCGGAGGAGAGCCCAAACTTCAAAGGTGCACTTGCCTGCATTTTAATGCGTTGTCTGCTTGCATCTCCTCATCTCCCCGTCCACCTCTTCATCTCCCGAACATCCATCATCTGGATAACAAATTCAGATAACAGATAAAAGATGGGCACACAACATGCGCGCGCGGCCCTGCATGCCGCACACAGCCTACGCGCCGTCCCGCGGTCGTGGAAGGCGCGTATTGGTCGAGTTCTACGGGAGGGGGAGGACAAGGACGCACAGGGCACACAAAGCAAACGACGTCTACTGAGTGAGTGAGTTAGTTGCGGGGATGTCCACCGACGCGATCTTACAAAATATAGTCTATGGCAGCCACACCAAACAGCTCGTTGAGGCTCTCCTCCGCGATCCATTGGCTGGCGGTAAAGCTGGTGGTGGTAGTGGCAGTAGCAGCAGCTCTAATAACACCCCCCACACCTCCGCTACAGACATTCTCCAGCAGCGAAGACACCTCGGCGGACGGCGGAACGAGGGGCGCGTGTGGACTATACAGCACAGCCACCAACACGCTCCAAGCACACCCACCACTGAGCATGTCCTTATTCCTCTGCCGGCGCTGGAGAAAGTGGATGTGGTTGAGTGGAGTGACGGTGACGGCGATCGGGAGAGTTGGTCCAAACACGCACACGCACACCACTCCCAACTCACCGACGAAGCTGTCGCGTCGCACGACCTGATTATCGATAATGGGCCAGCAAGTGCGTATCTCCGCGGCTTGTTCGGCGATCGGCCACGAACAATAAGTATAAACGGGCGCAACGAGCTCGCAGTAGATGCGACAGGTGCTCTCGGTGCTCTTGATGCGTTTGAAGCGAAGGACGTAAATGGGTATACGCGACTGACGGATTCCTCCAACATACGAAAGTTGAAGCAAGTGTTAGTGGGTGATATGCGAGTAGCAGAACGAGAAGCGCACGCTGTGCACGCAGTCAAACTGGCACTCAGCGCGACAGACAGAGTGCTGCGCACGAAAGAGCACGTTCTAGCGTCGATGGAGAGGGAGAGTGAGGTATGCGTGGAGGAGACAGAAGGGGAATGCGCCAAACTCCTCCAACATTTCCCGTCGTCTACTCACATTCAACACGATCATACAGTCTCGTTGCACAAGGCACTCGCAATGCTCAGGTCTTTCCCAGTCGCTCTCCTCCCTATACGCATAGACGACCTGGGTGCGTTTGTGGAAGGGATACTCAACAAACATTTCGCTGACACCCTCGCACTCGAATATGCCGCCTTTGATGGCGCTGTTGCCCAGACTAATGCGCGCGTTCACCACCTCGCACATGAACAGCTGGAGCGCGCGGGTAAGCGGAGTGTAGAGGGTATAGAGGGTTTAGATACAAATGAAGATAAGGATATGCCTCTGCACCTGCACACAGCCATCCACCAAAACAACTTGGGCAGAAACGCGTCTGCACTTGCATCAGCACCTTCCACAGACAGCCGCAGTATAGCGCAGCGCACACTCAATACTCTCACACAGCCAGGTGGCTTGCCTGACAGTATAGCGGCGCGGATGCAGGCAGCGCTTGTGCGCGCGTACGGGGGTGTTTTGTCCACAAGTGCACTGGGGTATGCAGGCGCTATGGGTGAGTGGTGCACAACTCAGTCAGCAGTTGGTCTAGCTGTTTTAGGTGGCGTGTGGAGCGTCAAGCATGTGCTCACCAAGTGGACTACCTCGGTTGGGATGTTTGAAAGTAGCTGGAAGAGGGGCTATGCGCTGATAGAGGCGGAAAGCGAGGACTATAAACAGACAGTCAGAGCTGGGATGATGAAAGATGCGCGTTTCGTAGATGCCGTTGTGAGACAACACGTGAATAGACACAGGCACCAACTGGAAGATTTGCAGAAAGAGGTGGAAGGAGTGAGGAAGGAGTATTTGTAGGGTGATTTGGGTGTATAGATGAATGAATAGAAATGATTTGATTTGGTTGGTCGGCTAAGTTTTAGTGGGATCGAGAATCCACCACCTTCTCTGTTTGTGCAATGCCATCATCATCCGCAACGAAGAAGACAGCGAAGAAAACAGCGAAGAGTGATCAGTCTATGGCACCTTCTAAACCACCATCTAAAGCACCTAAAACACAGCCCAAGAGCATCCTCAAGAAGAAGGAGGCGGTACAAGAGCCGAGCAGCGAAGACGGGGAGAGTGATGAGGGTGACGTGGAGGGCGACAGCGAGAGTGATTTAGACAGCGATGTAGACGCAGACTCTGATGCCTCCGCGTCGTCCGCCTCCTCTGGATCATACACCACGCTCAAACCAAAGAAACGCAAGCGCAAGAATAACGAAACAGAGGCAAACACTTTCGCTAGTGCCCTCACAAACCTCGCAGACACCTCAGCCACATCGGCGAAAAACCTCGAAATTCTCCCGCAAGCCAACAAATCACTCAAGAAGCACAGGATGCAATTGAAGGCGCAAAAAGTGTTGCGTGACGAGGCCAAACACAAGGAAGATATTGGCAGAGTGCGCGATGTTGTTAGTGGCTGGGCTGTGCCGTCAACGGTGATCAAGGGGGGTGAAGGAGGTGCAGACGCAGACAACGCAGTAAACGCACATGTTGACTCCGGCGCCGCCAAGGAAAAGAGACTGAGGAAGGTGGCACAGAAAGGTGTCGTGCGCCTATTCAACGCAATTCTCGCAGCTCAGAAAGCAGAGAGTGGCGCTAAAGTGGTTGATAAGGAGAAGGATAGGGGACTGGGTAAGCAGAGGCTTGAAGCACCCGCTAATTTCCCATCGCAAAACAAGAAGCAGGCTAAGAACACAGACACTGTAGCCAAGAATGCTTTCATGGATGCCATACGTAAGGGATGAATATTTTGTAGAATTATAATTTTGATTTTTTTTTATGCTAAATTCTTATCTAATGACGCCATTTGTAAAACTCCTAAACTCCGGCGCTCGAGTGAAATGCCGGGGTTGACTGAGACGACCATCAGATGACGCGGGATAATGGGGAAAATAAAAGAACGAGTGGAATAAAACAGCCGGTTTAAGTTTTACAATGAAGCACATATTCAACGATCCAAATGAGCTCCTCAAATGCGCCATCAATGCTCAGCCAACCCTCAATCCTTCCCTCGCAGTAGACGTGGCCCAGGGCGTCGTATACGATACACATTCACCCACACCGCACAGGCGTGTTTCTGTTATCGCAGGCGGTGGCTCTGGTCATGAACCCGCGCATGTATCGCTCGTTGGTGGGTAAGAGTGTACATCCGGCAGAACTCAGCTCATACGCAATCACAGGCACTGGTATTCTCCAAGCCAGCGTCTCTGGCCACATATTCGCCAGCCCCTCTTCCACGCACATCCTCCACGCCATACAGCGCACACCACCCACCCACGCCATCCTCCTCATTATCAACCAATACACAGGCGACAAGCTTAACTTCAACCGCGCTGCACAGAAGGCGCGCTACGATGGTCGCGTCGTGCATACAGTCACTGTCGGAGACGATGTCTCACTTTCCCCCACAGCCATCGCCAAAGTTGGGCGCAGGGGGCTCACAGCAAACCCTCTCGTCTGCAAGGTGGCTGGAGCGGCGGCCGAGCGTGGGCTGGATGTGGAGGCAGTGCAGCTTATTAGCGAGGCGGTAGCTGCGAATGTCGCCACTATAGGAGCGTCGCCCCAACACTGCCATGTTCCAGGTCGAGAGAGGGCGCAGGACGAGTCCACCGATAACTCCTTATATGTGGAACTGGGTCTCGGTATCCACAACGAGCCTGGGGCTAAGAAGGTGGTTGACAATTCACACTCTCCACACACCCATCTCATTCAAGATATGCTCCTTAGAATCCTCTCCTCCCCTTACACAGCCTTTGGTGATGAGGACGACGTTATACTCGTCGTTAATAACCTGGGCGGCCTCTCGCTTGTCGAGCTGTATGGTGTGGTGGGGGTCGCTAGTGAGGTGCTCACCAGACAACACGCTATTCACCCCCTTCATACCCTCGTAGGATCATTCATGACCAGCCTCAACATGCCCGGCTTCTCCCTCTCCCTCCTCAACGTCACCCGCGCAGATAGCGTGTGTGGCGGTGTCGGCGGTGTTAGCGTGGTTGATCTGCTGTACGACCCCACAGCCGTGACGGCATGGCCAGCTATGAGTATGGGCAAAAATACAAGTATCGAGCAGGAAGAGAGGCAGGAGAGGGTGGAGGATGGGTATGATGTCGGAGCTGAGGTTGAGACTAAGACTGAGCAGAACAAGACACACGACAAAGTGAACCTTGAAGCGCAACCATCCACACTCACACCACACTCAAGACTCATCGCTCAAGCAGTACACAGCGCATGCGACGCCGTCCTCGCAGCTGAACCCGATCTAACGCACTGGGACACGCTCGTCGGCGACGGCGACTGCGGTACGACATTCTCGGGCGGTGCATCAGCCATCAAGGCAGCTCTCGCAGCAGACAGGCTCCCGCTCACACATCCAGCCCCACTCTTTTACTCCCTCTCCCTCCTCGTCGAATCAAGTATGGGCGGTACGGCTGGTGCGCTGTTCGCGCTGTATTTTGGTGCACTCAGTAATGCGCTGAGCGGGGCAAACGACGTGGGTGAGGCGAATGCGAGTGTGGATGTCGACTGGAGTGTGCATCTCACATCCGCTGCTCTAACTGCCCTCGACGAACTGCGGTTGTTTACTCCCGCTCAAGTCGGTGATAGGACGCTCATGGATGCTCTCATCCCCTTCTCCAGCGCGCTCGAGAGTGGGCTGGGTATCGCCGTCGCAGCTCAGCACGCTAGGAAGGGTGCTGAAGAGACGGCTTTTATGGTTGCTACTCTTGGACGAGCTGCTTATTGCACTGATTATGCAGATGGCTCTGACGTTAATGACAAGGACAACACTCACAACAATAAAACCCCCAATATTCCAGATCCTGGCGCTATGGGTGTGAGCGCTATCATTGGCGGTATAGCAGGTTGTTTTAATTAACGTGCTTGTATGCTTTGAATACCATGGATAATTTCTTTCTGTCTAAAAATACAATAGGGTGCCATCGCACCATATAAACCTCTTACACACGCTCACCGCGCAATCTACGGGCAAGTTGAATGTCCTTTGGCTGAATTGTAACTCTCTTTGCGTGAATGGCAGCAAGGTTCGTGTCCTCGAAGAGTGAGACAAGGTACGCTTCACTGGCTTCCTGCAGGGCCATAACAGCGGAAGATTGAAAACGCAAGTCCGTTTTGAAGTCTTGCGCAATCTCCCTTACTAATCTCTGGAAAGGGAGTTTTCTAATGAGGAGTTCGGTCGACTTTTGGTAACGACGAATTTCTCTAAGGGCGACGGTACCTGGACGGTAGCGATGTGGCTTCTTCACACCACCAGCTGCTTGCGGGGCGGCTGTCTTTCTTGCTGCCTTGGTGGCGAGTTGCTTGCGTGGTGCCTTACCACCTGTGGACTTACGGGCAGTTTGCTTAGTTCTGGCCATTGTAGATGAGTTGAGTTGTTTGAAGTTACTGAAGTTGAATATATACGTTACGCGGTTTAAATATATGCTCATGTTGAATCAATTTCCATTTTCATCACGCGCAAGCTCACCCAAATGATCCGAAATTGTTCGTCAGTGGTAGTGCGGTGTGAGAAGCAATTAAAATTCACAATCTGAATATATAAAGCTCTGGCTTTATTTTGGTATTTTTATATTCTTTATATTCCCTCTAAGCAGCTCAGCATCACGCGATTTATATAAGAACTAAATCTGATCTGATCGCGGCTGATGTGATGCAGCGCGTCTCGAAATGGATAAATAGCCAGCGCATCTCGAGCAATATCCATCAACAACTCTTAGTATAATGTCAGGAAGAGGAAAAGGCGGCAAAGGTTTAGGAAAAGGCGGTGCTAAGCGTCACCGTAAGATTCTCAGAGATAATATCCAAGTGAGAATGAGTGTTTTTGGGGATTTCGTATCTAACAATCCTCTAGGGTATCACAAAGCCAGCTATCCGTCGTCTCGCTCGTCGTGGTGGTGTGAAGCGTATCTCTGGTCTCATCTACGAAGAAACACGCGGTGTCCTCAAGGTTTTCTTGGAGAACGTCATCAGAGACTCCGTCACCTACACCGAACACGCAAAGAGAAAGACTGTCACCGCTCTCGACGTCGTCTACGCCCTCAAACGTCAAGGAAGAGTCCTTTACGGTTTCGGTCAATAATTGGCCGCTTGAGCCACCCTCCCCCTCAGCTATTGTAATATCAATTGTACACTAATTTCATACCACTTTGAATATTCTTAAGGGTACCTAACCTGAATATGTATAAACGTAAATCCCCGCCTTAGTTTGTGATTGAAATGCTCACATCACGTGAACCGCAACTGTCATCATCGATAAGCAAGATAACACGGATAAGCGTGGAATTGGATATGTGATGGGATTTATGCGGTGAGTTGCGTTTCAAGGGAATTGTAACCCACTCACACACCTCTATCCAGACGAGCAGAAGAAGTCGAGCTGCTACAGCTACAAGATTCAGATAACCCGTACTTGATTTATCAGCCACCATTCGCATACTCGCTGCCGTCTCAAATGCTCGTTATCGGAATCGTACTCACTCTATGCACCGTTCTGCTCTCACACCTCTCTTTCACAGCGCAATACCACTTTCCACTATCAAAGCTCAACTTTCTTTTACAAACGCTGGCTGTCCTCAGTCTCCTTACAAAGGTTTCCGCTGAATTGGCCCTGGCCTCTATCAAGCTTTACGACATTTCCTCAATTTGGCCTTATATGTTTGAATACACGGCTATTGACATACCTTACATTGAATGGGATGTTTGGAAGACTGGCGCGTGGCTAGCGATGTTAGCTATAGTCTCAGCACTTGTCAATGTGGGTGGTTTCTATTTTTAGCACTGAGATCACTAATGTCTCACCCCTCACAGCTCACCCACATACAATTCCTCACTCTCCTCTTCCCTTCAGATCTCGAGCAGCTGCTAATATTCACTATTCTTGGCCCTTTAGCCGTCGTTGGCGCTGCTCTCACCTTCTGCGACCTCAGCAGCTCTGACTCCACTATCAAGACCGCAGAGTCAATTAAGAATGTTTGCAACTCTACACTCACCCTTCTCTTCACTGCCGCTTTGATTATCTGGGGTGGCGTTATCAATCGTCGCCGTGCTTGGAGGACTGACGGTGGCACTGCTGCCTTTGGTGTTTTTGCTATAGCCTTGGCTGTTCTTGGTACAGCTGTAAACTTTCTCATCGTCAAAGAAGATGAAGTTCCTTGGTTACAGTCGGTTGAATGGGCTATCGTTATGTGGCAGTCCTGGCTCGGTTTCTGGTGGTGGGTTGGCGCCGGTATGGGCATTGGTGAGGTCGAAGATAGACGCGCACGTAAAACCAAGAAGCAGAAACTCAAACGACGTAACAAGAATCGCACAGTCGAATCTCAAGTTGAATCCATGTTCACTGATAATGGTGAGAATCAAGCCGTCAAACGTAGATGGCGGAGTAGTCACAATAACACAAACAATATTCATAACACCCCTCAAACTTCCTCGTCAGACTCACCTGAAACTTCCTCAGATACCTTCCTCTTCAGATTCTCGCCCAGCTATCTCGTTAGTTATGTGTATAATAGTCTCAAACGCGCACACAACGCAGCTGCAAGAATACAAGCAAAAGAATACAAAAAGAAGCAAGAACAACATGAGAGGAGATGGGGTCCAGGTGAATTCGCCATGTCCTCAATAAACCCTATTCCTCAACATTCTCAACTCTCAACGACGGATGAGGACACTGAGGCTCTCAAGTCGGAAAGAGGTGAAAGGAGCTGGTTTAAGTGGTCGGAGAGGTTTCGACGGCGAAGAGCTGATGAGTGGTGATTATGAGTACTAGTCAGTGATAGTGTTGGACAAAATCAAGACTCAATGAAGGTTCAATGAAGACTCGATATCCGGATAATATACGTTATGAGTTTTGTATAAGTAGTGTAGTATGCATCTTAGAAATATAAATATGTTCACTCTCACTCTCAATCCTCTTTAAGCAACTTGAGTTTGTCGTGTACACCCCCATGATCATCCTCATCACCCTCCTCCTTGATATCGCCAATCTCGTCCGCCTTACGCTTCCTGCTAGTCGGATCATCCTCATCGTCGATCAATTCAACCTTGACGTGATTATAAACCCACCACACATTGAAATAGTTGCTACCAACCTGTATAGATTTTTTATCAAGCTTGCTGGGTATTTCAGGCAGTGGATATTCCAATTTCTGATTACGACGACGTGGATCACGCAAATTGGAAGCGCCTCTAAGATGAAATTTGAGATGTTTAGTGATATTTTGTGTACCTACGCTGATCCACTTGACAGAATGTTCCAAGCGATTGATTTCCTTTTTGAACTCCTTACTATCGAAATGAGCGTAGACGAGCGAGTACATCCGTTTATCACATTTACGCGCTAGCTTTGCAAGTTCTTCACTTTGGTCTGCGCGCGCTAGCAAGTTCTGCCATTGGTGGACACCTTCGTACTTTTCAATCGCTTCGGGACTGTCCATTAGCACGTAGACGAGTATCACATTGAGTGGACCCCATTCAGGGAATTTTATACAGCTTATTGAATCCGTGTGCAGAAATTTACTTAGCCAGTCGCACAATTCATTCTCTGCCCACAATTTGCGATCGCCTGGATGATTGTCCTGCTCCAGTGGCGGGAATGGATTCACTATAAAGAATATCGTCTCCTGGTTCTTGTATTTCTTCTTCCATGGCTTCTTCTCGACGAGCATTTTTCGGTGGATGGGTTGTGGTCGGTGATCTCATTATAGACATAGATAAAAGAAATGAAAATTGGCATATCTCAATTTTTCAGCTGTTTGTACATTCATCCAACTATCTCGAAATCATCGCGCACTCTCACAAGCGGCTTCTTGATCGTCAACAAACTAGCCCTGCCTTCCTCACCACCCGAAGCCGCCACTCCCTCTTTCCAGGTGAACTGCAGTAATTGTCCACTCGTGATGACCTCTTCTGGCTTCTCCTTCAACCCAAGCACCTGAATCCTTTCAATCTCAATCTCCTCGCCCTCCGTAAACGACATGCCTGGCTCTAATTGCGTGCTTCTCAACGCCCATCCTCCTCTGACATCGCTACTGATGCTACTGAAGGTGAAATTTCTATCGATGAAAGCATCACGGGTGTAGTCGAAAGAATGCCCGTCATCCAGATACACCCTACCTTGAGCTTCGCCATAGTGATCGAGGGCTATAGTGAGGGTGAGTGGATCGCGAACCATCAGACTAGCCGACCGTCTAGCGCGTTCCCGTGTAGGTATAATACTCCCGCCCCTAATAAACAGCGGGAGGGTATCTAATTGAGTGGGTATATTGAGAGTGCGATGAATGTGTTCCTTCGCGAAGCTGATTTGGTGGGTAAAGTAGTCATAGTAAGGCTGAGATCAGCGTCAGTAACAAGCTTAACACACCGAACACAACAAACTCACCTCATCGCCACCCAAATATACACCCACGCTCTGCGCATCCTCTTGCACGACAGGCTTCACGAGCAACTCAGCCGCAGCACCGACGTAGAACTGATCATCGATGTCATACCCCGCTTCATCGCCCGGATGTACCAAGAACTGTGGCCGTATCACCGGCATCCCGTTGCGCGTGCTCGACCTGAATGCCGTGTACCACAACGGGAGAAGGGTGTAGCGCAGACGGAGCACATCGCGCACAATACTCCGATATGGCTCGCTCAGTGTGTGTGGCTCGCGTCGTTTCGTGTCAATGTGCGCATGCGCTCGGAAAAAGGGATGGAATGCTCCAGTCTGGTACCATCGCACGAGATATTGCGCAGAGGGGTCGCCGAAAAACCCTCCAACATCCGCACCCGTCAACATTATTCCGGAAATACTGTTGGCGAGATTCATTGGTGTCGCGCTGCGTAGATGCTCCCACGTGCCGAGGTTATCCCCCGTCCACACCGCACCGAAACGCTGGCTACCGGCGAAAAATGACCGAGAGAGTACGAAGCTTCGCTCGTTGACTTCCCCTCTTTTTTCTAACCCCTGCGCGGTAAGATTGGTGAAGAGGAGCCCGTTCATGTTGTGTATGTCGCGGTGCTCGACGTTGCCGTGGAATAGTACATCTTTTGGCATGGTGATTTCAGGCCCATTGAATACAGTGGGCTCGTTCATATCCACCCAAGTAAACAGATTGCGCGTTGAGTCCTGTGTCGTGTGTTTGAGTGTTGAACGTCATGCGATGCATACTTTCGCTCACCTTCCACTTTTCGAAGCTGAATAGAGAAATCCACCAGTCCCAGGCTGCGGGGTTGAGCCTGTTGTCGTGAACATGTGAGTAAGTGAGTGGGGATGTGCGAATGAATAGCACCCACATATCTACCCACGAAGACGCACCTGCCCAGCACCACCCTTCATACTCAGACTGTCCATCGGGGCGCTTGACCAGCAGCCCTCTATCACTGGCTTCTTGGTAAACGTAAAAATTCTCATCGCGGCTTAGATGAGGATCGATAATATTCACCGTCTTGCGCCCAGTCGCTGCGATGCTCTCAATCATATCGACAGGATCAGGGAACTTCCTCTTATCCCACAGGAAATACTTGTGGCCTTCAGCGTACTCTATATCAAGCCAGAGAACGTCTACAGGCGCATCAATGGAATCGAATCCATCAACAACGCCCAGCATATCCTTCGACGTGAAGTAGTTCCATCTGCACTGGTGATGTCCAAGGGCGAACTGCTGCGGCAGCTGTACTACACCTGTGAGAGAAGCGTACTGAGCGAACACATCCTCGACCGACGGACCTGGTATCAAAAAGAGATCAATAATTCCACTCTCGCCCATCCACTGGGTCGAAGTGGAGTGATTCGAGGGATGTTTCACATCGATCCACATCTCACTCGCCGAGAGGAGGAAGACAGCGAGAGAGGAGCGCGATGAATGGGCGTGCATCAGCGGCACAGATCCATACAGTGCCATCGGGGAGCTGGCTTCGTACTCAAACACATCAAGGTTGTACAGCCGATATGGCTCCGTGTACGGCGGTGAGTTGTCGACATATGGCGTGCGCCGTGGTGATGTGCCGTCTGTAGGTGGAAGTGCGAGCGGTGCTGCGTGCTCCGGTATGCCGTATATATGCGCATGCGACGGGAAGTCAATGTCGAGCGAGAATGCCTGTGGTCCTTTAGGCTTGGAGTCGGGTTTGTGGTTGAAAGTTTCCTCCCACATTCCCTCTACTCTGGTATCGTCGGTGTCGCTGCGTCGTCTGTAGTGCTCCATGTGCAGCAAATCATTTGCGTTTATGTCGACGAGTGTCTCACCCGTTGCTGTGTTCCGGAGAGTGAGTCTGAGGGGGTTGTGCTGCACGGTAAATTCAAGTTGCTGGTGAGTGGAGGTACGGAAACAGAGCACGTCTGTATCGCGAGTGGATTTGACGTCGATGGCGGATGACGCCATCAGATCTGGTTCAGCGATGAGAACATACGAAGCTGTCTGATTGTAGCGCTGATAGATCCCGCCAATCTCATCGATCCTTAGCCTGGGCAAGCCATTTGCTAGTATGTCCACCTGCAACCCAAAGTTGACATGCGGCGGGGCGAGAAGATTCTTCATACTCCAAGCGAATGTGGCTAACTCTGGCTGTAGACGAGTAGCCGGGGACTGCAACACATACGCTGACTGTGTGTTCTCATCTCCACCATTTCGCAATCTGCGGCAGAATGAAGATTGATGACATTGCTTGAAATCGTGCTGCTTGACGGGTGCGACGGTGTGAAGGAAAAGCACTAAAGTGAGAAAGACGATTGACCACCTCATCGTGGTTGAGTAGATACCTCCATGGCGGCAACCACCGCGGCAACGACGCCGAGAACGGCAAAAACACAGCATCCGACGTCCAATACACCTACAGCCACTCTAGCGCGTTTGATTTGGCGTGGCTGTCTGTCATTCCAGGGCTGGCCACTTGAAGGTGTGTTAGTGCGCCCACGCTGCCTGGAGCATGTCCAATAACCCCCACAGGCTTCTGCTTTACTACAAATACTTACCCACTTCCCTCCCCCAACATCCACAGCTCCATCGACGATCTCACTTTGGCTTTGGAAATGACGCGACATAGACCATTGCGTGTATGCGACAGGCTCAATTTGAATTTAGACAAGTGGATTATAGAAAATACTTACATCACAGTGTGGGTAGATCCACGCGCAATTCCTTCAAAAAGGTGGTTAGAACGCGTCTTCGGTGCTTCGTCTTCGACGCATCTACACGCCGTCATCGTATCGTTGGATGACGTAGCAGATGAGCCAGGTTCGTCTTTGGGAATACACGCGTCACTACTCTCACTCCCCTTCAGATCCGTCTAATGAATTCATTATCTTCCGCGATAACGCAACTCAATCTCTCAACTTGGGCAGGCGGAAGAAGAAAGTGAGAGAGAGTGCGAATGTCGCAAGGCCAGACGATCCTCTGCCGAGAAGTGTGTCTGCTCACTCTTCCACTCAATTCTGCCACTAACCATACACACACCAGCCAATGTACCTGCCCAGCCAAAGCTGGCTCCACTCGACAGGCTTAACATGCGCAAGTCGAGTAGTGAGCTCTCGAGACTATTCCCCTCAAGGCCATCGTCTGAGTCTTCCCGGCGATCTTCAGACAAAGCAATGAAGCCTCCAGAAAGCAAACGAAAGAGAAGCTCTCTCATACCAGCTGCAGTAGACGCCATAACAGACTCAGACACAGATGCATCTAAGGACTCTACCGTCTTCGGCACACCATCCAACAATCAAACCCAAGCCAATAACAAATCATCCTTCAAAAATCAGATGCTAGCAACATTTGCAAACTACAATCTCAGCCAATCACATCCCGAATTCAACCAACTTTGGTCGATTTGCATAAAAGGTGTTTCATTCGCATTTAGGCATAGAATCCATACCGATATCATCGACAAAGAGCAGATTGATCAGGTAGTACTGAAACACTTGTCCATGTACCTCCCCAACAGACCTTCTGTGAAGGTTGTAAAGTAAACAATGTAATATGCATAATTCATCATTTACTAGCATCTTCTAACCATTAATCTTGGCACTCATCTCAGCCTGTTTGGTGAGAGCAAGCGGACAGTCACCGCGAGGCATCACAACTTCTAATAAAGTGAGTTTGGATGCATTTGCAAAGTTCTTGTCATTCAAAACCTCATCCAACTCAGCCCTAGTCTTGACTTGGATGCTTTTATGCTCAGCTTGTTTTTGCTTCGAACCAGCTGGTGGCGAGAAGGTCTTCAACAGCATTTGATGATCAATGTGAGCAATTTCATTGTATGCTGCAGTTTCCCCGTGTATTTTGCGCTCAATTTCATAGCCATCGTTGGATAAGACCACCAATATTGGCTTAAGTCCAAGCCTTATAATTGTCGCTAACTCTTGAATTGTGAGTTGGAGACTACCATCACCGATAAACAGCACCGTGCGCCTTCCTTGGTCGCGAGCTGCGATAGCAGCACCTAATGTCCCTGGTAGTGAGTATCCAATCGAGCCCCAAAGCACTTGCGAAATAGCTGTAGCTTTGTCTGGCAAAGTAACATCAAGTATACCAAACGAACTTGTACCAGTTTCTGTGAGAATGACATCTCCAGTGTTGAAGAAATCTCCAAATCTTGGCCAAAACCAGTCATGTGTGATTGGTGAGTTGAGATTACCCTTGCTTTCTTCAAGAATTTTGACATTCTTCACTTCACGGGCTTTCTTAGCAGCGATAAACTTCTCAGACTTGGTTGGGTCTGGCTTGGCTATCTTGCGTAGTGCTTCAGCCAGCTTTGGAATGACTACTCTCATAGGAACACCTGGGTATCTAGCATAACCAATTACAGTCTGGTCTGAGTGTAGCTCTATCGACTTCTTCTCCTTCAAATTCCCACTCCAACTACCTGTATTTCTGTAAGAATCACAATGTAACATAATGATTACCCAACCAACCAGTGTTAAAGTCTGATGAGAGTGCACCAACGTTGATCACAAGATCACTAGCTTCAGCGAGCTCTTTAGTCTCGACCGGGTTCGAAAGAGCCCCAATGTAAGTACCACCGAAATGTGAGTGGGATTCATCAATCGCACCCTTACCCATAGGGGTGTCAAAAAATATCATGTTGCCCTTTTCGACCAGAGCCTGTGCTTGCGCCTCCACTCCGTACCTGAGAGCACAAGCGTCGACAACAACGGCAGGGTTCTTAGATTCTTTGAACAGCTTAACAATCTCCTCTACAACAGCATCGTATGCCTTTTGCTTCTCCGACTCGTCAGCGAAAACGGAGGAGTGAGCTTCAACAAGACCTCTGATTTCATGAGCGCTTGGCAAAGGAGTTTTGAGTGGTGCAGCAGGAATCTGAGACTTGACGAGATCGCTTGGAAGAGTGAGGTAAACAGGTTTGCAATTGGAGATAGCGTGAACGATAAGTCTGTCTATTTCCCCGCCAGCGCCCTCGCTCGAACTAAGAAGAGCTTGGGCTGACGTAATTTCACGTGCTGTGTTTGCGAAAGCCGAGTACGAGGAATCGGTAGATGCAAGCGTATGATGGAGCACCTTGCTGCTCTTCATTACAGATGTTGCCGCCACGCCGACAATGTGGAAGATCGGAAGTCGCTCAGCCATACTCCCAGCAACGCCGTTGATTGCGCTAAGCTCACCGACACCCTGCGTCGTAATGAGTGTGGCCATATTCTTACACGTTCTCGCATATGCATCACTAGCATATGCAGCATTGAGTTCATTTGTGTTTCCAATCCAGTTAAGGCGTGGGTGCTCTTCAAAGTAATCAAGAAGTCCCAAGTTGAAGTCACCTGGAACACCAAAAATTGGTTGCTGCCCACCGCCACCGAGTTGGTCAATACGGGTGACAAGATATTCAGCAATCGTGCATGTGTTAGAAGGTCTATCGACCTGAGGTGTTATGTCTACAGCTGCCATTGTACGTGTGTGTTTGTAAGTGATCGTTTATAACAGCGAACAATCCCGGCGGTGGGAACGAATGATTTGATCCACTGACGATGACGTCAATTTGATAGAACATCCAGAAAGGTGCTTTGAATCCAAATTCAAGAATCACAGTAATTTGTTTTTATCGACTGAATATTGATTCTTAGACATGCTTGTTTAATTCCGTTATTTATATATTGCATCATTACGGCACCCGAGACACATGTGTCCGATAACCGACATTTTAACTCGTGAACGAAAAAAGCCAAAGCCCGTTGAATTATAGAAAAATAACTACAAGCGTGTATCTTAAAACATATTATAAATGGGAGTAGGGTAGAATCAGGGTAGCAAATAAAGGCTAGAAATTGTGATATCGCTAAGCTGCATCTTCATCCTCTTCAACGATAACGGTATCATCATTTTCCTTATGAGTAGGTTGAGATTGTTCGGTTGTGTTGTTGTTTTCGTTATTGTCAGCATCAGCTTCATCAGCCGCATAGAAAAGCCAATGGCACTGGTGGTGATTGTGAGATGCGCTCAATACATTCAATCATTTACTCACCTGCAGAATAAATATCTTAACCAAATTCGACACATGTCCAATGTTGCTCATGCTAGCCATAAAGTTGCCAGGTCCAGCTGGCGGTTTGAGTATGTTTGGACCGAAAACAATCGCGAGATTGTGTGCAAACATCTGGTTCTGATCCTCGAAGTCAGTGACTCTGAGTGATGGTTAGTTTGTAAAACGATTCAAATATCTCACTCACTTCTCCAGATGCTCTGCAAGTCTTCTCAGCAGTGTGAAATGTGTTCTTGGCAAATTCCAAACAAGCTCGCGAATGGCATATAGCCGCTCTTCGTACTCCTCAATCAGCACTGCTTGGATAAAGCTGGGGTACATTGCATATGGTACGACTGGTTCGGGCAATTCACGAAGATAAAGCTTAAGGATACCAGTGACTGAGTGTACATCTCTTGCGTCCCCTTCACTCAAGTTGATCGCCGAAGCATCGCTGTCGAATGCGTCCTTGAGGTTTGTAATCGAGCTAATAGCTCCACTTAATCTGTAAATGCCCGTTTCGAGCAAACCTCTCTTTTCAATCTCATTCAAACACTTGTCAATAAGGATCGGAATATCCCCATTTTCGATACCTTCGTCGCCATGCTCTCGTCTCACAACTTCAGATAAATCAACACCAAAGACTGCTTTTATGTTAGATGGGCGTGGTGCGTTGGTAACTTATACTCACCTGCCTGTGGCTCCCTCTTTCCGGACACAGCTGGGGCTTGAGTTTGCTGTTGAGTTTGCGCTTGCAAATCGCTAGCCGAAGTTGCATTCGGAGCAATGTAAGTGAGACGCTTTGCGGCTGACGACTGACTCGCTCTTGAAACAACATCAATCCACTCCTTGACATCAGATGCAGACGTAGCTTGGAAAAGGTAGTTAGCTCCATCCTCAGACACGATTTGGAAAGTGTAACTGCGAGCATTGTTGACAAATTCAGACACTCTGGCAGCATGCAACGTAACGACTAGTGCAGGTTTGTTTGAGGGTTCGAAATCCAACTCAGACAGTCTCTTTCTAGGTGTCTCTGATGGTGTGTGCTGAGAGGAGCCGAATGCAATTGACAGAGGTCTAAATGGTCTGAGTAACGCCGTCATGCGCTTTCCTTGTCTTGATTTCTTGGCAGTATTTGTACTACCAACACTGGCAGTAGACGTCGATGATGTTGTTCGACTGTGCCTGGATAAAAACGACATAGAGGCAGCTTTCTGTATCTCTGTTTCACGTTTCTCGAGAACAGCCAAGTCATCTCGTTTTTCACGCCTCATGCGTTCGATAATTGTTGCATCTCTTTTCTCCTTCTCTTGTTGCAGCTTCACTACACCGGCGAAAGCATAAGTATGCTCGACATTGAAATCCTTGGTCTGTGCCTCGATAACTTCTCGACTAGCGTCCTCATGCACATGTTTATGGATAGAATGCTCAGAATCCTTTGTCTGTAGACGAGGTATCAGTTCATTCGACTGCTTGTCCATTAGTTGCAGAAGGAATGAAATAGATCCTTCATCCTCGCTAGACAGTACGTTCTGTTGACCGAGTTGCGGGGCGTTGCAACTGAAATTGAAGAGATACCTCCGCTTATCGAAGGAAACGAATTGTCCGATAAGATTCTCATCATCCCTTACGTCCAGTATTACTTCGAGCATACGCTCCCAGATCCAGCCGAGATCGACAGCGCAAGGCCGCTCACGCTCACGTAGGCTTGATACGCTTTTTCTCCTATCGCTTTCACTGACATCTGGCGACTTGATGAACGTCTGCAGCGACTGGATATCTGCATTCCTATTGTCAGCCACCTTAGTCCATGTACCGACATGGCTTCTGGATTCAGGCGTCACCAAAGCAGCCACTAGCGCACCCTCGACCATAGACTTAATAGTAGAGCCGGAAACGTCATTCGCAGACGGTACAATACTCGCCATGCTTGAACTCAATGTCCCACCAGTACGCATAGAAATATCCTCGCCATTCAAGCAAGTCATCCTAGATCTGCAAATGGTAATAGCATCCAACATTATCTCTATCCTCTTTGATCGTGCTTCCAATCCTAAACCAACTTGCGAGATCATGTTTGTTGCCCATTTTCTCACTATCATAGTAGCCTTGTGAGCAGCTCTAACGCTGGCTGGCAATCTCCTAGCGATACTGACATCTCCTTCTCCTTTAACGATAGATATGTACGTGTAAATATCCTGTATTGGCAAATTCTCCTGAGATGGATTGTGGTTGATGTCTTGCGATTTGCTTGCAAACCATCCATCATTCTCATTCACCTGAGTTTCAAACAATTCGGCTGTTGCGACTAAATCCTGCTCAGAAATGTTTCGGAGTATAGCAGAGCCAATCTGGTCCAAGGCTTCAACAATCTCCTCAGCTGAACTGTTGTCCATATTCTCAACAACAGTGGCAGCTTCAAGGATATCTCTAGTTTTACTCTCCGGAACTGCCTTGTCTTCTGGAGCTGGCTCAGATGATTGGTCACCTTCCAGAACTCCTTCTGGCTTGATGTCACTGTTTAGCGACTCGGAGGGACCTTCATTGTTAGATAATAAATCAGGCCTAAGAGCCTGTCTGACAAAGAAGTCATACAAAGACTGCATTGCGCGCTGTGTAGTTTGCAGCGATGACAGCTGATCTTCGCTGACGTGGCGTTCTTGAGTCAATGTTTGTGCACCTTTCAAGAAGGTGTAGAGCCCAGAAAACAAAGCTTGCTCATCGAGAGCATCTTGCAGACCACCACCGAATTCTAACCAGAATCTCAGCGCATCAATAACACCAACACGCACTCTTGTTACTTGCTCCCACTCGATTTCATCGACTGGTATTCGTTCAGACTTCCAGGTTGGGAAGTGAACCTCTGAAGCGACCAGTGATAATTCCGGCGAGACGTTTGGAGCACATTCAAAGCGCTTTTGAAGCGTCTGACGGGTGTTAGAAGGCTTTACTTGAATATTGTAACAACGCACCTCAAAGAGTTTTAACGGAAGACAGATACTTCTGAAAGTAGCGAAGAACACATCGGCGTACTCAGTCAAGTCCATAGCAAACTTGATCTTCCCTTTACCAGCGGAAGACACCTCCAGACCACCGCCCATATCGTCAGCAGAAGTTCTTTGTACACCTAAATGATCAATGCCTAGAATAAGCACGTCGATCAGCCTATCCAGGTTTCCACTCTTGACATGCACTCTCAAATACGCTTCATTCGAGTGATTGCTGCTGAAGTTACTGTAGTTGGAGTACCGCTGCGAAGGCGTACCGATGAGACTTTGGCGCCTCACGGATGCAGCACGACCCAATGCACCAGTCGTACCGGTGGTGGTGCAGAAGTTAGACACGCTAGCATGTCGCGAAGTAGCCCGTGACTCTATCAAAGAAGTGGGTCTGGATCCCTCCTCACCCACTCTAGCAGATGAAGGTAACACCGGACTGTCGAGTTTAGTTTGACCACTTGCCGATGTAGCGACCGACAGTCTATGAGACACACTGAAACGCTTGACAAAAAATGACTCATTAGGGAGGGCTTTGATCACCAATTCTCCATCACACAAGTTAAATAACGTCTCTGCGCCACCAGCTGCCATCTCCTTCATCGTCCTTTGAAATGCCAGACGACGGTTCTGAGGCTCGTGTATATTCTTGGCTGCCTTTTCTATAGCTAGAACTGGCGATTGTCCGTCTTCGTTTTTGATAGCGCGGCGTGAAGGCTTGCGTTTGAGATCCATATCGAAACTCCTTCTGCGCAGCTGAAGTGAATGCGTGCGCACAAGTTGACGAGCTTGTGGTGTAGGTGTTGGGAGAGTTGTTTGCGCTGACTTTGTTGAATCCGTGCTGTCAAGTCTCGACATTTTCGGTTTGGAAGGTTGAGCATAAAGTTTCTCGTTAGCTTCTGCCGCAATGCTCTCTGCATCACTGAAGGTAACATATGACAACGTTGGTGGGAATGTCAGGGGCGTAAGTGGATGTACGAGTAGTTGAGTAGGTGGTTTGTAGTCGGTTGCAAGGGCTGGAGACGCGCTTGCAATGGAATCTTCTGTCTTGTGAGTCTTGCGCTCAGCAGGTGCGTTCAGCAATCTACTTTCACAACTGAGAGAGTTGCCAATATAGAGAGATATTCTATGAATTGATTAGAGTTTATAAATTGAGCAGATTCAACTCACTGAGGCAGTTGTGGTATCGGTATTAAAGACAAATACTGCCACAGCGCACCAAACTCGACCAACAAAGCTGCACATCTAGATGTCAAAACTTTGTCATCGTCCTCCTCACGTCCACCAACAGTATGATTATCATCATCATCATTAGTCGCAGTACCAACTGTGTCACGACTACTCTTATGATTCAAATCTATTTTGACATTCTGACCCAAGTAAGACTCTTCGAACAACGCAAACGCTTCATAAAGTCTCCTACGCGATCTGTATAATGGAGCAAGCTGAATCTCATCGGTGCTGTGAGCATCTAGCGTCGGCTTCACGTCATCCAGTAGTGTTCCAAGGTATGGTATAGCAGCTGAGGTGACGTGAATTGAAGAATTTGCTGCTGGTCTAACTTTACTCTTGGGTGGTATTGTGTAGTTTGGAATTGATGTCGCCGGTTTGACCTTTGCTTCAGTGGTAATTTCAGCCTCATCAACAACTCCCAAATCAGCCAGCGTTGCTGCCCATCTTGACACCGTGTTACGTTCATCACGACCAATGCGCTTCCATGTCCTTGAAAGTCGTGATACAGCGCGGGAGCAAAGACCCAACGCAACAGCAGCCCATCCTGCAGCATCGCCAAGTCGCTCAAGTGACATACCGACTCTGATCCAATGCACGATCAAAGTTGCACGCAAAGCGGTGGGCGAAGACGTCGTAGCAGCGACTAGAGATCTCAACTGACCAAGTGAGCTAATTCCCTCTAAATTAAGTGGTTGTCTTGATAGAATAAGAACATGGTGCAATATCAATCTAGTCAGGAAATGAGGCTTGGCGGGAGAAAATGACAAGAGCAATAACGGATTGGCATCATCAGCTTGCTGACAAATTCTCAAAAACATTTCTTGTCTGACCCTCAAATCCTCACCATCGTGCTTGTCAAGGTATTCACCAAGTCCGTTTATGCGTTCAACGTGATAGGAGTGTACTTGACGACCAATCTCCCGCGGCTCTAACACCAGAAATAGAGCTGGTGTCAAACCAGCATTTGCAAGGTGCTTCGAAACTTCTGATCGCAGGACCTGCGGCGACGAAGAATCACTCCGTAGCTTACTTTGGTAGTCTTCAGGTGCGAAGGGAGAAGGTATATCACGAGGATTGAAGAGGTTTGCATGAATTGTTTTGACTAAATCTTCGTGTTCCTGCGTCGATGGCCTAGGCTTTATGGCTTCGACAAGATTAATGAGTATTCTCTTTCCTTGGTCATCGAGCTGCAAACGCTGAATTGCGACGAGATATCTTATGATGAAAGGTAGGATGACATGCTGAATGTATTCTGCGTTTGGAGCTTCTTGCAACGCGGTATTTGAACACTTCTGGACTTCACTGAAGAACCTTGTTGGTGTAAAGTGCTTTTCGAGTACCGCAGAGTAGTTGAAAATGACGCTCTCGACGTATTCATATTGTTGATCTGAGGTATGTTAGGATTGAAATGGAGACATTAAGAACTCACCATTATTAGAAGACTGTGTAGCGAAGATCATTTCATGAACAATTGCACCCGGACTACCACCGATAACTCTTTCGTCAGACGCGCTCTCATTAATGACGAGACCGGGATGCTTATCTTTACCGTAATACGCGCGTGATCTTTGAACAGGGTTCTGCTGCTGGATAGGAGCACTAGGTATAAGTCTCTGAGGAAAAAAGTCCTTAATGGCGTTAGCCTTCTCGGACGAAGGTATCTTGTATAAAAATAGCTTGTTGTTCCTTAATGTGACTTTGAAGGGTTTCCAGTTACGAGAGAGTTCGCCTTGTGTTTTTCGTGAGGGCATGTAATCAATCTTTCTTTGGAGGAAGCCGGACCTAAGAGTGATCTGCGAAGACCTTTTATCGGTGCGCTGTTCTTGAGACCAGAAATCGTGATCACGACCCGGGGTTGGAGAAGGCGGGTCATCACGGCCGACATCCAGATCAAAAACGTGATTTGAAGTGTTCGTAGGTGAGACAGCTGTGTTAGTTTCGTCATCAGACCGGGCTTTAGCTGTGGGGTGAAGCGTTGGGTGGGAAGAAGTGGGAGTGAGGAGCGCTTCATGCTCTGGTGTGGGTGAGCCCCCCTTTGGAGACTCAAGGCTGGAGGAAGAAGATTGGGCTATGGAAGCGAGTGGAGTTGGATTGCCAAAGAGAATAGAATGAGCAGCAAGTGAAGATTTCCTCTGCGGTCTCTGATTGAAGTCAGGGGTCATGAGAGATGCTTGCTGCTGCTGGGACTGCTGGGACTGCTGGGCTTGCTCTTCAATCGGGTAGACAGCCATCGGGAGAGATATCTTGCGCGTACGGAGAGATGATTCAGCGGGATCTTTCCTGGGCTGAACGTGTATCTGGTCGTTGAAGCTGCCCAAGTCATCGACTGACTTTGAGTGCTTTTGTTCTGTGCTCGTGTATGGCTGGTTGAAATGAAGTGAATTGGATTGCTGCAAAGATTTTTTGCTATTCGACGGCTGCAATCTCTTCAAGTAGTTTACAAAGTTTGGCCTTGACTCGTCATCCTTTTTGAATCGTCTCATCGTCGTGGGGCACAACGAGTCGCGTCGAATGGACGTGCTCACGTCCATTTCTGCTCGAAAATAAATAAACTTACACTTGTGAGTCGTGGAACAGCGTATTTTGCTGTATTCCCTATATTATCCACAGTTTTACCTTTCAATTTATGTTTCTGGTATGTGTGACAGCGGTGACGATTTACGGCAAGTACGACAGCTGCGATCGATGATCTAGAGCGTTTCCATGGATTATATTCTAAAATACACCCACTCCGATACATTTTTTTGCAAATTTTGGCACGCGATCTTTATCAGATCTCAGTGTGCCTCCTTTCAACCTCGGCGAAGAATTGAGTAATTTGAGTAAATTGCAAAATTACGGAGCTTGCGATAAGACGAGTACGTCATCTTCACGATAACAAGAATATGCTGATCGCCCCTCAAACTCACTCAGTCATCACACAATGAAACGCTACTTGAGCTCGTCGACGAGGCTAGCCAAATCTGACCCTGGAAACCATCAGCGAGTGAGTGCACCTACTACGTCTTCCCCAGCTACCTCATCTAATTCCACTTCTTCAGGACCTTATCTTATCCGTACTCAACGCCAGGCCGTCTGCCAGGGACTCCAAATCCTACTTGGCATCTTTCAGAAAACCACAAAAGCCTGCATTCGACGTAAATCACAGCCTTCCTCTCAAGACCTCCGACATTGATCCCACCACGCCTTTATCTACCACGACCACTGCGCCCGATGACGAGATACTCGACCCTATAAACCCTCGAGCAGGGCTCGTAAAGCTCCAGGGTCCTTTCACCGATCGCCAGCTCGACTCTATAGGCGTCGGGATGAACAACCTTCGCGAAATGGGTCTTGTCAGCGTCGTCGTTGTCGATTCCGAGCTGTGGTCCGTCGAGCGACTGAAGCGAGCCAAGAACAACGGCAGCCACGCCGTCTCACAGCTCATACACTCAATTCGCGACGAGGTTATTAGAGTTACAGAGACATTAATCGAAGAGGGCAGCGAAGCGATACCTATCCTACACCCAATAGCGCATCTCGATAAACGCTCCAAGTGTCTCCCTCAATGGGCTACATCACAGCAACATAGAAGAGCCAGACATGCACCTGAGACATGCCATATCAACCTCGCAGACCTGGCCCAAATCCGCAAAGCTATCAAGAAACGCATAACACCTGTAATACCGTCGTTTGCATTTAACGACGACCTCAGGACAATACCTGTGCATGCTGACGAGATACTGGTCGCACTGTCAGAATCGCTCGAGGCTGCACAATCTCAAAAGGCAGACGAGCTCAAAAAGCTGACAATGGATATCACACCACTGCGTCTACTGATTATAACAAGAACCGGAGGTATTCCTTCACCCGCACGATCAGGTCTGCCGCATTTATCCATAAACTTGTCAAGCGAGCATGAGCATATCGCTTCAACTTTCGTTTGGGAGTCTTCACACCCATCCGCACTAACAAACCTCTCGCTGGCAAGACGGTGTCTGATGCACATGCCACAGTCATCTACTGCTCTAATTGTCGGACACAGATCCGCAATGGACCTCGTAGCCAATCTGATAACTAACAAACCCGCTCACTCTGCCTCCTTGCCACACGAGCTTCTCGTTACTTCCGATAAGATCACATCACACACTCCTACATCGGTCAGATTAGGTGCGCCCATACAATGTATTCGCAATTTCGAAGACATCGACCAAGACAAACTAACCCACCTCCTCGAATCGTCATTCAGGCGAGTTTTAGACAGAGATGCGTTCTTTACTCGTCTTAGGCACTCGCTAGATTTTGTCATTGTTGCTGGTGATTATGGCGGCTGCGCCATTGTGACGAATGAGGTGGATCGCGATGTCGATGGCAATGGCAATGGCAATGGCGAACGTGATGACTCAAACTCTATCGCATACCTGGACAAATTTGCTGTACTCCCATCTATGCAAGGAGACGGTACTGTCGATTTCCTCTGGCTGGCCTTGCGCGATGAAAGCTTCGGACTTGGATTGCTCGATGCTCTCAACACCAACGGCGGCCTCGAAGGTAAAGGTGTAGGCAAGGACTTGGTTTGGAGATCACGTGGCAACAACCCGATAAATAAGGTGAGTTTGTGGGCGCTCAGCTCAATAACATCGACTAAACTCCAACACAGTGGTACTTCGAGAGAGCCACCGGATTTCTGCGGGTCGAGGGCAAGACTGAAGCGGCCAAGAAGGCAGGTGGATGGGTCATGTTCTGGGCGGATGCAGAGGATAAACTGGCACGTAAATTGAAAGGTCGCCACGCAACACCTCTCGCACCAACAGGAATCCCACTACCGGGAAGTGAAGGTCTCAGTAACCCAGACCTTGGCTTGTCACTTATTGAAGACGAGGAGCAAGGACGGCTGCTCATCTATGAAAAAGTTGCATCCAACATACCCTCTAGTTGGAAGTGAAAATAAACAGACAAGGATAGATATAGAATTTCTAACGAGTAATATCAATGCATGTATCAACTCACTGGCTGAATATTAAGTTGAGATTAGCTATTCTCTCCTGTTTGTTTTCTTCTGATGATTTACCACCTAGCGCATTGTCAACGAGCGCAGTCTTGCGTTTCTGTATGTGCATAACGCGATCCTCTATGCTGTCTTGGATACAGAACCTCACAACGTGTACGTCTTTCTCTTGGCCGATTCTATGTACTCTATCAATAGCCTGCTTTTCGATGGCTTCGTTCCACCAGACGTCCATCATAAATACGTGGTTAGCGGAAGTAAGGTTGAGTCCCACACCACCAGCTCGCAAGCTGATGAGAAGGACTACACTATTATCACCTCTATCGAGATCATTGAGTACTATCTCCCTATTCTTCTGTGACGTCGATCCATCCAGTCTTAAGAAATGAATCTTGTCCTTAATGAGCGAATCGCCAACTAGATCCAAGAAAGCTGTGAATTGTGAGAAAACGACAGCTTTGAATTTACCCTCCACTTCGCGCAATCGCTGTAAATGTCCAGTGAGAGCACGCAGTTTCGCTGAGGATTGAAAATTGTGCGCCTTTCGCAACTTCACCACTTGGTCATTCTGGGATGTCGGTTCACCGTACACGACCTCAAGTAGTTGATCTGTGCGTATTGGGCCATTGCGGCAGACTGGACACGAAGTCATCTCCCCCTTGTCTTCTAATCTATCGAAGTATCCTAGAACGCATTGCTTGCAGCTGATGGGAGGTGGGTAAGAGGAGTCTAGGGTGCAATGTTATTCTCACCTCTTGTGCATACACGGAAGCAGAACAGGGATAGACATGTTCTCAAAACATATCTAAGACGTGTTAGTTTGTATAGCAAATACAGTGTATACCCACAGGACACTCATTGTCCTCTTCACTCATGTCAGTCTGCTCATGAACTCCGTTCGCGAGTTCACTGAGTACCTGCTTGGCGTAATTGGAATCACCACCTGCGGCAAATTTTGCAATCATAGACTGTATGTCAATACCTGCAACACCACCATCATCGTCCTCCACTTCATCGCTCTCTGTGTCCTTCTTATTACCTCCGGATGTGACAAGAAACGGATGGAGAGCAGCTTGGCGAAGTCTGAGGAGCATTGCGAATATGTTACTGTAGCTTTTGAGCAACATCCCTTTATGACTCAAAGCATCGAACTTCCTCTTCGCTTTTTTAAAGATAGCGTTGTATATCTGTCTCTCCTCCGGGGAGAAATCGAGTTTCTCAACATTGACAATCTTCTTGGGGAGTGTGACGATAGGTTTCCCATCGCTATCTCGCATGTTCTTCTCTCTCCGGAGCAGACAAGATGACATTATGACCTGGATCAGTTCTATAGCCTTGGGATCTTGGCTTGCAAATGGTGCGGTAATGAAACTCTTGAAGAAGGTGAAATCGGACCAAGGTTCAACTTTAAGGAATTTGAGCAGCGAGTAAAGGTCTTCGAGGCGATTGACAATCGGTGTGCCTGTGAGAGCCCATCTTCTGTAAGCAGCGATTTCGAATGCCGCCTTGGCATTGAGCGTCGATCTGTTTTTGATGTGGTGTGCCTCGTCAATTACAACTCTGTGCCAATAATAATCGAGAATCGTCGGTACGGTGACAGCCTCGTTGGAAGACTTTACGAATGTCTGGTAGTCGCTTATGAGAACACCATAGCTTGTTATTACGACATTGAAACAATTCGAGTAATCTATAACATTGCCATTCTCATCTTCAACTTTTGTGCGCTTTCTCAGTTGATTCTCAAGATTGCCTCGATTTTCGCCGTAGTATACAATGGTGCGAACAGAGCCTTTCGCAGAGCACCGCTCAATCTCGTCTCGCCACTGACCGAGCAGGGACATAGGAACGATGACGAGAGTAGTGTCATTGAGCGCCTTGAAACCCCCCGGCTGTCTGGATTGTGAGGGATTTTTAGCAGACGTAGATGTATTCTGCTTCCGTTTCTTCTTTGGCTTGCCATCTTCAGTGTCTCGGATTTCCTGGCTCTGACTGAGCTGATAATCGTTATCTGAATCGCTCTGATCGATCTTTATAGGAGCAGATTTAGATTGTTTGCTCCCAACTGCGTCAATTCTCTGCTGCTTTCCTGGCTTGACTGTATTGATTTGTTTTTGGTGCCAAGACAAGTCTGAGTTTTTGTGGTGATGGAGAAGCGCTGCAATCATAATAGTCTTCCCCATACCCATTTCATCGCCCTGTATGCCACCTCTCAGAGTCTTGTTGGCAGATGGGAAAGTATCTGACAGCTCGCTCGAGTATGGATTGAAGTAAAAATACTCGGCATGAGTCGTGCTCTGCGGATGATCTCTGAATCGGTATCTAGAGAATTGGTTTACATGTCGCTATTACTTGCGAGAAAGTACTCACTTTTCCCAAAGAGGATGCATCGCTTGAGGATGTGGATCACACGACCGGCTTCTCCCGTTTTTCCCAATCTCCTCGCTTTCTCCACTCTCCATTGACGACATCCAGCTGAGCGCTTCCTTTTGGTAGTTGCGCAGTGTCAGATTGAAGCTGTCAGCGGCATCAATAGGCATCAAGTTCCTGCTAGTACCTCCAGCGCGGCTATAGACAGCTCGCAGCTGCTCGTCATCGACTTTGTCAGGGGTTTGAGAGCGATCGTGAGCGTTATCGTGAGCTTGATCATGCTCATCGTCGCTGCTATCAATGTTGATAACGGACTTGTCCATCACATGCGTAGTTTTGGTGTTGTTTTTGACGGTGTTATCAGTGTCGGTGTCAGTGTTCGCAGTGTTCACGGTGTCAACGGAGTGTATCTGTGAAGCAGCTTGCTTGAAGTGGTCAATCTGGGATATGCCATTAAGGGCGCCTTTGCGACGATGCTGTTGGGTGACACTGCTGCTTTCAATCGGGCTCAAGCTGGTATGGTGGAACACTTTCATCAGAGCCTCCTGCCGTCCAGCAAGTTCTTTCTCCTGTTGGCTTTCCTCACTCTGAGATATCTTGCTGGCCTGTCCGTCTGTGTTGTTGCTGTTGCTTTTGCTGCTGTTCTTCTGTGCAAACGCTTTCGGGTGAAGATACACCTGTAGCGAGAGAATGATGGTATCACCACTGCGCAGCGTCTCGTCGCAATCCATCAACGTTCCAGTGAGCTCGATGATCTGCGTAGTGTTTAGTGTGGTGTTAGCGGGGTGCACTAAACGCAGTAATGATAACGTACCTGCTTATCGAGCAGTCTGCTCAGATACGACGTGTGGTTAGACGGTAGCCTACCCACTTCAAACCCGCGCATGTTCCTAAATCTGCGAGGCCAGATTAGAATGGTTGCATGCGGCGATTAGGCTCACCTGATGATAGTGTTTTCTGATTTGTTTGAAGACTTGGCAGCGAATCCCTTCAAAGTTGATGTTTTGCCCTTGCCATTCTTTCCATTCTTGCCAGTCTTCTCCGCCTGCTTATTCTTATCTCTCTCTACCAGCACCTGCTCGCCACTGCGGGCATAACCTTTGCCGTTAACAGTGGACCAACCACTAATGATAATCTCGCCAATAAATCGATTATAGCGCGTTTCATCTGTTTTCGCCGTTATCTCGACGACGTCTGTGTCTTCTCGACTGAGTTTGTCTTCGTGTTTACGTTTGGCAGGTGTGCTCGCGACTATCTCCAAATCACTCTCGGTCTTATTGTTTTCTTCTTCCCACTCATCTCCAGAATCGAAGAAGAGCGGCGTATCTTGCGTCATCAGTGGTCGTTGTCACAAAGAGACAGCCACGCGAAACGCCAAATAAAAAATAAATATAAATCCAGCTTAAATAACTTAAATTATAAATCACCTCAATCACCCCTCCATCTCGAGCTTCTTCTGTCGTTTTTGCCTCTCGCGCTTACCGATTTTCTTCTTCTTGGGTGGTTGAGGTAGTGCAGACGAATCGATATCGCCATCACCCTCGCGCGGCCTCTTTTTACCGTCATGCTTATCATGCTTGCGGTGCTTGAAGTCTTTTGAATCTTCTCCCCATGCCGGTCTATCATTATTTACCTTATGTTTGAATTCTCGCACACGCGACATCATCCCATTCGCATATTTTCCTTTACCAGAGTTAGCGATTCTATCTTTACGGTAGGGTGCCATTCTCTTCACGCGCATCAGTCGCGTCAGATCTCTGTCATCTGCCCGGAGTATCTCATCCGTGTTGAGACCATAGCTGTCAGGAACGACGTTTGTGTATTTGAATCTCGTCTTGAGATCTCCAATTGTATCTTCGTAATCGAGTTTGTAATACTCATCTAGCCACTTTTCAAGAGCTGCTTGTCTTTCCTCTGCTGTTGCTGGCATTGGTTCTTCTTCTTGTGGTTGATGTGTTAAGTGGTCAGCATCCATATCCATATCAACATCATCTTCATCGTATCCCTCTTTAGTTGCACCCTTGGCATCCGCTTTTGCCTTCTTCTTGGCCTTCTTACGCTCACGTTTCGACATGGTGACCTTTCCGTCGTTTTGGTCATCTTGGTCATTATAGTCCGCATCCATGTTGATCGGTGTGGAGTCATCCTGTGGGTCATCCTGTGCGACGATATCGTCAATATCAATATCATCCTCCCACTGCGGTTTTTCCTCGTCAAATTCACCCTCGTCACCCTCCTCATCATACTCATTCTCATATGCATCCCGCATAGCTTTATCGTGAGCTTCCGGATCAAACTCTGCATCAAGATCTAAGTGTTCAAATTTGGCAGCATCTTCACCAATAGCAGCAAGACGAGATTTAATGTCATCTTTCTTAAGTGATTTGAGACGCTTAAGGTCCTCTTCACGTTGACGCTTTTCAACCTCCTTGCGCTCCTTTTTGGATGCACGCTGTTCTTTCCTCTTGTTGTCAGAACGACGAACAGTAGATTCAAGTTGTCTTGAGTGGGTTTTGATGTCATCAGCATTGGGTTCTTCAAAGCGAAAGTTATATCTATGTTCAAAGTCATCTGCATAGTCTTCAAAATCATCGTCATCTTCGAGGAGCTCATTGTCAGCGTTTGCACCGGATAAATTAAAAGAGTGACCCTTTTCAGCAGCTTTTTGGTTGGAAATTGGGACATCTTTTGGTACAGAGGTTGAAGAACCAGGCATCCAGCCCTGATTCAAGATGTAATCCATTAAAAATTGATCGTCTTTAGCTTTTTGATAGGCTTTTGAGGGTGTTTTGAGTGATTTTTCTTGGTTGTCTGGTTTTTCAGATTTAGCAGCTTTCTTGGCCAGCTTCTTTTCTTCTTTTGTGGGATTGGGATTGGATGCGTTGTCGATCTCTTGCTGAGTGCTAGATATACGCACATCATCCAAACCCAAAGCTTTTCTAATCTCATCTTCACCGACGTTATCGAGGAGGAATTTCTTGTAAGAGTTGCGTGATTGAAAGTCGTCGTCATCTTCAACAGATTTAGGCTTAAGGAAGTCATCTTGGTCTTCGTTGTCGTCATTACCGCTGTGAAAAGCGGAAGTTACTTCTTTCTTGAGGTTCCTCTGTTCTTGGGCGTGGGTGGGGAGGGTGACAGGGTTGTTATCGTCATCACCCTCTTCATCACTACCAAAATCACCTTTAAGGAGTTTCTGCCTCTCAAAATCAGCGAGGGTAACTGGTTTGCCTGATAATTTGGTACGCTTAGAGGTGAGTTGAGCAGCTTTATCTTTCAAAGCTGCCTGTTCCTCCTCGAAAACCTTTTTATCAGAGTAGATGGAGGGATCTTTAGATTTTAAGAGAGAGAGAGTTTTGAGGAGAGCAGCATCGATATCCGGGGTTAGCTGATCGCCCTGCTCATCCTCGTCAGACTGATCACTATCACTCGATTCATCTGATTCCTCCTTGTATTTCTCTTGTAAGCGCTGTAACTCTGCTCTCTTGTGATTATGTGTAAATCTATCTGCAAATTCCTTGTTTATCGATAAATCATCCACGCCATCCAAATCCAAATCCATCTTCGTGCTCGTCGTGCTCTTTGAACCCGTAACATCAACTTATAAAATATAAAAATATAAAAAAATAATCAAAATTTAAAATTATGTCCACTGGCTCCACTCGCTCATCAGAGGATGGCGATATAGGCACTCTCCCCAGCCCATCTACCTACGACATGGATAGGCTGGTCGACAATGTAAATCTAAAGAGATTCTCTCTTAAGCCCAGGTATAGTCGGAGGCTATCTAATCACAGATTATCTTATCTTAATCCATCCAATCCATCGAAACCATCCGGGTCATCCAATCTCAGCCCAGTACCTTCACAGCCACAGCCACCACCCCCGAAATCGATCGATGAAATTATAAGAACCCATTCACCTCTACTAAACGTTAAAACCCAGGCTGAAAAAGACGCTGACTCTCTTTTGCCCGATAAGAATCCACCCACTCCGCCCATAAAGTCTATCAATGACATCATCAACCAGCACTACTCCTCTCTATCTAGCAGGCATGTCACCTACGATGACAGTGAAAGTGGTGGTGACAGTGGTATTGAAAGTGGTGGTGATGGTGATGGTGATGGTAATAGCGATAGTGAAACTGACAGCCACAAACCCACACCCATTCCCACCACTCCTACACCCACTCCCTCCCTCGCCCCCAAATCCTGGATCGCCCAATACCTCCGCCAACCGCAACTAACGCGACTGCTCAAGCTACGCCGTCATCCCCACTCTGGTCTCCAAGTATCCCTATGCGATTTAGGCGACAGCAGAGGCAACCCTGTTCTAATTTACCTAGGGCTCGGCTGTACGCGTCATCTGATAGCGCTCTACGCCGATCTAGCGAGCACGCTCAACCTGCGCCTAATCTGCGTTGACCGGTGGGGGTTAGGCCGCACGGACGCGTCCACCTCTACGCAGCGAGGGCTACTCGAATGGGCGAGTGTGATAGAGGAGGTTCTCGATAGCCTCCGCATTCAACGCGTAGCCCTTCTCGCTCACTCCGCCGGTGCGCCGTATGCGCTTGCACTCGCCCACGCCGCTCCCCAACGCATAGCTCTGCCTATCACCCTCCTCGCGCCGTGGGTGCATACGGAGACGCACACCAGTGCTGGTCGCTGGCTCAGACATGTCCCGAAGCCCCTCCTACGCGCAGCTCAGGTGGCTGAGTGGACAGTCGCCGGCTGGAGTATTGGCAAGCCGCCCCAAGTCAAGTATGAGGGTGTTGAGGGGGGTGTGGGCTTGAGTGTGGGTGGGGGAGTTAGTGGGACTAGCGACCACAACAACAACAATAACACTAACACCAATGCTCTTGATAGCGGCGTCGAAAGGAGCCACTCGCATCCTACTGTTCCTACTGTCTCCAAGCTAGCTGGTGCGTATCTTTTTATATTTGCGTTTGAGTGCGTTGAATTCTCATTGACCACCCCACACAGCGCACTCAACCCACTCAACACACCCCAGTATCAGGTCCTCCAGCGCTAATAGCGTCAGACGTCTGCGCAAAGTGTCGCTTGTTAATAGCAGCCGGAGCAGCAGCAGTAGTAGTAGCAGTGGTGGCAGCATTCGTAGCAGTTATAACAACAACAACGAGAGCAACAAAAATGGCACACATAGGCCATTCAATACACTCAACGTGCCCACCACACCAAATGCACCCAACAAACCCATCGCAAACACACTCACTCACAGCGAAGAAAAACAGGTCTCCGTCGGAAGCGCCCTGCTCGCAGCTTCGCATGCCGAGTCACATTCAGGCGGCGGGCCTGCACATGACCTCCTCCTCATACTCAACCGCGGTGCTAAACCGTGGGGATTCGATTACCGGGATATCTCAGCAAGCGTGCACGTCTACTGGGGAGACAAGGACGATAGGATCTCTGAAGATGCCGTGCAATGGATGGAAGAGAACATGACTAGTTGCAAACTAACTAAACTACCAGGCAAGACGCATTCATTGCTGACTGATCCCATTGTCATTGCAGATGTGTTGGAGAATTTGGCTGACAAGTACAGTACGAGATGAGTTAGTATAGATAATTGATAATTGATAGACATACCCAAATTAAATTGGATTAATTGTATTTTTACACATACATTACAACTTATATAATTGACATTTACTCGGCATTTGCGCGCTCAATATCCACCCAACTCTCCAGCGAGTAGTTGAGTTTGTTGAGGTCCTTCCAATCATGCCGGGCCACTGAGCCCGTTTCATCCCACTCCCAGGCCGTGCTCATCAAGCTCGCGTCAGTCGGTGACCAGCTGACGTCACGAACGATAGGGCGCCTGGCACGAGCGCGACCGGAAGCAGGAGCAGAAGTATTTCTGACACTCGCACCAGCCGCTTCAGGTGCGCTAGGATCGTTAAATTCGCCACTCGCATCCACCATATCCAATGCACTCTTACGATCAACAACCTGCACTAGCTCACCAGAGACGTTCCAGATATAAATATTCCCATCAGCTGAACCCGAATACACATAGCGACCACCGGTGGTATCGTCCGGGGAGAAGCGAGCGCGTATGAGGGTGCGCGCGACAGTGTGACCCTGTAGTCTAACGAGGGAGTGATCCTGTGGATGAGCGTCGTACGCGGGTTTGGGTGTGAATGAACTCCTATAATCGTAACCTGGTATACTGAAGTTTTCCGGTGGGGCTACTTTATCGGAATCGTCGAAATCGTCACTGCTCACCATTCTCCGTAGATCCCAAATACGCACAGAGGAGTCTTTACCGTTGGTGAGTACATTTCGCTCGTTGCCTTTCGGAGACACATACGTAATGCCCTCGGTATGTCCAACTAGCACCCCCGATGGCTTTGCGTGGCTCGTCAATGCACGTCGGTCCCACACCTTGGCCACACAATCGTCCGACCCCGACACGCAGATGTTGGAGGAAACATCAGCGAAACAAACCGCATTTACATCCGCCATGTGCCCCTCGAGCGAGAGGAGCTTCTTGCGCGCTTCGACGTCGTACACATACATTGTGCCGTCAGCAGCTCCAGCGACTATTTCCTTGCAGTCACTAGAGAACCTCACAGACCATATTCCATAACCATACCCGTAGTCATCTGCGCCGTCATCGCTGAACGACAGTGGGATAGGCTGGGCGGGATTGTTTAGGTTGACAAGATGAGCTACAGGCGAAATGCGCGAATATACCAGCCATTCCTTGTTATGCGACAGGTTGGCATCCGTCACAGTCCATCCGGAGGGATTGGCGGAGACGCGTGCAAGATAGCCCATAGTAGTCTCATGCTCCTCGACATAAAACTCATCCTCGCCCTGCATGCCCGAGTGAGGTGCCCGCAGAGGCTCTTGAGGCTTGTAAACGTTAATGTTAAAGTTCCTGTCGGCGGTATAAAAGAGCTGGCCATCGCGGCTGTGCTCGCCGGAGTAGACAGGTGCGTTATTGCGTGCGACGACACACCCACTCGAGTTAGGCACAACAGCGAGATATTCCGGCCGTAATCGACTCTGCAGTCGTGTCCGATTCCTTATGCTCCCTTGGAGGGACACGGGCGTGCGTGTGCACCCGAACATGCCACTTTGCGCCAGCTTGACTCCCTCAGGCTGGGTAGTTGACGGTGTGGGGACGTATCGCTGTGACATATCGGGCATGCGCGCCTGCCACATTAACCCATCGCCGTCGTCGCTCACGAATACATGTCGACCAGTTCCGGCACGTGCATTGCGAAGGAGCATCTGCAGTATCGACAGCCGCGCACCGTGGTCTCCGTCTTCATCAGCTATCTCGTCATTCGTCGAATCCTGCAGTAGCATGTCGTCGAGCAGCGCCTGCGATGAGCGCCGTTGGAGCACTTGATCCATGTCTATGAAATCATCTGAATCCTCGTCGTAGCTGCCGTCGTAGTAGCTTTCTTCGTCGTCGCTTGCTGCATTTATTTCGCTCATCACGGTTCGGTGGCAAAGCCATGACACCATCACAGGCACCAGAGCAATATCGAGAATATGGCGTCTGCATGTGTGTTTGTGTGTATGTTTATGTGTATTTATATTTATATTTCGCATATTTCGTGTATCGCATATATTATCTGGAACGCATCCACAAGTGTCTCAACATGGCTACACCCTCCACTGTCCGTAAAGGATTCCTCTAGAGATAGAGAACGGTATCATATCAGGCGTACACAGCCCCGAGCTCACGAACTCGTCGAGGAACGGTCTGCTAGTGATGCCTACGAAGATAGCCGTGTAGATATAACCGAGCAGCTTTCTAGATGAGGTAGCAGGCGACTGCGCGAGTGTGTTCCCGAACACGAGATACTCCACTACAATGCCGACAGCCTGTACGACAAAGAAGCAGAACTGACCGCGGCCCAGTCCCGCCAGAACATATGCACCCATCGCGTGACTGGCGCCCGTGAGGCTGAATGCGACTACCAGCTTCACAGGTACGTGTGCGCGCTCTGGAAACACGCTAGCTATGTTGTCGCCGTAGAATTTGATCGTCTGTCGGAATACACTGTGCCACCCAACAGCCCATAGCCGCCCTATCGACCACGCTTCAGTTAGGTTGAAGAAGGGCGGCCAGTCGCGCGGACTGCTCACTCCAACACCGACACATACCACCGATGCGCTCAGATTGAACGCGTTGATGGCAGAGTAAGCGACGCCGCCGAAAAATGCCAAGTGGAATGCTTGTAAGAGGACTGGCTGCGCGGCTATCGGACGCAGTGTGAGTATGTCGTAGGGCGGAGTGTGCAAGTATGTCTCGAATGCATCTATGATGAGGATGTGCATCGCTATAACAGCAAGACGCTCGGCTATAAACCGCTTCCAAGTCTTGTCACCCTCCGTTTCTACACCCTGCTTATCGATCCGACGCGCCCATTTCCAGTGTATGCCGCGTGGATTTGAGAGGAGATCGGCAAAGAACACAATTCTCTCCCACAACCCAGCCGGAGGAGGTCGCTCAATTCCCCGCGCATCTAACTTGACGAGCCTTTTCTCCACATCGACGCTAAGCAGATATCCCGCTATCATGAGAGCGTATATCTGCGCATTGCCAACCATGTACGCACTGATCGGATCGGGTTGGCGGAGATATACCAGTGGATATACTGTCGTGGCGAAACACACGGGTATGCCTATGATTCTGCGCAGATGCAGCGGGAGGAATAGCAGCGAGCCTGTTATCACAATATACGGCAGAGGCAATAGCCAGAGAGCTGCCACTGGTTTCGAAGTGTCCAGCTCGGGTAGCTGCGGTGGTGCGAGCCTCATAAACGTAAAGAATCAACAATATAATCATTCATCAACACAATCAATACATTCTCCACTGCTTCATTATACTTATTAATCACTTTTCACCATGCGTCGGCTCTATTTTGTCAGCAGCCTTCTCAAGCACGGCCTGCGCGAAAGGCTGTGTTGGACCAGAATGTATTGGGGACGAGTCACTGTCCACGCGAGGACTCAATACGCCGTCTCTGATAACCAATGGTGGCGGGTCTGTTGGTTTAGGCTCCCAGAATTTGAACGAGCGCGAGTGAACGCCGTAAGCAGTAGGAACCATCTCGATAAGTTCACCGCGAGGTCTGCGAAAAGGCGTTATTAGGCGATGGTTGACAGATCAGCTTTATGCACCACCTACATTTCAACGTTTGGAATCTCAGAAGGTGGTAATCCTGTTAGATATGCGATGAGACAACGAATAACAGATCTGCACCTCAAATTAGTTGCGTTCATTCTCCTCAATATACCGCACTCACGCATGACAAATAATCAACAGATCATCTTGCTCTCTCTCCAATTCGAATATAACAGGCTCGAGTCTGACGCACAAATCGTGGTATGATTCTCCCCTTGGCGTTCTAAACGAGTAAGGTGCTTTGAGAGACGAATGCCAGTCGTTAGGGAACTGCTCCCTAAACTCCTCTGGACCAACACCATCCAAGACACCGGGGTTAATTTCCGACATTTGCGCCCTTTCATGCACTCTATAACCCAATCTCACGAATGGCCATGCGGAGTGATATGAGCGACGGCGAGTAGATGTCCAGACCTGTATAATGTGATGTAATGCAATGTGAGGTGAGCTTGGTTGAGCAGCTATACGAATCCACCCACCGAGAACTTTCTGTCATTCTTAGGCGCTCTTGACTCGCCCCTCTCCTTGCGCTTCTGGCGCTGTTTGTCCAGGATGAAATCGGCCAGCTGGCTGGTGCTGTGTTAGGCAAATGCAAGACAAAGAAAACTAAGCAGCAAACGTACTCGGCATAATCCCAACCAGCTGCAGCTAAATCTGAATCAGCCTTGTACGAGTGCTCGACAATAGACTGCCCATTTCTTGCAAAGTAAATCGTGCGTGGTTTATTGTGAATGTTCATCAGATAAAAAACAATACGTGACTGTATGTACACCTTAGCGATGTTTTAGCGACAGTAGCCCAACTCACCTGCAGATATCCTTCAATTTTGTTGACGATAATTCTTTGGCCGGAATTCCATATCTTTACGTAAGGGAATGACTCCTGGACTGTCTCATACTGGTCCTCGTGTTCGCGAATCCTCTTCCAGTAATCTTGAACTGCTTTTTCTGAGTCCCATTTGTCGTACTTCATAGGGCTGTCAGATGGGGCTATTAAGCACCGCTCAACTTACGTCTGGTGAACTGATCTTGACCTGTGAGACATATTAGCACGGCTGCTTGGAAAAACACAACTCAAACGCACATTGCGGATGTTAGCTTCTACAGTCTCGGCTTGATCGCAGAGGCATTCTGGGCGTTTATTTTGTGAGATGTGTTGTTGATGTCACAGAGTATCACCTACCGAGGAAGATGACATGTACACCAAGACCCTCAGAGCCGAAACGCTTAAGAATTTGTTCTCTACCAGCGGCGCCAGAGTTGTTTGCATCATAAATGGCCACCTGACCGCCGTTATTTACGAAAAAGTCCTGGATGTTGCCCTGGAGCTCATCGACGACCCTGTCACGGAGCTTCTCAGTCTCTTGTGATTTACCAGTGGGGAGAAAGTAGTCAGGTGGGAGATCCTTAGCGCGTCCGACAGTCTGGCGTCTGTGGTCGCCGAGGGAGAAAGTGCCAACTTTGACACCAAGCCAGCGAATGTAACGCTCAATAGATCTTGATACGTGGGTTTTACCTCTGTAGGGAAATCGTGTGAGATATTACTTCGTAACTAGGCTCACACCCACCTTGCTGGCAGACCTGAGTGGATTCGATTAGATTAAGTCATCGATGGAGATATTTAAACGCACCGACAGCGACAATGAGCAGATTTCCTTGGTGCCACAGTTTTCCTGAGCTTGTGGTGTATAACGGGGCTGTAGAAGCATAAGGCTACGTGTACACTCGCTGCTACTGGCGTCTCACCAGCCATGATTGTATAGGAGGAAGAACTAAATGAATTAATTGCGCTTTGATTGTACATATGATTCAGTGTAGTGCAGTACCTTGTCTGCCATTTGATCTGCTGTCGTGTTCTTTCCAAACGCCTCCACAAACTCGCCATTTGGATCCATCAAGTACATGAAAATGGAGTGATCAACGAGCTGTGATGGTTTGTTAGGCTGGAGATAGAGTAGAGCCATTTAAACACCCACGTAGTCGTCTTTTGGTGATATATTTGGCGGTGTAGAGAAGTATACCCTGTATACCTTGCAAGCGGCCTTTACATTCTCCCAAGGACCCGTAAGACCGAGCATACGAGGATGGAAGCCTGTAGTGCGCTTAGTGTGCATGTTTCTAATTGACGCGTGTCCCACCTTCCAAGTATTTCCGTGTTTGTGCAGTTGTGTCTCTCGCAGGATCGCATGAAATGAAAACAGGCTGAACAATCTGACCGAGTTTAGCATCTTGGAAGTGCATGAGATTCGCCTGTATTCAAGCACATCGTTCTACCCACCGACTTTGTCAACTACAGCGCCCATTTTGTCCAACTCATCGGGGCAAATATCCGGGCAATTGGTGAATCCAAAGTAGACGAGACTAAATCTGCCAAGAAGATCCTCGTGTGTCACGCTGTTTTCAGTCTTTGCGTCTATCAGATTGAATGGGCCACCGATCTTTGGCTTTCCGAGTTTCTCAGACTCGCTGGTTTTGCGCTCTAAAGAAGCGTCAGCGGCGAGAGCAGATAGCAGTAAACAACCAACTTTTGCTCTCCTCGACTTGTGCCTTTGCTTTGTTGAAATACCAGTAGAGACCAGCGCCGGTGCCGACGAAGAGGGAAGCAGAGATCCAATTAAATGGCTGTGTAGAGTACCAATGAGAATATGAAAGCATGGAAAACACCACGCACGCCGACATACGCCTTATCTCTCTGCTGAGATTTAGACTGTATCCATCTCCTCGAAGCAGCTCGATTGAGATTGCCAGTTACATTTATACGCCCAGCACGCTTAAGTAAATTATTATATTTTAACATATATCCTTCTTGGTCTCCTACTACAACGAGTATTTTCACGTTAAGTATTCCAGATGACCGCGAGTGGTGGCCACCCAACCAAAATCAAATTATCAACGAGATCGCTGCGATCTCAGCAGCCCCAAGAGATGGAGCTTACAGATACAGCCACCGATACCCACGATCATCTCCCGGCAGCCACTGATCCCGATCTCGACGAGCCACACACGTATCACCAAGATGCTTATCAAGAAGATGACCAAATCCAGCAGCAGGCGCAGGCACAGCTCGAGCCACAGAATGTCTCTGGATCTGAATTTGGTGATGAGGATATTCCTGAGCCAGAGCAGTCTGATTACGACGACGATCTCACTCCTCCTCCAAAGCGCGCTGGTAGAACTTCCACTCGACGTGCACCGCCTAAGAAACGCGCTGTCGAGGAAGAATACCAAGACGACGGCAGTGAATATGAAAGTGATGAATACAATGGTGTGTTTCCCCTTTCACCATTTTCCATTTCTCACTTTATTCAGCTAGAAGAAGCCGTCCAACACGCGGTCGCCCCTCCACCCGTAGCCGAGTCCACCATTTCGTTCAATTCGACGGCGGCGATGGTGACGACGAGGAGTTTTCTCTGCGTGGCAATCGTCGTCGTTTGCGAAATGCTGGCGACGATCCACCTGAGCCTGTCACTCGCTCAAGCAGACAGTCACGATCTGTGGTGCCCTATTTCCCTCCAAAAGAAGTCATACAGGAGCGCCACGAAAAGCTTGCCAATGAGCGTGCCGATAGAGCTGAAAGAAGGAGGACTATCATGTATACGGATGACGAAGACGACGACTCCCCAGAACGTCGCAACTACTCTCTTAGAACAAGACGTGAGCGTCCCAATTACGTTCTTCCTCCTCCTGTCCTTGATGTCAGAGAGCGTCCTGAAAAGATTGGCCGCTTGCCTTCCTTCACTGCTCTTCAACACCCCAGTATCGACTTGGTGCCTTGGAACCGTCGTGGTGGTCTTGATGACTCCGACACCGTGAGTATTTCTTACCTATTACACTCAATACTCACCTCCCATAAGGACGATGACCTTTCGCCCAGAAAACGCCCTCAACCTGCACCTGCAAATCTGGCCGGTGGCGGTGGTGGGCTACTAGCGCCAGGAGAAGGCATGGGAATGGACAATTTAGGCACAGGTGGTCCTAGCAACCTGGGTAAGATCGGTGATGCAGCATTCGCCGATACAGATCCACTCGGTGTGAATACAAAGATCTCATTCGAGTCTATTGGTGGTCTAGATGAGCGTGAGTAGCAGGTGTACTTTCTAATAAGCATCTCTGACACCCTCAAGATATCCGACAACTCAAGGAAATGGTTTCTCTCCCACTCCTATATCCCGAAGTTTTTCAACGTTTCAGCATCACTCCTCCACGAGGTGTCCTCTTCCACGGTCCACCCGGCACTGGTAAAACGCTGATAGCTCGCGCTCTTGCAGCAAGCTGCTCGAGCGAGAATCAAAAAATATCTTTCTTCATGCGCAAAGGTGCAGACTGTCTGAGCAAATGGATTGGAGAAGCTGAACGTCAACTGCGACTATTATTCGATGAGGCCAAGGCATGTCAACCGTCTATCATCTTTTTTGATGAAATAGATGGTCTTGCGCCGGTGCGTTCTTCGAAACAAGAGCAGATCCATGCATCTATCGTGTCAACCCTCCTCGCTTTGATGGACGGCATGGATGGACGTGGGCAGGTTATTGTTATCGGCGCTACCAATCGCCCTGATGCTGTTGATCCTGCTCTTCGCCGTCCGGGCAGATTCGATCGAGAGTTCTACTTCCCTCTGCCAAATGAGAAGGCGCGGAGTAAAATAATAGAAATCAACACCAAAGATTGGAATCCTCCTCTCGAGCCTCAATTTCTAGATAAGCTTGCAAATCTCACTAAGGGCTACGGGGGTGCTGATATTCGCGCTCTCTGTACTGAGGCTGCACTAAACGCTGTTCAGCGTAGGTATCCGCAAATCTACAAGACGAACGACAGACTGCTTCTCGACCCGAAAAGCATAAACGTACAAGCCAAAGACTTCATGAGGTCTATCAATAGTAGGTGTGATGAAATGAATAGCGTGGTTTACTAACACGATTTTAGAGCTAACACCGTCGTCTGCGCGCTCAAGTGCCACGTCGGCAGCACCCCTCCCCCACCATCTTACACCCTTGCTTGGTGGTGCACTAGATGAATCGAAGAAGGTAGTCGACAAAGTGATTCCACGCACTGAAGAGAAGAGCGTAATCGAAGAAGCCGAATATGAAGATGACGTTGGTGAAGATGGTGGCTTCTCACTTGAGGTGATGCGCCAAAACATGAACTCGATGCGCACATTCCGTCCAAGGATGATGGTTTATGGAGAAGAAGGTATGGGACAGGCCTTCATAGGTCCTGCACTTCTGCATTATTTGGAAGGGTACAACGTACAATCGCTAGATCTGGCTACACTGCTCAGCGATTCGACGCGCACTGTCGAAGCCGCATGTGTACAGCTAATACTCGAAGCGAAACGTACAAAACCATCCATTATATACATACCAGCGTTACATGAATGGTGCAATGTTATTTCAGAAGCGGCAAGAGCAACTGTAACAGCACTCCTCAATACTATATCCCCATCAGATCCTATACTTGTTCTCGCAATGCTAAACAATAGTCCTGATGAGCTGCCACGAGATGTAAAAAGATGGTTCGGTTTTGGCAGAGACTCTAAAGTCGCTTTGAATGGTTTCTCAGAGGAGCAAATTACAGAGTATCTGATGGAATTGATCAATATGATCAAACTTAAACCATCTCAATTTCCAGATACGGGAAGGCGTAAAAAACGTAAATTGGAAATACTTCCAGTAGCGCCCCCGATGAAACCACGCGAGCCTACTGACAGAGAGCTGAATGCGCTGCTCGAAAATGATGCTAGAATTCGTGAGCATCTTAAATGGAGATTAGGTGCTGTGCTCGAGCAGCTCAAGAAGAAGTTTAGGAGATTTATGAAATCTTTCGCTGACGAAATTGCTATGGTTCTTCCATTACCCGTCAACACTCACAACAACGGCTCAGTCAATGCGCTCGCTCGATCGGATTTGATGGCGGATAATGATAATCAGCAGCCACAGACTCAGCATGACAGTGAGGCCAAGGAGCAGGACGAGGATGAGGAGGAGCACGCGAAGGAGCAGCCGAATGACCAAGACAAAGACACACAAGTACAGCCAATGACCAACGGTGTTGTTGATGGAGATGTGCTAGAGTATGACAAGGTATCTGATGAAGCGGGTGCCGACGAGGTTAAGAAAGATACTGATCATGTTCAAACCGGAGATCAGCAAATGGAGCAGACAGAAGAACCTGTTGAAGGAAGTCCCGAAAAAGAAGATGAAGAGAATGATGACGCCATAGATGAAGAGATGGCTGACTTTATCCAACCGCCACAAGCTGCTAACAAAGAGATTTCCAAAGACAGCGAAGATGACGAGCCGATCATTGAGGATAAGAACGATGACGACTTTGAGCCAGATGAAGAGGAGGAAGAAGCCCCACAAGAACCCGATCTTCAACCAGTCCCACCAAAGCCTGAGGCAAATCTACAGGAAAACATGGAAAAATCATTAGATGAAGAATTAATGGAATTATCGACAATTCAGCCTGGAGAGGATCACAGGACGCGTCTGATGATTTACGATATTGATCTTGAAAAGATTCATTTCAATGTATACAAAGACAACTATGTGAATCCAGCGCAATTCGTCGATGATGTCGCTAAGATTGTCCATAATGCTGAACTTGATCCTAGTGATCAGGACAGGTTGTGGAAAGCACAGCAACTCCTCACGCATGCAAGAGTATTGGTTGATCAGGCTTTCGATGGCCCATTTAGAATAGAGTGTCAGCGTATGGCCGACAGAGAAACTAAGAGGATTGCAGAATACAAAGAGAAGAGGAAGAGAGAAAAGGAGGCATCTAAGAATGTGTCGGAAGAAAATGAGGCGGGTGCAGCTGACGGGGAACAACAAGAGCAACCAGAACAGCAACCAGAACAGCAACCAGAACAGCAAACACGATCAGAGGAGCAAGACCAGTATCAGCCGCAGCAAGACGGAATTGCAGCTGCAGCTCCTGAACAAAATGACCAGGCTGAACAATCCGAACAATCCGAAAATGGCACATCTCTCAAACGTCCCCGTGAAGGTGAAGGTGATGGTGATGGTGAGAACGGAGGAGATGGACCTGAGACTAAGAAGGCCAAAGGAGATGTAGAGATGACTGAGAGTGTGGGTGTGTTGATAACAGAGCTAATTTAAGCTAAAAGGAATATTACAGAGTCAACCAATTGATACTAGTCAAAAAGAAGAAGAGCTTCAAGAAGCTCCAAAGGAAGCCTCACAAGCTCCAAAGTCTCCAACGCCCGAATCGGAACCTGAACCTGAACCTGAATTCTTAGTCGACGAGAGTCAATTGACTCAGTTACTCAATGAGGCTGTGGCGTTGGTGAAAGATTTCAACGCTGACGAGCTCGAGCAGACGAGAGCTAACATTTCTAGCGTGATATGGCAACATCGCGAAGAATGGAACCGACAAAGCACGATTGAAGCTGTGAGATCTGCTTTGCACAGCTGCAAATATGATGTAGACATGTAATATAAGATGAAAAGAAAAGAGTTGATGCATTGATTTAATTTAAGTTGCTAAAGCACATGGACTATCCTGGTATATTTCTTCTTGGCGGTAACGGAGGTGCACTGCGGCGCAAGTGATGAGTGTGATGAGTTCGAGGAGGCAGTGGAGGGGCGTAGGCGGGAGTTCGCACTGCTGGCTCATAAGCAGGAGTACGAATTGGTGGACTATAAAGTGGTGGGGGATTTGCTTCGTTTCGCTTCCTCACCAGGTCTCTGAGTAGATCCTCACCAGCCTGTCTTCTCAATTTGTCCCTATTCAGTCGCTCTTCTAGTGACAAACAGTCGCGAGCATCCTTCTCCCAGCTTTCGCGCAGCGCTATATTGAACGCCAGCTCGGGATCAGCGCTAGGAGGGTGATCTGCGCCTTCATTAGATTCAGGCTGTTGGATTTGCCGCCTATTTCTAGCTGTAGATTATCGTGAGGTTTATAAAATACTACCAGCAATTATACTCACGTTTACGCTGCTTTTGTGCTACCAACATTTGCCGATTAGGATCTGGCATCCTGATCGTCATTTCACAAACTTGATAAGCCGGATTAATGCAATATTTCTATAGTAGTACACGTCTATTTGATCACATTAGATCACTTTTAGAAGTAAGGCGTCTCGTAGACCTTGTCGCGCATCTTCCAGTCTCCGTTGCGCATCCACAATGGCTTTTCGAACATGACGTAGTCTAAAACGTTGTGCTCTGGGTGGTTTGGGCCGAGTGACTGTGTGGCTTGTTAGAATTGATTCCTATCAGTGCTCAACTCATACCTGTACTGTATTGAACTTGACGACCACCTGACAAATACGCTTCTCGGCGGACTCTGGCAGCATTGGCATGACATTTGTAGTTCTCACAGAGAGCACGCTTGGTGGCTCTATCACTCTGACCACCTTCCAATCATATTTTGTGTCACGATCCAATTTCACTGTCTTGGCTTGTGAGTCTGAAGCTTCCTTGAGCGCGTGTGTGGATAGTTTGTTGATTGATTTAAAGTCGCCGCTGTTTGAGTGTTAAGTGGGGGTTGAATTACCAGCACTTTGCACACCCGCTTACCTCGCTATTGCCTTCTGGAGCGCTGTATACTTTTCATAAGCCACAGTGCTGGCCCAGTGCGTAGATGCTTTGCGCCTTTCCATCCACTTCAGCCCAGGCACGCCTTCCTTCTCAGTCTTCCATTCACCTTTCTCGAACAGCTTCATGCGGCTGTGGGAGTTTCTTTAGCTTATTCTGTATGCACCAAAGCAACCCACTGATGATAATCCTGCAGGCTTGTGTACAGATTCCATTGAAGCCACTTAAAGAACTCCATCGGTTTGAATCCCCTTGAAATGAGAGCAGAGGGGCTTAAATCGCTCGCTTTCAAACCCAAAAAAGACCTCGATGGCTTAACGTATGGGCTCAGTTTACCGAAATTCATCTCTTCTAATCCAACTCGAACCTCTGCTTCTCCAGTCGCACCTTTGGCGACGGCAGCTCTTTCAGCAGCAGCCTTGATTTTCCTCAGAGCTTCTGCATCAGGTTCGTTGACGAATGTCTTCCTGGAGCTGCTCGCGAATTGTCTTGCTAGTGTTGGTCTCATTGGCGGTGTGATGGTGATACAAGCGAGCAAGACAAAATGTTTGATTTCGATTACAAAATTTACAAAGGCTCAGGACCGTCAATTACAGCCTTGATGAGACTCTTCCCGTCTTTGCCTTTACCCGCCTTTGTTGAGTCGAAAGCGCTGAGTGCATCGTTGTACGCGAACGAGTGCGTGTGCAGCTCCTTGAGATTGATCTTGCCTTGACTGACGAGATCGATGGCGAGATCATAAGCGCCTGGTCCATATCTGAACGATGTCCTGTACTGGATTTCCTTGGACATCATAGCTCCAACTGGTATTTGAATATCTGGTCTACCCATGCCCACTTGTACGAATTTGCCTGCAGGTTTCAAGAAATGCAGTCCCATTGTAATACATGGTTGCGCTCCACTAGCCTCCAACACCAAGTCTATTCCATTGCCTCCCCTCGCTTCAACACCAAGCGATTTATGAAGATTTGCAACCACCCTTGACATGTACTCGTCCTGCGACTCTGTTTCACTCTTTGCAGGTGGCTGAAAAGAGTCAGTTTGCGCGTATTGCTTCGCGAATGCTAATCTCTCCTGGTTGATATCTACTGCAATAATACGTCTTGCGCCGAGGCTGTAAGTGGATCAAGTGAGCGGGGTGTATGTTGCCAAGCACATCAGCACTCACGCTTTGGCCGTAGCAATCAACAGCAATCCAACAGGACCGCAACCAAACACGATAACATTCTAAAAACACGATGTAAGTGAGTCGTGAGGTGAGCATTTAGCTGAGCACTTACGTCATTTACTTTAATTTCACCGATTTTGGCAGCAGCGTGTACTGCAACGCTAAGTGGCTCCATCTGGGTTAAAAATTGCATGAGACATTGACTTTCAATGGTATTCAAGACTTCAACTCACCATAGCACCCTCTTCAAGAGATAGTGTGTCAGAAATAGGGTGGACGAAATCAGCTGGGAGCTTGAAGTAGCGGCAGAGAGTACCTCCTTCGAAGGGTGGTGTAGCGGCGAATGTCATGAATTCACATAATTCATAACGACCGCTCTTACAATCGACACAAACACCGCAGCCGAAGCCAGGCTCCATAGCCACGCGCTGACCCGGCTTCACCTTGACTTTGTCATCTGTGCCGACCTTGACGACGATCTGCAGGAAAGGGGAAAGGACAAGTCAGACGATATGATCACTTGAATAACATGCTCCCGCACCCCTGATGATTCATGGCCCAAGCACATGCCATTTGGACACAAACTGACTGCAAATGAGCCTATAGCGCCGTGTTGCCAGTAGTGAACGTCCGAGCCGCACACACCCGTTTTCTTAACCTAAAAGGTACACTTAGCAAATGGAAGGACAGTCATCACTATAAAGTACTTACCTCCACCAACACATCTTGCGGACCAACCTCAGGAATTGGTCTTTCTTCATACGTGACGGATAGCCCATCACTCTTCTTGCGGAGAATGAAGCTTGGATTTTGCATTTTGTTCGCAATGGACGAATTCTCGACTATGGACATTGTTTTGTTTAGCTAGAGGAGTGGTCTCCGACAACCCCGCGTTTAAATCTGCGATTTCATACTTAGATTTATGACGTAGCATACGCCGGAGCTATTCCATTTGAACGTGTCGCATGGAATCAGGATAATTAGCTCCTATTAAGTTATTAATACAGTCTGTGGCTGCTCTAAGCTTGTTATTGACATAACACCGGAATATCCGAACGAAGAGCAGCAATTTCGCACCAAGGCGGGTCTTTGCGTTTACAATTAGCATTTATAGAGTCAGAAATCACATCGCATTCAATTTAATGTGCAATTCATGACTTTATCGAACATAATTCCCCAAATTTTACCTTGCATTACTAACTAGCATGACAAATCTATGAAATGACAAAAAAAGAAGACAACATTTTACTAAACGTGAATTCATGACAATTATTGTAATCAAGTTATGACATCCATAGCCTTATCGAGTGCGAACTTGCATACGGCAAGGAGCTCGTTAACGTCTTCCAAACCAATTGAGCATCTAATGAGATTCCTATCGACACCATACGACTCGATCCAATCGAGCTCCGTGTAGTGAGCGAGGATGGCATAGCAGCTTGCAAGGGTAAAGTTGCAGCCTAAAGAAGGACCAGCCGCGAGGTTAAGATTGTCAAAGAACACACGTGCAATTTCTCCATTCCTTTCTTGTGTATTTTTCGAACTACCAAAGGTCAGACTAAATAAACCACCATAACCACCGCCTTCTCTCTTCCTAGCGGTGTAATTGTCTTTAGTAGAGTATTTAGGATAGAATACCTCCTTGATAACGCCATTTCCGCGGCCATTGGTTTCTGACATCATGTAAAAGTAGTCACAGATAGCTTCTGTCGTCTCGTTTACCTTCTTGATACGACTGCAAAAGTCTCGTGAGTTGCGTTCCATGAATATCGCATCTTCAAACCAGTAGCTGTCTTCGTAAGTATCGACTACATAATCGCGAATATCCTCGTAGTGCCTGCCTTCGGGATTCAATATTATGCTTCCGCCCATGACGTTCGTTTCGCCCGAGAATGCCTTTGTGAGTGATGAGACAACGACGTCAGCCATAGGGAGGATATCGATGTTCATGAAACTACCAATGGTCTCATCAACAACTATAAGGAAGTTGTACTTGTCGGCCAATTCGCGAAGACGGGCCAAGTTAGGTGATTTGAGGAGGGGGTTACCTGGGAATTCGCAGAACACAGCAAGAAGCTGCTCCTTGCTTGCAATATCTTCCAGCATGGCTAAATCAGCATCATCACCTCTACCTAGGAAGTGAGCGCCTGGACCCCACTTCTGCAACACCTTGAGCGTATCGGTGTAGGGGAAACTGTCAGACTATTAGAATATGCTGAAGGGGTAGCAAACCAACTCACCCAAAGCAAACGCTCTTTCCAACGCCTTCGCCTCTCCATTTCATAGCAGCCTGGTGGGTCAACCAGATAGCAGCCATGCCGGTCGGGGTCAACCAGACATCATCCTCAGTGAGACCAACACCACGTTCACTTTCAATCGTTGGTCCAACAGCCGCGTCGACATGTGGGTCAATAACAACCCCCGCAATGCGTCTCTTCAATGCTCGTTTTGCGAGTGGAGCTGATGCCAATGGCAGGTTTCTTCCGTATCTCTCCTCGACATAGACAGCATGATCCTTATCGAATATGTCCTCATTGTTATCCTCATTCGCCTGCTTAATGGCAGAGCTAGATAATATTCCACTAGCTACATCAGTACCGCCTGGAGTTGGAGGTTGGCTAGTCTGTAAAAATTTTGATTTGCTATTGTAAAAACGATTGCGACTACCGCTTCTACTGAACAGAGGAGGATTATGAAGAGGAGTGCTAGCGACAGAAGACTTTGGGCTGAGTTTCTCAGACATGTCCAGACAGTCTAAAGCGCGTTCAGCAAGTCTAGAGCTAACGCCTAAACCCGTATGTTGCCAGAACTGTTTGGCAATGCCCCAATGATCCTTATCGAATATAACAGCGTGTATCTCTATGCAAGGGATCGCAGGGTTTGGGGATGGGTCGCAGACTGTGAGTTGGGCGAGACGGGCGTTTGTAGCAGTTGGTATAATGAAATCACGGCATTTTTCTGCGATTCTGTGTGTGGGGAATAGCATGCAGTTCTCCTTATCGAGATTGCCGAACTTTTTGAGAATCACAGCCGATAGCGCTTGTATTTTGCGATGTATAAAGAATCTAAGGGGCGGTAAGGTTAGCAGTGGGAACCTCAAGCAGCCACGAAACTAACCTCGGATACCCCGTCACCATGGCGTCAACAACTCGTGGTGCTCCTTCTTCGTAATCCGTGTGGTCTTTCCATGTGGGAAGACTAACGCTGATTGCGTGCTCTACCGGTGGAAGTGCACTGCCTAAAGCTGCACTCATGGTTGTATGTGATGAAGCCAGGCGGATGAGTCACAATCGGTGGAGGCGTTTGAGAAGAGTACGTGGAGTTGCGTGTATCCAGTTGTGTACATTAACAGTGGCGCAATTGCGTGTATCCAGTTGTATAGATAGGAAACTCAATTTGCTTATCAGTGCCACAGCATGTGATCACAAGCAGCGCTTCTTTAGGCGATCGGCTGTTGAACAGAGAAGACACGAAATTGACGCAAAAGTGAGCGAAAATGAGCACAAATGAGCACAAATGAGCAATAACCACTATAAAACACAATTAACACCTCAAACCATCAACATAGGCAAGCCGTTCAACTTATGCATATTTTCTGGTACGATTACTTTACTACAGCCAAAAATTACTTGCCCTTGTTTGGACCAGCTCCCTTGGTAGCACCTGGGCCAGCGGCGACTGGAGCGTGAGCCTTGGTAGCGTTGGCTCTGGCAGCCTTAGACTCCTTAGCTTGCTTGATGGCCTCTTGACGAGCAGCAGTACGGACTTCTGGCTTCTGGGTTCTCTTGGCTTGGATAGCTTCGAGGTCGAGACCGACGATACCACGGGAAGTCTTTGCGGACTTCTTGCCCTTCTTCTTGTGAACTTCCTCGGTAACACCCTTCTTGTGGAGCTTACGGCAGAAAGCGGTCCAGGCGATCTTTCTTGGGTTCTTACGTTGGAGGAAGAGTGACTCGCACTTTCCGTTGGCGAATCTGAAGACCTGTGGAGGGTTAGGGGCGGCCAAACACCACAAGACCACTCACTCTGTTGTCGAGTCTGACGTAAAGACGACCCTTGGCTGGGTAAATCTTTTGGCCTGAGAATGAGCAAAGTTCGACCTTCATGCTGCTGCCTGTGGGGTTGGGTGTTAGTGGCAGTGTCGTTGGATGGCTGAAGAATGTGCCTATGAGGGACTTTGGAGCGAAAGAGGAGCAAATCATCTGAAAAGCATTTAAGTGGGATTATACGCTCCAGAAATGCATATTCCCTCTGGCGTACACTTCCTCGCTGTCCACCTTGGCAACTCAAGAAATCTTCAAATTTGGGCGACAAGACCTGCAAAATTCCAGATAACCCGTCGACAGCTCCAGCAAGCACACCTCATCCCACAAGGCAACATCCCAGCTATTTTACAACCTCACCTTATTGGTTTCCGCAAAGGCACAAGTGAAATTCTCAGCGCCATCATCTCGCGAATTAAAAATTGATAAATGTCGTTGGATCGAGGAAATTAAATGTGCGTTGTGGTTCTGTGGCTTTTGTTGATGCTGCCTGTATAAGCATCTCTGTACGTGTGTGGATTGTGTAGTGTGGTGATATAGCGATATGTGCAGCGATGGGCGTGGTGCGTGGGCGTGGTTAGTAGGGAGACAGCGGGAGCTTTAAATATCAACCGCATCTCGTCTCTCTTCATTTTCCAATTGTTTATCTCTTCGCAACGATGATCACCACGGATAGATTGTCAGTAATTGCAACGTCTACGCTATCGAAGCTGCTCGAGCGGGAGAAGATACGCGAGCTGGGACTCAAATACGGCGACGACGAGCTAGAGGCCAATATCGACACTCTAAGCCAAGGCTACGACGTCCTGGCAGACGATGAGTCCGACGCCGCGCTCAAGTTCAAACACCAATACCTAAATCTGCTAGATATCCTTGGCAGGGAGAAGCCGTCGCCGAAGCCATCTTCGGCAAAGGATTTGCCATCGACTCATCTCCCTAAAACGCAGAGTGCCCAGCAGACACCAGCTACGCGAACAACAAACGAACAGCAGCAAGAACAGCTGTTCAACTACGACGATCTCATGGACCAGCAGGATACCCATCTCGACAACCTCTCGCACTCTCTCAGCAACCAACACCAATTGAGCAGCACTATGACAAATGAACTCGGTCAGCATAACGAGCTGCTCCAGGATCTGGAAATAGGTTTGGATGATACGCAGCTTCGATTAGGTAAGAGCAGTACCCTCCTCAACAGGCTCAACACCAAATTCAAGTCAAATACATCGACATATTGCATTACAATCATTATCCTCGTACTTATTCTGTTGATTTTAATATTCAAAGTGTAGCCATATCCATCTCACATGCCATTGCAAGATCTTGGAGTGTTGGTTTGGCCGGAGTCGGATCGGCGTGGCCGGGGAGGTTGTCGTGGGTGTACTGGGTGTACTGGGTGTCTGGGATTGAAGCCGCAGTCGACATCGGGGTATCGTGAGAGTCGTTGGTGTTAGTAGAAGCACTGGAAGCAACACTATCGAGTGTGATAGAGGACATTCTCCTTGCGGCGGAATTGCTGTTAAATGAAGGTGTGCTTTTAGACACACGCATACTCTTTCCGCCTTTCCCCTTCTTGCGCAAAACCTGCGTGGATCTTGCGCGTGGTAGTGTTCTCCCAGCGTACGTTTCGTCTGGGTAATGTCCGGGTGAGCGGCCTCTGACGACAATAGGCATGCTCTTGGCTTCGCCTATCCGTACTTCTGCGCTATTGTCGAGTTGAGCGTGGAGAGACACATTGAGGCGAAACATCTCCGACTTTCTGTGGGTGCTCCGTTCGAATTGGATGCGCTCAAACTTGGCTACTTGTGCCTCGCTGTCGTCGCTGTCGTTGCTTATCAACGCCTGTAGCGGCAAGCGCGATGGAAACCGTTTCGGTCCTTTCTCTCTCGCTGTGGAGAACTGGATCAAGTGAACGGGATCCTCGACAACCGCACAGTCGTCGCACATGCTCGCGCTGATACCAACAGAGAACGAGTCTATTGGGTGGTATTGACCATTTATCATGACCAATGGATTGCCAATCTCCTCATCGTTCATTTGAATTCGGTTGTTTGGCTGGAGAACAACGCTTGTGCTGATCTGGAAAAAGTTGCGCCGGTATGTCGTGGCTACAGTCTTGTTGGAGTTATTTGCCCATATAAATCCCTTATCTACGCGACAGTTGATGACTGGATTGAGGCTGCAGAGGTAGTCAGCGGGGAACTTATCAAAGACACCAGCACCGCCCACCCAACAATGTTGTCTTGAAAAGGCATAAAGAGATCATTATACTTGATGCTATTACTGAAAAAGCCAACGTTGTCGTCATCGCGGCTGTTGACACGAAAAGAGGTGGTGTCTTGGTTATTGTAGTCAGCCAGAGTGAAGCGCTCAAAATCGAGCTGAGCGGTGGGGGAGTAATTTACAGGGTCAAAAGTGGATGATGACGGAGTATCTGGTGAGTTCCACAAGGCAAAAGACGGCGTAGGTGAGTGGAAGTCGTTGAAATCAAAGCCTTTCCACAATGCACGCTCATCAAATTGGCTGAAAGGGTTCACAAGTGGCGGAGGTTCATTAAGCGTAGATCTTTGAGGTGGCGTCTGAGGCGTTTGGGATGGGCTGGAGAGTGCTCAGAGTGCTGCTAATATGCTGTGCACCTCACTCACAAGCTCATAAAACTAAGAAAAAGGATTTTTAACACAACGACGGTGGTTAAATGCTAAATATATTCAATTTGTACAATTTTATTTATCAGCCGCCCTGGATTGATTTCGTGAAATGTTTGTCACTTGGTCGGGCTGAGACGCGTCTCAAAGCCTTGCAGATACGTCGATGAGCTCGAGCAGCGTAAATTCACGAGAAATAATTCTGAAAATATTCTCAAAGAAGCACTCACTCTCACTGACACCACAATCACTTGGATTTCTTCAGAATTTATCAGAAACTTATTCACTCAATTCAACGAATCTAGCAAGCATCGCTGATTCTCTAGCGCTGGCATATCTCAAGCAAGACGACTGCAGCTCCATTGTAGACGCAGATGTACTCAAGAAGGTATATCTCAATCTTCAGCTCAACTACGCAGGTGGAATATCCACGCTCGATAACGAAGACTACGTCAATGAGGATGAAATTGATCCAAGGAATTACTTAAAGATCGTAGACGCTTTCGATATTCCCAGGTACTCGTACGCTGTTGATAACAAATCCTTCGTAAAGCACAACACACACAGCATCGCTGCCCACCCATCCAGTCTCTCTCAATTATGGCTCGATAGGTACAACACTATCAAGCAAATCATTCTCCGCAACGAGTTCTTCTCCCCTCCTTCCACCGTCGCCGCCAACAACCACGATAGAGACAATTACATGAAAATTACTTCCACCAAGAACCTTCTCGGTAGACACAATCACCGCTTTATGCTCTTTGGTATGCTTTCACAGACTACTGATGGCAGACACGCCCTCCAAGATCCAGATGGTGTCGTTGTGCTGGATTTGAGTGATGCTGTGAGTTGTTTTAGTGCTCTCTACCTTCTCCTAACTCACTTGAATAGGTTCCTGGTGAAGGCTTGTTCACTGAAGGCTCTTTTGTTCTCGTAGATGGAGTTTATGAGCTGCTCACAGATGAACCCATCTTCAAAACATATGGTATAGGCCATCCTCCATCTGAAAAACGTTCGTCGTCACAAGATGTGCATGGTCATATTGATTTCCTAGGTCTTGGCGGTATTTCACTTAAAGACCAAGTGGGTTGACGCGCGTTACAATGAGAATCCGCTAACACCACCCAAGAAACTTTACAACAGAATAGAAAAAAGCTTAGATCACATAGGCTTTATAGTGTTATCCGACGTATGGCTCAATGAGCTCTCTACACAGACATCACTCAGGCGTTTATTTGAAGGCTACAACAGCGCTTTTAACGACTTCAGACCACTAATGTTCATTTTTTGCGGCAATTTCTCCTCACAGCCCATCACCTCTTCTCGTGACATCCGCGAATATCACGACTCGTTCAATAAGCTAGCCGACATAATATGCGAATACCCATTGTTAGCACAGCACTCAACATTCGTCTTTGTTCCCGGTCCCAACGATCCATGGAGCTCAGGCACAACGACTACACTCCCTCGCAAGCGCATACCCACAACATTCACGCGCACATTCGAAGCTAAAGTGAGTAGGACGTATTTCACCAGCAATCCAACTCGTATACGCTACTTCAGCCAGGAAATAGTGGTATGTCGCGACGATGCCATGTCGCGGATATTGCGCAACAATGTCAAAGTGAAGGAGGAGAATGGAGAGGATGGGGAGGATATGGATGTCAAGCTGAAAAAGTTTCTCGTACAGACCGTGATTGATCAGGCACATCTAAGTCCATTCACCATCAATACTCGTCCAGTGCTATGGGAATACGATCATACATTGCGATTGTATCCTATACCCACCTCACTCATCCTCGCTGATAAGTATGACAGATATGAGTTGAAGTATGAGGGTTGTAGAGTGTTTAATCCTGGCTCTTTCTCATTCGGTATGCTTGGAAGCGATACTAGCAACAGCAAACCCAGGTTGTGGAGTGTGTATAGACCATGGAACCAAGAAGTTGAATACTCTGAGTTGCCCGGGGAGGAGTAATTGAAGTTAGTGGTGATGCATTCACTGCACATCCATCGCGATTAGCCAGACTATTTATTCATGTATACCCCTATAAACATTACTGCACTTATGCATTCATCACGCCTGACTATTTTCACTACCCTCTTCTAACGCAACCCTCGTTTTGGTGCATAAATCGCTTATCGCATCCGTAACGTCATCAACTGCGACCGACAAAACGAGAAAATGGAGAAATTGCCAGTAGAGCTACTTTGCACGCTTTTAGAGTACTCAGGAGCCCTAGGGCTTACCTGTCGCCACCTAAATCGTCTCAGCAAGGACCTTAGCATAGTGCATATCGCGGGTCCGAATCCTCCGAATCTCGCACACTTCAACATGGATGGCAAGGGGATGTATGAAATAATGGATAATGAGAAATTTGAGCGAGATCTGGCAGTTATTTCTGCTGACAGCCTACAAGCATCGAGTGTGAGGTGAGTATTGGATTGTGTGAAAAAGCGTGCGGGTCTTTGACGAGCGATGTGCAGGCAAATAAGATACAGAGATACAGATAGCGTCAATGAGCGTGTACTAGAGCACCTCAAAAACCTACCTAACCTTACCACGGTGATTATACAATGCACTAGTGTGCTATCGATGAGTGTGCTGCGCAGGATGCGGAGGCTGCACACTCTGAATGTGAATTCGATAGTATCCGCTAAAGATATCCCCATAAACGACATTCTCAATCAGTGCCCTGCGCTCAACACACTCACCGTCGATATGATGTTTTACAAGCATTACAGCGAGAACAACCTCAACCAATTGGATGGAGTGATGGTGGGAAATCATCCAGTGCAGACTGTCGTGCTTAGACATAAGCTGTGCGGCAAGTGCTACTGCGCGCACAATCACAATCCATTCGATCTCGTGGCGGTTTACTTGCCTACTTGCACTACGAAATCTCTTAGCAACAAGCCACTAGTCTCCTTAGTCAGAGTACACAGCCGGAGCACTCTCGTCGATGTGCTAGCCCGTGCTTATGGCTGGGAAAGGGAGGAGTGTGCAGTAGAGGAGGAGTTGGCCAAGGCACTGTAGTGGATTTTCGTCCATTATCTCATCCGCTTCTTCCTATCTCGCTCATATCCCCCTCGCGCCCTTTTTTCATCGTTGATTTCGTTAAATTTTGGCAACAAACAAAGCAAATTTCATCGTGTATTAAATTGATTCATTCATTCAGTTTTTGCTGTTTGTGCGTACCCTTGACGCATCCGCTAGCACAAATGATATTGTGTGCATATGTTCGATTTTCAGAGTAGTTTTTCACCTCTGTTTCTGGAGGTGGTCTGGAGAACCTGAGCCTCGATATAGATACTTCGCATAATACAATACATGCATTATTACAGTTACTGGTAAATTATGTCTTAATTTAGTCTTAGTTCTCAACTAATTCGTCGCCGGGTCACCCAATTATTCCATGGCTTGGACGAAGCTTAAATGTGTGTCTTGACACGGCTTTGAATTTTAAGCAGGTCTAATCTAGCTCCTTTCCTGAACATAAATTTATGCATTCGTCCTCAGCTGGATTTGATCTGCTTATACCGAGTCGATCTTCTCTCACTTAATCTCAATTCCCCTAAATTCTTCAATTCTAGCAAAAATCTCATGTATGGAACACATTTTGCGACGCTTGTTTGGATTTTTACACCAAAAAGTATTGCGATGTGGCTTTTCAGATACCGCGAAGATGGCGTCAGAGGGGGATAATTGTAAATACAGCTATAATACGGATGTAAGAAGGGGGCGCAGCAGTAATAAAAGCAGTTGCTAAAGTACTCATCCTAGCAACCGATCGAAAGTCCACACTTAAACTCGCACAAGATGCGAATTATTTCAACACCAGACAAAGGCAGGGGAGTATTCGCATCGCAGCCCATCAAAATCGGGGAGGTAGTTGAGATATCCCCCGTTCTCTTATTCACGAAGGAGGTGAGAAGATGCTTATCGCTCAATGCTAAGGCTAACACTATTCAGGAATACACGCAGCATGGACAGCACACAGCGCTCGATGACTATACCTTCGTGTGGCCAGATCGGAGTGGGAGGATGGGATTGGCGATGGGGATCGGATCTATGTTCAACCACCACAAACAGCCTAATGTGAGTTATAGCATTAACACTCATACGCTCACAATCACATTCAAAACAACACGCCATATAAATATCAACGATGAGTTATGCATTTCTTACGGCCCTGAATCTAAATTGTGGTGGAGGAATACTCAAGTGGATGATGATGAGGATGATCAAGTTAAGGATATGAGCGAATTAGATCTCTTGCAATGTGATTATGGTAGTTAATGTTATTGTTTTGAGTGTGTGTGCGTACGTGGATTTCATTTATTTATTTGGGTATCCTTTGTTTTACTTTGTTTAATTTGATGCTTTATGCTGCGTACTGGTCAACCTCTCCCGTTCGTCATCATCATCTGCCTCGCCTATATCGAATATAGCGTCATTCGAGCCACTCTCTACGGCTTGATCGCGCATGTTTAGCTCGTCATACTCCATCACTCTGCCTGTCGATGGATCGATTGGCTGGTTGGAGCTTGTGACTTGTTTGTATTTGATGTAGTTGTAGACACTTGATTATACTTGTTAGCATGTGTAATAAAAGCAAAACACAAGAACCCACCAAATACCCAAAATAGTGATACACATTCCTGTCACGTTTATTGGGGTTAGAGTGTCACCAAAAATAGCCGAGCTAATGAATATTGTGAGAAGCTCCTTAAATATTCCTGCGATAGACATGGTGATGATAGATGAGCGCTCTATCAGCTTGAACTCGGATAGCACCATACCGAAAGCGAGAAAACCAGGTGAGATGATCATCAAGCAGGATTTTAGTGAGTGGAGTGCACCAAATTGGAAGTAATCACTGTGGAAGATATCCCACCAACTCTCAAATATGACGCTGAGTAGAATTAGACATGCGAACATGACAGGCGCGAGGAAATAAAGAATGATGAGAGGATTCTTCAGTCCATACTTCTGTTTCTGAAGAAGGATTTGAGTGAGAGACCAACGCAAACCACCCGCGGCTGTAGCGGACATGACTTGAATAGCGCCAGAAAGGACGAAAGAAGTTTCAGCGCTGACCATCAACACCACACCGATAGCTATAATGACGATAATCACAGCCATTGATAGCGATGGTCTCTCCAATTTGAACAGGAAAGCGAAGAAAAGGACCCAGATGAGTGAAGAGGACTTGCACATCGTGTAGAAAGTGAGAGTGATCGACTTAAGTGATAAGTTGCTTAAGCCAATGTCTAAAGCTGTAGCTAGAGCGCAAGGTATAATTCTCTTGCTATAATCTAATAGTGTCATAGGTTCGTTCGTTTTAAGTGCGGGGAATATCTTCAGACCGATAAAGGAGAGGATCCACTGCATGAGCATGTGCCAGCTGGTCATGAATAGCGGGAAAGGGAAGCTGGACTGGCTGACGGAGAAGATCCACTTGTTGTAGACAGACAGGCTGAATGCGAACGTGTACCAAAGTGAGATGTAAATGAGATTAATGAGCGCATGCCTGAAGTACCAGCTTCTTTTATCGTCTTGATTTTCCAAAGGCATCGTTGTCAGCAATCAACGAGCACTTATGACAGAACACCCGATCAAGCATGGAGACTTAGAGCTGGAGAACGCCGACGAGTATCCGTGGGTTTCTCGTAGAGTGCAATATACCCACTCACATACTCTCAGCACCATTTTCACCACGGAAACAAGGCTCAGGAGAGGATTGTGTCCGGTGACGCAAAATAAACTGAATCCCGCTGAATCCCACCAGCTCTACTACGAAGTACACGGCTCAGCTGATCCACAAGCTGAGAAGTTGGTATTCATTATGGGTTTGAATGGTAGTTGCTTCGGCTGGTCCAAACAGATCAACAACCTCGCACTCACAGGGAAATATCAGCTGCTAGCCTTCGATAATAGAGCAGTTGGTCACTCAACTGGTCCCAGAGGTCCTTACAGGTTGGCGTTGCTCCTCCTCAGCCACGTGCACTCCTCTCACACAATTCCAGCACTAGCGGTATGGCAGAGGATGTCATAGTCCTTCTTGACCTACTGGGATGGACAAACAGCCGCTCTCTTCACTTAGTTGGAGTTAGTATGGGTGGTATGTAAGTCGTGTCTTCAATTCCAATCCGAAGCTCAATTTCTCTTAGGATTTCACTTGAGCTGTGCCATAGAATCCACGAACGTATCGCGTCTCTCACTCTCGCAGTCACTAGCAGAGGCTATGGCCCTTTCTGGAATCTACCATCGGTACGTCATCGATAAGCATGTCTGCTGTCGTTGTAACATCACCGCAGTGGAGAGGTATCTACACCCTCATGTCCTTCTTCACTATCAGTGATAGCGAAAAACTCATTCAGTCGTACCTAGAACTAGTGTAGGTATTGTACTTCACTCTTTGCAACCGGCTTAGACTTGCTACCCAGATTCCCTATCCATTGGCTCGCTGAGATACGCGAGAATGACAGCCTTAAACGCACAAATAGAGAATGTGAAAGAGATGTGCGAGGGACCTTGAAAAAAGGTGTCAACCTACTCACACGCCCAACAGCACATGATCGAAAGAGCCAAATACTCTAGAGAACAAGATCCCTTCGGTGCCATCTCTCAAATGTATGCTGCCTTAGGACACAGCGTGTCTCCAGCCAGAATGAAGTTGATTGATCACAATATACCAAAGGTGAGTAGTGAGTTTCGGGGGGAAGGTAGTTGACCTGTGCTATAGATAACTATCGTATCTGGAGATGAAGATTATCTAGTTGGTGAGTTTAGATGTATTTTTCTGTCTAACTCCCGCCTAATCACTCTCCCTAGACATATCATGTTCAGTTGATCTCAAGAAACACTTGCCAAGGTGGGAATGGTTGGACATTAGCTAAGTAGCAGCTAACCCGCAAACAGTGCAACATACACTGTATTTGAAAATACAGGCCACGGTCTCATCGGTCAGCGTCCCTTCAGATTCAACAAGCTCATCGAGGACACTGTCGCAGAAGGGTCTGAAATAGTTGGCAGGAAAGCCAGGTAGACCTTCGCTTAAGGAAATAAACACCTTCACTCACTCTACCGCTTACTCATTTCATCACGAAAAATTACGCACATACAAGCTATTCACGTGACACGATCCTTTATTGTTAGACATCTATATAGAAATATAAATACTTGATATACCTCCGTCAATAGCTAGAGATAAGCTAGATAGTGAGAAGAAGTGTATTACTTTAGATGCTTATATGCAATCAATGCAGTTGTTTTGATATATGTGATTCACTGAGCCACTTTTATGCCATGTTTATGCGGTATTCTTGATAATTGCGTCTAATTCCTGCACTACTTCTGTAGCACTTGGGCGGTGTTTACCATCTTGCACCCACATACGTTCGATGAGGTCAAGAACATCACCACCCCACTGCCTCTTGAACTGATTCAGAGACGGTCTGAGTGTGTTGCATTAGATATATCACAAAACAAAAGCTCAACGCACCTTTTATGCTTTTGTCCTACCTGATCATAGATGAAATGCTCATTTTGACCTTCCCAGGGATAGCATTTTTTAGTACTATGCCACTGCAATATCTCCCAATACACGAGAGCAGTAGCAAAAATATCAACTGAGGCAGTATACGAAGGCTTAGCCGACCACAACTCAGGAGCCTGCCAGTTGACAGTGCCGACTAGAGACTGGATCATAGATCTGGTACTCTGCTTCACTCTTGCCAGACCGAAATCATTTAACTTAGCTCTACCATTATCGTCTATCAACACATTACTCGACTTCATATCACGATGTATGACTTGCGGCTTGCATGTGATATGTAGATACTCCAGCCCTCTGGCAATGTCAAGCATAATAAGTAAGGCTTTCTTGTTCGTTGGGGGTGGATTGTTGCGGAGGTAGTCGAACAAATCGCCATTCTTGCATAATTCACTGATCAGCATCACTGGTGCACCATTTCCAGGCACTGAGACGCCTATAAACTTGACAATATTGGGATGATTTAATTTTGACAGTACTTGAAGTTCTCTGATATCCATCTCGGTTAATTCTCCACGTATATCTGCCACTGCGCACTTTTTCTTGCGGATTGATCCTACGTAAACATCTTTGAAACCACCAGAACCTATTCTTTCTTTCTTTTCCACTATCGTAGCCTTGATTTCCTTATTGACTAATCCAAGTTCCTGTAAATCCAACGCCAGTCCTTCGCTAGTATTGCTCGAACGATGACCTGGTTTGGGAGTAGCTTTAGAGACATCGGTGGTGTCACTCTGGCGAGCTGTAACAGTGCTTGAAAGGTCTGACAGCACAGCGCGTGTAGGTTTCGTACCTCGACCTTGGCGAGAGCGTTTTTTCTGTGGTTTGGGTGTGTGCAGGTCGCTATCGATGCTGGCGTTCTCCTCGAAATCCGACACAGCAGTGGTAGAGCTGATTTCTGAAGCGGATGATACGGGAACACTATGCATATCCTCCTTATGCAACAGAAGTAATTCAATCAGATCATCTTTAGTGTGGTGTTTTGAATGCTCTATCCCTGAGACATTGCACATTTGTTCCAGTTGTCGCTTCAGATACCGTTTCAGAGATGATACGGTCTCATCGCGCATATCCACGTCTATATCCGTATCGCTAACGTCATCGGATTGGCGGACGCCGCGCATATCTCTATTCTCAGCATCGCTAGAGTGATTGCTAGAGCTTGCGGTAGCGGCAGAATCTTTCTCGCTATCTGCTATGCTCATTAGGGACACGCTCTTTGCAAAGTCCTCGTCGGGTGTATGTGATGAGTCAATTGAGATTGTACGCGTGCGCAACTGATATCTATTCTGAGGCTGGGAGGAGTTGTTGAGAGACTCCACGCTTATTTTGTTCATGGCCTTGCGCTTGGCTGCGCGTGTGCGCTTTGCAGTTGCACCTGAGCTTTGGGAGTTAACGTTGCTAACGCTGAGGGGCTTGGTTGAGTATCCATCTTCGTATTCGTCTTCGGAAGAGAGACTGACGGGATGAACACAGCGCCTGTCTCTGAGCCCGTCTTTCTCGAGGAGTATCTCGATTAGCATTTCCTTGGTACACGCGCGCAGATCACCGCAGTCTGAGCCCTCAGTCGCACTCGCCGTGAGCATTTCCAGCAGATCAGCCTTCCTGCACCGCCTCAGCTGATCCTCATGTGATTTCGTTGACATCGTTGACATCGTTGTCGCTGTGTAACCTCTTATAGACACCCCACCAAGTGCCCAAAAAGTTGTGGCGCGTTTCCAACCTCTCTAGAATACAGCCGATGCAGACGCGTGATAATCTCATCAGCTTCTCTCCCGTCGACTTCACGCCGCCGCCGCTGCCTATCCGTAGCGGCGGAAGTGGGAATGTAGGGGGCGTAGGAAGCGCAGCGGATACAGCGGGTACAACAGACACCGCTAGCAACAGAAGAAACAGCATCACGCCTCCTCCACCTCCCCTCCCACTCAGGAAAGGGAGCGGTAGCAGCACGTCGAGCATCCATGCCACCGCTAGTGCACTCAGCAGACCTCAGCCAGCTACACCTGCGCCAGCGAGTAAAGTAAAATCAAGCATACCCATTATGCCCCCGCCTGCGCGTATCAATAGCCCCGGAAGCAGTCTGCGCGGAGGACCTAGTAATACGTCACTAAATAGAATAACCGAACGGAGTCGATCGGGCAGTGTAAATAGCACATCTAGCACACCACAATCAATACGCAATTCTCCTGCTCCTAGCTCGATATTCAAATTGACGCAGCCGACTCCTATCGACAAAATCCGCTATCAGAGTCTGTATAACAGACTTATGGAAAGGCAAAGTAAGGCAAGCGATAGGGGTGCGTTGGATGTCAGAATAGTGAGAAGAGTTTGGAAAGCTTCAAAATTAGATAATGTATACTTGGACACTCTCTACAACAACTGCAACACACCAAACAAAGAAATGGATGCAAATACATTCACCAAATCATTAGCCACTATAGATTCGGAGCTGAGACGACGCAAGTCATAGCTAAAACTAATCAATTAACGACCCAACGTCTTCATACCACGCCTTTCGAACATTCTCATTCAAGTACCGTAAATCACTATTTAATCTATTCAGCATTGCATCCGAATATCCTTCTTTAGTGAGTAAAAGCGCCTCTGTGACGTATATAGCGACTGTGATTTGAGCTAGTGGCTTCTCTGGGCGTAAACTCTTGCGCGTGTCATCTAATGATAGCTCGTCATGGAAGTATGCCTTGATAGCTTTAAGATGTCTTGGTTGTAGCGATGTAATGCGAGTACCTTCCCGTTCTATTGATCTGTTAGCCGTGTTATACTTTACTTTGTTCGAAATTGAGTTCCTGATGTGGGTATCTGAAGTGGTAGGTATAGGCTTGGTATTGTTTGCAGCGTTGTTTGGTGTCTCTTTAATTAAACCAGTTTCGTAGTCCTTTTCTACTAAGAAATTGCTATAATCGGTATCTTTGGATTGTTCTGATAATCGTTTATACATCTGATAGCCAGCGTAAACATCATTAGCCGCATATTCTATCTGCTTCCAGTCAAGAAAAGACTCCCAATCACCAACTCTCTCATTTCCTTTATCCAGTCGCTGTTTCAACACATACTCTGTCAATTTGTCCAGTGATATCAACACTTTATTCGTGCCCAGATCTTCGGCGTGGATAGATTTAGCGAGGAAAGTCAACTCCAGCAACCCTTTACACTGTACCTTGTAGTCATTGAAGAATTTGCGACCATCGTTGCCAATATTGACACCAAATTTAATAATGTCTTTGTTTGTGAGAAGTTTGATTAGCTCTTGAGGTAATTTTGGCATGTGGTAGAGGTGTAGGATAACAATAAGCTTATCATCACATAGCTGTGCTTTGTCAGCTTTGCGTGGCTCAATGGCCACACTCACCTGTACAAGTGCTGTGGGACGTTGACGTGCGTTCTTACGGAAATCGACTTTCCACTCCATATCAAAACCTACAGGACCTCTAAGGAGGGAAATTAGATCATCAGCTTCTTCCAAAGAGCGCGTGTAGGCAATCCCTGGTGCTTTGAGACCTTTGTTTGAGAAACTCGGTGGACGTGTGTAAGAGTAGAGAGGGAGGGGAGTGACTGAGGGTTTAATTGGTGGTTTACTGGCCTTTCTAGGAGTACTCTGTAGCGTCTTGTTGCGGTAATCAGCGGGTGGGTTTGGGTTTGGAGGTGTAGTAGCCACACCAGTAAAACCACCAGTCAAATCTATAATTTTATCATTTGATAGTCTTCTTATTAAATTCATATTCCTAGTGAGCATCACAATGCGGTAGATAACCAACGACGATGATCTCAGTTGAAGAGACTATTAATTTAATAGAGAACATTAGAAATCAGCCTAATGACAGCAATTTACTTGAAGCACTTAGAGTTCTAGTTGCTGTCGACTACACAACGGCTCTATTCTCCACTATCACTCAATCTGTGCTGATATCCAGCCATATTAAATATACTGAGAAGATCACCTTCTTCAAGTCCCTCACTGAATTCAAATTATCAAGTGGATTCAACTTGATTGGCTTGCTCGATTCTGTCTCCAGCTTCAACCAGCCTCCTTCACTCAAATTCTCCTATTTTGCCGGTGTTCTTTTGGCTGTGCAGTCTGACAACTTAAAGCTTAGAATTGAATGTGAAAATGCTCTTATTTGCGAGCTTGAAGATAGCCTACTGCTTGAGAAAGTTGCTATCAATGACGACACTTATCTTCAAGCCCTAATCTCTATTCTCCCACATATACCCTCATCAAAGCTCAGATTGATGGATACCAAGGTGTGCACATTCCTTGGAGCTTCTTACCAGTAATGTTTACTCAACACAGCCTCTAACGATCCTCTTTGCGAAAATCCTCTTTGATTCACTTAGCGTTGACAGCCTGGATGGCTCGATCGAGGTGGGCAGGAGTATCTAATATTACACCTGCTCTAACATCTATCAGACTAAGTGCACGGAAATGCAACAAAGAACTCATTATCCCAGCATATCGTCCATATCACAAACTCTCACTCGTTTGTTCACACTCCGGTCACGTCAGGATAGTTCGGAATTGGAACAAGTACTAAGCACTCTGCTAGCTCTAGTATCTCAGAACGAGAGGATGCGACTACAGTCTGAATCAACGGAAATGTCCATCAATACTCAAGTAATGTCTCACTTTAAAATACTCTTATACACCTCAATTACCATTCTATACGGGACTATCACACATTTAGCCACATCGAATGGCTTTGAGTGTGTTGAGGGGGTTGAATATGATCTACCCCTTGCCACACTACGCATTATGTCCAGATTGGCAATCATCAACAGCATACTAAATCCAGATGGAGAGTTGCGACAGTGGAGGAGCATCAACATGCTTTGCGTAGACATGATAAATGCACAGAAAGACGTCAAACAATCTGAGCAGGTATTAGATATGCTTGTCGCTGAAACCACCCTCGATAACTACAAACACCTATCGAAAGTCAACCATCTGTTTCATATTGCAGAATTTGTTGTTTTGAACTGCACAGTGGAGTTCGCAGTAGCTATACTTCTACCTGTATGTGATAGGTAGGTGATATTATACAGCAATTCGTAACTACTAACGTAGTTCCAAAGATATCTGGAGGATAGCACCGACATGGTTACTTTCGAGAATGCGCACTCAGTCACGCTTACTCTCTTCGCCGGGGTCAAACCTAATGCATTGGACCAAGTATTGGTAGCTAGAGTGATGAGCTACAGCATCACGCTCCTAAAAGTGAGATCAATCCTAAATAGCCAGCTAAGTTGACCACATGATTAAGGTTATGCGCATCTTATCACAGGAGCAATTTAGATTGGCGTATCAAAGTGTCATTAAGAAGGTATCTGCTCATTCGACAGATCTGACACAATGGTGCATTGACGGTTTGCTTGACTCGTATAAGAGCGTGGAAGAGGATCAAAAAATCAAGATAGCGTACACCCTGCCTACGCTACTGCCACTTATTAACCATCACCTACTCGATAGCTTCCTTGTATCACTAGAACGTCTTCTCAGCAGTCATTGGATTGCAGAGAACCGTGAAGATCTCCTCACTCTCACTTACAAATCAATTAAGCTGACAGGAGATGAGAGTAACCTCTTAAAATGTCTAAATTGGTGGGGTGATTACACATCCCGAATCAAGAGCCTACCAATAAAGTCACGCCTGTAAGCTTCATATTGCACACGTGCAAGTATAACTGTATCATTATATCAGCCCTACAAAACATAAATTCATAATGAGAAAACAAGTCAATGTAAAACCCAGACAAAGATGATGTGAAACAAGTGAAGAAAGACGAACACTCTTGGACGTGAAAAGCTTTTAGACATAAGGAGGACCCATAATCTTACGCATTTGATTGATAGTAAAATCGACAACGAGGAGAAGAATACCACCACCTGGTCCCAATCTAGTAGCCTTTGGTATGAATCCTTTGAACAACGCCTTTACACCTTCTTCTCTAGCGACCAGCAATAGAGATGGATATGTCCAATTGTATTTTGGTACTACTCCAGGTACCTTCACGGTACCCTGTATACGACTTTTAACAACGTCGAATGGAGTGTTGAGCACTGTGCCGCACAGACCACCAATTGTACCCGCCGTAAAATTGTTGAAGAGGTTCGCCGAATTTGATTCTGCCTTTGGAAGCAAAGAGCGTACTTGGAAGATAACACCGAAGTAACCACCGTCTTGGGAATGAGCGTGGTTAGCAAGGAGTGAAAACTCAAGAAAAAAAAAACTCACTCCACCAGAAGTGTCTCCAGAAAGTAGCTTCCATGCCTGCGTACATACCCAAGACACCATCGCTCTTGACGGTATGTTTGATTACATCGAGTGGACCTGTAGGGAGAAATTAGAATAATACTGCGTGCACACAGCAAACACACCCTTGAAAGTGCTTGTCTTGTCCTGCAACCGAATCTTAATCAACTCAAATGGAGTAACGACGAATGATTCGGTAGCACCCGCACTGCATCCGGTAGCCAAAGAAAGACCCTGTGTCATCTCACTAACGCCAGCCAAAGACTTGTAAGTCTTTCCCCAGTAGTCATTCGCCGCGAACTTTACCGCTCTCTTCGGAGCTTCAAGGGTCAATGGAGCAGCGAGACCTCTGTACAATTTAGAGAAACCTTCGCTCTTTGCGATTTCCGACAACATCTTCACCATCCCTTGGCTTTTGCCTGCTTCGAGCTGCATTCTCGTCTTTGCAATATCAGTCGGATACATGGTCAGTATTTCAACAACACCGCCAATCGCTCCTGCTAAAGGCATAGACCAGCCTGGTAGAGGTGCTGGAGATGGGGATTTTTTCTGTTCCATTATTTTGGTCCGAATGAAGCTAAAGCAAGCGACTAGGGACACCGTTTATCAATTTTACACTTATCCGATGACCACGGCCGTTGAGTGAGCAAGGCCGGTGATGGGCGGAAATGGGCGTGGTGAGTAAACGTTTCTGTTCTAATCACCTGCCAGCTTGTGTTTTAGTGTGTTTAGTCTCCACGTGATTTAGGTCATTCGGCGAAGATTGATAACGTTGTGGGGTAATTAATTCTCATTATAATTCTAGACTTGTATTTGTACTGCCCTGTTTACGTCTTGTAGTCTTGTGAGCTGCTTTATCTTTCGCATCCGATACTCCGAAAAGTTAGACGAAACTCAAACTCATATGATTCACTTTGTGTGCAGTTTCTGAAGAGGATTAGGAACGCGCTAATTTCCGATAATTCATTGCGTAGATACTGTATCGCAACTTCAAAGCTAACCCTCCATATCATCATGTCTCCGTTCCTGTCACATAATCAGCGCACTCTCCAACACCCATTTGCAGCGCATAATGTCACATTAATTCATACATAATTTCATCAAACAATCATTATCCCTTTATTTGCCAACGAGGTGCTCTACTTTGGCCTGTGCGCGGGAGAGACCAGCCTTTCCAATTTGAGAGAGGATGGTGCCAGTATCTTTTTCATCCTTGAAGTAGATGTAGCCGAGCATTTCAGAGCCGTCGTTGTATCTCTTGTTTTTGTTTGCACCTTCCAAAGTCTGGACATCCTCAGCACTCAATGCAACAACAGACTCAAAGTTCTCCTTGATTCTTGAAACTGTCTTTGGGATTGGTGAAATGTTCTTCGCAAGAAGGAACGAAAGCGCTATTCCGTGGTTAGAAGTTTGGTATTTCTGCGCCAAAGCCTTCACAGCTGGATCTTCTACAACTTCAGCGTTCGAGCCGTAGATGTGGTTCAAACCACCAAATGGACTGTAAGCAGTGACTTGGATGCCCTGTGATTGTGCGTACTTGACCAACTCAGGTTGTTGGTTGTAGACGTGTAATTCAACTTGGAGAGATGATGGTCTGATTTTTGCCGTCTTGAGGAGGTCTGCAATTTCCGACTTTGTGTAGTTGGAGATACCAATGTTCTTACATTTTTGTGGGACTTGGGTTTCCATTGCAGCCCACGTGTCCTTCTCCTCAACATTGTGGTCTTTGAGTGGGAAACCCTTGTCGTCTTGTGGGATTTGAGCGGATCCATCGTAGTTTGGTCCTGTTGCAAGGGCACCTGGCCAGTGAATCAAGTACAAGTCAAGGTACTCTAATTGGAGGTCCTCGAGAGTCTTGTTAAGTCCTCTGGTGACATTCTCTGGCTTCTTTGAGTTCAACCAGAGCTTCGAAGTGACAAAGATCTCGGAACGTGGAGTACCAGTTGCTTTGAGCCAACGTGTAATACCTTGACCGACCTCACGCTCGTTTTGGTAGATTGCAGCGGAGTCGATGTGACGGTAACCAGCTTCAAGTGCTGCATACACAAGGTCAGCAGCCTTCTCGTTTGGTAAGTTCCAGCATCCGTAACCGAGCTTAGGGATTCCGGCAGAGTTGGTGTCTGCGGCGGTTGCTGGGGCGTTAGCAAAGGCGATTCTTTCAGTTTGAATTGGCATCTTGATTGTTAGTGTGAGAGATGTGCGAGCGAATGACAGCACAATGTTGGAGGGACGAGATGTGGTGCGCTGATAATGATGTAATTAATAATAAATTACATCAAATATGTGTTGGAATTCACCAATAACAGCTAAAGCCGTGCTCAGCGTCTGCTAACGTGTTTGTGCGCGCTCAGAATGTGGTTATAAAAAGTGTGATTCACAAACCAAGGCACGAGATCCGAATATTAAAGACATTGTTTAGTTAGCTGCTTAATTGATAATTACTTCTATGTATTTCTATAATTCAAACGACTCGTACCGTTGGAGCTGCTTACAGTTTATGAATTATTGAATTAAGTCATGGATTGTGACTCTGCGCACGCGCTCTGACGCTCTCTTTGCTCTGATGCTTGATTTGTTCAGGTGACTTCTCGTCTGCGAAGAAGACCACACCGCACTGCACCTTGTCAGCTGATATTGTATCAATAGTATGTATGACCTCACCAGTTCTGAAAGGTCGCAGTAGCGCCTGGAGAATGTGAGTGCTTGTGCATTCAAATTTCCGTTATCCTCATCATCAAGGTTTATTTGCTGTGCATTAGCTTGTATGTGTTCAGGATTGGAAGAACGAGGCAATGTGACTATCCTTCTACCTATCACCCAGTTTGTAATAACGGTAGGAGCAGAAACGCTGTGCTTTTTTGCGATTAAACCTATTGTTGCGTCTTGGAGAAGCTGATTTTGCTGATCGTATAGCGCATTGGCGTTTCCAAATGGAGAATAACCCTCTACCACAATACCTTGGGATTTTGCAAACTCTACAAGTCTATGCTGCGGCAAACGTGGGTGTATTTCGACCTTGGAAGGTATAAGTATTTGCACTGACGTCACCAAAGCAACACACCTGCAGAATCGATGGTTTAACACGCGCGTATGAGAGCATATCGCTTAACTGATCTACTGTGAGGTTCGAGACTCCGATTGAGCGCACCTTCCCAGTCGACAGAAGATGTTCCATAGCCTGGGATGGTCTATGTAAAGTAAATCACGTCCCACTGACATCTTACGCACCTCCCATGTCTCGCGGTAAGGGACGCGGTCGTTGATAATAACGCCATGGTCATCTTGAGGGATGTTTGCCCGATTGTCAGCTGAGGGCTATAAATGTCAACATTGCATCACACGCTGAAGCTTCGAAACCACCTTGAAAGCAGCTGGCCAGTGGATGATGTATGCATCAAGATATTCTAGGCCTAATTCGGACAAAGATACATCAAGTGCTTTCTCCACGTCTTCCTTTCTGTGAGAGTTGTTGTAGAGCTTCGATAATACGAAGATATCAGAGCGCGGTGTTTGCGTATCATCCATGAACCGCCTGATAGCAACTCCGCAGGCAGCCTCATTCAAGTAAATCGCTGAGGCTGCCTGTGAGTTTGGACTGAGGAGAGAACTGCAGACCTACAAGCACAATCGATGCCTCTGTATCCACTCTTGAGTGCCTCGTAAACAGCAAATTCTGTTCTGTCGCCCAGTTCCCATGTGCCAAGCTAGGGCCGAGTGAGAAGTGAGATCATTGAAAATTAAGCTATCCTACTTGTAGCAGTGGGATTTGTACGCCGTTGTTGAGCGTCTCTGTGTGATTTGCAAGAGTCATTGATATATTCTCGATGATGACAGAAGGCAGGAAGCAGGAAGACACGCCCGATGCAAGCGAGACCAAGAAGATATCGGGCGAGATAATAAGAACCGCAGAAAAGCACAAACCTACCGGTAACGACTCTATCTCCTCAACCACCAACTACGAAATGACGGATCCTCACAGAGTCATTAACAGCGCCGCGAGCTACAGTGATGGAGACAAAGAAGCCATTATACAGCAGCTGCGATCTGAGCTTGGTGTGGCTTCTCTCCCATCTTCCGCACAAATCAAAGACGATATCCAATCGAGCTTCTTGCAGCCGCCAAAGAAGCTGTCGAGTATCAACTATCGAACAATACCGCGCCAGCCAAACCTCAGAAATCTTGTTCAATCGGACATCTCAGCACCATCCTCGAAGCTGTCGTTCCAAAGAGCTGGTCTCGATGGTAACATCGTTGGACACACTGAAGTACAAATTCCAATTACTGCAAGAGAGAACGCTAGAACATCAACTAGTATCCACAGGGCTCCAACCGATGCTGCGTCCTTTGTCCGAGGAAAGAGCGGCAACGTGCCATTCGCGCCGGGCGGTTTGGACGTCGTGAAGGAAACTGTCGATATGGAGAGCAGAAACAAACACGGATTAGATGGCGAGAGTGCTGGTACATCTGTAGATTTGTCCAAGGGTGGGTCGGTAGCTTGTTGAAATGACGCACAACTCACACAACACAGGGGGTTTAAGAACGGCTCCACCAGGATTTGGGAGAGGTTTACGGTTTGAAGGAGACGAAAGCAATTCCCTTGACGCTATCAGCGGTGCATCAGAGTTACCTCAGGCAAGCACCTCCAAACACACTGCTGTATCAACCAACAAACCCAACAAAGTCAACATTCAGTCCGATAAATCATTCACTGATGCTTCCATCGATGAGCTGCTTCCTGACTCTAAGCCACACATTCCAACGACTGCCGCCAACTCGCGTCGTAAAGCTCAATTGGCCAAAAGAGAATGGGCTCACGTCGTCAATGCGAACAAGGGACTCACCAACTTTGACGAGCTAGTACCAGATATGGCTATAAAGTATCCGTTCAAGCTCGATAATTTCCAGCAAAACGCTGTTTATTATTTGGAGATGGGTGACTCAGTCTTTGTGGCAGCACATACTTCGGCCGGTAAGACGGTAGTTGCAGAGTATGCAATAGCCCTAGCAGCTAAGCACATGACAAGAACAATCTATACTTCGCCAATCAAGGCATTGTCTAATCAGAAGTATCGAGACTTCAAGACAACATTCGATCCATCCACTGTTGGTATTTTGACAGGAGATGTGCAAATCAATCCAGAAGGAAGCTGTCTTATCATGACCACTGAAATCTTGCGTAGTATGCTGTACAAGGGTGCGGATCTTATCAGAGATGTTGAGTTTGTTGTTTTCGACGAAGTTCACTACGTCAATGATGCTGAGAGAGGTGTTGTGTGGGAAGAAGTAATCATCATGTTACCTGAGCACATCAACATTATCCTCCTCTCTGCAACAGTGCCAAATGCGAAGGAGTTCGCAGACTGGGTTGGTAGAACAAAGAGAAAGAACATCTACGTTATCAGCACACCAAAGCGTCCTGTACCATTAGAGCATCACCTATTTGCAAGCAAGGAGATTCACAAGATAGTCGATTCGAGTGGAAGATTCTTGAGCAGCGGCCACAAAGACGCAACGGATGCACTGCGTAAGAAGCAAGACAAGGAAAGAGAAGCAGCAGGCTTACCGCCTGTCCAGAAGACGGGCGGCGGTGGTCGTGGTGGTCGTGGCGGCGGACGCACACCCTCAAATATGGGAGCTACAGGTGCTCATCGAGCTATTAACACCTACAACAAATCTCAAGGAGCCAACAGAGGGGGTGGAAATTCTTCTTCAGGTGGTAATCAGAATCACCACTTGGTGCAGTATCTTAAAAAGAAGGAATTGCTACCTGTCGTCATTTTCACCTTCTCCAAGCGCAAGTGCGAGGAGAATGCCAGTGGATTAGGTGGTATGGACTTACTGACTGCTGCTGAGAAGAGTGAGGTGCACATAACTATCGAGAGGAGCATATCTAGATTGAGAGGTGGGAATCTTTGAGTGGTGGGGATCCCAGCTGACACAAAGCAGGTTCAGACAAACAGCTCCCTCAAATTGCGAGAATGAAAGATCTTCTCGGAAGAGGTTTGGCTGTTCACCATGGTGGTCTTCTCCCGATCGTTAAAGAGGTGAGTGAAAACATGCGCTCACAATATATGCTAAAACAGCTCAAGATTGTAGAGCTTCTTTTTGGTAGAGGTCTTGTAAAAGTGCTCTTTGCTACAGAAACATTTGCCATGGGTGTCAATATGCCTGCCAGAAGTGTAGCTTTTTCTGGTATACGCAAGCACGATGGGAAATCATTTAGAGATCTTCTGCCTGGTGAGTTTACATTTGCAGCCTCAACTTGCTAACCGAGGCCTAGGCGAATACACCCAGATGTCAGGCAGGGCGGGTCGCAGAGGATTGGATGCAACAGGTGTTGTTATCATTATGACAAATGACAGCATACCCGAGACAACAACACTGCAGCAGATGATACTGGGTGTACCCGGTAAACTCAATTCGCAATTCAGACTGACATTTAACCTCATCCTCAATTTGCTCCGGGTCGAGACGCTCAAGGTCGAGGACATGATCAAGCGCTCTTTCAGTGAGAACGCCAGTCAGAGATTACTTCCTGATCAGCAGAAGCAAGTTGAAGAAACAGAGCAGCGACTTGCACTATTACACAAGTTGGATAGAGAGACGTCCCTTCCTGATCTAGATACTCTCTATAACGTGAGCGCATCACTCGTGGATGTGAATGCCTACATAGTCGACTATGCTCTGGGACATCCTCAAGGAAACAAGATGATTGGTACGGGTAGAGTTGTGTTGGTGAGAGACAGCCACTTTAAAGGTAACTTGGCGGTGCTGCTCCGTCCACCGAAGTTCCTGCCGACTGGGGCATCCAAGACATCCAAGTACTATTGGGTTGTCGGTTTGTCGGACAAAGATACTAGAGATGGCAAGAAGGGTGGGTCGATGTTTGAGATCTTGTTGGTTTGCTGACGATTGCCTAGACATGAAGGCAGACGACATCACACCTCGCTGGCCTGCAACATTACAGGAAGATGATGGTGAACTGGTTTATGACTTGGTCTCAATCCCCAGCGAGAGTATATCTATGATTACCAAATTCACAATGAAGGATGTGAGTGGGGTGTCCGAGGGTGTTTATTATTCTCACTTTACTTTTCAGCTCGATGTGTCTGCTATCGTAGATCACCATCGCAAGTCTGCTCTACAGGGTTGTGCAGACTATTTGAAGGAGCTTCTTCCTACGCTCAGCAACAATGCCACACTGACGGACAGATCGCTGGAGATCGACTGGTCAAAGTTGAGAGGATTGGAATTCCACGAAGCGTTATCAGAGAGGGAGAGGTTAATGACGAAAGTGCGTGATCTCATACCGCTCACCGCTTTACCGGAGTTTGATTCTCAATATGCGCATCTACATGTGGAAAGCGGATTGAAAAATCAGGTGGCTTATCTTAGAGCATCAATCAGTGATCAGAATTTGGAGCTGCTTCCTGATTACGAGAATAGAATCAATGCATTGAAGGAAATGCAGTACATTGACCAAAAATCTACCGTTCAATTGAAAGGAAGGGTTGCTTGCGAGGTTAGTGGAGGTTTCTTGAATTGAATAGCAACTCACCACTCAACACCTTACAGATCAACTCTGCCCATGAACTCATCCTCACCGAGCTAATTTTGGAGAATACGTTCGCCGCCTATGAGCCAGAAGAGATGGTGGCGCTGCTTTCGTGTTTCTTATTCCACGAGAAGACGGAAGTGGAGCCTGTGATTCCGCCAAAGTTGGAAGAGGTGGGTATTTTCAGGATTTGGCCCACATTACTGACCCTGCGTAGGGTCGTGATACTATCTTTGCTATAGCAGATAAGGTGCAAAGAGTACTCGAACGCAACAAGGTAGAATCTGAAGATTTCGAAACATCGCTTAAGTTCGGATTAGTGGAGGTTGTTTATGAATGGGCTAAGGGTATGCCGTTTGAGCAGATCACACAATTGACAGATGTGCCAGAAGGTACGATCGTCAGGGTAATCACAAGATTGGATCAGACTTGTTTGGAGGTTAGAGATGCAGCTAGAGTGATTGGAGATGCTGCACTTTTCCAAAAGATGGAGGCGTGTCAGACAATGATCAAGAGAGATATTATCTTTGCTGCTAGTCTGTATGTTTAGAATGTATATTGCGAGGAGGAGTTGGATCAGATTTTCAATGCATTGTTTTTACGAAGAATTGTTAAGAGCTATGTGCATAACGTGTCTTGTGTAACAAAACAAAGACGTTTTGACATTTACCGAGCAAATCAGAGTGAATACTTGAATCCATGCTCTCCCCTAATCTCTCTATAAGATCAAAACACCTCGAACCATTTACGGTTCCATTCACCACAACAATATAAATTGGGAACATGCCATACAAGCCATATCAAGACGATCCAACGAGAAGAACAATATTCACACCATCGGAGGAACTTCTGTTGATGTTTGGAAATCTATTGCCAAATCTCGCGAGGACGTCGCATCACTTCGGATACAAGGACGACAAGCTATGTGGTTGCTGAAACTCACTTAGTATAGCTGTATTAAGGAAGTACATGGAATCGGGTTCCCAATTCACGTTGGTGCAGCTGTATCAAGCAAACCAAGACAGAATCCGCTTAACACTGAATAGTAAACACGAGGGCTCTTGTCAACGTTCTCGCAAAGACGTACGGATGGTTCGAGGACGATAAGGTTATTCGGAGGAAGCTTGTTAAGGCTAAGCTGGATAAGTACGGTCGCTTTGAGTTGATTATTGCTTCTTGTAGCCTACACTTAGGCTTGCATGCATTTTACTGCAAATCGCTGTGCTGGAAGTCTATGACAAGCGAACGAACGAACCAAACAAAGAACACATTGATTGCAATGCATAATAATAATATTACATGATAGCACCATTCTATTGAAATATCCACATCTAATCAATCAAAAACGACTGTCTTGTGTCCTGAGAGAAGCACTCTATGTTCAGAAACCCATTTAACAGCTCTTGCGAGTACAATAGACTCAACATTCGATCCTACGTGCGAGAGTGATTTTGGATTGAGTGTGTGGTCGACTCTCTCGACACCCTGTTCGATTATTGGACCTTCGTCGAGGTCTGATGTGACAAAGTGTGCTGTTGCACCGATAAGCTTCACACCTCTATCGTAAGCCTGGTGGTATGGTCTGTGTTGGGTTGAAAGTGTAAGCAGTGCTCACCGGCGCACTAAACTCAATTACTCACTTTGCACCCTTGAATGAAGGAAGGAACGAGTGATGAATGTTTATAATACGTCCACTCATCTCCTTACATAGTTTTGGCGATAGGACTTGCATGTAACGGGCTAAAACAATGTAATCAATCTTGTGTTCTTTTACGAGTTTCAGGAGCTCCTCTTCCTGCTGCTCCTTCGTATCGCGATTGACTGGCAAGTGCAAGAAAGGGATCTCGTAGCTCTTGGCCAGTGATTGGTAGGTAGGATGATTACTGACGATCAGCGGTATCTCAATTGGGATTTGATCTGCTGAGGCTCTGAAGAGTAAATCGTTGAGACAGTGACCAATCTTTGAAACCATAACCATAACCTTTGGCTTGTTTGATGCTACATGCATATGCCATTCAAGACCAATGTTTTCAGCGAGTTTACCGAATTCTCGTCTCAGAGGCGCTATATCCAAACCATTTTGAGCTTGGGCAGTGATTCTCATGAAAAAGCGATTAGAAGTTGGATCCAAGAACTGATCGGAGGAGAGAATGTTGTGGTGGTTGTTGTACAGAAACTCGGAAACATTCTTGACAACGCCGAGCTGATCTTGACAGCTCAGAGTGAGTACTATTGAGTTCTCTGGCTGTGAAACCTTGGGACTGAGTAATCCTTTTACTTTTCCCTGGTTAATTAGTGTATCCGTTTCCGGGGTGAACCTTGGGACGGTCGTGGACAGATATCTGGATGGAGTAGACAGTGCTATTGGGGCGAGTGAGGGTGATCTTCTTATACATGATCTCGCCACGCTTCTCGTGAGCGTTGTTGCTGGTAATCTCATGGCGTTGATGAAAATGAAGAGAGAAGACATCATTTTGTTGTGTCGGTGTGGAAAATTTCGCGGAATTGAGGAGCGTGTGAGAGTTTGCGTGAGTATTAGAGAGGTATTAGGATGCTTCTGCTGCTACTACTTCCGCTGCTCCGATAGATGGAATATATGTCAAGTCCTCGGAAAGCATTGGATGGAAAAAGCACTAAATCAGCCGGTAGACGATCATTATCGGGGTGCATCTGAGTAATTCAATAAACAAATATCAAACTTCCGAGCTTCTGATGTAGCTCCAGGTACAACAATCCTAGCAATCCCAGCAATCCAAACAAGCTTACAAGGGTTAAAAAGCATAAAAAGCACAAAATTATGAGATGATATGAGGCTTGTAAGTGATGCCTGTTAAATCACCTCAAATATCCCCATGTTAGACGATCTTCTCCGGCGGTAAACAACAAAGCAAAAGGCAGCCATACAAATACAATACAATCAGCGCAGCCATCGCCCAAACCGACAATACAAAACACAAAATACGCAGATCTGACTCCGCCAAATTGTGACTCGACCGACCCAACCAATCAGTGCTCGCCTGTCTTCTTCAAACTTCGACAACGAAAATGTGTGGAATATTTGGAGTATGCGGGTTAGAAAACCCAGGAGAATACAGAAGCAAGTGCATTGAATGCGTAAAAGCAATTAGACATCGTGGACCTGATTGGTCTGGTGTTCATCAGGGCAAAGACTTTATCGTCGCACACGAGAGGTGAGAGGTGGGAGCAGCGTTAGGTCCAATCCCCTCACACGCCCTAGACTTGCCATCGTTGGCGTCGACACAGGCGCTCAGCCTATCGTCAGCGAAGACGAGAAGATTATTCTTGCAGTGAATGGAGAAATCTACAACCACAAGCAATTGAGACATGGTTTAAAGGATAAGAACGCTGTGTTCAAGACTCACTCAGATTGTGAAGTTATCATTCATTTGGTGGGTTTTTGGTCCTTTGGTGGCTTCACCTGGATTCTTACATTCCCTAGTACCGCGAACACGGCCCACAGGCAGCTGGTCTTCTCGATGGAATGTTCAGCTGGACGTTGTTCGACACCAACTACCCACAAACCAGGGTTATCGCCGCTAGAGACCCAATTGGTATCACCACTCTCTACCAAGGCTGGAACTCCTCAAAGCCAGGCGCTGTTTATTTCGCATCTGAATTAAAATCATTGCACACGGAATGTGACAAGATTATTTCATTCCCACCTGGTCACTTTTACGACTCACTTACAGGTAATACTGAGCGTTACTACAACCCACCATGGTGGAACGGTGACCAAGAAGACGCTTCAGCCCCAACAAAGCCAGTTGACTTGACTGTGTTGAGAGAAAGCTTGGAGGCTGCCGTCCGTAAGCGTCTGATGAGTGAAGTTCCATACGGTGTTCTTCTCTCAGGTGGTTTGGATTCCTCTCTTATTGCTGCCATCGCTGCTAGAGAGACTGAAAAGGTGCAAAAAGCTCAATACGAAGCTCGTAAGTTACGCACTGAAGGTAGCGCTTCACCAGCCAAGTACCCAGAGCAGGATGAAGATCGTACTTTAGCGGCATGGCCAACCCTTCACTCATTCTCTGTTGGTTTGCCAGGATCCCCTGATTTACTTGCTGCTCGCAAAGCTGCTGCTTTCTTGGGCACGACACACCACGAATTTACTTTCACTGTTCAAGATGGTATTGATGCGCTCAAAGATGTCATTTATCACCTTGAAACGTACGATGTAACAACAGTGAGAGCATCAACACCAATGTACCTGATGTCTAGGAAGATCAAGGCTATTGGTGGGTGAAGATTAGTGTGGTGCCAAACAAACTAACCAGGTCTCATAGGTGTCAAGATGGTTCTCTCTGGAGAGGGATCAGATGAAATTTTCGGTGGTTACCTTTACTTCCATGCTGCACCATCTAGAGAGGCGTTCCATCAAGAATTGGTCAAGCGTATCAAGAACCTTCACACTGCAGACTGCTTGCGTGCTAACAAATCTACCATGGCATGGGGTTTGGAGGCTAGAGTGCCGTTCCTCGATCAGAGTTTCCTCAACGAAGCCATGTCGGTCGACCCACAAGAAAAGATGTTCAGCAAAGACACAATGAAGAACCTCGACGCGGAAGGTAGATCGAGAATGGAGAAGTACATAATCCGTAAGGCATTCGATATTGAAGTTGGAGGTAAGCCATACCTCCCAGAATCAATTTTATGGCGTCAAAAGGAGCAATTTAGTGATGGTGTTGGATATTCATGGATCGACGGAATCAAAGATTTCACAGCTGAGCAAGTGTCTGACCAAGACTTTGCTAAGCGTTCGGAGCGTTTCCCACATGACACACCAGACACTAAAGAGGCATACTGGATCAGAGAGACATTTGAAAGCTTGTTCCCATCGAAGACGGCAGCGGAGACGGCAGTAAGATGGATTCCAAAGGGGGAGTGGGGATGTTCGGCAGACCCAAGTGGTCGTAGTGTTGCCATCCACGAAAAGGCATATTAAGTGGGTGTTAGACGATAAGGGTGAAAATTTTAAAAGAAAAGAAAAACAATGTTGTTTATGTTATTATTAGTACATGATTTCGTAGCTGAATTGTGTTTACTTTAATAAAGTGATTACGTGAATGTCGTTACTTTGAGGGTGTTTTCACAAGGAGGCGGAAGATGCCGGCGGAGATCATGCCTGGGAGGGGAGTGAGTGTATAGGACTGGGGCAGTACAAGCACTCACCAATACCAAATACGGCTAAACCAGTACCTCTTAAGCCGCCTTTACCGGCAACGCCTCTCCCGAGACCTTGAACAGTTGCGTTTCCTTCGACACCTTTGCCAGTGCCAGACAATCTATCGAAAGCGCCGTGTTTCTTCGCTTCATAGAGAGAAAAAGCACCTGCGCCAGTGAAGACAGCTGCACCGGTTACTCGGCACTGGAGGCAGTCGCGGTCGTAGCCTTGGTTGTGTGGAAGTGCAGAAGGTGCTTGTGCTCGTGGGTTTCCGAAAGGACCAGCGCCATCCATTTTCAAATTTAAATTAGATGATGGTTTGGGATAAAGAATATAAATACTCTGATTGATCGTGTGATTTCATTTCTTTTGATCAACTGAGTCTGTGGCAAGTGTGACAGGGCGAACCGAGCTATGAATGCAGATAACGAATAAATGTATTTATCTTTTATTTTCATTGGTACTGTATATGCAATCTGAGCTCTGTACTCTGTACTCTGTGCTCTCATGCCTCTCCAGCAAACACCGCGGCTTCTAAGCATATGGACGAGTAGACTGCCAAACACAGCCAAATCAAACACCAACGGCTCTCTCAGCGGCCTCTCTATGGCTGTGAAGGATGTCTTCTGGACTACTGAGCTCCCAACAACCGCTGCGTCTAAGATGCTCCGTGATTTCCACCCAGAAGAAGACGCTGAGTGCGTCAGTTTGGCTAGAGCTGCTGGCGCTTGCTTGATCGGCAAGACCAATTGCGATGAGTTCGGCATGGGTTCCTCTAACAGATTCTCTCACTTTGGTCCTGTTCTACACCCCCTCTCTTCCGATAGACTCGCTGGTGGCTCCTCTGGCGGTTCTGCCGCTGCTGTTGCTCTCAACCAATCCTCTTTCGCCCTCTCAACGGACACTGGTGGCTCCACACGCTTGCCCGCCTCTTATTGCGGAGTTGTCGGCCTCAAACCCTCGTACGGTCTTATTTCGCGTTATGGCTTGATCCCCTATGCGGAATCACTCGATTGCGTTGGAATAATGGCTAAAAGCGTGCATACTGTAAACAGGGTGTTTGGTCCGTCGCTAATTCGTCTCCCGCTCCATCTGATACACTATAGATGTCCTATCGCAGTATGACGAAAAGGATCCCACTTCTGAATCGACTGAGCTGCGCAAAAGCGCTCGCGAGGCTGCTCAAAGTGTCAGGCAGAGCACCGATACCTGGAGGATCGGCCTGCCCGAGGTGTGTGGATTGACATACACGGAAATGAGTATAATCTCACCACTGAAAGTAGGAATTGTTCACCAGCAAGCCATCAGATGCCCTGTCTGAGGTGCTCGATACCCTAATAAGGAAGGGTGCGACTGATGGCAAGCGTGTCGAGCTGTACCAGGTCTCTCTCCCGACAACCACGCTCGCTCTGAACGCCTACTATGTTATTGCAAGTGCCGAGGCATCCAGCTCGCTTGCGAGGTATGACGGTATGCGATATGGTGAGCGCTCCTCTCCACATCTCTGCTCCATACAACGCAACTCACATTCAATCTAGGGTACAGGAGCGAAAGTGGTTCGATACACGACACTCGCGAGGAGGGCTTTGGCGAAGAAGTCAAGCGACGCATCACATTAGGCAATTTGGTCCTCTCTGCTGACTCCTTGGACAACTACTACCTCAATGCACAGCGCGCACGGACGGAGATTGTAAACGACTTTAATGGTCTGTTTAGGATGCCCAATGCACGCACTGCAACAGATGCTGTCCCAGACGGGATAGATGTCCTCATACATCCTACCGCTGTCTCGGGACCACCTCTCGTCGACTCACACGACGCTGCAGATTACGCCCAAGACCTCCTCACCACTCCGGCAAGCTTGGCTGGCTTGCCCGCCCTCAATGTCCCGATCGGTGTTGACAGCCAAGGCTTCCCGCAGGGTGTGTCGGTTGTCGGTCAGTGGGGCTGTGAGCAGTGTGTGTTTGGGGTAGCTAAGGAACTGGAGACTGCGAATGCTAGTGTTGGTGGTGTATAGAATGTCGTTGTATTGTTACACATAGAGATAAGTTATTAGCGTGATTCGAGCGAGTATCGAGTAGAGTGTCTCGGGTGGTATGAGCAAGTGTAACTACTTCCTGCTACGCATGAGACTGCCAACCAAGATGGCACCCAGCGCTACCGCCCCGCCGCTGATAGCTAGCCCAATGTATCCCTCTGCAGACAGTCAGCCACACCACACCTCACGCTCGTCCAAACCCACCTTTAGCCCACGCCTTATCGATAATCTGCCCCAGCGAGCGCGCTTGCAAATTATTAGGCTCCTTCTCAAGCAGGACGTCGTTCAACCTCTTCGCATCCGCGTAGTTGCTCACTTTGTAATTTCCTAGAGCGAGGTAATAGAGGCACTCACGTCTCCTCTCCGCCTCCTGCTTGTAGATTTCGCTGAGCAGCGCAACCCCCTCCGTCACCTCCTCCCGCTCCTTCGACTTGACAAGTCCCCACGCTAGGTTGAATTTCGTTTGCACTGACGTATGCCCGGCTTGCTCCTCTTTGTCGTACTGTATTCGAAGCACCTGTAGCTCACTCCTGCTCAGCGGCGTATTCACATCCACGGCGAATGGCAATTCAGCTGATGATGACATTGTGGTGTGTGTTCAAGAGTGCTTTGCGTTTGTATTGCTGTACACGATCATGCAGTATATCAAAAATCATACTGTATCAATCCATCAATGCATACAAAGCTCATTTACTTCTTATTTAGATAGTCATAATAAATGCTCAGCGATGAGTACGTCATAGCACCCTAATGACTGCAACTTGAGCAATATTGCTATCGTTCTGTAGCGACTACGTTTTCGAAGAGTTGAAAGGTTTTCATATCTTGACTAGACTTGTTTAGCACTCTGTAAAGGTTAAACTAGTTTCCGCATATCTCAGGGAGAGCAATTTGTAATACAAAAGTATACATGGCTGATATCCTGACATCTGAGATTTCAACGAATCTTTGATCACCCTTTCATCCCCATTACTTTTTTTCGAAATTCACTGATCAGAAGCTAAAACCCCCGGATTTTGGAGTTTTGATGACCCCCACTTTTATGTACCTTTATCTCTGCTTGAAAGTGTGAATTAAGGCAGCATAGCAATCTCTTTCACTGGTCCCAGGTTTGATAACTGTGGACATCACGCAACCTACCATTTTTTCGCGATTATTGAGCCGAACAATTGAGATTTGTAGGTACTTGCGCCTCTGCAAGTCAAAATAATTTGTTTTCATCAATGAAGCGCGTGAACTCCTCCGCATCTATCCTATGGTGTGCTCTAGAGCGATTTTGGACCATTGCTTCCGATCGGCGTGCAGGGCGCAACTTGGCGCCGGAGATCTTATTCTGGCATAATCATATTCGATTTATCCAGAGCTACCTACAAAGCTTTTTCGTTTGGAGATCATCATAACTTAAAAACACCACCTGAAAGAAGATAGGTGGTGAAGGAGAAATTCCGAGTTGGCGGGTATTGAGCGGATGGCTGATAAGGGAATAATTTTGGAATGCTAAAAGTGCTACTTAAACGTATACTGTAAATTTCCAAATAACATACACCAGCACACTTCCAAACCACTCTACTAATTCAACTAGTCCTGAGGTCATCCATCATTGACGTAGGGATGATGAAACTCAGCAGCTAAAAATCATAATGCAATACCACGTCTATTCTTTGTTACAATGCAAAATATAAACTACCCAGCTTGACCAGCGAACTTCTTATCGTGACCTTTTTTGCGCTGAGCATTGCCCTGTTTCTCCTTGTTCTGGCGCTGACGATTATTGCCACTATGACCAGCACCTTGCGTTGGAGCTCTACCTCTTCCGCCAGCACCACCACCTGCACCACCTCGACTAGCGCCTCTACCTCTTGAACCGCCTCTGGAATGCCTAGACCTACCTTCCTGCACAGGTACATCTAAATTATTGTTTACGATATCCTTCTCCTGCGACAATCTTTGAATCTTGCGTGGATTCCTCATCACCTGCGAATACCAGCCTTCTATTTGACTATCGTCGAGTCCACTAGCTTGACGCAGGCCTTCGCGCTCCTTCCCTCTGCGGGTGACGGAGGATTTGTCGAACACAGCGGCGTTTTCCTGGAAGGCCTTCTCCAAAATGCTGTAATCAACTTGTGGCGTAGCTGTGTCTGTCGATGCGCTACTAGCACTTGCCATCGGTCTGCTCCTGACAGCTAAAGCCATCTCTTCTTCATCTTCCAGTTGGTCTTCAGCTTCGGCTTCTATCTCCTCGATCTGCGCCTCTTCCGCCCTGCGCACGACGGATGCTTTGAGCTCCTCGCGCGCTGCATCGTCCATCGTGAGACCGAAGTTCCTGTGACGAATTGTTAGTTGAATTGATAGCAGACAGGATAAACGCCACCTACTTGGCTTTACCGATGCGCAGTCTGCTGAAGTCAAGCTCATCCGCCTCGTCCGTGTCCCTAGGCTGTTCGACAGGCTCGTCCTGCGGGATGTGCACGGTACCCTCAAGCAACGCCTCTACGAGAGCCTCTGGAGCGGCGTACTGCGGTAAGGTGAGCGCCTTCTCGACGAAAGATGGACTCTGGTCTGGGAAGATGTCCAACACGACATCGATGCGAGGGTCTCTGGTTGGTCTGGGTGGGAGATCTGGCACTGGTGGTGTTATTTCAGCCCCACTTGCACTCTTGCTAGGCAGATCTACATCCACATCCATGACATCCAGCACGAGCAATTCTAATCTTTGACCGACGATCTGCAGATCGAAATTAGTAAGAGGGATAAGCAGCGTACTACTCTCAGTAGTTGTTTCGAAATCTGACATCATTGATGCATTCTTCAAAGGCCTGTCACTTAGCTCCGGTGGTGGTGTTCTGTCGAGTATGAAATTGAAGGCTTCTGATATCAGCGTTGCTGTGTTTGAATCATGCAAAGACTGTTGAAGCATGTTGTAGAGAATATCCATTACAACCAGCTTGTCTCCTCGCTCCAATTTGAGATAGATTCCATTGAGGTATCTGAACAAGACAAAGGCTGAATTCGCGAGAATGGCAGGGAAATTGATCGAGAAGCAGTGCAGCATATCTAACACTCTACCAAAGCGTCTGGCGGGATTAGGCGTGAGGAGAATGTCGATATATTGCGTCAGTTCGAATGTCGTGTAGTGTGTAGATTGCGCAAGATGCTTCAAAGCTGTTACGTTGGTGCGGTGATATGTACCAGCGAGGCATACGAGAGATTTTAGCGTCAGTCCCTTGCACCGTGCTTGCCGCTCAGCCAGCGTCAACACCACCGGCCGCACACTCGCATGCTCCGACTGGTCCTGGCAGGCGAACCAATCAAAGAGATCTTCCGCAGATCGATCACTAAGAGCCCTATTAGACTTGAGAATTTCGTTCAATTTTATATCGATTTTCCCCGCAGACATTGGTTGTTGAGCAACAACGACGTCGAGGAGATGCAGGACGAGGCAAATGATTTGAGATGCAACAGCCTGCGATGCCGCAAGATGCTGATAGAAGAAGGCAAAGCGGGTGGGTGGCTGTGTACCTCAAGCGCATCTCCAATAAGCACAAACAGTGACAACGACATGCTCGCGTGAGATGCTCAGCGTGGCTCACAAGAAGCGCTCATAAAGTACATCAGACATTTTCTGCATCGATTGCGCCACAGATCTTTTCGAAGATAGCCAGACGTGTCCTGCGTGCCATACTAATCTCGCCGAGCGCGATGATATCATTGTTTGGTCGCGCTTTGTTCTCGCATCTCGGCTGATAGAATACAGCTCAGCTCGCTTGAACCCTCTGAGGAATACAAGAGCAGCTGCTTAGCCGGACTGTCCCCACAGCTTATCATGGATATCGCTGGACGCGCTTTTAGGTTCTGGCAGTATCAGCATTCTGAGGAGGCTGGCTTCCAGGCAATGCTGCTCAGGGATGTACAGGAGAAATTGGCAGTGGTTGAAAATAAACACCAAGGCCAAGCGAGGGAATGTGAGGGTTTTCGCTTTGGTAGTTTATGTACTGACGCAACGAGCTAGTCAGCAGCCAAGTTTCAGGTGAGCTGATAAGCTGATCGTCACCTATGGCCAGCTCTAAAAACACCGGAAAGCGCTTCAGATGCAAGTCAGCAATGTCACTTTAGAACTCCACGGCGAGCGGCGCAGAGTTCAGGCGCTTATCAAATCCCACCAAGAACAAGAAAATGAAATAAAGAGAGTCAAGAGCAGCGTAATAGCAAATAGACGCAACAGCCTAACTGAGAGAGGCACTAGATCGACAATGCACATCCCACAGCAGGAGCGACTGGAACGACTGGAAACACCGCCTCACACTGCACAATACGCTCCTCCAACTCCAAGTAGAATAGCGACTGCGAATATATACGCTATGCAGAATGCCTCACATAGTAACGGTTATAACGTTTACAACGGCTATGAAAGGACCTCCGCCGCGTTCGGTTTCAACAGAGGTGGTCCGTTCGAAGCAGTAAACAAGTCACCCGTGAAGCGTATCAGTACTTCATCCCCAATCAAGACTCATGCCTTATCGCGCAAAACCTATCTACATAGGTAAGGAAAAACGAAACAAAACATGAATAAATGGAAATACACAAACAACTTTACCAGTCCATTTTCTTTGCTGTGGATTTCGGTGGGTTGAAAGTTCTCCCAGCGTATTCTTGACCATCTAACCAGGGCCAGGTGTCCGATCTACGCTTTTCAAACTGAACAATATCACTTTCTTTCTGTAATGTTAATCCGATATCATCTAAACCATTAAGAAGACAGTGTCGACGGAAGTCATCGACGTCGAATGATAATTCTTGGCCGTTGTGTCTTCTCACCACCTTCCTCTCGAGGTCGACCTCTACCTCTTTCATAGCCTTTGCATCGTTAGAGAGGTTGATAACATCTTGCTGTGGTAATATAACTGGTAACATGCCGTTCTTGAAAGTGTTGTTAAAGAAAATATCAGCAAAGGATGTCGAAATGATACATTTGATGCCTTGGTCCAATAGAGCCCATGGAGCGTGTTCTCTAGACGAGCCACAGCCAAAGTTACCACCGACGTTGACAAGAATATTTGCCTTGTTCCATGGCTCGTTGTTGAGGACAAAGTTTGGATCAGGTTCACCTGTTTGTTGGTTGTATCTCATCCCGTAGAACGCAGCACTACCTAAGCCGGTACGCTTGATAGTCTTTAAGAATTGCTTTGGTATAATCATATCCGTGTCAATGTTTGGCAAGTCCAACGCAGCTGCGATGCCCGACAACTTGATAAATTTACTCATTCCAGCTGGTGATGACTTTCTGTTGGTTTGTTGAACAGCTGAAGGTGGACCATCAGTTTCCGGTGGACCAGTTGGAACAGCCTTTGGAATTTTAATGGTGGATTGATTTGAAGTGTAATCCTTAGGGTCTAAAATTTTCAATGCAGGCTCGTCAGTCGAAGTAGCTGATGGTAATGATGAGCTTAATGTTCTGACATCGGTGAGTTTACCGGTGATTGCAGCAGCAGCAGCCATAGCAGGAGAACACAAGTGAGTTCTACCACCTGCACCTTGTCTACCTTCAAAGTTTCTGTTGGAAGTAGAAGCGCATCTCTCTTGTGGAGCCAGTTGATCGGGGTTCATTCCCAAACACATCGAGCAACCAGCTTCTCTCCAGTCGAAACCAGCTGCTATCAAGATTCTATCGATACCTTCAGCTTCAGCTTGTCTTTTGACGTTTCCAGAACCTGGTACAATCATTGCAAGTTTAACATTGTTTGAAACTTTTCTACCTCTTGCAATTGCAGCAGTGGCTCTTAAATCCTCGATACGTGAGTTTGTGCATGAACCGATGAAAACTTTGTCGACAGAGATATCAGTCATTTGTATACCAGGTTCTAAGCCCATGTAATCTAATGAGCGTTGACAACCTTGTCTCTTTGGACCTTCAGGAAGAGACATAGGATCAGGTACCTTTTCAGTAATTGGGACGACATCTTGTGGGGAAGTACCCCAGGAAACGGTTGGAGCGATATCGCTAGAATCAATATTGACCTCAATATCATAGGATGATTCAGGATCTGAGTTGAGAGTTTGCCAGTATTTGATAGCTTTATCCCACTCATCACCTTTTGGAGCAAGTGGTCTAGACATAAGGTAATCGTAAGTAACTTGATCAGGAGCAATCATACCAGCTCTTGCACCACCCTCGATGGCCATGTTACAAATGGACATTCTCGCTTCCATTGAAAGAGAGCGGATGGTAGAACCGCAGAACTCAATGACGCAACCAGTACCACCGGCAGTACCAATGATACCAATGACATGTAAGACTAAATCTTTCGAAGTAACGCCCTCGCCTAGAGGGCCTTCGACGGATATTTTCATGTTTTTAGATTTTGAGGAGAGGATTGTTTGAGTTGCGAGAACATGTTCGACTTCGGAGGTACCGATACCGAAAGCAAGGGCACCGAAGGCACCATGAGTTGAAGTGTGAGAGTCACCACAAACAACGGTAGTACCAGGAAGAGTAAAGCCCTGTTCAGGACCAATGATATGAACAATACCTTGTCTTGAATCGTCCATACCAAAGTACGTCAAGCCAAACTCTTTGATATTGTCTTCAAGAGTAGAACATTGAGTACGTGAATCTTGTTCAGTGATAAAAGAGGAAATTGATTTGAAGTTGTTCCTTGTTGAAGTAGGTATATTGTGATCGACAGTGGCAAGAGTACAGTCAGGTCTTCTAACTTTTCTGCCTGCATTTCTTAACCCTTCAAAGGCTTGAGGGGAAGTAACTTCATGGACCAAATGACGATCAATGAAGATGATGTTTGTGCCATTATCTTGGTTAACGATGTGATCGTCGAATACCTGTAACATTTGTGTTAGTTGTAATGAATATTTAATAAATAACATACCTTTTCATATAAAGTGCGTGGTTTTGTGCTATTTACCATGATTGTTGTGAGCAAGAAGAGGCGGCCATTCAACCAATCAGGAATAGTCAGTTTGAAATACAAATAAAGATAAGTGAATATCGATTAAACTCATCCATATCAGTTTGATAGTGTTTATTTAGTTCTTCCGATTAGTTTATCGGATTTCGGCCTATGCGATTACAAGTCCGATTTACAGATAAGTTTGAAGGCACTCAACTAGTTACAAAAATAAAAACACTTAAAACTATTGAAATGCTGAATCTATTAAGCAATAGATTAAAATTGAGGAATCTACTCAAATGTTTACAAGGGTTTAACATAAGACACGTATTTTAGATAATATACGCAATACTCACTGAAATTACTTGGTTCGTTAAAAATTTACACATACAATTATCAATTTGATAGAAATCCTTTTCAGGTAAACAGCAATGCAACTCGAATACGGATGTGAGTTGAATATTGACAGGTTTACCAATTAAATAACAATCTCAAGTAAGAAGCCTAAAGGACTTGAAATTAATAAAGAATTTCACAAATTTATTTGATTTGTGAGTGTTACGAGGTGTAGCTGGCATCTGGCATCTCAAGTAACACTCAATAGACCTGCAGAAGTGAAGATATTCAAATACTCAAATTGCGGTCAATACTTAGCATATGCTCTATCTGATAGTGTTATAATCGCAAACTCTGCCGGTAGCACTCTATCACAGTTGAATATCAAGCAATGTCAAGATTTACAATTCAGCTGTAAATCAACTTACTTACAGACTTGGACTAGATCCGTTAGACTCGATAATCAAGATTTCAGTGAAAATGTTGAAATTTGGTCGTTGGACGGCACAAAACAATTCTCAACAACAGTAAAGCAAATAGAGAACTGGACGTTGAATTTCACTTCAGATGATAAATACGCTGTGAAGCAACAATCCAATGAAATCCTAGTTTACGATACTGCAAACTGGTCGAAAGGATTCACCAACAAATTAAAGGTCGATGGTATGATCACTTATTCTCTCTCACCTGGTCAGAATCCACACTTGGCTACTTTCATAGCAGAGAAGAAAGGTGCTCCTGCTTCACTGAGATTATACTCCTTGGTTGGTCTATCAAACAGCTCAAAGCCAGTATCACAAAAGACCTTCTTCAAAGCAGACAGAGTCATGATGAAGTGGAATGACATTGGTACAACCCTTTTATTCCAAACTCAAACAGATTTTGACAAAACCAACAAAAATTACTACGGTGAATCCAACTTATACTTATTATCAACGATCGGTGGGGGTTACGACGCGAGGATTACTCTCGACAAACCAGGTCCTATCCATGACTTCAACTGGTCACCAAACAGCAAAGAATTCATCGTCATCTACGGTTATATGCCTGCAAAGGCAACTCTTTTTGACCAAAGAGGTAATCCAACCTTTGATTTCGGTACAAATCCTAGAAACTTCACCTTGTTCAACCCACAAGCTAGATTTATCCTCATTGCAGGTTTCGGTAACTTGGCTGGTCAAGTTGATATTTGGGATAGAAAATCACTTAAGAAAGTTTGTCAAATCGATTGCTCAAACACGTCACACTGTGAATGGTCACCTGATGGAAGATTCATCCTCACAGCAACCTGTTCACCTAGATTAAGAGTCGACAATGGTGTAAAGGTCTGGCACTTGACTGGTAAACTGATTGACATAAAACCAATTGAAGAATTATATCAAGTGCATTGGAGACCTCAAGATGTAAGCAACTTCCCAGACTTTAAATCAGAGATTGAACCACCACCAACACCAAACCAATCCGTTATCCAATATCAAAACCCATCTGACAGCAAACCAAAAGTCACTGGCGCATACAAACCTCCTCACGCTAGAGGAACACCATCATCATCTGGAACTTCTACGCCTAAAAGTAAACAGATTCCAGGCGCGCCTTCACCAAAACCTCCACCTCAACGCAAGCAAAAAGATAATGCATCACAAGCATCACAAGCATCAGCATCAGCACAAAATGATCAACTCACTCCAGTGGATAAAAAGGTTCGCAATCTCACAAAGAAACTTAAAGCTATTGAAGAACTCAAAGATAAGCAAAACAAGGGTGAAAAATTAGAAAAAACTCAATTGGCTAAATTAGACAGTGAAGAGGAGATCACTAAGGAAATTGCACAACTCAAAATGTGAAAAACCTTGTTTAGCGTGAAGTTTGAAACAAAATTATATTCATTTTTATTACTTCAGATAAAGCTAACGATATTATGAAGTTGAAGCTCCGACTGCCAATCTCTTAAGATGTTCCATAAAGACTTGTAAACTAACATCATCTGTGAAGATAGCCTGTCCAGCTGCATTTTGTGAACCATAAATTCCACCTGACATGTGTGTCGTGGATGGGTTGAGTTTCGAAAGCAAAAATCTTGCCTGTGATCCACCTTGATCACAAACTACGTATCTTGGTATTGGGAATCTATCTGCCAACAAGTCTTGTGCATCATTTGTTGGTAGTGTTAATAATTCCTTAAAGTTTTCATATCCTTCTTGATCTTGGTAGTTGGCTTTCCTCCATTGAGCTATAGTTTCTCCATGCCAAATGAGTATATGGAAGAATGTGTCCAACAACAAGATGACATCATTTTTAATTGAAACTGAATCCAATAAGACTGGTTGTGGTGGTCCGTCCAAAGAGAATGACATCAACGTTGGTTGAATCATAACTAAGGAGTTGTTGACATCTTCCTCATTGAGTATATGTCTATAGAAAGCGGTCTCGTCAGGTGAGTTGTTAAATACCTGTAAGAACTGCGATCTTCTCAAGTGGAACATGAATTGTGGATAGATACCAAAGTTCTCAGATAGTCTGAATGATGTTGGGTCCTCCTTATGATAATCTGCAAACTTCTGACATAATCTGATCAGCATTCTATCTAACCATCTCAGAACATCAGGACTGTCATCGATTTCTGCCTTAAAAACGGCAATTCTTGCCATCAAAACTGCTGCTGCTTCTTGATCAAATGATCCAGCAATGGCAGGTGATCCGGCATCTGCAAAGTTTCTTGCTATAGTAGTTACTCTAAGCTTGTATTGACCAGATGATGATTGGTAATGGGTAATGAATTGAATCAAACCTCTTTGATTTTGTTGTACTGGCTGGCCAGGTGGACTTACAACTTCAAAGTAAACACCCAATGTGGTTCTTGGGTTTATTGAGCCTATTTTCCAAGCAGATGTCTGACCAACACCAATCTCAGTCTCACCTACACAGGCTGATTTCTTTTGTGCTGATGTTAAGTGACCAATTGCACCTGAAACCTTAAGCTCCTTAGATGTCTGTACATCCATTGTTGCATTAAAGCCCATCTTCAGATTACCAAATTCATCCTTCTCAAATAATCTTTGGAATGATTGCTTGAAAATCAATGTTGCAAATGAATCGCTCAAAACCAATGCACCATTTGTTAAGTTTGGAAGTGACTTCATTTCCAATAAACCAATCTGATCTAAACATCCAGCGTAGATATCAACAACATGGCCGTTAGATGATGCTCTCTTAGAAAGTGATTCATAAAACCTTGTTGCTCTCTTAAAGTGCTTTACTGAGTCTCTTTCAATATCATGGTGCGATCTGATTGGTTCTTTCAATTCGTTGGATACAACCATACCAGGGCCTTCAGTTGCAGGACCACCAACGAAGGTCATAATCCTTGCGCCAGAATTAGGGAAGCTGTTTTCGAGTATTCCAACAGCAACTGAGAGTGCAGCACCTGTACATCTAAAGCTACGCTTATCAGAAGGAACAGGCCAAGGATCTCTCGACAAGTTATCAAGTATACTTGTCAATTGAAACTCAGCGTCTTGAACAGGCTGCAAGAATCTAGCTGCGCCATGTAATTGACCTGGACGTTGCTGTTGCTGGGAAGGCAAAGTGGTTGAGCGTGGTGTGATACCTAACATGGACGAAATCTGACCTGGAGAATAGTCCTTAGTGCCTCTAAAGACGTATGACTTTGGACAAGTGTTGAAACCGATTTCATGTACCTGAGTCATAGTACCAAACGTAATCAAACCGACTAAAGCGTTTGGTGGTAATAACGACAGACCGAGAGTAATGGTTTCTTTCAAAGCCTGGAAATCTTCAGCATCTAAGCACGTATCAACAACGAACAAGAAGATTGGTGGCACTTGGACTGGTCTCGATAGCGTGTACTCGATAGTGGTATACTTTGGCAACAGCTCTGCAGGTAAATTTGTGTTGCTGATATCTTTGTAATGAGGTGGGAAAGCATTCCTCGATAAGCAGAATGGACATATCCACAGTTTTCCTCGAACGTCAATTTGGCTGATGAGCTGGTCAGGTTGAATCGACGTGTAGGTAAATAAACTGACCAATAAGGATTGAGGATTGATCTGCATGATTTGCACGTTACTGGCTCGTAAAGAACTGGTGGCAAATCCTCTCTCTCCTTGAATGGAACGTATAATGCTGATATTGGTACAACTGTGCGTGTTGCTTCGATACGTGAGGATGGCCAGACATTCCAGCTGAGTCTGATGCCTAATCAATGTCGTTAGTATAATTCAGCTGCCAATTCCAATCTCACCGTCTCTCTCTTCAACGTCTTCGACGACTTGCATGTTGGCTGTTGGCTGTTCGATGTCACGTTGAAAGAGGTTATTTACTGTATTCTTTAATTTATAATACAAAGCACGATGGTTTCCAGTCTGATCCTCTCACTGGCGTTGGCTTGAAGCTATAGCTTGGTTTATTAGCCAGTCCATTACCCAGTGCATCCCTTGAAATTGAAGAAGGTACACCGCCAATATCTTGTGCTTCTTTGACCATATCTAAGCAGTATTGGTCTATTGGTAGGTTGTTCAGATGTCTTCCAAACGGCTCGCTCACTGTCATGTTTCATCTTTAGCTTGTCTTCTCCACCGAATAATAACACCCACGCTGTGATGATATTGCATCTATCCCACAAAAGAAAAACGCCACTATTCCTGTAATCGGTATTGCCATCCATCCCAAACTACTAACCAGCTGCGGTGGTATTGCCAGTAAATACAGCCCAAGCACTTGATTGAGGTGAATGCTTAGGATTAATGGAATTGGGGCTGTTTCTGTCATCAGATTATAATAAAATTGTTTTCAAAACCTACTATCTCTGATCTTCTCCGCCTCAGTTAGCCAACTAGTCATTTCTTTGACATATCCTGTTAAATTGACGTATAGCGCTGTGTCAATATGTGTCTTTGTTTGATCTTTGGCCTTCTCAGGTCTGTTATTGTAAAATCCGTTGAGGTAAACTTGAAGCAAGCGTAAAACTGATAGGGGAATGTTACGAGGTCTTGAATTGCTCAATACGGATTGAGGTACACTAAGCAACTCATCATTTTCCTTGTCATTGAGCTGTTGATGCTGCTTTTCGACTTCATTAGTTGCATTGCTTGCTGGTTGCTGCCTGTTGATCGATGAGTCAGGCACATCTGAGTCGACATTCTTAACGGTAGTTGATGGCTTTTCTTCATTCAATTCCTTATTCTTGTCATTCTCTTGTGAACTTTGCAAAGAGGATGTTCGCGACGGTGGTTGTGATGGATCTGGTGATGTTGATTCAAACCTCACCCTGCTGGGAAACGTCTTTTTCAAACTGGCCAGATAGCCTTTAGGGAGTAACACCTGTAGATCAAGTTCATCTAAGCCTTTGTTTTGGTTCTCTCGAAGATGATACCTGGCTGCGTGTGAGAAATATGTCTCGGCATGGATAAACCCACTTTAAAGCGACAGGGAAGGCTAGAATTAATCCAACAAACTCCTCTATAGCCTTTTCATTCTCAAAATGGCTATTTACCTCCAAAACGGAGGAAGACAATCTCATAAATGATCTAACAGTTGACTGTATGTTTGACCAGAGATTTCTGCCTTCTTGCCACCTATAAATGGCTTGAGCTTTTCGGAATATTGTGCACATTCGACCCACCGCTGTATAGAAGATGACGCCCGCATTGATACTAGCAAGCCTATCACTGGGGTGATTGAGTGACGGCGGATGCAGAAACGACAGCAACTAACCAATCGATACCATCATGGTTAGGCTTCTCGATGCCTTGCATATCCCTTTCATCACCTCTTTATCGCCCCACGTTTGGATAATTGCCGCCCACACAGCGAAGAAGACTACTCGACGGAGTGTGCTCGGCCTTATGAAACTACAAATCAGAATACACCGACAACACATTCGAATCGACTGACCATACTGATTTACCGAATTCGAGAGATATGGGCAGGAAGCTCGTCATATCGTGGTTGATTACGAGCAAGATGATAAATTAAATTACAATACGTGAGATATTCATGACATTTCAGTATCCTGTGTATTAACGTTATTGCTGCCTGGCTTCTTCATAAAATCATCCAATTCCTGTTTTCTCTATGAGCCTGTCTTCTCTACGCCAATGCCGATTGGTTACTCACTTTATCGAGGGAGTCGCTATCTTTTGGAGCTGGCTTTGATTTAATGTTTGCAGGTTTTGTTTGCTTACGCGGGCGAGAAGATTGCTTTGATCTGGTTTAGATAAGTCAGTGGTTCTTTACACGACTATGACTAGCCCAACCAACCTTGGACCAGATGGCGGCGGGTCTGAGTGCACCTTTGCGCCTAGTCTGCTTAACAATGAGCTACCAGTAGCACCAGAGCGTGAAGGTGGGTCTACTGTGAAATATCCATATGGTTCAACTCTAATCTCTTGATCTGATCATTTGTCAGCTTCAGTAGCAAGCTAAAGTACGCGTGAGCTAACCCTTTGCTGTCTTTCCATCAAACATGTCGATCGCCCTGTCGGCATCAATTGATTTCTCAAACGCTACAACTGCTTCACCAGTACTTCTGCCGCTCTTATCATACTTGACTACCAACTTAGTCAATTGGAATCCATTGAATATATTCTGATTGTGTTACTGTAAGCTTCCTTTGGTCGATTAGGCAGCTAAGGTACTAACAGCCAGCATTTCCTCGTTTATTTCATAATGAAGATTGCTCAGCTTGACCTGATTCTCTTTCTCACCATCCGGTGGCTGACGCGGTTCTCTTGGTCGATTCGACGTTGGCCTCCTAGTGAACGAGCTTGTCGATGAGCGCTAATTTGATGTTAGATGAGCACCTTTAATTCTATCATACTCTTTACATATTCAATTGGCTTCGATTCCCCGCGCTGCTTCCGGAATCCACCTCGACGTCTACCAGAACTGCCACGCTTATTATCAACTTTTGAGCTCTTTTTTTGCTTGACGATATCATCCAAGCTCATGTCAATATCCCTTTACACTTTTATCAGTTCTTGTTCGCGCTTCCATCGGCCTATCTCACATAGTCGCCATCCCGTGATGAAGGTATTTAACAGGTCTGAGAACATAAAGTGTTTTATTATATATTGTTTTATATTTTCGCTCATCTAATCAGGAATGATTGCAAGAATGCCTGCTTGCACTTAGTAATCTATAATTATCGAAACGTTTACTCACAACTACAGCCATCCCGCTTACCAGCCAGAATGTAAACTTATATCCACCAATGTCAGTTGCTAGAAATGTCTTCCATAGATATCCTCCAAATATTGGTCCCAAGAATCTAGATAAACTGACCGCTGACTGACCGTAACTATTCGTTAGTCCAGATATTTCCGGGGGTGACATGACGTTAATTAGGATAGTAATGCTAGTATACGCTGCCGTCGTCGCTGCGTATCTTATTGCATTAAGTATCGCCAATCCTGTCATCACTAACACATCAGACGATGATTCAGGTCGAACTAACTTTCTTGCAAACGGCACTAATCCATAAGTGAGAATGTAAATCACTGATGAAATCCTGAACATCTGCAAATGACTCAAATTGCCATTTGGTGGTCCTATTTTACCATATAGATAGAACTGGTAAAACATACTGAACCCTGCCATCATGGCGATGAGCGACGAAAAGTGAGATGGTGTCAATGACAACCCGCCGCTGGTATACTCTGTTAATAGGAATGTTGTAAAGAGTTGGTCGAATGTGGTATTATGCAATGCAAGGAAGGCGTACTGACTCAGTACAATTTTTATCATGACAGACATTTCCACTGGCTTCCTTTCAGTGATAAGAGGTTGATTTTGTTCAGGTATAGCTCTTAATCTCCTATTAGCGCCTTCTAGATCATCAAATTGATCATCCAACCCAACCCAACTCTTCTGGGAGGTAAGTCCGACATTATCCAGAATCGATTTCGGTCTGGCAGCTTTATTATCAACCAGGTGATTACGCGGAACTGAGCCCAACAAAGCGAGGTTTTCTTCACCTAGTCTGTCACCTCTATCTGCAATTGAACTTGGTCTGCTAAACCCAAGTCCTGCGCTGTCTCTGAAGCTGTTCCTGAAACCGATAGATGGTGAAGGTCGGATTGAAGCACTGCTAGATAGCTCTTCAATATCTCTTTCAGAGTGGTTATTAAAATCCGTCGTTTCATTGTCAAAATCACGATTCTCATCATGGTTTTCTTCACGGTTTTCATCTTCGTTGTCTTCGTAATGCGATGCAAATCCACTGTGTTCTTCTTCAATAGCCACATTATCACCTTCCTCCTCTTGATTCAAACGCTCAACCTCCCTAGTTAAGGCTGTCTGAACCCACAAGTCAGTGATAGATACGACATTCTCCTCCTGAGCCCTGAGCAGTCTTTGCGCAAATGACATTCTTTGATTGGGTTGTGATTGTGATAAAGCTTCATCATTATTATCATTGCCAAAAACAGTGGATGTACGTCTAGAATGTGAACGGATGTCATGAAGTGGCGAAGTTGGCCTTTCATAGCGTACTTGACCGCTAAAAGCCCTTTTGATAAAGTCTATAGCGCATTTTTTAAATGAATTAGCGTCCTCAGGTAATCTTATCGACGTGAAAAGCGGTCCGGCGTCTCTGCTGACGAACGCTGTGAGTGTGCTACCAAAGACCAAGATACTAGCGGCTACAAAGCAAGGCAAAGCGTAAGGGTATTTTGCAAAAAACTTATGTTTCTCCTCGGGGAATAGAAAGGGATATCTGACGGTGGGACTTTCAAAGAGCCCTCCGATTATCGGACCGAAGATCGAACCAGCACCCCAGCTGAATGATAAAATAGCATATGCTCTGGCTTCATTGGTACTGTCTGTTATGTCTTTGACGGCGGATCTAGACACACCAATGGCACCACTGAAGAGTCCTTGTAGTAGCCTAACGCAGATAGCTTCACCAAGAGAGCGGCAAGTGCCAAACAGACTGGTGGCTATGGCATTACCAAATAAGCTAATAAAGAGGGTGATTCTGCGTCCATAACGATCTGCGATGTTTGACCACATCAGTGCCGTTATAAATTGAGACAAGAAGAAAGCTGCACCAAGTATACCCGTATAATATCCTACCAAGCTTTCATCGTTATGAGTAATAGCAAACTTGGATACCATTATGAATATGAAAGGTGCTGCCACGGATGCAGATAAGAATTCACTAAGCATGGAGAAGGATAAAAGAGATATCGGGAGCTTTGGAAGAGGATTACTTGGTTCTACTTTTGTCTTGATGGGCACTCCCTGGCTAAATATCGTAGACTCTCCCAGTCTGCGTCCAAGTGGCATACTAGTCGGACGCGTAGAGCTCGTACCAAGCAATGCCGATTGGGTTCCTGATCTACTTCTAAATAGCCTTCTCCTCCTCACTGTAGGTGTCGTCGTGTCATGGTGCTCCATCTCGTAAATGAGCGTCAGAGAGAAAGCAACGGCGAAATTGGACAAGACGTCATAACAGGAATTATAATTTTTTAACTCGCTAGCAGAACTAAAAGTGGCGTGTTTCGTGTTCGTTGTTTTAATTGTGGGTCTTCACGCCCGGGATTAGTCAACCCACTCGGGAGCTGTTACAGTGGATATATCCTGTGGAGTGGATGGGCAGCCTATCCAGTAAATAGCCTCCAGCCAAACCATCAAACCAAATTATTATGATTTCTCATTTCTTCGCGGTTCGCCGTCTTATGGACCATCGAGGTTATCGCTGTAAATGATCTGCGGCAATTCTAGTAAGCTTTATATTCATTCCAGCACCTCTCTGGTCTTCGAATAATATCTGGTACTCGACTTTCAAGTCTTCTTTAAGCGATACTCCGCGTAAGGCTGCAGTGTTTCACTCCTGCATAAGCCTCTCTGACCTCAACCCCCAAGACCTGGCAGTCCGCAGATGGCGATTAAACTTAAGATATTAGCAGGAAGTACCATAGATGATTGTGAAGCTGTAGACTACCAAGGTGGAAAGCCTGTCGATGTGAACAACCCGCATTTCACTGGACAGGTTGCAGTACTGTTGAAGAACGACGAGCAGTCACATCCGTATTTCAACGATGAGTCCAACAAAGGTATCACATGGTCAATACAGCTGTGCGGTGTCTTGCACGACGACGATGTGGATTGTGACAATCTCGTCTTCGGTAATCAATTTTCACACCCGATTCGGCAGCATTTGCCATGGGGAAGTGCAATGGCTGTGAAGTTTATTAAATACCTCGATCCAACACTCACAGAGGATTTGCAGTCCGATACGCCCTGGGCATTTAGCCCTCTGTGTAGCACTGTCGAGAGATTGAACGTATCGGACAATTCAGACACGAGTAAGATGAAGAATGAACAAGACTTGATTATAGAAGAAGACATAAGCTGTCTGATTCACAAAGATGAAACTAGTAAGCCTAAATGTGGTAATGCTAGTGCTCGCAAAAAATGGTTCAAGAGTGAAAGCCGAAGGAAAGGCCTCAACTTGTCCAAAAAAAGAGTTGCTTTTGATTTCGCTAAAGGATTCATCAATTTCTCAACTCTGTGGGTGCATCTTCATCTTTAATTTCAAAGACATGCTGATTAGTGCACAAGATCGCTCTCATTTCCCGAAATTGGCCTGAACATAGGTTTGCTTAAACACTGGGATGGTCAACCCGTTAGGTTCTATCTACGCAACAGGAACACTGGCGTCGATTACGCGGTGATCCAGTTCATTATCGAAGATGTAGGCCAGGATGCACCAGCACAAACGAAACAATTGGCAGAGGAGAAAAATATCGGCACTGATAATTGATAAATCTGAATCAAAATATCCAGCAAAACGTTTCCATCTAAGCGCATAAAGTTCATGTATCCCATTAACGAAGTTTAATCTAATCCATTTATGTTTGTCTGTATTACGTTATCTACTCACCACACCAAAATTTTCAAGATTTCCACTTGAAACCTCCTTCAAAGTTGGTCTAGGTCCTTTGATTGCGCAGGTGGAGGATTTGTCTTTGGATGTGAGACTATTGTGTACTTCCTTCTCATGTTCATTGAGTGAGCAAATGCAAGTACCGCCAAACTCAGAAGGCAGATTCTCATCTACTGCCAGCTCCTTCAACGCGTCCTGGTAACCTGTCCCGTGTATCGACACCTTGGAAGCGGTAGCTTGGTCCATCATTGCCTTTACTACCTTCCAGATAGTGCTAAAGCCAGCTGGAGCATTGATAATAACAATTGGTCCGCTCAATTCGGGGTAGTTGTCCTGTAAGATCTGTATGATAGACTGAATCCTCCCTCTGATTTTCCAAAACTGGTAGTAGGCGATACCTTTCACGTCCATAACGTTGACTGTCTGAGACACGTGAATGCCGCGTGCCTCTTTGCACGCTCTGAAGGTATCTTTTGACAATCTCTCGTTGGAAATGACTTGATTGAGAGTGAATCTTTCAGGCGATATTTTGGTGAAGAGAGCTGATGCATCAAGCCTCCCAAACTGCTGGTAGTAAATAGGTCTTCCGAGCTGTATAGTGTGAGCCGAAAGACATCTTGAATCATAGTGTAATCACCTTATCTGTTTTGTGAAAGAACTGGATCCTGTGAGTAAGTAAAGCACTTCGAATCTAACATCATACCTGGGGATACCACCTAAGCGTTCGCGTTCGCGTCAGCAACGTCTTTCGACTTCATCTGCCCACATACTCATCTAAAGCACCCTTTTCCTCTTTTGTGAGCTCGAACGTCTCCGTGAGCTCGTCGATATTGAAATCCTTTCTCCACTTGAGATAATCACTATCATCAATCAATTACAGTCCCTAATGACTAAAGTACCCACCTAAACATCTTCTCTGTTTCATCCAAGTCCCATTTACGAGCTTGAAGAAAGCGACTTATGCTGTTAGATGGAGAATTATATGTACTCATCAACCCACACGAATTCATTGTCGTCGTGTGTCAAGGTGCCGTCACTCCATTGAGACGATTTGGCGTCTTCAGGGATTCTATCTTTGAATTGACTGAGTAGCCTGATCTGCTCATCATTTATATCGTACGATGTCGTGTTAACATTTGGAGCATTGTCGGTCATACTATCAAACCAAGATGATCGATTAAGCGGATGAAGATATAAATATTATTATTTTAGCATTCTTTACAGTACATTGTCTACTTCTATAGGTTGTGACAGGAGATATTCCATTGTAAATCCGTTTTCTTCGCATCTGCTTCGAGTCAGTTGGTTCCTCCTCTTGGCGCTCTAAACTTACAACGCGGTGACATCCTTCTGCCAATCGATTAGACCTTTCTGCACGCTTCTCAAAGGCGTAGCGAATTCTATCTGGCGTGAACGCAACGTCCTGCCGTGGAAAGTCAAAAGCGAGGATACCCAGAGCAAGTCGAACTCGAGGTGAACGCTTCGCTCCATGTGCTTTCCAATGAATGAAACCAGCTTATCGACATATACTAGCGGTAATTGCTTCACAATCAACCTTATCTCAACTGGTGGAGTGCTAGTGTAAACCATCTCGATAATCTTTTCGTCATTCAATCTGAACGCCATTATCAATCCCACCAAATAGTCGCCCTTCTTGACCGTCTTTGTGACGCTCTCCGGCGTCAGATCAATGTCCAAATCGAATGGATCGAATAGAGCACTCTCATCGAGCGAGTATACGATCAACCCATCAGTAGATGCAGCCGACCATGTGCGGCCTGTCGGCGAGACCTTGACGCTCTTTGTTCTTATTTCAGGTCTGTACTTGCGCCTTGACAAGTCCCCACCTTGTGCGCCAGGCAGCGAGTGATCCAGGCGATCTTCTAAGTCACTCTCATCACCTTGAATACCATTACTGATGTTGGTTCCATCTTCCAATTGCAATCTACTGTCCAAGAACTCTTGCGTTCCATCCAGAGACAGATTATCGGAGATTTGAAACTTCTTCAAGGCTACGCCTTCTTTCACATCATAAAGCAACACGTATTTACTGTTACCGCCTGCCAGTATATAGTTACCATCAGCAGTGTAACACAAGCTGTTAAAGCTCTTTCCAGACGAGTTGTTATTAGCTGTGATTCGGTCATCTTGCTTGCGACCTCCAGATACGTCTTTGCGACCTTCAATCACACCAGTCTGCTTGTCATCTTCTAAAGACCAGAACTGTATTTGACCGTCAAGGGTGGATGTAGCCAACTCTTTACCGTCTGGTCTGAACACCACAGTCAAGGCATCAGAGTTGATTGAGTAGGGTTCAACAGTTCTAGCTCTTCTGAAAATATCCCATACTCTGATTGTTCTATCCCACGAGGAAGATGCTAATTGAGCGCCGCCTGGTCCGAATGAAAGTCCAGAGACGGGACCTTCATGTCCTGACATGACATCCATTAGCTTGCCGGTCTGTACAGACCACAAGAAGATTTCGAATGTGTCGATTGATCCTGCAGCCAAAACCTCACCCGACTCATCTACTGTCATTGAGCTAAACTGGGTTGGGGAAGGTGATGTGAATGTTCTGAAGTTTCTGTAGCGTATCAAATCATATGCACGGACAGTTCCATCTAAAGAGGCAGAGAAAAGAACTTTTCCTTGCTTGGCGAATTCTACTTGTGAGATGGCTGCACTGTGGTCGCTAAATGTGACAGTACAAAAGCCTGATGATAGATTCCACAATTTCACTTTACCATCATCACCACCGGTTGCAACCAGCTGGCCGTCAGGTGCGTAAGATACAGTGTTCATGTCCGAATAATGACCTTGTTGCTTGAGGACGTAGCTTTCTGATTGCCACTCCCACACTAACAATTGACCCAACTTCTTGGCACCGAATGCCAACCACTCTCCCGAAGGATTGATGTCTACGGAAGTGACCTTCTCCTGCGAAATAGACAATGTGTGTAAATTGGTGAATGATGGCAGCTCCCATAGACCAAAAACACCGGTGCTAAACCCGACGACGAGGAGGGAGCTTTTTTGGTGGAATGTTGAGCAAACGACTCTGGTTGCGGGCATGTTGAAGTAGTGTCTGGAAGAAACGCCCCATCTGGTGTCAGCAATACGTCTACTTTCATCCACGTTAGTATCGTTATTGCTGCTGCTGTCACTGTCGCTGTCTTCTTCGCTGTCTTCACTGGAGGACTCATCTTCAGATGGCTTTGCGGTCCATACGAATACAGCGCCATCTCTGGACACAGTATAGATAGACTTGCTGTCTTTTGAGAAGTAAGCGTTAACGACTCTGTCTTTATGTCCTGAGAGCGTTTTTGGCCTAAAGCCTGGCAAGGTGTCAAGAGTAAAGAGCCTGGCAGTCATATCATAGCTGCAGGTAACAAAGAATCTTGAGCAGGGCGACCAAGTGATTGATGTGACAGAGTCGAAATGGCCCGTGTAGGTTCTAAACAGGACCATTGGGGCAAACTCCCTGATCAAGAACGAGGGCGCTCTCCAAACCTGCACATGGCTTCCGTGGGTGACGGCCAGGAACTTGCCATCGGGGGAAAAACATAAGTCTTTGACGGGCTTCTTGAAGTTGTGGTGGTGGAGAATTGTACGACGTTTGGCGTTGATGAGCAGCGCTCTTCCGTCTGCTGAGTATGAGTGTGTGCGCTCTAGAGAAGCAGATGCCCTCACCGTCGTCGACTGTGACCAATATCCTGCCATCTGGACTCAAAGCAATTCTAGCGATGTTCTTCCTGTTCTCGCAAGGGAACGTGAACGAGTTGTTGCTGGGCTTTGTTAGGCGGCTTATAGACGCAGTAACCAACTCACTTGACTAGATCGAAGCTGCTAACGCGGTTGCCCACCGGACTGAGGACGCTGTTGCCATCCTGCGTGAAGACGACGTTTCCCTGTCTATACACGGTACCGCATAGGTTAGAGAACTGTGGGCATCGTTAGCAGATTCATTTCAGCGTACTTGTACCGCCTACATTAAAATTACTCCTCATGGTGGCTTATCAAGATGCAATTAGGCTGCAGACAGCCATTTGAGTAAAATATTTGTACATTCAGTTGGAATATCAATACTGCATGTCGTGCAACACCGCGCTCGTGTGTACTCGTCACTGAAAATCTGTATTATATGATAACGACGCAGAGGTTGCTTGGAAACGCACAGAGCATAAAAACATCCAGTACTTTACATCATCTCTCGCTAAATAAAACCCAAGGTGACTTACAACCAAACTTATCTCTTAGACAATAACAGCGATGACGTTTGGACTGAGAAATGGTCGGCGGTATTTAATGTATAGTGTTCCTGTAGTAGCACTGCCAGTAGCGTATTATTCATTGCCGAAGCGTCGGCTGTCTCAATCATCTCCGCGGATCTATCAGCCACAGATACCAACTCCAACGCGAAGATCCCCGCTGAAAACGTATATAACTGAACCCATTTTCACTCTCAGGCGGCTTATTTGGCTGTGTGTACTATTCGTGCCAGTCGTCGCGTCTGTACCGCTACTCTGGATAAATTCGACGCTCTGGTACCGGATTCTAACGAAGCAAATGTCAAGAGCTGGCCCTACATTTATCAAGGTTGGTCCTGTCCAACTTTATGAGTACCTTTAACCATTCTCTAGCTTGGTCAATGGGCGGCTTCTCGCACTGATCTATTCTCACCACAATTATGTCATATATTAGGTCGCCTGCACTCAGCAGCACACCCTCACACAATCACCCACACGCATAAGGTCCTCACATCTACCTACTCGCACGCAGACTCGCTCAAAGACATATTTGAAGAATTCGATGAGAAACCCATTGGGTGTGGTGCTATCGCCCAAGTTTATAGGGGGAAACTACGTGAACATCTTATACCAAGTGACTGGAGAGTCGCGAACCAGCATGAAGAAGACAGCTGGTTAGTCGCATCTATCACAAAAGCCCTCAACAACTTGCAGACTCGCAACGATGACATACCGCGTCAAGATCTCATTACTGCGTCAAGACACGTTGCTGTCAAGGTGATACACCGTGGGTTTGATGCTAATAATTGTTAATCTATCTTACATATCTCAAAAGCAAATGTAACAGAGCTTATCGAGCGCGATCTAGCTATATTGTATTTCGGCGCCTCTGCCCTGTCGCTTCTTCCGGGGATGAAATGGCTATCTCTTCCAGAGGAGGTCACTGTATTTGGTAGTCTAATGCGCTCACAGCTTAATCTAAGCGTCGAAGCCTACAATTTGGCGAGATTTGAAGACAATTTCAGAGAGCGCAGAGGTGCTGCTAGCTTTCCAAAACCTGTCTTCTCGTTATGTGCAAAAGATGTTCTGGTAGAAGAATTCGAAGAGGCTCTCCCACTCAAGACATTCCTCAAGTTCGGTGGAGGCGGTTTTGAAGAGCGCATAGCCGGTTTGGGTTTGGATGCCTTTTTGGTGGGTACTGAATTTTATTCACGCAGCTTATTAATCTCCCACAGAATATGCTTTTAATAGACAATTTCGCACACGCCGATCTTCATCCTGGCAACATATACATCAAGTTCTACAAGCCAACTTCCATCGATCTTATCAAGAACATTTTCTCGTCGTTGATATCAAGACCTCGCTCAACTACTGACCTCACGACCAACGATACATCGAAAGAAGTGATGAAAACTCTTCTCCCGCTTGCCAGGCGAATAAACAAAAACGAGAAGGATGAAGAGAGTGTGAATGAATGGTCTAACAAGCTCAAGAAGCTCAATGAGGATGGGTTTCAACCAGAGATTGTTTTTTTGGATACAGGCCTGATTACTGAACTCGACGACAAAAACCGTGGTAATTTTTTGGAGCTATTCCAAGCTGTCTCTCATTTTGACGGTTATCGCGTCGGACAACTCATGATCGAAAGATCTCGATCTCCCGAGCTAGCGACGGACAAGGAAACTTTCGCACTTAAGATGCAGCACATAGTGCTGGGGGTGAAGAGCAAGACATTTTCGCTAGCAAGGATCAGGCTATCGGAGGTGCTCTCACATGTTCTGTCAAGTGTGCGCGAACACCACGTCAAGATGGAGGCTGATTTCGTTAATACGGTACTGTCTATTCTTTTGCTTGAAGGTATCGGTCGTCAGCTTGATCCTAACATGGACCTATTTAAGGCCGCTATACCGATTCTGCGTCAGTTGGGCAAGAAAGTCGGCACTTCTGGCAGCTATGCACAGGTCGATAAGGGTAACCTTGGTGCCATGTTAAAGGTAAGCATATTGAATTTGGTTTGATTACATATTAACAACCCCCAGCTCTGGGTATGGATGGAAGCACGTGAATTCGTTTCAAGTGTCAACGAAATGGACGAATGTATCCGGTACGACTGGCTTAGCCCGAACATATAGTTTGTAATATACATATAACTTGAACAATTGCAATTAGGCCCGCATTTAAAGCGTGTGGATCACCTCAACTTGTCAAAATATGTTTGCTATCACGATTGTCAACCTTGATAGTGACAAGCAATATAGGGATGACAGGGCCATTGAATAGTTCTTTCTATAACTTTAGCAAAATACAACATTGAGCATGAATCAATTGAATATAAACTGCTCAAGGTACCCTGCAAGTGATCAAGTAAGTGAGAAGACGAACACAGAGATACCATCTGACAATTTGAACAAACTAGCCATGCTATCAGTTTCATAGCACTTTCAGCATTCCAAATACATTATCAACTAAACCTTCCGCTCAATATCCACCGAGTTGAATTTCTTGGCTACCACTGACCTCAAATGGCTCTTACGACTTTTGATGATCTCCAAATAAACGTGCTCCGTTAGTAATTCTGGCTGATAGTGATATGATTTTGCCAAATTTATATCCCTGGCGCTCCAAATCGCGCCTCGCACATTGATCGGAAGCAATGATCCACAATCTCTCTGGAGCATGCAGCAGGATAATAAAGAAAGGTCACTCAAACTTTGTCGGTAGCTGCAACGTATTTTGACTTACAAGTGCTCATATATCACAATGATTCGGCTCTATAAACGCGTTTTACTTTTTTCCGGCACATTGCGTCTACAGGACTCAACAATGCTGGCTGCAGGAAAAAAATATTGTGATTCCGTATCATCGCATGCTTATTTAATGCAACTCATTCAAAGTAAAGGGGAGGTCAGCCCAATTCTGAAATCGGGGGTTTTGCTCGACCAGGTGCGTGCGTTTCAAGATATCAAATAATGGTGGGTGTGAAATCGATTAAGGCTGATTTGACATTTTGAAGGCATGACAGTTTGGATGTTAATTTTTTTAATCCAAAACACTCTAAAAGAAACATGCCACATCTATCTGGACTAGTACAGGGCGCCAGACAGCGCTTTTCGCGATAATTTCACTGTTGAATTAATAGCAAACAAATTACCACAGAATGATATAAATTTGACTCAATTTTCATTGATCACATTGCTTCTTCTTGGACATAATGAGTTGTGAATTAGTTGGTGAATAATGTGTGATTTGTCTTGTGGAAGATTAACATTGTTGATTCAGTATGTTTGTTGATGTGCTGGTCAGAGATAGATATCACTGCGAGCTCTACCAGTATAGATAAACGTGTATTTGCCACGCTTTAGCGCGTGTCATGCATGCCGATAGCCACGTGACCAGGAACGAGGATACTCGAGAACCAATTGAGACGAACTAGATGTAAAGAAAACTTTGAAGATAAGTTGATTAGCACATGTGTTTTCGCCGTTAGCCGCCAGACTAGGAACGACGTAGCGGTGTTCGTGAAACATAACAAAGGCAAGGCACGAGCCACGTGCTTATCGGCCGTCGCTGTGTTATTTAAGCCGTCCGACCTCCTTTCTTCTTTTTCTTGCGGTAAAACGTCTTGAGGGACATGGCAAGGCGGGTATAACGCTTTCCCTGTAAATAGTCTGCGCTACTCGCAGAAAGCTTTATCTCCACTCGTTCAACACTCACCTTCGACTAAGCGCAGGAAGTCGGTTAAAAGTCCGCTTTGAGTGATATTCATAGCATTTGCTCTCCTTCCTCACTCCGTCTCTCAATCTAACCTCAACCACCAAGACGAGACAGTCCTCAGATGTTCTTCCGAACGGCTGCAATCTGCGCCGTCGCATGGGCAGTGGCTATAATTATACTAAAATCCAATCATGCTGAAAGCGCATGTAGAATGGCTTACATGAATCCCAAATATATACCCCATCCTTTCGTCGACTCAAAGTACGGATTGTATCTTTATAGAGACAAGCATTGGAACGTCGGTGATAGTATAACGGTAGGTAGCAACATAACGTTCCTAATATATCTCCTGATAACTTGTTCTAGCCAGATGGTATACCGGTGCTATTCATTCCCGGAAATGCTGGCTCTTATAAACAAGGTCGGTCGATAGCAGCTGAGATATCCAAGCAATACCATATCGACTACAATCGACCCAATCATGATCTCGCATCTCAAAATATACCACTGCCTGATCTATGGACAGGTGAGCATGCGCCTTCAGAGTGAGGCCGCGATAACACTTTACTAGTCGATTTCAAGGAAGAACTGTCAGCATTCCATGCTGGCTTGGTGCGGCGGCAGGCTGAGTATTGTCGAAGTGCAGTGGACTACATTCTGTCACAATACGCAGGCCAATCACATCCACCAGAATCAGTTATCGTAATAGCGCATTCGATGGGAGGAGTCGTTGCCAGGGAGATGTTCCACTTGACTGATTACAGACAAGGCTCGATAGACCTCTTGTTGACACTAAGCTCGCCAAACGCCATCCCACCAACTCCGTTTTCGAGAAGCATGAGTAGCTTGTTTGGTAATAACTTGAGCAAACACACGGAAATTGCCATCAGTGGAGGATCAGCTGATTCACTGTTACCAGCCGACGTTACGTACGCTCCCATCTCCCAAAACTCATTAAGCGTGCTATCTACGACCATACCAGGGGTCTGGGCGCCGATATCTCATCAGGCGATTGTGTGGTGTGATCAGCTGAGAAGGAAAATAGCAAGAGGTGTGTTACTTTCCGTCGACAGTAGCAAATCTTCGAAATTGAAAAGCAGGGAGAGCCTTATGGAGGTCTGGAAAGGCTTGCTCGTTGGGATTTCTAACATACCTGATACCGTTGGCTTGTTTGATGTCGATCTCAATGCTACAGTGGCATATGGTGCATATACAACCGCAGACATCGGCTCTGATAGGACAGCTTGGTCGCTAGGTAGGCCACCGCCACACTCGGTGACCGGAGATAAGGCGCCAATCGTGAGGCTTGTCACTAGCCTCACCCCTGAGCCCCCATACAAAGACTTTGGTCAGTACGAATCACCCATCCAAGTGCTGGCTTGTCAGGAAATCAAACCACTTAAACGATGCAGGCATCTGCCAATAAGAGATTCCGTAACTCTGCCATATTTACACAGAGACACGCAATGGTTGCCTGTCCGACATGGCGCCGACGAAGACCACACTATGTATCTGTTAGACGCAGACACAGATACTCTGGATGACAACGAGAGCGTGGTACTGTTTAGAAATGGAAAAGACGGAAAGAGGCACTGGATTACCTCCCAGTTCGCACCCGCTGACGAAGAGATCGTTATTGGTGGATCACTTACACGCATGTTATTCTCATCAGTTCCTCTTCTCGAGCAAAATCATGGGATAATGGCATTAAGAAGGAGATATAAATTAATTAATGCACCGTCTACTTCGCTAGTAGTGTACAGAATCGATGCTAAGCAGTCGACGTGTGTGTCGACGCAATTCAACAACAAAGAGCTATTTCAACCGCTGCTTAGACACGTTGTTGGATCTTTAAAAGGAATCGAAGAGACTTACCATCCAGACCTCAATGGAAGAATTGCAATTGAGTCACATCTTTCACAATCACCCTACCTAATCGCTGACGCGAAATCGAACAAGACTGAGCTCATCTTTGAGGTTTTTGCGGACACTTCCAGTACCGAATCATGCTATCCATTACAGGAACTCTCGGTCAGTGTGGATATTCTAGCTAGTATTTCCAAGTGGGGTACCCGCTATCGATCGGCATTAGTGGGATTTGCGTTGGGGATTTGGTGTGTCGCATTTAGACGGCAATTACAATCACTGGATTTGACGGGTGCATCAATCACCCTTCTCGAATCATTAACGGTAGCATTTCCACGTGAGATTTTAGCATTCTGCTTCATAATGGTAGGAAGTGTATTGGCTAGCTCATTATACGCAAAATTCAGCTTATATTTCGTTGGATTACATGACCCCAAGCTGTGTTTCGTCGGCCCTATCCTTCTCTTAGCATCATATGGTTTAATCAGTGGAGTCACTGTGGCAATTACAGGATTCAGCGCAATTCTCTCTTTCACTAGACTACACATACCCAAATTTAAGATAAGTCGGAAAAGAGAACTGGGTTTGATGTTGACTACAGCTGCTATCACTCTATTAATACCACAACAGGTAATGCTGAGTCTCATTGGAATATACACGCTATTAACCGATAATTCAACACCTCTCGCTCTTTCTATACGAGTCTTGGTAGTCTTACTAGCACCATTTTACATACCAGTAACTGTGGTCTGGCTAAAAGATCCGTTGATGAGCTCATTTGGGGTTGATTTTGAAGATCATAATCCATTACCTATTTTACCAATCGTCTGGATTGTTTTACACGTACAGTCTTGCAATGCTATACGGAAGCACAGAACGACCGACAGATTGGTTTGGTGGATAGAGAACAGCGTATTTGTCACATTTGCATTGTCTTCACTTGCATTCAGTGGAAGATATGCGTACATTTTATATGAAGGGATGTGTATCTTACTGGCAATTCTGTCTTACACGCGTTATTTTAATTGTAAAACAGAATGAATGGAACAGGAAAATGACTGTATAAATAGTTTTTAAAGTGTATTTGAACGCAGCTTAGTCGTGCAATGGAGTATTTGATCTTGATCTGGATCTGGATCTTGAGACTGATCTTGATCTTGATCTGCTTGTCGATCTGCCTCTGATGTCATTAACTGCAGTTTGATCCATTGGCTGTTGCTGTTGCGCCATCTGCATAGTCTGCATATTGGTATAGTAAACCCACATGAATGCACAGCTACCTATTTGTTCATTTGAGGGAACGAAACCGAATGTCTTCTCGAATGCTTTTCCAGCCAATATCCAAGATTGCGGTTGAGTTGGGTCGAATGCTACCCAATCAAAATTAGATAATGCATCAACAGATTTATTATTACTATGACTATGACTATAATTATTGCTACTGTCTGGTGTTGGTGACTTTTGATCCTGCTGATAGCTGTTGTAAGACATGTGATTTGGTTGTGAGTAGTGTGAGTATGAGTGGGTATTCGAAGGTGAGTTAGTGCTAAAGCTCTCTCTAGAGCTTTCAATTGGTCTCTTTGTTCTTGGATCTATCCTTGGACGCTTACCACTATCATAGCTTTGGTTTTGTATGCTCTGTGGTAGACGCGCTGATCTATCTCTGTTCCCATAATCATATCTATCATTGTACCTGTCGTTGTATCTGTCATCGTATCTGCTATCGTATCTGTCATTGTTACTTCTGTCCCTCTTCAAGCTACCGCTATCGGATGATGGTGTTTGAGAGTTCTTGTCATCTCTATAAACGCGCATTAACAAAGACTACTAAGTCAAGTGACTATAACTCACGATGAAGGAATCTTGGAAAGGAATTGAAGGATATTTGCAGGTAAACCTCCATTGCTATCTCCATCATCCTTTTTGCTTGAAGATTTTGCTGTATCTGAGTGGTTCACAACGTCAATACAGTTAATTTGTATATAATAAGAATTTATGAAAGCACCTTTTTCTGAAACATTTTTATTACTACTTGACTCATGTCTTGCGTCGAGAGTATCGCGGTCGCTTTGCTTCTGGCTTTCATTAGTTTCGCCGCTGTTGCTCATCTTATCCATAAGTATTTCAAGCATGGGCTTATTGAATACGGCCATCTGTGACCACATTTTGAGTATCTTAAGATTTTTCTCCTTCAAGGAATTCAATATAAGTCTGAATAAACTAGAATTACTCTACCTTCAGTTCTTTGTCAAGGTATTTAAGAGATTCGTCGAAGAAATCGACCAAGATGGATTCAATCGCGGAGAGAAAGTTCTTCCAATTATTTGAATCCCTGTTGCTTTTCTTGATCGCTTTGTGTGCTTGTTGCACCAGCGCATGTAGCGTGTAAAGACTAGAGACCCTCTTGGCTTTTTTGTCTCTGTGAGTTTCCAAGATGGACGAAGCCATATGTTGAGATCCCATCTTAGGGCAAATCAATTGAGGTTTTCGAGCTGAGCTACCAGACTCACGTTAAGGTTTTTGCCGCAGATGTACGATATCCTCTCCACTCTGGTGTTGGACAGTGTCGATCTGTGAATCACTGTTTCTCTCAGCAAGTCGTCGAATTCCTGTGAATTAAATGATAATAAGCACTAAAGCTTTTGATGGTGCGTTCCCCGTACTTTTAATGACATTGAGTTGGTAGTCCAAGATGAAGGAGCTGTTGAGGTGCGCGAGAAGCTTATAATTTGTGCGGGGAATTCAGATAAAAGTGGTAAAGGCTTGAGAGTCTCTCTATCTCTTTGAATCAGCCAATACATGTTTCTATCCTCTGCTTAGGTCTCTGCTCCGTGCTAATATCGAGTTCAATTATCATAGGCTTAAAATGTCCTAAAAATCGTCGGAAGAAACGTTGCAAGAGAAATACATTTATGTTTAAAGATTAATTTGTTTAAATGAGATTATTTATATTAGATATCAAAGCCGGCATATACTGTTTACGACTGGCATGTTTATTTTGATTGTAAACGACTGTGCCATTCAAAGAGAAGGCAAAGTTACCGCTGATCTTCAGCTTAAGCAGTTCATCAGCTTCTATCCCCTTTCTCAGTTTATCCAAGTGAGCGTTCAGCTTGCTAGAGGAGGGTACATGCAGTAGCAATTCCCTTCTGTGTTTGTGGCCGCTTTTACTGTTAGGATCGTGATAGCTCGTCCCAATTCCAAGCAAATCAAGAGCACCCTCGCCTTTTCCGTCATCTTGAGTGAATCTTTGTATATCTCTCTCAAACGAGTCTATGCCACTTGCGTTTCCGCAAATCCAATCTTCAAGGCTCATGGGTACAGATGCTAGCCCTAAACTTATTCCATTAGATGCATAGACGCGTTTGTAGTCTCTTTGAAGTAGCTGTGTAGTGTTTAATGATGACACATCATTTTTACACTCGGAGAGCGAGCCAAATAGATCGGATGTAGCTACGGTGGATGGCTGTGACGCTTGATGAATACCAGCGAAAGAGGAGCGAGGCAGAAGGAAGTCGTAAGCCTCAAAATCAACGCTCTGCGCTTTACCACCTTGTTTAAGATTGTTGGTATCCACTATAATAGCCTGAATGAGCAAATCAGCGATGCTTCTTTCTGTATCTGAATCAATGATCGATTGAGCCCAGGCATGTTTGAAATTGTCCGTAACAAGACTTGCACAGCTTCCAACTGGTGTTCTGACATCCCATAAAAGCGCACTCGGGTAACGATCAGGTGCGCCATCGTGATGATCAATAACTGCGACTACATCTGATTCAGGAGATTTCCATTGATTATCAAGTGTAGAATGATCCACCAGGGCGTAATTTGTCGCCGGGTCAAAATCATCTTTGATGTCTGAGAAAAAGATCAAAGAGTTTGTATCGATTTTTGCATTTGATAGCGCTAGTCTGTTCTCAGGACGAAGATTCAAGTCTTCTCTCGACGACTGAACGACGGGAATAGCCTGTTTGAGCGAAATAGGCGCGTTAGAGAGCGTGGATAGGTAGCTGAATGCAATTGATGAGGCTAGACTGTCCAAGTCTTCATTGTGTGCAATGTGAGATACAAAGACGTAAGTCAAAGGGACACACACCATTAGATTGGTTTCCGAGTACGATGATCCAATTGCTGATCGACTTAGCTCTCAAATCAGCCATAAATTTCGACCTCGTAGCTGCGAGTAAGGTATTCATCTGTGTTTGTTTGCTGCGCTGTGTAGAACGTGGGAGAGACGTATATTTGACTTTAACAGCTTGAAATAAAGCAGCTAACACGGTAAACAGTGTAATTAAAATGTATAATTTGTATTTGATCGTCGTTGAATGTCCCTTGAATGTCCCTTGAAAACCGACGCTCAGCTCATCGAGACGCAATTCCAACGCGGATATGAGCTATCCCGAGATACCAGACATTAGCAGACTAAGTGTTGATACGCGTGGCGCAGAAATCGTAGACGATGTTACAGAGGTGGGCTACGCTGGTATTTCCCGAAATGGAACAAAGTGCTGATATCAACAACAGGACAAAGATAGTCGGGGAATCTATCTTCCCTTCCATACAGAGTCTGTATCCCATATTGCCCTAGACGTAAGTGCTCGCGCTAGATTTACCCCCATTTCTTATTAATAACGGGGAACAGATTGGTGGAAGTCTCGCAAAGTGTGTTTATTTCTCGCGGACATCCCGCAGGAGAAGCAGCACAGCGTCTAGTAAGAGCACGAAGAGCACGAATCGAAACAGTCCCCCACCTCTTCAACCGCCGCCATCACCTAAACCAAACGGAACGCTAACCCCGAACATTCTCAAACCAATCAGCAACGACGCATGTACCCCTGTGTCTCCATTGTATAGCTCTGGCGGTAGTTATTTTGACGTTCAGAGCAGCTCTCACTCCGACAGCGCGAAGATCAGACCGGGATTCGGCAGTCACGGCCGATCGAAATCTAAACACATACCGGGTGGTCAGCTTAACTTTGTCAAGTTTGAGACTGAGCATATAGAAGAGTGTATTGACTTCTTGCGCAACCTTATTGATCAATCAGCAAATGTCAATGATGTTAGTCTTGATCAAATGAGGGCCAGCATCAAAATTGTTATGACCGGAGGCGGTGCCCACAAGCTTGGAGATGTTTTTGAAGACCAGCTCAAGACTGCTGTAGCAAAAGAGGAGGAAATGGAATGTCTGATAACTGGCTTACAGTTTATTACAACTATTCCCAAGGAGGTCTTTTGGTGAGTGCTGGGATTGCTGTTAAATCATCATGTCTGACATGTCATCAAAGGTACTCTGATGAGTTGGTGTACTCAGTCAGTCACAAGAAGCAGAAGAAAACTATATTACCCCAAGAGGAACTTCCAAGGCCATCGCCGAACCCGCCCCAGTTTAGCGTCAGCTTCGACAAACCGACTGAGTTTGAGTATCCTTGTCTGCTTGTCAACATCGGATCAGGGGTGTCTATTATCAAAGTGAACTCCGACGGCTCCTTCGAGCGTGTCTCTGGAACCTCTCTTGGTGGGGGAACACTTTGGGGTTTATTGTCGCTCCTCACGCCAGCCACGTCGTTTGATGAGATGTTAGCGTTGTCAGAAACAGGAGATAACAACTCAGTAGATATGCTCGTAGGCGATATTTACGGTAGCGATTACGGAAAAATTGGTTTAAAGGCGACGACAATCGCTTCATCATTCGGTAAGGTTTTCAAGAAAGGCGATAACAATCGCAAGAAAGAATTCAAGCCTGAAGACATCAGTAAAAGTATGTTGTTCATGATCAGCAACAATATTGGTCACATTGCGTACATGCAAGCAGAGAAACATAACGTGGATAGAATCTATTTTGGAGGGTGTTTCATTAGAGGTTTGTGAAATGTGTTGGCTGATTCTTTTCTCACACCATCGTAATAGGACACGCTGCTACGATCTCAACCCTCAGCTATGCTATCCGTTTTTGGAGCAAAGGTACGAAAAGGGCCATGTTCCTTCGTCATGAGGGCTTCTTAGGTAGTCTTGGTGCTTGGATAAAGAACATAGACGAAGAGCACTACTGATTACCAATGAGAAATGTATCCCTTCTGATTGATTACTAGTCTATTGTAAAACTGTATTTCTAAGTATACATTTGTTAACGCAAGACAACCATGGGGGATCTGCAATTAGGTGAGCAGAATGCGTAAGGACTTGGCAAAATTTAATGTGCGTCTAGATAGTATATTTGGTAGATCGCCCTCACCACCACCAGCAGCGCCACCAAAGTACGAGAGCTACACTTACAAAGGACGAGAATTGAAGATACGGTTAGAATCATTTCATCCATTGTGGGCGCATTATCTCTGGAATGCAAGTAGAGTATTCTGTAACTATCTAATCAACAACAATCTGTGTAAAGGAAAGAGCGTATGCGAGTTGGGTGCAGGAGCCGGACTTCCGTCGCTAGTCTCAGCGTTGGAAGGAGCAGATAAGACGGTGGTTACAGACTACCCAGATGAGCCGCTTTTGAACAACCTCCGAATCAACGTCGGTGAATGCTTAGAAGAAAACGCTCAGAACAAGATAAAGGTTGAGGGATTTGTTTGGGGTTCTGATATAGCAAATCTCCTTGCAGCCAACAACGGCAACAAATTTGACATTCTTATTCTGTCTGATTTGGTGTTTAACCATTCTCAGCACAACTCGCTGCTGAAAAGTTGTAAGGGATTGATAGCCCAAGGTGGACAGTGTCTCGTCTTTTTCAGTCACCACCGCCCACATAAGGCTAAAGAGGATATGGGATTCTTCGATAAAGCTGCAGAAGAAGGCTGGATTGTCGAGCGTGTAGTGGAAGAGCGTGTTGGCGTCATGTTCGAAGAAGACACTGGAGATGAAGGTGTCCGAGCCACAGTGCATGGATTTAAGCTTACATTGTAGATACTGTAGATGCTTTTTGTAATATTCTCCTTATCTCGTGGATTCTGTTATTCCAACTAATACGATCATCATGAGCGAGAGACTCGGTTTGCCAGCTCCACCTGCAGATGGAGAGAAGACGACGGTGCAAGTCAATGGAGAAAGCCTCAGCCTTGATCATCTCGGTCCAATGGTGGTCAATTCCGACGGCACATTGAGCAGGATACAGAATTGGGAAGGAATGAGTCAGATCGAGAGGGAAAAAACGCTGAGACTGATAGTTAAACGGAACAGGTGAGCTGGAGCTGCTTTGAGATGTTTGAAAACCAGCTAAAGCACCTTAACCAGACAAAGATTAGACAAGCTCCAATCCGAGGGAAAGTAAAATAGATTATGCATTACAATAAACTCAGAAATTATTTTTGAAAACAGCTTTGATATAGCTGATTGAGTGTATGGGATGTACGCTATCGGTTTCGTCAGTAATCGTGATAAGAATATCTTGGATACCCAGAAATTGAGTACCATGTGAGCCAGTAGCTTATAATGACCTTGCTGTAATGTGACAAGGTATTTAATGGTTCATCTGCGATGACTCACAAATACAACTGTCAAGATTGGGTTTCCCAGCCGGAATCTGCGTATGAAGACGGCAACGACGCTTGTTGAAAATATAAGCATCGCCCCTACTCTTATGGGCTAGTTTTGCATCAATATAAGCACATCTCGCGTGCTAAGCCCAAGTATAAACATTCCCTTGAGCTGTTTATACCAGTACATTATGAGTCTGTGATATAGAACTGAGCCAATGTACCATAAACCTTGGAAACTAATTCGAGAACAATCCCGAGCACAAATAAATTTACCGATGTGCTCGATGTCTTATCTTAAGCATCATAGCGCGGTTGACTGACCGCCGAACAAAGCGAACAACGTAGTTCTTAATAGGACAATAAGAGACATTGATGGTGAGGCTATTCCATTAGCAAAGCAGACCGTAAAGCCCAGAAGATGCTGCTTCCAACTCAGATCGAAGTAGCTGAATGCATAGCTCTTATTGCTCTAAGTTGTTCATATGATCAATTAGTACGCAAAGCTAGCCAATGCGTATTATCATACCGTACAAGCTTATCCATCCTTTATTTGATGGAATGGCCATGCTGCGTGAAGTATGCCAAAGACAAACGCGATTCTTTGTATTGCTGTGTATGGTGTATTACTCAAGTGGTTTGTAGCATTGTATCTCATACGAGCGATCGTGTCAGTCCGGTTAGTGGCAGTTGCCTCTTCGACTCCGACGACGATCTACACGATCAGGATGAATTTGTCTTCAATGATCAATACAGACGAGCCACAAGCTAGCGCTGAAGGAAGTATACCAGCTGCACCGCAATCACAACACCCTGCATATCCTTACCCACAACCACACCCTCAATCGCATCCACATTCTCACCCTCATTCGCTAATTGCTAGCCACGCGCTAACGCATCCTCAATCTCAGGGCTCTGAGCAGCCATCAGTACTACCTTCCGTGTTGCAGCAGCCACACTCACAACCACGACAACCACTGCCTCAACCGCATCAGCTTTACAAAGGACTTGAGAAACCACACGATCATCCATCGCTCAATTGCTGGGAGCTGCCTTACATCTGGGCTGCAATTACGCGATTTATACCCATAGTACAACATGAGCTTCTAGACGGTGTCAGAGAGTAAGTTAGCTACTTTTTCGATGATAAGGTATTCAATTTGCTTGTTTAGGCTGGAGGAAGCTTTGACTGCTTCGCCTGGTACTGTACATCCAACTGTTCACTTGGTTATGGAGCACATAGTCAGAATCTTTAAGCCAAAAATGTCGAATACTGAGTGAGTCGCTTGGGTTAGGTACTGAGGTAGCTGCTGATTTATTCATTAGTCCTGATGCGCTCGCCAAGCAAATTCAGTTACAGCTTTCTGATATCAAGCATTGGCCGGAGGAAGTAGTTGACCAGCCATCAGGCGCTGTCGTGGAAGACAGACCACTGAAAGATGGGAAATCATTTTGGGAAGCTGGGTGGAGGGAGAAGGTGGGTGTGATATGTTATTTGCACAATTCTAATATCAAATTAAGGTTTCTGTTATGAGACATCTGGTTGATTTGTCGCTCTCAACACCTCAGATAAAGGACATGATAGAGAAAAACTACAGAGTATCTACAGTAGAAAGGCACAGGAAACGTCGTGATGATCCCAAAGATAACGCTTTAGTTCTACCACCAGTAGGTGAAGACAGTAAAAGACAGAGACTTTGGGTTCTAGACGACAACCCAAGGGTGTACATATCTGGTAACCCATGGAAGAAGTCAACGACAATGACTGCTGTTACTGATACTATGGAGGATGTCGTCGCTTTGGCCAACAGTTACGCAATGTCTTCTTATCAGTCTGAAATGAAAGCCATGGAAGTTGCACAGACTGACAAATCACTGTGGAAACAACTGATGAATAACGCTAAAAAGGAGAGAGATCTGGCTGAATCATTAGCTGGGCAGCGCCAAGGTGCGTTCCTGCGCCGATGTGAAGCAGAGGAATCTAGGATTGCTCCAATGAAAAGAAGAAGGAAAGAGGAAGCAGAGGAATCAGAAAAGCACCTGTCTCAACACCCAGAAGAACGAAGGAATGTTGGTTATGGAGATGGTGAACAAACGCTGAAAAAGGAGTACGAAGATCCTCGTAGGGAAGATAGGGAAGATAGGGAAGATAATCACATCGATATAAAGAAAGAAGAATTTGCAATTGTGAGTCCTGCATTTACTTTATGTGAATAGTGATTAACAATACTTAAGCGAGATAAAGATGATGACGGACGGGAGCCAGAAGTGGAAGAGCCAGATGGAAGAAGGTCAAGGAGACAAACACATAATCGATCACAGACACCGTCAAAGCAAGGAACGCCATCAGACAAGTCGACGCGTTCTTCATCACGCTTAAATACCAACCAAGATGTGAGAATGGAAGAATGAGCATGTAAATTTTGATATAAATTGATTTGAATACGCCTTCGCTTGGAGTTTGTTTCCTCACCTTTGCCATTGGTTTTAATAGATCTTCAACTCGCACCCTCGCACCACAAGCAAGTTAAAAATGTTACCAAGAGTATTCATTGACTGGAATATCGACGGCGAATACGCTGGTAGATTGATATTTGAATTATACAGCGACAAAGTACCAAAGACGGCCGAGAACTTCAAATCCCTCTGTACGGGTGAGAGAGGATCAGATGAGGCTACAGGTGGGTTACGATGCTCGAATGAATCTACAAGGCTTATGCTGGTGTACAGGAAACAGCCTCACCTACAAGAACTCCATCTCTCACCGCATAATCAAAGGTTTCATGATACAGTTTGGTGATATCACAAATGGAAACGGTACGGGTGGTTTGTCCATCTATGGAGGTAAATTCGAGGATGAGAACTTTGATCTTAAGCATACGAAGCGCGGTCAATTGTCCATGGCTAATGCAGGTCCCGACACAGTGAGTTCGGTGTCAGTTTCTTTATGATCTAGACTTAAGGTTATTTAGAATGGATCTCAAGTGTTTGTTACTTTTTGCCCCTGCCCGCATTTAGATGGAAGGTGTGTTTGTTACACTGGTACGCTTTCACAATAGTCTAAACATATACACGCAGACATGTCGTTTTCGGTGAACTTGCTAAAGGCAAAGGATTGCTGCGTAGAGTGAGCTACTTATAAGTTGACTAGTGTTTCGCTAAACCTCAATTTAGCTCGAAAATACACAAACTGTTGACAACGACTTCCCTGCCGTCGACGTGCGTATCGTTGATTCAGGTTTAGTCCGAGAGGGAGAGGATGACGGTGTACCTCCACTCTCAATTGGTGATCATGAGGTAGGCTCATTTAAACATTCGATATGCTGCTAACCGTTACAAAGGATTACCCTGAAGACGATGACGCAGAGACTGAGAAGCCAGAAGTAGCGTTGGAGATAGCTCAATCAATTAAAGACAAGGGAGCTCAATGCTTCAAGCAGCAGGACGTTGAAGGAGCTTTAGATCAATGGGAGAAAGCTATAAGATACCTTGACGTTAATCCAGTTTTGCCCGAGGAAACTGCGAACGTTACCAAAGCATTATACTCAACAACGAGAGTACAATTATACTTGAACGCTTCTTTAGCCGCTCTCAAGTTAAACAAAGCGCCTGTAGCCGAGTCAATGGCAACGAAAGCTATCAGAGTACCACCAACTAAGAGTCAAGACATAGCCAAGGGTTTGTACAGGAGAGCGCTTGCAAAATCAGCACGTAAGAATGATGCCGGTGCTCTTGACGATCTCCATTACGCAATCAAAGTCGAACCTCAAGACAAAAACATACATAGCCAAATAGCTACCCTCGAAAAGAAGGTGGAGGGCTTCAAATTGAAAGAAAAACAAGTTTACAGTAAAATGTTTGAATAAATGTTTGTTATCTGCCTTTTGAAATTATGGAGACCACGACGGATAAGCATTCTGACTGTATATGTAGAGAATGACTTCTCTCTTTATAAAAGACTTGAAAAAAACCCTATGAAATGTAGGCTTTGCATTTGAGTTCCACTCACTCGTTTTCTAACCTCGACCACCAACCAAATATCTCAATGAGCGGTTATTACGATAACAGAGGCGGAAGTAGACGAGGCGGAAGAGACGGAGGGAGTAGAGGTGGTTACCAAAAGCGTAATTTCTATAGGGATGATCACGTCGAACCTCAAAGAGATACTCGCTGGGAGAAGCTTGAATCTCGCATAAAGAACCTCGCAGAAGATGATGTACGTAAGGGCTAGTTTGTTAAATATCTCATAACATATCTTAGGGATTTGAAATAGAATCTGATCTACCAAGATTAGCTAGAGCTATTCAAGCCGCGTTTGAATACTACGAAGATGTGATCCCAGATACAATTTACAAGTTTTTTACACAACAACCCCACAAATCTCAGTTATATGCATCGCTGGTCTTACTTTTGTCTATTTCATTTGACAACCAAGATAATCAAGACGCTGGAATTGTTGGTCAGAAAGTACTCGACCACTGTTTGATTAGATGGAAGGATGCCTTGGAAAGTAGAAGATGGATGGAAATGAGAATTGGCACTAACTTCTTTGCCAACTTGGTTCCTGCTCTTATTTCACCTGAATCGTTCTATGAGACTATTAACACGTTCGTCAAAGTGCTAGAGGAGCCAGGCGTATCATCGCTTCGAGCCGAAAGAGCGATTGAGTGTGCATCCGAAGCACTTATATACGCTAGCAGCTTCCTCACAACTCAATCAAAAGAAAGATACGAAGGTTTCGTAAACAGAATAGAGCAGTATGTTCAAAATGAAGAGATAAATGACACGAGACTGTTGCTCTACCCATGGGTCAATCTACCAAAAAATAACAGCAGGAACAAGGTTGACAATTGTGTCGATCCAATTCAAATTTATATCAAGACTTTACGTTCTCTTTCCGAGTCAGAATTTAAAGATCCTAAGCTACCTTTGTTTGATATAGAAGAGGTTTTACCAACTGTCCGAGAAGTTGATCCTGCATTACGCACAGAATTACCCAGCTTGTTGGTACCAGCTGACGATTATAATACTACCTCAAGGCCCAACAGTGAACTTTCTAGATGGAAGTTACATATTATCGAAGATGACACAGTCCCTTCACCTGACTCTGGAGATGGCGTCATTGTTTACTCCGTCCTCAGAGATATGATTACGCTATACAATAGAAATAGGATCGACTGCGCAAAAATATTGATGGACGTGCCTACATTCTTTCAAGGTAATCTTTTCAATGTTGATGGGTATAGTTTGGAGTCTACCCTTGTTTCAACAATTTTGAGCGAGTTACTCACCCTTCCTGAGCCCAAACATCCCAAACTTTATTACTCTAGTCTTATTACTGAGCTATGTAAGCTAAGTCCAAAGACCGTTGCTCCAGCTCTTGGTAGATCCATACGCAAAATATATGGCTTCATCGGTGAGGGCTTGGATGTAGAGATCATAATGCGATTCAGCGAGTGGTTTGCAACTCATCTGTCCAACTTTGGCTTCAATTGGGTGTGGAAAGAATGGTGGGTTGCTACACGTAATGAAATAAATCCTCTAACCATGACAAAAGGATACCTGATTTAGACTTACCTGACAATCATCCAAAGAGGATGTTTATCAAAAGGGTGATTGAATTGGAGATTCGTTTGAGCTATTTCGATAGGATTAATCAAACACTTCCCGAGGCACTCCTCAACAAGGCTGGTATGGTGGTATCTCCAATGCCAAACTTCATCTACGCGAACGAAGAGCATCCATATAATGCAACAACAACGAGTGTTATGGATTCAATGAGAAACAAGATAACGTCAGATGCCATGATAAAGAATATCGTCAAAATCGAAGAAGATTTGAAAGAGAATCCATCATTACCACAAAGCGGAAACTCTGCTAAGAAGGTTGCTAGAGATATAGCCACGCAGTGTTTATTAAATGTTGGCTCGAGATCTTTCTCTCACTTTCTCAATGTGATTGAGAAGTACATTGAAGTCATAAAATATCTCACTGCTGATAAAGATTCCCGTATCGATTTGCTGAGATCTGTTGGTAGGTTTTGGGTAAGAAACAGTCAAATGAAGAAGATAATAGTGGACAAATTGCTTCAATACAGACTGATTGAACCAACTGATGTTGTTCAATGGTTATTCAATCCAAACGATCCAGAATTCCCTTCGGAAGTTGATGACACCGTGTATCAAATAGGATGGTCAGATTTAAACTTTGGAGATTTATTAAAAACCGCTCTCAACAAGGTCAACACCAGAGTAAATCAACAATATCAAAAGTTAGTTGAAACGAAGAAAAATGATGAGGAAGTCGCATCGATTGCTAAAGCGCGTAACATGGAGATAGACAATGAAGATGAGACTACTAAGGAAGAAGAAAGAAGAGATTACTCACAGCTGCAATTAACGTTTGACAATCTCAACAGAGAGCAAAGAGAATGTTTCGTCTTGCTTGTTCAAGCATTTGTTGAAGCGTTAGAAGGTGTCGACAGTATTTCTGACAAGAGTATAGAAGAGTATACAGATCAAGATTGGGACAAGTGGTTATCTTGGTCATGGTACCAAGCTTTCTTGAGAGAATATTGGCCATCTATCTCCGAAACTGTGGAGACCATTCAGGTACTATCGTTCAATTCTCTAACAGACAAAGAAAACGACCCTCGCTGGCAATTGTGGAAATCTGCCCTTGCCTTGTCGAACAGATGCAATTGATGCTTCTTAAATAAATCTATTAAATTTAAAATCCATGCTTTTTTGTTATTCAAATTAAAAGCTGAAGTTTTGCAGGTCATAAGTAAGGTCATTTGACTCACATATGATTAGAAAAGGGTACCTGTTTCGCAATCGTTTCTAAGAATTGAGCGACTGCGTCTCGCTTCATTGAAAACCTCAACCCAATACAACAGAGTATGAGCCACGTACACTCAATAGCAAAGGAAGGATTCGGTCCCAACTCAAACTTGTACGATGAGCATCGTCCCAGCTATTCAGAAGAAGCGGTATCCGAGGTAAGTCGGACGGGGTGGTTGTGTACTTAACCAACGATGTGCAGATCATTAGAAATATCCCCAATAAGCCAGCTAGAGTGTTAGAATTAGGAAGTGGAACCGGAATTTTCACAAGAGCGCTTTTAAGTCATACAACTACTGAGATTCAAAGTTTGATAGCAGCCGAACCGAGTGAAGACATGAGAAAGACCTGTGCTGATAGCTTAAACAATGACATTGTTAAAGGACGAGAAGTCGAAGTCATTGAAGGCACTTTTGAACACATAGAGGCAGAGGACGACTTATTCGACATCGTGATCATAGCTCAAGCTTATCATTGGTGTGCAGACTATGACAAGTCTTTGAAAGAGCTCAAAAGAGTTATGAAGCCTCACGGTAAACTAGCCCTTACGTGGAACATGGAAGACAAATATAATAAGAAATGGGTTGCAAATGCGAGAAACATATATGAGAAGTATGATGTTGGCACACCGCAATACAGATTAGGGGAATGGAAAGCTCTTTTTGATACAGACGCTTACAGATCTTATTACAAAGGAGTTGATTATAACAAGTACCTTAGGCATCTTCCACTATCCTTACAAGGATACAAAGATAGGCAAAGCACGAAATCTTTCATCAACATCCTTCCTATCAAGGAAAAAGAGGAGCTGCTGGAACACCTTGCTCAATTTATAGCTTCTCAGCCTGATGTTGACTGGATTGAGAAAGACAAGGGTACATTTTACATTCCATACTCAACAGACTTATTCATAATCCATCTCAAGTAGGCTGACAAAGAGTAGATAGATCCAGCCATTCTTATAAATCTTTATTGTGTAACGTTTTAGACCAATCAAACCTTAGATAGTGCCTAATAACAATTTGTCTCAAGACTGCTACATGACCCAGGCTCACTGCTACTGCATTCCATGTAAACCCATTTGTTTTGAATTGTATGACTGTTGGATTTCGCGAGTGATTGACCATCTCTGACCTGTTGCTGCTTTGGACAATCAACTGTATTACTGTGAAGTGAAATAAAAGAGAGCTATGAAGCATATTGACTTTGAATGATTTTCTTTAGATTTTACTAGTTAAATTTTCACACTTCAACCCGTCCAAATGTTGTTCGAGTCATTCTGCATACTTACTGACGTTGATACATTAACCAATTTAATAGAAATGCATAGGAGATAGAATTTTCAAAAAAACTGATTGTTCCAAAGGTAAGCTTTTGTTAAACTTCCCCATGTTTCTCAATTCATCACGCATCCACTCGGATAATACGACTCGAGCGACATCATGGATGCACACCCAAAGGAATCTAGATCGATATTTCATGTGCTATCTATGTCTTGAGCCGAAAAAGACCTTTGGCATGAAAAGATTTGAAACTATTGATAAAAAGTGCAGATGCTATCATCCAGACATTGCTTCTATCAACATGAATCTAAATAATGCATTGTAATTACAAATTGTGAATAAGTTATGCTACCTGTTCAAAGTCATCGTCTTCCTCTGAATCTTCATCTCCATCTCCTGGTTGATGCTGTGATGAATGAGCTTGAGCTACATTCGTAGTTCCGGTATCTTGTTTCAAACGTTTGTTGGTTGTTTCCTGATAGGGCGACTGAGATCGCTTTAAAGTGTTGTAATTGGAGTAATAATCATTGTAGTATTGGTCAACGTTTAGCTTCTCTTGGCCATCACTTTGATTCTGGGTGACATCTTCCTCTCTCGACTTGTCTCTTATGGATTGGTTTCTGTGACCAACAGCTGTGATTTCACCTGATATCGTGCTCCTAAGTACCCATTCTGGTAGCGCATTCTTTGTTCGTCTCTCCTCTTCCTCTCTCTCCATCTTCTTCTTATGCTCATCGTCATGCTCGTCTGCAACTATTTGAACCCTCACTTGAGACTTGTTGTTAGCTGCGTTGGATCCACTACCTGCTACGGCTAGTCCATCATCTTCGCCTTCGAGTTCTTTGATTGGTTGTGTAATTGCCTTAACGTTCTTACTTATCCAATCTGCAATGTCAAATCTAAACCAGCTTCAGTCGATAGCTGATAGCTTTAGTAATACTCACGGTGGCAGTGTCATATCTTCGGTGAGCTTCAACCCAGCTATGATATGTCGACATTGCATAAGAAGTCTTGCCATCATGTCTTGTGAACCTTTGACACCGTCGGACTCGTCATTGTCTTTGAGTGGAGCATTGCACGTATCACATAGGAATGTATCTGTCGTGGAATTCAAATGTAAGACGTCGAGTGGAGTGAATGTCTTGTGACAACCTGGACAAACGTAACCTTTTTGATCGAGTTCCTTAAGCAAGGTAAGCAACAACATAGTGTAAAGGAAATGCCCACATTTCTGAGTTTATCGTCGATAGCTTTTCTGATTCTCCACATACGCCATTTGACGTTATCAACGAATTGCTGGTAATCAATGTAATAATATGTTTTCAATAGAGGGCGTGGATTCGGAGGCTGGTATTCATTGCGTCTATAGCTTTGTAGTGTCAGCATTGATTTACCTACTGAACCACTGAACCACTCACTGAAAGACAAGCTTATCAGCAATCAATTTAGCGATTAGCTTCGAGCTATCTTTAACCGTAAGTCCAATTCTCCCAGCGACTTCACCGTCCTGCATACTGTGTAAATATCATTAGCGTCGAAGCCACTATCATAGCTATAGCTACTTTACTCACGCTTCCTTCCTTATAAGCTGATCAAGAATTATAAAATATTTGCTTTCATAGAAAGATCTTCCGACGTGTTGTACCAGGCTCTTCAATCTCCTTTCATCCGTTTCGTTAGCAATCGCCGCGTGCATAGACGATGATGGTTTAAGATGATGAATTATTATCAATGACTTTGTATAATTACAAGATAGTTAAATAACATGTTTGATGAAATGACTGTCTGTTTTTAATAATATTATTAAGTGAAAATAGAAACATAATGCCCAATAGCTTAGATTACTTGATTATTTTCGTTCCATCTGTCAAATATATCCATAGAGGCGCCAGCAAAGTTCTCGCCATTTTGTGATTGTGGTCTTAAACTCTCGCTTGACCTCTTGCTGAGCGCGCTCAGTTGCCTTTTAACAGCTTTTTCCTTGATCAAGTTGGAAGGCTCGAGGTTCGCGCTTGATCTGTTAGATGAACCTCCGTTCTGTTCAAATTGAGCAACGCGTCCTTTAACTGAGATTTGTTGACTCTTGTCAGACTCTGCCGATGGTGATGGTAATGAGTTTGCAGCTGCATATCTCTTAAACGTATCAAAAGAGTATTCGTTTTGAGATGTATTCAATATCTTCGTTGGAGTTTCCAGTTCGACTTCCTCTTCAATGTGTTGTTTACTCATCTCATCTGTTCTCATCGGATGGAGCTGTGGCATTGCAGCAGCTGCCTTGGATGCGGGTGACCAGAAAGATGGTGAGTTAGCAACTTTGTTCGATGGAGACAATGGAAGTTCTTTCTCTTCGTGTTGCTCCATGAAAGTTGGTGAGAAAGGATCCTCAGATTTACGCTTAGCTTGACCATCCTGGATCCTACCAACAGGCGATGGCTGAGCGCTGCGTCCTGATGGACTGCCGTTTACTTGTTCATGAGCACTGAGCTTGCCTTTATTTGAGCCGGGTGATACTGGCAAGGGACGTCTACCATTTTGCTGTACTGTTGACTCGCGCTCTGAGTCCACATCATTTACAGGTGAGTTTAGATATGCTAGTGATGCTAAAACATCGCCACCAGACAAGTGTGATGCTCGTGATTGTGTTTGTGAGCGATCAAGAGGATCTTGAGCCATTTGTGGTATGCCGACAGAGTGGAGGTTGTGGAGGTGATCTTCATCTTCCTCCTGCTCCTCAACTAGGTAAGGGTCTTCCTCCTCAGGAACAGGGACAGGCAAATCCTCCGCGGCATCGTTGTTCTCGGCCTCAGATGAATGACTGTAGTCGCGATTCAACTCTGATTCGTGATCAGCCTCAGCTTCGCGCTCAGCTAGATGCGCGACTTGCTCAGTCTCTTCAAGCTGAGGCCCCTCCTCCCGCAATGGCTCTTGACGATTAGTGTTTGGAAGAATCTCCACAGCTTCAGCGTCAACTTTGTCATTGTAATCCTCTTCACCCATCTCAAAGTCCCGAGCATCATGGAAGTCACCACCGGGACTGTGTATATCAAGTCTTGGGGTTTCTTCTACTACCTCATCGTGGCCATCGTTTGAGTCAGCCGGATTTTGATCAATAGATGCTATATCGCTTTCCTCATGATCATCCTTGATGGCATTGAGAAGAGTTTCTCTTCTACTCTCAGCAAGTGAGGGACGTGAGGAAGGACGTGAAGTAGGGCGTGACATTTCCTCCTTATCCTCAGCATCGTGGGCTTTGACGGCAGGCTCACTGATGTCATTCTGATCGTCAAAGCTGATCTCGGAGCCGCTATCATCAACTTCAGCCAAAGCGTCAGCGTCAGTATGAGAATCTTCAGTCATTTCTTGAGTGGTTTCCACGACTGTGCTGTCTTCAATGGCAGAAGTGTCTTCGTGAACGTTTGAAGATTCGATAGTGTCCTCGTGAATGTTTGAAGATTCAGTGGTGTCCTCATGAGTGTTTGAAGATTGATCTTGCTCAGCAGTGGTGTCGATCTCATCTAAGGGTAGTGGTGATGGTGGCTTACCAGTCTTCCCTCGGCGAGACACTGAGGCATTGAACAAGGCTTCATCGATTACATCCATTTGTGAGATTCTTGGACCTGCTTCGCTGAAGATCGTGTTGCCGGTTTGTGCTTTCACGGAAGGTTGGGCGTGTAAAGCAGGTGGAGATATCTTAGCTGTGTTTCTCAGAGCATCTACCGTCTTGACATCGTCAGATGGGGACTTTACCCTCTCAATGTCTTGCTTGTGACGCTCGAGTGCTGCTGATTTGATAAGCTCTGCATCAGTAGGTGTCATGTTTGATGTGGTGGTCATTGGCATTGGTGTAGGTGGGTGTGCAGATGGAGGCGGATCAATAGACAAAAAGTTGATGAACCTGACTGGAAGCTCAACTGATACGTCTCCTTTAGACAATGAACCTGCTACTCCGACTCTGAGGGTGTAGTGTACCTCAAGTAAGCGAGTACGAGGAATGGTAAGTGCATCAGACTAAATTGTTAGTTAGTCATGCAAAGGCTTCAAAAATAGCACTAACAGGAACCTGCAATGATGAAGAGAACTCTAATTGTTCACCAGAATCGACACCTCTAAACCATCCCTTAGCAGTAACGTGACCAGACGTTCCCTTTGAACCGATTTCAAGCTTTTCCTCAGCAATTCTTTTCGTATTTGTTGTCGTTTGACATGCATCCAAATCATCTCCCACCATGAGAGATGCGTATGGTCGAGGTTTGTACGCAACAATTGTCCTATTGAGGGACAAACTGACTGATTTGATCTGCATTACTTGTCAGGTGTGTGAGTTAAAAGGGAACTTGAGAACATACCCTCTTGCTGCTGTTGTTATCAATCGTAATCATGACGTAGCAACGCTGACCAGCAACCCAGTGTGGACGATGGACACTAGCTGTGAGATTTATTGGACCTTTACCTCCAAGGAACAATGGCTTGGACGCTGTTTGCATTATTGGAACTGGTGCGGGCGCCAAGACGCTTGATGGAGAAAGGAGAGGGTAGATGGTTACATATCTGTAGAAATGAGCGATAGAACGGTCGCTAGATGTGCTGTTTTTGAGATGAATAGAGCTGTGATTGGGTTAGAGAGATTTATGACTTAGTAGTCAACTTACCCAATCACAATATATCTGATGAAACCAGGTTTTGATTTCAAGGGGCCCTTTGCACCACCTCCGATCGGCAATTTGATTTTGAATGGAAGAGATAATCTGTTTTCTTTGCTTCTACCTCTCTTTGTACTAACTCCGCGGTAGTAACCTTCATCGTCTGGCAGGCCGTATCCAGGTGGAGGATAAAAATCGACAGGAGCGTCATGGTGGAAGAAGACATGGCGTGTTTCGTCGGCGTGAAGATCTAGAACTAGGGTCAGCACTTTACTTTGCTATTAGGTATACTAACCTTCGAATCCAACAACTCGAACCTTGCCATTACCCCACCAAACTTTGTCATTTGCCAATTTAACATCCATGCGACCTCCAAGGACACCACCTTCGACTACGGCTTCACTATCAAGAACAAGATCGACCACAGCTCTAGATCTAGTGCGCGACTGTTCCAGATTGATTTGGTGTGAACTACTGCTAAATTTGCTTCCTGAGAGAACAGCTCTCAATTCCCTGGCGGTCCTAGCAGGTGAAGTAGAGGTATTTAGTAGGGTGGTTTGTCTAAGCAAATCACCTTGTGATCGTGCCTTTTGAATTTTCTTGCTATGTTGAGCAACAACTTTGTTCGAGACCGGTGCAGCGTCCAATCTCGCGGAAGCCGGTGGATCGACGGCACCAGTAGTTGTGGAGCAAGACGAGTTTGACGGTGTGACAAAACCACCCTTCTGCAAGTCAAATTTAACGGCGCCACCGCCTCTCTCTGCATGTGCAAGGCCTTTCATACCTCTTGACGACCTAATGTCTACGCCATTTGATCCTATTGAGCTAGCGTTCAAAGAAAAATTCGAGCCTGATCTGACGTTAACCTTCGGTGCATATGGGAATTCAGTGGACGACGGTGGCTTCGACAAGAAGTCTAAGTGGGCGTACTTCAACATTGATGCATTTTCTGGCGATATTGTCGATGATGTGTTTTTTCTAGATGGTGACATAACTGCCTGTTGCGCTGATACAGATCTTTTAAATTTTTCAGGTTGCTTGTCTTTAATCTCAGGTTGGATTGTCTGCGAGATACTCATCACGGAAGCTTGTGGTTGATTGTGAGGGTTGTGTGGCATGGTCTGTGAACGCTTTCTGACTGGAATCTGATCTCTGTCTGTTGGTCCTTTGCCCACTCGCTCAGGAGCTTGTTCACTTTCATCGACAGCGACTTTCGAAGATGTTCTCGGCGGAAGTCCGCTCTGGTCAGTGGTGTGTGACTTTTGTGAGTGCTCTGTCTTGTGCGTGTGATCGGACTTGTTTGAAAATTCAGATTTACGCGACTTGTGAGAGTACTCGGACTTGTTATCAGATTTGACATGCTCTTGTTGATGCACAAGTGGAACATGTGCATTTTTATTCTCTTCTTTACCTTCACTGTTTTCATCCGCCTTATCAATCAATTCCTCGTCCTTCTTTTCCTGCTTTAGATTTTTCTGGACGGTCGTGTCAAGGGATGTTGTTGAAGCAGATGGATTGGTTACGCGCAAAGCATTCTTTGGTGAATGCTCTAAATGAGGTGTACCAGATGAAGAGTTGGAGTGTTTGTATATCCCCATTCGTTGTAGCTTGCGATTGACAAGATCGAGGTCATTACTTGCTTCACTGTTGTGTGACTCTCCCCTTTCCATGACAATAGCTTCCGCTTTTTCAAACTCATTCCGCTTTTGAACATGTTCTTGGTGCTTGTTTGGGTTTTGTTCATGGAAAGACAGTAACGCCTCTGATTGTGGAGAAATGATTCTCACTGTCTTAGAAGGGGAATTAGAGCGAGAATTGTTAACGCTTTGTCCTAAAATAACGCGTCAGATATTTTTCCATAGGCGACAACAAGACATACCATCGAGATCCTTGGAATCGCGCAGGCCAGCTGCAGATGAGGCCGAAGGAGGTGGGCGTGGACCTTTAATGGGGCTGCCTGAACGTTTCTGTGGATTTGATTGGGCGACCTCGGTAGGAATGTCATCATCATCGACTTGAGGACTAAAGTGAATACCAAGGACATTGCTACGTCTGTCGCTGCTGTTGGCAGAGCCCAAGCTTGAGCCCAAGCTTAAAGCACGCGTGTAGCGTCTACGCGTAGGCTGGGGGTCTTGAGTTGGATTCAAGTGCTCGTTATTCATTGGATCTTTAATTGGCGATGGTGGTGAACGGGATCTAAGTCTGGAATTATTTGAGCTAGAATACTTTCTGATAGCTTTAATCTTGAATTGTTTTTAGAAAGGAAAGAGATGAAACCGCGTACGCTAAGCTAAATGGGTGATGGCACGTACGCTTCCGAAAAGAGTAAGTGGATTTCTTAATCAAGTAAGTGTGAAAATAAACGCGTCGTATCTCAATTTATCCCATTTATCCAATTTATATAAATCATGTAATCATCGATGTTGCGTGCCAGCCTTCAAAATTCAGCTCACACTCACAGAAGCAAAGAACATTTTGAAGCTGAGTGGTACGCCCAGTGCAGCAGATATCACTTCTCAGTACAAGAAGCTGGCCTTGAAGTTGGTTGGCGTGTTTTCGCAACTCATTTCTGACTCTATGGCACAGGTATCACCCTGATAAGAATCCAGGAAAGCAACAAGAAGCTTGCGAGGACTTTAGAAAGCTAGTGCAAGCAGTACAAGTTTTATCAACGTCGATATCAACCTCATCCGACTCATCTGATAAGCCATCTTTCGACTTTACCACCGTTTTTAAGGATACGCCGTTTTTTAACTCGTACATGCAAGATTTCAGCTTTATACCACCCCTGCAGCCATCGCAGGAGGGCCCTACAAAGCACGCGTCTGCCTTTCGGTGGTACGACCCTAAGCCAAAACTGCACAAGGACAGACGCGGATAGTGATATGGATATGTATTTGGTTAGAAATTGTATTCAATTATTGAGTTATTTCAAGTTTCAGAAAATATTCAGGTAAAAGTGAAAAGATTACAGTTACATATTGCAGCAATTCTTGTCATCGACTTGAGCAGCCTCCTCAGCCAGTCTTGACTTGGCATCTTTTGTAGATGGGACATCCAGAGCTGGATTCCTGGCAAAGTAGTTGGATGGCTTGAGGTGTACCTTAACTGTTTCGACAGGCATAATTGGCCAATCCTCTGGTCTGACTACGTGATTGGCACCAAATGTCACCCAGGTTACAATGTCTTCATTCTTGACACTCTCATCTTTAGCCATCCAGTCTGTCAGTGCAAACTGTTCACCGCCCTCGCATTGATTCACATACATCCCAGATGGATATAGAGTCGAATCTTGGTACTTTGTCACGTGTAGATGATGTCTGGCAAAAGGTGCTCGGTTGTACAACATCGATCCTTCCTTTGCAAACATCGTAGCAAAGTTGCCGGACATGATCTTATATCCGACGTTATTACCCGATGAATAGTGCTGCTTGTTTGGATTCTCTATGGTCCACGTACGAGACTTGTTGGCATCATAATCTGATATCGCGTTTTTACTTGTGGTGAAAATCTTCTTCTCAGTGTGGAAACCATTGCCATAGTAGTTGGTAGGGCCACCAACATCATCCTCATCTGGTACTATGTCAGTTTGAACTACCTGATTACTCTGTCCGTCAATCATCGAATCGATTCTGAGTGAAAAGAGATGCTGATGGAATGGTGCTGCGATTCTAGGCGCTACCTCCGTCTCAATTGATTTGTTCCGTGGCTCATTTGGGGCCATTGCTGTTACGTTGACTATACCAGTGAGCTTAATCTCTAATTCAATCGTGCCGTCTAATCCCAGTGACCAATAGAATCCATACTCATAATTGGCAACAGTGCAGACATTTGAGATAATCAATTTACGGTTGCGTGCAACATGGACCTTCAAGTCACGGAAATCGGTGTGTTTGTGAAGTATACCAGCATCTTCTTCGTGGATGCAGATAGCAGATTTGGTTGTCTTAGATTCACCTGAACGCTTGACGAAATCGGCATCCATATAACTGATAGACCCGAGACAGTCACAGCCAAGTGAGAGGCTGTTTGAGAGTGCACCAATACCATATTCGCCTAGAAGATGTTAGATGGTTGGTAGTGAGAATAGCTAACGCACCTGTGTCAAATGCGTGCTTGCGATGACCAGGAAATTTGCTTATGCCATATGGAACAACCATCTCAGCAATGCTAAGACGGTAGAAGAGGGGTCTGATAGTGCCATTGTCGTCATAAGTGACGTTATTCAGGACAAGCCCATCGCTGTGGGGGTAAATGAGTGGATGAAACGAAAATGCTCTGCGTATACTCACCGGTAATTGAATCCCAAGTGCAAGCTCCAGTTTTGCCACCTAATAATGCGACCATCGATGCTGTAGCTGACACCATCGGGCTGCCGAAAATTAAAACACCCCTCTATCATCACAAATGGGGCTCACCTGCGTGACATGAATGGGCTTCAGACCCTCCCTCGGTTTAAAGGTTGGATCGTCTTGCTTGATTTGCTCAGGAAGGTAGTTCTGATTGGTAGATGGAGGTGGAAACCGTAACTTGCGGGGTCTTTCGCTGTTATCTTTGGCGGATGATGGTGGAGGGGCTTCGCCTTCGTCTGAGTTGAGTGGTGGATAGTCAATTGTAAGAAGTTGGCCTGTGTGGCTGTCGAACACAGGGACGAAATCGATCGGATGCGCGTACAACGAGTCGCCAGGTCTTGATCTAGCGAACATAAGGCACTGTATAAAAATGTGAGCGCTATCTTGTTTCCAAATATATACTCTTCCTACCTGCTGCAAACGGCGACCTGGGAAACGCTCGTCGATTGAGATACACCAACCGTCACAGAAAAGCATTTCAGGATCCACGCCAACTTGCTTCACAGCCTCAATAATCTTTGCGTTGGATTTTGCCCATTGTTCCGCCTGATTGAGTTCTTCGACTAGGAGAGATGGCTGCTGATCCTTGTCCAAGCATTTCCACTTGACAACCTGCGCTTTAGAGATAGCTTTGCCGCCTTCAATGTTGGTAGGCAGGTTAACGACGCCTTCCCAAGCAGTCTGTGTCTTGCCATCGAGGAAAATGACCTTTACGCTGTTAGCAAGATAGGGGTAAAATCATCACAAAAATCACCTCAGCTTGGCGTGCGATAGGGAACGCAGTCTGCTCATAGCCTAGCCATGATAGTACTAGGTGCTTTGGTGGCTCAATCAAGGTGACAGTGTTGAATTGGATCGACTGCGGCTTTATGCCCTCATTGAGCTCATCTACAAATTGTCTTGTAGCTTGCGTGGCACTTTCGATTTCAACCGTGCTAAGCGGATCGAGTGGGTGGTTTGAGTTGGTCATTGTCGTTAGGAACGGAGTGTATCAGTTGAGCCGAATGACTTAATCTGATAACACGTGATTTATAAATAGCGCAATTATAAATTAAAACAAAATGAGATAGTCCATTGATAAGATAAGACACAAGCAAGCAAGAGTACAAGAAGATTATTAAAGAATAAACTAAGCTATTCATATATGCTCCTTTTTAATTGAAGCTATTTGATGAGTTTGAGTGTGATAGTGATGGCTGTGAATCGTTAGGATGGCAGAATGTAAGGTTCCTCAAGTCGACTAAATCTTCCGAGAATGGATCGAATGATGGTTTTCTCTGTGTTGACATAACCTTGGATGCGCTATTTTGTACATTGAACACGTCCTCAAATAAAGGATTGTAGTGGAAGCCACCATTTGTGCGACCTAATGATTCGTAGCTCTGTGAGTGCTTCAATTGTGGTGTTTGTAACTGTGGCAGTGGTGCCTTGTTGAAAGCGGTTTCGACGATATCATTCCTGATTGTTGAGTTCATATAATTCATGCTTGTGCTATTTTTAAGACCATGCTTTGACCCCGTGGCGTATTTTTTGAAATCTTTCTGTGATTGACTGTCTGCAAATCTAACCTGCAATGGGAGATCAGACCCAGGAAGCGACATACCGTGGAGTTTATCGATGAAGAAGCTGGCCGTATGTCTATCCTTGACTCTAACGAATCCTACACCTCTCGATTCGCCTGTTCCACTTTTCAAAACCCTCATTGACTGAATATTCGCTGGATAAAAGAGCAAAGACAACTTGCCGTCATTCATATCTAGAGGCAAGTTGGATAAGTAAAGATTTGTAGACTCCTCGTCTTCTAATCTTCTCAATCTAGCGGTGAAGCTCTCTTGTTTTGCAAAGGCAGCGTTGACGCCTTTGCTATTTAATGCAATGATAGCTGCATGAGCATCTAATGTGCTGACGAATTGCACGAAACCGTAACCTTTACATGCCTTCTTGTTTGGCTGCATGATCACCCGGGCGCTGCTGACGCGTCCATATAAGTCGACAGCTTTTTGCAGCTCTTCTGGAGTTGTAAGGGGAGATAGTCCTTGTATGAATACATTGGAGGTACTGAATTATAGCGTGATTATGAGTGAAGTCATTCCAAGTAAATCTACTGTGTAACTCACTTGAGTGGGTTATCCAAAGAAGGGTTATTGAGGATAGCTGATTAGCTTTAGTTAATTACGGCGGCCTTTGCTTATCGCCGCAACTTACCTTTTTTGTCAACCGGTTTTGGCTTAGTGGTGTTGACGAATGGGTAACTGACGCAACTTTGTGTGTTTGCAAGGCTATTCTGGGTCTCTGTGTATGAATATGGGAATACGGCTTTGTAGAAGGACTAAAGAGAGTTAGTTTTTGCATGTTTGCTGAAACGATTCTCATACGTTTGTGGTATCTGGTAGACTAAGGCTGCGTTTGTCGCTAATGCGTGGCTCAAGGATATCGTTAATGTTGCTGCTGCTTTTGCTGTTGCTGTTGCCGTTGCTGCTGCTATCAAGAGCACTGAAGCCCATTGAGTTGAATGCAGCTACAAGTTCTTCATTGTAACTCATTGCTAATTGGATGTTCGTAATGAAGATGTCAGTTTCAGCCGACTTGGTATGGCTTCAATTTGTGGATGTGGTTTGGCTGAAGGAACAGGCAATTACCCGACTGGGGTTTTAATATACCGATTTGTAAAATCACAAAACAGCCAAATATCTGCTTATAAGGCCAAGAAACTTCACAATGCGACCCACGTCTTCCGTTGAGCTGCAATATCAAACACGCTTATCGAAGTGATGTAACAAACATTAGGTTTACTTGTCAATATAGAGCCAGATTGCAGCCTATAAGGTTATTAAGACTGTAAAATTGCAGATCTGCTCTGTAAGTTGTGGTTGGTTGGCTCGATAGATGGTATCAAGTAAGTACACAACACCCCCATATAAGACAACATGCATGCAAAATATACCTCAACACACTTTAAGCTCACACATAATTCATATACTCTCTATTAATATACTTCAGCATCTCGGGCGATCAGTCATATGCATGTCGTGAAATTTTTAGCTCGATTTAACTCAATTATGTTGGGCATTAATATAATGGTTCAGCAATGATACAGTTCTCGTCTCTATTATCCCTCCTACTAATCCCACTCGTCGTCTGATTCATCATCATCACTATCGCCCATATTCCCCTTTCTAGTAGCGAGAGCGTTAGCTAATGAACTTGCAAGATCGTTGGAAGACTCGTCAGGTTGGTCATCTGATGTCAAGGCTGCTGCTCCTACGCCTGCACCTGCACCTGCAGCCACACCTGTGCCTGCGCCCTCAGTCTTCTTCAAATTGTGCACACCTTGGCCTTGAATACTTGCCAATAAGTTTCCACGGCCATCCTGAGGATTTGGTACTGTGATTGAATTAGTTTTGCACACTTTGTGGTTGTTATCTCGCTTACGAGGTGCTGAGGAGGCTGATGGTGCTGACGGCGCTGGAGGTGAAGGTGAAGGACCTGTATAAGCACATTAGCGGGAATAGACTGTCAAAACAAATCACACGTACCTCCTGCTGCTGGTACTGGAGGTGGAGGTGGTGGTGGTGGTAAGCCTGCTGTTGGTTGTTGAGTATAGTCGCCCACTTTACTCTCATAGGCTCACCTGAAGGAGGTGCTGGAGGGCGTGGAGGTGGAGCTGCAGCAGATGCTAGAATTCTTTGTTAGTTTGAAAAACATTGAGTGAGACAAACACTCACGAGGAACAGGAGCAGGAGGTGCGGGTGGGGGTGGAGGTGGACCTGTAGCGGGACGAGATGGGGGCGCAACTTTTGGATTTGGTATTGGCGGCGCAGGTGGTGCAGGCGGTGCTGGGGATCTAACTGGTGCAGGTGGTGGTATATTTCTTGGCGGTGGTGGTGATGGTGATGGTGATGGTGATGGTGAAGGTGGTGCTGGTGGTGGTGGTGGTGGTGCGACTGTGGGAGGAGGAGGAGGAGCATGGGATGGCTTTGGTGCAGTTGAAGCACCTGCGTCCATCGTAGGAGCCTGCTTTCGTCGAGTTGTCGGCGGTGGAGGAGGTTTCTTCTTGGGTTGAGGTTGTTCAGGGCCACCCTGATTATCAACAAAGTCCTTGATAAAGTCACCGTGTTGTTCAATATCTTTCTGACTGAAACCTTTCTGGTTGAGTTGGTCGAGCAAGGCTTGCCAAGATGGGTCGATACCGCGCATGGAGAAACCCTCACTAGAGAAACCAAGATGACCAACATGCTGGAATGACTCAGATTTAGGCGCACTGATAAGGCTCTTGCTAATTTTGCTGTCTTTGTCTTTGTCTTTACTTGATGAAGAAGAGCCGAGGGAGAGGCGCGTAGAGAAGCGTTTAGACTTCTTTAAAGACGGAGCAGGGGATGACGTAGCTTGTGCGGCAGCGGCTGGATCGTCATCTTCGGGAGCTTCTGGTGTAGCAGAATCAGCTTCGGCGACTTTATCCTCCTCCTCCTTCTTGAGTCTCTCCTTCTCCTCTTTCTTGGAAGGCTTTTTCTGTTTCCTGACTTTGTTTACCTTTCTGTAAAAGTCAGCAGCTTCGCCGTCTGCGGAGAATTGGAAACCGATGAGGCAGTCGTCACCGTTAAAGCTGTGGAAATTTGATTGGTCCATAATGTACACGAGCTCATTGGGCAACTCATGCTGCCAAGAGACAGCGCCCTTGCGTCCCTGTTGGGGAGATGAGAAGACGTCAGGCGTCGGACACGGACACGCACCTCCAAGTCGATCAATTGGAAAGTGACGGATCTGTCGCCTTTAACGATAGAGAGCGCACCAGCCAAGCCAGTGTAGTTCCAAGTAGTGGGATCAGGGTATGCGTAGAAAACACGGGCGATGGTTGCGGTGAGGATCTTGTAATTCTGGCCGTGTGAGTTAAGCTTAAGCTGATTCTTGATTTTAGACTTGTCGTCACTGTTGATAATAGTGCCACCCATTTAAATATAAAAACACAGATGAACGGCTGACCTGTTGACGGTGGGAGATGAACCAGCAAGATACACGGGTTTGACACGAACAATCAACAGCAACAGGAAATAATATGTCTTTACCAAAGCGTATACTCAAGGTGGATATTGCGCATATATTAAATACCCATTCTCATCTCCTGGCTTTAGGAAGCTGAGCGTCTTCAAGTGGATGCCCCAGAGGGTTCGTACAGGATTCTTGAGGAATACGCGACTGAAATGATGTTCAAGGGATTAAAGCCAGCCCAAGTGAACAGGATATCAGGTACTTTGACGTATCCATACAGGGACCAGATGGATCTCCATTTGAAAAGGGAATATTTAGCTTGGAGCTGTGGCTACCTAGCTCTTATCCAATGGAACCACCTAGGGTCAGATTCCTGACAAAGATCTATCATCCAAATATAGACAAGCTCGGTCGCATTTGCTTAGATATATTGAAGGGTGAGTTACGACGTGAATTACCACTCAAGCTTATCCCCGCAGATAAATGGTCTCCCGCTTTACAGATCAGAACGGTTTTGCTCTCGATTCAAGCATTACTGTCTGCACCTAACCCAGATGATCCACTCGCGAACGACGTCGCAGAGCACTACAAATCTGACGAAAAGGCTGCTATTCAAGTCAGCAAAGAATGGACACACAAGTTTGCGCAGCCAGCTTGATTTGTCGTTATGATTATCATTGTCTTACAACATCATTATTAAGAATAATACAAACATTGTTTAGATTCACAATCGATTACAGCTTAGTTCACTTGTTCAATTCGTCGATACGCTTGTTGAGCTCCTCGCGTGACAATGGCTTGCCCATTTCCTCGACTTTTTCCTTGGATGGAATGTGAGGCTCTCTAGACGGATGAGAGAGGGTTGTTGGATGTTCCTAAGACTAATTAGCTGACAATGAAACACTTTAATCATGGATAGACTTACCTCGTAAATAGACTTCTTTGGCCCATTTGGATCATTAGTCTTACGTAACGCTCAGATGGGCAGGTATTATCGGATATGAAGCAGACTTACGGTGGCTTCGTGTGGCTGTGTATTAAAATCGCTCATGACAGTCAGACGTAAGGAGTAACACAGGGGTAATCACCCAAATCATTCGAATCATATGCATGATGAGCACATCATCGTGGATAAAACAAAATTGACGCGGTAATATATGCATTAGGACATCAATTTAACATGTGATACAGCCACTCGACAGCTCTCTTTGGCCGATGCATTCGATGACGTCGTGCGATGCGATTCATCATAGGAGTAGGAGGAATATAAGTTGGCGCATATTCTTAACTTTTAATCTCACTCGCCGAATTGGTTATTTGATCTCCTACCCCTTTGAGCTATTAAGTTTTTCAAAATCACCTTACTCGGTAACAAATTCTTCTTCATTAAAACCCAAGGAGCGATATTTTACAGACAAACGATAGAAATCCAGACGACTTTAAAGACAAGTAGAAGTAGAGAATATGTTCGAGGATAATTAAACCCGCTTGTCGACTACGTTTAGTGGTTTCTTAGACACCCAGACTACTCAGATTCAGATTATTTGAAAGATACAAATGTCCTTGCACACTTATTCCTACTCATCTTATTACACTACTTGCCTCTCTCCTTCTCCTTCCCCCTCACGCCCACAGTCTCCTCCAAAGAAAGTCAAATTTAGCCAGAATCCACCTACAATTGCTCCCACTTGGGACAAAAACCAATACGACAGATCTCCAGAGTCAATTCCTACAACTATCCAACTTGGCTTATCCCTCCCACAAACTACAACCGTCTCCTCAAAACGCACGCGATCAAAGAAACCAAACAGAAGCACCACCTGCTCTTCTCAGCACACCGATAGCTCTTTCGTCAGTCAATCCACTTGGGGTATCTCATTCGATGACACAGATTGTTTGGGAGGTTTTTAGATTTCAGCACTTATAGCATCTTATATTTAATAAATCAGCATTCATCTACTTTTATTTTATCGCAGCCGTACTCCTCCAACTACCGGACTGTCATCGTCTTCAGGCATCATGCTTGGTTCCTTTTCTAAGGCGTCCACTGAATCTCGTATACTAGCCACCGTTGCTCCAGGCTCCTGCTCTTCTACACCAAAGTATTTTCCTGGATGCCTGTCGTTCTCTTCCATTAGTGCCCGACCAACATTCTCTATTAGCAACGTCCTACACTCTATTGCTTTCTTGACGCTTTCACCCAAATCTGACATCAAATCGGCAGACATATTGTTTTGTGAGGTTTGCGATGGTGTGCTTGTCCCAGATAATGCCGGTAGCTTACCCGACTGCTTGCTTGCCTGCTGTTGAGCTATCTGAGTAGCTTTTTCCGTCTTCTTTTTCTTTATTCTAGCTATTTGCTTTTGACGCTTAGTCCAGCCTGTCTCTATTGTTTTCTCTATGTCTGATAGCAGCGTCAAGTACTCCTGCCCTGCTATTCTTTCCTTCGCCCTTTCCAATAGATGGAGACGTCTATATGAATTCATTTGAGACTGCGCTTTAAGTATGTGCTGTAATTGAGCCAGTTGTGTGCTTATCTCATCATCTATTGGTTGTGTTGGACCCTTGAACGATGTTAGACTTGAATTTTTACCAAAGACAAACTCACCGAATCACTCTCCCCGAGAATACCTAAGCCAATTAACTCCCGCCTGAGAGCATCGTCTAGTACACCCACGGAAACTTTATCCGAAGTCACGCTGTCCGCTTGCTCCGTGTATTCTTGTGATGGTGTACTTGTTGGTAGCAAAGCAGACACTAGCCGTTCACTGAGTGCACCCAAACTAACATCTTCATTAACGAGTCCGTCATCTGTAACGTCTTGAGCTGTCAACAATGGTCTCGAAAGTGGGGGTATAGTTGGTGGGTCGATTGATGTGAAGGGTAGGCCGGCATCTTCAGCCTCCCAGACGCTCAAGTAGGGTCTGCCGAGAGGAGGGATAGTATATGGAGTAACATCATCGCCCTGTTGATTGTATTGTGAGCGTCTACCCATAAGAAACAAGAAAAACACACCTTTGCTGACAAGAACATCAAGTCGTCCTCACCAAGAGGCCTCAAATAAGGTTCTATCGAAGCATAGAAAGAGCTTATTTGCGTTTGAGACGCTGGCTTCTTATCGACGAAATCATCATTGACGACATCCTGAGTCTTAGGTGTTGATGGCAGAGGTTTCGTGCGTGGCGGACGGGGTATCTGCGAAGTAGAAGGTAGTTCGAATGATAGAGACTTTTTAGGCTGTGCGTTGAGTTAGAAGTGAGTTGATTGTGGGGAAGGTGCACGACTTGCCTTATTCGTCTGGATTTTAAGTCTGAAAGGATTGAGAGTAGTCTGAGTGAGATCTGACGGTGGTTAGAACAGCTTTTTTAAATACTTCCCCACTTACTTTGCCCGGTTGGAGTAGAAGTGGTTGTGGTGGGCGTCGGCGTGCCCGCTGGGGACGCTGCACTCGGCGGAGGAGGGGCTACAGCGGAGTCGTCATCGTCTCTCTTTCTCTTCTTTTGGGCATCGAGTTTTATTGCATTGTAATGATCATCAACCGCTTTGCTGTCAGTTTCAAGCTTAGTGAGGACAGCGCCAGCTTCGCGGGTGTATTCTCTTAATTGCGCAGTAATTCCATCAATATCTTGATACGTGCTGGTAGATGATAGACGCTGCTTTATAATATCTAGCGGTTGATTAAATTCTTTGAGACCGCGGACCATGTCTCTTGTCGCCAAACTCTCGAGATGGACGTATCTACAATCTACGTGAACAGCTCAAATTTAAATAATTTTATTGGTTCTACAGTGAGAGTAGTGGGGAAACTGCTCCAAGTAAATGATAATCTTGCAATGATTGAATCCACAGACGGCGGTCAAATTACCGTCACCATGAATAGAGTGTGTTAGCCAGAATCATTTACGCGCTTTCTTATATCTATCAAAGGACAGCGATTACAGCAATTGTAAATTTATTGAAATTGTCGGCAAAGTGCAATCTGAGATCGCCCTACTAGAATTCACCAATATACCCCTAGGTGATGATTTAGGTGCGATTAGCGATAAATGCTTATTAGTGGCTTTACTAACAATATAATAGACCTTGGTTCCATCGATAGAGTCATACAAGCGATGCTCAAACACAGAGATATCTTCTAAACTTGTATATGTAAAATTAATTTATTATGACATGAAAATAGGATATAATTCTCATTCCTTTGTATACATTCACTCAGTTGGACTCCCACTCCACCCATACTCAAGCAAACAATTACCTGATAAATGTTATGTATTACTGTATAAACCATTATAATGTAAAAAGAGATGTCCTGTTTTCCTATGTTTCAATTTTTATGTTTTCAAAGTATGTATTTCTGTAAAAAGGCTGTAAGCCAGCTCATTGATACGACCTAGGTATTTGATATCCATATCTGGTACTGAAGTGTGTCCTTAAGGGTTCACAGCATCTTGATCAATCTCACCAGCACCTGAGAAAGCGTCTGTACGTGCTTCCCAGAACTTTGGAATGACCTTGTCAAGATCGGTATAGGTGTAACACCAAGAGTCCTCAGGAGAAAGTAAGTGCTTAACCGCAATGTTCTTTGATCCTGGTGCTGAGCCATAGTATAAAACTTGATCTTCATCCGCGTTGATGCCTGCTCTGATACCGGTTGTGAAATCGTACTGAGTGTTTCCTTCGTAGGCGTAGAGTCTGTTTTCTTTGTCTCTCATTTGCCATGCCATCCAGTGTCTGTCAACGTTTGCGTGGTGCACTAGAAAAAGGTCAATAAATCTTGTAACTGAGACATAACCAACTCACAGAAGAACAATGGGTCGGCTGGAGAGGTGTTGTTGGTGTCACCTGTTGCCATGTCACCACCAGTCAACAAGTGAATAGAACCGTGTGAGCTTGGTCCCAAAAATGCACGTGGGTCAAGAGGATCGTAACCTTCAAGCAAGGTGGAGAAGTTTAAGTAATTATCGAATGATTGGTAGTATTGAATCCACTCTGGTGATCTACCGTACTCAAAGTACTTTCCTGCAATGTTTGGTCCACCTGGGTAGAAGTTGCTGCGAAGACGTCTACCAATCTTGTGGTCATAGGTGTATGTGATGTCGTAGTTGGCAAAAACACCATCGACGACGGCTGAGGCATTGAGTGGTCTGTCCATGTCTGTGTGACCAAGTGATCCTAAACCCGCATCCATGTCACCATCCCAAACAGGGGCCTTAGTAACATCTGCGAAATCATTCTCCCAAGCCCAGTATGGCAACAAGCCATCATATCCACATTCTTGAAGTTGTTGTTCGTAAATCAGAGTAAGACCACGGTGCCATCTGATTAATGTTAGACATCGTTAAGGTCAACAGCATATGATAACTCACGGTAGGAAAGAGGCGACCCAGTGAACATCAGCGCCTGGCCATTGGTGCAATCTGATAAAGTCTGCAATGCGATCAGTCATCTTGTAACCGTCCAAGTTGAGTGATTCTTTCTGCTGCATACACTTGAGGGCATCACCGAAGTTTTTGCGCTCCTCATATGATAATGAGGCATAGTTTCTTCTCTCCTTAATACCGTCCTTGCAAACTGGCAAAGGGTAATCGTCCTTCTTGACGTGTGCCGGTACGTTTTCGACATCTTTGAAGGTCCTGTACTCGGTAGTTGGCTCAGTGTGTCCCAAAAGCTTAACCTCATGTTGTTCATGATTGTCGCTCTTGTCCTTGCCACCGAACAGGCCGCGAATGCTTAGTGGTGTTGCGTTGGTTGAAGCGGCGATAGCAGCTAAGGAAAGGGCTGTTAACTTCATTTGAGGAGAGGTGGAGTTGCTTGTTGATGAGAAAGAAAGAGAGGTCCCTTGAGCCTTTTAGGTCTGAGAATCGGGTATTGTCTGACTTTCCAAATGCAGCTATGTTCGACAGGGAATGTCTCTGCGTGCAAGACTGAAATAGCAACGCAAATGGAAAAGGGTAAAAATAACAAATCATTGATTCACAGATATTCCGCTTTTATACATTGCCTAGTCCTTTGCATTAAAAGCGTAAGCGGAGGTGATCTAACTGTGCCCAAAGGGAATTTGGCGTGCTGTCAAACACATTACTCGTGTATAGGTATTCGAAAATAGCTCAACTTATGCGGACAACCTTCCATCTCTCGTAATTGCTGTCCGCTTACGACATCATTTAGTCCTCAGATGAACGTCGTCCTCATAACTTCACAATGTTCTCGTAGTGGCAGTTTATTAAAGATTTCATTTAGAATAGAATATCAAGTATCTCAATGCTAATGCTGATTGGTGCAATATGAGCGTGCTACTTTTTCGAAGTAGGCCATACTTAATGACGAATTTGAAGGTACTAAGGGTGGAAGTAGTTCGCTAGCGTTATTTTATCGCAAAAATATCATTTTTATATATATCTGTATATCATGCATTTTTCATACAAGCGAAACCCGAAGCAGATTTATGGAGATGCAAACAAAGACGTATAACGTTAATTTGGCACACGGTTATAGTAACTTCCCAAAAAGGAAGGTCTGAGAGATTTGGAGGGGAGGTACCACCCCATTGTTATCATCTGTGCAAAGATGAGATGATCTGAGCTCACAGGTACACATCGGCCAGGGTACAAGCTCCTCGGAGTACCTCGTAATTCCTATACAAATTGCAAAATATCTATCGGAATGTGCACGGGTGCACTCGCGGAAGAGTGAGGAGTATTTAAAGGTGATTTTTATCATCAGCGCGGAACGCACGGCACATGAACGTCTGTGTATCTACATCCAGATCCCCATTAATTAAAAGGAGGGTCAAGCGAGGGCTAACGAATGATTTTTTATCTTAAAATTTCTCATAATTTAGTCTGACTTCCCAATTAGGTAAGTGTAATACTCAAAATTAAGCTATTTTCCTTAAGCAGAAGTCTTACCAAAATCGTCGTATAAATAACTGAGATTCTACTAAAGCACTCCTTCAACAACAACAACAACAATGTCTGGGTTAAAAAAGTCAAACATTCCTACAACTGTCTTCCCTGGAGATAAGACATCAAAGCACGTCGAGCATCCCGTCGATTCTACGCGTCGTTCATCGGAGCCTCAAGTTGTCGATGAAGATGAAGGCGATTTCGCTGAGAAGAAAGTCGTAGTCGTTACATTCGAAGAGAACGACCCAGAGAACCCGGAGAATTGGTCTAAGGGCCGCAAATGGCTTACTACCATCCTCCTTTGCCTCATGACTCTGTTCATTGGTCTCGCTACCTCCGCTTACTCTGTCGGTATCAACGATATGACTGAAGAGTTTGGCGTTAGCAGCGAAGTCGGCCAAGTCGGTATGTTCGTCTTTAACGCTTCGTTTGCAATCGTTCCACTATTTCTCGCTCCTTTATCCGAATACGTTGGTAGAAGTAAGTCGTGATTCACTTATTTATCATCACACCCACTGACGTACCTTTTCAGACCCAATTTACCTGATCAACTACGCCTGCTTCGTGGCCTTCTTCTTTCAACTGGGATTTGCAAAAAACATTTGGACTGCCATCATTGGCAGATTCTTCTCTGGATGCTTCGGTGCTGCAGGTACCACAATGGTCGGAGGAACACTTTCAGATATCTGGAAGACACACGAGCGTGCAGGTCCAATGTCCTGCTTCACTTGGGCAGCTGTGAGTTTATTTCTTATTACTTTCCGTTCTAACACAGTCAGGTCTTCGGTACTATTGCTGCTCCAATTTACTCGGGCTGGATCGACTTGAACCTCGGATGGAGATGGATCGAATGGGTACAACTCATCGCAAACTTTATCTTGCTCGTAGCTGAGTGCTTCCTCCTCAAAGAAACCCGTGGTTCTGTCATCTTGGCTAGACGCGCCAAGAAGATGAGAGAAGTCACAGGCGACGACTCATACAGAGCACCATCCGAGCTCGAAGCGGACTCCTTCAAGTCACTCGTTCACGCATCATCTACTCGTGCATTTATGTTGCTCATCAAGGAACCGGTCGTCCTCTTCTTCTCCATCTGGATCTCGTTCGCATGGGGCATCATCTTCCTATTCTTTTCAGTTATTCCACTCTCTTTTGAGAACCATCATGGCTGGAATGTCGGCCAGCAAGGCTATCCATACATTAGTTTGGCCGTCGGTACATTCTTAGGATTCGCATTCAACTTCATCCAGGACAGACTGTATCAAAGAGCTACAGCCAAGAACGGAGGTGTTCCAGTTCCAGAAGCCAGACTTTACGGCTCACTTATCGGTTCAGTTTTGCTTCCAGTCGGTATGTTCTGGTACGGCTGGACACAGTTCTCATATATACACTACATCGTGCCAATCATTGCTTTAACGCCAATCATTTTGGGCATTTACCATATCTTCTTGGCAGTCTACAATTATCTCGCGGACTCATACGGTGAATTTGCATCATCGGCCGTCGCTGCACAAGGATTTATGCGCAATATGTTTGCTGCATCTTTCCCTCTGTTCGCGAGCTACATGTTTAACGGCATGGGTTATCAATGGGCATGTACACTGCTTGCACTCATAGCTACTGTGTGCATCCCATTGCCTTACGTTCTTTTCTTCTACGGCAAGAGCATTAGAGCTAGGTCCGCCTACGCATCTAGCCAAACTGGTATCCAACAACAAGTTGATGTCGAACAGGTTGAACAGTCCGAGCAGGTCTCAAAGGCTTCAACCAATTAACTTTATCACCACCCTACAAAACACACCCACCACAACCCAACACAACCTTACGCAATTCAACATCTGACTATTAGATCGCTCGCGCATTTTTCACAACATTTACATTCACTTCAGTCATTGCTCACAATCGTTCATCATGGGCAACTATCTCCTTACTCCAACTATCACGTACGTATCTATAGATTTCATTAATAACTCCGCTTCTATTTGTTCTGGCTCTATGCCCTCGACTGGTTTTTATCAATCTGTATCTATTTCCTAAATTCTATTTATTGTGTCTAAGAATTACAGTATGACTTTGAGAATACACCGTGAAACACCGACACCTTTACTTGTCCATACGTTGTCTATTGTGAGACCTTTTGCTAGAACATAGTCGCTAAATTCTTTGACACCTCCACCCACACCAAAGTAAATACCCTTTGAAGCTAAGAGGATGACTGAATGACTGTGGGTTGATGATTTCATGAGATCTACTAAAGGTGGAATGGATTCTGTTCTGTAAACTGTCTCACTGGTGAGAACGTAATCATAATCCTTATCAATGGACGTCCAAGCACCGTATGAAAAGCGCAGCTCTACAGCTTCATCTACGAGGTGCTTCTTGAACATACCGATAACTTCGTCATTGACCTCTACTTCGCCCTCACTGCCTTTATCATAGTGACAAACGTACCATGTCAGAAAGATATTTGGGAAAGTGACCAGTTGAAGGGTTTGCAGGTTGTAATCTTGGAGGTGTAATAAACAACTCTTGCTTCCTGGTTGTTGAAGTACTTGTCTGTATGCATAGAGGGATGGAAGGCTAGTCCCGCAACCGATCTGCCCGTAAAGTAAGCATCAAGATCACGATCCCGCGATACACTTACTTCAAAAATTCTTTTGTTTTTAAAGTCAGCGTTGGACTCGTGAAGATACTGAACCAGATCAATTGAGCACTCCCAGGTCTTGAGACCACCTTCATATCTTCCCGGAACTAGATCACTGTCACCGCTGACTATACTTTGCTCTTGATCAGCCTCTATCAACTGAAATCGTGCGTCGAAAAGATCTCTGCGTGGAATGGGTTGCAGAGCCTGGGAGGAAGTGTGCGGAATGTCTATGGAGGAGTAAGAGAGAGCAGGTGGGAGGTGCTTAATCTGCAATTGAATTAGTGGAATACAATTTGTGACATTTCACTCACTAAATCGTCCAAGGCGACTTCAGTCCATGGATGCAGATCAAGTTGAGCATTGCTGCCGATGTTGGCGCTGTTTGAAGTCTAGCATGGATCAGAAGAATAATTAAACTCTTAAAACACTTACAACACTTTGACCATCCTCCTCCAACTGGAATCCAAATGAAAATGACATTTCGTTTATAACAAGTCAATATAACCATTATTCGCATTTAAATTCAACTTTTAGTCTTTCTATTCGACTTGCTAAGTTTATACAATTCACACCCAGACCAAATTTCATCATCTTGCCATCCATACTCATCTCTCACAGCCTTTGACAAGGATTGCTGAGGAATTTGCTGCAATTTCAAACCCATGCCAGTAATCATTGACAGGGCTTCATCTATCAGTGCTGAATCTCGCCTTTCCAATCCAATTAGTGCCTTGCTGTGGCCGGATTGATTGAGATGGTAGCTGATATGCTTGAGCAGTTGAGGCGTTAGTGTACGCTCGTACAAGGTATCCGTTGTTACTATCTATATGCACAGAATTAGACGTGTTTCTTACACATTCTGCGCTCACCAAATCAAATGGTGGTCTCAGTACATGTTCACCTCTGTCTATCTGTCTGCGCTCTGTAAGCCATTGCATATCTGAAATTCTTATGAAGCACCTTATTGCCTTCCAATCTATGGCTTCTGGTTCTGTGGACCAATCCAAAACACCGACTTGAGTGTTTGAATAATCGTTTGACTTTACATTTGGCAAAAGTACGCGATCAACAACCTTGCTAACATCTGTTAAAAGCACCTCATTGGATTTGTTATTTGCAAGTGCTAGCCTACGCAGGCTTAATGATATCAATCGTGATTTATTACCTACCCGACCAATCCTACGCCGCTGCCAAGTTCCAAGCACCTTCTTTTACCATTTTTTAATCTGTCTTTTATACCTGATTGCTCAATATACGCTGATAGCAACTGTGCGCTCAACCAAAGTGTGCTACCTGTGGTATCATCACCCTTCAAGTCCTGTGAGATATGCAGCGTTCTGTCCCCTAAACTATGATTTATCAATTTCTCCTCTTTTATTTCGTATGCCGGTTTATTGTTAATTTCCATCTGCACCTCTGCTCGTCTACTCGTACGGTCAAGTTAAAGCCAAATCGAAATGGCTGCAAACTGGCAACCGAGAACGGTATTACCAGGATACACGACAATACCTTCCCCGATTACCAGTCTATCTTTTGATCCCTACACTGAATTGATTTGGAGTGGAAACTCACACGGTCAAGTTTGCTCGTTGTATGGTTTGGATGGCGAGAGATATACTTCTTTCAGTGCGCATAGAAATAGTCCCGTAAAAGAGCTATGCTTGGACGACAGGGGTATCGTTACACTAGGCGCAAATGGCGTCAAAGGTACAAAGAGATCTGCCATTGGCAAATGGATGGTTCAAGAGCCGAGATCTAGCTTGGAAGCCATGTCAATGTCTCCTGGTTCTTCAGAAGTTGTTGCTGGTGGCAATCAACTCGACTTGCTTGTTTTAAATACAAATTCTGGTAGTTTAGTTAGGAAGGTGAGTCGAATGCCTTTCAGTAAATCACCTTTTCTAACACAACAGACAGATTGAAGTACCTGAACCTATTCGATTCCTCAAACCTGGTCCACGTTCTTCAGTTGTCTGTGGTGATGTCAGTGGTAATGTTCAAATCAGAGACACAAGAGTTTCCAAAGCTGCGATGCAACACATAACTCCTCACAAAGATGGCTTGCTTGGAATTGAATCAACTGGAAACATACTTCTCAGTTGGGGGTGTACAACTAGGTGAGTATCGCTCAAGTAGGTGTATTTTCTAAATTTTTGGTCCTAGATTTGGCAGAGTAGTACCAGAACCTCTAGTGAAAGTCTACGATGCCCGAATGATGCGTCCTTTACCGCCAGTTTCATTCCCTAGTGGTCCTTCATTTGTTAAAATTCACCCACGCTTATCAACGTCCGTCTTCATTTCTGACATTCAGGGTCAGTTCCATGTCACAGACCTTAGTACATCCACTGGATCTTATCATATGATCGATATTCCGTCATACGTGACATCAATGGCAGTTTCAACTTCAGGAAACCATTTAGCATTTGGTGATGCAGAAGGGTCTATTCACGTCTGGACAGACCTTGAATCAGGACAACCTGAAAATTTCAATGCTTTCGAGGGTATTCATCTTGACTGGCCATCAGAGACACAACCACCACCACGTATCGATTGGAATGACCGAACACCTTTGAATACCATAGGACTACCATACTACGACACACCACTTTTATCTTCAATGCCTTTACATATGCCTTTACCAGATTCATCGCCCATGTTTAACCCGCCAATCCAAATCCCAGCATCTGTATCAAAATCACTGCGCACAGACATATTCCCTGCCCATGCTCACAATCCACAGGAAAATAAAGGTAAACGCAATCTTACGCCTTCACGCAAAGCTGGTAGAAGTGGCAGAAATAGAATAGGCGGACGCAAATCTGATGAACCAAAGTTTATATCTGAGCAAATTAGGGAAAAACTTAAGAACGGCAGCTTAGAGGGTAATCATCGTCTTGATTCGCAAGTTGAAAAGCTGGAAGTAGATGAGGATGGCGTCGCTAACATTCCAAAGCATTATCGTAAGGTTGAGATAAAGTACTCAAAATTTGGTATAGAGGACTTTGATTTCGGTTTTTATAATAGAACGCCTTATTCTGGTTTAGAAACTCATATAACTAATTCGTATACGAACGCATTGCTGCAAATATTACACCATGTTAAACCAATTAGAGCTGTAGCAACGTCTCAAACTACATTACCAGACCTCAAGGATAATTGTTTACTGACAGAATCAGGTTTCTTATTCAGAATGCTAGAAAATGGAAATGGTGTGAATTGCCAATCAACAAATTTTGCAAGAGCTTTGACTAGTTTCCCACAAGCTAAAGCTTTAGGAATTTTAGATACTGATTCAAAATCTAAGAATACCGCTGCTTATGGTAGTATGATACAGAGTTTCAATAGGTTCTTACTGGAACAGATGTCTGTTGAAAGTTGGACGTTTCAACCTTGTCCTCAAGTATGCAATAATGGTAACATGAGTCCGATTTCTCAGTTGTTAGGTATTGAGTCGCTTTCTGTCTCTATGTGTACGGATGGTTGTGGATCTCGATCTGTCAGAAAGGGAGTTACTCATGTTATAGAGCTTATGTATCCTAGAAAGGTTAGTATACTTGCTCTAATATTGCTTGTTTAATTGTTTTCCAGACACTTTCAAACGAAGCACCTTTACCAGTAGACTTCAGCTCAATTCTTCGTGGATCAATTATACGTGATTCCTTAGCAAAGCATGTTTGTCCAGTAACAAAGCAATTTGTGCCGTTACACTCTCGCCGTATTATATCGACATTCGAATCTCAATTCCCAGCCGTATTGTCGATAAATGCTGGTGTACACTCGAAGGAAAATTTGGATGTATGGCTCAAACCAGCAAGGCAACCTGGGGAGTCACCTTATGGACCCAGACCTCAACACTTCCTTCCGCTTAGGTTTGGAATCAGGAGGTATGGTGATCAACTCCATGTAGTGACAAACGAGAAAGATTTCACTAGTGATTTAGGTATATATAGTTTGAAGGTGAGCCAAATTTGAGTAATCGCGTAGCTGCTAAGGTTAAAACTAAGGCGGTTGTTGCGCAAATTCACCCAGATCCTGAATCCAATCATCTTGTGTCAATAGTCAGAAGTGAGTTCTAGTCAATTCCTGAAACAAACTAATAGTCCTTTCAGTATCAAATGATGAACTGGTTGATAAAACCAAAAGTCCATGGTATATATTTAATGATTTCTTGGTTCGGAATGTCAGTCAAGCAGAAGCTTTATCGTTCTCTGATTGGAAGGTAAGTCTTGCATACGATAATCGATATTTTTGACTCACAAAGAAAGATCCCATGCGTTATTTATTATGAAAGGGAAAATGTGGATAATTTTGTCAACTATCCAGCATTGAATCAGAGGATCGATCCAGGTATATTATGCAATGATCTTTCTATATCTTGGTAAGTCGATCCAAAGCACTATAAATTTCAATTTACGTTTCTTCAGGAATCGCGACCCAGAACTTCTCAAACATGAGGTTTTGAGAAAAAGCGAGCTACCAAAACCTGGATCTTTAGTTGCTATTGATGCCGAGTTTGTTTCAATGAATAGAGTAAGGTCTGTTTATGTCAATCATAAACAAAGTCTTACACACTATCGAAGGAAGAAATTGAATTTAGGTCTGATGGATCAAGATCTGTGATCAAGCCTTCAAAATTATCACTTGCTAGAGTGTCTGTTCTAAGAGGAGAAGGAATCAAGGAACAGAAACCATTCATTGACGATTATATTCATACCAGCGAACCGGTAATTGATTATCTAACAGAATTCTCTGGTATAATGCATGGAGACCTGGAACCAAGCACATCAAAGCATACACTCGTGCCACTAAAGGCAGCTTATCGTAAGCTTCGATTGCTTGTCGATATGGGATGTGTATTTATTGGCCACGGGTTGTCTCAGGATTTTAGAATAATTAGTGGGTTACTCTGATCTGACAAATCATGAATTGGAAAGCTAATGTTAAGCAGACTTATTCGTACCTAAAGATCAAATAATTGATACAGTGGCTTTATATCAAAAGAAAGACAGTCATAGGAAGCTCTCACTTAGATTCTTAAGTTGGTTTCTTCTTAAGCAGGATATACAGTTAGATACACATGATTCAATTGAGGATGCAAGAGCTGCATTTTTACTATACAAAATGTATAAGGCTTTTGAAAAGGATGGCAGACTTGAGGATGTTTTAGATGATATTTACAGTGAAGGGAGAAGGTTGAATTGGAGACCACCTGTAAATACCAGTAGTACTAGTAGCAATCTAGCAATGCAATCACCTCCAAATACAAATGCTACGTTTCAAGTAAAAATCCCACCACAACAGCAATCACAACCTGCAGCAGCATCAGCCTTTGCACCGTCAACATACATTGCATCACCTACGACAATACCATCGTTTTCACCACCAATTGCAGCACCTTTGTTTAATAATCACCAGGGTACATCACGTAATCCATGGGATTAATGTTATGTTGTATGAATCAGTAAAAAAATCTTACAAACAAATGCAGAAAATATTCTATTTTAGCGATGTGGGTTAGTTGTGAATGCGTTGTGACTATTAGTTTTTATTCTTCTTGGCTTCTTCTCTAGCTTTAGCGTCTTGGTCTAACCAGAGTCTCATACCTGGTGGGAGTGTTTAGGATGGCAGCCAGACAATAAAGATAATACTAACCTAAAGCATCTTCTTTATCCGCATAGTAGCCTCTTTCAACTTCCCACACTTCGAAACCAAGAGTGTCTCTGTAAAGGCCGATAGCAGCTCTATTGGTTTTACGGACGTGGAGGCTAACGTATGCAGCGTTAAAGGCGTCTTTCATAGCAGTTTGAGATTGTTTCATCAACTTTTGAGCTAAACCTAGCCTTCTATACGATCTCAAGACGGAGATCGAGGTTACGTGACCGTTTGGCAGCTGTCCAGGTTTGTTGTCCATATCATCGTTCCTTTTGGGGTATAAGCTGATGAATACGATGAAAGAGACAAGCTGACATTTTTCCTAAGATGTAGCCGACGACTCGGCCTTTGTGATCTTCTGCTACGTATGATAATTGAGGCCAAGTGAGGGCGTGATAAAGGTCTTTTAGGATGATCGTTTAGGGTTAGGCTAGAATAGAGTAATTACTTACAGTATTTTATGTTGTAGTTCTCTGGCTGTGTGAAATGAATGAGCAATTGAATGGAATTGGATTGAGAGACTAACGAGGTTCATGAGGTTTGTGTTCTGCATCCCAGTAAGGTCGTACGGTGTTGCTGGGCGTATGTTCATTTTAATTTATTTTAATTTGAAAGTTATGTTATAGATGGTATGGGTTAAAGGCCAACGTTCATCAACTGGAGAAGAAGTTGTAGACAAAAGAACAAAGAAGAAATGTCTACGCAGCCGCTTTTACAACGTACTCAAAATAAGAGGATAGCTTTACCTGTACGCGTCGAGCCAAAGGTGAGTGTCTAATGGTATTAGCAGCTACGTACTAACGGTGCTACTCTAGGTTTTCTTCGCAAATGAAAGAACGTTGGTTATATAATTATATTTCAAGAACACCATCTAACTCTCATTCTAGATTCTTAAGTTGGCTACACTTTGCCGTCATTCTCGGTGGATTAGCTATTGGGCTGTTGAACTTTGGTGATCAGGTCGGTAAAATATCCGCAGGGATGTTTAGTTTCGTAGCTATGCTCATTATGGTTTATGCTCTCGTCACTTATCATTGGAGAGCATCTGCTATAAGGAAGAGAGGCACCGGACCATACGATGATAGATTAGGACCAACAATACTATGCTTCTGCTTGTTGTCAGCAGTTATGGTCAATTTCTATTTAAGGTTTGCGAGCGGTGAAGATGACATTTGATGGACAGACATGTGGAGGTGACGCTTACATATGGACAATTGTTGGATATTCTCTTTTTAAACACGAACACGAATATTTAGTTTGTAAAATAGAATCAATTACAATAATAAACTAGTAGGGTTTATATCTACGATTTTGTTTAGAATCTTCAACCTTTCTCTTGTCATTCTCGAATTTGAGTCTGAGATGAGCGAGGTCGTGTCTCTTTTTATCTCTCCTCTGCCATCTATAGAAGTCATCTAGAGGCTGATTGAACTTTCTCTTCTTTCTTCTGTATTCTGAGCTGTCTTCATCTACTTTACCACCGTTGAATAGCTTCGATGCGACTTGTACACCAGCTTCATTTGCAGCCCTACCATGTTTACCACCTCTTTCAACAAGAGTGAAACCGTCATCTTCCATCTTGGATTCAATCTCATTTGAGATTTGTCTATTCTTTTCTATAATTTGATCTTGTTCGAATTGCTTTATGTAGTTAGTTGAAAATGATCTTATATCATTGTGATTAGGTCTAAGTGATTTGTATAGCTGTATTAATGAAGTTGTTGTATTGAGTGAATGATTTTCTAACTTGATTTTGTTTGAGTTTAGTATTTTAGTCAAGTCTTTTTCAGTCTTTAATATTAGATGCACGTTTCTATTAAAGTTGCTTAAGTGATTTAGCTTATCTTGTTGATCATTACCAGATGGATAGTCGATCGTACTAAGAGCCAAGCTACTCCTTCTCATTGAATCGATTTCAGCGACATTATTGAAAGTGTTGTAAATATCCTCATCATTCATATCTATCGGTAATTGGGTAACGAAAATTGTTCTATCACTTGGGAAATGATCGCTTATTGATCTATTTGCAATATGCTGCTTTATATAGATTGTATGAATGCTTTTATCCCCTCTAAGTAATTTTATCCTGTTGAATCCATTCACTTTATCTGACTTTGCCATGCTTGTATAAAAAGAAGAACAAATTGCTAGAATTACAAATTATTTCATTTCCTCTAAACCTAATTGAATATCTTGTAATATTTTATAAAAGCAAATCTCTACTGCATCTGCTCCCCAAAAGAAGTCACAATGTTCACCACCTTCAAAGTAATCAACTCTTCTTAACCTAACACTCTCATGCGTCTTTAATCTTTCTAGTAATGGTTCAACCAGTACTAATTTATCATCAGTACCAACGTATAAGCTTAATGGTGGAAATTTTGGTATGGACTGGTTCTTCTCGTCAACTTGATCACCAGTACTAAACCAACGATCTTTGCGTGTATCTAACGTACAACCTTTGGTTGAGAAGCCATCTTTACCTGCCCACCAATGAACAGATTTTGATGAAACGGGTGAAGGTGTGAATCTAAACATTTTTGCTTTACGTCTATTTAACCAGTTCTTATCTGTCCAACTGAATAAGAAGGCAAACATTTGATATCCTAATAAAGCAAAAGCTCTTTTTGGTGTATAATTGAAAGCTAACGTCATTAAGGGAATGAAATCCAAGTCACCAAAGATGAATTTCCAACTATTCCAATCAAGGTTTTTGATAGCAGTGAAAGGGAACCCAGTTGTTAAAGGACCAGCATAAACAGCTGGAGCTAAAGCAATGAAACTGCTAATTGAATTTGATAAATGAGGGCAATGATCTAAACTCAACGACATAAAAGCTAGACCGTTACCTTGTGAATGACCAATGAAAGATAAATGATTGAAACCGCTATCAGATTTGATGTGATTGATAAGACAAGGTAGATCCTGTGTAGCTAAATCTTGCATAGTGTAATTCCAAAACTTAGGATCATTCTTTTTCAAGTGCTGGTGACCCATATTGAAAACGCCTCGAGTATTACCCAAATAAACCTGATAATCACCTTGAGTAGATAACCAAAAAGCTAAACTACGTTCTTCGGAGGTGATGAAAGAACCAGAAGATTGGAATAGACCATGTAAGATTAGAATTGGGTATAATTTCTTATTTCTATCATGTGAAGGGTTTATAACTTTATTAACTAACAATTGATAACCATCATTTGTGTATATTATTTGATTTTGAATATCAAAACCAGCTTGATTAGCGTAGTAGACTGGATCAGGGGTTATTAATTCATTCTTGTATTTCTTGTAATCATCCCAATCTCTTCTCTTTGGTGGTGTTGAAGGTGAAGTGAGAAATAAATAAAATCTGATAACTAAAGCGTAAATGACTACTAAAATTAAAGCGAATGATGAAATTGTATTTGAAATTATTCTATTTGTCATTTTATAGTTGAAACAATCAACTTTAAACCTTTTAATCTCTTGGAATCTCTTGGATTCTAACAAGCAAGGTTTCTGAAAATGGTCAACCCTTTGAAAATCAGGTTGGTATCTAATAATTGTTAGTATTCGCTCAATTTAATTTCGAATTATCAGTCTCGCACCTTACATTAAAGGTGGCCTTAGAAAATCACTTGAACCAATTGCTAAGGGCTATTTAAAGTGGGTTTAAAGTTAGTTAACGTTTTGCAATTCCAATTTAATTCAATTTAATAGCCTTGCTGGCTTCAAGCAAGTCGGCTTGAGATGTTAGTCAAAACTCTATCCTGATTTGCCACTAATAAATAGCAGATGACGATCTCATTCAAGAGGAAAACGATCAAATGCAAAAAGTTTGTTCTTTTTTACCGCTATAACTCACTTTAACGCCAGACTAAAAGGTACTCGGTCGTCTCTCACCAAGAGAGGAATATGACAGAGTTTGGAGATTAAGAAGAGCCATTAACCAATCCATCCAACACAAAGATTTACCTGCTGAGCAATGGTCTGAGGAAGACTCATCACAACAGCGTTACCTCACTGATAGAATTGTCCAAGTCACGAACGAGTACACTGAAAGAGAGTTGTTAGATAACCCAGAGTTTAAAATTGAACCAAAGCACCATTAATTTGTTGTTATCATATATATGTTTTTTCATCTTTATTTTCAATCACTACGTCAATCCTCGTCTACTAACCGAGGTTATTTGTAAAAGCATCCTTCAATTAATAATCTTCAAGTACAAGCATCATGGCTTTTTACTTGAATCATTTAAGGAAGAAGGATTGGCTCGCTTTGAGCTGCGATAGACTGCCGAACTTTATCAACGGGAAATTCATTCAATCGAATACACACAATTTCCATCCAGTCACAGATCCTGTTAGTTTCTTCTATTTGATTTATGTGCTCCCCTTCTTACCCACTTACCCCACAGTCCACTAACAAAGTTCTCTCCTTAACCCCTGAATCCACTCATGATGAGATCACTTCTTCAATCAACACCTCCTTTACCGCTTTCAATCAATGGAAATCTTCCTCAGTTCTATCAAGGCAGAAGTTCGTTTTAAACTTTCAACACCAAATTAGGCTCCACTTTGATGACTTAGCAATCGCTGTAGCATTTGAGAATGGCAAGACTTTCAATGACGCCAAAGGCGATGTCTTGAGAGGTTTACAAGTCGTCGATTATGCCGCTTCTATACCTACAACTTTAATGGGCTCTTTCTTGCAGGTTTCTGATCATATTGATACTCATACAAGAAAACTACCATTAGGTGTCTGTACTATGATCGCTCCAAACAATTTTCCTTCTATGATTCCCAATTGGTCTTTACCTTTAGCTATAGCTACCGGTAACTCTCTCATACTCAAACCTTCTCAACGCACTCCAACCGCTTCTTTGTTATTAGCTGAATTAGCTTCTATTTCTGGCTTACCTGATGGTGTTCTCAATGTTATTAATGGTACAAACAATGTCGTTGACTCTTTAATCACTCATGATCATGTCAAAGCTGTCAGTTTCGTCGGTAGTGATCACGCCGGCAAACATGTTTACGAGAAAGCTACTCAACATAGTAAGCGCGCTCAAGTAAACATGGGCGCAAAGAACCACGCTGTTGTTTTACCTGATGCTGTAAAAGATGCTTCAATCAACTCCATCTTAGGTGCTGCTTTCGGTGCTGCTGGCCAAAGATGTATGGCTTTATCTGTCGCAATTTTAGTTGGTGATTCTCGCAAATGGTTACCTGATATTATAGAAAAAGCTTCTGATTTCAAAGTTGGTAATGGTTTTGATCATACCACAGATGTTGGTCCGGTCATCTCACCTGAATCGAAATCTCGTGTTTTATCATTAATTAAACAATCAAGAGAACAAGGTGCAAATGTTTTGTTAGACGGTTCTAATGTATCCGTCAAAGGCTTCGAAGATGGTAATTTTGTTGGCCCAACAATAATATCAATCCCTTCTACTCAATTGGATATCTATAAAACTGAAGTATTTGGTCCAGTTCTTTTGCTATTAGAGGCTGAAACTCTCGATGAAGCTGTTCAAATCATTAACAAAAATAAGTATGGTAACGGTGCTTCTATCTTCACCGAATCAGGCTCAGCTGCTAGATTGTTTGAGTCAAAAGTCGAGCCCGGTCAAATTGGTATAAACATTCCTCTTCCAGTTCCTCTACCCTTCTTTTCATGGTCAGGCAACAAAGCTAGCTTTGCCGGTGAGAATAGCTTTTATGGTGAACAAGGTGTCAACTTTTACACACAAACTAAAACAACTACATCCATGTTCAAACCTTCTAATCAAACTCCTACAATTGAAAGGCCATCTACTAGTATGCCAACAATTGTCTAACCACTTCTTGTCTTTAAATACTCTTCAATAACATCTCTTATACTAAGATTTGTATACTTCTCTTCAATTGTATACTCTGTACGAGGACTTAATATACTAAGAGCCCTTTCAATGAATGGTTGTAAACTGTAATAAATTGAGTTTATGGTAATACTTTCACTGTGTCCCTCACAATGATATGAAAACAACGTCAACTAAATCTTCATCCTCTAAACTATCTAGTTCGGTTGAAAATAGTGCTGGCTGATCATAATATTCCAATCTTGCATGTGCAACATCATCTCCTACTCCAGGGCATGTATCATCAGTTTTCTTCATATAATTAGTCTCGCGTTGATATTAAGCCCACACTTACGTATCCGATAGATAGGCTTTTTAATTCGTTTGTACTGGACAGGAAAGGATTTTCAGGTAAGTTATTAAGTGTTACGAGCATCTTCTTAGCAATCCTGAATGGCACATCTACGATAATTGATCAGGTGATACCATTTTTGTGGAGTATTAAAGACTCACCCTTAACAAACGGTAACGAATTGCTGAATGGAAATGCCGTAAACACATCATTCTTGTTAACCATTCCCTTGTATAAATCAAATCTGATAGCACCAGAATTCATCAAAATTAGCCTATTCAGCAAGGTGAATATTTTTAACATACTGAGTTTGTGACTAACCTCGGTACGCCCTCATACTCGCGGCTAGGGTTTTTGATTGACGGCAAGACTTCATGTTTCATCCAATACGTAAGTGAATCTGGATGTGTAGCAGGTACACGACTTTGGTAAAGATCTCTGTCTATCTTTCCGATAATTTGCCCGAGTCCTAATTTGTTCCAAAGTTTCATTAGTTCTTCCTTAATTTTCTTTCCCAAGTGAGTCACAAGCTTTGACTTGTCTATATCTAAATGCCATGCATAACCAACGGGGTTTGCATCTAAATATTTACGTGAGACTTCCAGCTCTCCGTCGCTTGATATATTTACACCCATCCAGCCAACAGTCTCTAAGAACCGACCACTTGCCATGCGTACGTCCCTTCCATCATCATAGTTGAAAACGCAATCTCTAACGTGTTGATGTCCGCCAAAGCTGATAATTGGAACCAGAGGATGCTTTTGCTTTAATTTTTCTAAAACAACATTCCAACTAGAGTCATTGATAGCCATATGCGCTATGATTAAGAAGCTGTAATGCAAATCAGTTTATTCCTTAAAATAAAAACTCGACCAACAACTCAGGAGCTTCATCTGTCGCTTCATCAAACCAGGCTTCTTTGACTAATGTAATGTCAAAACATGTAAGAGCATTCACCGTCAACACTCACCCATTTCTTCGATCGGTTGTACGTGTGCTCTCCAATTTGAGTTTGGAAAATTCTTCGAGCATTATAGTTAAAGCTTATTCAATTTGAAAATAACTCACGAATAGTATACCAAACGCAGTAAATTTGCGTCCGGATTTTGTGACGTGTTTAAGATATCTTTCTTAATCAAAAGATTAGCATTTACTAGGGTAAATATTATTTCGTACCGCCTATTGACACAGATTCATTCGTGTCTGGGTCAGTTATATTTGTGTTTGATGTCAGATAGCGTTTGCTCCTGGATTCACTATAAGTCAAGCCGTAACAGCATTACTAGCTTACCACTTTGTGGTGAAATTCTTGTAGATGTCGAGCGTAACATCCGGATTGTATAAACCATGGTTACCAATAGTGAGCATATCAATATCCAGCATTGAGATTATGTTATTGGTGTCATGTCCATTAACATCTAAGTTATGTTAGCACTGGCTGTAGGGCATCAACCATACTACCTCCTGGTTTGACAGCATCCGATAGTCCACTACCATCATGCAGATCTCCACTATCTATTACGAATAATTCAACGCCTTTATCATTGGCTTTGGAGCGCATGTGATCTACAAAAGAGGCATAGTCCCCCCAGTCTCCACTACCTGATCGTGTGTTAATGACTTAATATTCAAGCGATATGTCAAGTTACCATTCGGTTCAGGTGCGCTCTTTTTCTTGTGTCCAGCTAGCCAACCTAGATGATATCAGTCCAGATAATAGATGACATCGACAAGCTCACCGTGTATGTCTGTCGTATGCAGGAAATTGTACTCTCCCCACTCTATTGATCGCGAGGGTGGGACAGGGTTGATGTCTTGTCGTTGCATAAATACATCGATGTAATAGAACGTCAGTATTGTCAGAATGAATATAACTGAATCGGTTTTTGTGCCCATTGACGATTGGCGGTTTTGATCAAGGAGGGTTAGTTCAATTCGACAAGAGACACTGGTAGACACATAGAAATATTACATGATCATAAAAATCCGTGAGTCTATAAGCGTGATTTGCAAAACACAATCTCTGATTGTCACACTACATTTCTGATTTATCTATGACGTATCACCAAAGGGGAGCACTAGAGGGTGACTCAAAAGACTCCGACCGATTAGCGTCAAGTTTGCCATGTAATTACGACGAAAGTTCTCATAAAGCTGTTAAATACCGTCCTCCCAATCAGCTGCTGAGAAACTTAGGGTTTTTAATGTTGACAAAGTATTATACCGACAAATTATTCCAATCAAACCAGCATGTCAGTCTCATAATATCATAATTATTCCAAACCAGCTCTCCTCCCATCTTGATACTATTACTGAGCAAATGGTTGATATACAGCTTTTGGAAAGCTCAATTTAAAGGGGCTGTATTGTTAAGTCTGGTTTGGTTATAGAAACTTTTGCTGAACGTAAGTCGTTTGAATTATTTTCTCGCCTTTTATCTGCTCGGAAGTTGCGTTGCGCTATTGCTCTGGAGCTCGCAATAGCGATGTGAAGTATTGTTACTGTGATATAAGACGTGTAGCGCTGATAGGTCTCAATATTGGCTCCTGGGAGTAAGGCAAGCTGGCTTACTTACTTTAAAGTCATCTGAAGTATCAAACGCAACAAAAAGTAGACTCATCTACACTCATAAAAGTTATTTGGCTTCACCAGTTGCATTACGAGAAATCAATTAGTTATTGTTCGTTTTAGAATTATGAAGGTGAGTTTCGTATAGATGAACATTATCAGCTTCCATATTAAGCTCCTTGCGACCAGTTTCAATAAGCTCGTCGACCACAAAGCGCTAAACAGCGCTAATAACAAATAAAACACCCCAAAAATGCTTGCAAAGGTACCCGTTTCCCGAAAAGATCAGAATTGCACAGTTTCACAGTAGTCACGATGCTATGACGCCTTCGTCGTTACACATGCCATTTTTCGTCTAAGAAAACAGCACAGAAAATAATGTTCAAATTAGATGGTGTGATCAACAAGCTGAGTCGGTTGTTTAATTAAATAATCCCCAGATGAATTCACAAAATAAAAGCAAGGTGTTAAAGGTGCATGGAGTAAAGTCACATGTGAACAATGCGCATGATATGCCTGAATCTGCATTCGTCCTTTGTCCACATAGACACTCTCACAGTTTATAGGACAAGAAATGTGATACAATGAAGAGATTTTTTAATGAGAAAAAGGAAAGACAACCTCTCAGGTCTTACCTCTTACAATCTTCGTCGGCATCGCGTGATTTTTAGTTCCCTCTGCTTGATTGAAATCACTAGGGAATAAAAGTAAGGAAAATGGCTATCTAGGTTTGTTTGAAGTATTTTGAAGTATTGTTGAACGATTGAAGGGATGTAACAGAAAGTGGAGGTCACCTCAGCTCATTACAAGATAGTTGAAACATTCAAATTGTTCACGTTATTGATTACAAAAAGGCAATACCATACCTTTTCAAACTTGGAAGTCTTTCTGGCTTTATAACGTACTCATCTTTAACATGCATTGCCTGAAGAATCGACGGACCTTTTGGCGTGAATGAAATCGACATAGATTACCACATGGGTAAATGAAACTGCAGAATATCAAAATTCATTATAGAGCTTAAAAGCTCAATCATGTAAAATCAAATTGCGATAAATTTGATCGGCAGTAGTGTAAGCAAACACTAAAATCCGTAAATAAGCTAGTGTAAGTTGGCGAAGAGAAATTCAAATCAAACAAACTAAGAGGAAAGATTTTGCAGTTCATTTGAACTCGATTCCAGTACAAGTGGATATCTACGGTATCGAGCTATCGGGACAAACTGCCAACGAGGGAAAGACACGCTAGAACCACCGCACCATGTAGGGTGATCTAGCACTCAAAACTTCATACCCAGCAACGGACGAACAATGCGCTAGCGATGAACAGCACCCACAAATATAGAAGACTCCAAAATAACACAGATAAAGTCAAGCGCCGCAGAAACATCAGCTGAAAGGCACAAAGCAGCGAAAACAGCAAAGAGAGTCATCGAACCGCCTAGAGTAACGAGATGCCCAGCCACTCAGATACCCTCAGTGCGTCTCACTACGCCTAAGTAAAAACACTTTCGTTTCCAACTGATTGACTGATAAAAATGCATTGAGAGTGACACAAACGTCACCATTTCTCAAAAAATAATGAAAAGAAAAACGTACGTGATTGCAAGAATCTTATAATTAAAATTACCAAGATCAACATTCGATTAGAACTAGGTCCAATACTCAAAAACAGACGATCGCTAGGAAAGCCTACAAGAGTTCTACGAACTTACTTGACTACGTGAAAAAGACAACCCGAGAGTTAAGCGTAACTGATAGCCAATTATAAATAAAGATTTACTGATCTAGTCTAGAAACGCTTTCATTCAATTCGGCACCACTGTTAACTCCTCATGCTGAAAGGAGTAATGATGAACGATGTTCAAACATACGTCTTCGTAACTGTGTATTCTAATATGTTCAACATCATCAACATAAGGTATTGATGAAACTTCATTTCCTATATCACGACATTCACGGATAATCCTGATCTTTTATTCAGTTGCAATGGAAATAAAACAAATAATTTGAATGGAAGATAAAGAAGGATGTTGTTTTGAAAAGACAAGGAATTTAACAAACTGGGAAGTCTGCAGAAGATGCAATAAATGCAAGGGCGAAATATTTTCACAATTCCTACAACAAAACAGAGCGGCTTCATTGAGGTTTCATGCTTTTCGCCAAAAGACTCATTACAGTAAGAAAAAAAAATACAACTCGTGAATCTGCAGTGTGTGGTACCAAAGATAGAAAATCCTTAAATTTAGTACATTTCCCATGCTTAAATATTTCGTAGTAGTGTTAAGTTTGTTAACCGCCTGAGATTCAACCACGACTACTAGTAATCTTCTTGACGTACGCTAAAATTTCAATCTTACGTAAGTTCCCGCGGATAACTCAACTTTTGAAAATTTTCTAAAATACAATCGGTTAGAGTGCTTTTATAGCTATCATATAAAGAATGTTGATTTGCAGTGGATGTGAGAAAATCGTCTCATACTATTGTATATATGTTATGTAATGAGGTATATCAAGTCCAAAAAGACAAAGCTCAAAGAACTCAACGATTGTTTTCATTTGATTAGTATTTTGAGTATTCCTAGAATGTTTTTACCTTTATGCCATCAATAAAAAACAATAGAGCGTAAATGTTGGCTTTGCTTAAGTTAGGATAATACGAGACGTTGAAGCAAATTGCAACTTATTGATTTCACTTCCATAACATAAAAACAACATTCTTGTTTTAAAGCTCGAGTTTGTTAAAAACAATTATATTAATTTATTCAATCCGACTGTTTGCTTTTCTTGACTCCTTGGCGAATGAGCTCTAAAGGCAAATGCTCCTGGACCTAAAAAAAGTTATTCATTTCAATTGATATCGTCGTCGATCGTCAAATTTTTTATATCAACAGTAAACCTGATCTAAATGAAACTCGTATTGATGTTTGTTTTAACTACGCCTTGATTCTAACTCCTAGTTTTTTTATCACTATAATTCAACTCCGTTTCATAGACCTTTTTTATCAACATATCGGAACGTTTTCATAAATTATAATTTAGGTCAAAGGCAGATCATACGTAGCGTGAAAGCCATATCGTTTACTTGCTCTTAGTTTCCAATAAAACCATTCGATTATGTGTAAGTAAATTATACGCATATACTTTTGAGGCAGTTGAGCTTTTTCGATGTCAACTGCTAACTGTAAAACAAAGTTTTGTTACTTCTTTGTAAGTCTAAGAATCTCTTTAAATCTTGGAAGGGGATTTCGAACAATGTTTTAAAATGAACTTAAGAGAGTACGTTTAGATTATAGATTGTGTTTAGTTATAAACGACTAGACTTTGACGTTCGATGGTACTTTTTCATGTTTGTCTGCATCAAACAAATTAATTCTGTATGTTAATTTTACAAGCTGATAAAACAATTTACGATAGTTAGTATAATCGTGTTATGAAAGTAATGTAGGTGACAATAACATTTTTTGATATTTCTCCTTGTCCTAATGAAGATAATTTGTGGCGCGGACTTTTTTAGCCCTGTTAAGTTTTCATACTTTAAGCCAAGGAGGCTAGTTTCTTTAATGTTAAAGTAAACGTTATTAAATCGATGGTTTGAATTGCCCATGATGATGCCCAATTATTTTACTCAGCGTGCATATGTGAGGTTTTTGGTGGGTTTGTCACTTCTGCCGGCTTTTAAGAAGGAAGCCAGCCTGCCTTACTCTCAGGAGCCAATGTTGAAACGTGTCAGACCTTAACGTCTTATATCACATTTAACCACGCTCCACATCGCTAATGCGAGCACCAGGGCAATATCGCAACACAAATTCTGATGAGATAAAAGGCAAGAAAATAATTCAAAGTAGCCATACCCAGCCTTGACCATGTTCGAAAACGCTTTTAGATTAAACTTCAGATAAATTATGAATAATGTATACAAGTGAAAAGCTCCCTTTCCCTGTATGCAGGACAGATAATCATTACATACTGCTGATGAAGTTGTTCACATCTAGCGACTCATATTCATCTTCGGGAGGTAAATCTTCGAGACCTTCCAACATATTCTTCTGTGAATTTGGAGCATTGGAATTTCTCTTGCTGTTGTCAGATTCGTTTTCTGCTCCAGTGGAGAGACTGAATAGATCGAGTACTTGTCCAGTATCCATTGTGTCTAAACTATTATTCTGTTGCGTAACAATTGAGTTAGCAACATTAAGTTTGAAACGTTGCAAGCTATGACAGATTTTGTTATTACTGGTCTAAAACTAAAGGATAAACTTACCCCATTATCTTCTCTTCAAGAGTACCTCTGGTTATCAATCGATAAACATTGACTGTTTTCTTCTGTCCTAATCTATGTGCCCTATCCATAGCCTGTAAATCACGCTGTGGATTCCAATCGTGTTCCACAAATATGACTGTATCAGCACCAGTCAAATTCAATCCTAAACCCCCAACATGAGTAGTCAACAACAAAACATCAATACTTGGATCTTGATTGAACTTTTGGACAACGGAATGACGACTATCTGCCGGCGTTTGACCATCTAGTCTCATAAATGAAACAGAAGGCATGAGCTTCCTTAAGAGATCGTTCTCTACTATATCTAGCATTTGCTTCATTTGGCAGAAAATTAGCACCCTATGCTGTGCTACGGTTCCGGTTTCCACGTTAGCTGAATCTTCTGCAGGTTGAACAGTTTCACCGATACCACAATCTTGTAGCAGCTGTCTCAATGCTAAAAGTTTTGGTGCGTTGTTTACGTCGCGTATATTACCACCTTTAGATTCTAATGTTTTTATCACTGACTTATGCTTTGCATTCTGTTCATTGAAGATGAGTGAAGGATGATTGCATAGCTTTCTAAGATACTGCAACGCTTGGAATACATGTTGTTGTTTTTGAGAACCTTTTTCATCTGTTTTGACCGCTTGATTGGCGTCATCCGCTGCAGAGCTCTTGCCAAATTCTTCATAGAGTTGTTGTTGTAGTTCTGATAGATCGCAATAATAATCCTGTATGATTTTGGGTGGTAGATCATCGAGGACATCTTCTTTCAACCTGCGCATAATAAAAGGCAAAATTTGCTTGTGAAGGATTTTTAGTGCGTTATTTGCAGCTTCTTGTTCTTTTGAAGATGCTTTAGCTTCCCGTGAAGCAAAAATCACTTTGCCAAACTTGTCATTAAAGTGCTTCTCGCTACCTAAAAAGCCTGGCATCAGGAAGTCAAACAAACTCCATAACTCTAGCACGTTGTTTTGTACGGGGGTACCAGATAGCAATAGTCTATGATGTGCTCTGATCTCTTTCACAGCTTTTGTGAGCTTCGTCTTTGTGTTTTTTATCACATGACCCTCGTCCAAAATGCAATATAGCCAATTAACTTTCCCTAAATCGGTTATATCATTTCGGACAACATCATAAGACATAATGACCACATCATGACGAGGAATTAATTTGCGAAGTTTAATTCTTTCACTAGGACCACCGGTGTAGAGCAGTGGCTTGATATTATTAGCGTATGTCAGCACTTCATGCTTCCAGTGACCAGTTAACGTTGGTGGACAGATAACCAATGATGGTAGGTGCTTGGTGTCAGCAGACTTACTTTGCTCGTGTTTCATGGCCCTTTCGTGATGCAGACTAGCAAGTATTGTGATTGATTGTAGTGTTTTACCAAGACCCATATCATCACACAAAATACCGTGCAATTGATACTTATTCAAAAACGCTAACCAGGAAATCCCTTCTCTTTGATACTTTCTCAAGTCTATATTAAGCTTAATTGGTATTTCATATTCTTCAACTTTACTACCATCAAGCAGTTGTGTTAGGAATTTGCGTTCTTCTTCACGTTTCACTAATAACCTTTCAGGGAAATTGACAGGATCGGGTAGGCCAGCCTATGAACATATTAGATTTCAAATGATTTCAAATAGGTAACTCACCTCCAACGGGACAAGCTTTACCAGAGTCGCAAACGTACTAGTAGCTAGTTTACGAACGCAGTCGTCTGCATCGCTGACTCGACCTAGTACTGGAACTACAAGAAACAGAACATAAGGTAGAATTGCAGTTTCGAGCGTGCTAACAATATCTGCGATAAATAAGCACTATACCTGAAATAGCATTTCACTTACGGTGTATACTTTCGAGAGAACCCTGACGATGATATAAGCAAGAAGAATCTCCTACGAAAGGAACTATGTCATCAACAACTCGCAACATGGATTCATTGGTGCATATTTTGCAAATACTAGCTAAAGACTTGCCAGCAGCATATCTAATGACAGCGTAGTTGCTTTTCATGGCTTGACACAAGTTAGGTAACAATTCAAGTAGCTTGAAGTGTAGACTTGAGTCGACATTTTCAACAACCATCCTGAATATAGTAAAGGAATCTACTATTTCTTGTCCTTTTTCAGCTGAAAGTTCGGAACCAACGTGATAATCTGTAAATGAAGCCATGCAATCATAAAGCTTTGAGCACTTATCAAATAGTGCCTGACCGAATTTCCTAGAGAACTCAGATATTGATTGCAAAGCGCCTCTTTGTATTGTAGTTATACGAGGTAAATCTTTCTCATCTTTCAATACACTCTTCTTTGAGTTCTGATTAGCTGAGGCTGCTACTTTCGCTTCTGTCTCTTCTATCATTAAAGTCATCGAACCCTCACGCAATTTGCTATTGATCGTAAAAATTGGTGTGTCTGACTCATTCTGACATGCAAAGGTGCAAAGATTTTTTATTATCTTTTCACTTGGATTGGCTTTAGCCGAAGGCAGGCAACAAAGTTCAATTAGGTTCGCAAGTGCTCTGGCGGCCCGTTGTTGTATATCCATGTTATCTTCTGTCTGTTTTCGTATTAGAATATCTTGATATGTTGGATCTTATGACTCACTTTAATGCTGTTCATGATGCTTCTTATGACAGGGTTAAGCTTGGCTGGTAGCTCCTTCAGAGCAACCACTGCAGCAGCAACAGCAGCGTAAACCTGAGTATCATAACGATCTTTACGCGTTTTGTAGAATTGAATGGTCGACATGGTTTTCTTTTTTCTGTCGTCTATCATACCGACGGTATTCTTTCTACGGCTACTAATGTTATGGATGGCATTATCGTAATCAACTCCCATTAAATGGTCAGCTATCGATAGAGAAAATGCTCCTTCGATGGTTCCTGTTGGATCTATTTCATTTGGTATTGAAGGTAACGAATCTTTCTTAAGTTTACCATCGTTAATGAGGGAGCTATAGACTATTTGACATTCATTACGGATTTGCGATAACATTAGCCCCATCTCTGAATATGTCGTCGGCGTATCACCCAGCAAAATATCAACAAGCTGCTTTTTTAGTAACTTTGCCAGTGAGTTATCTGACAGGTCAGATTTGCTAAAAGTAGCCCAATCTTCAATTAAAGCAGCTGCCAGTTGTTGATGAAGAGCGTAGGTCGAACCAACATATGCAGGTATTAGGCCACAGAACGACACCTCTTGAGACTCACTTGGCCAGTCCGCCAATATTCTAGCTAAAGCATTGACAGCCGCATATCTGCTTTTGAGTATATTTTCAACGCTAACTAGTGATAGGTCTTGTGTCATCATGTTTTTGTCGATGTTATGAACGTTCTGATTAACATTCTGATTATGTATACCACTAGACTTCACGAAGAAATTACTATCCATTGGCAGACCGATAGGAGTCATGACAATAGCAAACCAACCCTGTAAATGATTGAACAAGTATTGATGAATTTCTTCGGACTTTGTATTATCGACAGCGCAATGGAAGAGGTCTAGAGAAGCATTGCGAATGTCACTCCGCTCTTCAAGTATGACGTTCTGGTAAACGAATCGGAGAAAGTTATCATCAATCCAGCTATTTGGTAGCGTAGGTGTTTTGACGAATTTTATAAGAGTATGAACGACAGCTATCCGAACAGATGCTATGGTATGACGGAAGAATGGATATAAGCGTGAAATCAGCTCAGGTAACGGTGGTCGAGACGAATTTTGAGGATTGAGAAGTACTTCCATTATGCTATCATATGCAATAAACTCAGCCAGTAAACCCATTACGATTCCAGTACTACTGCAAAGATCATCTTTTAACTGAGTGAAACTATCCCAAATGGCATCAAGAATTTGAGGAACACATTCGAAAAGTGTGTTCATGACTACTCCGACTATAGGCTGAAGAGTTGATGCGGCAACTGCTCTTACGTCGTCGTCTGAATCATTTAAACCAAGTATAACAGCGTCAACCACCTTTCTCAGCATCTCGTTTCTGTTTTTATCAAGTTGATTCTTCTTGACAGCAACAAAGTATTTCAAGCCTAGCAAACCTGCATGACGAACCTCCCAAACAAAACCTTTATCACCTTTCTTTGCCGGAGACATGCTGTCGTTTGATGCGTACGACTGGTAAATCATAGTATGCAGTATGGTGTGGACGTGCTCAGTTGAAGTTTCATCCATGTGTAATACGAGAGAAGCAAGCGTCTGGGAGGCTGTCTCTCTCACTGGACATACTACTTGATCTGAGATGAAATCACCAAATCTATCGAGTATTAAAACGCAAAGAACGTTAGCAGCCATATTTTCCATCCATACTGTGTGATTGAGTGAATTGTCTTCGGGTTTTGCTTCTACTATCATACCACCGCCAGCTCCTTGAATTTTAAACAATTCTCTCAAACCAACAGCGGCACCATGTCTTAATTCCCAAGAAGAGCTCAAGAGGTCGAGTTGCATAACATCAGCCAGGGCACCAAATGGATATTCACCAGGAGGCCGCTCGATAAAGCTAGTTGTAGATTTATTCGCCTTTTCTTCAGCTTCTCTCTCTGCAGCCTTAGCTTTAGGGTCGACAACTAATGATTCTTGTGAAGGCTTGACATCTTCTGTACTTTCAACTTTAACTGAGGTGTTCGGTTCATTTACTCTGACTTTTGTTGAAGGTGTATTGGTAGGCTGGCCCAATTTCCGCTTGCGCTTTAGACGATTTCTCTCCCTCGCAGACAAAGCAGACATGTTCTCTTCAACGGCATCATCTTGAGAGTGTGATTGAGACTGTGGAATTGTGGGGCCAGACACAGACGGTTGCTGAGGTTGCTGAGTTTGCTGAGTTTGCTGGTTATGACTGACAGACAACTCGTCTTCAACGTTGAAACCAAAACTTTCGTTAGGCTCTAAGAAACCTAAACCGAGTCTATTAGCAGCTTCTGACTTTGCTGATTGTAAGTTTGCAGTGTTTAACGAAGCGTATTCTTGACCGGTAGACGCCAAAAGTTTGTTATCATTCTGAGAAAGATCGTTAACATTGAGTAAACGAAGATTAGAAGTTAAGTTTGCGGTTATAACTGAGTTGTCTGTAAAAGGCTTCCAAGTCCCTGATAGCTTGAGGATTGACTCAATAGCAAGAGAAGCAGCGATTCTAGTATCCCAATTCTTTGAGCGAAGATGAGGGAGAATCTGACAAAGAGATAAATGAAATATAAAAATGAAGATAAATTGAATCTCACTTTGAAGATAAGTCTAACAGCTTCAATCCATTCACCCTCAACGCCAACGTATCCGTCATCGTTGCCAACGCTGAGCTTAGAAATCTGGCCAAGTTGCTTTGCTGCTGTTTGTTTTATTGAAGGCGTTGAACCAGTTTCAATAATCTGAATTAATTTATCAAGCCGTGACATATTCTAAGCTAAAGGTTCATATGTCGACTCTAGAGGCTGATGGTGGTTGAGGATCGAAATGCAGAATAAATTCCCTTTAAAATCAATTTGAGATTAATTTGAATTCATTCATAGCTTATTTATTCTCCTTTATTTAATTTACACTTTCCCTGTACGTGATTTGATCTTTTTCCTTCAATTCCACCAACAACTTTATTCAAATGCGGGAACTGCCTTCTACACCCAATTCTAGGCCTCCTTTACCAAAGCCTCCACTGAAATCTATCACTGCCTCTTCTAAGAAACTCCCTTCGACACCTCACCCACAAACCCATTTCAATCTTCCTCCTTCTTCTTCCCTTCCTCCTGTACCAAGCTCTAGTAGGCCTCCTTTACCTTCGTTACCCAACTCCCCTCCGCCTCTGCCCGCAAAATCTCCCTTAGTTTCATCCGCTCCATTATCAAGCACCTCTTCCAACCCAATTTCAAAGCCAGAGTCTTCGTACACAGCAAAATCCTTGGCCTTAGGTCTTTCAACTTGCCATGGATGCGGTAAAGTTGTTATTGAGGGTCGAGTTGTAAATGCAATGAATGCTCATTGGCATCCAGACTGCTTCAAGTAGGTTTAATTAGCTTTACGTTTATTTCCGTTTATCCCAATTGACTCCTTTAGATGCGCTCAGTGCGGTGAGGCCTTAGAACACGTCGAATACTTTGAGCATGAAGGGAAGCCATACTGTCATTTGGATTATCATGAAGTCTGTCATTCCTAATCATATGATTCAAGCTTACAATCCATCACAGAACTTTTCTCCTTACTGCTTCCACTGTCAAACTCCAATACTTGAAGCCAACTTTATCACAATAAACGATGATGCTTTCACTGAATCTAATGGTCCAAGTCGACGACTGTATCATTTGAATCATTTCTTCTGTGTACAGTGTGGTGACCCTTTCTTGGACCCTTCAAGTGACTTTAAAACGTTGGACAAGCCATACACCATGTTTAAAGGTCATCCATATTGTGAGGGATGTCACAATAGACTACATATGCCTAAATGCAAAACATGTGGTAAATCTGTAACTGAGGATGCTGTAGATGCCTTGGGTAGCTTGTTTCATCTCCAGTGTTTTGTTTGTGAAGTGAGTTTGACTTTCTCTATTTACAAATTCTTACAACTTTCAGGGATGTCAATTGCCTTTTAATGATCATGCCTTCTTCGAGCAAGTTGGTAAACCATGGTGCGAGGCTTGCTTCGATATTCTCATACGCAATCTCGTCTAATGTCACATCGATATATAACGGATAATTGAATCACCTATTTCTCCCTCTCGTACTATCTATCATGTACATATTTATAACACTTTGTAATACTAGTTAATGTAATGTCAATAATGTTAATTATATCGAGTATATCAATGTTTATACCACTTTAATAGAACAGATTATCACTGAAAGCCAGGATCCTTAATGCTCAAATTGCTTTAAATGCGTCTCGTTATTGTGAATCTATAATTTCTAATACTTTGCTAAAATTTTTCTCGATCCCAGAAAGCGTGCCAACAGAACAACAACACATGCTGCTAAGCATGTTCCGCCGATATAAAACTTTTGTATCGGAATCAGCATTATTTTGAACCATATTTGAAACTTACCTCGCCTGGCTTGTACGCATCAGCACCAGCTGCTACACCGCCAAGCTTCTCTAGCAATAAACCGCTAACAAAAGAGCCCAAAAAGTATCCTGGACTTGAGCCTAACTCAAACAGGACAATTCCTGCTTGTATTCTGTACGTTTCAATAGATTGTCCAATACAAGGAACCTCTACGAAAATTATTAACTTAAACTTGAAAACTTCTCATTGTACTCACGTAAACTGAACACACCACCACATCCAATACCTACGAGTGCTACTACTACAGCTAATGGACCAATAGATGTCGCAAACGGCCAAACAACCAAAGCACCTAAACCTGCCAAAAGATAACTCAAAATCAGTGAGTTGATATTTCCACAGGCATCTGCTAGAGCTCCGAGTCCCAATCTACCAGCTGCAGATGCGAGATTGTAGCCAACGCTAAATGATGCTCCTTGTGAGTCAGAAAGACCAAGACTTCTGGCATAAGTAGGTAAAATCTATAAATTGTTTGAGATTCTTAAATAGTCAGTAACTTATTTACCTACTGTTGGAAACGCAAAAAAAGGCCATGAGGCAAGGATTTGAGCCAAAATAATGCACAAAAATAATCTGCTTTTGAGTGCGTATTTGATATCTTGTAAAAGTGATGGCCTAGGTGGATCCTCAACACCAACTTTGAGCATTAAGGACGCCGGAATTGTGAAGATGAGTGAAACCATGCCAAGTATACGTAGTGACCAAGACAGACCGAGCTTTTCTGTCAAATGGACTGCAGCTAGACTGAGAATAGCGCCGCCTATGCCACCTCCAGCTGAGTTGATACCACAAGCCAAGGCTCTTCGCTTTTCAAACCATGTAGCCGGTAAACCAGTGACGCTCTAAGCTCAAGTCAGATCAAGATGAGTAGGACAACGATAAACAAACAATCAAGCAACAAGCTAATCCTACACCAACAACCAATCCTTGAGTCGCGAATAAGGTTGGTAAACTGTTTGTAGCGAAACTTGAAGCAATCTGACCAACACCTAGTAAAATAGAACCAAATAAAGCGACATGTTTATGAGATGTGTACTTGATTGCTAGCATACCAGGAACAGAAAGGAGGGCCATGGTACCTGTAGCAAGACCGCTCACAAAAGCTAACTTCCAGGTTGGAGCGACGCCTCGTTTCTCCAATTCAGATTGATAAACACCAAAGCTATAGACTTGACCTAGATAGAAGAAGTTGATAGTTGTACAAGCCGCCAAAACCCACCAGCCACGACCACCTTCGCGATAACGATTGCCTTGAAGGTAGTCTAAGCGCTGATCGAGGTTGTAGAAGCGATAATCAATATGATTGAGAGATCTTTCTTCATTGTTATCATTATTCTTGTTGAGGATGAGATTATCGACAGAGCCAGCGTCTGTATCGACGGAAGACCTTGGACTACCGGACAGATTAAGAGAATCGTTTGACTGGAGCCTTAGCATATGAACCGGCATCGTTATAACTCAATCAATGAGCAAGCCGATTAATCTGCGCATAAAGTTCATTCTTCATACATACCATACCGATTCAACTTCAAATGTTTAAGTGAAATGCTGCGCCGCACTAAAGCAACTACGTAACTATGCAATATTCAAATATCAATCTGTATTTCTTTATGTACCTGAGTTTTTAATTGACTCAAGCTTGATCAAGTTATAGATTATTATCAAAGAGTGTTTTTGACCTTAAAGACATCACGAAGTCATAATATCAACATTTTAAGGCGCTCAACCACTGTGCATTTCTTCGGTTTTACAATGTATTGAGAAAAGAATAGAATTTTAAGCAGAAGCCCTAAAAATTTTGTTAGACGAAACGAAAGAGGAATAAAGGAATAAATTTACTTCTTGGCAGCCTTTTGCTGTCTGATCTCAGCGAGCTTCTCCTTCTTTTCAGCTTGACGCTTGGCAAGGATTTGTTGGTACTCAGCAACAACCTCCTTTTGAGATTCAGTGTTACGACGAGCAACTGAACGGAGATGACGACGACGTTGAAGACGTTGTGGGGTGACCAAACGTTGGATCTTTGGTGCTTTAGTGTATGGCTTAGCACCCTCCTTCTTTGGTTGAACCTCACGACGGATAACGAACTTGCGGACGTCGTCCTCCTTTGAGAGGTTGAAGAACTTGCGGATCTTGGTGGCTCTCTTTGGACCAAGACGCTTTGGAAGGGTAGCGTCAGTGAGACCAGGGATTTCCTGTTCACCTTGCTTGACGATTGCAACCGAGAGGACAGCAATGTCCGTGTTGACAATACAACCACGAACAGACTTCCTACGACGCTCACCGGTTCTACGAGGTCTGTAGCAAGAGTGACCAGCCTTGAGCAAGAGCTTAACTCTGTGTGGGAGCAAAACACCTTGCTTCATTGGGAAACCTTGCTTGTCGTTACCACCGGTGATTCTGAAAATGTAGCCCTTCCACTCATCACCGATTGAGTCAGCTGGAACTTCTTGTGACATTCTCTTCTCCAAGAAGACACGGAAACGACGCTCATCGTCGATGTTGATGGTCTTTTGAAGACCAGTCTGTGGGTTGGCGATGTTGAGCTTCACTGTGAGGGAAATTAGGCTTATTTGAATAGAATGAAGATTTGAGACTGACTTATGGCCTTGCTGTGCTATGTAAGAATCGAGGTGAGCGTATAAATAAATACCTACGTGACTCCTTCAAGCTAAGTTAAAACTATTTTCTTATTCATTCTTCTTACTTACAACTGCGTTCGTGGCGTGCAACAACATTTCCTCATCAAAAATCCTCAGCAATATCTCGAGAAAAAAAATTCTTAAAGAGGGCGGAATAAAGATGTTTGTATATTTATTTATTGAGTGCATCATCAGGCTATGTATTGTGCTTATTATTATACAGTTCTGTTCAATTTGTGCGGGAGTGATGGTACTGATATCTCACCACCGAGGATACACGGCGAGCGTTGTTGAAGTGAGTTAATGTGTACACTAAGCCCAGCTCCACCCAATCCCAACGCTTTCTGTATTTCTCAATTTTATCTTGAATTTTCACCAACTCCTTCCCTCAAGTCTCAAAAATTATTTTTTCAGCGTCTTCAGCAGCCACAAGCACCTTCAAGTCGTAAGTAAAATACTTAAATTATACCCACAGGCACTCACAGTAGTTATAGAACATGGGGTACGTCTATAAATTCATCAGGTTGTCCAACTCGTATGCAGTTTGATGGTCTTCTCGTCTCAACACTGCAACGGTGCTCAACCTGTGCATACTTGCTGGGGACTCTGCTGACCACAAGTCTTCTAGTCGTATGCACAATCCTTCAAAGGGTATTTGTAAGTAGACACTCCATTCCTCTACATGATTTAACCTTGCACTCAAGCCTCATCCGCCCTCCCTTACCGTCGCAACCCACCTTCATGGCTCAAGGCTACTCCAGAGGATGTTAAGGACTTGATCATTAAGCTCGCTCGTAAGGGTCTTTCACCTTCTCAAATCGGTGTCATCCTCCGTGATCAACACGGTGTTCCACAAACCCGTTTCGTCACTGGTAACAAGATTCTCAGAATCCTCAAGTCTCAAGGTTTGGCCCCTGAATTACCAGAAGACTTATACTGTCTCATCAAGAAGGCCGTCTCCGTTCGTAAGCACCTCGAGCGTAACCGTAACGACAAGGACTCCAAATTCCGTCTCATCTGTATCGAGTCTCGTATCCACCGTCTTACTCGTTACTACAGACGCGCCCAAGTTGTTGCACCAACCTTCAAGTACGAATCTCAAACCGCTTCCACCTTAGTTGCCTAAGCGAGGTTTTGCTTGTACTTGATAAATATTGTGTTAGCTTCTACTTTCTGTTAGATTTTTGTCTTGGCTTGTTCTGTCGAATATTTATTTAATGCAAATTTGTGTTTAGAGTAAAATTTTCAAGACTATAAATTCTCATCATCATCTCTTATACCTCTTTAAGATATTTGATGCTAGAAATCTAAACCAACTAAGTTAAACTCAGATTTAGTTGTTTTTTCATTCTAGCTATATTAAAGGGTGAATTTCTAGTATTACAATGCTTCTTAAATGCATTATAATCCCGTGTTCATCCAACATATATAGCATCAGTATTATGTAAAGAGCATATGTTTCTAATGCATTAAATTTATTCAAATTAAATACTTTCTTCTAAAGTAGCTTCTTAAATGGCTTACTTGCCAGACACCCAACACGAATAGCACGGCAAGCGTAATCATTCCAAAGTTCTTCACTCTAGTGTTAGTTGATTCTGCGTGATTGACTTAGATGTCTTATTATTTGGTTTGGATATACGTACCATTCGTATCGCGCATTCTTTCTTCACGTTTCTTGAGATAATTCATATCAGCAACTATTTCCCTCGTCATTTGCTCCAATTTGCGCATGTCAGTCTCTATCGTTGAGAGATTCTCCTGATTGGCTATTGCGTTGTAATCAATGGCTTCTGCACCAACATCGATATCAAGGTCAATGGTCGATTCGTAGCTATTTTGTGTATGCGCTGGTACGTCTATTCAATCATCAATGATGGGTTTCAATATCCTCTATATTCAACTCACTTTCGATCAAGTAATTGCTGAAGCAAACACCAATATCTGCATGCTGGTGTGTTGTAACAGCAAGCCTAGTTTCACCTTTTATATCCTTCTTATGAAGATAAGTGAAGCGTTCTTTTGATCCATCTAGTATCTCAACATCTACTCTATTTTCTTGTAAATTTCACAGTAGATACTTTGAAGATACTCCCAACGCACCTCTGCTTTGGTCCTGCATTCACGTTCGCAGTAACAACTACTAATGTGTCTGCGTTGGCGTAATGCCATATACACTTCGACTCTGGGTATTGGGCTGCTGATAAATCGAATTTTATTGCATTTGCTAAAGTGATAAAAAGGAATATGAGGGATATTGTCCAGTCTACTCTCATCTGATTGACGTCGCAACGGTTGTACAAAAACAAGAGTAAAGATTGGTCGTATTCTTTGCAAAGAGCAGCACTTTTATTTTCTTTGAGTGTTTAAAAATGTATTTTACCAACCTTTTTGCACATCTTCTACTCTTGTTTGCAATTAATATCACTAGACCAACAAACCGAAACAAAGCACAACATAATACTTTAACTGTTAAGGAATACTACTATTTATCTAGAATTAACTACTTGTTACTCGTAGCTGAGCTTGACTTGCGCCTGTTTTTAGATATTATTCCTGGCGGCATGTCAGACACTGTTGGCATACTAAACAACCCTCCCTGTGGTCCAGCTGATGCAGCAGCAGCAGCAAGCTCTTGGTTAGCATTGATTCCGCTTCCGTATGGTGCACCTTTCTTCTCTTCTTCTTCTGAAATATTCAGTGGGCTAATGCTTAATGACGCGCTTGGCAACTTGTTTTTGCTTGGTGACTGCAATGGTGGTGGTGCCAATGAATTTTGTGACTTGTTGTGAGGAGTGTTTGTAACAACTGGTGGCATATAACCTGCTCCTATCAACTGAATTTCCTCTCTCAGTGTTTCAAATCTGAAAGCAACGCGAGAATATGGTACATTTGTCTACTCAAAGTTAGGAGCGTTTAACAAAATGCTTATCAACACTCACTTTACGAATATCATTACCTGAAACGCCCGGAGAATAAAACTTGTCACCCAACCAATGTCTTTTGACCTCCATTTCAAAACCAGATTGCATGACAGAGTTTCTCGCCAGCTCACACATATCTGCCGGACTAAGCTTATAGATTTGCGCAGCTACGCTGTACTCTTCAAGCAGCGGCTCCTTGGTGAAAGCCAACATCAATGGATCATCAGTGCTTAAACTGACATTCAAACCAGTTCTGAAGAAATCGGGGAATGGGTTCCTCTCATACGTAAGGAAAAGAGCATTGTTTGATAAAGGCGACATAGCGATTCCAATCTGACGCAAGTAATAGAGATACTGAAGTGCCGGTACTTTCCTAAGTAAAATGCCGTGTGAAATTGAGTGAGAGGTGAGGAAAGCAGATGTAAGGTGATCAGTGTCACCTGCTTCACCTGCATGTGGGCGAAGGACAAAGGTGTTAAAACCGCGTCTTGATCTCCAGTTGTTCAGCGTGGCAAGGTTCGCATACATATAGTAAATCCAGTATGCGTATGGAGGGTTTTGTTTAGTATCCCATACACGTGGATAGGGGAATTTTTTATAGATTCTTCTTTCAGTTTTAGATTCGTCATCAACACTATCAAAGCCAATTACTCTTTGTAAGAAGATGTACAACTCTGGGTGTGACGTTGGATCTTTAGTTACTTCGAAAAGTGGTTGGAATATGTTCTTCACTATCTCTTCAAAGTTATCGGCTATACCTGCATTCTTGTATATATGATAAAGACGTGGCACCTGAATCAACCATCTCACGTTATCGCAAAAGAGCTTGTTGTTGACTGCCCATTTAGCAACTTTGTCCCACTCATTCAAAGATCTACCGTAGATTGAAATGCGCCATTCTGCTGCTTGATATTTGCTATCCTCAAGATCACTCATTACTTCTTTTGTTATCTCCGCCAAATATCTGCCTTCAATGAAGTTATCCGTCTTTAAGAAAACCTCACGAAGACGTGATTCACCGATTGGGTTGTACTTCAAGTTAAATTTGTCGAACCTGTGGAATGAGTCTTGATGAGCATGCATATCGAGTGTATCAATAGATAAATCATATGCTGTTAACTTCAATGACTCAAAAACCTCCTTCAAAGTCAAGTCTTTACCATCTCTGTGGATGACGACATCATTAGGACTCTTACGAAGCTTGTACTTGATGAAACGAAGCAAATGCTTTTGATTAAAGCAAGCAGAATGATGAATGTGAGTGTCCACTTTTCTTACGTTATAAAAGTCACGATGTGGTACGCGCTTCATCTCTGCCAATTCCTGGTACTCGTTCATCAAAGAGTACATTTGCCATTTAGATTGTAAATACTTGAGTCTTCTAAAGGCGAACGATTTAGCAGGACCGTCACTTATTACACCGAGGATGTAGTCCAAGTCGATAAAGTATTCTCTAATTGTTGGTACGTTGAACAGAGGTTTGTGGGATTCATCACTCTTTTCGTAGACTTGATAAACACCTTTTTCATCCATTTCAAAGTCCCATTTCAATTCCGAGTGCTCACTTGGCACTTGACCGGCATCCTTCCATTCAAACTCCGTCTTCTTCTCTCTTGTTGGTTCTTGAGGGAGTTCCATGCCTTGAGAGTTATTTCTGTACCAAAATGGTTTAGGTGGTGGAGGATAGATACGCCATGGCTCGAATTTATCGCCCTTATTATTGCCTTGGCTATCGGCCGGGTAGAATCTACCGTCATAGTTGGTTGGATTATCTTCGAGTCTTTGATTGGATACAGCCATGTACCTTTGAGTTATGTAAGAATGTAAAGAATATTTCACCTATAGCTTATGTACTTGTCACGAAGGTTTAAACATGTTTGGAACGATTGATAGAGTGCACGCAATTCAGCGCTGATTTCCTCAGCTGGTGAATATCAATAAATGTGCTTAAAATAAAGAATCTAATCCTACCCAGTGGTGGCGGTGGTGGTGCTTTTCCACCGGCAAAGTCCTCATTAGCGTCTTCTTCTTGGGACTGAGCGCATTCTTTCTCAAGAAATTCATCATCGTGACTGAAATCTGCGTGATGATGGGCAAAGAATTTACCATCAGCCTTTTAATATTTGATTAAGTGAGGCAAGTGTATGGCTAGCTAGCAACATACGTCGTTCAAGAGATTGTGATCCCTTTGAGAGTAAAATGGATCGACAGTCTCATCATCTGGCTTCGTAAGCTTTGTCGGCTGTAAAACGCTCTCAAATCCTTCTGGTACGGGCGAATCAACCATGGTCGACGTTTGAATCAAAACGGAGATAAAGAACTGATTGCCGAAATCCTGTCGGACAAAATTAAACTTGAATAAATCAATGCATGCAGTGTATTTCTAGTAAAGGTCTTTTTTATGTGCAGATTTCATGGAATAACAGCTTCACCGTCATCTGGAACAGTTCTCATTCCAGCAAGACGCATCTGTGGATGATTAGTGTCAAATTGTATAAATCTGTAGACTCTTCAACTCCCCACCTTAACGCCTAGCTCGCAGAGATAGTCAATACACTGTAGTATACTTAATGTCTTATGGCTGAAAATTCTCGCTTCAACCTACTTCGGTTTGTGCTTTAGCTTTTTCCCAGGTAGGGCCTGTAAAAGTAGTTTGTGAATAATTTGAAGAGTTTAAAAGCGATAACGTACCCCAAACATAAATACCATGCCTCCTCACAAGGACACCAGGCGCATTTGGATACTTGTGCATAGCCTGAAATGTTAGATAGCGTTTTGATAGTTAAACATGCTCACCTCAGCCATTCCCTCCATCAAGTCTTCTTCATTTGGTGTGTTCTCGATGATCGGTACGACAAGGGTGTCCAAGTAAGTCAAGGCATCTGACATACCACCTTTGCGAACGCCCTTGATCATCTCTTGATGAGAGATTCTGAATTCTTTACCCCAAAGGAGTGTAGCCATAACAGTATTTTGTGAGTGAGTGTGGATGCAACTAAGTGCACCACGAATGCTGAAGGCATTGAAGAAGAGTGGTGTACAAGCAGACTCTTTCAAACCTCTTCCAGGTGCTCTAACCACGCTACGATCATTTACTGTTAAAACGAACATATCTTCTGGGTTTATGCGCTCCTTCTGTACACCTTGATAAAGTTAGGATGGCTAAACAAGGGAAATTGAGTGATACCTGATGGTGCAACGTATGCTACGTTACTGAGATAATATTAAGCCAATCTATTAACAACAAGAAGCATTAAGCCTCACTTGTCTCTGATAGAAATACCGCCACCGGTTCCAGTGACCCAGCCTTGACGATACATGTTCTCACATAGTTGGGGAATCAAATTAGCTGGATGTAATGGATCTATTGAGCTAACGAATTGATCTGAGTTGCACATGGTGGTTTGAATTAGGCTATAAAGAAGATCCCAATGAAGTGACATATACAATTTATAATGAGCAATTGTACAATATGCAAATCAAATAACCCCAACTAAAGCATTTTAAGCTTCAGCGTCAACGACCTGATCATTACTATAAGCCTGTGACTTGTATACTCAATAAAACCACTCACCTCAGTAACGGTACCCTTGAAGTTGGTGCATGGAACGTATGAGGCGTAAGTGTAGAGCTTCTCCTTTGCGTCTTCAGCGTCATTGCGCTTACCTGCAGCATCATCCATGGATGACCACGTCAGCCGCCTTGCTCTTACATTGACAAAGCCAATAGAAAGAGCGGTGACTAGTAAAACTGCAGGTAGACAAGATTTATCATGAGAGTGAACTCTTGTTAACTTGTAACAAGCCCGCGTTAAGCGTGAACCCAACGGGAGTGCAAAATCAAAAAAGAAAATTTGACAACCAGACGGTGTCACTCTATTAAAATCGAGTCACTGAGCAAATACCAGAAACAATCTACTCTTCCTATTAGCAATTAAGTGTTACTCACGCTCAAGACGAAGACGAAGACGACGTGGAGGGCTTCTTACACCACGGGACCAGACTTGCTGGTTGAGCTTAGGGTCAAGACGGACATCCTTGGTACCCATAGTCTTCTCAGCGAAGGAGACAATTGACTTGATAGCCCATGGAGAACGCTTCTTAAAGGATCTGTCGTGAGTACGCTTGTGCAAGTTGACAGTGTAATCACGAGTAACGACGTCCTTGATAGCTGAACGGGTCTTTGGGGTCTTCTTGTCAATTGGGGCCTGCGATTTTTAGCCTTAAATTGTACAACTAATTTAAACGTACCATTTCACCTGATCTTGATCGAACCTGCGTAAGCCTCTCACCCACAAAAATTCTTTTGAGTGTCAACATCGATAATCAATAAAATATAAAATCAAAATTATGGAATTAAATAATTTAAATAGTCTAGATAATTCAAATAGTCTACACAATTCAGATAATTTAAAGGCTGAGGATATTGATCAATCACTCGATCATAGCTCTGGCGACGAGAAAGTCCTCGACGATGACGAGGAGAACCCGGTCCGTGAGCTCAGTGGGGAGATGTACAAAGCTCACATGCTTCACAGGTCGAGGAGCGTATCGTTGAGGAAGATGACGACATTAGAGATGAAGAGGAAGAGGAGGATGCTGATGAGGAGGCTGAAGATTCTGACGGTGATAGGCCTACAAAGAAGAAGCGCAAGCAGAACAACCCAAAGAATAGATTTTTGGATGTTGAAGCTGAAGTTGACGATGATGACGAAGAAGCTGACGATGATGATGAAGTTGCTGGTAAAGACCTCGAATTTATCCAAGAGAACGAAGAGCCTGAAGATGTCGGCAGAGATATCAGAGGTGGCCACACAACAATCGATAGGCGCGAAAGAGAATTATATGATCAAGATGCTGAGCAAATCGCTGACAGCTACAAGGAAAGATTCGGCAGATCAAGATACCAAGGCGAGATGAATGAAGTTCCTCAAAGGTTGTTGATGCCTTCAGTTGAAGATCCAAGTCTTTGGGGTGTGAGATGTAAAACTGGAAGAGAGAACGATATCATCATATCAATTATGTCCAAATATGCGGCAAATGAGTGGGGCCAGAATCCTCTCGGTATCTACTCTGCATTTTGTCCTGTATCAATTCAGGGTTGGGTGTATGTGGAAGCCAGATCTTCTGCTCACGTCTTAGAGGCCGTTAAAGGATTGGTTGGTGTTTACTCAACTGCATCCCCTGATCGCAAACCCTTTTTGGTTCCTGTCGAGGAAATGGCTGACTTGCTCAAGATTAAAAAGCAAGTAAAAGAAGTCAAACCAAGCTCTTGGGTTAGAATCAAAAGAGGTAAATATCAAGGAGACTTGGCTCAAGTCATGGATATCACAGAGAATGGCGAAGTTGCAGGTGTCAAATTTATACCACGTATCGATCTTAATCCCAAAGAAGACAATACCGCCGTTGGTGCTGATGGAAAGAAGCGCAAGAAGGGTAAAAGCACGGCAACCTCTAGACCACCTCAGAAACTGTACAACCATGCTGATATTATCAAAGCTTATGGACAAACTTCTTCAACTAAGAAAGGTGACAAGTACGTTTTTCAAGGTGACACCTTTAGAGATGGTTTATTAGAGAAAGATATAACTATTGCAGGTCTACAGACTGAAGAAGTTAATCCGCAGATTGATGAAATTACCAAGTTTACCGGTCAAAGCGGTGAAGGCTCTGGTATGGATTTGGGAATGATGGCTGATGCTGTCAAGCAATCTGGTGCCATTCTTCAACCAGGTGATGTAGTCGAGATATTTGAGGGACAATTGGCAGGTATTTCAGGTTCAATTACAGCTTTAAGAGGAGATGTAGTTACAATCAAAGCAAATGTCGAAGAATTCCTTGATAAAGAAGTCGAGGTATTGTCACGCAGTGTTCGCAAGAAGTTTGCTACAGGTGATCACATCAAAGTTATCAATGGAAAGTATACAGATGAGACTGGGTTAGTTTTATCCATAAATAACAGTGACAATACTGTCACGTTCATTTCGGATATGTCACAAGAAGAGGTAGGCGATTTTTAAAAAAGTAATGGAAATTATATTGACCCCTTCAAAGCTTTCGGTTTTTTCCAAAGATATTAGAGTAGCTGCAGAAATTGGTGCTGCTCATAATACAGTTGGTAACTACGAATTGCACGATTTAGTTCAATTAGATCAACAAACTGCCGGTGTCATTTTTAAAACAGAACACAATCAATTTAAGGTTCTCGATCAGAATGGCATAGTTAGAACGGTTGGTCCCAGACAAATCTCGATGCGTAGAGATTCGCGTAGAGCAGTTGCAACTGATTCTGAAAACCACGATATACGTATAGGTGATATGGTCAAAGAAATTGCAGGTGAACAACGCAAAGGTCAAGTCTTGCACATTCACAGATCAGTTTTCATTTTCTTATTCAACCGAGAAATCAATGAAAATCATGGAGTTTTCCTTACAAGATCGACATTATTAGCTTCAGTTGCTCCAAAAACTTTAAATAAAGCGCCAATTGATTTATCACAAATGAACCCCGCAATGAAGAATGTCAATCCTATCCAAGAGAAAGGTGGTATGGTCGGCTCACAGATGATGGGTAAGGGTATGAGAGACAAGCTAGCTGATGTACCCGCACAAGTCATCAGAGGATCATATAAGGGTTTGATTGGTACCATCAAAGAGACAAATGGAAATCGAGTCAGAATCGAGTTAAATACTAACTTGAGGGTTGAATCGCTACCGAGGGAATGGGTAATGAGACGTCATAATAATCAACTCGTCAGTTTAGATACATATATCGGTCAACCGAGAAATCAGAATGCTGTTAATACTAATTCAAGAGGAGGAGCACAAATGTCTGGAAGTGGAACACCAATGATGGGAAATGCAACACCATGGCAAGGCGGTGGCAAGACACCCTTTGCACAAGGAGGAGCAACACCTTGGGGAGGAGGTGGACGTACACCCGCATCTGGAGGAAGAACACCTGCTGCAGGAGCTTGGGCTGCTGGTTCAAAAACTCCATCAGCTGGAGCTTGGGCAGCAGGCTCAAAAACGCCAGCTGTACGTGGAGGTGCAACACCAGGTTGGGGAGCAGGAGCAGGTAGTAAAACACCTGCGGGAGCTTGGGGAGCAGGCAGTAAAACACCTGCTGGAGCTTGGGGAGCAGGAGCAAAAACGCCTGCTGGAGCTTGGGGAGCAGGAGCAAAAACGCCTGCTGGAGCTTGGGGAGCAGGAGCAAAAACGCCTGCTGGAGCTTGGGGAGCAGGAGCAAAAACGCCTGCTGGAGCTTGGGGAGCAGGAGCAAAAACGCCTGCTGGAGCTTGGGGAGCAGGAGCAAAAACGCCTGCTGGAGCTTGGGGAGCAGGAGCAAAAACGCCTGCTGGAGCTTGGGGAGCAGGAGCAAAAACGCCTGCTGGAGCTTGGGGAGCAGGAGCAAAAACGCCTGCTGGAGCTTGGGGAGCAGGAGCAAAAACGCCTGCTGGAGCTTGGGGAGCAGGAGCAAAAACGCCTGCTGGAGCTTGGGGAGCAGGAGCAAAAACGCCTGCTGGAGCTTGGGGAGCAGGAGCAAAAACGCCTGCTGGAGCTTGGGGAGCAGGAGCAAAAACGCCTGCTGGAGCTTGGGGAGCAGGAGCAAAAACGCCTGCTGGAGCTTGGGGAGCAGGAGCAAAAACGCCTGCTGGAGCTTGGGGAGCAGGAGCAAAAACGCCTGCTGGAGCTTGGGGAGCAGGAGCAAAAACGCCTGCTGGAGCTTGGGGAGCAGGAGCAAAAACGCCTGCTGGAGCTTGGGGAGCAGGAGCAAAAACGCCTGCTGGAGCTTGGGGAGCAGGAGCAAAAACGCCTGCTGGAGCTTGGGGAGCAGGAGCAAAAACGCCTGCTGGAGCTTGGGGAGCAGGAGCAAAAACGCCTGCTGGAGCTTGGGGAGCAGGAGCAAAAACGCCTGCTGGAGCTTGGGGAGCAGGAGCAAAGACGCCTGGGGGAGCTTGGGGAGCAGGAGCAAAGACGCCTGCAGGAGCAAACTGGGGTAACAGTACACCTGCAATCAGACCGGATGATAATGATCAAGGATGGGGATCAGTCTCACCAAGAAGATCTGAAACCAGAGATGTATCGGTGATGCAGAGTAATGCTGATTGGGCATCTACATCACCTGCATTCAGACCTTCTGCAGATGCATCCGAGTCCCCAGAAAGAGCAAACTTTGGTAGTACATCACCTCAACCAATGGGTCAGTCAAGCTGGGAATCACGCGATGATGTGGGTACTTTAAGTTCAAAATCATTTATACGAGCTAACGATGAATCCAATGTAGTACTCAGCACCAACGCCATATGGAGGAGCTCCAACACCATATGGATCAGCACCAACGCCTTACGGAGGAGCACCTACTCCTGGTGGAGCGCCAACACCTGGTGGAGGATACAATTACAATACGCCAGGGTACAATGCACCAACACCTGGAGGCGGAATGGCACCGACACCATATGGAGCGCCTACACCAGCAATGGGAGCTTCAACGCCTTATGATTCAAGTTCAGGACCGCAAATGCATGCATCGAGAATGCAACTTAGGCACGGGCCCCCAACAGACTGGTATAAGGATAACGTTAGTATCAAGGTGAGGATAGACTCGATTGGACAATTCGAGAAAGGTGCTTATGATGGAAAGTATGGATCGTTGCAAAGATGTACACCAAATGAAGACGTGATAGTGAGAGTTTTGGATGACGGAAGTGAGGAGATAGTGCTATCACATCAGTTTATATCACCTGTGCAACCGGGAGATGGAGCGTTTGATAGACGCCAGCAAGCAATGGTAATTGAAGGAGATTATAAGGGAGAGTTAGCACAACTGTTAACTAACGATGAAGACGAGTGGATGGTTAAGGTATTTCCAAGTGGAGAAGAAAATTTCTTGAGTACATATTCAATGGTACAATATGTAAAGTAGCTGCTTCTTTCAATAATGAAAGATAAATGAATGTATTAAATGAGAGTACAATCATAGTTCCAGAGTGCCTTGATCCTTCCAAAGGTTCATGAGATCGCCTACGCCCGAACCGAGAACGTCTCTTTTATCGATGAGGTCAAACTCAGTACCAAAAGCGACAAAGTGAGCGAATAGAGAGTTGAGGTGACCTTCTAAGCTGAGGTGGAGAAAGGAAGAGAAGTGAGCCCAGTATAAGTGAGCAAATACTCTAAAAAGTTGTTTATATATGTGCTTGGCGGAAGAAGGGAAGGTGGGCTGGAAGTAGTTGTTTTGCTTTGAAGGGAAGACGAGTTCATCGTTGAGCAAAGACTGGACCCATACCATAACATAGTCAATGTAGGTAGGCGCAGGCAACTTGACTAGCTTTCTTGATTGATCGATCCAAGTGTAGTCAAAGTTAACACCTGCAGACATGGTTGGATTCGATTCAAGCGTGACAGTTTCAGATATCACACCGTAAAAGGCGTTCAAGTTGTGGAAGAAATCAAACAAGTTTATAGCTACCCATTCGTTAACGTCAACGTGCTTTGGTAGTACTACGATAGTCTTGAAACTGCCTTTGACGAGAGCAGCTTTACAGAAAGGCTGACATAAGAAAAGAGGTTTACTGTTGTTATTTTTAGTATTCAAATTATTGGGTATTTGGGGTATTTGTTGCTGTTGAGTTGTCGGTGAAGTTGGAGACCTTTTCTGTGCGTTTGATTTGGTGCGAATGCGCCTAATTGGTGTGTTAGACTTTAATATCCCACAGTCACCTCACTAACCCAATAGAACCAAAGAAATTAGACATGGTGTTGTGAATGACTGGGTCTCAGTCGAGATTGATACAGAAATCAAGATGATTCATTCGTTCAAGTAAATTTAAATTTTATTTAAAATGTCAACGACATCTTTGTACTCAACCATTGCTCCAATACCTAAAGCAGTTTATTTCAGCATTACAACCGATCCACTCACTTCAGCCCTACTAACCTTCATCTCCACATGCTAGCCGCTTGCTGATTGGGCCGTGTATATCGAACTTTAGAATATTACTCAGTATATCCAGTTGATGGTTTGTTAACGGGTTATTGTACATGAAACTGTTCATTGAGGGAAATACGTGCACTGGTGTTTTATCATCTAATGCTCTTACGATTGACGTTACCAGATTATCTGCTAATCCGTTGCTTATTTTTGCCAACGTATTGGCAGATAAAGGTGCAACAATGACGATATCAGACCACCTCCTTAATTCAATGTGTAAAATATCATCACCTATCTTATTAAACATGTTCCACTCATCCGAATCTCTATAAATTGGTATGCTCCCATCGATATCGAGATCTTTTACAAAGTTATAAGCTGATTGAGTGATAGCCACTTTCATATTGAAATTTGGTTTCAATTCTTCCGTCAATAGCTTTAGTTTCACAGCTGCTACTGATCCTGTAACCAATATAAGTAAATTCTTCATTTTACAACTGTACTGTTGGTCGTCTGCGTCTACTAAACCACCAACTAGTCGTATGATGCAACTAAATCGCTTGAATTATATTAAATCATCAATCACTTGTAGATTAGGCATTAGACTATCTCACTCTGTAAATAAACCTCCGAAACCGAAAACTGTCCTGCGAAGAAACGCTGCAGAACAATCAGCTCCTGTTAGATCAAAGCTTATCAATCGTCCGGGTAGAACTAACGTCATGCCCGTCTTGGCTTTCTCAACTGCTGAAAGATACGACTTTAACTCACTCAAATCATCACTATCTGCGTATAACTCATATCTAGTACCAGACTCTGATGGCGCAATCTATATTCCTCTAGACAACACCGGCGATAAAGAAGTCTTCATCTTTAAATCTGGCAGTTTCGTTACCTGGGGCATGGATACTGATCAAGGTGAACGATTCTTGCGTCAAGTCATTAGAAGAGGCAATACGCCTTCCAATAATCAAATCAGTCTACAGAAAGTGCTAGAGGCTAGTGGTAGATTTAAGAACACTGGCTGGGTTGAGAAAAATCGCTACCTTGAATTTGAAACTGAACAGTTAGATTACGTTGTTGATCCTTCTGAATCAACTAGATTGCAAGGTGATTTAATCGTTTTAGGTCAAGACTCGGATTTAGACTCTATCAAAAGTATTTCTTCAAACTCACAGTTGAACACTAATGAATACCCTATGTTATTAACGAAATACTCCTTCTCGCACGCTCTCAGTCGCAGTGCAAAATTGTCCGCTTTAGAATCACAATTATCAACCTACCTATCAAAGGTCTCATCAATCCCTTCTTACCTCGCTCTCAATGGCAAAGTCCCTCCTGAAATGGATAGAAAAGCCATTGCTAGTAGTATGGGCGAATTACTCAGATTCAGACAGGGCCTGAATTTGGAACTTGACAATGAAGGTGAGAACTTTTGGGGTGTACCTGATGCCTTATGGGATGAACAGATCCTAGAGAGTTATTTTCAACAAGTTTCTGAAGTTTTGGATATAAAACCACGCGTTGACGCTGTTAATCAAAAGATCACCTATGCAGCAGATGTACAAGACACTTTAAGAGATTATCTACAAACGCACGTATTCACTTTATTCGCTCTTCCTCTTTTAACCTCCTCCCCAACAGTCAAACAAGCCATCGTATGGAGTTGATCATTATTGCGTTGATTACGGTTGAAGTAGCGTTGGCTATTATAACCCATGGTAGAGAAATTTATCTCGTACTTACTGAGGAAGAACCTGGTCAGGATGGTCAGGATAATCAGAATACGGAGGCGGTGCATCTAAGCAATCCATTGAGGGTTCACTAGGCGGGCATTCACTAGGCGGCACATCTGGAAGCTCAGTGGTGGGTTGAGTAGGCGGTGTGATTGAAGAGGCCCTTGAGATTTGAATAAGCGGGGTATCAAACGCTATAATCTTATTATTATTGTAATCTACGCTAATAAAGTGACTGATAGATAATATATCTTTGTAAGCAAAGTCAGATATGTCTATCAGATTCATATCTGTGCTAAAGTGATGAGTGACTTGACTTGTGTGATAATCTGTATGTTCGGATATCATGTCTGACTTTTGCAGTGTGAATAAAACTGTCTCTAATCTTTTCAATTCATGCCAACGGCGTGTTCTCAGCTTGACTAAGCGATGGAAATGGATCTTTAGGTCAAAACTGTCGTTCCTGGTAAGGGTAATTGCCAGATTGATTGGTAGTGATTTATTCATTGGTATCATTTGCGTATCTGGAACGTGCACATTTAAGCCAGCGATTGTATTCTTGTGTTGTATACTATTACTAATCACTTTATAGCTATCAAATTCAATTGAATTGCTAGAAGACTTGATTAGATCAAACGTAAACTTGTGCTTTTTTGCTTTTTTGAATAGCTTTTTATATTCTACGCATAGAACCAGCGTATATTCAACGACGACGCTATCTTCACCATATCTATACCTAAAGGAAGGCGGAAGGCTTTCGCTCAAACTAAAGCTGTAGTGAAATTGATTTATCCGCTCGTCTAAAGGTGTAGGATCATGCATCATATCCGCGTTGAACAGCCCCACGCTATCATCCACTAAGCTGATAGATCTGCTAAACTCCCCCACTCGTATGTGTAGATCACCAACTAGCTTTAAATAAATTTCTTTCACATCTTTGTATTCATTTGCTGTAATTTTCCCTTGTAATTTAGTTCCGAGTGTGGGTGGATGATCAAAGGTGTTCATTAAGGAATTATTTATACAACAACATAATCGATACAATTTGACGTTGCCTATTGATCATTGAAAGCCACTCTGAGCATGGCAGAATATGGCTGACGACATATTGGACAATACCATCCTTTAGGTTTGCGCTTACGTCTGCGTTGAGATCTGCCAGCTTCGGCAGCAATAACTCGATCATTTTGGGTTGGAGCATCTGCTGCTTCTGTTGCATTTGCTGATGTCGATGGCTCAGCACCCTCTGTACCCCAAGCACCACCTTCTCTGTCTGGTTGTACACCCCCACCGCCAAAATCTGTCATTCTAATTGCGCAATCCTTGCAAGCAACAAGGTGTCGACATGGTAATAAGACTGTGTCTCTTGGCGATGCCAAGCATATAACGCACTCACCCCCAATGTGATCATCCGTCATACTCTGATTAATATCATTTGAGGCATTGTCTCTAGTATGTGAAGACAAGCCGTATATTTCGTGAAGATTGAATTGCTTGTTCGCAATATAACCAATACGCTTATCGACTCTAAGGAGCCAGCATTCGTCGCATCGATGGATGATAAGATACGTCGACTGCTTATTATGTGGTGTAACAGCAACACCACTATCATCACATCCAACTAAATCAATCTTCAACTTTAGTTCCAGCTTTGTGACTTGGTTTGAGTCTGCATTTGAGGCTACGGAATCCGAGTCTGAGCCGTCGTCAATCTTCTGCAGTCTATGCTGGTGCGCCACAAGATCGAGCTTGTTTGGGGACTGCCAGTGCCTATCCCAGCCACCGTCAACAACGTCCTCCATCAGCGACTCCTGTGAATCCAACCAGCTCAAAGATATTTTCACTTTTGGGGTGAGACTGTCGAAACTGAAGCTAAGCGACTGAAATTTATTTGAGACTGGAGCAATAGACATGGAAGGGGATGTCGGTCTGTTAGATTCTGTGGAAATAATCGAAGGTGCCCTATCATTTGTCAATATGCGCAGGGTGTTTCTCTTCAAATTGCACTCCAATTTGAGCGTAGAAGAAGGGGATTGCTGGGGGCGTTTAGAGCAATTTACTTGGCGTAGAAACACGACGTACATTCTCTGTATTGTCAATCCACTCGCGCACCAAGTCATTCTCCGTCTCTCCTACCGCATTAGACTGTGGATCTTGAAACTGCAGATCAGGTCCATATAGACGCTTTTGGTTAGGTTTTGGTGTAGTATCTGCAGGTAGCTCTGGCTCTTGTGGAGCTGTCGTTGGTGGCGCTCTTCTCGAAGCTGCCCTGTCTGTGGTGCCCCTTCGAAAAAAGGCGGAGATCATGAAGGAACAAGATTAACCGTCGGATGGAGTTCAACGCGATGAAGTCACAAGTGGCGCGTGTTTGCCAATAAAAATAAATGAATAATATATTTCATACTTGTAGCAAAATACAAGGCCCCTATCAGCAGAGCTGTAGTCTGAACGAGTCTTATTATTCTTGGCAGCGGTGGATTTGTGATTGGTCCCAGGTATCTGGATAACCTAGATAGCCTATTGAATACTATTCTATTTTTAGTTGCAATTCCGTGCAAGATATCCCACATAGCGACCGGTATTCACATCCAGCTGTACATAATCTTAAGAGTTTTTCAAATTCCTTCTTTATTATTTCCTTGCGCTTCCCACATTCCCAAGTACTACTGCCCATTCCTACTAAATATAGCTAGGAATGCGTTGTGACACACATTCCTAGCCCAATTATAAATTTACCAATTCCCTCTTATTCTTCTACATCAATCAAGCTCATTTACTTCTCAATGGTTAATCTCGGTCTTCTCTCTGCAGCTGCTCTCGCGGTAACGGGCGCCTTCGCAAGCCCAGCGAAGCGCACCTGCGATAATATCCACGTCCGTCGCAATTGGAACAACCTCAACGGAGATGAGAAGTCTAGTTTCCTTGGTGCTATTCAGTGTATGATGCAGAAACCAACGTTATCAATCAACGGCGTCGATCAAGTCTCAAGATACGAAGACTTCGTCTATATTCACCAGTACCCAGGCTATGCTATCCATTGGGTCGGTAGATTTCTCCCATGGCACCGTTGGTTCGTGTATGCGTACCACCAAGAGTTGAAAGACTGTGGCTACGAGGGTGCAATGCCTTATTGGGCCTGGGAGCAAGACTGGCAAGACCTTAGTGCTTCAAACATATGGAACGCTGATCCTAACATTGGCTTTGGTACTTACGGTAACTTCGATTACAATAACGTTTACAGTGAGTCAAATGTTTGTCTTAGTGTGTTACTCTTAACCATTTGCTAAGATTCTACTACTATCACCGACGGTGCTTTTGCCAACCACCAAATAAATTTCCCCTACCCTCACCAGCTCACTAGAAATCTCCCGATGACAGCAAACTACCCATGGTCAGGACCAGGCCCATACTGTCAGCGTGGCTATAACCCAGAGAACATGAGAAACCTTTCTTCTATCGCAACATACAAGGACTTCTCTGTAGCACTCGAATCACCTGATCCAATTCACAACCCACACGACTTCCCTGGTCCACACGGTGCCATTCATTTAGCACTCTGGGGTGATATGAGAACTGACGGCGTAAACAACTCTTCACCTAACGATCCATTGTTCTTCATGCACCACTCAAACGTTGATAGAATCTGGAAGAGCTGGCAAGAACTTGATGAGAGTCACCTGTATGACTTTGCTGGTAACACTGACTATTACTGGGACACTGGTATGAGAAGTGGTATTCCGGCTCAGCTTGAAGACCCATTGTTGTACGGCGGTGTAGGTGCTCTTGGCTCTGAAAATTTAAAGATCAAGGACGTTATGGACACGACCGAGTGGCCTCTCTGCTACACATACGAGGATCTAGAACCTTGGGTTGTTAGATAAGCCAGCAATGCTTTCTATGGCAGCTAAATCGGACTTTTTTCCTACTCTCACTTTCTTTGTCTACCTGATCTCAATGTAATCACCGGAATAATAATACTACACTCATTAGATATATTACTTGAAAATTTATATGACTGATTGATTGCTTTATGTGTTATATTGATATCCGAGATTTATCTTTCTATTCACCTCATCTGCACACACACACACACACACACCACACAAGACAACGTTTAAAGAAAGTATAAATTTAGACAATGTTTTAAACAATTGAACGCAAACCAGTACATTGCGCACCAACCTTATTTACACCCGTCAACGCACAAAGTGAGCCGCTATAATTGGCGTGATAGACAGCACCAGTGTAAGCATCCTCAACAACATCCTCATCTTGATGAACAGGAGTGAGTGAAGCAGGACAAACGCGGAAATGAACCTTGTCGTCAAAGTCTACTTGGATCGTAGAGCGTGGATTACGATCAGCACCATTAACTTGACTCTTAGCTTTTGCAACTACATTAGCTGCTGTTGGTGATAAGTCAAGTAACTTTTTTGCAAAATATCCAGCTGTAATTGTGTTACCAGCTTTCTCAAATGAATTAGCTGCAGATCTAAGCGCTAATTGTGAATGTGCTGGTTGTAATTCACATTCAGCAAAGTATGCTGCTAATTCAAGTATGCGCTTCACATTGTTTGGCTCCTCTGCAACTAATCTTCTCCTCTCAATTTCAAGTGTGAGTCCAATCAAGTATTCACGTGAAACGTTGATTATATCACGGATCTGTGAATTGTATGAGTATTTAAACACATAAAATCCATCAAGCTCACATCATTTGTTTCTTCTTGGCTCGAAACTGAAACCAACAAGAGTTGAATCAAAATACTCTTGAATGCAGCTGCTGATTCCACAAATTTACCAGCCTTAAACAATCTGTATCCTTCTTGGAGCTCATTTGAAGCTATGGATTGCAGACTTAAAGTTCCTGTGGCAGGTAAATAGCTCTTTGGATCCGTTGTTCTTGGATCACGGCGCAAGTAGACAGTGAAGGGTGATTGATTGGCATTTGCAGGAGCGTATAATCTAGAAGATTGATATATTTCCATAAATAATGGCTTCAATGGCTCGAAATTAACAGCTCCGACTTGACGATGTAGCAATTGCATAGCGCTATCAAATGATCCCGCTGCGATATGATCGGCCGCCAATGGTGAGTTTCTAGTCCAAAGCTCTGCTTCCGATTTACCTGGCTCGGCTGCAATTGCTTCTTCAGCAGTTATGTTATCTGATACTTCATTTGGAGCGTTCACAAACTCATCCTCATCTTCTTCGGGCTCTTCAACTGGAACGTCTTCGTCACTGAGATCCCAAGCATCACCCTCTTCTGCCTGTTCCACAACTCCTTCGTCCATTGGTGCATCAGCTCCACCAACGTATTCTTCTGGGTTTGCCCATTCATCCAGCGTGTCCAATTCGTTCACATCTTCAGCTTGATCAAGCACCTTCTCTAATGCCTTGTCAAAGTAGCTTTCTTGACTGCTGAGTGATGGCCAGTTCTCTTCGTATGTCTTGTGTACCACTGCCGGTGGCTGTAACTGACTTTGAGTAGCAGGTATCTTAGCCAATTTACCTTGGTCTACACCTTTCATACCCGCAATTTCATCGGCAAGATCATTTAATCCATTCGATTTGGCTGTCATGTATGCTAATGGAAGCATTCCGACGTCTATCAGTATTCTTGCGCGTGCTTCCGCATCACCAAGGTAAAGAGAGTTGTGGAATCTAGACATTTGATCACCGCGCATGTCAGCAATCTTCTGCATTTTCTTCAGCTTTTCCGCATGTCCAGTTGTGAGGTATAAGAAAGATAACTTATCAAAGTTCTTCGTTTTTTGGTATGCGATTTCAACAATCTAGAAGTAAAATGAGTGAGTAGAGTAAATTGAATTAAAATGACGAACCTTGTGATTACCCTGTTTGAGAGCTTGTTGACTCAAGCGCTCCCATACGTCTTCTCTGTCAATACCTTTGGCTTCCTCGAGAGCGACATCCAAGTTGCCACATTCAATAGCGAGATCAAACCTGGTAGATTTGTCTTGTACAAAGTGTAGTGCAATCTAAGTTACATCAGTGAGCTAAAGTTTTTCACCAAGTCAATGACCCACCTCAGGATAACCTTTTCTTTGAAGGTAAGCTATAATACTTTGACCGACTAGAGTGCTTGTTCTAATAATGTGCAATACTTCATCATACTTTCCTTTAATAAGGGCCAATTTGAATCTGTATTCAGTTGGATCAATCTCAATTTGTCTTGGTTTAGCTGAACGATCAAGACAGTAAGCGGTTTTGCCTTTAACCTTCACAAGGTAGACAGGTTGTTGTAGTGTCTTGATGATGCCATTGTCACCTTGTGGTAAAGCGTACTTGATATGGTTGAGAGTGGTGTAAATTAATATTCCATTCTCATCAAATGAAGCACTCTTGATTCTGATGGTTTCATGGATGAGACTACTTGATGTAAGAGTTTTATTGGTCAAAGTGATTGTGTGCTTGCTGAGCAAAGCAACCATTGAACCGTCAGCACTCCAGACAACATACTTGACAGGTGGACAATTAAGCTCGGATAAAATCTTTTGTTGTTGAATTTCGAACAAAACAACCTGAGTTGGACCTGCGAGGATAAGGGTTGCAGTGCCACCGTAAAAGATTTCATTTGTTTGAACGGGGCACTTGACAGATTTGGTCATGTTGTTACTCAAATCTCTGATTTCGATGGATTGATCTTCCTTGTTGAGTACTGCGATTCTGTTGCGTGCCACAAACACAGCGTTTTGACCGGCTCCGCGCTTACCATCAATAGACGAGTCAGGCAAATCGTTCTCATTAGGGAGATATCTAGGGAGAGTAGCCAAATCATAAGAACCGCCATCTGCTGGCTAAGAAGTTTGTCAGGTAACGTTGAATGCAAGTGATTAACTTACAGATGCGACAAGCACACCTTTCTCGGCTGGGTTAAAACTGAGGGAACGAGGTGGAGTGTAAGCATTGCCGAGCTTCTTGATAGAGAGCAATGCAGCATCAGAGCCAGTAGACAAGTCGTGCTGGCGAATAACCTTGTCACGGACATAGTAGAGCGTGTTTTGGTGAAGAGAAAACGCGGGCCTTTCACGCTCGAGTTTGAAGACGATGAGACCGTTGTCATGACCAGCAGCGAAGAGGTTGAGCTCTGGGTGAACAGTGAGAACCCAGAACCTATCGTGTTCCCTTCTAAAGGTCTGAACAGCGGCGCGTTTAGACATATCCCAGACCCTGATAGTTTTGTCCTCGCCGTTTGAGATAATGAGCTCGTGACGTGGGTGGAAGAGGGCGGATGAGACGTTGTTAAAGTGGCCACGGCAGGTATCGACTTCCCAGGCCTTGGTATCAGACATTCTCCAAAGCTTGATTTGGCGATCGTCGCCAGCCGAGAGGATGAGAGGGAGAGAAGGGTGGAAGGTGACCCAGTTGACACCGCGGTCATGGCCTTCTAACACGAATTTGGTGGTAGCGTCCATACTGCCAAACAAGTCAGACTGCCCAGCGTTGGCTCTTTGCATCTGCTCCTCTAAAGACATGGGGAAAGCGGTGGTGTTCTTCTTCCTGAGGCCGGAGATATCCCAGACACGAACGGTCTGGTCCATGGAGGCGGAAACGACGAGATCGTCGGTAGGATGCCACTGCGCACACATGATGTAGTGATTGTGGCCGGTGAGGATCGCGATACAGGTCCTCGACTGCCAGTTCCAAATCCTAATAGTCTGGTCGTCCGACGCGGTGAGGATCCACGGGTGGGTGTGGTGGAAGAAGACGGTGCGCACGTAGTCCAAGTGGCCGTGGAGGGTGAACAGGCAGCGACGCGTCTTGTAGTTCCACACTTTAACCTTGTAATCGTCGCCGCCGCTTGCGAGAAGCGGCTGTGTGTTGTGGAACGAGATACCACGTACTGGACCTGCAAAGGCGTAAGCGGGAGATAAACGCCGGGAAAAGACGAGTACCATCGTGCTGATCGAACCTATCGACCAGGGTGCCCATCTGATAATTCCACAGCTGTATTGAGCCGTTGTGGAGACTCGCAGCGAGCAACGGCTGGGTCGGGTGGAATGCCACGCCTTTAACTCTGTTGGATTTGGATTCAAATTTTGTGAGTAAATTTAGCATTTGATCTTGTTGATATGGAACCAACCAACTCATCTATTCGAGCTGAGCTGTCCAACTGCGACCGTCATGGAAAATAATGTTGCGTATTGCTTATTAGCCGAGTTCGATATAGATCAAGGCTCTACGTGGGTTTATTTTGTTGTTTTATTATTTTATTGGGCTTTCTAACTCCCCCAAGGCTCTCGCAGCAGTATCCATTCCCAACTGGCACCGACGAACAGTGAGGCGTGTCTCGGCATCCTCCCCGCGCTCACTCTCCTCAGTCTGCTTGCAGATCTCATGATACCCGAGGGCGCCCACGACCAGCACGAGGACTGGACTATCTTCTTCCTCAACCAGACTCCCGCGAACACGATTGCTCCTCCCCTCGACTCGGAAGCTCCGACACCTTTTGCCAGACACCGAAGAACTTACTCCAGGCTCGTTCCTCACCAAGACCATCCCAAGCCCCAGCTTCTTCATGTCCTTAATCTCGTCAGGACCAAGAAGGACGACTCCGTGCCGAGGTCCGTTCTGGTTCCCCCTTGAACTTGCGCTGATCGATCAACAGGGGCGCCCTCGTCAAAGCTCTCGCCATTTGCTCGAAACAGCCGTATATCCACATCTACAAGCCAATCCTTCTTCTCGCTTTGGAGGACTACTTCCAGTCTGGCTCCCCTTCTATTCTCGCTCGCCTCTATGACGCTATCAACAATATGAGCACCTCTGCCGTTCCCCCTATTTCCCGCTCTGAAAAGATGATTCTCCGCGCTGCTCCTGATAGGAAAGATCTCTTTGCCGAAAAGTGGTCTCATTTCTTCTTTAAGCGTCAGTCTGATGACTCGGATGCGTTTAATCCCATGTTTCATGTCGACATGTCCCGCAACAGACGCTCCTCCTCCAATTCTAAGGCTGTCAACTCTCTCGAGGAAGAGTTCGAGGAGAAGCTCAAGCGGACTAGTATCGGCGCCTCAGAGCAGCAGTCACTCAATGGCCCAAACCAGTCTTTTATTGGTCAGTCTCTCTTTATCTATCCGATATCGCTGACCTCAACTCAAGAGACAATGCCGGTAGACACCCACTACTTCAAAACTTCTATTAGCTATATGAATGTCGACTACAAAAGTATTTCTCTCCCAACGCGCGTTCCGCTGTCTACATTTGATGAAGAGATTGGTGACGTAGGTGATCAGTAGCTTTTTTACACTCTAACCCAGCCTAGTATTCTATCATCAATCTCATTCAAACATTCTCTGCACATCCAGTGCCCCCATCACCCATGCATCCTCATCTCCACACAAGCGGTACATCCACTCACCCAATCATTTTACTTTTCAATGCTCTCATCACACAAAAGCGCGTCGTCTTTCTAGGGTATGGCAAGCCGGCAAGTCTAGTTACCAACTTTGTTCTCGCTGCTTGCGCACTTGTCAGCGGTGGTGGTGGTGTTCTCAGAGGTTTCATTGAACGTGCTTTTCCATACACTTGCTTGAAAGATTTGGATAACTTTTTAATCATGTGCGTAGGACCTTAATTTGGCGTATTTGCTAAATTGTCTTAGTCCGGGTTACATCGCTGGTGTAACAAACCCCCGTTTCGAAGACAATCATGGATGGTGGGATGTTCTCTTCAATATAAACACGGGTAAAGTTATCGTCTCATCTCAAATTGAACCGGTTAGCGTGCTAAAATCTAACATATTATCTTCACCCTCATCTATTCCAAACTACCATAGTCCAAATAGTGGCATCAGTAGCCAATTTAAATCTCCAAGTTCAACGATACCATCGTCAGTCGTTATGAATCATTCTTCGTCGTCTGGAAGCGCGAGCCAGTCTACTCACTCTAACAATCACAATTTGAGCTCCCCTCCATCTTGGTCAAAGCTTGGAATGTCGGACAGTTTCTCTAGCGCCATGTCAAATACTTCTGATGATGGCTCTATTTCAACATCTCAGAGGAACGACAACAGCCATCGCGAGTCTTCGGATAATATATTTATGAATGAGGTGGGTACAAACATACTCAGTTGACCTTGTTGGCTAATACTAATTAGATTATGGCTCTTATTAATGAGCATTATGGAGAAGCTCACATAAGAGCTCGATTTACTGATTTAGTATCGTCCTTCGTCAGAATGGCGTCAAGATATGAGGAAGAGGCTTCTGCAATTGGGTGTACATCAATTGGATTTTCATCGCATCCATTTTCAGATGGTCTACTCGGAAGTGGGACCGTTTTCAACGATGAGAGTAGTCGTGTACGTGAACTGTCTGCTAATGCTTTCCGGATTGAAGGGTGGCAGGACACAGCGACGTATAAAAATTACAGACATGTGAGTTGGTCTTACGCGCTGACTTTGCTAATCTTGTTATGCTAGGATTTTCAACAGTACTTGAAGAATCGCGCTATAAAGGACATAGACGTCGCCCACCAAATAAACAGACTGAGAACAGCGAGAGCGATGCATCCGTCTGAAGCACAAATGATATATCAGTTCTTAGCGCAAAACACAGAAACGTATGATCAAGTCGTAGAGGTGAGTTGATTTGATTTCAGTTTACTGTCCCGACTTTGACTGACATTGGCGAAGATTGTAGAGCAGCTACCGCCTCATCTAGATGGACTGCTGCCATTAGGGTTCGGTCTCATTCATCCACACAAATCCGTGAGAGAAGCAGCAATGGACTTCTTCATCAAGCTTCAGACATACCCGGTGAGTGTTTGGTTCAAGCTCTCGTGCTCTGCTTACTCTGGTCTAGTTAGGAAACCTTCTTTTGAGTTCTTTGAATGCCTTCTACAGGCTGGCCTTAATGAGACAGATAGAGCACCGCTATGTAACAAACTCAGCTCAACAAGGGAAATAATTTAGTTCACACGTGTATTTATTTATTTGTATTATTAGTCTATTAATTTAAAAACCATCTAATACTGCTAACCACTTTATGCTCAATGGAATATATGTAGTTATTACAAGTGCAGCTCGCTTGGCTGGACGGTAAAGCGGCTGGAAAGGGTGACGATTTAGCAAAGACATGCTAGCTTAGACGGTCACACCGACTGCTTACTCTATCTGCGACTCGGATAAAGATCAATGACGACCCTCAGGACGACTATATGAGATCGCAAGGGGATTTGGAATTTCACTACAGTATGGTAATCTTTCAAGTAGTATTGATCACTACATATATTTTAATCTACTCAGGTTACCGTGCAATGGCCCAGTAAGTGAGAAAAATGAGCGCAGCCTATCAGTTTTATGTGGTTAAGGAATGATTAGAGGCCTAGGGGATAAAACATCCTTTGCCTATTCTCAAACCTTTGAAAAGCTCAATTGTTATTTCTACCGGAAATAATATAATATTGCCAGTCTTAGATCCCTGGCGTTCCATATTGCACCCTGCACGCTGATCGGAAGCAATGGTCCTAGAGCGTTCTAGAGTACGTTATAGCAAAGATACAGAGGATATCATGTGATTAACCGATGGATACAAATCTAACTTATAGAGACCTCAAATGCTTAAATATCTCAAGTGTTCGGCCCTATAAACGCGTAAAACGTTCTACGTCGCGTGGCCTCTAAAGGAATCAAACCTAGCACCAGGAAAAAGATATTGCTATTTCGCCTCACTAAACGCCTTGTAGAAGTGATTTAGGTATAGAAAAGTGAGGGTCATTAAAACTCTGAAATCGTGGGGTTTGGCTTGACCAAATGCATTTCGAAATTTCATAGAATGAGGGTGGAGAGCTGATGAAGACTGCGCTGGGAACTTTAAAGTCTGGATAGTAGGAAATGGCAATTTTCAAATACCGTACTGTAATTCCTGCAATGTAGCAAAAGTTGTTTAACCATTACCGAGCGCTAGTATATGAACATTTTCAACATTATAACACACCCACCCGCTAAAAGATGACATCAATATTGATCAACTTTGCTTTGATCCAGGCACTCTTCATTTCACATGTAATTCTATGTCTCTAAGCCTGGTATGGACTTTGGCGCGGAGGTTGAAATGATTGGCGTTGGTGTTAGGAAACCTTCTTTTGAGTTCTTTGAATGCCTTCTACAGGCTGGCCTTAATGAGACAGATAGAGCACCGCTATGTAACAAACTCAGCTCAACAAGGGAAATAATTTAGTTCACACGTGTATTTATTTATTTGTATTATTAGTCTATTAATTTAAAAACCATCTAATACTGCTAACCACTTTATGCTCAATGGAATATATGTAGTTATTACAAGTGCAGCTCGCTTGGCTGGACGGTAAAGCGGCTGGAAAGGGTGACGATTTAGCAAAGACATGCTAGCTTAGACGGTCACACCGACTGCTTACTCTATCTGCGACTCGGATAAAGATCAATGACGACCCTCAGGACGACTATATGAGATCGCAAGGGGATTTGGAATTTCACTACAGTATGGTAATCTTTCAAGTAGTATTGATCACTACATATATTTTAATCTACTCAGGTTACCGTGCAATGGCCCAGTAAGTGAGAAAAATGAGCGCAGCCTATCAGTTTTATGTGGTTAAGGAATGATTAGAGGCCTAGGGGATAAAACATCCTTTGCCTATTCTCAAACCTTTGAAAAGCTCAATTGTTATTTCTACCGGAAATAATATAATATTGCCAGTCTTAGATCCCTGGCGTTCCATATTGCACCCTGCACGCTGATCGGAAGCAATGGTCCTAGAGCGTTCTAGAGTACGTTATAGCAAAGATACAGAGGATATCATGTGATTAACCGATGGATACAAATCTAACTTATAGAGACCTCAAATGCTTAAATATCTCAAGTGTTCGGCCCTATAAACGCGTAAAACGTTCTACGTCGCGTGGCCTCTAAAGGAATCAAACCTAGCACCAGGAAAAAGATATTGCTATTTCGCCTCACTAAACGCCTTGTAGAAGTGATTTAGGTATAGAAAAGTGAGGGTCATTAAAACTCTGAAATCGTGGGGTTTGGCTTGACCAAATGCATTTCGAAATTTCATAGAATGAGGGTGGAGAGCTGATGAAGACTGCGCTGGGAACTTTAAAGTCTGGATAGTAGGAAATGGCAATTTTCAAATACCGTACTGTAATTCCTGCAATGTAGCAAAAGTTGTTTAACCATTACCGAGCGCTAGTATATGAACATTTTCAACATTATAACACACCCACCCGCTAAAAGATGACATCAATATTGATCAACTTTGCTTTGATCCAGGCACTCTTCATTTCACATGTAATTCTATGTCTCTAAGCCTGGTATGGACTTTGGCGCGGAGGTTGAAATGATTGGCGTTGGTGTAACAGGATAAGGAAACGCAACTGGCATGACAATCATGTCAGTTTGGTAACAAATTAGGACTCATAAGGTTGATGTGGAAATGTACAGAAACCTCGAACACATCTTATCGAAAAGCTTGTGTCTGATGTCACCCAGGAACCATACAGCGCGCGATTCGAGCTTGCTCACCCTAACCCCCAAAAAGCACACATATGTTTACAAGCCTTAGATGAGAAGAAAGGTATGGAACACAATGTATTCATTGCACAAAGTCAGAGTCGAATTTGCCGATAATGCGGTATCAAGCGACGCGTCAAATCTATCTAAGCACTTAGATCCCTGGCGTTCCATATTGCACCCTGCACGCTGATCGGAAGCAATGGTCCTAGAGCGTTCTAGAGTACGTTATAGCAAAGATACAGAGGATATCATGTGATTAACCGATGGATACAAATCTAACTTATAGAGACCTCAAATGCTTAAATATCTCAAGTGTTCGGCCCTATAAACGCGTAAAACGTTCTACGTCGCGTGGCCTCTAAAGGAATCAAACCTAGCACCAGGAAAAAGATATTGCTATTTCGCCTCACTAAACGCCTTGTAGAAGTGATTTAGGTATAGAAAAGTGAGGGTCATTAAAACTCTGAAATCGTGGGGTTTGGCTTGACCAAATGCATTTCGAAATTTCATAGAATGAGGGTGGAGAGCTGATGAAGACTGCGCTGGGAACTTTAAAGTCTGGATAGTAGGAAATGGCAATTTTCAAATACCGTACTGTAATTCCTGCAATGTAGCAAAAGTTGTTTAACCATTACCGAGCGCTAGTATATGAACATTTTCAACATTATAACACACCCACCCGCTAAAAGATGACATCAATATTGATCAACTTTGCTTTGATCCAGGCACTCTTCATTTCACATGTAATTCTATGTCTCTAAGCCTGGTATGGACTTTGGCGCGGAGGTTGAAATGATTGGCGTTGGTGCAGGGACAACTGTAGTGTAAAATGATGTAAAGCTGTTGAAGAACTCGAGTGCTTAAGATACACATAGCTACGCTGCTTTGAGCGTTTGCTGGATGATTACCTCATAGAGTGGATATAGAGCACCTCAATAACCGAAAGACATACTAAATATTTAAATCGCCATCAATGCGATGTAAAATGAATCAAAATAAATCATTATCGCTGTGGTTGTCCAGTCTGTCTCGATGACGCGTTCAACCTAAACCATCAATGGCGGCAGAAGAAATCGAAATTGACCAAGCCGAGAAAGCGCCACAAGAAAACAGCAAGCAGGATGTGAAGCCTGTACAGACTGTTATCGATGGTTCGTACTTGCTATAGGTGTAAAATCTCAATTAACCACGCAGCAGAAATCAGACAGAATGCGTCTTTGATTGAGAGAGCTGTAATCACCACGGAATCTAGAATTACCAGCAGAGTCTTACGTACTTTGACTACGCTGCGTAAGAGACTAAGCGATGAGGTTCTTCTTCAGGCAATCCAGCAGCTGGGATGTGTGTACAATCTACGCAAATTTCGCTCAGCTAACAATCACACAAGCTCGCAAATACAAGACTCAGTTAATGCCATACCTCTCAAACGACATGCAAGTGGATTCGTCATTAGCCCAAACAAGCGAATCTGGCACTTTACCTGAAGTTGACATATATTTGTCTTTGCTGGTGCTTTTGCGACTAATTGACAAGCCAAATCTGAGCAGCGTAAGTATTGGTACCGACTTCGGGCGGATTTCTTTAACAGATTGTACAGGCCCTCGAGTTGGCAATAACAACACTCAACAACATCCAGGCACTCAATAAAAGATCGTTTGATCCTCTTGCAGCCAAGGTCTGGTTCTATTACTACAGAATACACGAACTTCTCGGTCAAGAACAAGAATCACGTACTCAACTTTTAGCCGGTCAAAGAACAGCGGTGCTCAGAAAAGACACTGATTGCCAAGCAGTTATCCTCAACTGTCTTTTACGCTGCTACATCTCAGCTAAGGCATACGATCAAGCTGACAAGCTGATTGCCAAGTCAACATTCCCAGAAGGCGCAGGTAATCCACAGCTTGCCCGTTATCTGTACTACCTTGGTCGCGTCAAGGCTGTTCAACTAAACTACAGTGACGCTCATCATAACTTGCAACAGGCAATCAGAAGAGCACCAAGCGGAAATATCGCACCAGGCTTCTTACAAAATGTTAGTATGAGATAATTTAGTGGGTATGATTTAATTAACACACTTGAAAGGCCTACAAGTTCTTTGTTGTGGTTGAGTTGTTGATGGGAGACATACCAGAACGTTCGATATTCAAACAACAACTCCTTAAAGGCTCTTTGGAGAAGGGTGGCTACTTGGCTATCACACAGGCAGTCAGAGTTGGTGATTTATCACTCTTTGCAGATGCTTTATCGAAGCACAGTGACAGCTTCATACGTGACAGCACGTACACACTCATCCTGAGACTTAGACACAATGTTATCAGGACTGGATTACGTATGATCTCATTAGCTTATAGCCGTATTCCACTTGGGGACATATGCGCAAAGCTGAGACTTGATTCAGAGGAAGACGCAGAGTACATAGTCGCGAAAGCAGCAAGAGAGGGAGTAATTGAAGCAACGATCAATCATCAACAAGGTTACATGGAGAGTAAGCAAGGAGGAAACATCTACGACACTGAAGAGCCACAAGTGCTGTTCAGACAAAGAATCCAATTCTGTATGGATCTTCATAACGACAGTGTCAAGGTAAGTAGAGAGAATGGGTATCAGAAATAAGCTGATAATTTACAGGCGATGCGCTACCCACTTAAATCCAAGGACGATGATCTTGCCAAAGCGGAGGAAGCTAGAGAACGCGAATCGAGATTGATTAAGGAGATTGAAGATGGTGATATTGGCAGAGGGGATGAATAGAAAGAGTGTATTTACGTTTAAATTTAAATAAATTGTTTGATTGATCGTACCTTGGTCGTTGACGTTGAGGATGAAATTACTAGCAGGACTGAAATTCGTGCTGCTGCTGATGGTGGCGGGTAGCTGCGCGGCGGACGCTGGCATCTTACAGCAGGCGAACGCACAGCTTGCGATGGGAAGGTTCACCGACGCAGCAAATCTCTACACCAAAGCTATCGGTGAGTTTGGAGTTTAGCGTGATCACAGTAGTAACAGCTATAGACGCTGATCCGAGCTCTTATCTATCGCATTACAAGAGAGCTACAGCGTATTTAAGTCTGGGTAGAAACTCAGCTGCGTTGAATGACCTGGAGACAGTACTCGAGCTACAGCCTTCATTTGAGCAGGTAAGGGGATTTTATCGGTGTCTATTATACTGCTAACCAACTCTCAAAGGCAAGAATCCAAAGAGCTAGGATCTTGTTGAAGGACGGAGAGTATCACCAAGCCAAAGCGGAGACTGACATCTATCAAAAGAATCACAAGAATGATAAAACTGCAAAAGATCTTGTGGGTTCTGCGTTTATTCGTTGTATACCACTCTAATCCCCCCCAGCAATCAAAGATCAAGAGCTTGGAAAAGCTCACAAACCAAACAGACAAGACACACAAAGCTAGGCGTTGGTCAGAGACTCTTCAATCGGTCACAAAGGCTATAGAAATCGCCAGCAACTCTCTAAGACTTCTACAAATACGTGTTGATTGCTTTTTAGCTCTTGGTGACATTAATGGGGCTACAAATGATTTGAAGTGAGTTTTTATTATATTACCCACTAGATTACTCTCATTAACCCTATTCAAAGCCGCATTGCTCACATTCAGCCTTCAATTCAATCTGATTTGCTTCTTAGACTCGCACATCTGACCTACTACTACCAAGGCAAACCAGAAGTATCCTTGAATCAGATCAAGCAGTGCTTACACACGGATCCGGAGTCAAAAGTGTGTAAAAAGTTCTTTAAAGTCCTCAAAAGCGACACGAAAGATATTAGTCGTGCTGTCATGTTCTCTCAATCAAGCAATTGGAGAGCGCTGGCTAGTGTTATTAATGGCAACAATGGGTTGTTAAAGAGATTAGATGAAGGTATGAGAATAGGGAGTATAGCAAGTGAATGGCCAGGTCTGACTGAGGCACCAATACCCAAACAAGTCTACGATGCAAGCTTCAGTCCAGCACTTAGAAACCGTTTAGTCTCGTGGAGCTGTAAAGCTTACGTTCAGGCAAATGACCTCAAGAAGGCTGAAAGCTTCTGCGAGGAAACGCTCAAGTTTGATTCAAACAACCTCGACGCGCTTATCGGTAGGGCAGAGGGAATGCTCAAAGCGGAGGATTTTGAGAAGGCAGTTGATGTGCTTGAGAAGGCGTTTGAAGCAAGTGGCCGGTCGAATAGGGATGTAAGTGGGGGTGCTAATATAAAGTAAGCTGATGTGATATCCGACAGATCGCATCGAGACTTCAACGAGCAAGAAAGCTTCTGAAACAAAGCAAGTCTAAAGACTACTATAAAGTGCTCGGTGTACCTCGTAGTGCGACTGATAAAGAAATCAAGAAGGCATAGTGAGTAGGAAAAAGGATAAGTGGAGTAAACTGACAGAAAATAGTCGTAAGCAATCTAAAGAAGCACATCCAGATAAAGGAGGATCTGTGGAAGCAATGGAGAGGCTTAATGAGGCATATGGTGTACTTAGTGACGCAGAACTACGCCAAAGGTTTGATCAAGGAGACGATCCAAATGATCCAGAGAGTGGACATGAGCATCCATTCCAGCAAGGTGCAGGCGCATTCCAACACATGTTCTTCCACAACGGGTTCCCAGGTAGCTTCTCTGGAGGTGGTGGTGGAGGTGGTTTCCCAGGAGGCTTTGGTGGAAGACACTTTATGTTTAACTTTTAAAACGATGCATTTATAAAGAGAAAAGAAATGAGAAATTTCACATGACAAAACAAGTTAGGATGAGTGGAGGGATGACGTGTATGTGAATACACCAGGATAATGTCCATATTCAATTGGCAAAATTGACCAAAATGAATTAATTTTCAAAATAATTTTTTAGTGAAGTGGGGCGTTGTAAGTGGATGTAAAAATTAGGTGCAGCGCCACAATCAAGGGAAACGATACAGCAGTAACATCGTGTTAGCACTGCAGCTGAAATATAGTGTACACAAGTGCCTCTTCTAATTGAAAGAGAGTACGTCCTTACATAGATCGAGCCAGAGCGAGAGCGAAATCAAGAGCGAAAACTAAGGCCATAAGCGTATGAGACTGAATGAACTACAATTTTAAAATTCCAGGGCGGGAACGCTGGTCGCAGTCCCAGTATATGCAATCCAGCCAATCAAATTACGATCATATTGATGAGTTCGACGAGTTGAATACGCAGCTCACCGATAAGCTCAGCTTGGAGACTGACTGGATATTTAGCTTCAATCATTCTAATCAATTCCCTCAAATAAATAGCTCAGCTCACTCGCAGATCACTAATGCTGCAAATCATTCTTCTAGGAATGCTTCCGAAGCTCACCTTCAGAATCTATTCCACTCAAAGCCAAACACTTTCCCTGCTTCTTTCAATACGCCTACTTACAATCCTAAGACGAGCTTATCTAAGTTGAGTGGTAACGATAATCCTTTGCATTCTCTCTCAATCCCCTCAACCGTCACCGTATGGTTTGGTGGTCTTCCAATTAATATTACGCCTGAAGTCCTTGCTAAGGCTTTGCAAAATCACGAATGTCCTCCGATAGCTCTTCCAACGGTCATTGATCGTTCTCATTGCGCTTTTGCCTCCTTCATTGATCCAAACGTTATTTCTCGTTTGAGCAGTTTCGAACTTGGTGGGAGAAGAATTAAATGTAAAGTAAAGCATGCCACTGGTCAGGTCGCTAGTTCACTTAGTGATGTAAGTTTATTGTCTGAGATGTTGGTTGGCAATTTGTTCACTCATAATTCCTACTTCAGGCTGGCTTACTTTCTCGATATGATAACAATTTAACGCTCCTTCGACTTCTGGGGTTACTGGCCAGAGGCCTGTCACAAGCCCTGATGTCAATCAATCGCCCCATTTACCAAACAACTACAAAACAGAGCGAGTGAAGAGACCTGAGTCTGGGAATACGTCATCCTTGAACGTAATCCCTCGTCAGCCTACACCAACTTCAACTTCTACACCTACTCAACTTTATAATCACCAGATTAACCAATCCGCGTCTTCTACTCCAAGCGAACATAGTGCCGTTGCAGCAGCAGCAGCAGCAGCATCGCTTACTGCACTCTCAGTTTTGAAGACACCTCAAGTTATTCAAGCTGCATCCGCGCCAGAGGGACCAGGTAGAGAAATTCTTGAGCAAACACAACACTATTTGGGTTTGCTTGTTGACGGATTTCAGACACAGGCGTCAAATGCAGTGAATGAAAGTGGAGGGCAATTCTTTGAGCTGGCTGAGAGCATCTCACAGAAGCTCAAAGAACCAGTTGTTTCAGTTAAGAAGGATGAATCAACATCAACACCCTTACCGCAATCTGAAGAGGAGCCAAGTGTAACTTATACTTGGAAGGGTGATAAGAGACCTAGGCGCTTTTTCATTTTGAAAGCCTTATCCAAGGTATGATCTATGTCAAAATTGATGGTTGACTGACGACAGCTCGACACAGAACGACTTGGATACGTCGAGACACGAAAATCGGTGGTCGACACAACCTCAAAATGAGGAGATCTTGAACAAAGCTTATAATGAAGCATCTCACGTTATTCTATTCATGTCTGCTAATAAACAGCGTGGATTTTACGGGTTAGCAGTGAGTTTTAGGTGGTAGGTGTATGAGATGATAGCTGAGAATAATATAGCGCATGAGCAGCAAGATACCTAAAAGAAATGCAAATGATACTCAGGAGGAAATGCAGTCTAATTTACAGGCACACTTCTCGCCACACTTCTTGGACAAAGCTAGTCTTAAAGATGTAAAGGATAGTCAGACAAGTTTGGGAATTGGTGGGTTTGATTTGGTTGTTAAGATTATGCTAAGTGTGGTTTACAGATGGATTGCAAAGTAGCGATGAAGGGCTGAGGTGGTCTGGTAGGTGCATTAATGAGAAGATAAGAAGAGTTGGAAATTGATATCGACATCACAGCTCCGGGGCAAATGCAAGATGATTTCTCGCAGTATTCTCATCCTTTAGATCAACCACAGAATAAGAGTGCACCTATTGTAGGGCGCGATCATTTAGGGCAAGTAGTAGAAAGAGATAACCGTATGGTTAAGGATGGTTATAGGAGTAGCTTCCTTTCACCGCCTCCTTACCAACAAACGCCTTCACCTATGGATGGGTTGCCACCAACAGATGAGCAATTGAGACAGAAAGATAATGACAGTCCGTATGCGCGAAAGACCAGAACGTTTGGACATCCATTTTCAATTGAGTGGCTGTCGACACGCCCAGTGCCATTTTCGTGAGTGAAAAATGGTAAAGAAAGTCTCGACTAAAAAAAAAAAAAACACAGAAAGCTCAAGGGAATAAACAACCCATGGAATATGAATAGACCAGTTAAGGTATCTCGCGATGGTACAGAAGTTGAAACAAAGGTTGGTGAGCGACTTGTTGAAGAATTTGGCTTCTCAGCGTCGCAATTGCCTGTATACAGAAATCATGACTTGTAAGTTAAACAAATTGTAAACAAAATTATATATTGCTATTATTAATGTTGTTATCCTACACTCATTGTCATGGTGAAGGAAGTCAGCCAGAATTCTCAGAATTCGCAGATAAGTCAGAGGCTTCTATCTGGAGCGACGGTGAGTATTAGGGGGCGTTGTCATGCTATTTCTCAATGTACTCAGTCTGGATTCGCTGCTGCCGTCGCACTGCAACCGTTCGACGTCATCAAAACCCGCCTACAGCAGGTAGAGGGGCATAACGACAGTCTCAGCGAGAAGAATATCCGGAATATGCGCAAGATGCTCAAATCAACGCGGTATGTGGGGTTATGTGTATAGTGTACTTAGCTTACCGAAGCCGTCGAAGAGTGTACGACATCACAAAGGGGATAATCAAGGACGAAGGGCTAGCTGGTTTGTGGCGGGGAACGACGCCTACGCTGTGGAGGTGCGTGTGTATGACACTTTAGCAAGACATAGCTCACTACAAGGCTAGAAATGTACCTGGAGTGGCACTGTGTGGGTCGATTCGAACGATTGGGGATGAAAACGGCTAAAGATGAACAGATTTCACTTCCCTCCAGTCACTACGCAGTTACATGATATCCACAGGTCTGTTCCATCCCCAGACACCCTCTAGTCAGGCCACGACGTCTGAATTCTCGCGTTTGAACGGACGCGGCAATTTGCTTTCGGGTGCATTGGCAAGGACGGCGGTGGGGTTTCTTCTCAACCCATTTACAGTGTGTAAAGCGCGATTTGAGGTGGGTGGATGATGAGCTCACTCCATTCAACTTGAACTTACCTCGCTCTTCCTTCCCCTTCTGCAGAGTGATCTGTACAGATACAGGTCTATTCTAGGCGCGCTGGGTGATATAGTCAGACAGTCAGGCCCGCGTGGCCTTCTCGCCGGTTTCTCCGCTTCTGCTCTGCGTGATGCGCCATATGCGGGGTTGTATGTCGTCCTTTATGAGCGGATGAAGGAGTATGGATGTGAGTCTTGAGAGGCGTGTGGTTGGTGTGTTCTTAGCCAACAGCGTGGCACTCTCCTTTTAACTCATGCTCATGCTCACGCTCACCCACTCACACTCCCCTCTACAGCCCACTTACAGGATATTGGCAGCAGCAGCGGGAGACACATACCTGCGCCAGTCATATACAGCGTTTCTGGTGGGTGGATTGGTGGATGTAGTTGCTGGTGTAGTAGTGCTAATTACTCTCATAGGTCTGCTCGCTGGCACTAGTTGCACGCTGATCACACATCCGTGAGTGGAAAGTATCTATTAAAACTTGACAGGTCAGCTAACGCCTTTGCAGCTTCGATGTAGTCAAGGTGGGCAGGTGTTGCGTGCATTGGAGGTATCGACTAACGTTGGCAGACTAAAATGCAAATATTTCCCAACCAATATAAAACACTGTGGGCATCTATAGTGATGATAGTGAACAAGTCACCACGGTCGCTGTTCGCTGGGAGCGGGATTAGAATAGCACGCAAAGCACTCTCTTCAGCGATTGGATGGACAGCGTTTGAGGAGTTGGCGAGGTTGATGAGGAGTAGGAGTACAAGTCAGGTGTAAGAATGGAACAAGTGAATGTAATTGATAAAAGGGTACATGGAGCTATTCAGAGTAACATCAAGCCAATTGTAGACACAGCAGTGAGACCAAGTACGGCGTATCCAGTTTGGTAAGCGCCTTTGAGGGTTAAGACTGGGTGTATGTGTGAGTGTGTGATCAAAGTGTTTCAAGGCACACAACTCACATCTGCCGGTATCCCATAACAAATGTCTAATGCCGTTGAGAGAGTGGAAAGAGAAGGCAGCGGCGATAGGTACCTTGACCAAAGCCTTAAGCCAGACAGGAGCAGATTGGGTGATTTCGATAAGAGACTGGCTGTCAAATCCAGCGCCAGCTAAAGGCAGGGTTACGTATCCAATAGCGAAGGCGTAGATACCCGCAGAGAGACCAACGCCAGTGACTCTGTTGGCAATAGAAGCAACCCAAGTAAGTTGTGGCTGGTAGATAGTGAAATGTGGGGAAGAAGGTCTGAGATTTCTTTGGTGGTTGAGGAGGGCGAGATTTTCTGATTCGTTGAGTTTCTGTGTGTGTATCAGCTTTGAGGGGCTCTTAAGTGTGTTGCCGAGTCTGGTGGCTGCTGCTGCTGCTACACGCTATGAGAGTGCTAGACGCTATCAAACACCGCCACTCACGCTGCACAAACGCCCTAAGGCAGTTTGAGTTATTAGCGCGTAAACCAATTCTAGCGATCATCGATGTAATTTGCAGAAACGTGATTGGCTCACTCTTCTTGGTATAAAATTATCTGCCATGATAACCGAGTTTCTAGGGTTGAAGGGAATACCACTGACAGGTAGATTCCCATTGAAGCGTATGGATGTTGGCCACGCAGCTGTGCATGTTACCCACCAGCCAGTACTCTGGGTCTACGCGAGGTCATCGATATCATTTGAGCGTGGGCGGAATTGTAAAGTGGCTTACAACGACTCACTCTACCGCAGCTGAATGCCTCAAATGGCAGATTTATTTGCTACTCAATGGCGTCGAATTCAAACTTAAATCCACCAACGAACCAAATGGATCGCCGAATAGTGCGTGGCGGTGTTCTTAGCGTGTATAATCCCTTACACTCCCTCAGGCAGGCTTCCTGTGCTAGAACTCCCGCACACAGATGGCCAGACACCCGTCCTGCTCACCGATGACCAGATAAGGGCGTATGTCGAGGATGGTAGCTGTAATAACGTCCCAGACGAGCACCTTCTACACACAATAGAGAAACAGCTGAGAATATCTTTCCTCACTTACCACCTATTCATACCATCCGCGTCGCTCCACTCTGCCAATCTCTACTTCCCAGCGACCACTAAACTGATATCTTTGCAACAGTCACACCACTTCAATCGCCTCAAAGCATCAGCTAGCGTTGAGATCGCAAAGGTCGTCAGCGGCAATCATGTCTTAGACCACACACACACTACTCTGACATCTTGGCTATATGCCCGCTATTTCCCCAGCGAGGAACCATACGAATGTGTGCCAGTGGATGTGGATGCTGTCGATAGGATCGCTGCGAATGCCTTATCTGAGTTATCCGCCAATCTTGCGTCGAATACGTGGATATTGGGTGGAGAGTGGGTGTAAATGGGCTATTATCGACGCAATAAACTAACACACTCTAGCAAACCAACTTACGCAGACGCCTGTTTATTCGCCTACCTCTATCTCACTCTCTCCCTCCTCCCGCCATCCTCACACCTGCGCAAACGACTGACAGGTCACATCAACTTGACGCACTACACGCAGCGCATTGCCAGCGACTACCTCAAGGCTAGAATATAAGCCATGTATGTATTAATGTGGAATATTTTCACGCGCTTGTTGTCTTACTCTCCGTCTATGTCGTGTGTTAGATGGTATGTGATTTGCTGATAGCAACCCACTCATAACCACTTTTATCATTTCTAAAGGCGTTTTTGTTAGCTGCTACTACTTGGAATCAACCTCACTCACTTGAACATGGTATACGCCTCAACTTGAGCAGGATCAGAGGCATTTGGGTCTGTCAGGAGTTCCTGCACGCCTAGGACGATCTGGGGTATTCTAAGCGGGTATATCGAGCAAAAAGATGATTCACACCTGCTTGAGAGTGATCGCAGGTTTCCAACCCTTTTCTTCATCGAGGATACTCAAGCAGACGGTGCCACTGAGGATTGTGTGAGAGTATGCTACTTATACACGCCCATTCACCCACCTCGGATAAACATTTGGATGGAACAACGGCGGCGTGAATTTACACTTGGGAGGCTTCGATGGGTAATCTGCAGGGCTATGGATTAGACTGTATCGACGCATGAATCACCTCAGCCACCCTCTGGAAATGCCACATTGAGCTTATATACCCCGTGCTCCCACGCGCTCTGCATTCCGTCAGCCGGGCCACTACAGACCACAGACACCAAAACTCACGCCTGCTTTGCCCGGTATTCCTGCCTCCCAGACTAGCAGATTGAGAGTGCCATCGGCACCTTTCATCGGTTTCGCCCAGAAGCCCTGGGTTTGGTGAGCCAGCGCCTTGAACCGCGCAAATGCTTCTGCGTACAAATGGATGATCCTTCCTCCACATCTTCTTCTCTTCCATAAGTCTAGTGCGGGCGACGCCTGACCTGTGGCTGTGTTATTTACTGGGTAGCATTTACAGTGTGTTGGTACATGATTGTATTTAGTTAAGGGGTGTATTGTACAAATTATTCTTAGTTGTGCTTATTCATCGCAGACGTCAGCTGGTCTGTGTAGTACTCGATTTGTTCCTCCAGCGTTACCCACGTTGATTGCAACGCGTTCATTTCTTGTTCGTGGCTTAACTCCAGTTCGCGAGTCTAGGTTTGTGTGTCAGTAGCGATTTACTCAATATAGCACTCCCTCACATCCTGCTCCAACTTGGAGTTACGTTCCAGCTTCCCCTCGTACTCTTTCCGCCGTTCCGTCCTCTCAGTGGAGATAACCTCGTGCTCGCTGCGGAATGCTGCCATCTGAGCGCGAATAGCCTCACGTTTCTCTGTAGCCGTGCGCTGTGTGCGTTCGAGTCTTTCACGCGCGTTATCGACCTGTCTCGAAAGCTGTTGGAAGCGAACGGAGAGTGCGGTGTGATCTTTCTGTTTCTGATCGATCCCATCACGCAAATGAGCTGAGTGTCTATAAGCACCGTCAACTCTACCTTGCTCGACTTCTATGACGTTTAAGACAGCGATACAAGCCTGAATGTCATTGTTAAACGAGTCCATGTATTCGAGACGAATTTTGAGGTCCTTGGTGCGTTTCTCGAGCCCTGCTTCAGCTGCACGTTCGGCAGCTAGCTCGTCTCCCATATCTGCGATAGCGCGTTTTTGGCGGTCAGGCGATTGCACAAGGCGAGCGGTGGAAGTGTGACCGATTTGCTGTGCATTGTGCAACAGACTCTGATAATGCGTGATAGCCTTGTTGAGCTCCCCTTTGTGATTTTTCAGTTTATCAATCTCGCTCGCGAGGACTGTCTGGTGTTGCTTGAGGCGGGATAGTTCACTGAGGGCTTGCTCCATCTCTACGCGCGCTTGTTTCGCCTGTGGTTCATCTTGAGCGCGTTGTTCACGCAGCTGTGCAGTCGCACTGCGCAATCGCTCATTCTCTCCAGCTAACTCACCCCGCCGCTCTTTCAACGCTTCGCTGCGCGCTGCCACACCGTCAACCGTCGCCTGTCGCTCTTGTTTGAACTTAGCAAAATTCACAAGCGCGGATAAGATCTTGCGCGTGCGTGCGGCGTCTGGCCGCGTTAGGTCCTGCAGAGTGAAGAAATCGACCTGGGCGATCTTGGTGAGGTTGGTGACGTGCTGGTGGAACATCATAAGGGGGACAGAGTCAGCGAAGAGTTCCTGATAGCGTCACTTAGTCGATTGTCCTCGCACTGGAATAAACACCCACGGGAAATTGCATCCTGCCAAGCAAGAGCGTCTTGGGAGCCTCGAGGGACTCCGGACGTAGCCCCATGAAGTAGTCCAGACACGCCGCGTATATCATTTGTACCACTTGCGGCGTCGGCCGGTTGATGTCGTCGGCGGAGATGCGCAGGTTGAAGTACTGGGGATCGCAGAGACACTGGACAAGCTCAGTGACCTTGAAGGCAGGCAGAACTACAGACATTTGGTTTGCTGGATTCAATTTTTAATTTCTTATCGTCGTCGTCCTGGTGCAACGCGTCGACGCGTCGACGAGCGCGTTTAGGGGCGACAACGACGACGACGACGAATAAAAATAAAAATCACAGCCACAGAGACACACGGACATCACCGGCACAGCACTCCCAATGCGCCACTCCCCGCTACAGCTGGTAATGCACCCACACACTCAGCGGGACCACTCCGTCTTCCACAACATTGCGCCACGGGCGTATCACCTAACCTGAGGTAGAATATCGGTCAATGTTGAGGAGGTGTTTGTAAGGCCCTTGGAACCACGGCGTGGCTACGCACGTTCCCAGTCTCCCTATGCACCAGATGCACCAGACACACCACTCAACGACCACATCTACACGCTGGGATGTGTTGGCTTTAAGTAGCACGCACACCAAGTTGCCAGTAGCGTATTCCTCCTTCTTGGAGTGTTTCTCCGCCGCTCTGAAGTCTCTGGTTCCCGCGTGTGGTCCCCGTCTTAACTGATGGTTTAGCTGTGGCCATGGAGTGCCTGGCAGGAGCTCTGGAGTGCTTGTCTGGGCGATAGTTTCCTTAGTCGGTGGTGTTAGTCTGCCGTCGCTGAGTTTGGTACTCGCATCACTAAATTGCCTCTGGAGCTGTCGCAGTCATCGGCTGTTGCTACGGTGCTTGGTGCGGTGCTCCTCTCAACGACAGCGCTGGACACGTCTCACTCGTGTAGAGTTTCGTACTCGCCTTCTCCCAGCAGAGAGCTGTTCACGAGTCGAGCACCTATCACGCAACGCCCACGCTTGCTCGTGGCTCTGTCACGTAGCGCTGCTCAATGAGGTTGCTATTTGCAGGCAACAATGATAATCGGGTGGTGATGTTATTCACGGGCAGTCCCCGTACTGCTGGAAGGTGCTGCGTTGGTGTGTCTGTCTCTCTCGCTGGAGTAGCTTCCTGCGTGCACCTTCCCCCCTCTTGTCTGTTAAGTACTAATCCCTGCACACAACTTGGTCTTACTAACTCTACTAGCGCGGTATCTAACATAAATATCTGCTACACGATGCAATTCATCCTTATTTCATTCGTTTTTCGCGTGCCCCCGTCTAAACAGGCAGCTGAGTATATACACGAATCCAGCCAGCGTGATTGCAGTGGTGGTGGCTGCGACCACAAATCTATGGTTACTGGATCCGGTGGGTATGTATACAGTAGAGGTGTCTTGTGTGCTTTGCGTGCTTGGTGTGCCCATGCAAGAATGGAACGTGCTAACCAGAGTACTCTCACTAACGCCTGCGCGCTGTTTGAGGAGCGGGTATCTCGCGTGCACAGGCAGGGTGATAGACTGGCCATAGAGTTGTAATCTCAGTATAGTGTCTTGATTCGAAGCAACTTGCGGTATTTCAACGTCTGTGTCCCCCTCCACCAATTCAACAATCTCAGTAGCCCTATCCAGTCTAGAAATCTCATCCCAATCGACGTACAAACTCGATGGCAGTGTGAGTGTACTACAGTCCTCCTTCCCGCTGCCATCCAGCGTAACTTTAAAATGCATTGACTGGGCTGGATATATCTTCATCGTTGTTGTAATGCCACCACCAAAATCAATTTCAATCATCGGCGCTGGCATTTCTGGGCTCACCGCTGCATACCACGCCACGCGGCTATTCCCCGGCACAGCCATCCATCTATTCGAACAGAGTGATAGATTGGGCGGGTGGATAGACAGCCAGCGTATTGATCTCGGCAGCCACGGCAGTGCGCTGGTGGAAAGTGGACCGCGCACACTACGGCCGAGTGGCGTAGGCGGAGCGCTCCTGCTTGACCTGATCGACAAGCTACATCTAGAGAAAGAGCTGCTGACGTCCTCCAAAACCTCATCAGCAGCTCGCAACCGCTACATATACCACCCCGACAACTTGAACCGGCTTCCGTCGTCGCTGCTCGCCATCCCCGGTGCCTTACTCAGGCACAAGACATTGCGCTCTATTCCGCGCGCTATCTGGAATGACCTCACCACACCACCCCAGCAGCAGCAGCACGACGAGCACGACGAAAGCGTCGACTCCTTCTTCCGGCGCCGCTTCGGGGATAGAATCGCAGACGACATCGCTAGTGCGGTAATACACGGCATATACGCAGCCGACAGTCGACAACTATCTCTCCGCTTCGCCTTCCCGCTGCTGCACAAGCTCGAGCAGCGCGCTGGATCGGTGGTCCGCGGTGCGTTTAGAGGTGTCGGTGTGGATGCGCGCGAGAAGGCGCTAGAGGAGGACATACGCAGTGCTATCTCTCCCTCACTCACTCACGCCATGCAAAATGCGAGTATTTTTGCCTTCAAAGAGGGCATTGCGCAGCTAGTGACTTCGCTAGAAGGGGCACTGCAGCACAGCAACGTCGCTATACACACGTCGACAGCTGTGGACCGTATCAGCCGACACAAGGACGCCTATACCGTCCATACCCAGACAGGGCTCGCCGTGGAGAGTACCCACCTCATCTCATCCGTCCCCCTACCCGCTCTAGGCATGCAGGGAAATGTGAGTGAAAGCGAGAGCTATAGCGACAGTGTACACCACCTACACCGTCCAGACGTAACAGTCGTGACACTCGTGTATCCCCGCACCCCGCTGCCGATAAATGGTTTCGGGTATCTCATACCGCGCTCGACGCCCGCTGCGAGCAACCCACACGGAGCGCTGGGTGTAGTGATCGATTCGGATGCCATGCCGCAGCAGGATCCAGCGCCACTGACAAAGCTCACCGTCATGCTAGGCGGGCCGCATGGACTGCGGACAGAGGATACCGCCCAGCTGCGCCAGATGGCCGTCGACACCGTCACTAGACAGCTCTCCGCGCATTTACACTCCCCGATTGCCTCTACGGTTTGCGTGCAGCGCGCTTGTATTCCTACTTACCCCCCAGGCCATCTGTCCGCTCTGCAGTCACTCCATCACTCCCTCCTCAGCCACCACCACGGCCGTCTAGCTGTCATTGGTAGCCCCTACACCGGCATCGCAGTCGGAGATTGCGTTCGAAGCGCTTGGGAGGTCGTGCAAACGCTCAACTCTACAGGCACTGCTACCGGTCTCGAGCGTTTCCAGAATGCAGTTTAAAGGGTGAAATTGGAATATATTTTCATGTTGATAACAATCTTCTACCTAATACATAAATCATAACGCATATGGGATATCATTCGTTATCCTCTGAAACTCGTCGTATGCAATTGAGCGCGAGTTCTCGTGTGCGTTCCTGATGACGCCGAGCATATACGTCGACGCAGCGCGGTCGTCCAAATGCAACATAAACCTCTCTCTCAGCCTGTATATTGTTCCCTCGCCCTTGAAAGAAGGCAACTCAGTACCGAGCATCAGTTTGACGACGTTGACGATCTCGTGTGCGTAGATTCTAGCTGCGATGAAGCCCTTGATAATTAGCTCCTGGAACATCTTGTATCCATCACTATCTCTTCCACCCATAACTGTCACCATCTCATGACTCAGTTTGAACGAGTTGGGCTCGAATTTTATCCCACCCGGTCCTATGTCGAACAGGAACCCAAAGTCAATGTGCACAATATGGCCCTCCCCGTCTATCATTATATTCCCGTTGTGGCGGTCCTTTACTTGGAGTATGTAGCAAATGAGCGAATACGCTGCCATCGATCTGATAAAGTTCAGTCTGCTCTTCTGGTACGCGAGGCTCTCTTTCGAACCGAAAGTCTGCAAGAAATATATAGCCAGATCATTCACCTTAGCTCTACCCATTTCATCTCTAGATGTAGCATTAGGGACGACGTCAATAACGCCGCACTGCGTGTATGTTAGTGAGGTACATGACAACGAAAGCAACCTACTCCCGGTCCAGTCGCAGTAACGCGGTACGGATTCAGATACAGTGCTATCCCCGCACTCGAGAAGATGGTCTTGAAAATAGCGATAGCCTGCAACGCAAGAACGTCCTGTCTGCAATCATCTCCCACTTTGAATATAGCTGCCTGCCATTTTTCAAGCACCTGCTTCTTTTCCTCCTGCTCCGTGTCGAGAATCCCATCCGGCGACTGTAAATTGACGAACTCCTTGCGCACCTTGAACGTTGCCATGAAGGGCGCCTTGGCATGACTCTGCAGCGGCCTGCCTGACACCTTGTCGATGTCGACGACTACCCCGTCAGGGTTGCTGGGCAGGTAGACGCCTGGATCTACATCTATCCGTTGCATCTCCTCGTCGATTTTGCTCTGCGGGTGGTGTGGGTATGAGTATGAGTATTGGCGAGGTGACAGTATCCCCCACTAACCTTTTTCTCTGGCTTGCTCTTTTTCACGAACGGCTTCAATTTACCGGATATCGAAGTAACCGAGTCGAAGAAGGAGAACTCGCGTTCGAAGAATTCCTTAGCATCGCCCGATAGCGAAGACACTATCATGTTGATCATCCTCTCGAGTAGCGGTTTCATAGGATCCTCCAACTCCCCGTTATCGTCTCTGTGCGTGTTAGCTTTCATGTTCCAGATGATCTGGTGGCAGAAGAGTTGGGAGATTTTTGCAGTCTCGAAGATGAATCTCTCTACATAACCCAGTTTATCGTCGCGCAAAGCCTGCACGATCTGGGGGACGTAGAAGAAAGTGAGATCGACCGAGTGGTGTTCGAGACACTTCATAGCGTACTGCAGCACGATACTGTGATTTCTATACTCTGGTTGGAAATACGTTAGTGCGACAGAGGGCGATACTGGTGCCCAGAAGTTGAGGAGGCGCAGCGAAGAAGGTGAGACTTCATGCACACCGCCATCCAATAAATACTCCAGACTCTCTGACACGTTTACGAAGCAATTAGTGTGTTTCCTTGTCAGTTTTTTCACCTCGCGCGAGATAGTTGGGGACTTGAATCGACTGGCGAGACCCATTAGCAGCTCAGGTGAATGCGACCAGGCCGTGTGGACGTGTCTGTGCCACTCAAATTCAGTTATGGTAGTGCCCTGTATGAGTGTAGGAAGGTATCCACCTCTGTCGGACTCATTGAGTGGGTCGAGCCACACTTTCAGCTTGCTTATTTCGTTGTCAAGCAACAACTCGAGCAACTTCATTTTGTTGTTGTGCGTGCTGTTGCTGTGCGACTGTATCCTACCATCCGTTTTGACATTGTGCAAAAACATCTCCAGACACTGCATATCTGACTTGAGCTGCAGTTTATTACCACCGAAGCACCATTGCGGCTTGAGATCGAACCACGCTAGGGCGCAGTGCAGCGTCGACTCCCGCATCATCGCCTCGGATGTCTCGTCTAAGGACGACGACTTGAGCAGTCTGAATGCCGTGTTGAGGATAGTGAAACGCACCTCACGAGATAGTGGATGTCTGCTCATCAGCCCTGACTGCATAGACCGATGGAGACATTTCGAAACTGTGACGATAGCAATTGGATCATTCGACTCGACTGTGGTGAGAAGACCGTTGATGAGGTGAATAACATAGAGGTGTGGCAGAAATGTCTTTTTGATCGATATGCAGTGGCTGTTGAGCTCCTCCTCATTCGACGGCGAGTACTCAATGCCCGCGTGGAAAGGATCCATCTCTGAAGGGGAGAAGAGCCCCTTGCGCGCTTTGATAGTACCGAGCCACTGGCTAGAGATTTCCATAATAATCTTGGTCTGGAAATCGACGCGCTCATGGAATAGCCATGTCCACACCTCGAGCGCGATGGAGATAGAGTCGCCAGTGAACACTTGGAACGGGACCGATACGAGAAAATGTAACAGTTCAAAATCGAGCTTATTTGATGCTATTAGTATTCCTGCACATCTCCACAATAGTCGCTTCAGGTCGGGCAGTGTGAGGTCGCACTCCTTATTGTATATCCCATAGAGCAAGTCTTGCGTCTGTTTCTTCAACCTGCGCACATCCTCTTTGGATATCTCGTTGTCTGGGATCTTGTGCATTTCGTTTACGCCTGAGGGTTGCTTGTCGTTAGATTGACACATGCGTATATCCTCACTCACCCTTCTTCAAAGCCAACCTAACGCCAGTGATCTCACCGTTGGTTTTACAGCGCAGACCGAAGCGATTAGCGAAAGCACCGGCCAGATCCTCGTCGAGCTGGGATTTGGACGCGAGGTGGGAGTCATTAGGTGGTATTTTGAGTGAATATCTGAGCGCGAGAGAAGCACCATAATGTGTCGGCGAAGCCTCGTTAGTTTCGTCGAGGTATGACTGGTGGCGTTGTTAGTGAAGAGGCAGGTGGGTAGATGAGCAGAGTGAAACACGCACGCTCAGTGTAGAATTCAGCTCGAGGTTAGATCCAGGAAGAGCAGAGACGATCCACCTGTCGAGTGCGCGACTCAGTCTTTCCACCAGCCCGTTCTTCACCGCGGAGCTATCGGGCAGATCGATCTGGAAAGCAGCGAGAGACGAAGCGTAGTTGAATCTGAAAGAGTATTCAAATTCCATGTGATTAGCGCATGACTGGTGTAGCAGGCTGAGTAACTCGAGGACAGTGTAGATGACGACGCTTTTTGACACCAGATCCGGTATGGCGGTAAGCACTCTGTCAGCGAAGCGGAATGCAATAGTGCGCACTATTTCTAACCTGTGGCACGACGCTATAAGAAGCGCTTTGATGTGCTCTAACAACCGCAAGTCGATTGATTGCACCTTAGACTGTGCGATCCATTCGCTGATAAAGGTGTGCGTGAGGAGGTCCGAGATGCCCTTAAGGCACTCGGTGGAAGACGCATCACTGAAAATATCCCCATCTAGGTACGCAAGTAGTGTCGATGGGCGACAGTGAGCGCAGCGGATGCCCTCCAGCTTGTAGAGCGTAATGAGCAACACTACTTGGTCAGATGAGAGATAGCGTATGTCGCCTGCATTCCTAGGGAGTATTGTGGTGAGAAAGGCGCGTTTTTCGTTGATTGCACTGTGTGCGGTGATGTCTGCCTGTGTGAAGACAAGCGCGGGTGATTTGAGAGCTATTTCGTGTAGTGCATTGCTGTCTGGTAGAGACTGTGTAGCTACTATGATCCAGAACTTGCGAAGCTTGGCTGATATACTGTCGCTTTCAGCGTGATTGTCATCATCACGCATCAGAATGGCAATTACATCGACATATTCACCGAGAGATACCTTATTCGAGTTGTTCTGGCTGGCCTGGATGAAGAGCTTTAAATAGTGCTCAAGGACAGCTGATGAAAGGTATTTGTCAGAGAGGGACTGTTTAGCCATAGCTTTCTGTGCATTGAACGAGTCGTCGAGATGGGCAATTGCCTTGGCAATCTCGATAAAAGTGGAATGAGGGGTGATTGGAGCGAGGGCTATGAGATGATGGGCAATATCGGCCGACTTAGGATAGGTATCTAAGTTTTGGAGGAAGATGGAAGTGGAGAGGTTGGTGATTTGGGATCTGTTGAGTTGTAGAGTGAGGTGGGTGATGAGTGCGGTGGTAGAGAAGGAGAGGTGGTTTAAGAGTGTGTGGATGGTTGACACTAGGAGAGCATCATCACCTGAAAATTTGAAAAGAGTGAGCAAACAACGGGAAAGAGAGGCGATGATGGCGTCGTTGTGGGTTGTACTGTGTAGAATATACTCCTTTAGATGGTCGAGCGTATCACTAATGTCAACTTTGTTGTTTTGGGTTAGAATAGTGAGACTATCGATGAGGTGGAGTGTGTTGGTATTGAGGTGGGTTGTAAGATACTCGCACCAATCAGATTTACAGTGAGAGAGGATGAAAGAGAGGGTGGAGAGATAGAGAGCATCAATATCAGCGTGCTCCTTGTACTTGATAGAAGATTCAATGTGAACTTTGTAGAAAAATTGAACGTGTTTGTCGAGGATTTCGGGGATTGGGTGGGATAGAAGGTTTTCAAGGTCATTAAACCCAATAGCGCTAATTAAAACGCGTAATAAGAAGGCAGAGTCTGATCTAAATGGCTTGTGTGCTCTTATCAAGTTATCTAGATTCCAATTGAAGTATTGTAGATGAGGGTATGTGAGTGGAGTGATTGAGGCATTCTCAATGAGGAAATCGAGCAAACGATCTGCAACGGATCTACCCACGTCATCTTTGGGGATTTGGGTTAAACGGTTAAGAATAGCGTTGCAGAGATGAACATGATCTTGGTAGATGTAAAGCTGATCAAATAAATCATCCACTGAGTTGTTAATTGAGTTGTAAATCAGATTGAAATCTAGCCATTGATAACTCAGTTTGTTCTCCGTAGATGGCTTATAATCCACCAAATCACCAACATCTCCTAGTTCCTTTAAAATCAATAGATTTAAATTGTTTTCAATTCTAACTTATAATCAGTCTAACGCCCTCTTAACCAACAACACCCACCTCGACATCGCCGTTATTCTCCAACGATGAATAAAATAAAAGAATTCGATAAACCTCCTTTGAAATTCATCAATCACATCTCAAATCCACTCATTTCCAATCTCCCTCCTTCTCAAATCTACAAGCCATTGCACATTGTCGGTAAGGGTGCATACGGCAGTGTGTGGAAAGGCTGCCACCTCCACACGGGTTTCGTAGTCGCCATAAAAGTCATCGACTTTGATCTTTCCGGCAACACGAGCGCGATCGATGATGACGTCGCCGACATCCAGCGTGAAGTTTCTGTTTTATCCCGACTACGCGATGTCGACAACAAGAACGTTACTCGCTACTACGGTTGTCATTTAGAGGGCTCAAAACTGTGGATTATTATGGATTACGCAGGCGGTGGTAGTGTGCGCACCCTAATGAAAGCTCAACCACGCCTAGACGAGCGTTTCGTGGTGGTGATAGTCCGTGAATGTCTCTATGCACTAAGCTTTCTACACAAGAGCGGCATCATTCATCGTGACATTAAAGCTGCTAACATACTCATCAACAGCGTTGGCCGTGTACTTTTATGCGATTTCGGTGTCAGCGCCAGTCTCCCATCAGCCAGCAGCAAGCGAACTACTTTCATAGGTACTCCTTACTGGATGGCACCTGAAGTCATAGCACATGGTGCAGATGCCGTCAACGGTCGTGAGTACGACTCTAAAGCTGATATATGGAGTTTGGGCATTACAATCTACGAAATGTGTCAGGGTCGTCCCCCTCTCTCCGACCAAGAGGCAATGAAAGCCATTTTCCTCATCACTCGTTCACCTCCAGCTCGTCTACCTGATGATGGAAAATATAGTCGCGAAATGCGCGAATTGGTGGGGAGTTGTTTGGTATCTGATCCTAAATCTCGTCCTTCCGCTGACGAGTTGCTAAAATGCAAGTATATTAAGAGCTCCTCGCGTGTACCGACAAGCATTCTGCGCAAGCTGCAGACTATTTACAGCGAGTGGGAGATGCGCGGTGGTCAACGCGCAAGTCTGGCTGGACAAGTATGGGATGAGGAAGAGGAAGAGGCGGCGTTTAACGCTAATTATCAACGTATGAGCGGATGGGATTACTCCTCTATCTCCCCCTCTGAAGCTGTCAATCGGCAAGTTGAAAATGATGTTGAGTTGGACGCTCCAAATAAACCTATCGCACCAAGGAATAGACTGTTGAGAATATTCGACGACCCAAATGCAGAAGATGAGAATGATATACAGTTGAACACCAGAGGATTGGGTTTAGCGCAGCATAGAAAAACACCATTACATGGTGATAGTGACGCGACTATGCGCCAGATAGACTTGAATGCAGTCGGTAGCGGTAGCGGTAATGCCGGTGGCGGTGGTGGTGATGGGATGATAGATCTCAGTGCGATAAGTGCGATAGATGACAGTAGTAGTGATTATCCAGGCATAGATTTGCCATCTGGGAGTAGTCTTCCAACGCAGTATGACGACTACGATGATTACCCTGAGTATGATGACAAAATGCAGTCGAATGGACGCACTATCCGAGCTAGTTATGGTGCATTTCAACCCGCAGCACAAATCGATACCAGTGTGAGTGCAATGAAAAACAGAAAAACACCAAAAACACCCACCGCCCATCGTCACAAATCTTCTTATGCGAGTAGTAGGAATTTCTCGACAGATTCCACGGCCAGCTCCCCGAATGATTTCTCGCCCAAAGTGGATGAACACAGTGGTAGCGCAGGTAGTGGGAGTGGCAAGGGTAGTGCCAATAGCAGTGCAAATGGCAAGAACAAGAATGTGTTTGAAGGTTCATTTGCTTTTAGAGCTAAGGGGAATAATGTGGCTAATTCAGCTGGTAACTCAGCAACCAGCTCAGCAGCTAATTCCACAACAACATCTCCACAAAGCACATGGCACAAGACCGCACAAGCAAAGGTATCACCGCAGATGAAAGAAGATACACCTGCAACACCTACAACACTAGGATCACTCTCACCTTCATTCCAATTTCCACCAATACGCAAAACACAAGAACAGCCACCGAGTTTACCCAGTTTACCCAGCTTGCCTAATCTCAGTCGCTCAGCTAGCTTGGTGAGGTCACACAGCCACAATCCTTGTTCGAGCACTGGTAGTATGTGGGAGTTGGAGGGAGATAGTGGAGCAACTAAAATAGATGTAGGAGTAGCGGAGAGGACAAAAATGAATTCAAGACCGACGGTGATGAGGAACAGTTCAGTATCGGTGATGGAGACAATACCGTCTCCAGACATGAAGGCGTCGGAGGTGACTAAAGATGTGGGTAGTGCAAGGAGTGCAGCACATGCAACGGTGAGTGGACAGGAACGTGCAGGGGTTCGTGGACATGGACGGAGATCAAGCCAGGCATCAGAGAGCATGAACCCAAGTAGCGCAAGGTATAGGAATATAGGAAGGAGAACGAGTCGGAGTGAGGGACAAGTAGTGGTGGGTTGAAAAGATGAGTTGAATGAGAAAAACTGATATGCTCCCAGTTAAGCACATCTATGTCATCAGAATTGGCGACGCTTTCAGAGGATGTGAGTGGTAGGAGGACACGTGAGGGACCAAGAACAGTGGAGAAGGAATACAAGCCATTGGATTACAACAGACTATGTCAAACACAAAGCAAGCAAATGATTCAAGAAGAAATGATTACTATGTTAGATGAAGTGCAAATGCATTTGGATAACATGGCAAGATTGTAGATGTACATGTAATAGACAACTGAATGAAATGGTTAGATGGAGGTAGGGGGATAAAGCTGCTAAGCCAAGGCTGAAACATTTGTCTTCGTTTATAAGTCAGACGAAAGATGGTGTATGTTTTGTGTATCATCATTGCAGCTTTATAGGTGTGGACTTACTTGATGGCTGTGTAAGTTGAAGAGAGAAGACATGATGAAAATCGTTTAAATAGTCGAGAAATGAATAAAAAAAATGAAATTTGAAGCGTTGAAAGGGGTAGTATAGGATGGGGTGTTGATTGTTGTAAATTCCAACCAATTTGAATCACCCAGTATTAAAAATTTCATGGGGATTAAATTTGAGTGCAAGTGGTTAAAATAACGATCATCTCTTTGGTGAGTGGGGGAGTTAGATGTAAAATAAATAGACATTTAACGCTTTAATAGTCACCTCCTGACTCACAGAATAAATCAAAGATGAGTTACGTCGCAAAGGACCAAAAGGAAGTTGAGCAAGTTCAAGTTGCCCAAACACACAAAATCCGTATCACCTTAACATCACGTAATGTCAAGGCTATTGAGAAGTTCTCAACGGACTTAATCAACCGTGCAAAGGACAAGGATTTGCGTGTTAAAGGACCAGTGAGACTTCCAACACGTTCACTCAAGATCACCACCCGTAAGGCTGTGAGTTTTGATGTATTCCCTTGTAATTACAAATATACTCACACAACAAACAGCCAAACGGTGAAGGTTCAAAGACTTGGGACAGATACGAGCTTAAAATTCACAAGCGTTTGATCGACTTAACAGCAACCTCAGACGTTGTTAGACAGATCACTTCAATTTCACTTGAGCCAGGTGTTGACGTTGAGGTTACCATCGCCGCTTAAGAATTTTGTAGCCTTTACTTGGGAATATTTATGCATATCACCCTTTGTTTATCTCAACCACCATCCATGAATTTACAAGGAGATGTTAAAAGGCATTTAGACTTGAAACATAGTAATCAATTGGCTTATAAGTTTGTTGAGGATAATGGCGTCGAGAATACACCACTCAAGCTAGATTCCTCCTTGAAGAGACACACTACCTTCCTTAGGCGTCTCAAACTCAATTTAGGCGCTGAGAACGTTGACAATAACATCAAAGATATCCACCAACTCAGCCTATCCAAACATCTCGAAGAAATTGTCACAAACATCGTTGAAGGCGTCATCAAATGCAAATCTGAAAAGGATTCTTGGGCTGCCGTCGAGACCATCTCCGCTCTCCACCAAAGATTCCCTATCTCCTTCTCTTCTCCTCTCATTTCCCTCTTATCTTCCTCTCTATCCCCCCCTTCGAAATCTCAACTAGCCGCTCTCTCCCCCGAGCAAAGAGACAAAGAAGAAGCTGCTAGAATTAACAAGCAACGCCCTATTCTCAGAGTCGCTGGTGAATTATACCTCGTTGGCCTCATCCCCGACTCTCCCTCTAAAGATGGTCCTAAGAATTGGTTATTTGTTAAGCTTAAAGACCTTCTAGCAACCGATAAAGATCACTCAAACACCCCGATTCTCATCTCCTTCATTAAACACTTTTCTGCTCTCATTTACGGTCTTGATGGTGATCAACACACTCTCATCGATTCTCCCTCCCAAGAACGCTTCAAAGCCCTTTCTTCCGCCTACTACGACACTCTAACAAGAAAACTCGTCAAAGAACACCTCAAACTGCAAGATCAAGATAAACGCAACCACGAAGCTTACATCCGCTCAGGTGAAATCTTTCAAGACAGACAGCAATCTTACGAAAAACTCACAAAAGCTTATGAAAAGCTACTTAACTCCACTCAAACCCTTTCTGAACTACTCCATCTAGACATGCCTCAATTACCAAAAGAACAGTCAAAGGGATTAGGCGGTTTAGTCGTCGCTGATGGCTCCACCCCTTACAACAGAGATCATGACGAGTATGATTCTACTATCGGTAAATGGGAAGATGAGGATGCCAAAAACTTTTACGAGGATGTCTTTGACTTGGCTGATGTCCTCCCTCCTGCTGTCTTCGCAAATGTCTTGGGTAAGAAGGTCGACCAGAAGGACGATATTGGCGAGTCACCAGCACAAAAAATCCAAACAGATGAGCAAATGGATAAGGAAAAAGAACAGCTCGTCTCTACGCTCACTTCCACACCCGACGACCCAGATGAGGGTATATCTGCCGGCCCATCTGCCCAGCTCAACGCCCTCTTTGCCAGACTGCCTGAGATGAACAACCGCGCAATGATTGACCAGGTGGCAGTTGAGTTTGCCATGCTTAACTCTAAGGCTGCTCGTAAAAGGGCCATCAAGTCAATAGCCGCTGTTCCACGCAACAGGTCTGATGTCTTACCCTACTATGCGCGTTTAACTGCAATTCTCAACAAGCACATGCCCGATATCGGCAAGGGTGTGGTTGATCTTCTTGACGATGAGTTCCGCTATTTGCAACGCAAGAAGAATTTAGTGAAGGAGCTGGCTGAGTCGCGCACCAAGAATGCACGCTTCATATCTGAGTTGACCAAGTTCAGTGTAGTCCCAACGCACTACATCCTCCACTGCTACAAGGTGTTGCTGGATGATTTTACGGGAGTCAACATTGATGTGCTGGCCATTCTTCTCGAGACGTGCGGGCGTTATCTGCTGCGCAGCGAAGAGACGGGGGAGAAGATGAAGATATTCCTCGAGCTAATGAAACGCAAGCAACAGCTACAACACCTGGATCAGCGTCAGCAACTCATCCTCGAGAACGCTTACTACCACTGCAACCCACCTGAACGGGCTAGTCGACCTGTCAAAGAACGCACGCCAACGGAGCTTTTTATCCGCCACCTCATCTACGACGTCCTCACGCGCCGGACCGTCGAAAAGGTTTCGAAGCTCCTCCGCAAGCTGCACTGGGAAGATGAGGGAGTGATAAACGTCTTACTCAACGTTTTCACGAAAGTGTGGAAAATTTCCTACGCTTCTATCCCACTGCTGGCCATACTGGTGTATGATCTACAGCGTTTTCATCCGGCATTCTGCGTGATGGTCGTCGACCGTGTACTTGAAGACGTTAAGAGCGGTGTAGAGCAGAATATATTCAAATACAATCAACGACGGGTCGCTGCAGTGCGATACCTGGGTGAGTTGTACAACTACCGCAGTGTGCAGTCTGGGGTTATATTCGATGTTTTGTGGATGCTGGTGACATGGGGACATGTCGGTGGACGACCCCTTCCCGGAATGGCTAGCGGGGGTGTGCGTGATGCACCCGACGACTTTTTCAGGATACGGTTAGTGTGCACTCTGCTAGATACGTGCGGAGCGTGCTTCGATAGTGGCTTGCAGAGGAAGCGCCTCGATGACTATATTGCCTTCTTGATGATGTACGTGGCTACTAAATCAACCCTGCCGATGGACATGGACTTTATGTACACGGATACCCTCGACGCTCTCAGACCGGGGATAGCGATAAAGAGGTCGTTCGAAGACGCTGTTAGAGGCGTCGATGAAATGATGGCGGATGATCACCATCTTCTCCCCGACCAAGGTGGTGAGGAGGAGGTTGTTTATCGCGACGAGGAGAGCGGGGAGGAGGAAAACGGAGATGGTGAAGGTGAAGGTGAGGAGGGGCAGGTTGAAGCAACTGAACCTGTTGAAGCCGATGAAGCTGATGAAGGCGATGAAGAAGACGAGTCAGACTCAGACAGCGAGGTTAGTGGGCTATGGATATTGCACGCTTGACACATACTCACACACTACAGGGTGACGCTGAGATGGACGACGACGTAGTCCTGCGCGAGAGCGAGAGAGGGAGAGAGAAAGAGGAGATACCGCCTGAGGAAGAGGACGAGTTTAACAGGGAGCTGGCAAAGATGGCTACGGACAACAGCGAAGCGAAGAAGGTGGACAAGCGCGCATTGTTCGATCTATCGCTCCCCGCCAAGAAGAAAACGGAGGAAGAGGGAGGTTCAGGTGACCCAAGTCAGATGAAATTCACAGTACTCACTAAGAAAGGGGCTAAACAGCAAACGCGGACGGTTGAAGTACCTTCTGAGTCCCCGCTCGCTGTTAACTCGCGCACGAATGCACTCCAGGATCAGCATGAGCAGGCACAACTGAAGAAGTTAGTGTTGGATTATGAGAAGAGAGACGCAGCACAGCAGGATGTGAATGAAAAGAAACGTGAGTTAGGGTGCTGATGGGCGTGAAGGGGATCGACTGACACCACACTCAGGCTGGGAACAACTGTCGAAAGCGACGGGAATGAAGATAAATTTCAAGCAGGATGGATAAAGGGATATACTTGAATAGCGTTCTACAATACCACGATTGTACATGATCAATCGCACTGCACGGCGACGGCACCCAGCAAATACGCAGGCTAGCAGATGAGTGGATTGGTTGAATTAAATTTTGTTTTAATTAGAAAATAAAAGATTATTTATTTCTTTGTCAAATGCAAGGGAAATGCAAGGGAGATACACGGGTTGTACACCACCCACCAAGACCATGTTAACAAATCGCCTGAGCAGCAGTGGCAGTGTTAGTGTCCACGCTATCACAAAAATAAGCAAACAGAGCAGATGCCTGAGCAGCAGTGCAGTGCGTCAAGGATCCAGTGCGGGTGGATATGACGATGGATCTGGTGAAGAGTACGCACCAGCGTGTGAGTTGAAGTTGGACTGAGATAAACATAGGCCATTCTCACACCCAAGCAGCCCTTTTGTCTCCCTCTTGGCTGCGTTTGTTCGGTTTCGCTGCTGCATCCGCCGTGGGTCTATCAGCGTACTCGTCGATGCACACGGAAGGCCAAGAACCTTTCTTAACACGCTACCTCGCCCACAACAAGCCTTCCCCAGAAACAAGCAAAGCTAACGCTGATAAACTCCTCGCTTTGAAGAAGGAACTCGCTGACGACACTCTCCTCCTCTCTGACGCACACCGTCCTAGGCTCCTTAGAATGTCAAATCCAGGCACTTTCGAACAGGCTTCCCCTCATAAAATTAGCCCTGGCTCTCAAGCTGATTTGTCCGATCTCAACATCAAATCGCTTAGGGAGTAATACATATATTTTACATTTCTCATTTCTCGTTGAACACTGCGTTATCTTGGTTGGTATATGTACGCGAACTCTCCTCTCCTCCCAATTTCAATCCAAGCCCTTCTATATCACGTTGCATCACGCACGCTAGTCTGTCTGTCTCCACATCGAAACTGCTTAGAGAGAGTGATATCGAATTGCCATCTTCTAGTTTATCCGTTGTCGGCTGTTTGCTAAACGCCGTCCGGTAGCTGTCGAGCGATAATTGTGGCAGCATCCTCGTGTAGAACGATGGCGTGGGCAGTTTGTCATGTGACTTGTCATTCGATTTGTCATTCGATATTGACAAAGGTGTGGGTGGCGAGTCCATGTATATTCCAGATGATCTCTGACTGGCATGTGCTGATGTTTCTGGATTAGTCATGTCGTCGGATATGGACTGTCTGTGTGTGTCCAAAATTTTCACGTTGGTATTCACGTTGTTAGTGCTGGGCGATTCACCGCGTCTCTTCAACATCCCATCACTCTCCCTCTCACTCATATCACTCTGTCGACCATCGTTGCTCGGCGCTATCTGGAGATTCAGTTTATCTAGACGGTCTAACGAGTGTTAGTTGGTTAGATCAGCTACTTATCCCCAGCGCACCTGATATTATCCCAAATCTTATCTCCCAATCCTTCTCAATACGCTGCGGGGTATGTTCATGATTGAAAGTGCACCACTGTTCGCACCACATCTGCCTCAGCTTTGCACTCTCCTCGTAGAATTTCGTCTGTATCTCAATAAAATCCCTAACAACACCCCTTAACGCTCTCCTCATACCTTGAATAAACACAGGTAACTCCAACCTAAGCTGAAGATCTAGTGCATGGAATGACTTGAACGCTTCGTGAGCATTAAAGATGAGTTGAGTGGATGACCATCTATTCTTAGCTGGAATCATCCCAACTGAGTCGTCAAACTCCCGCTTCAACTCGTTACGTCGAGCTATAATGATATGCGGGTTAGTCGACAGTTTCATTATTTCCTTGAGACGATAATGAATTCGACTGTCTATTTGGGTCACTAGTGCACCATATGGTATTTTGAAAATCTCCCTGATGATCCTCGCATATGCGTCTATAGTAATTGTAGATTCATTTTCATTCCCATTTACTTTCTTTATATGGGAAAAAGCATCAAGCGAAGAAGTAGCATACCATCTCCCAACTAATTTCGCTAGCTGGTGTAATTCTAAACTAACAGTGTTAAGCCAATCGTTGATGTTTTTGGTGAACAAAGTCAGCTGGTGTAATTCACTATCGAGCAATCGGATGATAGTGTTGGAGGCAATTGAATGCTCTTGTGAGTATACAGGTGGTCCATTTTGTTGCATATCCTCATTAGCGAGATTTTGTGTGGATTGTATGGGTGATGAAGCGATGGAGGTAGTGATGGAGTTCGGATGGGTGGTGGATTTAGATCTGCGACGCAAAAATGTTCTGCTTTTCTTTGAAGGCAGCATTGGTGGAGTCTTTTTAAAACTATTTGGCATGGAAGTTGAGGATGGTATAAGCGGTGAGCGCGCTGGACTGTCGTCGGATGTGTGCATGTGCATTAGGAGAGCATTATCGACTGAGTCTTTCCGGAATTTAGCATCGTTGATTCTCTCAGCGAGAGAGTGAAGGTGAGTGAGAGCGTTGTTTAGCGAAGGCACGTTGTTTTGATTGCATTTAATGAGATTGTTGATGAGTAGAGGATACTTGAGAATACGTTGAAAGGGTTTTACCAATAGGGAAGGTAAATCCCAAGCATTAGTGAGACCTTGAAGTTTAGCAGAGCTTTGATCGTGCCAGAGTTGAACACTTGGATCATTTTGTAAAAGCTGGATAAGCTTGTTATTTGAAGTAGTTTGCCTGGAGCAATAGTAAAGGTATAAAGGTTCAAATTTTGATGGGATATGTTGACAGAATAGGTCACCTATATTTTCACCTTTGTTGATTGCATTTTCAAGCAAAGCAACGAAATCACAAGCCCAAAGCATAATACTTTGAATATTTAAGAAGATAATTCTTAGGTTATCATTTGATAGGATTTGAGTATTAATCGGAGTACTGCTACTCGTGCTACGTGTCTCAGTGGATGAATTTACGGATTTGGAACGACTAAGTGGAATTGGCTTATAATTCAAAGCAGATTGATAGAAAATGTTGCAAATCAATTTCAAATCAGACGCGTAAACTTTTTCAGTGTCTAACAATTCATTCAAAATATGTGAATGAGTCGATTGAATTGAATTATTTGAATTTATAGAGCTCGACGATGAATTACCACGCATTGGATTCTTTGGATTGATTTTTGGTGGTGATGACGCATTTAGTGGGTTGCTATCTAAACCAATGGGCGTATGATGAGGAGACAGAGGTGGCAATGGCAGTGGTTTACTTGGTGGTGGTTTCTGTTGTGGTAAGGACATTTGATCAAATTGAATGAATATTTTATTCAAATTCCCTCTAACGTGGCTGTAACGGTTCAAGCCATCCACCTCACACCCAACAATGGCGGACAGAAAAGTACTTAACAAATATTACCCACCTGATTATGATCCTTCTATTATTCCTCGTATGAAGCGTGGTAAAGAGCGTCAGCAGCAAGTCAGGCTTATGACTCCTTATAGCATGCGTTGCTTAAAGTGCGGTGATTTCATCTATAGGGGTAAAAAATTCAACGCGCGTAAAGAAGAAGCTGTCGGTGAGGATTACTTTGGTGTAAAGGTGTTCAGATTCTACATCAAATGTCCCCTTTGTTCCTCTGAAATTACATTCAAAACTGATCCAAAGAACACGGATTACGCTGCAGAGCATGGTGCAACGCGTAACTACGATAATTCTATTCAAAGGGAGCCAAAGAAAGATCTAGATGAATTAGCTAAAGTTGATGATGATCACCCAGAAGAAGTTGAGGAAGATCCTATGAAGCAATTAGAACAGCGCACTCTCGATTCTAAGCGTGAAATGGAAATAATGGATGCTTTATCTGATATACGCACACGTAACGCTAAGAATGAGAGACTTGACGCTCAAGATATTCTCGATAAAGTTGGTAAACGTTCTACCCACGAGTTGAACGAGGAAGACGTACAAAAGATTCAACTCGAGCAGCAGGATGAGGATGAAGTGGCAAAAGTCTTTGGTAAACTTAAACGTGGCAATGATGATGATGATCACTCGGCGCAAGTAAACGTAAAACGCAAGCTCGATGAACCTACGCTTGAATCACTACTCTCTGAAAAGGCTAAAGCGAGTATTGGAGTATCAAAATCATCATCGGGAGCGGTCCAACCATCAAACACAGCACACTCAGCACTTCCCCGGAAAAAGGAGAGCAAGCTAGGTGTTAAGCTTGGTGTTAAAGTGAAAAAGTGATATTACAAAGTAAGACTACCAACTTATGTACTACTACTAACTTTCTTGTATAACAATGCATATTTACACACAAACTACCCACTCTATTCACCTTACTGATGGAAACTCTCAGTTTGATTGCAGCTGTATAACGCGTTACCATCACTTGATCCCTCCAACCCAGCTTGTATCTTCTTACAAAGAGCTCTCTTTAAGAATTGCTCTCTCGACAACTCTCTCACTGCTCTCAAAACTTTCTCCAAATCCACTTTACCCGCATTGAGTGCTCTACCAAGATGATACATAGTGTCTTCGATAGCTCTATCCTCAGCAATGAGATCGAGTAACTGATTAGACACGAGGTTATCAGCACATACTATTTCATCTACCCCGATATCCCCCCTCCGTCTACCAACTTCCAATCCAGCAATACCTTGATTAACAGTATCATTAACTTTGGCTGCAACGCTTGTGCATATCTCGTTAACACTCTCTAAACGTGCACTCTCATCCACTATCACTTCTCGAGCCCTTTCAAGATCTCCCTTAAGGGTTTGTTGAGAATCGTGTAATTGTTTGTGATTCTCCAATGACTGAGCTACTTTTTGTGACAATATCGCGTGGATGGTTGCATGTAGCTTAACTGTATTTGGATTAAGTGGTCTTGTTGGTTTAGATGAGGGTGTTATACTCTCACTACTGCTCGCTTTCATTTGTGTTCGTGATTGCGATTTTATTTGTGTCGGTGATTGTGTTTGCGTTGCTTGTGATTGTGGTATATGCTGATAAGGTATGCTGTCTGGTTCTGTCGTTAGTAAATCCGTTACACTTCCTGATACTGCCAATGGCTGAGGTGATGCTTGTCGTTGTGCGTATGAAGGTGTAAGCGTAGGTGCAGGTACAGGTGCTGGTAAGTCATACGATCTCGATGGACTCGACAACCCACCAGCACCAATCGGAGGAGGTCTTTGAGGGGGTGACTGTGATTGTGATTGTGATGTGCCTGCTGCATTCCCGTGTTCATTTCTCCAACTTAACGGTGTCTGAGCAGCGTAGTCAGTATTATCCAGCAACCCACCCAAGAACTCCCACTCACGATAGTCGGAGACATACTAAACGAAGGCGGCTTGTATGGTCTAGTAGGTGCTTCGTGACTGCTGCTCCTTGGAGAAGTTGCCGACTTTGGCGACTGCTGCTGCTCCTCTTCTCCTATGTGAGCAACAGGTTTTGCGTAGAGTGGAGGAAACATCTCGAAGCTATTTCTAAGTGCATAAGCCAAGTCAACGAGGTTGCACGCCTTCGAAGGGGAATTAGATAAGCGATAAGCGGAGTCAAGCGCCAACACTCACTTCAGGTTTTCTAGCCCAATCGAAGACATAAGGGCTGCGCACAAGCCCACTGCTTTCGACGCCGTGTCCAGCCCGCACGAGCATCGTCGCTGTCGGCACAACGTACACCCACGGCGGAGAAGCTGGGTAATCGAGCGGAAGCCATAGCGAAAGAGGAATATTGTACGTAGCATCTCTGAACTGTATCGGTAGCGTGCCGTAAACATTCACTAGCAGCTCAGAACGGCCGTTGTCGTGCGTGTATACCTCCGTGCGCGGTGATAGCGTCTCATTCATCTCAAGGAGACCACAAACATCCCTGCTCACACGCGACTGCTCGCGGTAATGCGTCGTTACTTCCCCCAGCCATCGAATCACCACGTCAGACAACATGATCGTCGTGTGCAAAGAAGTCATGTATCATAATTATATAAAAGTGCTAGAAAAGTAAAGTATCGCTGAATATCAAAGTGTGTTTTGTATTATATTAGACGTGATGATTGTTTCGTCCTTTTATGTCAAAATTTTCATCCACTCTAGTTGGTCGTGAACTTGTACTCATCGTCAATGTTTAAGTTGCTAAGGTTCTTCTTCATTGTCTCCGGAGTGTTGAATGGGAAGAGCGCGTAGACACTGTCTGGGCTGAGCGTGTTTGGAAGGGTGTTAGCAAGGAGCGTAACAAGCATACCACCGAAAGCCTTGTTTTCGTTGTCTGGTTGGATGTAGTTGAAACCCCATGTGGTGAGTGCCTTAGGCGTGCAGTCGTTGGTGAGGAATCTGTCACTACGAACCAATGAAACGGCATCTGAAAGAATAGCTCTTGAGACGGTGAATCCTGGACAGAGACCGCTGCCTTCAATTGGTGGCTTTTGCTCCTCTGCAAGTAAACCTGGGTATAATTCGAGGTTGTCAATGTGACCATACAACTCTCTGGCTGCTTGGGCAACCTCTTTGTCAGAGTTCCACTCTTCAAATGACTTGAACGTGGTTAATGACATGGCCTTTCTGAACTCGTTCATGGTACACAAGCCCCAAACATCTCTGGCTTGCTTCATACCCATCATATCAACAACCTTCAATACGGTTGGTGTACCTCTTGCTCTGAATGATGCAGCTGGTTCATCAATGGCCTGCTTCAACACACCAACAAGGTCTGTATTCTTGAATGCACCATCTGAATTACGGTGCAATCCTGGAATTTCGCGCTTGGCTGGGTCGTCTCCAGCCATCTTCGCCAAATTGTATGCCTTCTCGTGGAAGTCCTTTGGAGTGATCTTGTCAAAGTCACAGTCTGGACCAAAGATCTTCTTGAAGAAGCCTTCAGTCCACTTGGTGTCAGACTTTGACAAAACTGAGTGCCATCTGTAGAGAACGTTGAATTCAACAGATACAGCACCACCGTTACCAGCTTCCAATGGAGCTTGACCCATCTGGTGTACTTCAGCCCGTGGGTCGAGAACCCATGTTGACTTTGAGCGAGTAAGGCCTAAGATAGCTCTCAAGTAGTCGTGAAGGACAACATTTGCGAAGAAGGCACAGTTGACGAGCTTAGCGGTGTGGAAAAGATCTTGGTCTTGCTTCTTCTTTTGCTCGTCGTCAAGTTGGTTCCATGGCTTGTACCATCCTCTCTCGTTCTCTCTGAACAAGTTGTCGACAATGTAGTTGTGGTTTCTCGAAATAAGAATGAGGAGAGTGGTAATGGCTGGTGGCATCATGAACAATCTTGACTCGGAGATTGTGTCTGGCTTGAGTTTACCATTGTCGAATGAACGAACGGAGTGTTCCTCTTGGTCGTTGTTACCATAGACAATAGCCAAGTCGATGTATGAAGAGGTACCGTTGATGGCAGAGTTACGCGTGTCAGTTCTGAAGATGGTGTGGATAACACAGGTAGCAAAGTTGAAGAAAAGGGCTGAAAGACCAGTTGGGTGTTCCAAGAAGTCACCTTCTCTTCTACGCAGGAGCTTGTCAAAGACATCTTCTGGGGATGGAAGTGGTTGGGAGTAGACGTGCTTCGATGAGACATTACGCGCGTAAGCTGTAAGACGGAATTAGTTAAGCGTGTCTTACTATGACATCATATAAACTCACGGGTGCCGGCTCTGCCCAATGAAGGCATGAATGGGTTGTTGAGCGCGCCGTCTGCGTGTCTCACACGTAAAGAACCTTGTACAACTTCGTTGCCGTTGAAAGGCTGATCACCGACGTAACAGAGTGGTGGGTGAGGAAGGTCTTGCCAGAGCATTTTAATGAATTTACCAGTGAGTTGGTCATTCTCTGGGGTTGACTGACGTGTGTGAGTGTGTTGAGCTTGGTGAGACAATATCAACCTACAGGAATAGTTGAAAGTACACCGACCATTCTTTCAAGCAAGAACTCTCTGTCATTCTGTGAACCGCCATTGGCAGCAGTCTTAAAGAGGTCATGCATCATGCCAATATCTTGGATAACCTTTCCACTCTTGATTTGAGAAGCAATGTTCCCAAGCAAGTTCCAGATTGGCCTAAAGACTGATTGGTTTGTTTTGTCGTTTGGTGCCATTTTTCGTTGTGGTGGAAGTTTAAGTTCAAGGAAGAGACAATTGCACCACACAAATGTACGTCAGATTTATGACATTCCAACCTTATTCATATTTAGGTGGAGGTGAAGTTTTTATTAAAAAACGCTCTAAATGAACGAGCGTGGCTGTTTCGCATATAGATTTCACATTGAACCTGCGGCAGCTGTAAAATCTGATATGCGTGCCTTAATAAAACCCTGACGTTCATGACGCAGATACAAAGGCTGCGATGGAAATGAAGCCACGTGAACATAGCCTATATACTTTAAAGTCGTAGGAATTTTATGCAAGACAAGGCTGTTTCACTATCTGCCCGACGCACGGCCACTCCGCATTTCAGTCGGCCAATCAGCTTTCGATCATTAATTTAAGCGCGTTTGAATATTTTACCACTCGTGCTAAGATAATGTCATCTGCAGAAACGCAGCCCAAGCCACAAGCATCTGCGTGCGAGGACTACCAAGTGAACAGGTTCTTAGGACTCTGGAACAGGATCAAAGGTGTTGTAACGTTACCACCGAAATTGCTGCCATTCCTCATCCTTCACACCCTTGATCCGATTCTATTCCTCCTCAATATCCTAACTATCCCCTTCCCAAGAGCTAAGCCTGAATCTCAACACAAATGGACGCTTGCCGATAGAATGTTGGCCAAGGCATGTCAATGGAGTGGTTGGGGTAAGATCACTGAATCTGACAAGAAGATGATCCTCTCTGCCCTCAATAACTACGCTGCACCCGGCGAAGAAGACTCACGTTCCCCATGTCCTGGTCTCAACGCTATGGCCAATCACGGTGAGTGTAATATATGTCAGTTTACCAACGCACTGACACACACAGGATTCATTCCACGCCACGGCAAGCACGTATCTCTCTCCGTTATCTGCGTTGCCATCAAGAAGACTTATGATTTCGCTCCGACGTTTGCATACCAACTGACGTCAGCTGCCGGCTTCATTTCCAAATCTTCCGGCGACGGCAAGACATGGTTAGATTTGAAAGACATCGAAGCGCCAAATGTGATTGAGCACGATGCATCTTTGTTGCGTGAGTGGAGGTAGTTCTCAATTTTTCCGCTAACTAGTGTACAGGCCATGACCGCATGTTCCAGCCAAATCAAGGTGCACCAGCTGTAGACCTCTGCGAGCGCACACTCCAGTTTGCGCACCCACCAAAGCAGCCAGGTGCACCAGGCAAGAAGGGCAAGTCGTGTCTCAACACGGAATCCATGTCCAAGGCTCTCTACGAACGTAGGCTCATTTGCTCATCCGATCAAGATCCAAACCGCGAGAACAAAGTCAGAAACGGCCAGTACTTCTTGCCAGGTAAGCTCAAGATATTCGGCGCCGGTAACTCGGCTATCCCACTCATTCTCTGGGATGGTAGACAAGATTACATCAGACCTTTCTTCGTCGAAGAGCGCTTGGCTTACAGAGAGGGATGGCACCCATACACCCGTGAAGATCCTGCTGGATTCTTCGGTCTCTCGTTCATGTACTTTATGTGAGTTAGGTACTTGCGAATACACGCAGCTAATGATGCAACGCAGGCTTGTATTCGCAACCATCGAGCATGGCGTTGGTAACATCTTCACCAAGAAGAAAAAAGATTAATGCGATATCTGACGTTTAATGATGAACTTTTTTAATTTATCGATATGTCTTTAAATCCAATTACATGTTTCAGTATATCGCTCAGCGCGACGATACCTACGAGTGCGCCTTTCCTCCTGATTTGCCCATTAGGCAGCGTCTTATCCTCATCTTCGACCATCACCAAGCGATGAACCCTCCTCTTGGCGATGAGTGAAAAGACATTCGCCAGTGTCTCCTTTGGTGAGCAAGTGATGACACCGGGGAACTCGGCAGATCTCTGCGCTAACGCCGATGAGATTGTTAAATCGAGTGACTGATAGCTGCCTAGCCTGACTAGCGTAATAACATCCACAGTCTCATAAAGATTAATCACTGCACCCTCCTCGTCGACGATGGGTACTGCAGAGATACCCTTGGCGGAAAACTGGTGAACGACGTCAAAGACAGTAGTATCCATGGTGGCTACTGCTAATGGTTCAAGTGAAGTATCACTATTAGACGCGTATGTGCCTATATTCAACTCCAGTAGTGTTTTCTGTAATCCAAGTGTTTCCTTGCAATTCATGGCTATAAATTTGAGCACTCTGTACTGAGTAAGCACCGAGAGGACGACCTCAACATCCGTTCTATCGTCATGATCAATTAGGGGAAGTCTCCGGGCATGGGATGTCATTAGAATGTGACACGCTTCGAGTAGAGGACGCATCGGATGTATGGAGTGAAGAGGAGGAGGCAAAACTTCTATAGCGGTTTCGATATCTTGAATAGTCAGCCAGGCTAATGCAACAAGTCGAAACTCACCTCTGAGGTTACCTAACGTCAGCTGCTCGACATCGTCAGCCGCGCCCTCGTAAGAGCTGGTAGTAGCATAGTAGTATTGCATCAAGTGTACTAGATCTGAAATAGTCAACATTCCAGCGAACTTGCTTTCAACGGATGACCAAAGCGGGGCGGAGACTACGCCTGAGAGGGTATCAACAGGGGAACACTATAAGCACCCAAACACCACGCACCATTCTGAACCAAAGCATTCAAAGCCTTAATAACTTGTAGCCGCGTATCGAAAACAATCATTTTCGATGAAACGGGTAAGATTGATAAACAGTCCTTTGATTGTAGGAAAGTGCGTATAGCCTCAATAGATTTATCATGATCAACAGGCGTCCGCTGTACTGTATTCCTACGCGGTCTGCCTTGAATTGGAATAGCGGGTGTACTCATCAATGATGACGATACGAGAGCAAGGTATTTGTGAAGAATGAGATTTATTTGAGTAACAAATGTATTTATAATCAATTTTAGACTGATTCTTTGGGTTTGTTAGTGGATAAAGCCATCAAGACATTAAAAACTCACGCTTAATGAGGTTGTTAAGCTTGTTTACCTTGCTAGCAACAGACAAGTCAACAGTCTTCTCACCAAACTCAACGACGAGCCCGCCAAGGAGCGCTGGGTTCACTTTGCTGACAAACTTAATCTTCTTTCCTTCTGCAGCGATTGATGAGTTTTTAAGTGTAGCTTCAAGACGTGATTGGAGCTTGGAATCGAGCTCTTGAGCTGACTCAACAACAACCTCTACATCGCCATTGTGGGCGCTGATGAGCTTCTCAAACTCTTCAACGACCTTTGAGGTTGAAGCGAGTCTACCATTCTCTGAGAGAGTAGACAGGAGGTTCTTGGTGATTTCAGACTTGGCACCAGAGAACTTGAGAGCCTCTTCAATGCCTTGTACACGTGCATCGTTGGAGAGTGTTGGGTTGGTAATGAGGTCCAACAACTTGTCGTTCTTTGGAATCGAAGCTTTCAATCCGCTCAATTCTGTGGCAACTTGAGTGAGCGACTTTGGTGACTCCTTCAATGCCGCTGTGTACGCTGCAGTTGCGTACTTTCCTGGAAGCGAGTAGAGGGTAATTGGTGGCTAAATTTTATTAGAAAAGCCACAAAACGTTACCAAATACTCACGGAAACCTTTGCTTGAGTTGCGTAGCCTCTAACGCTGTTGAAAGATCTATTCATCATGGTGGTTATGGTGCAGAGACGAGATATCCACAAAGAATCTTAATGGACTTGTGATCCACTCTATCACACTCACAAACCACTCACAAACTCTTTCATCCTACTTTAATCTTTTTTACGACTCTTCTGTGTCGCTTCTGCGATGAGCTCCGAGATTGATCCATAGGGCAATCCAACTTGGAATTGACAAGTTTGATTCTTTAGTCTTTAATTTCTTCATCTTTGAAATATGTTCATCCTTTTCAAGCTGATTTTTATTTCCTGGCCACCGTCTCAACGCTATAGCTAAACATACTTGTATAATACAATGCAATAAATTATTATTTAATAGGAACTTAAGAAACTTATTTACATCTTGACAGCAGAGATCAGCTAGTTACCGATCAAGCTTTGCTTTTCACCATTCAATCTTCTGACTCATTTTTATACATTAATCTTTATTGTAATCATTAATCTAGCATTCATCGCTGTCGTTGTATCCGCAATTCGTTGCTGCTACTTTACCTCCTTGCTTGCGACACCATGCAGACAGACCAGCGATATCTCTGTCATTTCTTTCGAATCCGCGGTATGTCAGACGACAATAGTCACAGTTACAGCCGAACATATTACAACTGTGGCAGCTATGCCATGCGCAGGAGTTGTTTGGTACACCGCTTTGAATTCCTAGGTAATGTTAGCAAAATGAATGTCATTGAAAGACTTGTTCTTACCTGAAATGAGCTTGCCATTTGCATCTTTGCATCGATAGTCGCATCTGCCTTTGTTTTCAGCCTGGACAGCGAGAAAGATTGATGAAATGACGATAAGCTTCGAAAATATCATCTTGATTGTGCTTAAATAAGCCTCAATTTCAGTTCCTTGTATTTATGTCGTTGCCTCGGCACAGGTCATCACATGTGAATGAGAAATGAATGGAGTTTCAGAACATCAAACTGAGACATAAAGGCGCCAAAAGTTCGCAGTAGCGAGCCTGAAAAACATTCTTTTCTAAGAAAAAAAATATTTGTTGACCATTAATTTCGGCCATCGATGTTAACTTCTTTCGCAGTCAAAATTTATAACTTTCCAACCAAGCCAAAGTTACCGATGACCAGCATATTCCAAGTCGTTTGAATGCTTTCGATTGTAATTTGGTGAAGGAAAAATGTCTTCAGACCATATCTTAACGTTTTGTGTGGCGAGAATAATAGATTCAAATTTGCACATGAATGTCATCGTTTGATTGTCATAAAGAGTTTTACAGTTATCCAGAATTCTTTACTAAAACAACTATCGCAGTATGTTTCTTTTATTTCACCTTCTCGTCTGTAGCACCAGCTATCAATTTTACTAACGGGCTTATCGCTAGGGTAATTGAAAGTCGGCAATCGTCGCAGTTATTACCTAATATATTACAAATGTGGCAGCTATTCCACTAACACCTATCGTCGTATATGGCGCTTTGAATGCCTATATATACTTTCAGTATGTTGAAGGTTTTCAAATTGTCCACTATTACCTGTAATGTGGGGGCCATTTGAACCCATTCACCAATATTTGCACCTCTCTGCATAATAATTATGGAGATGTACAATGCAGATTTTGCGATGGTATGTTTCGTACCCTTGATCGAGTACTTCGTAATGCTCAGTCACCATCCTTCCTGGTGTCTCTGAATACTTTACAGTTTATATCACTGAAGCAGCATTAACAGTGAGAGTGGTTAAGGCAATGGCAATTAGTTTTGAAAAGATTTTGTTTAAAGATCTACAAGGAAAAACTATCATTTATAGCTCTGACACCTGTCATTGCGTCGATACGTCGTCACGGTAGACAAAGCTGAGACAGGTTGTATAATTCAGGTTGTAGCATTAATGCGCTCGAAAAGCACTATTTCTACGGCATTTATTCACTTTCAGCAAACGAGGTCAAATTCTGACAGCAGAGATCATTTAGTTACCAATCAAGCTATCTTCTTATTCCTGAGACGAATACCTATTCATCGCTTTTGTTTGTTTTTACACATTACTCCTCATTAAGACTATTCCTCTAGCAGTATTGGTTATCTATCCTGGTAGAGCAATTTTCAATTTCCCATTCCCCTCCTTGATGGTTGCACCACTCTTTAAAACCTTCAATATCTCTTTGGTTTCTGTTAGGCCCGCTTTCTGTCAGACGGCAGAAGTCACAGTTGTAGCCGAATATGTTGCAACTGTGACAAGCATGCGAGGAGCAGTAGCTGTCTGGTATACCGTTTTGAACTCCTAGATAATTGTAAGAAGATCAAAACTTCGAAGGACTGTTTCTTACCTGTGATTCGCGTTTCAAATTTATCACGGCTATAGCACATGAAGGAGCATTGTGTATTTCTATGACGATTGCGAGCGTTTACTGCGAGAAACACTGAGAAAATAGCGACAAGCTTCGAAAACAACATCTTGATCGAGTGAAAAAAGGCCATATTCACAACTATTTATACTTCTGTCATACGTCATTACCTCGGCACAGGCTCTCTCACAAGTGTATGACAATTGAATGAACTTACGAAATGTCAGACTGAAACAGGAAAATCGCAATAGTTCTGCAGTACCGAGCCTAAGTTTTTGCCCTCAACTTTCGGTAAACGATGTCAAGATCTTTGACAGCATATTAATAATTTGCCAACAAAGCTAAATTCACCGATGATTCGCTTATTTCAGGTTGTTCGAATGCTTTTGGCTGTGATGTTTCTAGACCATGTCTTAACTTTTTGCGTGGCTAACATATTATATGCAAAGTCCCAGGTATATGTTCTGATCTCATTGTCATAGTCATTGTATAATACGTCATTGATGAAGCTTTAAATTGAGTTAAAGTTTCTGTGATTAAGTCCGATAGAATTATGGACACTATACTAAAAATGCAGCTCGTCATTACGGTAACTAGAGCTGAATCGTGTTGTACGATGTTGAAGCAAGAGCTTCAGGTGCAGCATTCACTATAAATACTTTCGAAATACACTATCTACGCTACAATCAATCCACTTTTGGCCAACGAGGTCAAATGTTTGATATTTAAGATTAATGATTTAGTTCGTATTTATGGACAAATTTATTTACTCCTTGTTCTATTATTCTCCAATTGTAGCATCCTTTATTTAACATTCTCTGCTGTCATTGTATCCGCAATTGTGTTCTGCTATTCTGCCTCCTTTATTTTGACACCAATTAGTCACACGTGTAATATCTATTGAATTCTTATTTCCGTTAGAAGTGTCGCTCCCGGGTGCATAGTCCTCGAAGCGGCAGTACGTGCAGGCTGATGCGACAAAGTTACAACCGTGGCAGCTATACCATGCGCAACTATCTTCCGGAACAGGACTTTGAATTCCTGGCTCTTATTATCAGAAAATATTAGTTTATATTTCTCATCATTACCCTTTATAACTTTGCCAGTATATTTGTCGTTGCATTGATAGTTGCATCTGTATTTTCTTTCAGCGCTAACAGCAAGTGCAATTGAGACGATAGTGACGAGCTTTGAGAGATACATCTTGGTTAAGTGTAAATGAAATGTACAACTTTTATACCTCTGAAACCTTGGCATGTGTCAGAACATTTTTATCAAAGCTGAGGTAAGGATGAATCAACTTAATGCAAAACACACCCAACTTATTGTATGATATTATAAGTATAACGTCAAATTCAGATCCTAATCGTATTCCACCTTCCAAATTTTATTTGACAATCGGAGCTATTGACCAGTCGATCAAATCAAATACGTCAACGACACACGCTTAACTTCCGACATAATGTCTGAAGCACGTCAAGAGTCGAATACAATGTCACCGTCATCAAATACTTGGTAGAGGAAAGATCAACCTCGTAAAAATTGAGTGGATGGTAATAAAAGGGTCTTTTGGAAACGCTAAAAGCATATGATTATAAGGACTTTTGAATTCAATTCAATTAGAATTACATCAGAAAATAGATGATTGAGGGAATATCCAGAAATGCGGACGAAGTTAATGAGAAGTTAATGAGAAGTTAATGAGAGGAGAAGTGAAATGCTTGAATCCCAGTTGAATTTTTGTGTGCTGTATCGTACAAGTTTTCAATACTTCGCTTTCCTGTGCTCATCTTCTCACTTCGTTGACCATATTGCGGGGTGAGCTGAGCAGATAGATACTGTCGATTTAGCGGTAATTCAGAGAGCTTCTTGAACTGATTTTTCAATAAAAACTCTCTGCTATTTCAGTATCTCGGTATGAGGTTATCATTGCGCTGTACGTATAGGCCCATTTCTATTCCAGACAATCACACAAGGCAAGACGTTCTGCGACAGATTTGCGAGCTTTGAAATCTTCGACTGTGATGTGAAAATGTATTCCTTATTCCATTTTAATACATTGGCTCCGACAGAAATTTTTTATCTAGCATTCATGGCTATCATTATCGCCGCACTTGTGTGTTACTATTTTACCTCCTTGCTTATTACACCAATCAGTTACACCGACAATATCTCGCTCGTTTCCAATCTTTGAGTATTTCTTAGTTGTGAGGCGGCAGTAATCGCAGTTTGCTCCGGCGATGTTACAACTGTGGCAGCTTTGCCAGGTGCAAGCATTGTTCGGTACACCCTTTTGGATTCCTATATCATTTTAACAGTATAAAAAGTCCAATAGGCCACTATTACCTGTAATAAGCTTGCCGTTTTTGTCGTTGCACTGATAGTTGCATCTGTATTTTGATTTAGCGCTGACAACAAGTGCAATTGAGGCAATTGCGATGAGCTTTGAGAGATACATCCTAATTTAAGGAAGTTGAGAAAGAAACTGAGACTTTTATACTTCTGAAACATTGACATATGTCAGAACATTTTCATCGCAGCTGGAGTAAGAATGATGAAAGGAAATGGAGGACATGAGCAATAAAGCGACGATGAGTTAATGTGGCATTCATTAAGGCATTTGTAGCCATTTCTTCGAAACGCATTGTTTTCACTTCACTACAGCTTCCTAACTCACCTTTGTCTCCCTCTGCTTTCTGCCATGCATGTCAAACCTATTCTGACAGTCGGAACCATTGAGATGCCGATCAAGATGGATATGAAAACAAAGCTTGTGTCGACTTCAGCCAATAGAATGAGAGTGCGGCTGCCCCAGTTTGTGAACTTCCGAGTGCGATCGATGCCATAGTTCGCGACTATATCATGAGCTGAAAACGCGGGTCTCGTCCAAAACTGCGTTACCTGCGTAGTCGATGAAAGGCTGCAACTCTCATGAAGTTTTTACCAGGTTTGTCCAGTCTCAGCGCCATGCAGACAAGGTTGGAGGCACCTGTGAAGAAGGCATAGTTGAACAGTGCTCCATGAAAGCTGCCATATACTGCAAAAGTGATGAAATAAGTGTCTGGGGGAGAAGGAGCTCTTTAATACCCCCACAGAACGCGTATGAATGCCTTAACATAACCGATAGCGGATGATAAACAGTGCAAATGCATATATAACACATCAGAACCAACTATAATAGCCAATTGTGGTTGTGAGAAGGTTCTAAGGCAGCAATTCCTAAGCTGCTTCTGTCTGCTTCGAATGCAGCTAACTTGGCAAGTGATGCAGGGGATGTAGGGGATGCTGGAAATGGCCGACAGAGATGATTCAAGCAAGAAGCGGGACGGTCATGTACACAAAGCCAGAACGCCCAATGCTTGCACATATCACCAATCCACATGCACTTGGTTACGCAGCAAAAAAATCCAAGTAAAGGAAATGAAGAGATTTGAACATTTAAAGCTTTTAATATTTGTAAATATCGTAGTGTCGATTGCCGAATCGAAGCCGCTTACATCACAACTACCACTTGCAGTATGAGCAAGCAGCGCGTATCCAGAAAATCGCTGAGACGGCCAACGACATTCTATGGCGCAAGTGAAGAAATCCCGCCGATGCCTCGCCAGTCGATGACGCAGGAGGATCTCCCAGCGACCACCAAAGCAGCGGCACCGATAGGGGCGAAGAAATACAAACCAAAGGCACACGCAAAGGATAGAAAGGAAGGCAAAGATAGTGAGAATGATAGCAAGACGAGATTAGGCGAGAAGCTCAAAAAGAGGCTGTCCGTCAAGTACACCTATCAGCAGCCAAAGACGAGGACAGTTGGCAGCGCACCACCTGTGCCCTCCCTCCCGAGCACTCATATACCCAACCAGAAACAGACGCCGCAGACGGAAGATGTCAGAGAGAGCTTACTTGAGGATATCGACGAGAACCGAGTCAGCCAAGTGAGCCAAGTGGATGCCGATATTGATATCATCAACAGAGAGTGGCTCCAGCAGCCAGACTTTGATGCTCAAGCTTGTGAGTGCGCTCATGTCTTTCTATTCACGTCTAACTCCGATAAGACATTCGTACACACCTCGCTAATGCCAGTGAGGACGAGGTGGAACACTTCAAGCAGGCCCTCACTGATGCTATGCAGTCTACCAATTTGCAACTCGAACAGAGTGCATTCAAGAAGTATGTGGATCGTTTTCTATGTTGTCTTAGCTCACACTCTCAAAGTTACGCTGACTTTATCGCCATTTCAAAGGAGATTGGCGCTCTCGAGACAGAGGTGCTCGAGCTGCGCGAGCTGCTTGGGGAGTGGAGAAGCCTCCCGGAAGCATTCGGTGTTGAGAACGTAGAGTCTGATCTGGAGACAACAAAGAAGAAGAGATCATCAGTTGCAGATCTTGCAGCCGTGTACAGGACCCAGCTGCAGACGCTACACTCTACAGTCGAGGGTTCGTTGAAACACGTACCTCATGCACCAGGCAGACATGTCGTGACGACTGCATCCAAGTTCGTTGAATTGAACGCTGCGACTTACAGAGTAGCGCAGTCTGTCGAAATGGTCTTGCTGAATGACACCCTCCTTATAGCCAGCAAGAGAAGACGTCAAGCTAGTGGCGGTCGCGAGAAGCTCATCGCCGATCGTGCTTGGTCTTTGTCTGAAATCAATATCCAGGATCTCCGAGATTCGATTAAGGTGACGAATTCTATCAAAGTTAAGCATAACAAGCAATCGTATGTGTATATGGCTGAGTCGCCGAGCGATAAAAATGTCTTCTTGAATGCCGTTAAGCAAGTCGCAGAAGAATACCAAGCGCAAATGGAGCAGCAGCAACATAATCAAGAAGGAGATCTCTCGCCTAATTTCATTATCAGTCCTTCGATAGCGTCAATCCAATCGACGAATTCGCCTTTAAGAACGCCTATATCCTCTTCTAACAAACACTTGCAATGGATGGAAGACTTTATCGATGAGCTGTCAGTTAGTGTCGCCGTCAATGACCACCATGCTGCTGTCGAGCACGTGGAGCAAGGACGGAAAATGCTCAGAAGCACCGATGACAAAAGTGAACGGGAGGCACTACAAGCCCAAATAGCGCACCAAAAGGGTATACTAGTGAGAAACCTGCTACGCGTTGTCGACGACTTTTCAAGACTTCGGGAGCATGTTCTAGTTGATGTTATCTCGCTGTTGCACAGATTGGATGAAGCAGGCGCCGGCAGAGACACCTACTTGAACAGTCGCAAAGAGCTCATCAAGCATAGGTCGAGGCAGATGGTGTTTGATGGAGACGTAGTCAACTACGTTGCTGAATTAGCAGTCATCACCTTTACGATAATCAAGCAGTCGGCAGAATGGTTCAGGGCTGCATTCATTAATACGAACAAAGCAAGCGGTGAGTGGGACGCATTAAATCTCGCCAGCCAAACTGATCACCATCAGGATATGGAAACTGGGCATCTGAGCAGATTAAAACGTTTGCAGTCATGTTCAGACGACAGGTATATGGCTCGCATCTGGGGAAGAGCATTATTGAGCGTGCGATTCAAGTAACACACGAGCAAGGACAGAGAGTAGGTGATGGATAAGAAGGTAACGCTGCGCTGACTGACTGATTGCACAGATACTGAAAGAGGTGCAGACGTCGACAGACCTGTGTGTCATACTTAATAAGCAGATGGAGGAGCAAGTATCGCCTAGTCTGATTTGATGGAAAATGATTTACATTGATATACTGATTATAATCACATGGAGAGTGTTGCGTAAGGTATAATAAATAATGGCCAAATAATAGGTTGTTTGCGATAATTATACTCATTCGAAATGTGAGTAATGCCCCTTGACACCTAGTTTGCACTTGTGACAATCCGCTCGAGGACCCATAGTGAATCTGATTTTACGCTGTTTAGCTTTCTTGTCGTTGTCGATGAGGGAGGTGGAGTCTCTCATCGATGTGTCATGCATGTGCAGCGTCTCTGTGGCCATGACGATGTCTGGAGGATGAGAAGGAGGAGTGGGAGGGACTGGATTTGAATTTAAGCTTAATTTGGGATCAGTAATCGTCGTATTCGATGTATTCCTCTCAGATTCGTTTCCTTTCCTCTTTGTGGTTATCGGGTTGTTTGCCAGGCTCGACGGGCTCAGTTTGCGCTTCTTCTTTGAAAATGGAGGGGAAATGAGCGGTGGGCTGTCGTAAGAGGTCACCATTGGCTTATACGGCAGATCTAAATCAATCTCCATCGCGTGTGAGCATTCGAAGTTGGTGGTGAGGTGCGAGGGATCAATTGGCGAGCAGTGAGGGTTTAGTGGGATAATTTTAAAGGTGTTTTGAAGGAAAATATACTTTTATGCCCACAGATGCCTCCACTTCTCTGTATGAGGCGTGGATGCCGTGACTGTCTCCCGATAACGCCCAGTCACGAGAAATGGCAGTCGTATAGCAGAATCAGCGTCTATGGCATCATAAATACTTATTAACACCCAAAAGACTTCCTATCGGTGGATATCGTGAGCTGGAATCGTTGATACACCGCTAACGCTGATAGCGGGATATACAGCACAGAGAGAAACGCAAACAAGCAGCGGAAATAAATTTCATCTAAATACACCTCACGCACCCACTAGCACCCGCTTCACTACATCCACAAACAAATTCTTTTGGTCTTCCTTCTTCACTCTTCATCACGTACATCCAACAGCGCAGCGCGTTGAAAAATAAGAAGCAGCAAAATGTCAGCAGATCACTCCAGAGACCCATGTCCGTATGTAATTCTCAATGATTTCGGTGGTGCGTTTGCGATGGGTGCGGTCGGTGGTTCAATCTGGCACGGTATAAAGGGAGCGAGGAACAGTCCCCGTGGAGAGAGGTTGCCTGGTAGTTTAGCGGCAATCAAGGCTAGAGCGCCTGTACTCGGTGGTAACTTTGGTGTATGGGGTGGTATGTTCTCATCGTTTGATTGTGCAGTCAAGGGCGTTAGGCAGAAGGAAGACAGCTGGAATGCAATTATTTCTGGTTTCTTCACTGGTGGCTGCTTGGCTATCAGAGGTGAGTAGCCTGTTGCTTGCCACAGTTGCACCACAAGCTAACAAGACACAGGCGGTCCTAAGGCGGCGCTCGGTGGTGCTGTCGGATGTGGTATCCTTCTCGGTGTCTTTGAAGGTGTCGGTGTGCTCATTAACAAGGCCATGAGCGATTTCAGCAAACCTCAAATGCCAATCGGTGAGTTTTCTTGGGTTGATCGACGTCATTGACACAGTCACTGTAGCTCCTGAACAACCACCAGCCGCTGCAATCTCACATTAGAAGGATGACCACCTCCGTTTTGCATAGAATAAACCCTCAACCCACTCACCCCTGACTTCTAATCATCTTCTTCATAAATACATCTGCTACTTATCGACTACATTATTTTGCGTGTTGAACAGTTTACCACGACAGTTCGGTGCCCCACAGAAACATTCTGGTACGGCTTCCTCTAAGATACTGTCATCATCGTCTAGGACTCTCTTTGCCTTCTTTGACCTTATCTTTGTCTTCTTCTTTTTCCTGCTGAGTGCTTGCTCAACATCCTCTTCGTCGCTGTCGACACCCATGTATCTAACAACAGTTAGCTTCCGGTAACATTTCAGCGCTCCACTCACGATATAGACAGCTCCTCGTTTTCTCTGATATCCCGCAAGGCATAGAATCCCAAGAAAGGAAGATCGACCGAGGTTTGCACAGTGTAGACGGGCTATGGGGAAGTAGGAGTGAGTGGAAGATTTTTAGCGCTCTACGAACTCACCTGCACAATTAAATTAGGCTTGCAACAATGGTTGATAAATCGGGTGAACTACTTTGTGTCAGTTTACTGAAGGAGATGTGGCTATGTGACCTACATTTCCGATGAAAAAGGCATCAATGGCTATTAAAGTGTTAGCCATATGCAATACTCCACACCAGCGTAGATATCACCCACTGTAATAGGATTGTAAATCAAAGTCAATATCACGGTACTGTTGCAGTTCCTTCTGCGGGCTGATGAGCGACTGAAGTGGTCTGCCAGCTTCGTTGGCAGTACCTGTACTTGTATTACCAAGTACATCGCCACTATCTTCACTCAGTTTCTCAAACCGCTTCTTGTTGCATTGCGTTGCCTTAGCATACATTTTTTTATTCCGCAGATGGTAAAAATCGATATCAAAATCGTATTTCCGGTTGACCCTGTGTTACGCTGTGTGAGAAAGGGTGGGGTATGATGTTGATGGGGAGTACCACTTACTTATCATATATACTAGGATGGTTTAGAGTGTACCTAAAAATGCGCGCACTTGACTCACTCTGATCTATGTATAGCCATATCGTTTGTGATATATTCTCCAGAGTACACAGCAATAAACTGTCCTTTCTGTATCTTTCTTCGAGTCCGCACACCTGTTCGAGTTTGTTAGTATGTGCAACCTAGCTATAATCACTTCAACCCACCCCATCCCATCTTCTCCTTCTTGAATATTTCCAAGTTGAAGTTGGTCGGTTTACTAGTGACCTGAGAAAGTTTAGAGGGTGAATGATTGGAGGGAACCTCAACGTACTTTATTCTGACAGCTATCGTCACACCCGCAAAGCTCATTGCATTCGAATATCGGCAAGTCTCTTGTATTTAGCAGTCCGTCATCGTCGTATGCTGGTGTGGTGGTTGTGGTAGTGTTACCGTATGAACAGTGCTCAACACCCATCTCACTCACCACAATAACGATCGCAGAAGCCTTCAAAGATGTACTTCTGGCGCTGGAAACATTCACATGTCGACGGATCGCATTTACCATTGCATCCACACCGCCGTTGACCTTTTTCGTTGTTCTTGGGCACACCGCTGCCATACTGGTGTGTGTAATATTTCAGAATTAGGTCAGATCAACTAAAATTTCACCTACACATGGTTTGTTGTTGTAGATAAACTCGACAGGCGGACAAGGATCGCTGTCAACCTGAGATGAAATTGAGAAGGGGTAAAAAAAAACGGCAAGCAACCCACGCACATCATTACGAATTGAGAATGTGTTTCTGTTATCCATAAGTGTCTCAGCCTGCTCTATATGAGCGAGGAATGTATGCTCGAGGGATTTGCTGTTCAAAACCTCTCCTGTTCTAGGATGCCTTCTTAAGCTACCGACAAACTTCAACCCAACAAATTTATCAGGTTTCTCGGCTAATTTCCACGCTTCAAGCTCCGACGCTTTATCTATTTCTTCCTGACTATACTGCTTATCGTCATATCTTTTGTATGCCTCCCGCTGCTCACGTGGCATATTGATGAAAACGGGTTTGATGATTTGTTCAATTGTAGCTGGTTTTTTTGCAGGGCCTTCAATGACTTGGGTTGTGTTTACGCGTGATTCTCGCTCAAGTGTCACCAGCTGAGCGCGTTTTCGCTGCTCAAACGATGCATTGGGGTCGTGGAAACTGTGTTCATCCTCCGTTATCTGTAGCATCGCTTCGATCGTCTCATCATTGACTCTATCGGTGATCATCCGCTCATTGAACGGCTGCTTGAATTGCTTGAATGGTTTGATATCTTTACATATTCTGTTGCGACCATTTTGGAGTGTATTGGTATTAGTGTTGGCGTGTATTGAGTCGCACGTTTTCCTGTTGTTCGTACCTTGCATACTCTGCATACACTCCTCCAACATGGGCTTCTCCATGTAGTTTGGTGGGAGAACAGGTTTCGTTTCAGGTGGAGAGTATTTGCGTGTCTTCTTTCTATGCCCGGTCGAAGAACGCTCAGGTATAGACGTCGGTGGAGAGCAAGACGAAGAGCTAGATGGGATGGCTTTTGTAGTGGCCTCCACCTCATTTTCGCTATCAGAGGATAATTCTATAATGTTGCTGTTTAAGTTTTTGCCCAAGTCTCTACTCAACGTCTTGCTCAAATTTCTGCTCAAGTTTCTGCCCAAATCTCTGGTGAAATCTCTGCTCATCTTTATCTCTTCATCCACATTGTGAGGTTGCGGGTGTGGTTGCAGTTGTGGTTTTGATTTTGGTTGCGGCCGTCGTTGTGATTTTTGCAACTTAACTTCAGTCTGTCGCATATTATTGATTAGTTTGGGTTTCTCTTTCTCTCTCTCCTTCTCCTGCTCGCTCTTGCTCACCTTCTGCGGTGTGGAGTGGTTATTGGCGGTGTCAGGTCTGAAGTCGCGCACGCCTCTGAAGCTAGGTAATGATCCTTTCTTGATAGGAGGGAGAGGGGATTTCTTTGGCAGCAGCGACTCATGCGAGCTGTCGGCAGAGCTCATAGTGGGGTTGATAGGGTTGATGGGGTGAACGGGAGTAGCGAGATTTTTCCTTTCCGACGCGTGCATCGCGTGTATCAATGGCCGTGTATTGTCGCTCTTATTCTCCGTCTCACGAGGCTGCGTCCGAGAACGTTTAGAAAGCTGCGACGGCGACGGCGACGGCGATGGCGATTCTCTGAGCGACTTGCGCGAGCGGGTGACAAAGTCGTCAGACGTGTTAATTGAAGTGGGAGAGTTGGCTGATGTGCCAGAAGTGGCAGAAAAGCCACCACTAAACCCGTCTCTCCTCTTTCTCTTAAATTTCTTGTTGCTGTTGTTATCGATAGAGAGGAGGCGCTTCTCGGACTTTTTCCTGATCGCCGTGCTTGTTGGTGTGGCTGCGTTTGTGATAACGAAGTGAGATTTGCATGGATAGATACGCGGAGTAACTCACACCCAGTATGAAACAATCCTCTCAGCTTATCGCTTGATTTCTGCTGGTATATTACGCCGCCAGGTTGAACAGGTCGCGTTGAAGTTGGTGGAGATGGCGCAGATGGCGCAGATGGCGCTTGTGCTGTTGGCTGCGGTAACACGGCCATCTCAATACTCTCCATCTCTAACTCATCTTCACTTGGGAATAAAGACGTCTCGTCGGCGTCCATCGATTCCATCATGACTGGACGTGAACAACAGACAAAGACAAGAAAATTGGCATTTGTTTTGACATTTAGATGTAAATGTATAAATATTTATATTCTACTTGTCCCCTTCAAGCCACCTACCAAAGTCATTCAACCTGTGTTGCTCGTCTTGTTCAGCTGTCTCAGTGTATTTGTTGGTGCTTTCAGTGGTTTTAAACGTCTCCTTGCCATCGTAGAGGTAGCTGACCACTCTCCTGCCTGCAAAGTATCTACCTTCGTATTTCTACGCTGAGTTAGGTGGATAGGAGTACGTAGATGATTATCTCACCAACACACACGCCTGTGCTGCGATATGATCTGAGAACTTGACAGTCATGATTCCATCTGGCTCAGCCTATGGGGAGTGAAGGTGTAAGCAAATATTCACCGCCAAGTGCACTACCAACTCACATCGTAAAGCACCACGCTTGTCACCTTTCCAATTTGCTCGGCGTCTTCGCGTACATCTTGCTTCAAATCGAGCAACAGCGTTGGATCCTCTTTCAGTTCACCGGGAGTAAACATATGCCTCAGTACGACGACTCTTGAGGTAGTATTCGAGGGCAACCGATCAGCCAGGCCAGACTCATCTTCGCTATCCCAATCGTTAAGTTTCTCATCCAATTTCCTGAACTTTGTCTGTTTCCTCCTTTTTTCTTCTTCAGTGAGAGGTTTAGCGGGTTTCTGTGTGGTGTGCTTGCTATTGGTGTGATCACTAGCCTCAGGCTTGAAATCTGCGACAGAGACTCTAATAGCACTGCCATCGCCATACCTAAGCTCGGTATCGTCGAGTAGTTGCACGGCAAGACTAACGCTGTCCTGCTTATAATACACCACCAAAGCCTCACCTTTGAAATTACCAAGATCGTCTGTATAAAGCTTTACTTTCGGGCTGCCATCGTCGTTGGTGAGGAGAACGCCGTACTTGGAGAAGACGTCTGCAATTTCATCGACGGTGACGTCAGGAGGGAGGCCAGTGACGAAGACAGCAGTTTTTGGTGGAGGAGGTTTATCTCTTTTGGCGTTACTATCGTTGGGCTTGTTCGATGTGAAATCCTTGCGCTTCTTCTCGTGTCGTCTGGCTACGACGTCTGCCGGAGTCTGTGGAGGAATGAGAGTGATCGTGGGTAGACAGCAGCCACACTAACGCTCTCGTCAACGCCACTAACACCGTAAGCAGCCTGTTGAGCAGATAATTGGTCTAAATCAGCCTAAATCGGAGTGAGCGTGGTGTGCACTGAATCCAATACACCTCCACGCACCACAGAAACGAATCGTTGAAATTTAACATCCCACTCCATCTCGCTGCCATCATCGCCCTCCAAAACCCAATTCTGTTTTGCTTTATCAAAGGAAATACGCGGATCATCGAAATTTGGTGTGTCGCTAGTCATGGTGGGGGAGTTGAGAGGAGAAACACCCGCACTGAATATAAATATCAAGATAAATTTATCATGTATAATATTTTCACTTTATTTTTCATTCATCGTTATCAACGACGGTCATGGCCTCACCCACCCCGGAATCATTCAAGCCATTATTGAAGAAGCTGGCAACTGATTCTATCAGCTTCACGGAGGAGGATATGGCAACTTCATTTGAGCACATAGTATCCACCGATGCCCACACACCCGCGCAGATAGCAGCATTCCTCACAGCGCTCAAATTAACCGGCAACGACGAGAAAGCCGAGTATATAGCAGCAGCTGCGACTGTTATGCGCGCCCACTCTGTCCAGATACCCGGTTTAGACAGTATCCCCACATGTGATATCGTTGGTACGGGTGGTGATGGTCTCGATACGTTCAACGTTTCCACCGCTGCTGCTGTTGTTGCGGCTGGTGCTGGTGCCACTGTAACCAAACACGGTGCACGCTCAGCCTCTTCTGCGTCTGGCTCTGCAGATCTTCTCCTGTCCCTCAACTGCTCCCTCTCGATCCACCCTTCCCGTCTTCCCGCTCTCCTCTCTTCCAGCAGATTCGCATTCCTCTTTGCCTCCAATTACCACCCTGCCATGGCCCACGTAGCCCCTCTCCGCCGCGAAATGGGTTTCCCCACCATATTCAACTTCCTCGGTCCGCTCATGAATCCAGCCAGGCCGACGCGCATGGTGGTTGGTGTCGCTAAGCGCAGCTTGGCGGGTGTATTCGTCGATGCCCTCCAGCGTCTTGGCGTCCAACGCGCCATGGTCGTAAGAGGGAAGGAGGGCATGGACGAGATCAGCCCAGCGGGCGAGACGGAGATTTGGGAGCTGTGCGACGGTCGCGTAAAGGAGTACACCGTTTCTCCATTCAATTTCGGCGTTAAGGCCCACCCACTCTCCTCCGTTAAGAGCGGCAGCCCTACTAACAACGCTAATCTTTTCAAATCCATTCTCGCTACTTCTACGCCCTCCTTTGACGATATTCCAGAGGGTGTTGAACTCGCTGCGCTCAAGGATTGGATCCTTATCAACGCAAGTGCCCTGCTCGTCGTCGCAGGTCAGGCTACCAACTTTGGCCAGGGCGTTACTAAAGCCAGAGAGGCCATCGAGGGGCTCCACGCTAAGGCTGCGCTGGATGCTTTCAAGAAGGCGGGAAGTGAGCAGTGAGCAAGCGTGTGCTACCTGTGGGTGTGTGCCATTATAGCATTTGTAATGACAATAGACGTGGTATAGAATCAACGCAGTTAGTGTACACGATAATAAGACACGGCGAGACCTAGACTGAGGGCGAGCAAGGCTCCGCGCGTACTGCTCCGCCAGCCCACCAAGTAGAGGGCGAGCCAGGCGTAACCGATGAGCAAATCAGCTGTTGTGCCCAGTAGAGCCTTGAAGTGGGCGTGACGGTCGTAAGCGTTAATGTGGTTGTGGTTGCGACTGTCCATCTCCATCACATGGCTACACTCACCATCCACACACACCATCGCCGTGATAGGCTTGTGGTCGCTGATGGTCACCTGTGGAAAAGAGTCGTAAAAGACGCAGCGAGTCGCTGCGGCAGACGCAAAGAGGACTCTGTCCGTCCAGCTGGGGTCGCGACGCGCATCGACACCGTCTACGCTACCCACTGTGTATTTATAAGTGGGCAGGAAAGCGCTAAAACAACCCTCGCGCAGTCCGTTCATCACTCGCCCACCACGCATTTCCCGCGCCAGCTCGTCATGAGAGGCTAACGAATCAAGGTCGATAATTTTCTGCTCTAGCTTGCTGTTGCTAGAGCTGCTGCTGTCGCCGTACAGCCTGTAATTGAGGTCACCAAAGACCAAGAGGTGGGTGGAGTCGTATATGGATGGTTTGATGCGCGACACAAGTGATCTGTAGTCTGTGATATGTGATATGCACACTATGTCAGTATGAAGCACCTAATCAAGACACCCATCTCACCCCAATTGCGCCGCGCAACATTCTCCTCCCCTTGGTGCGCGGCGAGGTGAGCGTTTACGAGGGTAAGAATACCGCCGCTGGGGAGGTGAATGCGCGTAGAAATCGCGCCCTTATTACCCATCACGCCGCCAACGCCTAGACCGACGTGCGTGGAGTGTGTGTGTGTTTGTTGGCTTGCGATGTGGGGGCGGGCGTAGACGAGCATTGTAAGACCAGCGAAGGATGACTGATGGATGCAAGTGTATATGACGTCACTGTTGTTATCTTTGCTATCACCAACACCCGCATACTTGGTCAGCGCCCTGTGCACCGTCGACGCCGTTCCGCGGAGTTTGTCAGACGCGTTCCAGCCGCTGACTGAGGAAACAGCGTCAGATATATTCATAGACCACTCGCTCACCCACGCGCTTCGGCCAGTGGCTGCGTTTCCTGTGTACCGACAACAAGCAGATCGGGAAGATCGGAGAGACGCGGAGATGGAAGAAGCCAGTCAGCCAGCTCGTGTGGCTTGACGCTGCCCAGCGATCTCTCGTGGACGTTGAAAGATGAGATTTGAATTTTCATTCAATTTCGCCGTGGTGGTTGTAGCTAAGCTGGATTCTGTTGGCAGTCGACAGCCATCATCACCTCGAGTAGAAAAGCAGGAGAATGAAAAACTTGGAGAACAGCGTGGATATTTGTGCGTGTGGTGTATACTACCCAGCCATCCTTACCTTGTCCCAGCGCAGCCGAAATTCGATCAGTCGACGTACATGGGCCGTGTCAGGCACTTTATCGCGGCTGTCTCCCCCCTCACCCTATTTGCTTCGGCCGATCGTCTCCAGGATGCCCACAAAGACGTTCTCGCTGTCCAGGAACGTGTCCAGAAATCCCCCGGTGGTGTATTCGTTAAGCCTGAGGACGCGCAGAAGTATTGGAAGAACAAGCAGCTCGTAGACAGCTCTATACATCCGGGTGAGCGTCGTTGCTGGTTGCTGGTTGCTAGCTACTGGCTGTACACTCCCCCTTCTAATCTGTCTCATTAGACACCGGCGAGCCTATAGTACTTCCATTTAGAATGTCAGCATTCATGCCTACCAATTTGGTTAGTGGCGGTCTTGCTATCCTTTCAATTGGCTTTAACGCCCACTCAGATCATTATCGGCGGTATGCTCGCACCTAATCCCTCTGTAGGCATGGTCTTGTGTGCTACACACCTCGCTCACCTGGCTATCAGCTCGGATCTGTCATTTTCTGGCAGTGGATGAACCGTGAGTAAGGTTTATCAAGTTTTTCACCCACTCACAACTCCCAGAATCACTCAATGTCTGCGTCAATGTGGGTTAATAGCAGGCTGCTTATAGCCACTGTATAACACCACACACAGTCAGCCAATGCGAACAAATCCACTCCACTATCCACAAAAGAACTCGCCATGTCTTACCTCGCAGCCACAGCGTCGTCTGTCGGCATAGCAGTGACCTTAACCAAGGGGGTTCCCAAGCTGAATGTCTCGGCAGCCACCAAAGCCTCACTCGGGCGCATGGTAGTGGGTGATAGTGATAAGCTATCGACAAAGCTAACCCGCTCCCCAGCCATTCGTATCAGTTGTCACAGCCGGATGCGTGAACATTGCCGCTATGCGCTACAAGGAGATGCGCGACGGGATAGCGGTGACGACGAGTGAAGTAGACGGGGAGCCTCTACCAGATAACCAGAAAACCACACTAGACGCCTCCTCACGCATTGCGGGTGCTGTGGCAGTATCGCAAACGGCAGCTAGCAGAGTCTTTACTAACATCCCCACACTTATCTTCGTCCCTCTCATCCAGGCTGCGTTGACCAAGAGAGGTGCATTCGCTGGTAAACGCGGACCTTTACTGGAACGTATCGTGTCGCTGGGTCTTGCCGGGACAAGTATGATAGTGTTTTTGCCTCCAGCTATCGCCGTCTTCCCCCAGAAAGCTACTCTTGGTGCGGATACCGTCTTTGGGGAGGACGCACCGACGGATGAGAAAGGCAGGAGAGTTACGCGGGTGGAATTCAATAGAGGTCTCTAACGGAGTTATTTGCGTTGTTCTTGTAGAAATCAATTTGTTATCTCTAACGGTCATCATCGAGATGGAATTTGTGAGTAGATGGTGGAGCGAGAGTGGTGAGAGTGGTGAGAATGGCAGCAACGGCGACTACACCAAACCACCCAAATACAATGCCAGCATGGATACGCCCAGGGATCTGCCCAGCGTCGGCACAGACGAGAGTGACAAGGAGAAAGAGAAAGAGAAGCAAGCCAACTACTCGCCGTACACACCGTATACACTAGCGTGGGTTATAATTAAGAAATACAAATGGCTTCATCTCATTGAGGACATGGCAGCCCAGATTCAGGCACAGATTCCGCTCAGCACGTCGACATGCGCAGACGAATAGGACAAACGAGTCTGGAGAACTGCAGTGTGATAGAAGGAATGTTGTCCGAGTGTATAAACCGGGGATCTTTCAAGGATAAGCGGGTAAGGGGATGTGACTGGCTGAGAGAGCAGTTTTACGCTTGCTTGGGGGAGCAGCGCCATGCACTGACTGAATTGGGATACGCCTTACCCCAGAATACACCCCAGAAAGACGATAAGATACGCAGCCTGGCTGACAGACTCGCTCAGGACAGAGAGAAGGAAGCTGAGGAGGGTAGAGTGCCTTTGAAGGAGAAGACCAAGTAGAAAGAGAGAAATGCATTTGTTTTTACCCTGTTTTACCCGTTTTACCCGTTTACCTCCCTGTTGCTGTCGATAAGCACTGCTGAACAACGTCGATAAGGTGGCCATTTTCGAGCGCTGCTGCAACTCTCTCCTTATCGTTGAGCTGCTTGTTGATCGCCGCCTCCTGCATATGCGTACCTTCACGCACACGCACGTCCACTTTGAAGCGTGGCGGGAGAGACCTGATGAGCCGCACGCGCAGACACAGGCCAATGAGAGTGGACATGGAGCAATGGGGGATGGTTGGCGTGAAGAGGATTGTAGCCTCGTTCTGCTCGTCGTCCACGGTGATCTGCGCCTTGCTCACAACTGCAAGTTGCTCGAGTGTGAGTGGGTGCTCTGGGTCGTTGATGTCTTTGAGGAGGTGGAATAGCTCGTCAGCGTCGATGGCTTGCGCGGGTGTTTTCTCCAGTGTGGCGTTGGCGTTGGCGTTGGCGTAATCTGGATTGATATCCCCCACTTGCGCATCAGGTGCTAGGAAATCTGTGCTCCACGGATCGCTATCACTGTAAACATTCCTCTCGCTCTCCTCTACTGTCTGGTGTATTATCGGATTAGCGTTGATCTTCTCTGCGTCCATTCTGATTGGTTGGTCGTTATCTATCAAGAAAAATATGAGATTAGCCACACGGATTAGATTGATGAGGTCATTTAAATTCAATGGCTGCACTGGCTGTACTGGCAGGAGGGGATTTGCGCAGGCTATTGACGGATATCGCATTCCATCGCAGCGCACTTGGAAGGAGGAGATACATTCAGCGCTACAGGCACACAAGGCACACTCCGCACACTCCGCACACTCAAACTGCACGCCACTCGCCGCTCTTCTCGCACAGCTCCATCGCCGCCAACTGAGAGATCTCCGCGTCGGCCTCAGTTACGAGAGCACACCGGAGAGCGGCCGAGCAGTGCGCACGACACAGACGCCCACCAACGAGGTCCTCCTCGTCGCCCACGCAGCCCCGCCAAACCGTTTGTCTCTCTCTGGCGGTTTCGCGGTGGCCTGCAACGGCGATGACGAGCAGCCGCTGGTTGTGAGCTGCGTGCACACTCTGAGTGGTGGTATCGGGAGTGTGAGCCTGAGTGAGCCAAATAGCGCAAGTGCTCGCGCGAATGGAAACGGAAACGACAGCGCCACTCTCCTGATAAGCTGCGCGGGGGGGAGGATAACGGACATACGATACGCAGAGGCAGTGCACTCGAGCCAGCCCCAGAGCGATCTCGTCTACTACAAGCCCTCTGCGAGTATTATTGGAGGCGTATCCGGCGTATCCGGCGTATCCAGCGCACACAGCGCACCGCTGCGAACACTCCCCATCAACCCCTACCCGCCCCCGCCAGGGACAGAGGTGGCGGTGTGGAGGCCTCCGGCGACGCCCGGAGACACACCCGCGTGGACACACGGCTCTATCCACCGCTATACCACGCCCAACGGAAAAATGGCACAGGCTGGCACGTACGACCACCTCGCGAATGTCGAAATCGACGGCGTACTGCCAGAACTAGGTGCTAGCGGATCGCCTGTGGTGGAGCGAGAGTCTGGGGCAGTGTGCGCTGTCGTTAGAGGATCCGTGGGTGGATTGAGCGGGGCTAAAACTTGGGGTACGCCTGCAGAACATCTGTGGGAGTGCTTTGACCTCCCTGGGATGCCAGTGGGATGACAAAAGAGGGTATTCATGTGTGTATAATCTATTTTCTTTGTTTGTTTGTGTGTTTTGCTTGTAGCCACGCGACTAGGAACGAGGGTATTCGAGAACCAGCTGTTAGGCTTTAGACTACTTGAATACACCGACAGCCTTGAAATCAAGTAGCTGGCTTTGTCTTTCGGACCTCAACCACCAAGACGAAGCAGTCCGCAGATGAACAACGCACCCACCAGCGACCACAAGCTGCGCGCCGTCGTACGCAAGTTGCCGCCAAACTTACCAGAGGACGTATTCTACTCGGCCGTCCAGGCGTGGGTGAACGGCGAGACCACAGCGCACTCCTACTACGCCAAAGGGAAACTGCGCGGGGCAGACTCGAGCAAAGAAAGCGTAGCATCGAGAGCATACATCACCTTCAACGAGCACACGCAGCTCCTCAACTTCCACGCAGCATTCGACGGACACACTTTCCGCGACAAGCAGGGACGCGAGAGCAAGGTGTCTGTCGAGTACGCCCCTTTCCAGAAAACACCGGCAGCGCGACACAAAGTCGACGACAGACAGGGCACGATTGACCAAGACGGTGACTTCCTCTCGTTTCTCCAGTCCCTACAGGCCACACCGACTAAACCTGATTTCGAGGCTAATTGGATAGCGTCGCGAGCTGCTGAGAAACCTAAGACTACACCACTACTCCTTCACCTCGCACAGCGCAAGGAGAAGTCAAAGGCGAAGCGCGATAAGGCGCGTCAGAAGCAGCAGCGAAAGGCTGCCGAGAGAGGGGGTAGTGGCACTGGCGCTGGCGTTGGTGGCAGTAGTGGCAACGGTAGTAATGCACCACCTACCAAGTCTCCTGCTGACCCCTCCTCCTCAGCGTCGAAAACACCCGCTCAACCCAGAGGCAAGAAGACTAGGGGGGAAAAACGAGCAGCGAAGAAAGTACGCGAGGGCATTTCGTCTCCAAGTACCCCGAAGAGTACTCCAGGCACTCCAGGCACTCCAAGTACCCCTCCTATCAAGATTCTCGCTCGTCCAGACGCGCCTGATAAGCCAGCCGTGGCACCTTCTGCCCCTCCTGCATCTGTCACTAACAGTAATAATAACTCTCACACTCAATCACCCACACTCGACGCTCCCAAAGGGCCAAGAGGCGGTAAGCCCCAGCGAGGTCGCCCTCCCCGCTCGCCGCGTGGTAGAGGCAGAGGTAGAGGTGGCAAGCAGGCAGCTACGCCGACGTGAGGCATGCAATGGATGTGATTAGTGATTGGTGATTGCTGGATGATTATGTTTAGATGAAAATTTGCAATATTGATACATTGATCTTTTCAAAAGTGGTTTGAGCTGGTTAGTTGGTGAGGTCAACTCAATGAACAGGCTGGTTGTGTGCAAATACTTCTACTGTCATTTGGAATATCGCGCAATGACGTCATTCTGAATCGACTGACTAATCTAGCTGATGCGCCCCCTTGACACGCAACTACGAAGATGACTGCCCTACCAATCCAAACCAAGAACGTTGTACTCGGCGACTCCTCTGCTAAGCCGGGTCTTTCTACGTGGTATGATATTCACATTGAGGATCGCACTATCAATCAAGTGAAGCCACACGAGGCTGTTCTTAAAGTAAACGCTGTGGGATTCAACCACCGCGACAAATGGATCCGCAACGGCCTCTACCCGGAGACAGAAGGTGGTCAAACAATGGGATCGGATGCAGCTGGTGTGGTTATAGCCGATGGGGAAGGCGAGAAGAGTGCTCTAATCGGACAGCGCTACTTCATCAACCCATCCCGCGGCTGGTGAGTAGGATACACGCTGACTTGTCAAGCCTAATACACGCAGGTTCTCCAACAAGAAACACAGCGAGGAGCGCTTCATTCTGCCTGGCGGTTGCAAAGATGCAGACGGAGTGTTTGCGACGGCTGTGAAGGTCGACAAGAAATACCTCATCCCAACTCCCGCCCACCTCACCGACGAGCAGGCAGCTGCTTGGCCATTGGCCGCCGTCACCGCGTGGAGGGCGACATTCGTCAAAGCTGAGGTCGAGAAAGGTGACAATGTCCTCATTACAGGTATTGGCGGTGGAGTTGCGTTGCAGGCCTTGCAATTCGCAGTCGCCAAGGGCGCAAACGCTTACGTCACCTCGAGCTCCCCCGATAAGCTGACGAGAGCCGTGAAGGAATTCGGAGCGAAAGGCGGCGCTAATTACAAAGATGCAGATTGGCCAGCTCAGTTGAAAAAACAGATGCCTGCTGAACACGCCTATCTCGACGCTGTTGTCGATTCCGCTGGTGGTGATATAGTCGCTAAAGTGGGTACGTCTTGGCGGTGATTAACTCGCACTAACATCACTTGCTCAACAGGTCAACCCCATCCTCCAGCCTGGCTCGTCTATCGCCATCTACGGCATGGCTGCTAGCTCTCCCAAAACCACTATCACCATGATGGACGTCATCAAGAACTTTAACCTCAAAGGCAGCACTATTGGAAGCTTGGATGAGCTCAAGCAGGCAACCGAGTTTATGTCAGCTCACAAACTCGTTCCAGTCGTCGACCACCCAGTCATCAACGGTCTCGAGAATGCTGAAGAGGGTTTCCAGAGACTCGCAAATGGCTCGCAAATGGGCAACGTCGTCATTAATGTCGGTATGTCATCCAAGTTATAAATGAATTGACTTGCAAACGCTGTATGGCAAATACAATATAAATACGAAAATATACATTATTTTACCGCTTGTACGGAGGGTGTGTGGGTATCTTCTTGTGCATCTTAGGTCCTAATGCTAGTAGGGAGTTTGAAGGTATAGCGGAGTGAGTGGGTTGTTTAAGTGTGTTGCGCGATATCGACAAAACCTTGGGACCTTTTTTAGGTCCTGATACTGGTCCCTGAGTAACGCCAGCCCCCGTAGCACGCTTCTTCACTGCGAATGAGGGTAAGGGTTCGTCGAGAGCGAGATCGACGTCGTCGTCGGGTGGTAGAATGAGCACGTCATCTGACTTGCGTTTGTTGGTGCGTTTCAATTTGTTTTGTGCAATGGGAGATTCTACTTCTGCGTCGCTCGAATCGATGTGGATGGCTTTAGATGTGCAAGTGCTTGGTGTGACATTGTTTGAAGCGCTATCACTGCCACCTTTCTCACCCCCGTTACCCCTCTCATCTTTCTTTTTCTGCAATTTGTCGTATTTCCTCTTCCATTCCGTGATATTACTCTTGAATCTATTCTGTGCTGTCTCACTATCGCTGAGCAAACCACGTAGTCTGCTCTCATTTCTCTCCATCTGCGCCAGTCTATCATCCTTCATTGTGATATGTAAGCTGTGATCTTTCTTAACTTTGGCGTTATCAGCCAGAGATTTCTCGTAGCTGTGGCGGAGGTGTACCTCCTCAGCGGAGATTCTAGCCAGCTGTTTAGTGTGATCGAGTTTAAGTTTCCCTATTTCCTTTTTCTTGTGTGCGTCGAATGTGGCTAGTAGATCACTAAGCGACGCTATCTTATCGTTCAACTCAGCTACCGTCCTGCTCTGATCAAGACGCTCATTCAAACCTCTAAGTTCTTTTGAGAGAATCCTGAGTAACTTTGCTGTATTTTCATCGTTTATATCGCATCCACTGACGATCTGCAGAATATCTTCGAATATCACTCTTAGACTGCCTTGATCGCGTTTGAGAGTGAGTGAGTGGATCTTGCGTGATATATCCAAGAGCTTCTCCACTTTCACATCCCTGCTTTCATCGCTATCGCCGAGGTGGAGCTTTATGAGGTCGTGTTGGGTGTGAATGGCGTATCGACACGCTGGACAGTGTTTATTGGAGTGAGTGTGTTGCAACCACTTCTGTATGCATATCAAGTGGAATACGTGTCCTGTTTTTGTCCTGTGAGCTTGTTCTGCCTACTATCATCGCTACTACACACCACATTTCACTGCTGCTGTTGTTCCACTTGATAAACTATCGAAGCATATTGAGCAGTCCATTAGTTGGTTGTTGTGAGCCGTTCGGCTGCTAATGACGTCGTCTGTTCAACCTTTGAACGGGAATGGAATGCAGAATTTTCACTTTTATTTGTTGCTTTCACTTTTTACATTTGTGTTTATAGCAGCGTACATAATGTATTTAAACCTCTTTGTCGACGCGTCTTTGTTATTTGGATCGAGTGAATGAAACGCGAGGTTGAGTTACGAAACGCGAAATGGATCAATTGGCTGTGTGGATTCTTTGCCCATAACGCCCTCACCCCCAATTACTTGAAATGCCTCGCAGCTTTCCAACAACAGGACAAAGCAGCAAAACGCGAAAATAATCTATTTAGAGCGCTTGATAGGGGTGCATGGAGTGGCAAATCATGCTCATGCGCACACATACGTACTCATAACGCCCAATATATCCAAACACGAATTAGGTCAGTTGAGTGCATCGCACATATCGACCAATATCCTCATCACACCAAACAAACAACGCAGTACACACACACACACCACAGCTGACCTCCATTGCCCTATGCACCGCGTCAAACGAGTCGAAGAAATGGAACATGAGACATTCGACATGAAACATGCATAAAATAAATTGCTTTTAACTTGATTTAGTTAGTTGATTTTGGTCACTTGAGTTACCGCCTTAACACCACATCAACCCACTTAATTCAACACACGTGCCAACTTTTGCACGGAATTGAGGAGGTTATCGCCCCCAGCTACGACACCTTGATAGCTACCCACACGGGCATCTTTGCGACTGCTGACGACAACATTGGCCACGCTATCGAGTGTGCAGTTGAGACGACCGGCCGGGATAAGAGAGGAGAATTCCTTGTGAACGAAAGCGTCACTCACGCCGAAAGTGTTAGCGAGGTGAGAGATGTTGAGTGATTTGTACGACTCCAGTAATTGTCCATAAGCTCTAATACGTATTTCGCGCGAGTAGAACCGCGCATGACCACTCCAGTACCGAGAAGGAAGAAGATAGGTCTCCTCAACCCCCGCAAGCGATTTGAAGAGAAGGGCGTAGTTGCAATCGTATAAACTGTTAGCGAGATTCTTAATCAAGGCGTTGTTGTGCATCAATCCAACTACCTCCGGACTCTCTATAATGCGCTGCTTTAATTGCACTCTGTCCAATGTAAGGAGGGATACTATGACGGTGTAGATGATAAATTCGTCATACTCGAGAAGCTCGTAAGAGGTGAAAGTGGAGAGAGTATCGAGGAATTGAGTGGTGGCTTTGTGGAAATCGCGCACCATGAGCGCATAAAGACCAACGTAGACTTTAAGACGATTACGTCTATCCCAGTCACCGCCTTGGTCAACGAGGGTTTGAGCAGCGGCGATGTGCTGGGTGATCAGACGGTGATCGTTGGTGAAAAGCCCCAGTCTGATAAGAAGCAGATTAAGATCAATCTTGTGACCGATACCGGCTGTTTTGTTGATTGCCTCGGTGATGGCTGGAATGGAAGCTGGTTTATCGCCAATACGCACGTAATGAACAGCGAGCTTGCGGAGGTTATCGCTGATTTCAGACTCGCCTTCTTCAGCTTGAGCTTTGGTGATAGCGTGGTGAATTTCATCGACTGTGCTTTGGTTGCGTGGCTGGTGGGTGCTTACGAGTGCGTCTTTCTCGCTCTGTGGGAGGATGGAGGATGGGAGAGAGGCAGCAAAAGGGGCCATTTCTGGGAGTTCGAGTGAGTATTGTGAATAAGCCACAGGAAATCAACTCACCGTCCCTATTTATCGCCTCAATCAGCGTCTTACGCGTAGAGTCATGGATATGGGCTAGAGATGGCTGCTGAAGTACAAATACACACTGCGCAAGCGCCAGATTTGGTATCGCAGGTACAGCGTCGTTATCTAAAGACATGATGGGTGATGACGATGGGGAATTGGTTGTAAGGTGTGTCATGGCAGGGAACATATAAATTCCTTTAAAACCTTTGAAAACACTTAAAAACACCTGAAATACATTTTATCAAATACAAATACATCCCTTACCCACTCGATCCATCCAATGAAATTTTCTCATTCTTAGCATGTGTATCACTAAGGACATCACTGTCTCCACCGACATCGCACAACGTCAGCGTTGCTCTTTCACCTATCTTGACCCTCGTACAGACGATACAGTTGTCCAACTTTGCGCCATCTCTGATTACCACGTTATCCGCGATGATACTGCCGATAATCTTACACCCCTTCCCAATAACGACATTGTTGCCAATAATGCTCATCTTGATTAAAGACTTTTCACCAATTTTAACGTTGTCTGCGGTAATCACACTTTTTGCTGGCTTTTGCGTACGAAGAATCTCTCTATTCAGTTCAGCATAGGTACCGAGAGTATTTGCGCGAGCTATTAAGCCATCGTTGGGATTGTGGATGAAATACTGCACGCGTAGGCGATGTTCTGGGGAATTTGAACAAGACTGAGTTGTGGAGTGAGTGAGTGCATCGATAAATGGGTCCTGTGCAAGATGAAGGAGATGTGACCACTTATCACCTAGGCCTTTCTGATAGCTCCACTTGCAGAGCCATGGAAGCAGATCTTCTCTGATACTCGATATCTGTGGTCTCTGTATGAGTAAATCTAAGACACCCTTCCTTACAATGTAAACGTGAGCATCGAGGAGTTTAGTGGAGAGAGACAGATTAGGGAACTCCCAGAGCAATCTAGTCTTCAAATCGACACCATCTAAAGAGTCACTTGGTGGAATTAGTAGTGTGTTTGAAGATTTGTCGTGGATACAGGTGAAAGGAGCAGGACCTTCACGAGTACCGTAATCCAAGTGGTTATAGTATAACAAACAAGTGATTAGAGTGTTGTAATGAGATGTTTTGTGTTGTTGTAAAAGAGAAGACAGAGGTAAAGAGGGTGGAGGAATGATATCGCAAGGGAGAATGATGAAATCGGAGTTTATGAGGTGAGCAAAGTGCCTTAACCAATCAGCAGTCTCCCAGTTGACGCAGGTGTCGTCGTCTACGGAGTTGTAGTGGACAGAATGCGATTTGAGAAGAGGAGTGAGTTGATTAGAGAAAGAAGCCGGCGAAAGGACAAGGAGATCGTTGAGCTGTGACTGATGGCACCATTCAATCACGTAGCTTATAACTGCTTTGTTTCCAACGCTAACGACGGGCTTTGGGGTTGATTCAGTGAGAGGGAAGAGTCTGGAGTGGCTGATTAGAATGTTAATAGCCACTCTAATTCACCACCCACTTCTGCCCAAATCCACACACAATAATCCCCTTGAATTGATTTGACATTTTTCTTGTTTCTTCTAACGTTAGAATGCAACAGCCAGGATTAAAATTATCGTGAGTTTGTTTATTATTTACTGACAACGACGCTTATAAATTTGTAGCTTCTCCCCTTCAAAAACATTCAAACCCATCCACACCCAGGGTTCTGTTGATGTTAGTAGCGATGGCTGTTATCTGGCCACTACGCTAAACACGCAGGCTATTGTTTATAACCTCAGCACTAGTAATCTGATAGCAAAATCTAATTCTGATGGAAATCACATTTCTACTCTCTGCTGGGCGGGTCAATTGCTTATAACGACTACAACCAACGCAATCACTATCCACTCACTGCACAACAACTCACTTTCACCCACTCGCATCATCAACAAACCCCACGACTCCCCTATCCTCGTCTCCTCCGTTGAATCCTCCTCCAACGCCTTCCTCGCTACTGGCTCTGCAGACGGCGTCGTTAAGGTTTGGGATATCCACAGAGGCTACACCACCCACATCTTCAAAGGCCACGCTGGTCCTGTCTCTGCTCTCTGCTGGCGTCGTCAAGGCTCTTCTTTCCAGCTCATCACGGGCTCTACAGACACGCACATACGAATCTGGGATTTGAACCACCCAAACCACAACAAACCAAAGCACATTCTACAAGGCCATGTTTCTATTGTCCGTGGTTTGTCTCTCCTCGACAACAACACCCTTCTCTCCGGCGCTAGAGACCGCGTTGTACTCAAATGGGACATTTCATCCACACCCAAGCTAATGCGCACCTTCCCCACACTCAACGCCATTGAAGCCGTAGGTGTATTCCCCTCAAAAGACGCCTTCTTCACTGCTGGTGAGGCTGGTTTAAAGTCGTATAATGTTGTCTCAGGCGAGCAGCAGCACGACTACGGTGGCGGAGTAGTCAAGTCGACACGAGTCGACAGCAACGACGATGACGATGATGGTACTGGTGGGCTAGCTACTGCGCACCTGGTCAATATACAATCAACCCCGCACATCATGTCGGTGGGGCACGACCAGCTAATCTCCTTCCACCCCCTTTCTTCCACTCCAGCTCCCCCTAGACACATCATTGGCTATCCCGACCAGATTATTGCCGCCGTCTATGTCTCCCCCACCGACATCGCCATCGCGACCAACGCGCCGCAGATCTTCATCCTCAACAAACACACTCTCCCGTACACGCAGCAGATTCTTACCGGACACACAGACACAGTCCTTAGCTTAAAGGCGCTGCCGCAGCGTGGATTGCTCGTTAGTGGGAGCAAAGACGGCAGTGTGCGCGTATGGAAGAGGTATGCTGCCCAATTCCACTGTGTAGCTATAGCGAGTGGACACGGGGAATCGGTGGGTGCAGTGGCCATATCGCCCTGTGCGCGCTACCTGATCTCCGCAACGCAAGACCGAATCATCAAGCTGTGGGATCTGAGTGTGTTAGGTGGGGTAGTAGATGAGGTTAAGGAAGATGAGGGTGATAGTGCTGCGCCAACTTCAACAACCAACCCACATCTCCTCTCCTCATACACCACGCAGCGGATCCACGAGAAAGACATCAACGCACTCGATATCTCCCCCGACAGTCGCTATCTTGCAACAGGATCCCAAGACCGTACAGCGAAATTGTTTGAGGTGACATTCGACCCGAGAGGGCAACGCGCGAGTGTGAATCTACGCGCTACACTCAAGGCACATAAGCGCGGTGTATGGGGGGTGCGATTTTCGCCCTATGACCGCCTTTTTGCTACTGCGGGCGGTGATCGCGCCGTTAAGGTTTGGTCACTACGCGATTTCTCCTGCATCAAGACACTTGAAGGACACACTAACAGTGTCTTGGATTTGGCCTTCTTGAGTAACGGCCAACAGATGCTCACTGCTGCCGCTGACGGCTTGCTTAAACTGTGGAACCTCCACACAGAGCAGTGTGTAGCGACGCTCGATGGACATGAGGATAAGGTGGGTGGGGTTGTGTAAAGCGGGTGATGTTATCACTCTCAGTCTCACTGTAAACTCACACTCACTTCAGGTTTGGGCACTCGACATCAGCCCCGATTCGACAGAGTGCGTATCGGGTGGGGGTGACAGTTTGCTGACTTTCTGGGACGACGCCACGGAGACAGTCGAGGAAAGCCACGCGGCCGAGCGCGAAGAGGGTGTAATTCAGACGGAGACACTTGCCAACCTTGTCGCTGTGAAGGACTACCAGAAAGCCATCTCACTCGCTATCAGCATGGACCAGCCGCGCAGGTTGTATCAGCTTTTCGAGACAGTGTGGCGGGAGGTAGGAGCGCGTGGCGAAACGAAAAATAGCTCCACTCTCGGCAGCAGCGTTGACGGCGCAGTGGGCGCACTTGACGCACACGACCTTCGCAGACTACTGCTGCATGTGCGCACATGGAACGCTCACAATCGCTCATCTGCCGTTGCACAGGTGGTGTTGCACGTCGTGCTTAGGACGCACTCGGGTGCGGATATTCGCACGGCTTTTGACGTCGCAAGGAAGGAGGATGAGCAAAAGGGCCGCGATCCAGGGTACGATGCAGCTGGCGAGTTTGTCCCTCATACCGTTCCTACTACCCTCGGCGGCGAGAAGAAGGCGGCTGAGGAACACGCATCGCTCAAGGAGATCATCGAGGGCCTCCTCCCCTACACTCAGAGACACCTCTCTCGCGCTGACAAACTCGTCACTGAGAGCTACGTCGTCGATTTCATTCTGCAGGAAATGGATGATGGGTTGGGGGATGTTGCGGATGTGGATGTGGGTGAGATGGATGTGGATTAGTCAGACATTACATTGGAATGGTTATATAGATATATTTATTGCACATATCAAGTTTAAAGGGTATAATTCTTCATTACAATTGCTGCTACACGCGTGTTTTTTTTTTCTTTTTTTCTCAAATTGTACATCAAGAGAAGGCTTATACCAAGAAGAAAAATGCTATATCTTCACCTCAGACAATCCGAGTAGATGGAATTCGAATTGCAAGTGTAAAAGTCTGATTTAAAAGGAATATCATTTATTTAAGGTACAATGTTGATGCAGTTGGTTCTACAAATACAGGTGATGGGTGATAGCTTAAAGGTCTTGCGAGTCGATGCCCTCGCCCTTCTTGGTCTTGGATGGGAGGAGTTCCGTGTGGATGTTTGGAATAACACCGCCTTGTGAGATGGTTACATGGCCAAGGAGCTTGTTGAGCTCATCGTCGTTTCTGATGGCCAATTGCAAGTGACGAGGGATGATACGCGATTTCTTGTTGTCGCGTGCAGCGTTACCAGCCAACTCGAGGATTTCTGCAGCGAGGTATTCCAACACAGCAGCCAAGTAGACAGGGGCACCAGCACCGATACGTTGGGCGTAGTTGCCATTCTTCAAGTGTCTGTGGATACGTCCGACTGGGAATTGGAGACCGGCCTTTGAGGAACGGGAGCGACCTCCGTCGATTGCGCCTGCCTTGCCGCCAGATTTACCGCCAGATTTGCCGCCGACTTGTTGAGACATGTTTTGATTTAATAAGTTGAGTGTCGAGAGAAGAAGGGAGCTGTTGCAGTATTTATACTCCACCGAGGAAATCAAAATCGACACGCGCTTCTGATTTTGGAAATTGATGGTTTGATCTAGAGTGGGTAGCAGGTGGAGGAGTGCGCGTAAAACTCTGAAAAGCACATGAAAAAAATCCTCATAAATCTGGCTAAATTTTGGTGTGCTTTTTACCCACTGTTACCCCCTTGATCACGGAGATCACTCAACATCAGGCCGGATTTAGAATTGACAAGAATGTTGAATCGCGTGACGTGAACAGTTTGGGCTTTGTATAAAATACGCGTTGACAATCCTGGTTAAATCCATCAACCATCTCATTTAATCCATAAAAATGGCACCAAAATCAGCAGAAAAGAAGCCCGTCTCCACCGCTGGTAAAGCCCCAGCCTCTGCCACCAAGCAACCTCAAGAGGGTGGTAAGAAGACAGCTAAGGCTCCAAAGGCCGACGGGGGCGACAAGAAAAAGTCGAACAAGTCCCGCAAGGAAACATACTCGTCGTATATCTACAAGGTCCTTAAGCAAGTCCACCCAGACACTGGTATTTCCAACAAAGCCATGAGTGTCCTCAACTCGTTTGTCAACGACCTCTTCGAAAGAGTTGCTTCGGAAGCCTCCAAGCTCGCATCCTACAACAAGAAGTCTACCATCTCATCCAGAGAAATCCAAACCTCTGTCCGTCTTATCCTCCCTGGTGAACTTTCAAAGCACGCCATCTCCGAAGGTACCAAGTCCGTTACCAAGTTCTCCTCATCCAAGGCTTAAGCGTCTTGTACACTTTTTGTATTTATAAATTGTATTCACTTATTGCTCTTACGCTATTGAACATGTTATTGTGAGACAATTAATGTCATTGGTAGAATTGGCATAGGTGACGGAATAGACTATTCAGCGTCCTTGTTGGTTTAAATAAGCATTCCCTTGATGTATTCAACCCTCAGTCAACTTGATTCAATCTCCAAGCAATCCAAGCAATCCAAGCAATCCAACCAAGCGTTATCAAGCGTTATCAAGCGTTATCAATGTTTTTGCTGTATAATGCATTTCCATATATCGTACACGTGTTTACTCGCTCTCACTCTCCTCACTCTCGCTCTCCGCTTCGAGCAATGCCTCGATGAATCTTCTCGACTTATCCCACAACGACTTAATCCCTCCATCTGCCCTTGCCTGATCGAGTTTGTACCACGCGAAGAAGGCGTCCTCTGTAACGATTTCGTATTCGTAGAGAGCCCTCAACACGGCGAGGAAGATGTTTGCATGAGAAGCGTGGTGGATAGCGCAGAACTGCTGTGCTAATAGGACAGTGTGTGTCTGGTCCTCCTTGGTCATTTCGACGACGAGCGGCGCCCACCTGCCCAGCACATCTTCGACAGCCTTGTACGCCTGCACACCCTCACCAGCCTCCGTCTCCACCTTGCTGAGACAGAAGTCTACTACCACCTTGCGCACCTCCCCGAGAGGCACATTAGACGCCATGCGTAGTGTCTTCAACTCGATCGCGGCGTTCTCGGATGTGTGGCCCTCTTCGAATGCCCGCTCGAGGGACTGCGTGCACTCGTGGGCAAAGTCAGCCGCGGCGCCAACTTTGCCGGCGTTTTCGAGCGTAAGGTTGTCAGTGGCGTGGTGGAGCTCGTCGTCGTCCTCCTCACTCTCGTCGCTCTCGCCGCCTGAGATGGTCGAGAGGGACGACGTGGAGTGGGCGGCTGCCGTGCCAGCTGACATTCCTATGCGAGAGTAGCGCATACTCAGCGCGGCTTCTTCGTCGTCGTCGGAACTGTCAACATCTTCTACCTCCATGTCTACCTTGTCAGATGGCCAGAGATAGGCCGTGGAGGATGGGCCGAGGATGGCGGCGCGTTTCTTGTCGAGATGGTTGGAGTGCTCTTCATCACTCCCATCATCCACACCATCCTCACTCCACCTCTCACTACCTACCCGCGTGTAGGGCGGCAGCGAGGTTCCTTTCAGCAGACGCACTCCATGGCCGACAAAGCAGCCGGTGTGGAGAGAGACGTCATCCTCGATAACGACGCCATCAGCGACGATAGACTGGTAGATGCTGCAGCCACTGCCGATAGAGGTTTTGTTCCAGATGTACGAGTGGGAGAGTTGGGTGTTCTCCCCCACAGCCACACCCTGCCCCAGCACCGATCTGTCGAGTGTAGAGTGCGCCGCAACAGTGCAATGCGAGCCGAGCACCGAGCACACACCCACACGCGCACTCTCAGCCACATCCACCCCCTGCTTCCCATAGTAGCGGTGTCCGCGGTGATGCAGGAGTCGGTCAGATCCAGGCATGCACTCGTCAGGCACCATCGGATACGTCCAGCGAGAGATTATGTCCTGGCTGATGGCGTCGTATGAGCGGCTATCCATCACGCGCGCTGCATAACCCCCCTCCTCGTCTTCTATCGCGTGCACGTGGATCGTTTTGCCAAGAAGATCCGAGGTGAGGATCCCGTTAATAAAGTCGTGGCGCAGATCTTGATAGTCGAAGTTTTCAGTGAAAAGAAGGAGGACCTGAAGGGAGTGAGAGTGAGAAAGTGAGACAATACAATACACAAAAACTCACATCCACTGCACATATATCAATGTAGCAATCTGCGAGATCGTTTCTTATTTGCAGCTCACCAGCTTCGAGAGATTCTTCAGGGATGGAGATACGCTTGTGAGTGGCAGATTTGGTGGTGGATGGATGTGCTATAGTGGAGTATGTGTGTAGTTGGTGATTCTCGGGACTAATAACAAAGACGGGTGATTCAGCTGGAGGTCTAAGCCTGTGACTAGCACCAACTCTCTTCACTACCATGGTCATGATCGCGTCTTTATTCGACTTCCTTCGCTCCTTATGCTCAGCGACAACGCGGTGGATGTCCACCGTAGAAACGACGTCACCTGAGATAAGAACAAAGTCGGTGCGTATGAGCTGTTTAGCGTCTAGCTCTCTAATTGCGTCACCCGCGCTAACACTAGTGGTGGACACAATTGGAGTTACAGTGAGAGTGGAGTGAGCAGAAGAGAAGTGAGAGTTCCTTTAGGCGTGTTAGATGGGTGTACTGATACGCATATCACACCCACCTCAACCACTCCTTTATCTGATCAGCGTGTGTGCAAGTGAATAGGAACACATGTCCAATTCCAGCTGCAGCGAGGCTCTCCAAAGTCCAAGCTAGCATTGGAACATTTACTAGAGGTAGCAGACACTGTATATCGTTAGATAGGTCTACTAGTCGCTCCTGACGCCCACCCTCGGCTTGGTAGCTGTAAATGGCTTGAAACGTGAATTGAAGCTGTCTGCAAATACGACAGCCTGTAGTCCATTCTCCTCGTCGTCGTTATCCAATGGCTTATTTGGTGCCATTTTAGATTTTAAATTTTCTTCGAAGTTTTAAACCAAAAGGCGTTGTCTTCCCTCTTCAATGGCGACGTCCATGAGAGTGAGTGAATTGAGTATAGCGCAGTATACAACACCCACAGCACAAGGATGAAGTATAGCACTGGGCGCTGAATATCAATGAGCCGATAACGCTTAAGGGGGGCCTCAGAAACCCACCCGCGACTGAATGCAATTGGGTGTTGTGTGCTGTGTAGTGTATAGGAGAGTATACTGACAACCATATTAGCTATTCTAACAGCTGTACTAATCTATTCCACTTTTCTATCATTGGTTTCACCACATTCTCAAATTCCGTGCCTTTCCTGTTGTACATACGTTGTAATTTGAATACCTCTCTATGTCTTTTACCGCACTGTGCACACTGTATTGACTCTCTACTGCTGTATTCTGCCAATTCTAGGTGTATTAACCCTGAAACAGCCACGTCAGTCACAACACCCCAACAAACACTCCCACTCACTCTCCAATCTACTCACATGCTTACACACGAACCCTGGATCCGCTGCAAATGTCGTATGTAGCCTAGATGTGCTTGAGACAGGTGAAGATGGAAAATATTCCCTCAACACCAACTCCTTATTACATTGCTTACTCCAATTATCGATCTTTCTATTGATATTGTTTGTTCTTCCCACTTTGTACTCTGCGTGTCTTGCTGTTTGTGGCATGCTATACACATAAATCCATCCAGCTACATCTGCGTGACTGTTTATTGTGAGTAATTGAATAGAGGTATACCTTGTCACCCACGCTATAGGCTTCTCCATCGTAAGTCTCAATTGTATTTGAGTGAAGGTGGACAATCGTTGTTGTGGTATCCAGACTTTTTGAGCATTAGAAACACACTATCAACACACTCAACCCACAATCAAACTCAATCCAAACCCCACGCTTATTGAAGAATCCCTTCTGTGTCAGTATATCCTTCCCATGCTGGTGACAGAATCGATGAAAATCTTCACCTGTCTCGACTTTATCCAGCTTGACACGCCGTGTGCATCTCTTTGCTTGTTTGGTAATTCCTTGGCTAAATATGGGTGTATTAGTGACAATCAATTTCCTCATTATCAACCCACCATTGCTCCGCGTGTGGTGCATCCGATGGTGACGTCGTGAATCCTCTTTTGGAGGGAGAAGAAGCGGGAGAAGAGGCTTGGGTAGGATATGGAATCGTAGACGATACTTTGGCGCCATTTTTACCCCTAATTTCTAATATTACCATAAGCATCAGCGTTACAATGAAGGAATAACAAACGCACGCTTTACACGCGTTTTTGAGCTTTGCCTGGGCTATTGGTTTACTCCCTGAGTGTGATTTTGGATGCCTCGGTTGCGTTGATTGCTTTCTTGGTTGGCTCAACTGGCTCAACTTGGCTGGCTCTGTATCATCTGAATCGATACGAATTCTACCAAAGCCATGAAATATCTCGTGTAGCACTTTAATTGCTTTGTTTCCCTTCATTTCACTCTTTAAATGGCCAAATCGTGTTCAAGGTGAACCGTCAACAGCCAACATGTCCTCACAGCCGGTGGCTTCACTCAACGCCCCACCAAAGCTAAAGATACGCCCAACAAAGCTTTCAGCGGGACAATGTTCGTATGTATCGTTGTGTAAGGTATGTGTGGTTCTGGCCATTTGAAGACATTCTAACACCAGCCAAAGCTTGTACTACGCAAGAGAATGATTAGATTGGTTCTACTCACATTCCTCTCCACTTGCACTATCTTCTCTGTATCCACTTCAAATCTAAATGATAGAATCTGTGGGTTTTTGGATAATTCAAAGATAATATCACTCAAATATATCAACAGCATCCACAATATCACTCAATAGATTTTTATTCGCTGCAGTTGCCTTCTCTCTCAGCGTAATTCCAATCATTATAACCCGCAAATTGGCCTTGATAAGTGGGTTAAGAGTGTGTACTGTAAATATCCACACTCACACATACACCAGCCAAGCCTCCTCCTTCTCCTTCCTCTCCTTCCCAACGAATCAAATCTTTTCTCCTCAATAACAAAACATACAGCTCTACCAGTGTATATGCCCTAAGCGCTGTTATATACGCTATCTCTTTCCTCGCTTGCGTCTCTACTCACGAAGAAGACGCCCAATTCACCCCTTTCACCACTCACAAACGACGCGGCTGGCAGTTCAACGAGAGGTTCATCTTCTTTATATTAAACGCTATTGTTCTCGCAATCAGCTACTCGATCTACCAGCTCTGGACTGACCGTTTCATCACGCGTTTCCCTTCCAACATCTCACAATCCATTTCTGAACGCGTACTAACACACTTGAAGCGTAACTTGGCCAGTGGTGTCAAGTTTTCCATCATTACCGTCCTCACTTGCCTTTCAAGCTACTTTCTACTCAAGAAGCCCATCTACCGCACACTCGCGACGTTCTCCCTTTCGACTTTCAGACCCCACCTGTTCTCCCTCCTGCGCCAGAACAATCTCTCGTTCGGGCTAATTCTCCGCACTATGCTCTTCACTATCAGCCTCACCACTACATGGGAAGTCGCCAATACGCTCTTTGACGTCTACAGCGTGCACCCCATGCTGATATCGAAAGTATCGCCCGCCTCCAACGACTGTCTACTCGATGGACTCGGCTGTGAAGACACGTATTACCGACACCTCGCCTATCTCGAATTCGTGATGGTCTTCTCCACCGACAAGCAACGCCGGCTGTCCGTGTACGGCGACATCAACCGCAACCCTACTTCCTGGGATAAGTACCTTGGCTTGGCCGTGAAAGAGATGAGTGATGGTAGGAATAAGGTGCTGTCGAGAGGCGCGACAAGTGATGCAGCCATTGATAAACCTTTCCACCACTTGAACACTCCTAGCACAGCCACTTCCACCGCCACCTCCAGCTCCGGCAAACACCTAAGAGTGCTTCAGGATGAGAAGATCTACCAACGTCCTCCCAGAAATACATTCGAGAGTACAGTCGATCAATCACAATCACCAAAGAGCACTCCAAGCTCCCTCCTCAAGGATGCACCCAAACCACTCGCTAAAGGTACACAAGATGCTGTCATAGGCTTTGATAAGCTCCTCCCTAAAGATTTGCTAAGGATGCTTCGAAAGATACTCAACGGGAATGAGCAGGCTGTAGTGAATGCCAAAATTAAACTCATGGCACCTGAAATGAAACTAGTCAGTCTGTCTGCACTCGGATTGGCTTACCTTGGAGCAGCTTCGATCAACGAGGATCAGTACGGTCTCATCCAACACAGTATACCTCACGTAATCGCTCAGCTAACCGAGACTCTCATTGTTTATGAGCGTTTCCAATCGGAGCTACTTAAATCCACTACACATATCCACGAGTTCAACACTAGAATGCAGGAATTGAGGAATGCACTCTCAGTTATCCTTGTCGCGTTTAAAGATTACATAGCCACTTTCAATCTAGATGAACAGGTTTCGGGTAGGGTTGATATTGCTCTTAGAGATTTGTAGGGTTGTGGCATGTACAACTGTTAATTTATTTCTTACACTTACATATCGCTCACGCGCGCAACGCTATAACTATCCCCCATTGTTGGATGAGTGAGGAGACGACATCGTGAACTTTATCGTGAACTTTATCGCGCACTGAATTTACCGCTCCCGGCGACTTGCTCTCGCACTCCTCTTCCACCGCCACCAGTGTCTCTACAACCATATCACGCTTGGCGGAGTCCCCACACCTATCCCATACACCCGCCAAAGCATACAGACAGTCGCAGCGCCTGGTAGCATCTTGCAGTTTCTCATAGATATGCTCAGCCTTGATGAGGAGTGCGCCAGCCATTCGCATGTCTGTGGAAGATGTCAGATTGGTTGTGTCGCCAGCTGAACCAATTACCGTCATCTGCGATGGCCTTCTCGGCATATATTGCACACGCTCGCGCCTGTACCGCGCGGTCGGGGGAGTGGATAGCTCTTTCGAACATTCCGTCGCTGTCGCCCACATCTATACCATACTGATAGCGCGTCTCCATCCCGACCAGCTCAACAAATGCTCTGAGTTTGAGAGGGAAATACTGGCGAGTGTCAGCCATCTTGAATGCCAACAGGAGATGCTCGAGTGCGAGATCCCTATTGCCCTGTGTAAGAATGGCGTGTGAGAATTGAGTTGAGTGGTAAGTAGAGTCACCAAACACCCACATCACTTGCAATACATTGCGAAATTAGCCCATCAATCCTGCCTATCATACCAACCTCACTAGACGCAGCCGACGCAGGGCCTTTCCTGTGTTGGTTCCTGGTTTTCGGTTCAGTCGTGTCTATCATCACTCTTCACCACCCACATTCTCTGTGAACGGCGTCGCAGCACTGCCCATACTCCCTCTGTCCAGGTTGCATACTCGACGAGATTGATCTCGCTCAGCAGCTTCTCATCGAACAGGCACTGTAGTGCTCTTGTGTAGTCCCCGTTCTGCGCATACTGGTTGGATATATTTATGCGAGTTGTTAGCTGTGCAGATGTGTGCCACGTATCGCCATGTGTTGCCAATTTTTGGTATATGTCGCGGATAGATTTGATGCCTGTGTTGAGTATTTCGATTGTTAGTTGTGGTTGTGCATAGCTACGCTTCTAAGACGCACCAGCTAGCTCCCATATCGCTGCATTCACAGCTGCCCATGTCTGTAGTGATGCATCCACCTTATCAAGTGCAGATGCCTCATCCAGCCTCACCAGCGCTCTGGTAGAGCGGGTCATCAACTCGCTCAGCTTATCGCCCTGCGTGTCTTCGTTGGAGGTTTTCAGCGTGTATACACTTGACTCACATTACCAATCGCTACCCTAATATCAAACAACTCGTCCATCACCGTTATGTCGTCCGAGGCGAGCGATTTCGCATGGGGATCGGGACAGGCAAGCTTTCTGTCTAGCTGGCGAAGCAGTCTGTTAGACAGTTAGAATGAAAACGTCGCAAAAAATAAACCCACCTGTTGCACCCATTCAGTGTCTCTATATCCTTCGATATCCGAGACATGGTGAGCGACTCATTGAGCACACGCCGAGCCTCCTCTATCACACCCTGAGAAATGAAGAAAGACGCCAGCGATAGCAAAGCGTGCTGGTGCGAACCTGAGCCGGTTATGGTATCCGAATTGATTGACGAAGGTCTGTAGTCGAAGAATTTGCGCAGGCTATCAGAACCGCTGTGAATATCAGATTTGTTGAAAGCAGTCTGGAATCTGTAGAGGAAGTTGGAGAGATAACAGCAAGATAAGGACACGTACTCATTGAAAGCTTCGACACGTCTTGGAATGATCTCATCGACTTCTGAACTTGACCAGGAGAGTACTGAGAGTAAATTTATATAAGCCTGATGAGAAGAAACCACTTGAAACTTACATTGATGCTCATATTGGCCGACTTGGGAGACAGAAGTATCGGTAGAAATAAATGCTTGAAATGCATTGAGGAGGTCTATGGAGCCTTCAAAGGTGAGGTTCGATTTGGTGGAATAGGCTTTGCGGATAAAAAGGCCAAATAAGCTGAATGGGTCGATTTGGTGATCTTGATAGATCTGAGTGGGAATAACGGGGTGTAATTATGAGTACGAGTGGTATGAAAGCACTCCAAACTCACTCCATCTGCCATTGGCTGTATCAGATTGAAAATATCCTTATAAAAGTCATCGAGATCGTTTACGGTTGTGATTCTACTTGGAAACTCTCGAAGTTGGCTGTAGAGTGTACGACTGTTATCCAAATCCAATGAATCGCTCAGAAGATTCTTCCAGTTGTGCTCAACCTTATCGGTCTTGGTTTGAATGAGTAGGCGTGACTAGGCTGGTATATTTTCGACTCACTTGCAATATCAACTTAGTTATGTAAATTAATAAGTTATTGTATAATGTCTCGTTCTTTGTCTTAATTTCTAATCTCTTAGTCAAATATATTAAAATCAATACCTTCAATTCCATTTTGAGGTGACGTGACGGTACAAGTATGACACCTATTATATTCTCAATCATCATCACTATTATAAGTTAAATACACCATATCCCCTTCATCTGGTGATATTATCAGCGTTAGCAGATCCCGACCCACTTCCGACAGATACTCCATATCTTCCTTATACGTCTCACTTAGAAAGTCCGGACACTGTGCAAATGCTATCCGCCCTAGACTCACTATACACATGTGTTGAAATGATGCTCTATTATTTTGCAGCTTTTGAGCCAATTTCGCCTCGTTGGTTGTTATTATTAACTTGTGTAGCAGATGCAGCGTCGGTATTATTCGATCAACCACCATCTCTGTCGAGTACTCCATCTCTGAAGGATAAAGCATTACGCTGTCTTCGTTCCACAGCATACCACTGTCTTTTGCCAACAGGTTGATCAAAGAAGGTATCAATACTTTGCTGTCAGCTAGCGTCGTCAGTACCGTATCATCATCTACAGATACCGTATGTAGTAATGATAAGATTAAAAGCTGGTGATGGTGCGTGTCTAATGCTGTCATTCCTCCATGTCGTGTCGTAAGGTATCCAGAGAGCATACTCAATAATGTTGCATTGTACCCGTTCTCTGCGCTAGGCACTTGATTGCTTCGTGGCTGGTTTAATATTCCCACTGTCAAAAGCCTATGCGCAGACGCGAATAACAGAAACCTTGTCCATCTATGTACACACCACCATTTCTGACTTGGTAGCAGTGGTATTTGTAAAGCCTCCGAGTTTATCAAAAGCGGAGTCAATCTAATCTACGTTAGTTTGTACTATCAATAAACCCACAAAACTCACTTGTTCGGATAAATATCTTGAGATTGGAGCACTATAATTTCGAGCAAATTTAGTACACAGTCTGTGAGATTATCTTTGATCACTTCTTCTACTATCAATTCAGGCTCGTTGGACTCTTCAACGCCCTTGATACTCTTACCCGGCTTCAAGTGGGCAAGTATGAGGTCGATTATAGATGACACAAGCGATACTCCCTCTCTACCACTACTGGGATCCAACAGACACCCCAGTATATTTTCATGTGCATAGACAAGAGATGCCAGCAATGCTAATGTCTCAGCTAGATGGGAGAGCATTTGACAGTTGAGGAAAACCTGCACGAAGACGTTTAGACTCTTAACGACCTTATTAATGGCATCGCCCTGATCGAACTCCATCACCGTCTCCCCAAATGTCTCGAGCAGCTTTATAGATGCCTTGTTATACCTTTCCACATCTCTAGCTACAGCATTTTCATCAAACGGTGCATTTAAGATTAGTTGAAGTGTCAGCTGTCTATATGCCTTGGTTGATATTGAAGGATAGCAGCATATATGACTGAAGATAAGCTGCGTAATTTCAGTCCAGACGTTAGAGACGCCAGCTTTCTCAGCTGAGATTTCTTTGCTTTTCTGCAAGAAAGGCTGCTCGCTTTCCCAGTCCATATCGTCGCCATCTCTATTTATGCGAGTCTTGCCTATGTTTCCATTTGCTTTTGCATTTGCACGTGCTGTTGCTGGCTTGTGTATTGCATGAGGCGCAGTTGTCTTACTGCGCGTGTGAGAGGACGGCGAAGCAGCGGCGAACGAGTCGTGAAAGTCGCTGAAGCCTTCAAGAGGCGGTCTTGGTTGACGCCGCTGTGTTTTTTCCGGGCTGGCTGTGCTAATTCTCGATCGTGACAACTCCGAAGTCTCAGCTTCGTGTTGCTGTAGTTATTCGAGCATGGTCAGTGAGACATGTCAAGCAAATACAACGACTCACTTTGAACATCATGTTGACTTCCATCTTCTCGTTATTCGCCTCAGACTTCTTGTTCAGCTCGCTATTGAGTGCGATTAAACGCATATTCTCCATACGAAGCTTCTCCCTTTGTGTCTTGAGCTCTTCTTGATCCTTTGTGCATAGTTATATGGTGCACTACGCAACAGCAACTAGAAGCACTCACTTTCAATGCCTGTCTTCTGACTGTCTCAATTTCACCCTGAGCGCGAAAATTAATCTCGTATTGTGCATTCAACTGGTTCGAAGTCTGCATTCGTTTCTCCATTTCCTGAGAGAGGTTAGAATGAGGCTGCAAAATGCGCCATCCTCCCCACCTCATCATGCTGTCTACGCAACCTCGCAATCTCGACTGCAAGACCACTGCCACTGCTACCTCGCGAAGAAGGAGCAGCAGCAGAAACAGCAGACGTAGCGCGCACGGGCTCAACATTAAACGCCGGTGTAGACCTAGCCTGAGCAGATGCCCCAAACGATTTATTATCTAAATCTAAGCTTCCATCCTCACCATTATGTTGGTTATCGGTAGCAAGTGGATTCCTAAAGGCGGAGGCGGGTTTTGAGGGCTTGGGTATATCAAGGCGTTGCGCTGAGCGTGCGAGAGTGTTGGATATCGAAGGACCAGTTCTCCGTGTTAGCTTGCGTGGTGGTGGATCGTCGGGAGAAGGCACATCGATGGGAGAATCAAAGGGCTTTGGCTTCTGTGAGGCTAGGAAGTGGGCCTCAGTAGCTGCTATCTTATTCAGCGTTTCTGGATCGAGATCGAAATCTTCGATATCATCATCAGACATTTAGATAACGGTGGTTTGAGTGCAAGAAACAAGAAATACAAGTAAATTTACAATAAAAGATCAGCAAAGCTTCAATCGTGACAGATTGACGCGGCGTACTGCTCAACAGATGTCCAAGGAACATCAAACATCTTGTCGTCATTATGGACAGAAAAGTCTATTGATCCTTCGCTGGCGATTAGGTGCATAGTGGCTTTAAATGCATCAGTTGGATCACCCTGAATCTTACCAGACTTGAATTGCTCGTATTTCTCGAGGTATTCATCTCGCTTCTGGTCAACAAGTACAACAGGCTGCTTGGTCTTCTCCTCAAAAATCTTGGCGTAATCGTGAATAGTTTTGCAATCTGAGCAAATGTATATCTCGTCTTTGAGTGCACCAATATGTTCAAATGGTGTGGCTGCCAACAAGGCAACAACAGAGCTGAGATCGTTGAGTGAGGTGACAGCGACTCTCTCCTTTGAAGAAAGCACCTTCCACTCAAGCTGTTTCATGTCAAATAGTTTACCAAACGTGAATTCCATGATGATTCCATTGTAGAGGCTAACAGTCTTGAAATCGAACTGCCTAGCATGCTCGCGGTGACGCTGCTTTGCTTCAAAGACAGAAATCTTATTGAATTGCGTTTTGTGGTAGTCGACGCCAAACTCTGAGGGAATGTAGAGCTTGACGTTGGTAGAAGCCATTGCAGCGAGAAGCTTATCAGCCGATGCAGAGGTTTCTGGGGTGATACTGACTGCTGAGACAACAACGTCAATTCCTTGGAGTTGCTGCATTAGATTTTGCTCGTCGTTGTAATCGAGGTGGATGGTTTCATCGGCATTTGCGATAGTCGTGGGTCTGTTGACACCTGCAACAACCCTCCCAAGCTTGCCATTCTCTTTGGCAATAAGGAGTTTGTTAAAGATACGCTGACCGACAAAGCCAGTTGGGCCAATAATCAAAACTGTTGAGTTGCTTATAGTCATTACAGTTCAAGTCTAACGAGTAGATTGCGTGTGGGCGCGATTTTATAGACCTAGACTAGACACGCATGTCTCGTTACAGGCGTGCTATATAGCTTCCAGTGTAAATTGAATATTCCAGAATCCCCGATGTATGATAGTCTAAATATTCAAATTTCAAGCATTATAAAGAGGCTACGCGTTGGTTGAACCTATTCAACTTATTCATGCTCAGCCTGTGCCAAAGAGTACTGCCAAAGCCTGCAATAAATATAGGTAGAATGTCCTCTAGCGTTGTGTCCCAAGAATGTCCTTGTCCTCCTCACCGCAGCGACGCTTCACCAAGTTTATTGAATAATGATGAAATGGCCGAGATAATTCCAAAGCTGGAAAACTACAAGCAGCGCGATAACAGCATAGAGAGGCTCTACACGTTTAAAGGGTTTAGAGGAGCCGTTAAGTTTATAAACGCCGTCGCAGATGAATGCGTGAAGCATAATGTGAGTTGGGGTGTTTGAATCATAGCCACAGCCACAGCCCACAGCTCACCGATAACAGCACCATCCAACGATCACCAACATGTATGGTCATGTTAGACTGAATTGGCTGACGCACTCCACAGCGCAAGCCGTGCCTGGGATTACATCGAAAGACATTGAGCTAGCGTGGGAATGCAACAAGGCTTATCAAACAGCATTCGGTGCTAGGCCTTATAACGATAGAGAGAGGGAATTGGAAGGAATGTAAATTAAACGCTTATTTTAGATATATCCTGTTTATTACTTGATACGATCATTATCACCTCTGCCAGAAGCGTTGAGGAGCTGCGAAATGGGAAATGCGATTCAAACTTTATTCGATCCACCTTTACCTGATCTAATCAGGGTGGCTATACTCGGCTGCAGATACCTAGCCTTTGGCGTCGCTTTCCCTATCATCTTCTTGATGTCAGTCTGTTTATCTTGATTTGAAGAAAACCTTCTCAATCTCAATTCCAGGCTACTTGACGCATCTGCTTACGTTGTTTTCAGAACTCTCGGTGTTTACGCTAGACGTGTGCGTGTGGTCGATAACGTTTCAAATCCAATTGCTGTCGATATAGCCACAATTAGTTCTGTTGAGAAGAAGGAAAACTCTTCCCTCATCAGAAATGCTTTTCTCGAAGGCATAAACAATGATAATTTCAATAAACGCTCTAATATCAACAAACAATGTTTGAAAACTTTGGCTAGCAACTTGAAAGCTAGCTCAAATGATCTACACGCTCATAAAGCAGCAAATATTCCTCTACCTCCAGACGCTGACAGGGGTTTAAGACATCGTCAGCCTCTTACTGCTGCTTGAATACACCCTCCTTGGCCTATTGGTCGCAGTTAGCATACCTCCACGCATTTCTTCACGACGACACAAATACATTTGTATTACTAGCGGTAGTGGGGTAATCTCAATCTCACAAGGGCTCTCTCAATCTCGGTCTGTCTTCTCTTTTCCTCTTCATCTTCTTCTCGCGGTCTCTAATTGAGCATAGTTCGCTTCGCTCTTGGTTAAATCTCATGTAAAAGTATACAATATATCAGAGCATGTAGTGTGTCTTTGTTGTGGGTGTTGTGGGTGCTGTGCTTGTCGTGGTTGCTGATTAGGCTGTTCCGATGGCAAAAGAAAGACATCGAAATATAAATCAATGTTATCAATTTATTCCACTCTCACTACCGATAAATTTCTTATCGCCTATTCGCGTTTGTAGATCCCTCGTTCCTGGCCGTGGATCCGATATCTCAGCCAATAAGAGCCCCTGGTTGCTGATAAAACGAATTTGCAGTATCGGCGCGTAGCTTGTCTATGTAATTACTACACTAGAATTCATTAATGCTATAAAATTTCATGATTTCTTTGAGGAATCGCAAAAATCTTAATTGTTCGGCTTAAAACAGGACGACGATAGGAAGAAGAGCTCCTACATATTTTCACGGCCGTAATTATCTCAATTCTTATTCATTCTTCCTGGTTTACTTCCACGCTACTGTCTTATCATCTGAATATCACCTAACCAACTTAAACGAATACAATTATGTTCTCATAAAAGAAAAAGTAAAAGGCGCACATAAAGCTGAAGGAAACAACAAGTGAACTTCGAATCAGGCAGCAGCTCTGAGCAAGTACCAGAAATTTATCCAGCTTCAGTCGTGCTCGATCTCTATTACAGCCTCTATCCAGAAAGATTAAACAGTCTCATGAGCTTGAAATTGGTGTTAATGGTACCTCTCACGATGGTCACCATTCTCGATGTCCGAACCGCCCAGACGTGCCAGATCCAGATCCCACACTCTACGAGATACCAGTTGTTGTCATCAACTTGAAAGCTTTCGAAAAAGCGAAGCAGGTCCCAGTACTCGACAAACAGCTTCAAAAGTTCAGGAAAAAAAGCAAAACATAGAGGAAGTCATCTGGGCAGACAGTGGACAATCAAAAATGGACAGCAGCTTTAAAGAATGCTCAAAACGAGTACAAGATTGTGAAGAGTTGCGCTCAATCGCATCGACTGATTTGCATATCATAGTGTATGAGGGGCTGCGTGAATCAGATCAAAGTGGTGGAACGGCTTTTTGGAAAAATCAATACAGTATTCTCACGGACAATTATAAGGGTGACTACAATTAGCAATTGTCAAAGTCCTACACCAGCAATGACGCTACTCAGCGTCTCTCTATCGCTTGTAATACCTTACTAGGCATTCTTTCTACCTTTGCCGATTATCAACATTTTTATTCAGACCAAGCTTACTCGTTCAAAGACGAACACTTTCTCAATATGGCAAAGCTTGACTCTAAAAGTGGGTGATGCATATTTAGCAAAATCCTGCTAGTCTGCCAATATATAATCTGCTAGTATTGAAATCTTGAAGTTTCACTTTATCAATACGATCGAGCAAGAGTATTCCGCCGAACCATTCTTAGCCTTACATAACATCAAACTTCTCATCCTGACTTTCGAGCTCAACGATGAGCCAAACGGCTTACTGGTATACAAGCGCGACGGATATTGTGTTTTCCAACTCGTTAATGACATAAACGATATTGAGAAAGCTCATCACTGACTCATAAACACATTGCTGAATTTTATCAAATTAGAACTTGGTATATCTCAATATCAATGAATGCCTCATGACAACAACAGTGATGCTGAGCTTTGTTTGACAGGTCAAAAATTCAGCGATGAAAACCTGAGGTGGTGCAGTTGAAGAAGGAGCATATTAAAACTATTCAAATCCTTACGCATGTCTTGATCTAACTCTAGCAATAGAAAATTTCTGCACAAACACCTTCTCAGCTGTCTGCAAACTCAGCTCTAAGGAGCTATAGAATTGGATTAATAAGTTCCAAATAGCATTAACAATAATTTTTAGAAGACGATATTGGAAAAAATTGATGATGATGATGATGATG